TCTGGGCCCTCGGCGATGCTGAGCAGATTGCCCAACTGGAGGAGCTTGTTTCTTTGATCAAGTCTGCCGGTGCTACCATCATCAACGGCACCGAGCTTCCTCACTACAAGCAGATCGTTTCCCCTGATGGCTGGAACTGGGACTATGGCACCACTCGCGGTTTCGTCAACGAGTCCGAGTACTCCTACATCAAGGTTGACTTCTACAACAACCTGCGCGATTATCTTTCCGAGGTCAACAACACCGCGATCAAGTCTGTGGAGGATCTTGTCCAGTACAACATTGATAACTACGGCTCAGAGGGCGGTCTCCCCGGCATCCACCCTGCTTTCGGCTCTGGTCAGGATGGCCTCATCGCTTCCATGGAGAGCAAGGGCATCATGAATGAGACTTACTTCTCGGCTCTTGCATTCTGCCAGCGTACCACCCGTGAGGAGGGCATTGACGCTGCCCTGAAGTACGGCAACGGAACCCTGGATGGCCTCCTCGTTCCTCCTGATGTTGCTCAGAGCATCCAGATTGCTGCTCAGGCCGGTTACCCCGCTATCACTGTGCCTGCCGGTACCGGCAGCGAGTCTGGCATGCCATATGGCCTGGCCATCCTGAACACTGCTTTCTCGGAGCCCACCCTCATCAAGTACGCCAGTGCTATTGAGGATCTCCAGAAGACCTCTGGCACCAAGTGGCAGCGCACTCTCCCGGAGTGGCGCGGCTACCTGGAGCGCAACCTGCCTGTGATCATGTAAAGGCCTGGATCGGAACATACTAATCATATAGAATCGTGAGCGTTTTCCCGTGTCTACAATGAATATTGTGCTTGTATGATAAAAACTACTATTTATTAATAGAGCATAATTACCCTGAGTACCATCATTATTTGTCCAATCGAAGCCCTCCTTTTCTGCACGATTTGCTGCACCCAGCCATTCAGGTGTTCAATCTTCAATCCCTCTCGCGCAGCCCTGGAGTGAGCAAGAATGAAGAATCTAAAATGGATCTCGGGCAATCTCCTTCTAATGAGACTTTAATATATCTTAGTATCTGTTAGTATCTGTTAGCATCTTTAGTTCATAATGGCATATTACTGCATGATAGGAAAGTTGACCGCCATTCTTAGGGATACTGTATTAAACGCTGACATCCTAGTTTTGGGCCATACGACCGAGGAGTGGGCCAAGATATTTTTCTAGAACCAAGCATTATATTGCTAAGTTGATAATCTCCGAGACAGATTGCATGGACCAAAAGGAAAGAATTGAAAAAGAAAATTAAGTAAGGAGCCTCACAGTGGACCGTGAACCCCCCCCCCCCCCGAAAAGGTGGAGCTAGTGGCACATCAAGTAGGTAAACCGACGATCTTGATCGCCAGGCAAAGTGTCAACAACATTTGCACAGTGCGCGCATTATGGCCCATTTTCATTGATGCAAAATTGATCTTGCGGGCTCCCTCATTTCCCGATGATCTGCAAACTCTGATTTTCACAGAGAGTATACATGTCCGAGATCATTCCAAACACTGTGCCAAGCCGGAGGAATTCATGTCGCGGTTCAATCCACACAACACCAACACCCCCTTTGCAAACTCATTTGTCAGGAAATTCAGACGTCGAATGTGACGAAGAAAGTCCGGAGATATTCCGGATACAATGGCGTGTGCGGAGTACATCCTTGGAAGATACCAAAGCCACAGCTCAATTAAAGTGAGGACTAGGCTGATCACGGAGCACCGCTCGACCGAGTAAAGCGTCCGGTCTCATGGGTCGAGCTACTCTATCGCGCCTGGTGGGGCGCCCAGGGGCAGTGAGAGAGTGAAACAATTCAAGCACCGAGGTCAGCAGCGAACGCTCTAGGAGGCGTTTTTTTGCGACTGCTTTACTGCACACTTTAATCAATTTGGGTTTGTGGGCGTATTTGCCTGCGTGGCCGCCCTCCCATTCCCACGGCGTAGAGCGCCTGATGAAATGTTTCCAGGATTCACATACATCCAGCCACACTGGCAGTTAGTCCGTACTCCGCAACATTGTGGAGTCAGACATGTATTCTAATATGAGGTTACGGCATTCCGATTCGTCACAATAACGGCGGTATCATCACTGGTGCCGGATCGGCGACAGTTAGGATTCGGAAACAGCAAAATTATGGGCCTGATCCTGGCAAAGGGGGATATGTGGAGTAGAGAACCTCTCAAACCTCGTGGCTCGGAATGGGTCTGGTCCGCTGTTTCGTTGTCGTTGATCGTATAAAGGTTGCTCAATTCGCGCCCTCGTCCCCAAAATGAGTTCTGCACACTTCCATTCATTCTTTTACTTTCTTTTGTACCTTACCAAAGCAGCCTCATCATGAAGTTTACTGCTCTTGTTGCGGCTTTTGCTGCTCACGTTGCTGCCGTGAGCGTCTCTGGCGCAGCTGAGGGTTTCGCCAAGGGCGTTACTGGCGGCGGGTCCGCTTCTGCTGTTTATCCTTCTACCACCGATGAGCTGGTCTCTTATCTCGGTGATAGCTCTGCCCGTGTCATTGTTCTCTCCAAGACCTTCGACTTCCGAAACACTGAGGGAACTACTACCGCCACTGGTTGTGCTCCTTGGGGTACCGCTTCTGCTTGTCAGCTTGCCATCAACAAGGACGACTGGTGCACCAACTACGAGTCTTCCGCGCCATCCGTCTCGGTTTCCTAGTCAGTCGTCGGGGAATTCAGATATTGGGGAATCTATGCTAACAATTTCCAGTGACAATGCCGGTTCTCTCGGTATTACCGTTGCCTCCGACAAGACCCTCATTGGTGAGGGCTCTGCTGGTATCATCATGGGCAAGGGTCTCCGTATTGTTAGCGGTGCTAGCAACATCATTATCCAGTGCGTATATAGAGCCAAGTATCCAAAGAACCTCACTGACCCAAAGCAGGAACATTGCCATCACCGATATCAACCCCAAGTACGTTTGGGGTGGTGATGCCATCACCATCGACGATAGCGACATGGTCTGGATTGACCACGTTACCGTATGTCCCTCAGCGATTAATGTCCCTCCGGAGCCTATTTACTGACATTCCTTTAGACTGCTCGCATCGGTCGCCAGCACATTGTCCTCGGAACCGAGTCCTCCGGCCGCGTGACTCTGTCCAACAACTACATCAACGGTGTCTCCGACTGGTCTGCCACTTGCAACGGTTACCACTACTGGGGCATCTACCTTGATGGATCCAGCGACCTGGTCACCATGAAGGGCAACTACATCTACAAGACTTCCGGCCGTAGCCCCAAGGTCCAGGGCAACACCCTCCTTCACGCCGTCAACAACTACTGGTACGACAACGGCGGTCACGCCTTCGAGATCGGCTCCGGCGGTTACGTTCTGGCCGAGGGCAACGTTTTCCAGAACGTTGGCACTCCCGTTGAATCCCCCGTCTCCGGCTCGCTCTTCACTGTCCCCAGCACCAACTCCGGCTCCTCCTGCAGTGCCTCCCTCGGCCGCACCTGTGTTGTCAACGGATTCGGCTCCAGCGGTACCTTCAGCCAGAGCGACACTGACTTCCTGACCAAGTTCTCTGGCAAGAACATTGCTTCTGCTTCCGCTTACAGCACCGTTGCTTCCAGCGTTACTTCCAACGCTGGCCAGGGTAAGCTGTAAATTCAGTGCTCTGACTAGTTTGCAGCACGCCTTTGGCTCAGGAGTGTTGAATACATTCGATGGTTCTCTTGGGATGTAGCATTATTCTCAAGATTTGGCTACATACTTTTGATATGCATAATTTCTGATGGAACACATGCTTAAGCGATAGAGAATCCTTGCTCTATGATGTGCTGCTCCCTGCAGAAAACCTATACCTTTAATTAGTGTAACATAGTTCCGGCAATTAAGAGCGATCTTGATCAAGGCTATATTAATTACTTGACTCGTACTTTAGATTTTCTCGCATGCACTAGTACCTGAAGCAGAGCTGCCTGTAGTATAATCTCAACTCTTTCATGCTCCTAAGTTGCCAACGTCGGGTTTTAAATTATGAAACAACTACTCGCTGCTTGATGGCGGTGTGAAGTAGCGTCATTCTTTCGAAGACAAGCCAAATATGATAGGCAGAGTAGTAGCAACAATAGGTGCTCGGGGAATAACAGCTCGGGATAGTTACAAGCGATAAAAAGCCAACACAGTCGACGAATTCCTGTGTTAAGATTGCCGACTCTGCTTTGAAGCCATTATCCAAACCCACTTTATACATCTTGAATGACTTTCTTCAATGCCAAGGCCAGTGGGTAGGTAACTATTGGGCGATTCGTATGCTGCTGACGGGCGTAGTAAAATACGTCCTAGGTGTGTACAGCGCCCAACCGCGGAATATTCAACCTTATTGGGTAATAAGACAGAGGCTATTAGACTTTTATGCATAGAAGCCTATAATGTGGATATCTAGAAATCACTATGATCTACTATACGGAGGCTGGTTACTTGATTATATGGGCAGTAGTAGAGAGCTTCTCTTACTCCGAATCGAAACCTCCAGAGGATACTAATTTAGCCAAAAACCTTGGAATATTTGAGTAGAATCACCAGTGCAGGATTATGGGACAATTTCCACCTTTGCTAGCTGTCGGCTCTTGGCAGACGGAAATCAGCCTCGACAAAAGCCGACAGCACATATCTCAAATCATTTCACACCTCACTATAAAGAAGCTTGTAAGAACTTCCGCCAAATCTAGTTAGATCCTCGTATGTGAGGTCTCCACATTCGTCAAGGGCCTGAAGGGCCAATCAGATTGGCCCTTACATGGTGCCTAGCGTGGGGAGAACAAGGCTGTGGCACGCCTGACGGTTCATTTGGCCCCCAACGAGATGAGCCCCCTTGAGGAAATTCACAAAATGACGTGAAGTTGTTCTGTAGAATAGACTATAAATGCGAAGTCCTGCATCGAGAGAATAGCTCTATTTCGAAAAGCACCACAAAAAATCTAGTCGCTCTCCTTTCATCTCTTCATTTTATTTCTTTTTATTATATGCCTTCAGCCATGGGCAGGCTTCTATACTTCCTGTCGGCAGCTGCAGCCCTAGCAACATTCTCGACTGCTTCGCCAGTCAAAACTTCAAATTTCAATTATGACCCACCTTCCAAGGTAGACTGGCAAGCGTGCGAGGAAGGTATACGCTGCGCCAATCTCTCCGTACCACTTGACTGGAGCAAGCCCCGAGGCAAACAAATCAGCATCGCAATGGCCATGATTCCAGCTGCGAACCAGGAGAAGCGAATCGGCTATTTGATGGTTAATCCAGGCGGACCAGGAGCGTCCTCACTCAACCTGATAAGCGCTGGGAAGGATTTCCTCATGTCGACCCCTTTACATCAATACTTCGACATCCTGGGCCCTGGACCTCGAGGCACAGCAGGAAGCACACCTGTGAACTGCGACCCGGAACCCTGGAACAGACGCTACCCCGAAAGACCCCAAACCGAAGCCGAATTCCAAGAAATGCTACAAGTCTTCCACGACCGCGGCGAGAGCTGCGTCAACCAGAAAGATAATGACATCCTCTACTTCGTGGATACGATCAGCGTCGCGAAAGATCTCGAAGCCGTGCGCATCGCACTGGGCGACGAGAAAATGAACTATATCGGCTTTTCATACGGAACTCAGCTTGGCGCTCAATATGCGGAACTCTTCCCGGATAATATTCGCGCTCTCGTGCTGGATGGAATCATGGATCACTCCCGATCCGGCCCCGATCTATGGGGTCCCGAATCAAACGGCTACGAAGTAACAGTCAACCAATTCTTCGACTGGTGCGCCAAGAACAACACATGCGCCCTACACAAAGTGAAAGACCTCCCGACCAAATTCGACGCCTTTATCGACCGGGCCAATAAATCCCCCATCCCGGCCCCGAGCTGCTTGAACAAGACCTCGGAAGTATACCCTTGCTTCGAAGATGCCACTGGAAACGAGATCCTGCGCGCCTTCCAGACCCCGATCTGCTTCCCGTACCCGGAAACCGGATCTGTGGGCGGATGGGTCGGACTGTCCGAATTGCTTCAGGTGGCGATGTACAACAACGACTCGAGCGCATTCTCTACGACAAAGTACGCCTCCACCACCGGCTACGATATGTCCTACGCTGCTATTTTCTGCCAAGACGCGCCCCGGTCGAACTGGAGCGCTATCGACTTCAAGATCAAGGCGGATGTCGGCGCCGTGGCGACGCCGCATACGCGTGGAATTGGCGAGGTTTGGTATCTGGATGCTCTTTGTATGAATTGGCCTACGCCGGTGCGGAACCCGCCTCGGTCGTTGGCGCCTGCGTTCGCGAGCCGGAATATGAGCACGCCTATTCTTTTGGTGAATGCGCTTTATGATCCTGAGACGCCGATTCAATTTGCTTTGAATGTGCATCGGCAGCTTGGGGAGCAGAATGCTCATCTTATTATTCGAGATGGAAGTGGTCATACCAGCTATAACCATGTGGGTGAGACTCATCGGGCTATTAACAAGTACCTGGTTGATCTTGAGGTTCCAAAGACCGGGGCTATGTACAAGGATTAAAAGAGTTAATACGGGACTGTAATATTGGATACTGGAGGGGTAATTATGAAGTGGGTTGTGTTTGAAAGAGTGAAGGAGGTGCATTGTATACACAAATTCGAAAAGGAAGAAGAATAAAGTAACTTATTAACCAAGTTTCAGCCCTGCCTGGCGGTCGTTCATAACAATAAAATCAATAAAGCCAAGAAGCAAGAATTTAAGAAGCAGTTCCTCTCAAGTAGTTCCGCTCAGTTTATAACAATCAACCCCGGTCCGGCCAAGGTCCACTTGGCAACCTCATTGGCATCCGTGAAAGGACCTTCTTTCTTGGTCACAGCCGCAATAGTAAGACCGTTCAACTCATGGCCATCGTAGGGGAACAGGGCTTCTGCGGTAATGATATTCCCACTGTGAGACACGTAGGAAAGATTTTGAACAATGGGCAAATTTTGCTGGTTGATATAAGTCATCCACAACTGCCCGGTCTCATTGGAGTTGGCTTGGAAGGAGAATGTGAGATTTTGGCTCTTAGCGGTCGGAGTTGTGACAATCTCGAGCGCCTCGAAGGTCCGCAGAGGGATCTCGTTGATGTTAGGACAACTTCCGGGGTAGGTGAAGCCCTGGATCGCGGTGAAGGCAAAGTTGAGGTCGCCGGTGGTTAAAAATGGGAGTTCGCTCGGGATCTTTCCTTGCTGCATGCGGAACCACCCTTGCTGCTCGCCTTCGTTTGCCACAACTGAAGCGATCTCCCTTGCAAGATCGTAGTCATGACCCAAGGCGAATCGCTCGATGGTGTCTTGGAGAGTGCCGAGTACGATGTCGGTGAACTTGCCTGCGAGTGCGAGGGCCGAGTCAAAGTCCTTCACGGGGAAGTTGTATTGGCATGGTTCGATGGGGTTGACATGGAAGTGGGAGAGAGCGCCATTTGCGCGGATCGCATGAAGTTCTTCTTGCTGTTTGAAATCAGAAAGGTCAACAGTGAGAAATTTAGTGAGCGGGAGTTGAACATAAACATACGGCGAGAATGGCCTTCAATGATGCTAGAACAAGATTCCTGTCATCGGCGTCGGAGAAGCGATATCCCTCGACATTCTCGGTGATATTAGTGATGAGCTCGTTGAAAAAAGCAACTTCGAAGAGCTCGTTGAATGCGATCAGTTGGAGGTTTGTGATGCCCTTGTTACTGATGACGGGAGGAGGAGAGGTGTTGGGAAGTGTTCCATGAGCATGCTGTTCGATCAGAGTCAATTCGCTGGGACTTGGGTAAGGCAGTCCATCGGGGAGATTCTGATCAACGTCGGGCGTTCGTTCGCTGACGGGTGCCGCGGAGATCAGAGAAACTGCGCCCAAGAGTGCAACGGCGTGTGCAAGAAAGCGCATGGTGGGTAAATGTGTTGGTATGAAATTGGGTTGAAAGGGATATACGGCGAAGCAGTGAAGAAGCGAAGATGAAGATATGCGAAGAGTAAGAAAAATAGGAGAGTAGCCGACAAGTAGTCCAAATTAGGCAGGAGTGATGATGTTGATGTTGATGAGATGACAATGTTGGGAAGGTGCGATGGTTAAATACTGTCAGAAGGTGAATACAACTATAGAGTAGAAGTATAGAGTACTAGTCTGACTATGAGTATAGAGTATGGGTATGAGTATGCCTTGAGCTGTTGAGGTTTATTTTGGTTTCCTTCTTATTCCTATTCTAGACCATGTCAATACGAACTACTAGTAATAGATGTGGAGTGCCAGTGCGAGTGGCAGTGTAAAGATACAAATAGCTCCGGGAAAGCTTAATCCACCACATAAGCTTACTAGTACATCCCATGGCGCAGATACGGCCGCAGTAGATGGTCATTCCAAATCATTCAAGGCTTATGACTCTACCAGAAGACAGCTGCGATTCCAAATAAGTCCACGGTCTTCTTTCAGTCATTGTCAGTTTATTATTTCTAGCCAATACATACCGTACTAGTAGTACTACCTATTTGGGTAATCAGCTATACTTCGCACTTGGCTCCTGATTTGTCAGCCCCGCATAGGTACTTGCTTACTTCTCCGCATCTCCAGCCCTGGAGCATCACAGTCTCGCAGTATCCACACTCGGTAACTTCAGCTACGCTGCCCAATATCGTGATGGTGACCTCCGACTTCAAGCTCACCGCAGACCAAATTGGCAATTTCATGCGCCATGGATGGGTGCGCGTGCCCAGCTGCTTCTCCAGGGAAAAGGCTGCCGAGTGGACCGCAGATGTATGGACACGTCTTGGATACTCGCCCACAGATAAGTCGACTTGGAAAACTGAGATTACATGGATGCCCCAGCATAAGTCGGAACCTGTCAAAACATTTGCCCCTAGAGCCTGGGCCGCTATCTGCGAGCTTCTCGGGGTGAGAACCGAATCGCAGAACACTCTGCTACCTGGAACGATGCGTTCATCGTCAATCTTGGAACCGGGGAGATGCTTGGTAAATGGCCCAAGCCTACAGAACTCAACGGCTGGCATGTGGATGGGGATTTCTTCACCCACTTCTTGGACTCGCCTGAACAGGGTCTGCTGGTCATTCCCCTTTTCACTGATATCCAGGAGCATGCCGGTGGAACCATGGTTTGTCCGGATGCTATAAAAGTGATTGCACAATATCTGGTTAGTATTTCCCTTCTTAGATCCCACTCTCGGCTTGCGGTTATCAAACTCACTTGAATAACAGTATGACCACCCCGAAGGCGTGTCGCCATATATGGTTCCTCGTGGTTCCAAACAGACCAAGAAGGACTTTGAAGATTTCTACGACGACATAATCCAGAAATGTCACGAATTTCACGAAATGACCGGGGAGGTTGGCGATGTGATTCTTCTCCATCCCCTGATGGTACACTCGGTGTCCGTCAACAGTTTGAGACATGCTCGCATCATCACCAATCCACCCGTCTCTCTAAAAGAGCCTTTCAACTTTGATCGCCCGGATCCAACCAAGTACAGCATCGTCGAAAGGAAAACAATCGAGTCAATCGGAGAGGACCGGCTTCATGGCTGGAAGACCAAGGGCGACCGAGGATCCGTCACACCTGGCCGACTGAAAGCCCAAGCGGAGCTAAAAGAACAGGAACTACGGAGACTTAAATCGCCCCCTGCACCCCAGAAATCTGGTTGAGAATCTCGAAAAGGCGATCAATGTCGTGTTGGTTGAGATATTCACGAGGGACTGGGGGTTTTCTGTGTCGGGTCTACTCGTTCAAGTTTGCGTTCTTATCACAGCGAGTGGGCTTCTAGTACTTGAAATGACTGACGAAGGACTTGCTTTCTTACATATCCATATGCCTAGCACTCACGAGGGTATCTTGATTTTTAACGAAACGAACTTGAAACAATGCAGCGATATTATTCAAGTTTCACTCCCCCAAAATTATACAGTACGATAACTAGATTGTAAGTATCCAACCCGGAAATAATCCTGCTCTATCGCTTAACTGGCTTCCTAATACCTAGAAAGTAGACTCCTGATCTAATATACGATGCCCACTAAGAGAATTTGGGAAATCAAGCCGTTCCTTCGAGTTTCGGGGCGAGATAGACCTTCACTCGATGGCAAGTTAAACTGAACTACGATCATTATTCAGGAACTGAGGTTCCAAGAATTTATGGAGCTCTAACTGCAAACAAAGTGTCTATCCGAGAAGTCCTATGAACAACAGGTGCAACGTTCCCATATGCCCCCCCTCAGAAGGCCAGACCGAAAAAGAAGAAACAGAAAAATCGCCTTGCAAACAAATTATCCACCTCCAAGTATGCTGCTTCATGCGTAAACATGCATCTGTCATTCGCTTTTCTCGAAATTGTCGGAGGTCACATGTCAATTAATCAATCCACGAGGTCGGCGCAGGATTCGATAGCATCTTTGTCTAGATGAGAAATTGACTCGGACAATTTCCAAGGTTGGCACTGTTTTCATTCCAAGTAATTCCAAAAACCTATAGCCGATTTCTTGTTTTGATTCTTATACTCGCAGGGCACTGACGAAACATGCCGTTATGAAGGCTAGGCATGTGAATGTAAAGGACAGGCAATGATAAAATATTTTGGCTAAGTGATAATGAAGTAAAAACAGATGAAGTATTTTTCAAAGAAAAGAAAATCTCGGCCACGAATATGAAGTGACAGTATTAGGCTATGCTCAGTAGCAAACAAAAAAAAGTAATAGGCCCAGAGAGAGCGGAAAGGAGGAGGAAGCAGGGACCAGTAGGCCTATAGAGTGCCGGAGCGGATGCCATCCGACCAAGGCAAGAAGTCAATAGTCCATCATCTTGGGTGGTAAAATTGATCCACTTGGTGCAAGGGTACCTTTTTGAACTTAAGCTGCCCCGGTATCTCCTTTAAACGAGACTGCATCATAGGGCGGAAGGCAGGATGTCGGTTTTGTATCTTTGACTTGGCGAGGGTAATCTCAGACTGCAGTTCAATGGAGTCCCAGCAGGGGTAGTCCACTTTGGAAGCGGCTCGATTCACATCCAAAATGAGGTCGTTGTAGATCTCCTTGATTCTTTCAATGTGATCCCATACTTCTTTGATAACTGGATCGTAGGCAATGTCGGCCTCCCACTCGCGAGGTGGATTTTCGTGTGGCATCTTTGGAAGTTGCAGCCTCCAGCCAGTGAGTATTGTATGGAGGGAAAGAATATCTGCCCAGGCAATGATTGATTGGAAATCTTGAGTATCATTTGGAAAATGGGTGATGGAACTAAGTACAGATGAAGCTTGGAATTAGGAACATTCAAGTTGGAAAGACAGTGCTCTCCGGCACATGGAAGGACCCCACGTCGATGCAGACGCCATTTCCAACCTTGGAAGGCTGAGCAAACATGTCAAACTGCCGAAACTTTTCAACTTGCGGGTAGAGAGCGAATGCAATAGACCCATATATTTTGGCAGCCCTCGATATGGTATCCTATTTCGTGTGGATTTCATGTCGTCAATAGATATAAGAAACCGACTCGTGCAAATTTGGAATTTTCATCCCAGTTAATCAACAAAAGCAAAAAATAAATTACATAGGAGGCCCCAACGGGGAGCAATCTGGTTTTCAACGTGATATGAGGAGCTCAGATGCTCCCATATATAAGGATAGTGTCTGGCAACTCTTGGCCCTCCCCATCCGTTCTAGTGCTCACCCCCTCGCCGCTTTTGCTCCCTGAGTAGGATTGAGCGCGCCCTCGAGCGACCTAAGCTGATCAGTGATCATTACGTAAGCAAATGCATTAATGGGCCGTCCAACTCTTGGAACAGAAGATGTTTCATATCTTTGTCAAACTCCATAAGCTTCAGCATGTGGAAAAACTCGCACCACTCCTTCGTCCAATTCTTCACAGGGCTACGAATTTTCGCTCTTTGTCTCTTCCGATTCATATGGCTACTGCAAATCTCCTTGATAATCATACTTTTGGCTACATCGGAGAGGACTTGGAGATTAAAGCTGCATCTAATCGGCTTTTCGGCCTTGATGAGATAACACTCGTCCGCTCTCCCGTTCAGTGTGATCAGCTGTACACCTACCACCGAACGATCTAAGACTCCAACGCATGGATATTGGTTCATGTGCATTAGACTATCGGTCTACCATTAAACTTCTACGACGACTCCGAGGTCTTGAGATGGTTGAGCAGGTTATGAACCCGGGAGCCCACCAAAGTTTGAGAGAATACTGGGCTGTGTACAAATTTCGCGGGAATTATAGGTAGCGCCGGAGGCGTAGATGATTGTAGGCATATATTGAAGATCAATCTAATACTCAAAGGCTAAGAAGCTCAGCTATAGATGTCAATTCTTTCTACGCGACGGGGATACTAGATTTGAGTAAAACGGGGAACAAGTAACAGATCAATCAATAACTCGGAGCAAATAATTAACATGGGCAATTAAGCAGTAAAAAATCAAATTTCAGACAGAACATTAGAGATATCGCAACGGGCTTCCGGCTCAGTCAAGATTCTCATCTGACACACCGCCATCTCTCAGTCGTGACTTTTGTAATGAAGTCCACTGACATCAAAGATAAGTGGCGCATAATCCCAAATCACGGGAAAAGCTCACTCCTTAGGCGGGGCGCCAAGCTTCCGAAGAAGCTTCAGGGATGGGGTGAAAAAGTAATCACCGCCTTGAGCCTCGATCCAGGGATCGAAAGTGATTCTCTTGTGCTCCTTGTCATGATCATCGTAGACCATGATGTGCAGGAACTTGTCATCCTCCTCGATGGGGTTTTTGAGCGACTGTCCAATAAGGGCATCCTGCCCAGGTGGATACTTGCCACCAGTGAACTTCTTCTTGCCGGCCGGAAAAGTGTCAGGGTTGATCCAGCCTAAGGGGAGGGAGTCAGTGGCGTCATCAATGGTCCCAAAGTGAGGCACAACTTACGGTTCTTGATGAACTGGAATCCATTAGAAAGACTGGTTTGGTAGCATACAAACAAAAGACCGCGGTCTTTTTGGGACTTGGGACCTTTCTTCTCATCCGCATCCATTTCCACTCCGTAGGGGATACCGCGGCGCATAATGTCGAACTTATCATCGTTTCCAATGACGGATCGGGGCTTGGTCTTGCGCATATGGGAGGCGAATGGGCAGTTGAACTGGTCTTGTGTGGGATATTCAATTTTGTTCCATGTTGCGAGCTCCTTTTTCTTCGCTGGGTCAGTTTCCTTCGCGACGGGATCCTCCCAGGGATGGAGCTGAACAGGGGCTCCTAAAACATTAATTAGCGCCTATTCTGGGCAATGCTGTGGCGATTCGTAGCCTACCGCTCTTCCAGCGTCCAACGATTCGAGCGCCAAGTTGGTCCGGGGTGAGGTGCAGCTTTGGAGCCTCTGCTTCCAGGAACCTGCAGCGGCGGAAATTAGATCATGGCTTCTAATTTTCAATAGGATAGATACCTGTCGAATTCCGGCACGAGTTGTTTAATCTTGCGGAAAACCATGATACTGCCGTCCTTGGCCCACGGTGGATGCATTAGTCGAGGTTCATTGTCCATCTCTCCATCGTGTCCGAATAGGATAATTCTGGCATACGTTAGTCGTCTGGAAGCGAGATTTAGTATGATAATTTACCCAGGACGAGTTCGTTGCGGGATAGCTCCTGGCTTCTTTGCAGCCTCGTCATCCAGGCCCTTGAGGAGTGGCTGCGAAATGCCGTCCAAGTATCCGAAGCTGCAGCAGGTCAGTCAAATCTTTCCTAATGCCAGTATTCAATCACTTACTGCTCATGTCCTTTTTCGGCGCCGGGTCTGTCGTTACCCTCGATTGTCGTGACAATGCTCTTCTGACCCAGGTAACTTTCGACCAGATGTCTCGCTTTTTCCTCAACTTCGCGTTTGGTGCCGGCTATATGAATTACTCCATCAACTGAGTTACCTTTGAATGCAGAAAGCCATTGTTCCTCACGATCTCTGCCTTCGCCATGGAGATCAGCGTACATGCCCTTGAGAAACGGGTCATCTTTGAAGAGCAGGTCTTTGTCCAACTAATGCATAGGAAGTTAAGATATGGCTGGAATCAGGAAGGAAAAGAAGTCGTAATTTACCCTAGCCATGCCCCTGTTGGTGAAGGCAATGTTTGATCTGGCCAGGCCAACATCACTCGATCCTTGAGCCTTCTGGATGTGATGATGCTCCGGTAGAAGATCGTGGATGGTTTTGATCGTTGTCTCGGTCAAGGAGAGAAAGCTCCCAACTATACCCGGCTTGCTTGGTTCTCCCTTCTGAGCCTGAGCGACCTTGTTGATGGCTACACGATCCGCCAGGGCGTCGTTGGCAGTAGCAATCTCTTTATCATCCACCAGCTTTTTCAGCATGGGTTTGAAAGTAGTTGCGTCATCAATGGTGAAGAAAATGAATTTCTGGTATCTTTTCAAGAAGCCAGGCCTAAATAAGAGTTAACACAAATATCCCAGGCACTTTGCAGGTTCTAAAGCTAACCAGACGTCACCCTGGATGTTGTCCAGATCGAAGCTATCAGCCGTGGACCCCATTTTTTGCTAGTGATGATTTCTTGAATATGAATTCTGGCTCAGATCCAAAGTGGCTAGAATAAACAAAGCGGACAGGCACTTTATAGCCTCATTTCCTTTGAAAGAAACCCGCAAGCAGCGTCCATATATACAGCCAGCCAAGGAACGCTCAACTATGGTATATTGCCAAGTAATGGAGTTGAAACTGATTGATGTAACAATGCCAGGTGGAGGCGCCTATACAGAGATTTAGTCAATTTCGATTGCTTCTGTTTGCGGAATAAATGAGCAGTAGGTGCATTTATAAGTTGCAGATGGTTTCTGATATACCTCACCTAACGACCAATTTGAGAAAAAGAAACGCTATAATCTAAACTGTTAAGGAGACTACGTTACCAAGTCGTAAATTCAAATATGAGGGTTCACATAAGAAGACTGATGACAGTCTAGTCCTTGTGCAATAGAGATGGGGTAGAGTCCGACCGCTTTGAGCGTCGGGTTGCGGAAAGCAAATCCCAGGTCATGAGCCTCATTGCATCATTGATTCTCTTGAGTGCTCCGTCAGAAGCTGTACTGCTTTGAAGGCGGCCGATATTTTCTATGGAGCAAATAAGGCATTTGAGCAGATCATGAAAACTACTGGTGTTAGTATCTCACGGGTCAATAACATTAGCCAGGCTTGAGAGATACGTTAAGGTATCCCTTGCGACTAGCGTAACAAATGCGGACATATGAACCAAACATAACCACTAACCGCTTGCAAGAATGACTCGGACCGAGTATTTGCCTGGATCACCACTCAATCCATTGGAATTTACATTAATTTTTCAAACGTGTACGTACATGACTGACTTGTCCGGTACATCCAGGGTTAGGTAGACCCTTGGCCACGTAGCATTCTTCTGGGCTCATCTCTTCAATCTGATGTAGCACTGTGGCTGTAAATTTTGCCGACAAAAAGGCTCATATTTTATTTGACAGGCAGTCTGGCCGGACAAGAAGGTTGACGAACTCCGTGGTAGAAAAGGACGTCATATTGGGAGAAAGTAGGTAGGCAAAAACAACGATGCGAGCGGTAGTGCAAGTCTTTTCTTCAGAAAGGATTGTATTACGTTGCTAGATTACCCAAAGGCCGATGGAATCCGGTGGCATTCAGCTACCTCCCTCCACCTCCGCATTAGGGCTTGCCTTTCCTCATAGTCCGCATAGGCCAGCAACGCGAGCGACATGTAGACTGTCTACGATGGTACGGTAACAGTCCATACCGAGGGGTGTTTGAACGACTGATTGCCCAGTTTGGCTTTTGGGTTTCCGTAGAACGTGGAAGGCGGACCTAACCCTAACTTAATGTAGGCCCCACATTCCATGGCTTCCACTTCCGGGCGTAGCGCCTTCGCGTCGGGCCGCGGACCTTAACTGATGGCAGTGGAGCGCATTCCTTGATTTAGCCAATACACCACTGGATATTGTCAATCCCTGTCCACTGCCAGTACAGTTTTTCTCTTAGGTTATTTCTCCCCTGAGGATATGCTTTGCCTAATTTAGGCCGCATTTCGAGCTCGACACACTCAAGCTCGAAAATTTCATGGACATGAAGCGATCAGCAACCAATGCGTGGGTGTGTAGAGGCTCTTTCTGGGCATGCCTAGGGCAAGCATTCTTTCTCGTTGTGACCTCCATCTGTCCAAACGGTTAGTGATAAGCATGGAAATATCCTTCAGGTACATTCTGGGCCCTGATCGTCTGCCACCCATGTCTGCATTCCTCTTTCTGCAGGAGACATTGGTAACTGCCCTTGCATAATTCGTTATGCTCCAGGCATGCCCCGGCAATGCTTGGTGTTGCCATCGGATCTTTGTAGAGCTTCATGCTCCAGGCCAAAGAGTGGCTTAAAACCACGAGTTTCTCTGCTGCGAAGATGCGACCATCATTTTCAAACGCCAGCTTGAGGGCATTTCTGTTTGTCACGTACGACACTGCATCTCAAAATGAAGCTTAATTGGCGGGTGGCGCTACTTTTCTTGGGCACCGCGAGGGCTGGCCGGGACATGTCCGAGCTTGAGGCGCTTTATCAAGAGGGAACAACCGCGGATACGACTGACGTTGATGGAACCAAAGTCGCAACACTCTCACAACCGCTGCCACAAGGCAATACCATTCCCCGCAATACCTGGCAAGCCGACTGTACCTCCGAGGCGGGTGGCCACACCTGCACTCAATCCTTCGATGGCAACAACAGCACCTATTGGCAAAGCCTCAACACGACCACTGCTCAAAACATCACCATCAACTTGGGCAAAGCAGACTGGAACATCAGTGGTTTGACTGTGGTCCCCAGGCAAGATCAGCAGGCGGCACTCATCGAGGAGCACCAAATCTTTGTGAGTACCAATAAGGAGGACTGGACCCTGGTCGCATACGGAACCTGGTGGCCGGATCAAAGCCAGAAGCTCTCAGCTTTCCAACCACAAAAGGCCCAATACCTTCGCCTCTCTGCCTCTGCTCCGAATGGCATTGCTATTCAGGATATCAAGATCTACAACTCCGTCTACATCCAACCGAACCCCGCCCTCGGCGCATGGGGCCCTACAATTGACCTTCCCTTGGTTCCAGTCAGCGGTGCTGTCGACTTCCAGACTGGGGAGGTTGTCGGCTGGTCCTCTTGGGGCTACAACATCTTCGTCGAAGGCAAATCAGGCAAGACCCAAACCACAACCTGGAACGGCGGAAAGCAGTCCGTGACGCGCCGCACAATTGACGAAACTGAGCATGACATGTTCTGCCCGGGTATCTCGATTGACCAAGATGGAAAGGTTATCGTTACTGGTGGGGTTGATGCGGGACAGACCAGCATTTACAATACCAGCAATCACGAATGGTACGAGGGGAGATGATGAATACCTTCCGCGGCTACCAAGCGACTACCACCTTGTCCGATGGACGCATTTTCGTGATCGGGGGATCATGGAATGGAGGTGTTGGCCTCAAGAACGGCGAGGTCTACAATCCTCAGGCCAACTCCTGGAAAGAGATCAATGGTGCGCAGGCATCAAAGATGCTCACCGACGACCAACGGACATACCGACAGGACAACCACGCTTGGCTGTTTGGTTGGACTGGTGGATCTGTTTTCCAGGCCGGTCCCAGTAAGATGATGAACTGGTTTGGCACGTCAGGCTCTGGCACTACTGCCCCTGCCGGCAATCGGACTGGTGACAAGGATGCCATGTGTGGAAATGCTGTCATGTACGACCAGGGCAAGATCCTTGGATTTGGTGGCTCTCCAGATTACGAGAACAGCGCGGCCACCGAGTATGCCGCCATCATTGAAATTGGCAAAGTCAATGAAACTGCCAAAGTCACTCAAAATGCCGGTGGTGGTATGCAGTACAAGCGAACCTTCCACTCGTCCGTTGTCCTTCCGGATGGCACGGTGTTCGTTCACGGTGGCCAGGCGGTCGGCCTTCCATTCAATGAAGATCAAGCCCAGATGACCCCAGAGCTGTTTACGCCCGATCCTTCCAACTCCAGTGGAGGCAAATGGACACCCCTTCTGACGAATACCATCGTTCGTGTTTACCACAGCATCTCCCTGTTACTGCAAGATGGTACCGTCTTCACTGGCGGTGGCGGTCTCTGTGGAGATTGTGAAGCCAATCACTTTGATGGTCAAATATACACACCAGCCTACCTCTTAAAGGAAGATGGATCCCCTCGCACTCGTCCCACGATCAACACCATATCATCGGGTCCTGTTAAGGCCGGGGATTCTGTTGAGCTCACTACTGATAGCGATATCAAGTCTGCGTCGATTATCCGATATGGTTCCACCACACACACAGTGAACACCGATCAACGTCGCATCGCCGTCGATCTGAAAAGGGCCGATGGTAATGGCAACAAGTACACCTTCCAAATCCCCGGTGAGGCTGGTGTCGCTCTACCTGGGTACTATATGCTCTTCGTCCTGAGTGGTGATGGAACTCCCAGCCACTCAAAGAACGTTCATGTAGTTGCTTAAAAGAAGGATGGCTTTTGGCTTAGCCTTGGTGTGAATTAAATGGGGGTTATCGTTATTATGGCCTGGGGGAACCACATTATTGTGAGCGCAAACATCAAGCCCGATACGTCGGACTTTGGTGGTTCGCTGGATTTCGGCCAGCAAAAATTCCAGAACAAGTGAACAAGCCAAGGTCTTTGTCTATTGCCTATACAGATTATTTGAGAAGGACAAGCATGCGTTCAACGCCATCTTTCATCATGTGTTTCAAGACAAGATCAAACAGCATGCGGACTTCACTCTAGCATCACCACACATATAGGAGTCTGTTAATCATATTGAACCCTGGCCAATGCTGAAAATTTGACATGTGCTAGAAGGTCAATCTATATTTTACGTCATTAGTACCCAAACATGTACCCTGTAAGAGATCTTGCTCTGTGACTTCCAAGATATTAAAAGCCGATAGCCCGGACAACGACGTTATGTATGATTTTAGCACCATTAAAGAGTTGGCCTCTTATTGCAGATTTAGTAGTATACGCAGTCGTGTCAGACGTACATGGCAGCTTCAAAGTACAAATGAACTGGCACCCTGATGCTAATTACTGTCGAGTCCTCTCAGGATTAAACATATTAATCAGTTTTTCACGATGGAATTACTCTTGCTTTCAGCCACCCTTAGTTAGATAAGCCTTCCCAGGGACGCCATATGAAAGCTAGGAATGCTAGCCGGCAGTCTGTCTAGCAGACGGGTCGATCACGAAGAGACAACACCACCACACTCGCAGAGTACAGGAAGGAGAAAGGCAAAGAATGACGCTATAGAGGATCGACAGAGCGAATACCAGAACCTTTCATGAACAGTATATCAATACCGCAGCCTCAGCAGCCTCAGTAGAACATATTTTATAAGGGGGAACATAGTCGTTTTTTTGATATTATGGAACGAGCGCTACTTAATCTCATGAAACAAAACAGTAGCCTTGTTGCTAAGGCCTCGGTCACATGACTCCAGGATACCGATGTTGAGAGCGGAAATCCCCATTAGTATATCTAATAATCATTGAGGTAATCAGGTTATGAGGGCGGTATCTTTATTCATTTACTGCTAATAGTCTTGGTGGTTTATAGGTAGCTTAAGTAACAAGCGAGAGCAATCCCTTCGTTGGGAAAGCCAACAGTGGCGTAACCTAGACCAACGATATTAGTCACCGTAACTTGGTTTGGTCTTATCCTGATCAAACTATGACCATCGACCCATACAACCTGTAATTCCTCTATCAGGGACGAAACCACTTGGGTGGAAATTACAATACCCTACCCTGAAGGCCGGCTGTGCTTACCTTGAAGAACTATATGAGATTTGGTACTGAGAGGGGAGAACGAAGCTGTGTAGACAAGATTGTGACAGTTGTGAGACAATAAATATGTGAAATCTAAATTTCATAGAGAGGGGTTCATTCCTGAGGAGATGTGCGGCGGCGGATAACTATGTGCCTAGGTCCAATTTTATTGCTATTTTCTGGCTAGCTTTAATGTAAACCTTACAGGTCAATGCAACCTTGGAACACATATTCCATTATTTCAAAGATACCGCTGTAGGTTTGGTGTCAACATATTTTTTTTATATATATTCCTTTAACATGAGAACTTTTACTGGAGCTCTACCAGTAGCAAAAGAGTATAAACCACTACTGGTAGGTTATATTTATAAATTATCAACAGTACCTACACTATCAAATACTATTTCCTATTCAAGCTACTATAAAAAAACTACCAAATCGTATCCGGAGCAAGAAAATTCTCAACGCCAAGGGGTACAGCGTCGTGTCCTCCATCATAGGCAATAAACGAAACTAGCTTAGAACATCTTTCAAAGTCTGTTCGAACGAAACCATTACTCCCAGGACCAGATCTACCGATGTCTTTTAACTGGCACCCATTATTACCAATAAACTTATTCGCGAGACTCACACCCCCGTCAAATAGTAGCACTAGGTTACTGATCCCATAGATACCCATATAGGAATAGGATCATTCCCTCTATCACACCCACTGATCACCCCACCGCTTAGCACACTCACTGTCTTAAACTCCTTCGCCCGTAAACAGGCAAGCGTATAATTTATTTCCCTACCCCAACTGAATCCTATTACGATGAGAGAGCTAGAGTCCACACAGAGGTCATCCTCAACTTACTTGATAATAGTATCTATAAGGAATATATTTTCGCTGTTGGTGCTGGCCCAGCCAGCATTCCTGCTATTAGGGGCTACCAGAACTGCACTGCCTTACGCTTGGCTTTCGAGACCGTACCAAGGTTGAACACTCTCACCACTGACCACAGAGGCCGAAATAAGGTGATGTGGTTTGTTTGGGTCGTAGCTATTAGGGATCTTAAGGATATACTCACAGTCATTGATATTGTGGACTCCATTGGTGAGGGTCAGTTATTTACCGCAGCCCAAGGATATAGTAGCGTTAACTAAGGCTAGAAAGCTCAGGACTAGAAGAGACGGAAGGAAGATTATTAAAGATCATTGTTAATCGATAAAGAGATGAGATAATAGATAATAAAACTCTTGTTAAGTAATATTTTGGATTTTATCTTAATTGTTGAGGTTCCAAGGTTATTCGTGAGTTGGAAGATAAGAGAGTAATTTCGAAATTTACAAGTATTAGTATATACTTTTACTTATATCCTCAGCTCTAAATATTAGATGACTCAGATTAAGGTAATAATTTGTTCACTGAAACTTCCTTCCTTATCCATGATAGTGCTCTATATAATACACTTTTGGTAGGTGGCCCCTATTTCTCCAAGTATCATATAAGGCTATTCTTTTACTTGATGTAACTACAGCTCTGCCTAGACCCTAGCTAGATAAACACTATAAAGCAACTTATAATATATTTTACATAATAGTACCTTACCAGGGAGGAAAGAGCTGCCAAGGTATAGGGTTATTGACCCTGTTTCTTTAGTCCCCGCAATTTACTAAAAAGTTATATAACTAGTTTTACTCGTGGATCATATTCCCATCCCCCTTGGGGTGTATACTAAGGACCGGCACAGGCTTTGCTATAAACCTGGTCAAATTTTGGATAAATAGCTATAGGTCGCTTCAAAACACCCCATAATGTTGCTATGAGCGTTACAAGCGTACAGTACTCTCAAGCAAGCTATCATGTCAGCTCTCAGGGGGTAAATTACTGCGAAGTCCAAACAGCAATAGGAAATTTACGAGTCCTCAAATTTCTATAATAAAAACTTTATATGATTTTCGGACTTTTATCAGAAGAAGTAATATGGTAACACGTAGAAAACAACCCCTGAATCATTTCCACCGATCATATTTTGCACACTAATACTTTCAATTGAACATGTCCATCAAATTGCCATCCTTGAGACCAGCCCGTACATATATCCCGCTTTCTGGCGTAGTACTTCATTTGACTCAATCTGTAACAGACCCTCGATTCTTGATCTACCAATCATAAAGCTTCCAGTCATAGAACAAGGGATTTAGTATTGACATGCCAAGGCTCTATCGGCAAGTAGGGTCATTCTTTTCGCCGGGATGTTTTTCTCAGTAATAGAGAACCCATGTCCTTGGCATCGATCATACCCCTATGTATTTATAGGAAATGGTGCGAATTGATCCAGGAAAGGGACGAGACTAAATTAAGATGGGCATCAAATGATCCCTGAACAGCCCTGATTGGTCACTGAGCGATCAGGGTGCCTTAATCATGACTCACATGACTCGCGTGATTCCATCACTGAGCCTAACCCTGAGCGCCCTCATAAAAGCGGCGGCAGCCGAGAAAGGAAAGCCCCACCTGGCAGACGAAATCCGGTGTATACATTTGCATATGTATGTACAGTGTTCAAATGGAGGGTACATAATTAAAAATAAACCAAAGACAAGAAAATGATGAAGCAAATAGTGACCGCCTCCAAACACAACGCACGGGGAAAACCCCGAGAGCCACTATTATATCCTATATTCATGGAATTGTTTCCAAAACCCACAGTTCTCTGCCAAGTAGGTACCGTGCTCGTGTTGACCAGGATATCAGAGTGATAGGGATCGATGACACCAGAGAAAGAAACCTTGATGGTCCCCTGTACTTCGTTTGGGCCTAGCGATTTCGAGGAATCGGCTCTGTTGATATAATACGGAAAGGCAGTGGCATATCCATTCAAAGTGAAGTTTGCTGTTTCGCTGCCAAACTGGAGTTCAATGGCGGGATATGTCCAGTTCCAACCAGCATCGTTCGAGTAGTCACGATCAACAAGGGTTATGCTATTTTGACTGCTTTCACTGGAGGTGTCGCATGATTTGAGATCCATATCGAAACTACGCAGAATTAAATCTGCATCCTTGATGATGCCTGTCAGGTTGTATGGAGCCTTCTTGTCACCAGGCGATAAAGTCAAGTTGAAGACATCTTTGACGAAATAATCGGTGGCTCCGTCGCTTTCTGTCGAGCTGTTGCTCGCAAAATCTACCCAGCTGTGACAGGGAATTAGGAAGGAACTTTTCGCGGATTCATTGTGAACTTGATTGTGACTTACGGCGAAGACTCGATATACCATTGAAGGGAAGGTGAGTCCCATGGGAACGAGGCACCGGAGAGCGATGAAAGATTTGCACCGGTATCAAACAGCGTCAAGAGAGCATTCATTGGGTTTGACCCTAGATTGTATGGCCCCCTTTCTGTTATAGCGAGAAATGATTCGTACTCCGTGCTGAATGTTTGGCCTCGGAGCGGTTTGCACACGGATTGGTTTGGAGATGGTCCGATCTCGGGGGTGAACTCGATTTTTGTTGTGGCATTGTAATACCTGATGTAGACATTAGTGATGGCCAAATAGAGTTGACAAGGGGAAAGATGGAACATACGAGCCAACCCAAAGGTAATTATCACTTAGTCCGGTGATATTGCTCGGTCGGAATGGAACAGATGCATTGTACCTCGCGTCTGCTTTCGCAGATGCTAGTAGGGGGTGGAGAAGGCAACCAGCCAGGACGTGTAAAAACCGTCTCATCGTGCTGTGTCGGAGTCGAAAATGTGGAGGTTGACACTGGTTTGAATCAGAACGCAGAGAAAGAAACAGCTAGAAAAAAAATCCAGGTGAACGAGCACGCGCAGGCTAGCTGCCTGGGGGTAGCCATGAAAGCCGAACTAACAGGGGGCCCGGGCTACCCCAGGCGCCCAACAAGCCCCAGAAATACTAGGGCCGGATGGTGGCTGCAGGGGCGATATGACCCTGAAAAATTGAGATACGAACCATGCGACCCTGAAAGGTGGCTGGCTTGGACCCTTTGTAGTTTGTCCCGGTAATGTAACGCAGACTCGTACAGTGGCGTTCCAAAGGTTTGAAACACCCTGAGCGACCGCCTTCCCCTACCGCCCACTATATTAGTACACCGCCCCCTATTCTACTACGCGACGTGCGTTGTATATAGCATATTATACACATTCCACGCGTTATATTGAGCTATTTGGGCCTTTAGAATGCCACCAATTCGTCATACTGCTCTGCAATTGGTGCAAAACCAATATGATACACCGTCACAGCATCCAAATGTAACACAACGCTCACGCCGGTGTCAATTAGCACCACATGAACGTGTTCGACTTGTTGAATTGAAAGCTATTGGATGGTCATATACTGAGATCCATGAACGCTATCCTTATATTCCAATTGGAACAATCAAAACTACAGTTGCTCGGGCGGAAAAACGAGGCCCAACTCAGGCTGCATTACCTCGTTCTGGTACACCAAAAAAGTTGGATGAAACAGATCGATTGAGGATACTTGAAGCAATATCAGAGAACCCACGAATTAAGTATGATGCTCTACTAGCTTTAGTCAACTTCAAATGCGGTCGAGCGACTATTTGGCGACTTCTCCAAGGTGAAAATAAACGGAAATGGCTTCAACTTCAACGACCTGAGTTAACCGACCAACAGGCTCGCCAGAGACTGGCTTGGGCACATCGAGTCCAAGATTATGACTCTGAAAAATGGAAAAAGATCTTCTGGTCAGATGAAACAACTATCGAAAGAGGAAAAGGAGGACGGCGAGAGTGGACTTTTACACCACGAAACCGCCAAATTGCGGAACGAGATGTTCAACAGGTCCCATGTCACAAAAGTGTTAAGCAAATGTTTTGGGCTGCCTTTTCAGGGACCGGTCGTCGATCCGGACTTATTCCACTCTTTGGAGATCCAGATTCTCCTAATGGAGGGGTGAACCGATTTGTTATCTTGGAATTATATCAGCGTGTGCTTCCAACTTTGCTAAGCGGAGTTGAAGGTGCTGTGTTTCAACAAGACAATGCTTCAGTTCATACTGCACATATTGTTCGTGATTGGATTGCTGATCAGGACTATGAGATTATGAAATGGCCTCCATATTCGCCTGATCTAAGTCCAATTGAGAATTTATGGTCGTTACTCAAGGCAAAGATATATGAATTGCACCCTGAGATTAGGGGCATGCCAAATAACGACGATACTCTACAGTTTATTATTGGGGTAGCACAGATAGCGTGGTCTATGATTGATATAGCGATACTAGAAAATTTGGCTATTACTATGCCACACCGTGTACAGCAAGTTATTGAAAATGATGGCTGGTATACTAGTTATTAGCAATTGTCAATACATGAGGTTTTTATTTTGTGCCGGTCGCGAGGTTTTAGTGCGGCAGAAAAAGCGGCAGAAAAATAGGGGGTGTTTCAAACTTTTGGAACGCCACTGTATGTAGTTGGGGCTTCAATCACGTCCGATCCCAACTAGTTCCAAGACATTTGCGTCTTATTCGCTAAAATGCTCGGTCGGACGCGACCCCGCAGCGGATTAAGGATTGAAAGCCGAGCTGATTCTCCAAGAGTCGGCTATCCATCTCGGGCGTAGTGTGTACCATGATATCTCATGATCAGGGCCAAGCACGGGTCTTTCCGAGAGACACATGGTTTGGCCTAGCTTAGCCAGGCTTAACCGAGCTTGGCCTAACACTAGGCTAACACTAGGTCTAACGCCGAGCTACAGAAGAGGAAAGGAGGGTATTGGTGTCGCATAAATCCCCAGTTAAATTAGTCCCACCCGGCGGACAAAATCCGGTGTATATAGGTGCATATAAACGTGCCTAGTAGCAGACAGCGAAAGTAATCGGTTTGAAGAGAAGAAAAAATGGTGCCAGAGCAATCCAGCCCAGACACAAAGCAATGATGACAACTTCAGTTCGTTCAACGAAGCTGGGATTATGTGGTTTGTGAAAGAAATGGAGTGAGATGTGTCAGTATGTGTGATATGCCCAGGTGTGGTGCGTTAAATAGTGTAGGTGCGGTATATGGTATCAAGTTTTCTGAGGGAATTATTGGCAAGGATGTCTATCATTCTATTCAGAGACAATCATTTAGTCGGGCTATTTTATCAAGCAGAGCGCCGCCTCCATGAGAAGGCAGACGATATTCCACCAACTGCAGCAACGCCTGTTATAACTTCCCAGGTCCCCTGCAACGCCACTGCCGCAGCAGCCTTGATGGTTTCTCTGTTTTCATCAGACATTTTGACTTGATCCATCAAGATAATATAACCCTTGGCCGTGTTGATCAGCTCGCGGTCTAGGCCTGCCAGGTGGAGTTCGCGACCGAACAAGTTCAGGAACACCACGCCTCCAATAGGTATCGCCACTGCCATGCCCCAAGTCCGCATGTAATTTGATATAATGATTGGCATTGTAGATAGCGCAGTCCCATCTTCCTTTGGAAGGCTTTGAATCCGGATGTTGTAGCTTGAGAGAAGCAGGCCGTGACCCAAACCCATTGAGAAAAAGAGGAAGACCCAGCCAATCGTCGGCGTTGCACCATCCATCAGGATTGAGCATCCGGAGGCAAGGATTGTGAGAACCCAACCCCCGGAAATTATCCACTTGGCGCATTTGGATTCCCTCGCCAGAACAACCCCAACAACCGCGGCGGGTGCGATAGAGAGACCAGTGATAGCGAGCAGGGTTATACCGGAAAGAGATGTTGATAGGTACTTTGTTGAGATGAAGAACATCGTGAAGAACTGAAGCTGGCAGAATATCTGTGAAAAGATTAGATCAGTTATAGACTTGATATATGAAATGAAGTTACTTACCACGAAGCCGTGGCAGAAACATCCCACATAGGTCATAGCAACCCCTAGGCTTCCAAATACCCGAGATCCAAATTGTGGGTGCAGGGCCCAAGTTGACTCGTAGAATAGCAGAGCGATAAGAACCACTGCCGCAACAGCGATGGGCACCAAAGTCTGCCATTCGTTCCAACGGTAAGAGATACCTCCCCAGCTGAGGCCCACAAGAATACCTCCCAATCCCATGAAGGCCATTGTAGCCCCAGACCAATCCAAAATACGCAATTTTCGAAGCGGGATATTCTTCGAGACTCGCAAGTCAACGGCAAAGGGTATCACAAGCATTCCGAGCGCGCAGAATATAAAGTTGAAGTAAAAAGCCCATGTCCATTGTGCATAATCGATGAAGATGCCTCCGACGACTGGGCCGACCATGGTACCGATGATTCGAGTGAGGAGGATGTAACAGGAATATCGTGACTGAATGTGTTCGGGAGTTGACTCAGTCATAACCACGAAGCAGAGGCTCATCGCCCCGCCCCCACCAATTCCTTGTATCAGACGGCCGACGACTAATTCCACTAGACTCATCGATCCACTGCAAATCCCGGTACCGATAGTTGTTAGTACGACGGCGATAGTCCACACTGCGCCATGGCTGAAAACACTGCACATCATTGTGAAGTATAGTTGACTGGCAGCATTGAGGACCAGATAAGCCGTGTTGATCCAGAGGACGCTGACGAGCGGTTCATCGAATGTGTTTGCTAAGTCCTTCACACAGAATCAGCATTGCCCATAGAAAAAATCCATCAGTGATTTGTGGTGACCAATAAACATACCGGTAGCATTGGGATCAACACAGTGGCATCAAACGCATCCATCATCGCTAGTATGACGATGCAGATAAAAACAAGCCAGTCTCGGACACCAGGCTGCCACTGTTGCGCGTCTATGGGCTCTTCATTTTCAAAAAGTTGAAGGGTGCTTTCTTGAGCGGGATGCTTCACGTCATCGACGCTTTGAACACTTGCGTTGGGATCGAGCGTGGTTTTGGATTCATGGCCGAAATATTGTTGTATTATCTCTGGGCTCCCCATTTGCAACAGTAAGTGGGAGATATAAATCGGTGTTCGATATCCGAGAGATGTGTTATCGTGGCTGGCCGTGTGTCAGTGTTCGTAGTTGGTGATTTGGAAAGTTCCGTAGGGTCATGTTTGGCTGATGAAAAGGACATTTCTGCTAAGTAGCTCCTTTTCTCGCGCGAACCTAGATTCAAAGAAGGGTGCATTGGGATACCGCGGACCTGGAAAGGAGTCCGTGCTGGCTCAAATTCCTCAGGGTCAAGGGATGACCCCAGAGGGAGAGGAAGGTCACAACAAGGGATTTTCGTGATATTGTCGGCATTGGGCGACCTGGAAAGGGGAACCGAAAATTCCCAACACACCTGAGCAATTATTCCACTCCGTCATAAATTCATTGAAAAACATGTACATTTTGGACCTGGACCATCCCGAATCAGGTCAAAGCAATTTTCTCTAAATAGCTTTTCTGTCGGATAAACATTGTTTGGGGTAATTCGAATTCGGAATTCCTTCGTTTTCTTCTGCCTGGATTACTGAAGCTATCTCTCCATACTCTGATTAAGAATGAACTGAAGTGTCAGACACCGCGTTTCGGGCAAAATACGGGGCCTATGTATGAAAGGGCGTGCTACTATTTAGCTTTGTGGGACTGTGAAGGGTTTTGGGTCATAGGAAGAAAGAAAGTAACATCCTGCTCCAAGGGGTAAATGGAATGCTATGACGTAGAGAGCACCTTGACAGTGAAATATCACATGGAATCGATTCAAGATCATTATTTAATAGTAAATAGGATAGGCGGTTATCGGCAACCCAAAAAATAGATGAGTTGCCGCTGGAAATTGCGGTGATCATTGGATTCTTCAGTCTCATCCCAGCTTTGTATAGCCAGGTTGTTATCAGAATCATAGACCTTTTGGACCTTTCAGACCTGTAATTTATTAATCTGGGATCCTTGCGGCGGACTCACTCAAAATAAAGCAATATACTCACCAACACCCCAATGGTCCGTACCCACTGAGCTAGGTAGCCTGTACCTGGCAGGTATGAGTTAATCGTTGTGGCACCACTCTCTACTAAAAGGTTGCTGGGATGCCGTAGGCAGCTACAGGATCAGGCACTAAGACATCAATGCCGCCATCCTTCCATGCGTAAATACTTTGTTTGCTCTCTCCTCTCTTTTTGCATCCACCACCCTTTTTGCCCAGTTCATCCATTCATCAGCGTTCTATGACAAGTCTTCAAATCTGCAGATCACAATGTCTTCGCCCCTATCTTACGATGTTCGTCATGATGGGCTCATTTCATCGTTCGGCAGGTTCCTGACAGAACCTGGCCGTGTGGAGCGAGTCGACGTTTCTCAACTTCGAAGCTTGTTTCTGCCAAATCTTACACCAGAAGGGGAGGAGTTATTGAGAAATGCGCCCAACTTTGTTCGATCCCAGTTGAAACACTATGGAGTGCAGTTCAAGAAACGTGCGTTGGTTGGAAATGGCACTGCATTAATGAAAGCTGCCCTCAAAGTCGGGAAATTCCCCAACACATCGCGCAGCTTCAAAAACAGATGCATACAGAATGGCTTAGCAATCAAACTCCCGAAGAACTCTCATCCAACTCCGAATGGATAATGCAGAGATATTTCTTGTCTGAGAGCCGACCAAACCGACTCAAAACGACCACTTTTGTTAGCATACCTATTGATCGATACAGTGAATACCGCCATAGGAAGGTGACTGAAGTCGTGGGTAAGATCTATGGTCAGTACTGTCGGAGTGAATTTGGGGTTATCTTCCTGGACTGGGATGGAGCTGCTGCGAGAAAACCAGCCGATCAACACCGCCGCAAGGACCAAAGGGGACGGACTCGAAAGGACAAGGAATTAGGGGAGGAGACTAGCCGAGAAGGAATACACCGGAAAAATCTTCTCAAAGTCAGCCAGGGGACAGATCATGTCTCCCCTATTGGGAGATAAATTGTCGAGAGTGAGCGTATCGACCAGGGGCCCTCGGGTGGGGGAATTGACCTTGTCCTCGATATTCAACACACCGAGACAGCTGGTCTTTTCAAAGTTGATTTTGATCTCGGAGTTGCTGAGAGCGTGATGATTCTGTGCTCGGAGAAACTTGCCTTGGACGAATACTGCGCTCGGGTCGATCGTGAAGATGAAGCCAAGTGGATCAATTCTTCCGGTGAGGAGGATGACGAGGAAGAATCTGTCGATGAGGATAGCATTGCAGCCAAAAAGAACTTCAAGCTGGGCGACAAGAGAGGGTTGCCAGCCTCTGAATCTACGACGAGAGCAAAGATTCAGAAGACAGGGGAGGATCGGGCTCTTCGATATCTTCTCAATATCATATATCGGGAGACAGGCGAGGGCGAGATTTGGAGGGACGAAAGCAACGGAACTATCAATTTTGAAAATGGGCGCCTCGTCAGCTTTGAGGGAGTGGTGGATCTCCCCATAGGCAATGTACCATTCTCTGCGTGGAAGATTTGTGGTGTGCCGTGTTCATCTGGGAACAAGTGGACTGACCATTCAGAGCGGTAGCATGAGAAAGAATGGGATGACAGATATCGCTGGGTTGTGTTCTGGGTTGTGATGAGAAACCTGGAGGAATTCAGCGCTTTTTTGAATTTCTACCTAGGTAGCTGGCAGCCCACGGGCGTAAAAGCCAATGAAAACGATTATGAGTTACATGCAATTTAAACTTCTGAAGATCTGCCAGTGCACACGTTCAAGTTGTGATCTTGATTAATGTATCCTAGAGTTCTCACCACTAGGTAGAAACGAAAGAGGAGAGAGGAGTGGCAGTACTCCACGTGCAACATGGGTCGAATGGGATAGATTCCCAGCGTCCTTCCAAGGCTGATGTCATTCATACTGGGGTCACACGAGGGCATGTGGAAGCGTTAAATCTAATAACAAAAAAACACCAGTCTAGCTCTAGCCCGTATTTCACAGGTCCACCATTCCCACACTTTCATGAGTAAATGAAAATACCTTCCTGATTAGTGCTAGCGCATATTTTGGCCAAAATTAGGTTGTCTGGAAGGATGCTTTCTGCATTCCTCAAGGCTGATTGATCGTCGGCAGCGTGCAAGGCGTTATCGAGCGAAATAGAATGACAATCATAAGCTGACTAAAATGATAAGCGAAGAAAAAGATCGGATCATCGTGCAGAGTTTCCTTTCCGGTATGAAAATGGCCCCATCGAAGTGCCCATAGCTTTGCGCTGCGGTCAACCTCCGATGGAGCAGCATGATGTCGTGTCTCGACTTCAGCAACCCCCCCCCAAAGCTTCAGAATAAGCGGGCTTTTTTCGGGCTTCTCGGGAAACCCGGGTCTCCACAAGAACACCGAGTGTCCCAAATCTTCAGCCCCTCTACTGCTAGTGGAGTGGCCTTCAAGGCCCACCTACAGTGAGTACCTTTAGCTCCGTCAGGTTCGTGCGGTGGAACAGGGACAGAACTCAGGCAGCATATGTATGTACGAGTAACTTTTGTCCGACGTAGAGATCACGAACTCGAAATCCAATTGCCAATCCCAGCATGTATTACGAACTTTGGAAGCTCGAATTATGAAAGATTTTCAGGGGCATATTGGCTGGGAAGATGGATGGGGTACTTTGTCACAATGTAAGCGTATTGCCGGGCAATAATTGCCAGTCGTCATTTGCCCAGTTGCAATATGAAACGGACCGGACCCCAAGGCCCATTAATTGACACCATCTAGAAGCTCGCGCCTGTTGACTTAAAGAGTTAAAGCTTTACACACGTGATCTAAATGCGCCGGGGTATTTAAATAATATGGGGGCCATTTAAGTCTTGGCGCTTACTATGGAGTATTGCAGGGCGGATAGAGACAAGGTTCTGCACACTTAAAATGCTAAAATGACCCAAACTGATCAAGTGTAGCCCGAGTGTACTAAATCTGTTTCGAAATAATAGCATCTTCAGAATATGCAGCAAGAAAAAAGGTCTCGCCAGAAGCCCATCAAGTCATGTCTCGAATGTAATCGCAGAAAGCAGAAGGTACGTACTATCAGCGGCTTCTGGTACTTCCTACGGCGCCCTTGTGAAACCATCCATGACACATCACGCATTGCTGACCACCTCTTAGTGTAATCGCGAAAAGCCATGTAATCACTGTCAGGGCCGCGGAGTAGAGCACCTCTGCGTATATTCCTTCACCCACGCTCGAAAAAGTCACAGCAGAGGTCGCAACGGGCAACCAAGACGACGAAAAACGAGCCCTCGAACTGGAGGCGCTGAAGATCAACAAAGTCCTACAACAAGCTCTTCGTATGAGTCCGACTCTAATGAGCCGGTTATGGATGGACTAGAAGCTTTGAGGTACGGGTCGTCAAATTGTACAAAAGAGCAGCCGAGCAATTACACAAATCGTCCATGCTCTTTGGCTTGGCTGTTAGGGAATCTGGAAATGACAGAATGACACAGGTTCACTGATAAGAAATTATACAGGAATTTCCCGCTCATGACGGCGGCAAAGAACAGCATGCCTTCCTCGCGGTCGCGATCAAGGCTGCGCAGAACATGGCCAGAAAGGCCAGTGGCCGACTTCTTGGTCTGTATGTTTCTACAAGAGATCAATCGAACCTACGAAATGATATTTCCTCCCTCGTTTCATTCCAAATACAATGAATGGTGGACGTTACAAGAGAATACGGACGGAATAATAGAAGGTAGTATATCTGACGAGGATGTGGATTTCGGGCTACTCATACTACGGGTTTGCCTGCTCAGCGTTCAGTGTCTACCACACTCGAGATATCCCACTGCTGGAATATTGGACGTTAGCCTCGATCACCTCGAAGAATGGTTCTACTCTTTGGCAAACGAAATCGAGAAAACACAATCAGCCGAGAGAAAGCCAACTATCATAACCGTTCAGCATCGATTCTATCATGTCTGCTACCTCAGAAACTATGCCAAAATTCGAAAAAGCTGGGCAGCTCTAAGTGTGACTGTCAAGGATGCTCATGAGATGGGATTACACCTCAAGGATCCAGGAATTCCCCTCAGTGATTTGAGTATGGAAATGCGTAGGCGAACCTTCTGGAACCTGTATGTTATTGATCGGTAAGTCAATGAGTTGGATTTTCCCGGAATAAGTTGGAGGTACTTAATCTAATATTTGCCAGATTCATGTGTACCTTTTTCGGCTACTGGCCGCTGATCCCCGAAGGATACTTTGACATCGATCTTCCACACGACAGTCTGCGTATTGTCACAATTAGGCCATACATTCTCACGACATTTACGGATCGCATTTTTTACATTAAGGTGGCCAGGTATCTCACGGCGTTTACAAGTCCCCCATCGTGGACGACAGATCAATATGACCCGGTTTTGGTCTCCGAATTCGCGCAGAGGTTCAAAGAAGTTGTTATTGACCAACTGCTACCGGCATATTGGCTCGACAATCCAGATACTAGATGGGATGCAGCAGAGCCGACACTCTTACCCAAGAGAGAAACTCTTCATTTATTTATTTACAGCGCCAAGGCCTCTTTATACCGCGCGTTTGCGGATCCCTGCAACAATCTACACCATGGCAGCAATGCTAGAAGCAGATACGGTACCGATCTACTAGCTCTATCTCATCGACGAACCCTGATGGACATTTCCTGTAAAGTGATATCATCAATCACCCGACTATATGTCTTGGCCGGCGATGATGAAGGCGGCACCTGCGAGCAGATGTTCTTGTTCCCGATTCTTCTTGTCGAAGCATTAGCTTGCCTCGGGGTTTGTTTGTTGTCCATCCAAGCAGATACGCGACAACTGTCGAATGCAGGCATTCAGTTCATCCAAGACTCCGACCTACGGTATAGCTACGCTACGTTCTTCGATGCCTTTGGCCTTCTGTCCCGACAAGCACCACAGTATGGCATCGCTAAACAAGGGCTGAATATTCTTGAAGGTCTCCATGGCACATTACAATCACCTTCCGGCAGTCCCAGCTTACTTCGCATCGAGGATTATCGCACTGCAGCCATAGGGCGCGAGACACATGCCGCTGGGGGCTTTCACCTGGAGCAAGCTCTGATGACAGTTCATGGCCGTGGGGGAGGCGAGATTCCGGGTCGGGTATTTTTCCCTCTCCCCGAATGGCTTCCGTCTTTTTTCGACTCGCCGGGTCGATGTTGGCTATTCCGCGACCGGTCCGCCTTTGGTGACTTGCTAGCGTGAAATAAGGAACAGGGTTTTGTTTGTTTCTGGGGCATCGAAAAGTGACGAAACAGGGTTTGAAAATTGGAGCACTGTGGGTACACTGCATAGTATGGAGTACATGAGCGAATGAATGAATGATCCATGTAAACAAGGGGTCCAAGAATTGATTGCCAGATGGGAGCAGGCGAAATCGGCAGTCGGCTGTTAGTTAACTAATGTCTTAGATGTACATGATAACGACAGCGATAGTAGGTTTAAAATAAATTCTAATCAACTGCCAGGCCACGCAATCCATCTGCGGCTAAATGGAAAATCGGCTTGGAGCGCTGTGGCTTTCACAGGTCCAAGGACTACGGGCGCTGCAGGTGAGACTGGGAGTGCAGATCGCTTGCTCTTTAGGGCGTCGTGCACGGTAGTTGCCTGGAGAAAGCTCCTTGGCTCACATCACCTACGTTGATGTACAAAGCCGTTACGGATGACCCCATTACACTGATTGGAAACTTGGTTTGCGTAACCCTAAGTAGCCCTAGCGGGGGAGAAGGAGGTACTTGAACGTGGAGGTACTCCAAAATAAAATATGGCATTAACTAGTTTTAAGGCCGCAAACTGGAATGTGCCTGAGGCATAAATTTGGAAATTCTGCCTCCCACATGGGAATCTGAACATTCTTTGGGTATAGACTGGCAGCTATCTTGGTACAAACCTAGATCACTCACCGTAAATATCTATTGCTATATCATTCAAGTGTAGTATGTGAAGACATATTCCGATGTATTCTACATCATGCACCTCACCACTGAATCTCCAGGGTTACCTGTGCGACCGATCATCGACGTCATGCGGGCCGTAGAAGGAAAAAAGCCAAGACGCAACCAGGTTTACTCCCATAGGGCGCCCCCATTGACTTTTTAGGCTTATCGCTGGGATATTCCCCTCCCAAACCTTACTGCTTTTTTGACGCCTGTCATTCCCAGCTTCTATTGCTGTCCTTCCTCCTCGGAACCTTCTCCCTTCACCTACGAGGATTGGGAGCGGTGGAGAAAAAAAAAGGAGGCACCTCCAACCATCTCCTGACCTACCTTCCAAGAACCAAACCATTGTACATTTCATTGGTTTTCTTTCCATGGCATTTACATTACCGAATCTTGTAAAAAGTCCTCTGATCCCCGCCAGCGGTCATCGGCATTGATCGCCGAGCGCGTGGATGATGCGCCCCGGGCTTGACAAGCCGGGCGCACTGCCGCTCCTAGTAGTGGTGATCTTTTCACTACTCACTCTGGCGCCCTCATTGTCGAATATCTATAATTTGAAACTGGCCGATTTCTCATTCAACACGCATGGAGTTCGATGTAAGTTCATTGGAATTGGTATTGCGTTGGCATCGGCATTTCCGAGACCTCAAGCTAACGGGAACACCTCGTATCCAGATATGCCTCTCATCAACGAACCTGTCGCCGAATTCCCCTCGGACACCCCGCCGGTCAACTATCCGGTCTCGTGGACTATGACGGCGCAATATCGGCCGCGTGGAAATCTCCAGTCGCGTTCTGTGCGCTCCGGAAACAACGCGCCGACACTCTCCGGCGAGCTCGCTTCCGTCGAGAACAAAAGCGAATTATCATATGGCACGGTAGACTCGTCGTTCATGTTTAGCCGACGGGCTCGCGCTTTCCGAACCTACTTCATCCAGCAATTAGACGACTATCAAATCTTCACCTCCTTTTCGAACCGAAGCTTCTCTCCCGAAACCGCACACCTCAACCCTACCATACCCACTTCTACTCCCGCCCCTCGCCCGACTTCTCTTGACGAACCTTCGTCCGAAAATAAACAGCATCTGAATAATGAGCCGACCCCCTCATACATATCACCGACAAACTGGCCGAGACTGCAGCTCTCGCCTTTGTTTGGAATGTGGCAGCAGGCCTGCCGCACTACAACCAAGCTTTGGAAGCTCGGGCCCGAGACTCTAGCCCAATCTTCCAGTATACCTTGGAACTGGGACTGGTCCTATATCGAGTCTCACGCGCCCGACGAAAAACAACATCCGACCCGCGCAGCTAAAATTCCCCATCCGCAAGATCCGCAAGCACGGGCCAATGCGACCTCGAATCAACCCGTGCAGACCGCAAAATCAAGCACATTCTCCCATAACGAGACCACCGATGCTGCCATTCGAACGACCCCTGAGTTAAAGGGTAGCTGTATGGCAGTGGTTATCGGCCTGGTTGTCGGAATTATGTGGTTTTAGAATGCTATCTGCCTGGTCAGTAATTTCAAATTTCGTATATTGAAGGAGAGGATGGAGTGAGACCTGGGGAATCCTCCGCATTTTGCACTCTCGCACTGCCGTGAACGTGTTGTCAGCTACTGAAGCTTGGAACATCGCGATGTCATTCATGTCCCCTCATGCCTATAATGAGTTTCTTTTCTTTTCTTATCTGGATGGACATGTATTGGATAGGATCTTGCGTGGATGACTCTGGTTTAGTCTCCAGTGGATGTAATGATCATAGTTATATTTTGTATAGTCTATTTTATAATTTCAATAACAAGTAGACTCAAATGCCAAAGGAAATAATTACACACACCTTGCGCCCCAGGTTCGCTTGAAAAGGAGAACAAGAAATAAAGAAATCAGCCAGAAAGAGATCCACGTCTCAGCATGTCTCTTGCATTGGTCGTGGCTCCCACTGAGTCAGTGGAACCTGTGTTGAATCACGATCAACATGGAGAGAACGATCGAATGCACCGGCCTTTGCCAGCCGCCGGGCCTTTTTGACGAGCTTCCCCGGGTGGTAGACAATCAAAACAAGCATAGAAAGAAACATCAGAAACGCATCAAAGACGTAAATGTACACCTCCTTCGTATTAACATCTTGCGTCCGAGACGCACCGAATTGGATCGTTCGAACCAAATTGCGAAGCATCATGGCGGAACAAGCGACATACATCGCCCACATATACGGCACCCATTTAAGATCGGGGTTCATACTCAATAGAGGTGTCGGTGCTTGTTTCAGCCGGAGATGAAGCTTGACGGCAATCATAATGAAGAACGCAAACACAACCAACGAGAAAATCAAACCAGCAAGTACAACTTTCTTGCCAATCTTCATGATATTGGCGTCTCCAGTAACCTGGACGCCAGCGCCGCCGAGCTGAGTGCAGAAACAGAGGACATCGTTCATCACAAAGACGAATGTGAGCCATTTGACGCGCATGCTGGAGAGGTGTTCTGCTTCGAAGGCGCGAATGATTCGTCCAAGAACCATATAAACAGTCGCGGCGACAAGAGGTGGTGCGCAGAGAATGAGCATTTCTTGTAAAGCCCAAGATTTAATTTCGAATCGGGATTGATGGGACCATGCTCGTCCGTAGTAACCGAATGTTTCACCTGATTTTGCATCGTGTTAGACTGGACCTGGGGTCATTTGTCAAAGAAGTAGGGCACAACATACATATTCCTCCTAATATCAAGGGTATGAAGTATGCAGCGCGGAATGGAATCGTGAGCACAATGTGAACGATTGTTGCAATACCGAAAATGGCCACGAATGCATAACCCGCCGTAGCTGAGGGAACATATGGGTAGAACTCGACAACGGGATCGGACCCGTTTACACCGGGGTGAAAGACGATATCCATTGTAATTGAAATGAGCAGGTGAGGATATATTGCAGATGTTTCAATTCTAGAATCAGGAGATAGCTATATTTATGATCATGGTTGATCTATCCTATTTATTACCGTCTGACCCTTCGCTTCCGCATTAGGAAATATCTGAACGAATACGTGCGGGGCGAGTGGATCGTTTGGCGACGCGCCCATCCTTTCTTTTTTTCTTGCTTCGCCCACTGCGGAGTACTCAGTGCTTCTTTATCAAGCATCAATATCCACTATACCATTATATTGCATGTTCTAGGCAGAAATATGACTATATTTAGGGGTCTGAACCTGGGGTCATGGCAACAGGCTCCACGTGCAGGAGAACTCAAAAATCTTAATTTGTGGATGTGTTTCATGGCATCGATCCCTTGCGCTTGTCTTTAGCCAAGACTTATACCACAGTACAACTACAGTTTTCCTTCAGTTCTATTTCTGGAGAATTAAATTTCTGTTCTGGTTCTGTTAATCGGTTAATCATCGGAACATTCCCACCCTATGACGAGCAGGATCTACATCGGCACTCATTCGTATACTCCAGTGAATAAACAGACTAAGATTCCTCATACATCGATTTGTCGAAATGTAGCATTGCCCTTATATTCATTACTGTGGCATCATTCCGATGCAACCTCCCGCACCTTATTTAATGGCCACTCAATCCACGGCCGGTACTCCGCTTGTATAAATGTAGATACACCCGAGAGAACATGCGCAGCCCATCCCTTCATAAACCAAGCCGTCTCCATGTATCGAAACATCACAGCCCAGTAGGCAAGTACCACAAGAGCCCGAGGCTCTTTCTCCTCTAATAATCGAATAAATTGTTCAGGTAGTCGATAAAGCCACCCGATCAATAGATCCATCAAAGCAACCCCCGTCTGCTGCGCAGATCTCCGTTGGTAAACCTGGTTCATAATATCGTATAGGTCATCGAGAGCGGAGATGTATAATGGAAGGACCGATTCATCTGTGACTTCTCGCTCGACGAGTCGCTGTGCTGCTTGCGTGTACACGGTCTGCTCGTGAAGCTCGAGAGCCATCGATGGGCTGATAGCAGGTAACGGCTCTGGAGGCTCAGGCTTGAGAATCCCACTAAAAACCTTCTGGTGATGTGACTGTACGGTCAGTTTGACGCCTTGCATGAGGACGAGCCATTCTGCTGGACCGGTGTCGCTGAAAATAAGATATTCCCCTGGTCGTGGTCCTCGGCCGAAATATATGAAAATTATTAGGACTGCGGACATGTAGATCTTCTGACAGTTCCCTTCGTCTAGATCCTCTAGTGAGAGAAGATTGGTGACTGTTCGTACGCCGAATGTGAAGTGGTCGTCTGCTTTCTGGATGTATTTATTTCGTTCATCGGGGCGCTCGAAGGCTAGATGTAGCGCGGATAGAGCGAGAATGAGGTGGAGGATCGAAGGGAATTCAATGCCCCATTGTACTATGTGGTATTGCCAGACATTGTGGGGGTCACTGTTACGCATCGTTCGAAACGCAGATATAGACCAGTGGTGGAAAAGCTGAAGGTCTGCGATAGATATTGTGCTTTGTGGGGATTCTTTCAGGATATCACATTGTGTTCCTGTGGAGTGGGTGCTGGAGGAGGATGACTGGGGGTGCGGTTTTGATATTCTGAAAGTTTGTTGCAGTCCCCCTGCTTCGAATTGATGTGGTTGGAATCTACGTGCCGATTTCCTGGTGGGCACTTCTAAGTCCTCTTGAGCTGAAGATTCCGCGGATTGCGTTGCGACCGTCATAAATGTACATTCGACATCATGATTGGAACAGTTAGAGCAGCTGGGCCACTTTTCGTCGCACTGTAAGAGGTTAGCCCGGCCCTCGATAGATTCATAGACTAAGCCATTGGGCCGCTTCGGGCGAAAGCAAAGTAGCGACCGGAGGGTATATAGCATATCCGTGTCGTAAGTGCGAGGGAGTGACGTGAATAGTAAAGGATAGAAGTTGGAGGAAATGCTTACCTTAATGCGCCGTCGCTTGCAGTTAGTGCATCCTAGGCGGGACTTCCGATGTGTCCGGCGTGGCCGGATGGCCTTCTTGCCACCCGGAGGATCCATTCTTTACTTCTTCTTGATATTTCCGAACATGCAGGCTGCGTATTCGTTCTCGACTTCCCTTTTATGACGCCCGATGCAGGCCTCCCCCTTCCCTCCAGGCTGAACGCATTTAAAGTCGGGCTAGATGAATCAAGCGGGCGGATATCTTGGTAAACCTGCGTACCACGGAAGATCTATGCTTGCGTTGTCCCTTTTGCTCCAGGCATCGAGATATCCTGAAGATCTTTGGGGAGGAGAAGTTACGAATACGCAGAAGTTTCTGGATTTGGGTTAGCGCCCCACCAGGCTTTCACTCGGCCAATTGAAATTCTCATTGGCCCCCTTCGTTGTAATTTGGATCAACTTGAAGCTCTGTTACTTATTATAGTCTCAAGAAGCACCGAGAAAACAGAGTTTTGGTTCCGGCATAGGCGACTCTCACTCTTCGATATTGATGGCAAACTACCGGGCTGACAAATATAGGAGAAATCAATTGTATGAGCAAGATAAAAAAAATTATTGAAGCTAATTTTCACGTTGATTGGAAGCATCAATCTTCGTTGAACAAGATGAGATACAGAGCATAGCGTCATATGTGGAGTTGAGATTTTGAAGTCTGCAACCAGATCCACCAAAAGAAAGGAAATTTACAGACGGGCCGGACGACCAGAGATGGTCGAGCCGTAGACCACATCGAAGCGGTCCAGGTTCATGACCTTGTCCCAAGCAGCGACGAAGTCACGGACGAACTTGGATTGGCCGTCGTGGCTACCGTACAACTCGGACAGAGCGCGGAGCTCGGCGTGGTGACCGAAGATCAGGTCGTTGCGGGAAGCAGACCACTTCTTGGCACCGGTCTTGCGGTCCACACCCTCGAAGGTGTCGTTGTTGGCGTTGACAGACTTCCACTCGGTGCTCATGTCAAGCAGATTGACGAAGAAGTCGTTGGTCAGCTGGCCGGGGCGCTGGGTCAGGACACCCAGGTTGGAGCGGTCCCAGTTGGCGCCCAGAACACGCAGACCACCGACCAGGACGGTCATCTCCGGAGCAGTGAGGGTCAGCTGCTGAGCCTTGTCGACGAGCATCTGCTCGCTACGGACACGGATGCTGGAGTGGCCGTAGTTGCGGAAGCCATCGTGGACGGGCTCCAACCAGCGGAAGGAGTCGACATCGGTCTCCTCCTGGGTAGCATCCATGCGGCCAGGGGTGAAGGGAACGGGGATACCGGCAGCCTTCTCCAGGGCAGCATTACCGGCCAGAACGATCAGGTCAGCGAGAGAAACACGCTTGTTACCGGTCTGGGAGCTGTTGTAGCGACGCTGGACGTCCTCGAGAACGGCAAGGACCTCGCGAAGCTGGGCAGGGTTGTTGACCTGCCAGTTGTTCTGAGGAGCCAGACGGATACGGGCACCGTTGGCACCACCACGCTTGTCACCGCCACGGAAGGTGGAGGCGGAGGCCCAGGCAGCGGAGATGAACTTGGTGGGCTCCAAACCGGAAGCTATGATCTCGCGCTTCAGGTCAGCAACATCCTCGACGTCAATCAGAGGGTGGTTGACACCGGGAACGGGGTCCTCCCACAGGAGAGTCTCCTGGGGAACTTCAGGGCCGAGCCAGCGGACACGAGGGCCCATATCACGGTGGAGCAGCTTAAACCAGGCGCGGGAGAAAGCGTCGGCGAGCTGGTCGGGGTTGGCAAGGAAGCGACGGGAGATCTTCTCGTAGGCAGGGTCGAAACGGAGAGACAGATCGGTGGTCAGCATCTTAGGCTTGTGCTTCTTGCTAGCATCATAGGCATCGGGGATGATGTCGTCGGCATTCTTGGCGGTCCACTGGTTGGCACCAGCGGGAGACTTGGTGAGCTCCCAGTCGAACTTGAAGAGATATTCGAGGAAGTTGTTGCTCCACTTGGTAGGAGTCTTGGTCCAGGTCACCTCAAGACCCGAGGTGATGGTGTCGGCACCCTTGCCGGAGTTGTGAGTGCTGGACCAGCCGAGACCCTGAGACTCGAGACCGGCGGCCTCCGGCTCCTTGCCGACGTTGTCAGCGGGACCGGCACCGTGAGTCTTACCGAAGGTGTGACCACCGGCGATGAGAGCAACGGTCTCTTCATCGTTCATGGCCATGCGGCCGAAGGTGATACGAATATCGCGGGCTGCCGCGACGGGGTCGGGGTTGCCATCGGGGCCCTCCGGGTTAACGTAAATAAGGCCCATCACAACGGCAGCGAGTGGGTCCTCAAGGTCGCGAGTGCGGATATCGCTCTGCTTCTTTTCCTCTTCGGAAGTCTCCGGTGCGTAACGAACATCGTTGGTGAACCACTCACGCTCACCACCCCAGTAGACGGACTCATCGGCCTCCCAGACATCAGCACGACCACCAGCGAAACCAAAAGTCTTGAAACCCATGGACTCGAGGGCGACGTTACCGGTCAGGAGCAGCAGATCGGCCCAAGAGATCTTCTCACCATACTTTTGCTTGATGGGCCAGAGCAGACGGCGGGCCTTGTCAAGACTGACGTTGTCGGGCCAACTGTTCAGAGGTGCAAAACGCTGCTGGCCCTGACCACCACCGCCACGACCATCGAAGACACGGTAGGTACCAGCACTGTGCCAGGCCATACGGATGAAGAGACCACCATAGTGGCCAAAGTCGGCGGGCCACCAGTCTTGAGAGTCGGTCATCAGACTGTGGAGATCTTTCTTGAGAGCATAGTAGTCAAGACTCTTGAAGGCTTGAGCATAATCAAACTCCTTGGTCAGAGGGTTGGTAGCCTCGGTGTGCTGACGCAGGATGTTAAGCTTCAGATTCTCTGGCCACCAGTCGCGATTCCTGGTGCCACCACCAGCGACGTTGGCGGACTTGTTGTGAACTGGGCATTCACCCATGATTGCTTTATAAAATGTATAGATATATGTGGAGGGAGGGGAGGGGTAGAAGAGAAAGAGAAGGAGAGTTCTGAGGAAGGAAGAATAAAAAAAAAAAACAAGGAACCTTCACAAAGGCACCGGTCCCCGCACTTTTTTAAGTAACAGCACCTCGGGGGGGGAAGAGAGAATGGCGGGAAACTTCATTGGAGGCCGTTTGTCAGCTCTAACTGGCTGGACAAGTCTGGCCACCGCCGATTCGAAATCGATTCCTAAGCTGATCATTCTGATTGGTTGAAGCTGCCCCAGCAGAAGTTCCAGAATGCGGGGAGCTGCTCATCACGGCGACCCCCGTCTTCCTCTCGTTTCCCCCGTTCTCTTCCGATTTCCCCTCTTGAGAGTCTAGCCTAGTTACACTCGAGCGATTTTACAAATCCAATCTAATGAAATGATGATTCGCTAGAGAAATTCTACGTGTGGGGGAGGTGAGGAGAGAGGAATTTACTGAGGGGGAGCAATCCTAGACGGTTATAATCAGGCAGCCCCGCATGGCGACATCACATCTGCATTGGCCATGCGCAAGACCAATGGTGAAGGGCCATCATAGATATCATATGATTTCAGCCCTTTCCTCGGTCTTTTCTGGCACTTCCCTTCCATCCAAAGGTTTTATGCGCCGTGAAACATGGTCCATCCTTGTATGACGTCAAGGACCGTGGAAAATTCGTCGAAGCATATTGGGGACAAGAACCACTAACCCGACGGCGGATTATCTGCCTATGGGCAGAGTAGATCCGATTAATATTTCGACTTGCAGGATCATTGGAAATTTGACAAAATCATCGGTTCGCGCATATCCTGTACCTTTTAGGCAGTTCTTTCCGAGATTCCGCGGGGGAATCCACATGGCGCCTCAACAAATCCGCTAACTGCCATTATTGTTATAGACGCCCAGTCACGCATTGTCTCTCCGATGTGTTCTCGCAATTTTTGGAACGACGGAACGAAAAAAAAGAACGAGCAATTGCAATACATGGCCCGGTTGATTGGGCTGGATGAGCTGGCCCGACTGAAATGATCTGTCAACCTCCAGGACAGCCGTTCCCTTCCGTCTTGTTTCATAATTTGCAATAAATAAAGCAAGCTGACACTGACCCTGCAAAACGCGCGCCCCAGTGCTAACTGAAACGCCCCGCGGAGAGCATGCGTCTCCGCACACGCAGACACTCCGAGGCCCACACGAGCTCCGGCTAAGTCGACTGTAAAACACCACACTGGCCGCAGAGAGACCCATTGTCAACCAAGTTGGTCAAAACCTTGAAGGCAGAGAGGGCAGAAGTTGCGGCGGCATTTATCTCATACGGAACTTGAACAACATGTAGCAGGGCCAGAATCGACATGCTCAATGCTCCGCTCCTCCCGAACCCTTCGAAGAACAAACTTGAATATAGCTCCGGCAGGAGCCAAGGTATTTCGATCGAGATGGATCTAATAGAGCCCAGTGGACGCAATCACCACAAGTAATGGCATAGTATAGCAAAATTAGCCAGACTAGTTGCCTGTCACACAAATCACTTAGCCAATCAGAAAGGAACCCAGTCCGGCGCCAATTGAGTCTGGTGAGAAACGCACGCCGTTCCACTGCTCGAATAGCCCATTTGTTTCATATGCAGCGGGGCGTGAAATGCGAGCGCGTAGAAAGCCATTGACAAAAGAACTTCCGCGGAACTTGAGAGCTTTTCTTGACCAAAAGATAGAGGGCACAAACCAATGGCGTGCTCTGAAAGAATCTGATAAACCCTCAAATGCGGCCGCCTCTCCAACTGGTCTAACTAAACAAACGTCTCCAAAGGCAGTCTCCCCCTCGGGTAGTCAAAAGCGCCTGGCTGATGAGGCTGGCCTCGACGAGGAAGAACGTGGAACAGTGGCTGGAGCTCCTAACGTGGTAGCAGGAACTCCCAAAAAGAAGATCAAGAGACGTGGAATAGCCAATCTATTGAAGAAAACGGGGCAAACACGCGAACAAGAACCCGATGAAAGCAGACCATGAAGCTCCGGAAGCACTAATTCCTGAGCGGATTGAAGTAAATCGACGTGATCTAGACACATTACAATACCTATTTTTCTAGGAAGGCCAAATCGACCATAATGGCGACCTATCCTGGAATAGCTTCTGTCAAGTTATAGCGAATATAGGATTTGTATTGACATCGATGGGTGGGTCTCGGGTTCGCTTTACGCCTCCAGCAGAATGGATGGCTGATAACATCGCCGTTCACGAGCCTCATCCTACACACCGTATAAGGTCCACAGATGCCAGGGGGGCTTGGTCGACGTTTGGAAAATCACTATGGATTTGATAGCAAAATTTTCGTTTTGAGAGGGGGGTAAAATCTTTGGTCCAATTTTGCGAGAGCCTATCGTGGATTCTCTCAATACCGTATAACATTTTCTGTCTATCTCCTGTTATCAACTTTGTTCACTTTATCTTATTTCACATTACTTGGGTATAGCTACTTCAAGCTTCAGTTATCATTTGCTTGGATTTAATTGCCATTTTTGTTTCGCTCATCCTTCTCTAGTGCCTTTGGGCTTGCTATAGTACTGTTTGCTTCACGTTCTGTTTCTCTACTTGATTGAAATTCTAATTAACACTTTCCAAGGCTTCCTTCGGTGAATTTTTGTTTTCTTTTAAGTGAGACACATCCAAGACCCACCTGAGCAATTTGAATTTCCAGACGGCCCTTGAATTTCCATTCGGGCATTATATCGTACCATTATGTTTCAATTAGCTAGGAGAATTCAACTTGAGGTTCTCATTCTGGGAGACTTTCGACGCAATGTCTACCTAGGTAATGATTATTTCCACATTCCAAGTTCATTTAACCCATGTGCCCATCCGTGTATTACTGGGTCTTGTTTATGGAAAATTGCATAATCCAAGAGCCATGGGAAATTGGATTCCTGCTAGACCAAGTCCAACCACATAATATACTAACTGTATTTGGTTAATGCTCCCTGTGGGTCTTTTGTGGCAAAACACGAATATAATTCGCTAAAACTTGATGACAACACGCTAACCGATTGCGGTCGGATTTTTCTTAAACTGCCTGCAATGCTTAGGTACAAGATTTCGCCAGTAGATTTATTGAGTCAAGGTTGACCCTGATGACCAGAGTCTAACCTTTTTCGGTTTTTCTGGTTTATGATTACTCTTAATGACATATTCGGTATAACGCTGATGACATGAGTCTAACTCCATCGGGGGCCCCATAGCTGCGGTGCCACTCTTTCGGACGGAGTTATGGCAATCGACGAAATGGAAAGTTATAGAGGGAGACATAGGTTCTCATATCATTGATAGTATTTAAGGTCCGAGAATCAATTTGATCCTAGCTACTACCGATTAGTTCTTCTCTTATTTCCAATATTTTCGATCTATACTGCAAGATGTCTGGCAAACAAATCCTTCGCTCAGAGGTTATTCTGGGAAAATATGGAAAGACTTTGGCTGGAAAAACGGGTATAGTTGACAATTTTTGAAACCACCATAGTTTCAAGTGCTAACGAGATCTAAAATCCGCAGTTCTTATTACCGGAGTCTCTGACGAATCTATCGCGGGAGAACTAGCTGTTCAGCTCGCTGCAGCCGATCCTAAGACGCTCATCCTCAGTGCCCGGTCGGAATCTAAAGTGAAACCGGTAATCAATCGGATAAACGCGAAGAACCCCAATGTTGAAACCCGCTTCCTCAATTTGGATCTCTCAGATTTGAGTGCTGTCCGAAAGGCTGCCACGCAGGACCTCGTCGATATCTCGAAGATCGACCACGTTGTCTGTGTGGCTGGTGTCATGATCTGCCCATACGGGAAAACCAAGGATGGATTCGAAATTCAACTCGGAGTCAATTATCTTGCCAACTTCCTGCTGATCAAGCTTCTTTTGCCGAAAGTCGAGGCGGCCGGTCCCTCTTCATCTGTCATTATCGTGTCCAGCTCTAGCATCCGCCACGGCAAGATTCATTTCGATGATATTGGATTCAGCGTAAGTGCATTCGTCTCAATTGAAACAAGAATTTCGTCGCTAACTTGCCACAGGAGGGTACAACGTATGATCCTTATGTTGCATACGGACAGTCAAATGTTGCGAGAACTATGTTTGCCAAGAAGTTGGCTGAGAAATTGAAGGGCAAGGGTATCAGAGTTTTTAGCATTGACCCTGGTGGTACGTTCATTTTAGCTGTCAAAATTCTACGAATTGATTGCTTACCCCTCCAAAGCTGTCCAGTCTGGGCTACAGAGACATTTCACGGAGGACTTCAAAGCTCAGGTTGATGAGATGATGAAGGATGGTCGTGAGAATTCCCACTCCTGGTGGTACACATACTTTTTATTAACAGCTACAGATCTGGTTGACTTGGACGGAACTAAATTTGACTTCCCTCTTTGGACCGGTCGCTCAGAGGGTGCTGCTAATATCATCACTGGAATGATTGACCCTACCATTTCAGGTTTGTCAACACACATTAAAAATATGAATAGGAAAAGCTAACAAATCAACTCAAAGACTCTACCGGTGCTTACATTAGTCAGAATTCCGTCGCAAATGATGACTTGCACTCCCACATCCGGGACGAAAACAACTGGACACGTCTCTGGGAAATGAGCGAAGGGTTCGTTGGAGAAAAGTATTAGTGTGGCAGAGATTGAAGATCGCATTCACTTGATGCGATCTGATAACTGGACTAAGTGATTTCATTGAAGAATCATTTCAAGTTAGGAGTCGGCAGGAACGGTCAACCCTAAATTCGCCAAACGCTGTGCATGATGTTGTACAAATTTTTTAGAAAATAGATTTCATTGGCGAGTTTCTTATTTATTATTCAACCTCTTGAACTCGATCATGTGTACAAGTAGGTTCGAGCTTCAATGGCCTCTCTCCCCGTTTTTTTCTCCAATAGTTCGTCGACTGTATGAGATCGGTACAGTCTTTCAGCAGCCAACTCCATTTTCTGAAAAATCCCTCAGAAACTTCATAAGCGGAAGGATCCCATGATTCCCCCCATACAATGAGTCCACATTGCGCCGATGGGTCGCACATTCCGTAAAAATCAGTGCATATTTCATCTTCATCGTAAACATCCAGTTGAGACAGGAGACTGTTGCGGAGAGACTGTATGGGAATAATATCGATCCATGGGTGATGGATAATCTGTTTCTGCGAGGAACTCGGTTGCAGACTGGGTGGTAGTTGTAAAATCCCGTGGCCCGGACCAGAAATATTGAACAGTGATGCGATATCCTCACACAAAACTTGTAGCGACAATCCCATCGTCTCGGCGTTTGCGACCATCGCTCGCATCGTGTTAAACTGGGTCACGGATAGGAGAACACTGGAGGCTTGGAGGTTGTCCGCAACGCTATTGGTTACTTTGATTCTTAGTTGAGACAGATATTGCGCGCGTGATATGTGATTCAATGCGCAGAGATACTGATTGTCTCTGTTCGACTCCTTTGGTGGGCTTTCGAGTCGTGGATGGTGGTTTGCCACTACCTTGCTCTCCTTGCAATCATCCCGCGCCAAGGAGTACGCCTCATCCGTGTAAACGACCCATCGTCTTGTTTGTCCCTTGGATTGTTTTTCAATGGCCTTTCTCTTCCCTGGGGATTGCTTTCAAGTCAGCAACGCAATAGTTCACGGGGGTGGCAGAGCAGCTCAGCCACTTACGGCTTGCTCGTTGGTTGAGGCGATTCTGGATCTTGCGCCTCGAGACTGGGTCTAGTTCCGTTAGATCGAGTTCTGTCATTTTATTTTCACTAGAAGATTCCAAGGTATGCAAAAGAGATAATTTGCGAAGGGAGCCTTGTCAGGAATCAGCGGACGTCAAGTGAGACGTGTCGGCAATAAGGTTTTAAGGACTTCTAAACGCCGCAGCCACCCAAATCAACCAGATATTCGGTATGTGGGTCCGTTATTTTTGGATAATCTGTATATCGGCCAGCTGGCATGATTCATTCCAAAATAAATGCCATCTCCCCACAAATTGCCGCCCTGGAAAGTGACTGTGCACGCGGTCTTCCTCATAATGTAGACCTCGTAGATGCGAGGTGGATTTCAAACTTCTATTACAATACCTTGGAATATATATCGACCTATTTTTTTTGGTTCAAGGCAGATCTATATATCGCCCGCGCTCGTCCAAGAAAATTGAAGCGAGCTCCCTCTAGAACGTTGAAATTCGCCGGGTCGCGACCTCAAAGCCGGAACTACTTTGCGATCATCGCGATCATTCGAGCCATTCCCCTCAAGGCTGACACCGTTGACTCTGAGTCGTTCGGAGACAATTATTGGTACTACCCGATAGTCTTTTCATGCACATAAATCATAATTTACCTCATTCCAGGTTGTTTCAATGACTCCCCAGATATCTGTCTAGATCATATCACCCTCTAGGGCTCGACAATAACAGATAGGGCCTGCCAGTAGGAAAACGGTTGATAACAGGTAGCGCGGTCTCAAGCTATCTGGAAGCAGGAGCAGTGACACTTATTTTCTAAGTTATGACAATGGGTAGAAAGAAAGAGGTAAATTAGACAAAATAGTGGGGATACGTTAGATATGAAGTATTGCGACAAAAACGCGATCAAATATATGCCCACGGGCTAGATTCCATGCTGGTCTAGGTACAAGATCCGCCGGGACACTCTCAAGCCAAGGAAAGGTGATAGGCGGCCTGTAAGAATGATCGACGAACAGCGATAATGGGAACGTTGGAATAGCTGATTGATTCTAAGAAAGAGATCCTTCCATACCTAAGCCGAGAGCCCAAGAGCGGAGATACTGCCAGCTTCGAGTTCCAGGGACCAGTTAGAGGCGGGCTGGCAGAAGGACATGAGGCCCTGGGCTGGTCAAACCAAAGATAGGCGATATAGCTCAAGAGTGGAGCTAATTTGTCGCAATCTGTTGTGACGATGGACTTGAGACGCCAACTCAATCGAGTCGTGGTGGACCAGCCATCATAACGTCGTCTTCCCCGAGGAATTCAAGCTCAATGACGGGCGCTGGGACATGGTTCCCCCCCAGATATTGAATTCTTCCTCATTTCTCAGCCTCGGCAACCAATTGTTCAACCTCCTGCTCAGTCATTCGGTGAAAGAGCTTGCGGGCGTCCGAGAGGTCTGCCTCCTTGGGCAATCCATTCTCCACGGATTGCACGTGGATCACGGGGACATCAAAGTCATAAACATCCTTCCACTTCTTGTTTCCCGGCTCATCAATGTATGTTTCGACGAATTCAAAGGGGCGGCGCTGGTGCAGTTGCACGACTGTCTTTTTGGCATTGTCGCAGAGGCCACACCCGGCGCGGGTGAAGAGGGTCAATCGGGCTTGACCGAAGAGGGCGCGTGTTGGGAACATATTGTGTCAATGTCAATGTCAACTTTAGCTGTAGGCAAGCTGTAGGCAAAGTGGCAGACTAGTAGGACTGGTGGTGACGCGAGATCGGCGGACCGACCTTCTCCGCGTTGATGGAACCTTCGAGCTTCTCCAGCTAAACCGCGTTCGGCAAAGGCATCTACACCCTTTACAACATCTTCTCTCCCCACCATCCCTGCATTTTATTATATTCCCCGTTACACACCATGGGCAAGTGCGTTCACAAGGGCTGCGGGAAGGTCTTCGCCGACCCGGAGGAAGACTGCGTGTATCATCCGGGTCCGCCGGTGTTCCACGAAGGGCAAAAGGGTAAGTCCAAGTACCTTGTTGCTGCGAACTATTCCTGAATTGGCCTCATCTGTTCATACATCTATTCTCTTCTATTCTACCCACTGCCACCTGTTCTATTCCATCCCAACATCTCAACCACACCACACCTCCCATCGCAATGCGAGCACAAAGCTAACCCCCACCGCGCAGGCTGGAAATGCTGCAAACCCCGCGTTCTGACATTTGAGGAATTCCTCTCCATCCCACCCTGCACCACGGGCAAACACTCCGAAGTCGACGACACACCTGCCCCGGAACCTACAAAGGCCGCCGAGGGACCCCCAGCAGCGGCGCCTGTCCCCACGGTGAAGCCCATCTCCGAGCGCCCTCCAATTTCCACCGCCATTGCGACTCCCGGCACACCCCCGCAAAGCCCGTCGTCGAGGAGCCAGAGTCCGACGATCCAGACCTGGAAATCCCTGCCAACGCTACATGCCGTCGCAAAGGATGCGGGGCTTCTTACGATGGCTCGACTGCTCGTGAGGAAGAGAAATGCGTGCACCACCCCGGTAACCCGGTCTTCCACGAGGGCAGCAAAGGATGGTCCTGCTGCAAGCGCCGGGTGCTTGAGTTTGACGAGTTCTTGAAGATCCCTGGCTGCACTGAGAAGACGAGACATATGTTTGTTGGCAAGGCGAAGCCTCCAGGCGAGGAGAAGGTCGAGACCGTCCGGTAAGGCTTTTTCTCTATTTGCTGCACGTGGCAGAGCTACTCTACAAGCTATTCAGCTAGCTAACCGCAACCCGGCCACAGGAACGATTTCTATCAAACCCCCGCCTCTGTCAACGTCTCCCTCTACCTGAAAAAGATCGATAAGGACCGTGCCGTCATCAAGTTCACCGCAGACAAGATCGAGCTTGACCTACCCACCACGGATAATAAGCGCTACCAGGATACCTATGAGCTCTTTGCTCCGATTGACCCCGAACAGTCGAGCTTCCGGGTGCTGGGCACCAAGCTGGAGCTCACGCTTGTCAAGGGGGATCAGAGTAGCTGGCCGGTGTTGCGCAAGGATGATAAGTGGACTGGTCAGCGCATCCAGGTTGGTAACGCTGGTCGGGCATAGGGTGCGATATATAGAGAGGGAGCAGGACAGGACAGGACAGGAACCATGTAACAGATGTGGCTGTTTAGGTCACTTAATGTCGAGCATGGCTTATGATTGACGTGATGGATGTGATGGGATGTGATCTTATATGACAGGCGACGATGGCTGCCCATGATAAAAATAGCAATTGGCAAAGATATCAAATATAGCAGCTTCAAGTGGTGCTTCGAGATTCAAGCCTCGCATCAAGTTTTTCTCCACTGGTTCGAGCGAACGTAGCCACTAGACCATTTAGGACATTCAGGAGGCATTTTAAAGACTGGAAAATCCGCGACACAGTCCAAAGCAATACTAGTGGAGAACTGCCAATGACTCGGTATTGACAGCACTGACAGTACTAGTACGAGTCTTTGGACATTGTTGCCAAGTTCCAGGCTAACTTTGAACAGCTTTAAAGTCTACGAATCAGGCGAACGAATCACAATGGAATGCGACGCAATCAAGACCTGACGGCAAATAACAAAAACAGAATGATATGTAAAGGAATGTCGCGCCCCCTCCACAGCTATAGCGCATGGAGCTCCCCGAGGGGAACCCTAGCATAGCCATAATGTGTTTGGGAAAAAGGGAGACGCAATTTGTCTGAGGAGCCGGGAACGGAAGGAAACCCATAGAGCAAAAGCCACAAGAATAACCCTCAGCAAGCCATCATTGATGGAGCCCCAGTATTAAAGAATTTTACATGGTAATGTAAAACCTCTACTGATGATGAAGAAGAAAAAAAAAAGACCAAGGGCGGGAGGGCCGCTCCCCTTTTATACCCACGAAAAATTGAAGATGCGCTAACGCTGATCCGATGCGGAGAAAATGTTTTCCCGATCCACCGAGATGGGTTTGGTTGGTTGTCCTAAATGGGAACGTAGGGCTGGACTAGCAGGGCAAGGGCAATCAGTGACTCTGCAATCCCGTGATTATCTATTATATATCCCGTGACTTCCAAGTCCCGTGACTCCCCCTGTTTCAGGCTCGCATGTGAAGCGCCCCTCTAAAGTGGAGAAGGAGGAGGCTTGTCTGGTCTGGTCTTGTCTGGTCTGGTGAGAACGATTGATTCTCAGGGTACAGTGAACCCTGAATCTGCTGGATGGCATGAATATGTACTCTGTATGGTATACTTGTATATACTATCTACTAAGTACTAGTTGTATATACACTGTAGTCTATAGTATAGTACTAATATGTATGTTAATGACTGCTAATATATCTAACTTGAAATAGATTTCACCCCTCGTGGCAAACCATGGAAACTTTGCACCAAATCCTTTGTCCCCCCCAGTTTCCCATCCTGGTGTGGAAGCACGAGACCTCGAGGCTTGGACCCTTCTCTTTTTTTCCCGCAACAGCCTCACCTCCTTAACCACTTTCCTCCCCCTTCCCCCTTTCCTTTCCACTCTCCACTTGCATGCGACCACTTGCTCAGTTTATCCAATTCTTCGGTATGTTCCGTGTTTCTTTGCCTCTTCATCACTGCGACCCTGCAGATCTCCCGTCCCAATCGGCCAGGCTGCAGGGTATTATTGAAGTCCCCATCCCACGCTGTCTCAAATTTCCCAGGCTAACCGTGCTAGTCTTGCCCAAATCGCTCCAACTGAGGGCCACCACTTAACTTAAACCCCCCTCCTCCCCTGATTTTGTCTCGCCTCTCTCCCTATTCTCATTCTTCCCTGCCAACCATGGGCTCCTACGACTCTGAGAACGGCGTCGCGCCCGCCCTCCGCTACATTCCCCTCTCCTACAGCCCCGCCGAATCCCAAGCAACCGCCCTCCGTCTGATTCTCACCCTCTTCCCTAACTGGGAGGGCCCCGAAAATAAGATCGAGTTTGTGCGATTCACTGATGGCATCACCAACACTGTGCGTCTCCTTGTTCCACCTTCCAGAAGCCTCCCAACAATGGTCCCCTGCTCTCCCCGCCCTCCACGCCATACCGGGGATCGCGCGAGCCTAGTTTGATACCCTTGACTGACCTCCGACGACCTGCAGCTCTTGAAAATTATCAATCGCAAGGCTGGCTTGACCGATGCGCAGATTGATGAGGACGCCGTGCTCATGCGCGCATACGGAAACGGCACAGAAATCCTGATCGATCGTGAAAGTACGAACACATCCCTCTCTGGCCTACGGGCCTCCTCGTGCCCCTCCTCCCCTCCCACCGCTGTCAATTGGCTTTGCAACGCGTGGCTCTGGTACGACAATATGCTAACTTAGTGCTTTCGCGTTCCAACAGGAGAAACCACCTCGCATGCCCTACTCGCCGCACGTGGCCTCGCCCCGCCCCTCCTCGCTCGTTTCAACAATGGTCTCCTCTATCGCTTCATTCGCGGCAAGCCCTGTGGACACTTGGACTTGGTCACCGCTCCTATCTACCGTGGCGTGGCCCGGCGTCTTGCCCAGTGGCACGCGGTTCTTCCCACCAAGGGAGCCACCCCTGCACTTTCGCAAGAGTCCTCAATCATCGCCCACGCCGAGGCGGAATCTGCCAAACAGGAAGAGGGATTTGAGATCATCCAACCGCGTCGCGCTGGCCCCTCTATGTGGGCAGTCCTTCAGAAGTGGATTCTCGCTCTTCCTGCGTCCACGCCAGAGCAGCGCTCTCGGCGATTGAGCCTGCAGCAAGAGTTGCAGTGGGTCTTGGCCCAGCTCGACGATGGCAAGGGTATTGGCGAAGACGGCGTAAGATACCCCTCCTCCACCCACGTCAATGACGTGCCCCTCCGAGGTAGTCCCGCTAACTGTCGTTTTCCTCCTAGCTTGTTTTCTCCCACTGCGATCTCCTGTGCGCCAACGTGATTGTCCTCCCGACAGAGGATGTCGCTCAGCCCGAGGACGACGTCACCGCCGTCAACTTTATTGATTACGAATACGCCGTGCCTGCGCCCGCCGCCTTCGACATTGCCAACCACCTGGCTGAGTGGATCGGCTACGACTGCGACTATAACATGACCCCCACTCAGTCGGTGCGCCGTCAGTTCCTGACCGAGTACACCAAGAGTTACTGCGAGAACAGCGGCCTCGACGAGTCCTCCCAGGCGGAGATCGTCGATCGCTTGGTTCAGGACGTCGATCGTTTCCGCGGTATCCCCGGCCTATATTGGTAAGATCTTCATAAAACATCACAGGAGACCCCTGTCAACAATAACATCATGACCCGTACTGACTTCATCACGCAGGGGTGTGTGGTCCCTCATCCAAGCCCAGATTTCCCAAATCGACTTCGACTACGCTGGCTACGCCGAGACCCGCCTGGGCGAATACTGGGCCTGGAAGCGCGAGATGGACGGCAGTCGCAAGAAGGCCGGTGAGGAGATGCCTCTCCGTGAACAGCGCTGGGCGCTGGAGGCATAAAAATGTGCTTGCCTAGGCAGCGCGCAACGCCATAAAAAAAGCCCTCGTCCATGCATCCCCCCTTTCCCCCTCCCTCCCTCATTCCCCCTTTAACCCCACCACCTCCTTCTCGCATGTTGCTTTTTACATCCGCAACGCTTGATGACGGTGCTGTTCCGGTTCCACTTCTTGGTCCACACCCCACTTCTTCGCTTCGCTCGCCCGTCACGACGTGCGTGAGGTTTGGAACACCGCGCACGGTTTTTTGCCGCTGGGCCGCCCAACCTCTTTCAACATTTGCACAGCGTTGTGCTGGGAGTTTTAAGTTTTAGGGTTCTGTGGACTGAGTGGTGGTGTACATACATTGTTTTAGTCATGGGAAATGGGTGGCCCCAAGGACGAGGCATTTGTCGACAGGACTCCGTTCTGTCCACAATTTGACTTCATTGTCTTGCACGACGGTGTTTGGATAAAATTTGGGTGTTTCTACTTTTTTCTTGCTTTCTCTCTGTTCCTCTTTATTTTCTCACCTGCACATACCTTTGGGTGGATATCATCCAATCCCCAGACCTGGGAATATATTGGCCTTCGCTAGCTATTTAATCTTAATACGATGGCTGCGTGTCTTCCTACTTCTAGAAATTCCTAATACTACGTTTAACAATCAATTGACACTGACCCGCCATCTGGCCAACTGGTATTCTTGGACGCTGCTTTAAGAAATATAGCCAACGTTGCTAAAATCCTCCACCCGCCGTGGACCTGCCATTAAAAAACATGGAAAGATCATACGGGAAAACAGGCGGCATAGCCAGAAACCCATCAACAGCATCCACATACTCACAAGTCTCGAGACTAATTTCATCCAGCATATTCAGATTAATCCCGCAAACACCCCCGCCGAAATCAGGCCCTTGGGACCCCGGGTTCAGATTCGGGAATGGTACCCCTCCTCCTGTTCCATCTACTTCTGTGGTGATATTCTGCGCAACCCCGGAGTTATCATCCTGAGCATTGCTTTCAGGCGCAGGTTGAAACCACAGTCTTTGCAGCAGTCGTGCGTGGCGGGTTGATATGTGGGCTTCATCCGGCGTGACGCTTTGCAGATGCGCTATGAAGCGGGATATAAGTGTTTTTGTTTCTGGGTAGCGGGCTTGTGGAATCGCGCCCGATGCATGGGCTTTGAATAGGAAGACCGAGGAGTGGATTTCATATCTTCTCCGAATTAGCCATCACCGCCCGCGATGCCCGGCAGGTGGCTTGGGATAGCGGTGCTTACAGGTAGAAACGCGCAGGCAAGTAGCGCAGATGTTTCTCTGGATCAAAGTCCTCGATAAAGATCTTCAGTAGAGACTCGGCTGCGTCGAGGGCATCGTATATGTATCGTGCATCTGGGCTGGCCATTGTTGTATTTGGGAAGTCAAGACTCTCTGCTGTCTCCGAGGCCCGGGTGTGATGAGTTTCATCGGGAACGACCCTCGAAGCACGATACAGAACAGCCTGAAACGCAAATGCACAAACATAAAGACGCAGATACTCCCTCATTAGCGTCAAACAACTCCGCAGATGTTTTGAAACAGCAATCGATCGCCAGGAATACTGCCATGCAGCCAAAGCGCGAGTCGTATCGTCGATATACTTCACATAATCGCCGCGAACGATGAGCTCGACAGTGCGAGCCTTGGACGGAAAAAGGATGTCATGGGCGTTTCCGAATAGAGTTGTTAGTTCGACCTGTGCTTGGATCCACGTTGCGAGGTCTTCGTTGTTTGGGCCTTGGGATTGGAGGGATGGGAAATCTTTTGCTGTTACGGGGACGGCGAGGCCGGGGCCACGGCACCAGAAGGCTTGACCCATTCGGATTGAGATTTGGCGGTCGGAGAGATATGTGACTTTGCTTTGTTAGTTTGATACTAAATTTTCTGAAGAGATGGTGATGATAATTATGGGGAAGAGTGGTTGGTAATCTCATACATGTCCACGCCAACCGGTTCCGCTGGGCATTTTGATCCCCCCCGTTCTCATCGCCACGAAAGGCGTCTTCCAGTCGAAGGCGATACGCTAATCTTACCGCGAGACCGAGGATAGACCATGCAGCCTCACCTCCTCCGTCGTCGGGTTGGCCGTGATTGACGAGATTCCACTCCCCGAGGAGAAGAAGTCCTTCCACACAGCCGACTCGCCGCGTGCTCGCTGCCCCGAAGATCACGTCGAGAATTCGTTGACGAAGGTAGTTCCATAATTCTTTGTGGGTGTTGGACAAGTCGGGATGATCTTTGGACGCTATCACCAAGATCGAGGTGAGGAGGAAGGATTCATTTTCAAGGTTCTCGTAGATATCTGTGCTGTCGAGGAGATCCTTTCGGACAAGAGGGAAAAATTGGTGGTAATTTTCGTGATATCTGTTGAAATGTTAGGGTTTCTAGGTACATGGGGAAGTTTTTGTGATAATCGCGTACGATTTCAAAAGGTTTGATATCATTTCGATGCTTATTGTTCCACTCTTCAACGGTGGATAGGTAGTTTGACCATGAAGATTGTCGCGGCCTTGACCTGGGGGAACGAGGTAACTTGTGCCACTGCGATGCTCTCGTCCTTTGGCTACAGCCTGCCCATTCCTCCCCGCTGGATTTCTCCTCTGTAATGGCGCAATGGAATCAGCCTGTAGATCATGTTGGCTTTGGCTCTGATCTCCTGGATCTCCTGCAGCGTGTGCCAGGATCAAAAGTGCATCTGAGGGATTCTGCAAGTTGTTGTGTACAGTGCGGTCACTGTACTTAGTGGATGGTATCGAGACATTGCCAGGAGACGTGACAGACACGTTCACATTGAAATGAGGTGCTATTGGTGAGTTCCGTTCCGCTTGTGCATTTGATGTCGAAGTCTTCCTCGTTTGTCGGAAACGAGAGTAATCGCCCCCACGTCGAGAGCCAGCGAGAACGCAGTCTGCTCCCTCGCGCTCGCATTTCAGACAAGGTGGCTTTCCAGCCTCTCCGATACTCTGCCTAGAATATGTGAGTCAGAAATGATCATTGGCGGAAATATTTCAGTTCATAGACCCCAAGAGGGAGAGATGCTTTAAAGAGTAACGTAACGAACAAATCACAGCGCGTTTTCCGAGAGCGACATCGCACGCAGGCCCGATATTGTCGTAATCCGACGCCCCTGGTCATGTCCACTTGATTCCTACAGTATTTAAAATTCAGTCTGACTGGAAATAGCAATGATTTCATGCCAATTAGCGAGCAAAATGTTTCATTCGAGTGAATTGGATGGGAGCGGGGCCGGGGTTATAGACGGCTAAAGATAGCTTCTTCCCCGCTTGAAGGATGAAAATGCGGGGAATGTGGCTTTAGACGGTTGCGGACGGCTGTAGATACGCCGGTGCATATGTCTAGGGTAGATCGATTGATTCTATAGTATGCTTCGAATCACTCGGTATGATGACGATTGTTGTGTGAACTTTTTAGTCAAAGGAAATTGATTAGGTCGGTAGCCTCTTCAATCACTTCCAGGGCAACTACAGCAGTAGGTATATGAGTACAGGCAAATCCCCCAAATTTGGTAGTAAAATTGTCTTTTTAAATTTAACACACGAGAATCCGATATCGTTTCAGCCCTGAAATTTCACTATGGCACCTGGTCGCCTTGCTTCGCCATCTATCGATGCCCCTACCGGGCTTCCCACTGGGAAACCTTCTCCATCGACCAACCTGAAGCCTGCCCCCAGCGATAACTATGGCTCATACTACCCGGCAGACCCCAATACACTGAGCCTGGAATCAAATTTCGGTCCCATGGAGCCTGGGAGTGTCGGGTTTCTGCAACCAACTTCAGCCGAAACACCTCTTGAGATCATGCACGAAAGGTTTGAACGAGACGGGTATCTATTTGTATGTAGAAATTGAACTTCTTTCAGGCATGGAAATACTGATACCCTCTTGCATCTAGGTCAAAGGTTGCATATCCAAAGACGCTTCTCTGAAATGTCGCGAGGCATATTTCAATCACATGTCGCCTAGCGGTCTATTGAAAGACGGCACCGCGCCCGTGGAAGGCATATTCTCCCACAAGGATAGTCGAAAATACCTACCCCCAGGAAATCTACGTCGCCTTTTCGGCCTAAAAGACGACGCCGAGAGTGAAAAATACTTAGATCTCATGATTTCCGCCCACGAGGAACCGTTTTATCTCGAACTATGCGCCAATCAAGACCTACGCGACTTTATCACACGTTTCAAGGGTTGGGAAAACCCACAGATGCTCCAGCGGACTATGCTTCGCGCTTTCGTTCCGAATAGTGAACTGACGCCAGTCCACTTTGACCAAATGTACCTCAGAGCCGGTCCGCCCACAAGCTTGACGGCATGGGTACCAATCGGGAATGTTTCGTTGGAAGGCGGTGGCTTGATGTATCTCGAGGGTTCAACCGACATTGGCCAGAGAACTGAAGCTGAATTTGCGCGGAACGCTCATAATCTTTCCGACGAGGAGCGGGTGAGTGCTTTCAATAAGAACATGAGTGATGGAGGATTTCTCAGTCGTGATACTGTTGCCTACGGAAAGGAGAACCGTCGCAAGTGGCTGGTCGCTGAATATGAGGCTGGTGATGTTATTTTCCATAATCCTTGGATGGTGCATGCCAGTTGCAAGAATAAGGATCCAAATAGCCAGATCAGACTTGCGACCGACCTGCGATTTGTGGATCCAGAGAAACCCTATGACCAGGTAAGTCTTTCAGATTCTCTGCTTGGTATGACAAGTGCTCCATAACTAACTAGTGGAAGCGATGGATGAAAGTTTATCGCCCGCTGGATGGGCTTTAAAATCTACGAAATACTACCAGTACTACTGTCAATCGAACATTTTCTCAAAAATATCAGATACTTCTGATATAATTGTTCACTCAGAAATTTTCAGAAAAGATACTTAACAGTCTATGAACTTCAAGTTGAAATCCAATGATACATAGATCTATTTGACATTTCTGTCCGAGTGCTTAGTACTAGTTTTATCCATACCAGTACCTAATTACTACTCAAGACATCGTACCTTCGCCTGAGGAGGTCTCCGTTAACTTCGGTATTGATTAGCAAAGTATTGATGCCTTTTTGTAATTCAGAAGTTGTTAGTAATCATTTCGCCCGTCATTAATACTGCCATGGGTCTGAGCGCTTCCTCCCCGCAACTCTGCAAGAATGACGGTTGCAGAACAAACGATCCCAGTGCGCAGCGAAGGGATGGAGATGACCACTCTGCCCGGTGATGTCGTTGAATATAGAGCGAGACTTCCAACGACTATCGCAGGCAACGCCACGCGACTCGGAGAAAACACGACCCAAGAGATGTCCAGCCACAGCGGATCGTTTGCGGGGAACAGAAGCCCCACGGGTGTCAAATTTTGGCTCCTTATGCTTAATCTAGGCGCTGTCTTGATCCTTATCAGCATAGACATGAATATTGTTGCGACTGCTGTGCCTACAATAACCGACCATTTTCATTCCGTCGCAGATGTTGGCTGGTATTCGTCTGCCTTTAGGCTGTGCCAGTGTGCTTTCCAATTTGTCTTCGGAAAGGCGTACAGATTGTTCTCAATCAAGCGCGTTTTTCTACTTGCCAACGTTATTTCAATAGTAGGATCGCTGCTCAGTGGAATAGCTGTCACTTCAACAATGCTTATTCTCGGAAGAGCTGTTGCTGGGCTAGGTGCTGCCGGGCTCCTTTCCGGATGCTTTATCATTCTCGTCCAATCGACAGATCTGAGGAGACGTCCTATGTTCACGGGAATTATGGGTGCAGTTGAAGGGCTCGCCACTCTCTCTGCGCCAATTCTTGGCGGTGCCATTGTACAATCACTTGGTTGGCGATGGTGCTTCTATATTAATGGCCCAATCGGCGTTGTCACCATCATGTTGACGATATTTTGCTTCGCAGATACGCCGAAGCCTGGCGGTATTGAAAGGTTAGAATTAAAGCAAAAGATCTCGCAGCTTGACTTGATGAGCAATATGCTCTTAATCCCGGCCATGACCGGCCTGTTCCTCGCATTATCCTGGGCTGGTACCAAATATCCATGGAATAGTGGCCCAGTGATAAGTCCTTTGATTTCTTTCATCCTTTTAACAGCAGCCTTCATCTACAACCAAAAACGCCGAGGTAACGAGTCCGCCCTGCCGCTACGTATAATGAAGCACCGTAGCATCATCGCTGGTTTTATCTTCATCATGTGCGTCAACAGCACCGGAAGCGTGCTTGAATATTATCTTCCCACCTATTACCAAGTGGTTCGTGGATATACGCCTGCGAAAAGCGGCTACATGATGCTACCTATCATCATCGCCGGTACTATTGGCTCTTTAGTCCACGGCTTTGGTACAAGTATCTTTGGGTATTACGCACCCTTTATGGTGTTCGCCTCTACCATCTTGCCGATCGCCGCAGGCCTCATCACGACGGTCAAAATCAATACCAGTTTTACGCAACTGATCATCTATACCGGATTCTCTGGTCTTGCTTATGGCATCGGATTTTCAGGGCCCCAAAACGCAGTGCAAACCGTGTTAGTCGCAGAGGATGTCCCACTTGGCACTTCTATCATGCTCTTCGCGCAGTCATTTGGTCCGACCGTCGCGGTCGCTATTGCGCAGGTTCTTTTTGTCAATCAACTTTCCACCAACCTTAATGTCCTAATACCGGGAATAAGTCAGGCAGATCTTGGAACATCAAGTCTCAACCATATTGTCGCGAGTGTGTCTTCGGAAAAGTCGCGAGATGTCCTAATCGCGATCGATAAGAGTCTCATCCAAACGTGGTATCTAGTGGTTGGGTTGGCGTGCACAACGATGATAGGGAGTTTGCTGATAGAATGGCGATCAGTTAAATCTAGGCGCGACTAAAAGAGCAGGAAATCAAACATAATTAAGGCTGCAAAGGGCATTGCTACCTGTGGTGATGATCTCAATGCACATGAAAATTGAGACCGGGTGATTTGGCGATTGAGAAGGTCTCACATGTCAGGACTTAAATTCAAAAAAGTAAAAAAATCTTCTACTTAAAATTCCATTCCATTTGCCCAGGTGCTCCACAATGTATTTTAACGTGTTGATTTTTTTTATCGTCGGCATATCCCACACTAGTTTTCCGTCTATAGCCGTCAATTTTTCCATGGCTAGAATGACCGCCCCAACGGCCCACTTCCCCACTGGCAGGTTCATGTGGCTGAAAACTATAACCCGCAAAATAATACTAGAGATGGGGAAGTGCTCTCAGCGTCGAATTGGCAAATACCTGATTTGCGGATTGACGTTAGGGACCGTCTGTTGCCGTCTGGTCAATACGAGTCTAAAGAGAGTTTGAATTAGATTTGGGAGAATGAAGGGCGGGGAATACCAAGAAAGGGGAGTCACTAGTATTATAAAGACGACGATCATCCAGTGCAGCATGATCTTCTTATTCAGCTCTTCCAGCTTACACCGTGATCATGCTACTTCGCAAATTTATTCGCAATGAAGCCATTGAAAAAGACCCCCCCAGAGATTTATAACCTTCGGACCATACTCATTAGCTTAGTGGTTCGTAAGACCCTAAACAATATGAATCATTAATCAAGCTAACGTATAAAGGCATGTGGCGGTGCTTTATTATTTGGGATGGATATGGGCGTTATTGGGGGTGTTCTGACCATGGAGCCTTTTAAGGAGTAAGGTTTCAAATTACCCGAGCTGCCAGCAACTTGACTCATACCTTGTCAGGAAATACGGCCTGAACAACAAATCACCGATACAGCAAGCCAATCTTTCTTCGAATATAGTCTCCGTCATTCAAGCTGGAGCCTTTGCGGGCTGTTTTCTTTCGATGTGGCTAGCTAACCGCGTTGGTCGCCGCGTGTCGTTGATCATAGCTTCGATTCTCGTGTTCATTGGAGTCGCATTACAAGCCGGGGCTTCTGGATATATTGCATCCCTCTACGTTGGCAGATTTATTGCCGGAGTCGCAATTGGGATTGCATCAAGTGTCAACCCATTGTATGTTTCGGAAAATGCCCCCAGGGGTATTCGAGGGCTGCTTACTGGATTCTACCAGCTGAGCATCGTAACTGGTCTCACTGTGAGTGTGATATTATCCCGCGATAGAAGTTCGAGTACTGTCACTGACATTTGCCTAGCTCGCCTTTTGGATCAACTATGGCTGTACCTTGCACATCGAGGGGCCTGCTCAGTATATCATCCCTCTTTCATTACAAGCACTTCCTGCCATTATCCTCTTTATTGGTATGCTTTTCGCGAACGAGTCTCCTAGATTCCTAGCGATGAAATCACCAGAGAAAGCTCTGGCCGTTTTATCCAAGTTGCGTGGCCTATCCGCAGATCATCCCTACGTTCGAGGTGAATTGGAAGGTATCATTCTGCAGCTAGAAGAAGAGCGGTCGTTGACAGCGCAGAGCTCCGGTCTTTTGCTTATTAAGGAAGCTTTCACAATTCGATCCAATCGCCGACGCACGTTTCTTTGTATCACTTTAATGATGTGGAGTAACTTGACAGGAACCAATGCTATGACGTATTATAGTCCTGATATTTTCAGCAGCATGGGATTATCGGGCTCTTCCGCAGGACTTTTTGCGACAGGGATTTACGGAATAGTCAAAATTGTGGCTTGCTTCATTTTCATAGTGTTTGTGACGGACTCCCTAGGCCGGAGAAAGAGTCTTCTTTGGACTGGTATTGTTCAGGTCAGCTATCCTCCTTAGAAACTTGCACGTCCTCTATCTTGACTAAGTATGCAGGGTCTCATGCTGTTTTATATTGGGTTTTATATTCGATTTGATCCGCCAAGTGGTAGTTCGGGGCCCACCTCGGCGGGATATGTCGCATTGGCTGCCATTTACCTTTTTGCAGCTGCCTATCAATTCGGCTGGGGACCTGTTGTTTGGACATACTGCTCGGTATGCCTGAAAATACTGACTAAGAAAAACAACTAGCTAACTCATTTGATAGGAAATCCCCGCTGCTCGTCTCCGACCTCTTCAAATGGGGATGGCTACAGCCAGTCAGTGGTTGTTCAACTTTGTGGTAGCTAAGGCTACGCCAAATATGTTCGCAACATTGGGTGTCAATGGATTCGGGACTTACTTTATATACGGGTCTTTCTGCTTCACTATGGTTGTGTTTGCGTGGTTCTTTGTACCGGAAACGAAAGGTAATCATCAACGTCCCTGTATATCCAAACGCCCTACTAAATTTCAGGCAGGATTATCACTGGAAAATATGAATGAGCTGTTTGAGCAAAACAATCTGAGGGGAAAATTCACTCCCTCTCGCTTTGAAGGCGGAGGAAACGATCGAGAGCTGAAGTCAGATTCAGAAGTGCACCCTTCCATTGAGCATGTGGATGATGTGCAGAGGGTTGTTTAGTAGTCCTGGGGTCTCTTTTTGTACCTAGGTAGATAGTTATCAAAGCCACATCTTGCAAAGATATTCCACTTGGGTTTTGGATGCGATGTTGCACAGAATATTTCGTCAATTCCTTTTTTTTCCAATTTGGAATATCCAAAGGGCAGAGCAATAAAATGTACAACAAATTTCATGCATGAGAAATTATGGCTGACCATGAAGCTGATTGCCGCATACGAACAACTATCTAATTTTCTCAAAAACGTTGATCGGGTTCGGGATGATACAATCGAGCCTGTATATTAGCTCGGGGACAGAGAAGTGGGCTATCACCAACAACTTGAACCTTGAAACGTGTAAGGACTCAGATGCTTTGAAAGATAGCAGTAGTATTGAACGAAGGTACACATGAGCGGCTGCCTGGGTCACGTTTTTAGACACGTGCTCAGGCACCGAGAGAGCTTCGATCGTTACAAAACGTCATGCAATTCGACCCATCAGTTCGAATTTGTGCTTGAATGAAAGCTGAAAACCCTGCCATAAAAGAAAGAAGAATAAAGAGGAAAAAAAGAGAAACACCGAAGCGAACTAAACAAAAATAAAAACATACAACAGATATTGTATGGTGGTGGTCACCTAGCGCCCACGATTTTGTCCTAGCTGGCTCGCCCTAGCGGGTGCCGCTTCAGCCTTTTACCTAAAGGGCCAGATCTGACATGCAAAGTCGTATTCGTAGAATTTAGTAGGGAAAAAGTAGACAAGGCACTCCGATGTATTTGAGTAATAAAATAAAAAGTTTTGACTATATCTCATTGGTCTGTTCTCACCCACTTCTCTCATGCTAGTATATCTTACTTTGGTCACTACTCAGATGAAATATTGGTTTCCTAAATTGTTGGTGCCGCTCCTACATATCTCTAGTTAGTGCCCCTCTATGGGGGAAGGTACCTAGGGAGTACTAGTCCTTTACGGAGTGGTGATGTGGTATTATGTAACTAGTGGCTGGTCTTTAGACTTCGTTGTACACTCTGCACCAAGATAATGGATATGCAAGATCGCGGTCCCGAGGTCTTGGCGTGACTCGAAAGTGGAGTATCAGAGGTCCTCAGGTCCAATTGAAACCTCCGATATTTGGGGGCCATTCCCAGGCATTACCTATTGTATACTACCAAGTGCAGGGCTTTTAGTGCGACAGTATCACTCCGCAAGAGAAACAAATTTATACTATACAAACAACAGCAATGTTAATACCGTCCAACAATAGAGGCTGAGCTGAGAGGGGAAAAAATAGCGGGGGCTAACTGTGGGGTGGAGACCAATAGTTGATTATTATATGTGATTACGGAGTATTCCTAGTGTCGGTCGCAATAGGGGTCTGAGACGCCGATCGGTTTTAGCCAATACATAAATTTGAGGGTCAAAAATCAGGGTCTTCCCTGCTCTGATAGCTTCGTTTTTTCTAAATATTTACCCACTTCCCCTTCTTTCCGACACAACATAATGACACCCCGTCCAATGCTCGATCTCCCTGTGGAGCTGGTCCATACGATATTATCGTATCTCCCCAATAGCGATATCAAGTCCCTCCGCCTTGTCTCTAAGCAATACTGCGATTCGGTGCAGCTCCGACTCTCCAGAGTGTTCTTGTCAGCCAATCCTCTCAACATCAAAATCTTTCGCGCCGTTGCAGATCACGAGGAATTTCGCCACCATATAACGGAAATCATCTGGGATGATGCACGGCTTTCCCACAGCGGTAACGATATTATCCATCCCGAGCAGGGCATCTGGTTACCAAACACCGATATAAGTGACAATGAGATTGATGAGTTCAACGAGGAAGAAGACTGGGACAAAGGCTTGGAAGATTTATATTTTCGAGAGGAGGACTATGATCGTGTTCATCTCGTGATACGAAGTAGGAGATTCAAGAGGCAAAGGTGCCCCCACTGGTACAAGGCTGCATGTAAGCAATCTCTAGAGCGTACGATTGAACGGCGCTCAGGGAGTTCCCTTTTACCTGCGGAATGTCCCAGTATACAAGACCTGTGTGAAGTTGGGCCCTCATTGGGCGAGTGTTGGGAATATTATCGCCAATTAGTCAAAAAACAAGATGATGTTCTTGCTGGAGGCTATGACGAAGAGGCGTTTGTGTATGGACTCGAAAAGTTTACCGCACTGAGAAGAGTCACAGTGACCCCGAGTACCCACAACCTGCTCTTTGGTCCATTTTACCAAACTCCGATGATTCGAGCTTTTCCACCTGGGTTTTTCTATCCTATCCCCTTTGGATGGCCAACGTCCCTTACAGAAGAGCCAGAAGATGTACCCGCATTCCCTGGCAAGCTGTTGATGAAAGGCAAAGAGAAAAATACCGTGGATTCCGCATTGCGATACGTGCACTTGCCCAACATAAACACGATGTAGTGGAGCTGAGTCTTGATGCTAGGCTGCGGTTCACGGGAATCAATTGCAGGATATTCGAAGATCCTTGTCCGGAATACGATAATTTCGTCGAGGTTCTTAAGCACCCAGGATTCCGGCGCCTAGATCTTCCTCTCATATTTGGTGGAACCGGGTCCGAACCTAGGTGGCAATCTTTCAGAAACGGAAAACTTCGTGCCGCACTAAGTGAAGCGGGTGATCTAGAAGAGTTCAGCTTCTATACCGCTGGACTGGATGGTTACTTTGAAGGCGACGAGCCACCGATTAGCACTGTACCTGTTCTCCTAGAGAGTATGTTTCCTCTTGATAAATGGCACAAACTTCGCCACTTCGAGTTATCACGATTCATTGTCAGCCAGACCAATGTTATCTCATGCCTTTCAAAATTGCCAGATACGGTAGTTTCCGTCAAGCTAAGCCTCCTGGTATTCATTGATGGTGAATATTCGTGGCATGTCTTCTTAGAAGAGATGCGCAAGCAAATACAGGAAAAGACCCTGTGGCCCAATAGCCGACCCAATGTTATTATTGGTACTGAGAAGGATATGTGTGGTAACGGTGAAGTTATCTGGTTTGAAAAGGAGATACATGCTTTCTTATACGATGACGCAGAGAATCCATTTGAGTCCCCGCCAGACATCGGCCCTAAATTTAAATGGGGGACATGGAAGGATGCACTTGATCCATATTCAGTTTGACTTCCGGCAGTTTTCTCTTCTAGTCAACGATCCATTGGTCTTTCTTGCGCAAATAGCAATTAAGATTATCTATTTGGAGATTGTACAATTCAGAGATACCGTAGATACCCACAAACCAGGAAAAAAAAGATTTCAATGAACTTCGATGCATCTCCCTTTCATGTTCAATTCAGTCCATCTCATGGTCTGGCATACGCGATACGTGAAGGGTCTCTGTTGATTTACCAACTATTATTAGAAGCTGGGGCCGTGGCCGATGAGCAAATACAGAAGGAGATTCCATTGATGGTGGCAGCTTCACTGGACTATGATCATATTTGCCAAGTTCTCCTGGATTTTGGAGCAGATATTAACCGACTGATGAATTCTGACGATTCTGTGATACGTGACCCCACTGATGCGACTGATGCATTGAGTGCAGCTACTATGTTTGGCAATATTCAGACGGTGGAATTACTTCTCTCCAACGGGGCTCATATCAGAGGTAGCGCTCTTGCGTACTCTCTGAGTGGACTGGAAGACGGGCCTCAGGATTCACACCGTGAGATCTGTAACATTCTGATACAGCACGGGGCTGACTTGAATCCGGATCTTGGGGGATTCTATGACACACCGCTCGCTATGGCACTCCATAATTGCTGGTGGGATATTGCTAGATCTATGATCAAAAAAGGTGCGAGAGTTGATACCAGTGATCCTACCTGCCTTTCAGCGGGAAACATTTTGGTTGAAGCAGTTTTCAGCGTTGAAATGACTCGTGAAATTCTTGGTATTGGCGTTGACGCTGATTCTCCAATTGCAGCTGTTGATTCATGGGCCTGGGAGCTCAATGATGAGGCCTACAATTTCACTACGGCACTTCAAGCTGCAGCATACTATGGAAGTGTTGACACTGTGAATCTGTTACTCGAAAATGGTGCTAATCCAAAAATCCTTGGTCCACCATACAGGACCCTCTCGTTGTCTCCTTTCGCAGGAGTCTGTTATTACACAGAAAACATCCAAATCAACCCCTTTGGGGCCGATTAGGTCCCTTCACCTGAACGTCCTGAACATCCCTTCACCTGACATGGCCCATCGGCTTAAGTCTCTCTCCACTCCTCTTCCTGCTTATGTTCAGTCCTAATTCTTGGTGGCCTGAACCGAACCTTGACGGAGCTAACCACAACGTAAGATGAATTCGCTGTAGCTAATACAAACGTCTAGTCTTGGGCATCTCATCTCTAGGTGACGCTGTGAGCATTCTGACCAAAGAGGAGCTGCAGGAACAAAGTGCTTGATTCTATATTAATAACCAAAATTGAAAGGACTCAATCGTGGCCTAATATATGGGGTACTTCGCTGATCAAAACTGAATTGAACTGGCATTTTTGAATCTACCGTATGTTAAGGGCCCTGGGGTTCTTCTTTATATCTTATCGTCGCCAATAATCTCCACCACGAAGAATACCTGGTAACATACAGAATCAAATGGCTGGATAGGTGGTATCGACCTCCCCTGCTGAAGGCTCTCGCAGTTGACCCAGCAAAGAACTCGGAAAAGGATTGTAGCCCGTATTATGTTCACCTGATGTTGAAAGATTCAGTCGAAGTTGAGGGTCAAGATTCGAACCCATTAGAGCAGACCGTGTCTGAGGACTCAATGCGTCTTGTACGTCCAGCATCACTTCCGGGCCATAAGAAAAATCTTGGGCGGGGAATGCTGGAAGCCACAGATCCTCGTCGGTTACAGGTCCTATGTTGTTCCCCCATCCGTAAATAGGGCAATCGGTGGAGATCGCACTTGAGGCCCTTTCCCCTTCTGTTTGAGTTCGAGGTGTGTCGTTTATAGGATGTGTATTGTCGGGATCGTTCGACTTTCGACCAGGGAATAGCGAATTGAGTTGGCTGGATACTTGGCGATGGAGAATCCTTTTGATACGTGCTCGAATGATGTCAATACTTCGATCCAAGCCAGGCATAGCTGCGGAAGTACGCTGAAGGACATCAAGTAGAAACTTGAGTTCTGTCCAAGCTTCCTGGTGTGATTGGGAGGGCTGTGATCCTTCCTCGGATGTTTCTAATTGATATACGGCAGTTGTCGCAGCCATATAAGTGCAATAGCTGTTCATATATGTAATATGATGATATCCAAAAGTATGGATATACATTTTGAGAAGACCATATATGGCAGTAGTCGCCCCTCGGCATATCTTCCAGCTCTCTCGGATCGCAGCAGAGGAAGGGACATCTCCACCTGCAACATGAGGCCGATGAAGAAGAATGATGGCATTATAGTACATCAGGTTGAGCGATGTAATATGTGGCGGTGGACTCAATTGAGGCATGTTGAGTGGTATTCGTAGGAATGATGGCAAAGAGGAGTGCCAATCCTGCAGCTCCATTTTGATCTCCAGAAAAACAGCCATCCGTGGATCAGAGGATTTTTCCGAGTAGCTGGCAGACTGCGAGCTATAGAGTTCCAGCATGACACGTGTGAGTATCTTGCAGAGTTTACATAGCTCTGTGAAACAGGACATGACATGACCTGGGGTTGGGGGATATTGAGGAAGCTCTTCAGAGTTTGGATCTGGTCCATAAAATGGTACCCACGGATCATGATCGGTCAAATTGTCTAAAAACTCCAGTGATACGGTCTCCGCACCCATAACGAAATTGGGCATCCTCCCTAGGTATAGGCTTATGTGCTTATCCCAGGCATACAAGCTCCAAAAGAGACGCTTTCTTATCTCAATCTCCTCTGATGAGAGTGAGGTAGAATATTGTTGGAGTTTGTCAGGAGATACATGTAGGCCAAGATCAATAGCCATACGAAATGCCATGCCGGAATATAGCCATGCAGAGGAGGACCGACCACATGCCACATCTCGAGCTGACTGCTGGAGTAGTGCTTGGATTGTAGGAATGGTAGGAGGATTCAAAGTTTCCATGGCCAGCAAGGCCTTTGCCTCTACCATCAAACGGTCTGAAAGTTCCTGGAATGACTCGCTGTGACTGTTCGGGCTCCACACTACATCGGGTGACCGTATGAATCGACAGCTATGAGCAAAGAGCACCTTCACGAGGGTTGAAGAGCAATGCGTAGCAGATCGATCCCCACGCGCAAGGAGAGGCATATCTCTCGTGAAAGCGGGGCGGTAGACGAAAAGAAAACTTGGATGCAACCAACACCAATGTAGCTTTAACAAAGTACTAGCAAGGTCGTTGGGTAGATTTGTTAGTGACTGTGATGCGTCCAAATTCGTGTTTTCGAGGTCTTTTTGGGTGGTGGCATTGGCCGCCAGTTCTTGTCTGATATCTGCTTCTCGACTTTTGTTTGTCGATGACGACAACAGTGTCGGAAAATATAGTGGACGAGCATTATTTTGTGGCAAATGTTCATGTAGAGCAGAAGTCTGGTTATGGTAACCAACATCGCCCAGCGCATCCAGACTTATAGAATCGTCGCCCTGATTGCTGAAAGTCGAGCCAGCAAAGGACGAACTAAATTGTGAGGTTGACTGCTTGCTAGCATTGCGCTCTAATTCGCGAATACGTGACTGCAATGAGCGCACATAGGCAAGTGAGGGCGATTTATCATAGTGGCAAGACGAAGCATTCGCGACACAAGCGGAGCAGCTTGGCGAAGCCCCATCGCATTTGCTCTTTCGTCGCCTACAATTCGAACAGACGATTTTCTGATGCTTCACCATTATTGCTTGATGACAAACTCCATTTCGAAGTGCGAAATACAGCTTCGCCGAGCATATGCAGAAAGGGAAAAAGGGAAACGCGGAGATTGAGGCGGAGAATTGCCGGGGACTGGGAAAATGTGGGGGCTCCACGCTTACCTTTTAGTGAGCCACTAAGCTTGGAAGTCTGCTTTCTAATGATTCTGTACTATTGAGGCCCATTTGAATTGCTAATAAATGTCTGTAGCTAACCTTCTCTTACTTTGAGCTACTAGTCACTCGGAAATTTGTCGTAGACCCCATGTTCCCTTTTCTATAGGAAATTTGGGCTGTGCGGTGACCCCATGAAGACGGCTGTTCCAGTTTGCAATCTGATTGGTTGACATGTAAAACATGACATAAGATAGCTTCCACGTGACCCTGATGTAGCCTTGTGTCGGGACTTGACTGTACTTAGCTTCTAAGGCGTTTTGAGCCCACAATTATCTGCTTATGAAATCTCAGGATCTAGGGAAACCAGGAAATTCGGTAAAGGAAAAATACTATCAAGTTTCCAAGCGATCCATTCAGGTCTGAATTAAATCTAACCAACATATATCTTCTCATAAATATAGAAAAAATAGGTTTCCCTTGTATAGATTCCCAGCAAAAAGACTAAAGAACATATCTGAAATCTTTGTTTTCAAATTCAGTTCGGTCCTGCATTCCAGCCTCATTACTTCGAGCCTTGTCAGCTGGACCATAGCGTGAGTCACGACGGCGATTGACAATGAACATATAGCCTAGTCTCATTAGCATTTCAAAACCGAGATTAAGAGCAATGAGATGTTACCAAGTAATGACAGATGGCATGCTGCCTTTATTGCGTAACCGACTAGCAGACCAATTGTGGCGCCCTCATATCGAGGAGCCTCTGATGCCTTCACTACAAAAGGCCCTGCAAAATTACCCCAGCAATAGGCAGTACTGCAACGGTTTAGTCCAAGTTAAATATGTGAAGCTCAGATTATGGTGATACTCACAAAACAAGAGCGTTGGCCATAGCTCTGTGGGTATAACCAGCCATGTTTGAAGAAATAGTCACCAACGAAACTGTGAAGCCGACAGATTGCGCATTCACCAACCAAAAGCAAACGAGTCTCTGCCACTTTTGCTCCCTGGGAAGATACGCCATACAAGCCGCAGCAACTGTGCATAGAATATTGGCAGTAGTCGAGGTGAGTAGACGGGAGTTTGGCACATTCAACGTGATAGTGCCACCAATGATCAACGCAACGATGACTACTGCATCACCAACGGATTTCAACTCTGTAGTCATAGTTTGGGAGAAGCCCATGTCTTTGATAATGATCGTCGAGAAAGAGTTGACAACACCGTTGGGAATAGCAGCAGCAAACACGGATATAAATAGTAAGATGGCCTTTGGATCTTTGAATGCAACCATGCCCTGCTTCTTGTCAAATGACTTGTTCTTGATACCAGTTTCATTACCGGCGACACGCTTGACTGCAATTATACGCTCGGACTTGGTCAAGAAGAATGCACTTGAGGGCGAATCAGGCAAAACGAAGAAGATCACGAATGCCCAGAGACAGGTGGCGCTACCGAGAATGTAGAACAGTAGCTCCCAACGTGCTGGACTCATATCAACGGGAAGCTTAGTGATGCCGAATGAAATGTAGGACCCGACAATGCCACCCCATCCAAGAGCTGAGTACCAAATACATTGACGAAGAGGAATTTCTTGTCGGGTATACCAGAATCCGGTCATGAGAGTCAACCCGGGGGTGACAGCAGCTTCAAAAATACCCATAATGAAACGTGCTCCCAACGCACTGGTGAATGTATGGCACTGGGTCATGATAATGACCATCAACCCCCACATCATGCAGCTCACCCCCAAGACACGCTGAGCAGGGAATCTTCCTACAAGCCACCCACATGGGTACTGTCCAAAGAAGTAGCCGGCGTACACCACTGAAACATGTCAATTCCTTTCATGCCCTAGCCCAAAATTTTGAAGGGGAAATGTACTTGCTGAAAGGTAATTGAACTGTTGACCTTTCAAATTCAGTGTCTCTTGGTATCCGAGCAGGTTCGCATAGTTCAACGCCGTCTTGTCCATAAACTGCAGGGCTTGTGTGATGAGGAAAATAGGAAGTACAACGAAATCAATCTTCCATCTGACTTTGGCTTCCTAGAAATTCTCAGTTAGCATTCGGTTACAAGTCGTCTGAGAAAAGAAAGCCCACCCACCTCCTTTGCAGTGAACACTAGGTGTAATCCGTCTCGGTATTCCTGGTATCCGACCGCATTTCCCTTGAGAAATGTTAAAATAGGAACCTTGAATGTCCCGAAAGAGCGGTTATACCTTGTAGATTGAGCCCGACTTTGCTTCTTCAATATCGTTGTCAAGAGGACTCTGCACAGGGGTCGCCTCCTCGATATGCATATTGTCTGATCTATCCTGCTTTAGTGGCATGGCAAAGGGTGCAAGGTAGAATTACAGGAAAATAAAGTGGTTCGCAGCATGCTTTTTATCCGAATGATCTACCTGGCACCCCTGGGACTTATAATCCCAAAATTTCTCCGCGTGGAAATCCGCAGATTGCGGGGGCCAATCCCCAGACACCGGGCGACTTCCGTGGCCACCTCGCCTACGGCGGATGACCGCTGGGTCTCGGCTTAGCTAATAAATGGGAAAATCAAACTTGGGATAAGTACGTTCGGCAGTTGTCCACAATATTCATAAATTGCGAAGGCTGACACGTAAAAACTACTTTATTTTTACTTTTTGGATTTTATGCTATCTATCGTTATAAAATGCCGCTTTCTAGTGACATTGATCAAGGCAAAACCTGGTTAGCCCAGCCATCAGGGCTTTGTTGCCTGAAGGGAATCCTTCATGAAGGCACTTCACGTGGGCGCTTTGTAACGGTTGCCGATGTAGAAACATACATCGTGGAGCCTAGTCAGAGCAACGCAAATGGCCACATTCTACTGTACTTCCCTGACGTATGGGGAATGTTTCCAAATGGTCTCCTAGTGATGGATGCCTTTGCCGACTCTGGCTATCTTGTGCTGGGACTTGACTACTTCAGGGGTGTATGATCTTCTCGGGTTTTACTTTCCTCGACCACGCTGATTGCTTCTAGGACCCGGTTTGGAAACATCGTCGTGATCGCCATGACCGGTCAAACCCGGATTTTGACTACGAGGCTTGGAAGCGAAAGCATATGTCCTTTGCAGATGAAGCAGTCCCACGTTGGGTCGATGAAGTGAAGAGGTCGTATGGCCAGGCATCGACCAAGTATGCATGCGTTGGGTATGTGGTTCCCTGTGTTTGTAAAGTGTTGGGAAAGCTCTAACCTCAACCATCGATTAAGATATTGTTTTGGTGCCCCGTATGTATGCGACGAGCTGGCCAAGAACACCGTCAACGCCGGCGCATTCGCCCACCCAGCCTTTTTGAAAGACGCTCATTTTTCAAAGATTACCAGTTTGTTGTCTTTATTTAATCTACTCAATTCGAAACAGAAACTGATCATTCTCAACAGAGCCACTATTACTGTCTTGTTCTGCGGAAGACCATACATTTCCTCTACAAGCCAGACAAGTCGCTTTAGATATCCTGGAGTCAAGTCAAAAGATCTACCAATTCCAACTTTTCTCTGGTGTATCGCACGGATTTGCTCTACGGGGTAATATGAAAAGCCCATATGAACGTATGATATCATTCTTCATATCGTTTCCAACCTCAAACTTGAAAGCTGACATTAACCAGGCTACGTGAAGGAGCAGAGCTTAAAGGCAATTGTGGAATGGTTTGACTTTTGGTTGTCATAATAATTTGACGATAGAATTATAATATATATTTAAAATGGCTAAAATTGAAACATTACCTATGTAGTCCTAAACCAAAAAGTTCCTATGACCTTTGTGTTCTTCCACTTGACTAAATAGTGACAAGGCCTAAAGCTCTCACCGGTGACAAAAGCCGCTATTATCATTGGGTTGTAAATAGACCGGCCCAGCCTCTGAGCCATGAGATTTGGCATGAAACTATCCGAGAAGCAAACCCCAAAAATCCCAATGTCAAGCCGACTTGCCATTTAGCAATCCCCATGGGGGCCAAAACTGAACTTGCATCCCCAGGCTGGTCTATTGGAAGGACAAGATCGATTCAAATCTTATTGCGATAGTGGGTGTCTCAAAGTCACTTAGACAGCTGGGGTCGGGGAATCGGCGGATGGCCGAAGAGGCCTAAGTAACTATCGGTATCAGTGGAGATTTAGTATTGTAAGACATCGCCAGATTGCATCACTATAACTTAATCGAGAGTCTTAGTCATTCTCGGGGACATGGAAATCTGGGAACATAACCAATAAAGAAGACAAGATATCTGTGATTCGTCCATATGATTGGGTCTAAAGCTGTTTCGACACTAACCTCACAGCCACCGGAGGATGGCCGTCATCCGTTGTGCTCATGTTGGAAACACGAATAGATCTTTATAAAAGCACGTTACAACGAACTTCACACCTTTAGAAACCCCAAATACCATTTTCTATAACAATCGATTTCAACATGGCCGCTGCTGCTTTCGATTTCACTGGCGAGGTGGCCATTGTCACTGGCGCTGGATCTCGTATGTATGGTAGGTTTAATATGATCTATCGTTTGCTATGCACGTCAATACTGACAAGTACCAGCCGAGATTGGGAATGGACGTGCGACTGCTATCTTACTCGCCAGACAAGGCGCTAAGGTGGCACTAGTTGACTATAATTCCGAATGGGCCCAAGAGACCAAGCGCATGATAGACCTCGAGGGCGGCGTATCAGAGGTTGTACAAGCCGATGTGACCGATGAAAAAAGCTGCAAAATGGCTGTGGCCAAGGCCATTGAGTTGTTTGGAAAAGTGGATATTCTTGTCAACATTGGTGAGTTTCTACTGACCTCTAGAGGATTCTACAAAACTAATAAAATATCAGTTGGAGTTGGTGGAACCCTAGGGGATGCCACGAAGCTCGATCTTACGGCTTGGGAGCGTGATTTCAAGATAAATGTCACCAGCATGGTGCTTATGTGTCGTCACACCATCCCTGAGATGAGAAAGAATGGAAGAGGCGCAATTGTCAACATGTCTTCAGTGAGCGGTCGTAAGTCTTTTTCATTATTTATTCTCTTGATTATCTCTGACACAAAATAAAGTTCTCGGTGGAAATCCTAGTCTCCTATATCCCACAACCAAGGGTGCCATTATTCAAATGACCCGGGCCATGGCTGCCCAGCACGGTCCTGAAAATATACGGGTCAACTGTGTTTGCCCCGGAATGGTTTTCACTCCGATGGTACGAGGCAGAGGCATGACGGATAAGATGCGACAGGATCGCATCAACCAGAACCTCTTAAAACAGGAAGGCACTGGATGGGATGTTGGTTATGGTATGAAACTATCCCATCAAACCTTACACATAGTACTTCTGTTAACTTTGAATAAACAGCTATCCTCTTCCTTTGCAGCAAGGAAGCGAAATGGATCACTGGCTTGATCATGCCCGTTGATGGCGGTGTAAGTTGTTCACTATTTCAAAGCCCAATTGAACTCAACTCTAACTTCCCTTCAATAGACCACTGCAGGAAAGGCAGACAGACCAGCCTTGAAAGCCGATACTCTCGCCGAGCAGAACACGATGATTCCCAATAATGCTTAAGCAATAACCATGTTGCTTGTAGTAGAGCTTTGGACAGCAAAATTAGACGAATTCTACCACTTGATCAAATGTGAGATAGTTGGACTCGTACTATAAACTTTGCGTCTTATCGACTAAGATTTGAGTTCTCTTGAAACTTAGGTCTTTGTTCCATTATACCTAGGTACCAAGTAATATATATATATATATATATATAATGAAAGATGGGAATGCTCGCTGGCTGTCTGTCTAGCAGACGGGTCGATCACAAGAGGACAAAACCACCACACTCGCAGAGTGTAGGAGAGTAGTAGACGAAGCGTGACGCTATAGAGGAATAATAGAACGAATAACAGAACCTTTCATGGGCGGTATATCGATACCGCAACCTCAGCAGCCTCAGTAGAATATTTCGTAAGGGGGAACATACGTTATAGTTATTGATACTATCGAACGAACGCTACTTAACCTCTCGAAACAAAACAATGGCCTTGTTGCTAAGGCCTCAATCACATGACTCCGGGATGCCGATGTTGAGAGCGGAAATCCCCATTACAATAACTGTTATTCCTCTGACATGTCCTCTACCCATCGCGAGCAGGTGGCCCCAACTGGGCGTGGCCCCGGAATGATATATTCTTTTGTTATAATATCAAAATAAGATCATTTGGTAATTTGAATGTAAATCAGCTCTCAGGCAAGGTTTGTAATAAGCTCAGCAACACTATTCATCTCACGCGCATTATTCTCTCCAACATCCAGCGCCACAAGAATCCTACTCACACAGTTGTAACCGGCAATTGTGGCTGTAAGCTCTACAATCTCCCGATTTGACAGCTCTGTATTAATGAGTTGCTGGAACACCTCGTTAGAAACATTGACAGATTCTGTCATAGCATCGGTATAAGCAAGAACTGCTTGCTCTCGGGCCGTAAGACACGACTTCTTCCAGGCATGAATGTTTGCCTCAGTCGCTTGACAGAACAATGGAAGTGAGCGCACATTCTGCAAAGCTGGCGCTTTAAGTCCAGCCTTCAGAGCGAGTGGCGCATGAATATTCCATTCGTAAACAGCATTGTTCAAAACAGCTATGCGACTGATGGAAAGTTCCAGCAAAGCAGGATCCAGGATTGTTTTTGAACGAAGTGATCCAATAAAGCTGTTATAGCCATCTGCGACAGGAGGGGCATGCAGCAATGTGAGATCAAGAGGAACTAAGGGTCTCGGTATGCGCCTGGCAGCGATACGATTGTAAATTTCAAGGGTTTCCGTATTCGAAGCCCCTGGGGTCTGAGGAGCGTAGGGGAGACGCATTTTTATGTAGAAAAATCCGGAATCGAGAATTTGGAGGCTTTCAGACAAAGTTCAGAATATTAAAAGTAGACTTGTTGACTTTATAATGGTAAGTCATACCTTGAGAATCTGCATATTTTTGCTTCCTAACGCCTCGCCCACATATACCTTTCGGTTTATATTAACTCTCTGTATGATCATAACCGGTATTATTACATCCCGGCCAGTCTCCGAACATGAAATATTGGGGCGAGGGATGAATTCTGACTAATGGCGGAGAATGGCCGGGTGGCGAATTCCGGCGAACGACCGGTACTTCAAGGTCGAGGCTAGGTCTGACACATGATACTATGGACTGCTGTAAATCTTAGGGGATTAGTTATGAATTATCTTTGAAAGCCAACTTATCAACCCCCTTGTGATCAGTCATGGAATCCGCAGAGCGCAAGAGAGCTCGCAACGCGTGTCAAAGATGCCGAGCTCGAAAGGGGAAGTGTACAGCGGATTCTGCATTCCCATGCAGCAGCTGTTTGGCTGCAGGGGCACCATGCTTCGTAGTAAAACGAAAGCAACGACCTTCACATGCGGAGCGCAGGTAAGTCTCGGAATGCTTATTCAAAAAGAAGAAGTCTGATGTCCGCTCAGCTGTATGCCTTTAGGGAAAGCTTCAGATACAGGTAAACGCCGTGCATCAACAACCACAAACGAAAAGCCAAAAAATACGAGGAATTCAACAACACCAAAACACCAGGCAATTATCATACCGGAAGACACTTTACCACCGACAAACACGATTCAAGAATCGTTTGTCAACTGGGACCCAAATCCAGCAGCACGACAAAGTTGTGCAGCGTTTTCGTCTCCGAAATTGCCAGCGGAAGCAGCACACGATGCGAGGGTCGATCCCATCGTACAAAATCTGCCTGATCCAGCTGCATTTGATACCAACCTTCGACTCTCTTCCTGGCTCATGATCTGCCCCATACCACTCCAAGACAGTATAAAAGAAGGCTTAGCGTCTGTCATGTCAGAGAAGAAATACAAATCACCGAAATTGCCGTCTCTTGTACTACAAGCTCTCGATGCGATATGCATACGAGTTAAGGAGCTACATCCGAGCCTTGCTGATGGATATCATCATCCTGCGTCTGACGGCCAATGTCCCTGTGGTCCGAAAGTTGACATTTGTACAGCTCACAGACAATGCCAAAACTCTTCGCGGGCGAACAAAAGGCGACAGGATAACATGTTAGCGCGATGCGAAAGATTATTAGAGCTCTCTCTAAGGGTGTATGACACAGTGAACAAGGGAAATACCCAAAATCTTGGACAAGGGTCATCGCCAATCTGTGGGGGTTCGTCGGTCACAAGCCCGCAAACAATGAGCCCAAGCCCCCTTTTTGATGAACACCAGCCTTTTTTGGATAGCTTCTTATCAAAGCACATACAGCCCGATCAATTATTAGGACAAACAACGATAAATAGGGACGATTGCTCAGGAGAGGGACCATTGGACTCATTGGATTCATTGTTGACCGACTTGGAATGGACAGCCCGGTAAAAGATTGCAAAATTGTGATCATAGCTAGAATTTGAAATCTTGACAGAAATGATTTCCTCGGAGAAATGTTCCTTTAATAAAACCTCGTCGTTATCGCCGGGACTAGACCAGTGTGTACCTAGACTGTCCAAAGTTTGTTTTGGTAGTATGTAGAAGTTCAAGATTGGATCGTGAGCCCTTGATTTACGAGCGCGTCAATCGTCATGTTGTTTCGCAGGTCAGTTTAGTCAATATTTTAATCGACTCGGCAATTTACAGACCGGAATAGTTTTGTACACCTTTGCTGTTGGAAACTTTCAGCCCACAAGAGTTGATCTTCAACAGATAACGTATGCTATATGCCTTCTAGAAACCCAGCTAATAACCAGGCTTGCTCATGTGATATCACTCTAGATTATAGGGTTCCCAAATTAAACAAACAAGTCGTATCACAATTATTTCTTCAACTTAAGCAAAATCTGCGCAACATCACTAGAGTTGGCAATCTCAGAGAACCCAGTGAAAGCTTTCTGAGCCCGTTCCATCCCAATATGGTTACTTACATGCTCGAGGAACTTTTCCTCGAGCTGCTTAGCCGACAACGGCTTTTTGATGCTTCCCAACGCCTCCTTGACGTGGACCTTCAATTTGGTACCGTCTTTGAACTCAGCAGTGACAAAAGCCTCATGCTCACTTACAGCATCGTCCGAAGTGACAAATACCTTCTCACGAAGATCCACAACAGTGGAGTTTTTGACAGCTTCGTCCATAAATTGGACTGGGGTGGCTTCACCAAAGAGCAAGGAGACAGCAGCAGCATGATAAACACTGAACTTTCCATCAAGCCCAGTCTTTGGCTCAGGGTTGTCTGTCAAGAACAGCACCTTGGGGTTGGTGCGAGCAGTTGCATTCACGATGCCGGTGAGATCAAGCTTCTTCTCTACAGCTTGGTGATGGATCTGAATCCAACCATCAATGGCGGCGTGGATAATTCGGTCACAGGGGAATGGCTTGAATGTGTTCTTCGTCATTTCCCAAACATCACCCAACGTGGTGAACTCATTCGTCACATTGTTGCGAGTGCTCACAACATTAGCCCAGCCACGCTCTGCCTCTAGCCCTTCCAGCGAGCCACCGAATCCATTCTGGGCCAGCACTGCTGCTAGAAGACCGGACTGGGCAGCGCGACCGACATGGAAAGGCTTTGTATCAGTACCAAAGGACTCATGCATTCCAATAACTTGCGCCGCGGCGATACTGATTGCGTGCTGAAGCTTCTCAAGGTCGAGACCTAGGAGTTTGCCAACCGCAACAGCCGCACCCACGGAGCCGGTCGTGCTGGTGATGTCTGTAAGAAATTTTAGGAGTGTTTTATTATTTCAATGCCTTGGAGCAAATGACTTACGCCATCCAATGTCATAATGCTCAGGATAGACAGAGATTCCAAGCTTGCACTCTGCCTCCACTCCAGCGACAAAGGCTGTAAGGAAGTCTTCACCAGAGATTGGAGCCTTCCACTCGGCAACAGCCAGCAGGGCAGATAGTACAGGTCCAGATGGGTGCACGGGGGTATCGGCATGCGTGTCATCATAGTCATCGACATGCGAAGCAATACCGTTGACTAGAGCTGCCGTTTGAATATCGACAAAGGCATTAGATCCCAGAATAGAAGAATTCCCTGCGTTGCTTGGGAGCATTGGACTTAAAGCATCATATGCAACACCCGCTGGAGGAAGAGCGTATCCTCCAATAGCACAACCGGCCCAGTTGTAGATACTCTTGACTGCCATGTCGGTCACGGGCTGAGTGAGGTTCGTATACTGAAGAGCCAAGGCCCAAGTGGCCAGAAGCTTGGTTGCCATGCTGATGGTTCTTTTATTGAATTGGGCTTTGTGGAAGTTAATTTAACACCTTGTCACATTCCTGCCGTCTATATATTACCGACTTATAACGAGGGATGGCAGATCTATACTCTTTGTGAAATCGCGCAGATGTTGCCGGCCATCATCCTCAGCTCATGGTGTCGGCATTCTGCCGATACCATTCAAAGCGCAGTAATTTTGTCCCTTAGCCAAGTTCAATCTTCTTCTTTAGAGATAGGAACTGAGCAAGTCGCCGGGAAAGCTTGGGGGGGCGTAGATCCCTTCATTTCGAGCGCCGTTGAATTAGGTTTCGAAGGAACTCAAATCCCGGCGGACATATTCCGGCCTGAAGGCAAGCTGTTTAGTAAGCCTGGCGGGTAGATGCCGGAATTCAGACTTGCGAGGGAATGAATATGCTTCCCGATCCTTTGCTGTACCTTTGTCTAGAAACAAGATGATTAAAACCGTTTTCTCACTCGACGACTCGGCAATGAAAAGTATCTGATGCAGTAACATTCTATTTCTCACCGACCATGTATCTCTAGTATCTGGACCTTTACTGTTCATATTATTAGCACTATCTTCCCGATATGGTTCTAAGTCGTTAAGGAATTCTTTCAAGTATATCTTCAATTACAGCAAAAACTTCAATCTAAAGACAGAACCGGGAGCTCTTGCGAAAAGGAAGATTCTTATCTTATGAAAATGAACTTAAACTTAACTTATCAAGCCACTTCTGAATTACTCTCCGAGAAAATGGTTGATACTGTATCCATTCAATTCGCCATAGCTGTATTCAGATTTGCTAGGCAGTGGTGGTCCAGGATCTTGATTCTAGCTCAGCCAAGTAGCCTCATATGGCGAAGCGTTGTCTGGGTATTGAAGTGATGTAACAAGGTCCAAAGAATAGTTCGATGGAGTCCAACCCAAAATAAACATCCAACCCTCGGAAGTATCACTGAGGTACATGTAATCCGTCAGACCCTCCGGATCACAGTTGGTCTCGTCCTCCCAAGGAGCGACGCGGAGACCACCTGCGGAACCAAGACTTACTGGTGCCTCATAGAAAGCCACAGCATCTTCCTTTTTGAGATACCCATCCATTTCCATCTCAAATACAGCTACAAACCCATTTATCTCTGGGGATTCCCAGCTGCGAGTGGAGGTAAAGAGATACTTGCCATCTCTAGAGGGTCTGACCGTGTTACTACGGAATGTATAGTTCCCTCTGACATCTATTGTTCTTTGAGTTGAGGAACACCTTCTCAAAATTTGGAATCCGGGATATTCCTACCTTTAGGAATCACACTGGCACGCTGAACATGCTTTAGCTGTGTTTCACCGACTTCGTATACATCGAGCCATTGAGCTGGCATAGAAGTGTCAGTTGGATCACGGCCACATTGAAAATCATAGATAACTAACTATGTTCGGTAACCTGGGATACACCAACTTAGTTTTCCATGCGATCAAGTTTGGACAAGATATCACGTACCACGTAGAGAAGCCTCCCATCCTTGCTAGCATACGAGTTACGAGGGCCATCACCATCCGTTGGGCTCAGGTTTATCGATAGAAGCTGGGCGGTGCCATTATCGGCAACATCGTACATGAAGATCGAGTTCATACCGCTACTTTGATTTAGTTTCGGAAATAGGATGAGGAATGTAGGTGACTGACAGATGGGGAACAAAGCCCTTTTTGTTCACGTTGACATCAAAAGCATGAGCGCCGTGCAACTAAACAAATGGAGTCAGTATGAAACAGAGGCCATGATTGATGCTAAAATTCCAAATATTGACCTACAACAGCATTTCGGGTCTTGTCCACACTGTCAATATCTTCAACAGGGATAAGATGAAGTTCGTCTGTCTGATTACCAATGACTCCATTGTCGCCCAGAGAATTTATCTGCGCGGTTGGGCCACCAGCGGAGAACGAATACTGGCCATCGTCGGAGATATAACAGGCCGAAGATGCTGCAAACTTCTTAGAAATTTCACCTCAAAAGGTAACTGCAAGGATGAGCTTACTGATTTTGTTGGTACTCAGATGGGTGAACTGGAAATCTTCATCAACTCCCCAAGTAAACAACCGTGGGGGCTCACTCATGGTGGTTGCATAAACCTGGTTTTTAGCCTCATTGCTGGTCACGAATTGGTGCAATCCAAATCCCGGAACAGTCGAATTGAGAGATAGAGTTCGGGATACAGTGTCAAACGCAAGTAGAAACAGCGTGTTGTTGGTATAAGACCCAGTGAGTAGGTGGTGGAGCTGCATCTTGAAAATCACGGAAGACCCCAGAAGTAAGAGGGCTTAAAATTTCCTAACGGATATCAGCGGGGTATTGGACTTAAATATAGGTGACTCGTAACAGGATTCAAATATATACTATACTGCGATCAGCAAAATATCATTCAAGTCTCTCCTGCGCAGTTTCCCCGGACACCATGGGAGAAACTACCCCACCGTTAAAGTTGCGTAATTCAATCTTGAGCCAAGGCTTGAGCGCGGCATTTACCCGTTAACATTTGTAATGGACCTGGATGTGGAGCGATATGGCCGCAAGGAACCGGCCATTCTCCGAATGCCTCTATATTTTGCTTGACTTCGCAATGGCCAGTCTGGGTCTTATACCAACAACAGGCTGTTTCTACTTGCGTTTGACACTGTATCCCGAACTCTATCTCTCAATTCGACTGTTCCGGGATTTGGATTGCACCACTCCCACTCGCGAACATCTTCGTCAGAAGAGTGTCGGCGATCTTTCATCACGGTTGCCAAGCCCCATTAAAACCCCCCCAAAACTAACGGTAAAAAGAAAGGAAAGGGTGTCTGTACTGCCGTTTCTTTTTTTTTCAGTTTCTTGGAGGCTCATGTCTGACTGAGCTATTAGTCAATGCTGAAACCTTACTGAAACTATTCGAATCTATCTCGCGCAAGGGGTTTTGTGAAGCCATCCGCTATTTGTTCTGACGTTGGGAAATATTTCAGTTCCACTGTCCCGGCGTCTTGGACTTCTCCTTACCACTGGGTTTCCATATGCTTTGTTCGTAAATGATATTGAGGGTTCGAGGCCAGCGCAATGGCCCCCTGGTTGTCGCCGCAGATAATCGTTGCGCGTTGTCCCTGGCCCATATTTAGCTCATGAAGAAGTCTTCTCTGTCATATGGCTTCCTTATTCGCTTGTGTTTGGCCTATGAATCCAGCCTCGCAGGTTGATAGTGCAACAACATTCTGGCGCTTTCATTGCCAGGCAATTGCTCCACTCCCAATTTTGAAAAGATATCCGGCCGTCGAGCGCCTTGCTTGTTGATAGTCAGCCTAATCTGCATCCTTGAAGTGACGGAGAATTTGGAGCTGGTCTTTATATGCGAGACTGAGAGATTTGGTGCCTTTGAGGTATCGGAGAATCCGATGCGCAAGCTTCATGTGTTGTGGGCCAGGATTGGTCAAGTATCTGCTTGCCGCTGAGACAGCGTATGCGATACCGCCTCTAATTCCAAGCATGACATACATCAGCGACCCGATCGCACGCTGGTATTCGTTCTTTACAATCGACGGACAGATATATCAAGGATCGTTGCCTGGTAGAGGTGAAGTGTCGATAGGCGTGCTGATAGGGGCACAGTCCAGCATTTTGATTTGGTGGAGGATCTTGCGCTCGTAGGTCTCTTAGCTGAGATAGAGGATTCTGTTCTGCCGATCTCGACGGATCGTCATGCCGATATAATAGCTACACGGGCAAAGGTCTGTCATATGAAAACGATTCCTGAGGCTTCGCTTGATCCTCCTTATCTCTGCAATGCTTGGTCCAATAATCAAAAGGTCATCGACGTATACTGCGATATACATGTTGCTCAGAACAAAGATATTGAGATCGGCGTTGATGGGCTCAAAGCCAAGATCTCGAAGGAAACTGGTCAGCGTTTGATACCAGATACGAGGTGCTTGCTTCAGGCCGTAGAGTGCCTTGCGAAGCTTGCAAGCCCTCAATGTGCCGTCTGTGGTGTGATGAGGTTGTTCAACATGGATCTCATGGTCTATCTCGCCGTATAAGAACGCTATTTTGACATCCGTTTGTTCGATCTCGAGATCCAGAGTAGCGGCAATTGCGAACAGGGCTCTGTAGCTCATCGGTTTGACCAATGTCTGATCATAATCGACACCTTCTTCCTGTCACTTATTCCTATATATTCTAATACTTATAGGTAAAAGCACATAATACGGTATCTATCTACCTCTTGTCTAGCTTCTTTTATATTTTGTCTAGGAGTATCTTCAGTTAAGTAACGAGGCAAAAAAGAATTCGGGAATAGCAGACTAGACTTACACCCTCGGGCTTTGATTATCTACCATCACGCATCGCAGTAGGTATTCTCACCGCTCTTTCCCTATTCTCACCCGCTCTCACCCCGTTCTTACCTCTCTCACCCCGGTCTCTAGAATTCTCACCTATATCACCCACACTCACCCAAACGCAGAAACTGACGCTAATTTAAGGACCAGGGCTCTTTAGTTATTGACTGCGTTTAGTTTATGGCTTAAGTACGGCTGAGCGGATGGGGAGCCCTGTTCTCCACACCCTATGGTCGGATTAAGCTAGAAAGGGAAAATATCCGAAAGAATTCATTTTATTGACGGCAATAGAGCGAACGCGTCGCGCAACTTGGGCAATTAGCGTGAGATAGTCGCTACTCCTATGACGCTTTTCAAAGCAAATACAGTCCAAATTGCTCCCCAATCAGCTTCAAGTTCCGAAGAAGTTCTCATGGAAGCGCTACAGTCAGTAGAACAAAGTAAGGTCATCCTTACTTCGCAAATGAAAAATCCGGAATCGGTGCATCTGCGATGGACGTCAAGATAATTCTGTATTCTAGAACGCTTTAAATTTAAACAAATCTCAAAAATAGAAATTTGGATAATAGTTTACACGGTATAAAATTCTGTCTTCTGTAGTATTCTTTCGAAATATTTTAAAAAAAAGTCGTTGAACTCATTCTACATCATCCGAGTCTCCATCCACCTGGCATCCACCTAGGCATCGATTCATCCAAGTCCCTTCCAAGGTCGATATTACTTTTTTTTTCCAAACATGCACCGGTCTAGCAAACCCCTCCTCGTCTCTCTCAACGTCCATTATCCTCTCGAATCCCTCAGCTTTCAACTCATTGTCGAACGGTGGCCTGATCTGGATTGTTCTATACATCTCTCTCAATTCTTTGTTTCTCTTTGAAGCTCTCGCATAATTGCTCATAGGCTGCGGCTCAACAACGAGATAACCCCCTTCATTCAGAATGCTCCGTATGTGCGCAAATAATTTCAACATCGCAGAGTCTCCGTTATTCAGATGTATCCATTTGGTCACAGAAAGCAGTAAAACAACGTCGAACTTGCCCACCGCAGTACCGGTATACATGGGCGTATTCACGAAGTCAAAGTGCTCAAATGTGCACGGCCCATCTGGGTACGCCGCCTTCGCTTGCTCGATCAGCCACGGGTCTATATCGACGCCCACTGAAGCGGAGGCGCCGCAATACGCCATCACTTCATGGGTCAGTTTTCCTGCGTTACAGCCGAGGTCTATGACTCGCGCATCGCGGAGGATATCTGATGGAAGAATTGAAAGACGCTCGTCCGGAACGGTGGGCGCTCGGAATTTGGAGTAATATTGATGGTAGTTGCCATGACGTGCGGCGAGGTGTGTCGCTTTGAAGCGCTCAGCGTTGGAGAGTTCACTCGCTTCCGCCATATTTGGAGATGGTGCGAGCACAGAGGCCTATATTGGGAAAGAGGTATTGACCAAATCGAAACAAAATTGCACAATTCCGTGTTCAAAGTTCTGTTCAAGTTTCCGAACAGTATATATGCCATATATAATTCAGAGTTAATTTTGAAGCTCTTCAAGTTGAAATTTTGTGATCAACACCCGAATTTGTACGGTTTGCATACTATTGATACCTGAGGCAGAAACTCCGTAGGCAACCAGTGGCCCAGCTGACGGTCAGATTATCACTGATTATGCCGGGGCTGACGTATAATATCCATTCAGGCTTTGTATGATCTACAAGTCAATACTTACTTGTGGTAGAGCCCAGTAAGAAATTTCCATATCGCCAGTGACTGTTCATATTTAATAGTCAAATAAACCCCATAAGATGAACTCAACTTCCAAGTTATCATGTGATGTGATAGATATGAGTGGGGCTGTCGTTTATCGATCTCCTTCGCTAGACCATAACAAGAACCTTAAACATCCATACATCCATACCGGAACCGCATTCTACCCAACATGCCTTTCAGACAGACGCTTCAGGGTATCATTGACAAGGCAGACAAGACCTGGGGCGAAATAACCAATCAAACCCCTCAGCAGGCGCCATCGTACAACAATCCTCCCCCACCGCCTATTCCAACCTCCAGCAAGCCACAACAAGCTTATCAGGGACAGTCCTGGCAGCCCCAGATCTACTGGCGACCCAATCTGCATCCTCAAGTACCAGTGTCCGCTAACTTTGGCCACGAACAAGGTCAACATGGATGGGGCAACAATGAGGCGCAGAACTATGTCGACAGCCCACACAACTCATTCCACTCAACCCAAGGCGATGCGGTGATCGTGCGAGCATTGATCAACCACGGGCATCCCGACCCCGCACAGAAGTTTACCAGCGCCCGACTGACGAGCCATCAGACTCTCAGCCGACCGCGGGGTTGCCTCTCGGCCAGAATTATGGCGCCCGTCGCCCGGGGTATTTGGCCCGCCTTTTGGCTGCTGCCTAAAGACCCCTTCAAGTGGCCCGAAGATGGCGAAATTGACATAATGGAAGCGTGGAACGGCGATGCCGTCAACCACACTTGTCTGCACTGGGGTCACTTCAACGGCGACGACTGGAATAAGCATCGCGTCCTCGAAACTCCTATCCCTAATATTACCTCGCCGGTCGGGGTGAAGTACGATTTCATCTGGGACGAAGACGAATCAACAGGCAGGGGGCGCTTGGTTTGGTTGATTGACGGGATGCCCATTATGAGGGCCGAGAAGCCACCTGGCACGAGAAATATGAGCGAGTTCAGAATTCTCCTCAACATCGCCGTCGGAGGCAATGTCTGCCAGGGAAATATGCCTAGTGACGGATACTATGATACAGTGGTCCGCGAGTTGGCCATGTGGGATGCACCGCCTGGGGGTTGGCAAGAATTTGAACGGGCTTGGGGGGGCTTCCAAAGATGGCAATACCATGTGAGGAACGGAGGAAGATCTATCTACCTTGCAAGGCAAATCAACTATACCTATATCCGAGCCCTCTGGGTCTTACAAGATACGATAAGATACTAAGAGAGATGATATAATGCAAACTGAAACTTTTTTTTAAAAAAAAAAAAACATATCAGGCGATGGTGCTATATTCTTGCTTCTGATGGTGAAGTAGTACTGCTAATAATTAGTAGGTGCCCAGGTGTTCATGACATTTTGATTGCAAACGAGCTTCAACCTTGGAACCTTGGGACCTTAGAACTTGGAACCCGAAAAGTAGTACTACCTAGATCCATAACCCCAAGCCAATCACCCGGGCCCGACTTCTCAGATCTAAACAATACTCATAGAATATTGTTAGACTCGTAGTCCATATTTGGGGCAAATCGCATCTCGGCAGCACCGACGTCAAAAACAGCGACGACGTTCTTCAAGAATGTATCGCCAAGAATATAAGTCTGCTGATGAGGATCGGCGCCCCCGGCCGTGATCTGAGTTTGGCAGAGAATATTTCCATCATCATCTTGTCCACGTAGAGCGATCATGTCAAGTGGACTGATTCCGAAGCTAGTGCCGTTTATAGTGATTGAGTGAGCCGGAGCAATGGCACCACAGTCAACAGAGAATGTTCCATCATCCTGCATAACGGCTGGGGGCCTAAATGCATCATTAACTGCCTTGGCAGTGGCATTTGGGTACCTGTTATAAGTTGTGCCAGAGTCGACCTAGCAGGCGGAATTCGTCAGTCTATTTCCTGGATTTAGAGTCCATCACTGGTTTGTGACTCACAATGTATTGGTTCTTCTTACCACCGGAGTTGGCAACGATCTTGCCGTCCACAGTGATATCGTTGATGTTAATTGTGTAAAACTTCAAACCCTGATCGGATCCTTCGATATTTGTGATTAATATGTCGGTGCTAGTCCAAGACTCCTCGAAGTCAATCGGGGGAAGGCCGCCAAGAGTCAAGTAACCCCCATCGCCGGACACATTGCGAGATATTGCTAGACTAAAATATGAATCCACCAGACCTTGCTTGTACATCGTCGTGAAGATGGGGTCGTAGATGTGCTTTTCGTTAGAGACGTTAGAGGTGGCGCCGGTTCTGTGAGACTTGTGTGTTAGGATGTTTCTTGGATAGTTTTAGAATTGGGGCAATGCATACATTTCAGGATATGATAGCCCGACGAGTCCAGAAGTAATATTTTCACCACTCCAAGCAGCCTTGTCCATAATACCGACTTTTTGGTTGACTGTGACACCGGCTAGAGTGACACTTTCGTTGCCAGTGTATCCTGAACCCGACTCGCCGTCACCATAAATAACATGAAATTCTTCCCCAGGGATTTTCTTGAAGGTACTGCTGGGCTTATATAACTGTGGACCAAATCCACAATTGCTTGTTGGTACCCTATCATAGGTATTTTCGTCATAGCACATGAAACCAGCCTGGGGTACCCAAGTATCACTCGAACCAGTATCGACAACTACCTCGAATGTCTGGTTACCAAAGACCATGGATGTGGCATATTCCGACCCCATCTGCAGAGCCTTTAGGGTACCCGTACCGGAGGTTTGGCTCCTTTTATTTAAGTGGTGACCAGCGCTGCGAGTGTTCGGTCTCTTCAACATGCGCTTTTTCAATCGCACGGTATGCGGAGAAGACTTAGAAGGGGCGTGTGAAGAAGCAAAGACAACAGGTTTATGGGTCTTAAGATAAAGGCCATTATTTCGGGTCTGTAACGCCTTACTTGCCGGAAAAATGGGATGATAATTTTCAAGGGGAGCCGCAACAGAAGTTAAGGCCAGAATGAAGATAATCGCGAGACCAATGTTGCCAAGCATATTGAAAGGTGAAATTGAAATGAATAAAAAATATGGGATGCGAAAACGAGACAAAAAGTAAGCTGACGACCGTAGCAAGAGATGGCTTAAGTATCCTTTCTCTTAATAAAAATAGCAATTATATTGCAGCCTTCTCTCGGAGCCTTGTCCTTGGTTAGGGCGACCTAGTCCTACCGTGACCATCTTCAGGATTATGCGTGGACAACAGCAGTCCACATAGCCCACTTGAATACGGATTATGGGCGATGCATACATTTAAGCCTCTTCTGCGTTTCAAACAGGTCGTGTTATGTAACACGTTTTGCTATTGAAAAGCTGGCGAGAAAATTAGCTGCAAGTGGCAGCCTTGGGGGGCGGTGTTGAAAACCTTGTCTCGATGGAGGCTTACAATTGGACACGGCCTAATTTTACTTCAAATTGGCGCGGTGAGAGATGACTCTCAGTGGTCAAGACAAGACCTTGGTCTGAATTCAAATGCTAATATTACTATCATTGGTAGAGTTATCATCCGCTGCTAGGGATGAAATAGATTTCGACCGCGGGAAAAGGCAAAGAAAATCGAGCACTGTTCTCGACTTCAAGATTCAATCACTTCTAATAATGGAAAAAAATATTAGGATTAGAATGGATACTTTGGTACCGAGAGATTTCGGGTAGATTGATTTTGAATAATTAAGAGGTCGAGGCAATAGTCTCGTTTCATCCTCGCAACTTGGGACCTTAGGCATCGGCAGACAAAGCTATTGGAAAGTTGAAAACAGGTCATTAGTGTATCTGCAAAAGCAAATGAGATTTTTTAAGAATGAGTATAAATAGTGAAAAATAATTTCGGACGCTCATGGATGGCTTCAATATACGTATCAACAGTATGCTCGCACAAATCATAAAACCTTCACCGAGTGTCACCGAAAGGCTTTTGGTAAGATGATACTTGTTGTCCAACTTGAAGCAAAGGCACTTCATCCTTGTACCTACAACCCACTGACACTAGATAGCATATCCCGGAGATGACCTGGATCATCACGCACCTGGGCAGTTAGACCAGTTCAAGTAAGGCTGAGACATACTGTCAGATTGAAATACTCAACCTTGGAAGGAACTACTAGAGCATTATCAGAAAGTAAAGATCTCTTGGTTAATTTCTATGATCAAGGAATCATTTACAGCCCTAGAGTGACACTCCAAAAGATATTAGTATCTTCCTAAAAATTTGAAGGGGAGAAAAGAAAACAAGAACCTTGAAACTTGAAGTCAATGGCCAGTTCGATGAGTCGTCATCGCCCAGGTCCACGGATTGACTGTGTTAACTTCCTTGGATTTTCTCACATAATTCCTATCTTTGGCATAGTAACAAGTTATTTATCTTCCGTCTCACCAGAAGAGCCAGTGTCGTCTCCTGGGATGTGCGGTACATTCTGCCGGGACGAACACGAATTTTGAAAGAAATTCTGACCGGATTAATGATCTGTTTGCAATAAAAAGAACATGCCAATAAATGATGTTCGAGAATCTAGTTCTAGAACGAAGATGTTGATTTGAATTTGTCTGCATTCATTATGAAATTCTTGACGCCTTACTATGCTGACATGTTTAGTCTGGAAATTGCTCGTCATGACCTAGGGTGGCCGAACGAATAGAATGAAGGAGGAGGCCCGCAAGTCCTACTACCAGTATTTTGAACGGGATATTGAGCTAACTATTATCTTCAGAGGTAGCGAAATGTCTCACGAAGCCGATTTATTGTCATCTGACGGGTTTGGTCCTGCAGCTCCTGGAGCCTGCGCTCATGGCGGTCCTTCTGTTCTATGAGCCGCCCCTCCTCACGTCGAAATCTTTGGATAGCCTCGTCATAACGTCTCATTCGTGCTTGGTGGGCCCGTTCCTCGGCGATGCATTGATCGAGACTCTGCTGTAATTGAGCGCGGGCACTGGCATTGCCGTCACCATTCGGGTTAGCTAGGCCATGTCGGGTAGGGCGCGAAGGAGAGCGAGCGCGAGCTGCAAGATCTTGGGTATTGGTATTGAATCTACCGGGCAGGCGGTTATTCATGTCCTCATGATCACGATATTGGCGAGCTTCAGTTTGCGATTCCCGTCGTTGGGTCCGGGGGCGACGTTGGGGCGGTTCACCCGCCTGGTCTGAAACGTTTCGTCTTGGAAAACGATACTCAGCGGCTGAGAAATTTTCATGACAAATAGGGTTTGCACTTTCACTTTGTGGCTACCGGCTTTCCAGGTTTGAATGTAATTCGACTGGATTTGCACCGAGGTCCTTGATTGTACAAGTGACAATTTGCGCATTGTGGGACGCCCTCGTAATCCACCGCGACGCATTTGTTGAAGACGCCCTCACCCTCCCTGCAATTCATACATCCGTGTTCCAGTGCCTTTCCAGATATCTGCATTTGAGCGGCCTCAATACTTCGGGTCGAGAAACCGAGATCCATGTTTACATCGTATGCGTCCCATTCGTGATTTTCGATTTCGTGGAAGATTAGCTCACGGATCACTGGCAGAGGGCTCAGAAGCCGTAGAAAGTCGGACTTGAGAATCTTTCTGACACGAGAGCCTTCCCAGGTCAATTTCTATAGCAAACTCTTGATTCGCTCGGCCCAGCCTTTGAGTTGAGGATTGAGATGGAGACTGTTACCGGTGATCGGCATGGGGATGGAGCCATCGTGCCCGTGCTGGAGGCAACCCAGGCTTTTTCCACGGCTTTGAAAAATAAGGTCAATCGAGAGATTGTCTGGCAATGAACGGGTGAAAGGTACTTACGCCGTCATCTTGGCACTGAATGTGATTTGATTCGTGATGTGGAAATCTTTAGCCTCTGTAAATGGCCGACACTTGTGAAAAATCTCGTGAGTTGGCATTCACGGGGGAGTAAGGAAATTAAAAGAGAGAGACAGAGAGAGACAGACAGAGAGAGAGAGAGAGAGAGAGAAGAAAAAAGTGGCGGAACCTCAGAGGGGAGGAAAAGTGGTGAATGTTCGACGTTGCTGCCTCAACCTCCCCAGGAGACCGAACACTCCAACATCTTTCCTTCCCTTTGCCCCTTTACTCTCTTCCCTAATAGCCATTTCGCTCTAATGAAAAGACTTGGGCATTCCGATATCACGGGTAAGTGAACCCCCCCCCCCAAAATGGGCTACACACACTGACATACTTCCGACAGAACCAGGGATCATGAACCAAATCAATGGCCCCAAGACAGACGCTGACCAAGCTGTACGCACTACCATCCGCGATAGACGAGATCCCAGACGGAAGACAGCTTCTTGTATATCGGCACGGCCAACTAGTCGAACACAATTTCATTGCAAACGCGGAGAAGGCTTGTTTGTGAGGTGTGTCATCGCAGCTCGTATCAGGGGGGGATTGTTCGAACTGTCATTTCGATCAGCGGTCGGGTCGCTGCAGCATGCTATGAGCCGAGGGAAACCTGACACCTGATGATGTGGCGGGAGGCCAGATCGAAATCAGTCCACTGAATTATAGAGGGTTGTCGGAACATCTGCGTATTACACATAGCATGCCATCCCCCATTAGACCTTAGGGGTGTCCACTACCACAACTCCCATTATACCTATATTGTTTGCTAGTAGTAGTATATTCCAAGACTCACTGACTGATGGGCATTTGTTGGCACCTGTGTCCACGGATGTATTTCATTGCTGCTCTTTGTCCTTGTTCTTATTTTCATGAAATACTACTACTACCATTCATCTCTGTTCTAACCGGGTGACACTCCTCCGGCTATCCAACACTACTAGTATATAGCTACCTGTATCTCGCAAATATGAGCGCTATCTTAGAGCCCTCCGGGAGTCCCAACCCTAATAATACAAGATGCCTGGCTATATAGATTACTACTTTGGCGAGTATATCCTTTCCTAAGGTTAGGTGGAAGCAGCAGTGACCCACTATTCCCACTATTCAAGGCAGCCCGAGGTTCCCGAGGTCTACGAGTCCCCGTATCCCGATTTACGGTGCCTTCCAACCTATCAAGTTCAAAGACTAGTCAAGACACTTCAAGTTAACTACTGCCTACCTCATGGTAGTGATTATATCCACCCGTTCTTCATCAACCCTTGAAGGCCTTTATCCATGCCAACCTCCTCCAGGGCTCTTTACCTACTTATCTCCAGTGTTCTTTCTCCTCGCATCCAAACCCACACCAAACCCTTGAGGCCACCCCAACCATATTTCACGGCAAGGAAAATACCAAGATGGAAATTGCGGCGCTGGCCGACCCTTATGCGACTGTGAGAGCATAGCGCGTGCTCGCACAGGAGCTCACAAAAGAGAGAACTGCGAAACGACAGGCAGAGACCCGAATCAAGCTTTTGCGAAAGGAAGTTGAAAAGACTGAAACATATGTGTACCTGCTGGAGCTAGATTCAAAGCGAATTCGATAAAGAATCGAGGCTGACCTCGAAAACCTCTGCGAATGGAGTGAGGAATCACAGCGTGTCCTGGAAGAGGTGAATTCTTGCCTACAAACTGTGCACCGACGTGAGCTGGCATCGCTGCGTATGCGCGAAAAAGTCATCATTGGCCGAACAAGACTTCAAGAGCTGGAGTATGGATGGCAGTTCCAGCGAGAGCGCTGTGCCGCGAGAATATCCAAACTAGACAACATGGTTCAAAAACTTCGTCAGGGTCGAGCCGCCGCATAACGGGCTGGAGAAATTACTCCAACTCGCACATACACGCGCTTCGCGCGCTCCAATCTCTCGAAGCAATTTAGAGATGATCCTTATTTCGGACATAGAGCCTTGCATCAAGCAGCGGGTAAACTATTCGTAGGGATCAATATGGCCGGATCTTTCGTGGGACTGCTTTTCCTTTTTCGTTTCCGTCATCCATGCTTTAGCATTTACGTTCGCGTTCGCGTTTTGATGTTTCATTTCAACTTTTCTGTTGCGTTTTTCTGATTCTACTTGAAGTCCAATGGCATTTACGTGGCGCGAGATTTTGTGGATGTCTTCTTCCCCTTCTCTCTCTTTGACTTAATGGCCCGACTTTTGATTTTCATACAAGTTCGTTTCTCTTTCTTTGATGTTCAATCTCTTGCTCAATTCTATCTTACAGAGGCTCGTATGTTTCTCATAATGACAGGACAGCTCTGGTGAATATGGTATTGTACCAGATTACAAGTACTAATTGCATCACCACTTCGCTATTTGGAGGAATCTCTGTAATAATTAGTCAATGTCATTCCTCTTGATCCGTGCTTGATATCATTCATCTTGATCTCTTTGAACTGTAAATTGAGCGAATAATGTCAGAGGACGAGCCTGGCTAGGGGAAGGATACTCTGCTCCTAGTGGGTGTTGTCTAACAAATTTATTTCAAGAGCGGATTGGCTGTCAGACACAGATAACCACAACATATAGCACGCAGAGAGCTTCATTTAGGAATTGGAATCGCGGGAACTTTCGTGCAGGGAGCTTGAGTTTTTCTGTTCTTTTGCTTTCGGCTCCAATTCCTCGGTTTCATTTTAGCTGATTTAATCAAGACTCACTGGCTAAGAATCTGAATGAATATTATAATGATGTCAGTTTATAGTATACTGTAAGTTTTCAAAATAGTGAACGGCCGGTAGTCACCAGTCCCGTTGATGTTTGAATTGACTTTTCTTTCAAAATTTTCTTCTTGATTATTCAACTCCTGGTACTCCAAATAAACATGCGAATTATATCAAACGAACTCGCTTCCCTCCCTGCTCTTCAACATATGCTGCTAGTAGCACAAGTAAAGCTCTATACCTCCACCTTGCCGGGCTCGGAAGCTCCGCAGTGCTTTACAGCCTTCCCAATTGAAACTTGAACATGCACAGATCATCTCTACCTCACTCTGCCTTTTTGGATGCCTTCGTCCGCAGCTTCATGAGCCCAAAGACAAGGGCATACCCACTGATGGCAAAGATCACCGAGATTCCAATATCTCTCCAACCATAGTAATAGTGATTGATGTTCAGGGTAGACAGGAAATCACTTCCGTCCGTATATTCGCACACCTTGCAGGCGGCAGTGGCATTCGGATTTACCAAGTTGATTCTCCAGCCATCACCAGCGATATAATCGGAAAGATACTCAGCGCATGTCCCATTGGTCGGATCGAACACGGCGAACTCCTCCTCGTTGCAAGTAACCTTCGCGCCCCAGAGACCAAAGGTCAACATTCCGGAGACGACATAGTTGAACGGGTTCAGATAATACATCCAGTACTTCCAGAACACGTTGAGCTGGGTGTAAGGAACGAATACACCGCAGAAAAGAACCAGGATACTGATGATAAGAGGGTTGACAAGGGCTGCGAACGTCGGATTAGGCGCATACGCGGCGACGAATTGTCCAATACCGGTGTAGATGAACTCGTAAATCAACATCATGAAAAAGGTCGCGCCGGATCGGTTAGAGTCGCGGGGGGAGTCGCCAGACTGGGTAGTACCAGCAGGCGAAGTAGAGAACGGCGCAGATGCAGAGGTAGGGGAATTCCGACACAATCAGACCTGTCACGAAGGCAACCCAGGAGTACATCTTTGATTTCTTTTCACGGGCGTCGTATATATCACGTCGTTGGATGAAGAGTGGTTGAAGCTGGTTGATGACACCCGGGGCAACGAAAACGAAGTTGAAAATCGTGAACATTTTAAGATTGAGGGCTGTCACGCTGGGGCCCGGTCGCCAAAATGAGAACCCGTTCAAGAGCGCGGAAATGATGTGGAGGGAAAATTTGTTATTCACGTAGTTGGTGTTTCGGAAGAGCGCGACGTTCATGCGACTGGTAACGATTTTGACTTGTTCCCATAGAGGCATAGAGAATTCATAGCCGTCGGACACTGTTCCGGGTGGCTTATTTGCGGCGTCATCGACCATTTTGTCTAATTCCGTGATCATTGCGTTTTGTTCGGGGGATTCGAGCCAGATTTGATGCCAGTCCTTGTCCTTGACGGCGTCGATGCCACCAGTGACCACATCGATCATGAATTCAGCAGGATTGGCTTCTGTAGGGCATTCGGCGCCGTATTGGCCAAAATAATGCTTGATCGTGGCCGCATTATCGCCAATATCCCCGAAATAGACCGTTTTGCCGCCGCGTGCAAGGAGAAGCAGAGTGTCAAACTGGGCAAAGAGTTGTGCAGAAGGCTGATGGATGGTCACAAGAACGGCTTGACCAACATCAGCAAGCTTTCTGAGGAAGCGAACAGTATTGTAAGCCGATTGACCGTCCAATCCAGATGTAGGTTCGTCCAAAAAGATGAGAATGCTAGGCTTTGAAACCAATTCCACTCCGATAGTAACGCGCTTTCTTTGTTCAACACTGAGTCCATTGCCAATGCTTCCGATCAGAGTATCAGCGAGATCATGGAGCTCGAGAAGATCAATAATAGTCTCGACATATCGGAGCTTTTCTTCCTTGGGAGTGTCGCGAGATTGACGCAGTAAAGCAGAAAATTGCAAGGCCTCTCTCACGGTCGCATATGGTTCGTGAACATCTAATTGCTCGCAATAACCTGCCATGCGTTGAAATGACACTGGTAAAGGTCTGCCATCGACGAGAATAGAGCCCTTGATTGTACCCTCCGTTTTGCGTTGGGCGAGCACGTCGAGAAGAGTGGTTTTTCCTGCGCCTGAGGAACCCATGAGAGCACCGAGCATGCCAGGCTTCACCCATCCATTGATGTTATCCAGCAGGACACGATCTCCGGTGGGTGTTTTGACGGTGTAGGTGAGATTTCTCCAGGTGAAGATTGACGTGTTTCGAACCAGATTTTCGTCATCGACTTCGACAGGCTCATCTGTGGTCGTACGGGGAGTGGTCTTTTCCGCACCTTGTGCTTCCTCGTCGTTGTGGGCTTGGTGCTTTTTCAGACTCTCGCGGGGAATGAGAAGAGAAGCCCCAGAGCTGGCACCTCCCTTCCAGAAGCAGGTGAAAAGGACGGTGAGGACTGCAAAGAATCCCCACCAACCCCAGAGAACGCCAAAGTTTCGCCACATCTGTGAGGCGTGATAGTGCAAGGATCCGAGATATTGATCACCAGTCACAAAGTCGGCGCCTTGAGTGGCACCATTCACACCAGTGCAAGCCCTGTTCCCCGATCCGACATTTTCGTAGCCAGGACCACTCGGGATCAGATTTTGGCCAACGCAGTCAATATGACGATCGTGAAATTCGTTGGACATGGCGGCTTGGAATGCATAGGCGAATGGATTGGTGTAGTACAGCTCGACAAACCAGTTCTTGATCTTCGGCTTCGGAATCATATAACCGGCGTACATGACGATACCCTTGACTGCAGTTCCGGAGATCTTGGAAGCGGCTTCAAAGGTGCTGAACGCGGCACCAATGCATCTGAACAAAGCAGTGATAACCTATTAATCCATCATTAGCTTTGGGATTCAGATGAATGCATGTTGAAGGCGTGATATGCACACTCACCAATGTTGTCGTGAAAAGGATAGCCCAGAAGGTAAAGAACGCAGCCGCGGTGTGCTTAAGTCCTACCATCCAATAAATCACTACCGAGAAGATTGTACATTGGAACAGAAGTACCGGAAAGTCTGCGGTAATCTGGGCCAAGCAAAAAGCAGCCGGATGATGCATCGCAAATCCCTTGTGCTTGATGAGAATCGGTCGACCTTTGAAGGACTCGGTGACTTCAGACATGGCAACAATGCAGTTGTATAAAAGTGAAAAAAATATAGCGCCTCCCTTGGTGAAGAGACCAGCCGATGTCTCCGGGGAATTATAGAAACAAGATCCAGCGATCAATGCCATGACACAGGACAAAATCTGCTTGATGAGGAAAGTCGATTTCTCACCCCACAGAATCTGGTATTGCCGTCGAGTGCAATGAATGAGTTGAGCCCAAAAGCTGGTTGTAAGTTTGCTGCCCTTGGGTAAATGGTTGGACTTTTCCCAAGCGACAGACTCTTTAAATGCTTCTGTCCGCTGCACGGCAATATCGCTATCAGGGTAGTCATATGAAGAAATCTCGTTCTTATAAGTTGCAGAGTTTTTGTACTCGGTCAAGATAGCATCTGCCGATCGAGGAAATCGGTTTTCCCAACCTGCCTTCACTTTTCGCTCGGTCGGGACAGTCACACCAGTGAGGAAGTCACCTGAAAAAGTAATTAGCATTAATTTCCAAGGGGGCCCTGGAAGACTTGTAAATCTTACCAATATTTGCTCCGTCGGTATACATTAGACCCAGATCTTCCATGAATGGCTTTGCTCCTGCCGCAGGGCCGTAGTAAATTTGCTTTCCTTCATCCAACACAAGCACTTTGTCGAACAAATTATAAATCGCGTTTCCGGCTTGATAGAGGGTGACGATAGTAGAAAGACCCAGGACATCGGTCATAGCGCGAAGAGCCTTTGCCCATTCCAGCGCCGTACTAGCATCCAAGCCGCGTGTGCTATTATCCCAGGAATACACCGAGGCATTCGTGGCCAGGCACTCAATAATCGAAACTCGTTTCCTCTCGCCACCCGATACTCCGCGGACGAACTCGTTGCCCACTTTTGTATCGGCTGTATGGGAAATCCCCATGGACTCCAGGAGGAACTCCATGGACTCAGCATTATAATCTTCTTTCTTAGCACCTTCCGGTAAATGGAAAGGGACCTTCAATCGTGTGGCGAAATCCATGGTCTGGCCGACAGTTAAACGGGGGTAAAAGAGCTCTTCCTCTGTATTCATAACGATTTGTCCGTGGTAGTTAAGTGCTTCTTCGGATGTCATATTTCCAAATCGCACATCACCTTTGATGCTATGATATCCTTCCCGACGGTTGGCAAGCATCTTAAGAAGCGTAGTGCATCCTGAGCCAGGTCTTCCAAGCACAAGAAGCATTTCACCCGGCTTGATACAGCCATGGCTATCAGACAAGATTGATTTCAGTGGTGGTTTCCGGCGGAAGTCTTTGACGAGTTGAGGAACGTTGAATTGGGAAAGCATGTTCTCCTTAACCGCTGCTTCAGCAGCTAAAACCTCAACAGAGAGGTTTTTCCAAGTAACTCCAAGCTCTCGGCGTTTGAATCCAGCTGCTTCATCACGTTGGGCGTTGCGAACTACACGGTGTGTCATATGCCATTCCTTGTTCTTTGCGGGTGCCGGGGTGGTAGGTGTTTGAGGGAGCGTCAGAGTCTCATGGCTCTTCCAATACTCCTCATCTTGCGGCTTGTCGGCGGTGAGGTTCGCAGAGGGCTCAGTTGTATGGAGAGTCTCAGAGCTGCTGGCTTCGCGGAGGTTGATCTGAGGCACAGGGAGGGTGTCGTGATTTTCCCATCCAGATGGATGGGAATCTTTCTCAGACGACATTTTAAATTTTTTTTCTAGGGTAATGATAGAATCTTTTGGTTGACCGGTCGAAAAGGATTTTGATTAAACCATTATAACTGGGATCTTCTCGATTTATATGATTCACGACTTTGCCGGAAGCCGGACTTTGATTGCGTATTTTCCTTCTAGAACATCGCTATGGTGGAGTAAACCACAAAATACACAGACCATACGTATTATCGCTCGTTTATTGCCCAGGTGGGTACAATGCGCCATTCAGCCCTTATCCAAGCAAGCAATATACCCCTGAGCGGTTAATAGTATTCCGGCTGTCGACAGTACCATGGCTTCTAGACGCTATGAATAGATTTATGAACACAAGTAGAGACGCTGGCCAATTGAATTTTGATCATTCGCACGAGACTGTATTATGAAAATATCTCGTTGTATGTTTCTAGCCAATAAAAAGCTTCATTTGATGATCAGAAGTTTTGGTCTGCGTGCCGATTGGCAGATCCGATATCAGGGACGCGGGAGTAGCGGCACGGAATCGACGCCGAATAGTCGGCCCCTTGGTAACTCTCGGCGGCACTTGGTCGATCCCGATCTACCCGGTGGTTCCCACTGGCAGCTGTCAGCCACACCACCGCAGCATATTACCTGATTGGGTCAGATGAGATAAGGTAATTGCCAGAATGGACAATGCGGGATTTATTTCAGATGTATCCAGTGCGGGTCGTGCTAATCAAGTATTCGCATTATGGACCCTTGCTCTTTCACGGCCGCCTGTTCGATCAAAGCTCTTCAGACAAATAATCCTGACCTCGGCACGTTGCTACGATTATCTATATCCTCGGTTCCACGGCCGTATCATATTTCCGGTTTGGGAATGGTTCTAGAATACTCTATATACGAGACTTGAAGGCTCGTTTCACCCCTAAGGTGCTGTGTGGCAATCTCACGTGGAGGGGTACAAACAATATTGGACTAGTCAATGGCCGCTGTTTTCAAGAAAGCTTTTCATTTAACCTTCAGCTTGAAGTAACCTAAATTTTCTCTGATGGTGGGAAGGAACAAATTGTAACCATCTCACATTGCTTACCCAACTGGGCACATTGCCTCCAACATGTTCAATAAGTCAATCAGAGAAGAAACATGTAGTAGATTCAGGAGCTATCGTACAATAATATAATTTCATAAAAGTACCGGCGACTGGCATATCGCATCACTGGTTAATATTCAGAGCCTAGATCAAAGTGATTTCCGTTGCATTCCCGTCGGTGAATACTTCCAGGTTTTCGTAAAGAAATGGATCATCAAAGAGCAAATTTGGATTCTTCGCTGCTATCATCATTTCCATGTCATCAAACAATCCGAAGTCTTCTGTAGGCCACCGTTGTGGATTCTGGGATCCCCATGGATCAAAGATTTCAGTCCTCTGCGGCTCGAAATGTGAGCTCCTTAGCATATTTTCAGGATGAAATATCTGAATATCCAAGGGACTTTCGTTTGACGTCGTTGGTGTAGGAGGTATTGTCTGCTGAGAAAGGTCTGCCCATGATGGTTGGATGGAGGGCGTGGCTAAAGCTGATTCTCTGGATCTCCTTTCACACTCATGTTGGAGCGTAATATTGAGTTCTCTCTGAGGCATCTCAGGCTTCTTATTTAAAGCCCCGAGCTGGGTAACCATATCATGGGTAAGAGGAAAACCATTCGGCTCAAGCTTCAAAGGCTCTCCCGGCCAGCCCTGGCCTTGGACGGCTCGGTGATAAAGTTCCCGGAGGCCATTTACGAGCCAACTCTGTTGCTCTTCTAACATCTCTGCATATCTGTATATATTGTTTCATTAGCTCAAATTTGCCCCTTCTTCTTCCAACCTTGGAGTGAGATTCCACTTGACTCACCCTTTGGGATACGATTTCTCATGGATCTTCTTTCTTTGTCCAAATATACAGGTGGCATTATCCGCTTGACAGCGCAAACAAGGGTCGAGACCGTCACACTTCTATCGTCAATATACTACCTCCTCTATGTGCTGGCGTAGTACGATCGGCTTACCTTGGATTTCTTTAAGCGACAACGGTCACATGCCTTGCACACGCGTTTCCTCCCTCCTTCGTGTTGTGGATTGTCAGACATTTGGTGAATCGTCACAAGCTTCGTATTCGAGATAAACAGAGGCCACTGGTACGTGTTTGAAATTTGCCAGAGAAGAGTAGTTATCTTTGATTTGTGACGTCGAATTTTGGAGGCTAAAAACTCAACAATTGACCGTCAGGACGAGAAATTGTGTGATCAAAAAGAGCATTTATTTCAATGGATTGTGATGCGTCCCATCGGTTGCCCATATACCACCCATTCAGTAGTTAGTTAGACTCCTTTTTTGTTTAAATCATAACCAAATTTTACTCTGAATCATAAGGTCTAGACCGAATCATGGCTTCCTATTTGCGCTCTGGCGGTTAGGATGCCGATTTTCCGTTCCGGTCCGTCTAAGTGGAGACAAGGCAAATCGGCACGTCCTCATGAGCTCTCGGCACAACAATGCCGATCTTGGAATGCTCCAGAGACGAGGCCAGATAATTCATTACTGATCTGAGCTTGAAAGTATTTCAAACAGAAAAGCGCGGCCTTTGAAAGTGTCTCGGATATTCTCTGCTTTCTGCTTTATTCAACCACACTTCGTTAGCAACCAAAGGTGACATAAGGGTTCACCTAGAAACATGATAATATTCAACTGGAATGCGAATTCAACTCATTTTTCCCCGTCTCGTGAGAAAGGTGTCTTGAACATATGTGCTATCAGTCGGGCTAGGACGGACCAAACCCGTAGTAAATTCAAGTTTCCAGTTTCGAAGAAGCTAACGAGTATTTAAATTCCAGAAATAACTAGAAGAAGGAAAACCATTTGAAAGTAAGGAAACCTGAAAGCAATTTGGAATTTAAAGCTAGTGTCTGCTCTATCCTGGAGTTCGTGAGTTTTCAAGTTGCGGTACACCGGTTGACATCCTACAGCGCTCCGTGACCGCAATCGACACTGCAACTAATTTTCGCTAAGGCGGGAGCGTCCTATGGAGTTTAAGCACCTCCGAGTCCCAGCCCTGACAATCGGCAATTACAAAGCTGTTTGGAACACAATAGTCCATGTCCAATTTTTTATAGAGATCACTGGTAGTTTTGGAACGCTATCACCCTGGTAGCCACGCTGGCTCGAATGTATTTACGGATCGCCCGAAATCCTCCTAGTAACATCTAAACCTGAAAGTGCTGGACCTCGTGATCTGAGCTTGCCTAGGTATTAGTGCGCAAGTGCTATCTGCCTACCTAGGGTACAACTAATATAAGTAACGACTCACCACCGAGTCGGCCGCTCCACCTGGGCAATACGTATAATAAATATGATAAATTACAACTTTATACCTAGGTATCTCAACAACTATTATATTTAAGATTACATCTTATTAGTGAAGAGAGCTTATGTTCCAATTTGTAATTTGAAATGATGTTTGGTTGCTGAGATAATTGAAGTTGTAATTTGTCATATTTCTATGTGTTCTTGAAGCGGCCGACTCGGTGGTGAAACACGTTACTACCGAACTAATTCCAATATTCTCATCATTGGCAGATGCCTCCGAGTTCCAGTCAGGGTGGAAGAAGCTATAACTATACCAAGGTATCTAGTCGAGTACCTAGGTCGTACTCCGAACTTGAACTTTGAAATAGTACCCGCAAACAGCTCAAATTTATTGTGTTTGAGCCGAATGTTGCTCATTTCTATTTGCAATTAAACATAGAATGGCCTTTTGGCATGCTGATTAAACCCCAGGATGGGTTATCAGCAATGCCGGGAATATTTTGATGTCTAGGCTATAGCCGGCTTTAAAGAACCACCTGGGCAACCCCGCAGCTCCGGCCAAGCCCTTAATTAGGCTAAATTCCGGGTTTAATCGACCCCACGTTGCTCTCATATAGCGATATAATTCCAGTTCTCATTCTAAAAGCCCCTACTTTTTATTTACTCAGATCCCTCTTCGCGTAACGTGCTCGGAAAATGCCACGTATCCGCAATCCCATCCTCCCGGGGTTTAACCCCGACCCCTCCGTCATCCGCGTCAACGATGACTACTACATCGCAACATCAACCTTTGAATGGTATCCCGGCGTACAAATCCACCACTCCAAGGATCTAGCGAACTGGGAACTCATCACACGCCCACTAACCCGAAAGAGCCAACTTGATATGCGCGGCGCTCCGGATAGCTGTGGCGTCTGGGCGCCGTGCCTTTCACACGACGATGAGAAGTTCTGGCTCGTTTTTACATATGTCACGAGAAAGGACGGATCGTTTAAAGACGCCCACAATTATATTGTTACGGCGCCAGAAATCACAGGACCCTGGTCTGATCCGATCCATGTGAATTCTTCCGGGTTTGACCCGTCTCTATTCCACGATGATGATGGAAAGAAATGGTTCGTGAATATGCTATGGGATCATCGGCGGCGACCACGCGCATTTGCCGGAATCGCGTTACAAGAATTTGACCCTGCCTTGGGGAAACTAGTCGGAGCGCGGAAGAATATCTTCAAGGGCAGCGAGCTCGATCTCGTCGAAGGTCCACATTTGTATAAGCGGAATGGATGGTATTATCTCCTCACGGCGGAAGGTGGAACTGGGTATGAACATGCCTGTACCCTTGTGCGGTCGAGGGAAATATGGGGGCCGTATGAGATGCATCCGCAGACGCATGTGCTTTCTTCGAAGGATACCGCTTTTGCGGCGCTGCAGAGGGCCGGTCATGGAGATTTGGTTGAAACAAGGGAAGGGAGAACTTATCTTGTGCATTTGATGGGGAGACCTGTGGGACAGAATCGTAGGTGTGTGCTTGGGCGCGAGACGTCGATTCAAGAGGTTGTTTGGGAGGAGGATGACTGGTTGTATGTCAAGGATGGGCCTATTCCGTCTTTATATGTCGATATGCCTGGTGATGGACAGGGGAAAGACGTCGACCTAAAATACTGGCAAGAGCAGGAATATAGATTTAACGATGGTGTTCTTCATAAGGATTTCCAGTGGCTGCGGACTCCTGAAACCAATCGAATCTTTTCTGTGGAGGATGGCGCTTTATCGCTTATTGGCCGCGAGTCGATTGGATCTTGGTTCGAACAGGCGTTGGTTGCACGACGCCAGACACATTTCTCATACGACGCTGAGACGGTGCTTGTTGATTACGCCCCTACTGATGAGCGACAATTCGCTGGCTTGGTTGCGTACTACTGCCGGTACAATTTCTTCTATCTTGCAGTAACAGCGGATGCGGACGGACAGCGAGAGATAAACATCCTTCGTTCTGAGGCGTCGTATCCCGAAGGTAAACTCGACCTCGGAGACGTCGAACCAGTCCGCATTCCCAACGTCGGGAAAGTTAGGCTAGCCCTAGGCATCCGCGGTGGTCTGGATTTACAATTTTACTATGCGGTTGGCAACGAGGAGCTGGCGAAGATTGGACCGGTCTTTGATGCTTCTATTCTGTCTGACGAGTGTGGAGGGCATCTGGCTCATGGCAGCTTTACTGGCGCTTTCGTTGGCATGGCATGCTCTGATGTGAACGGGGCTGCTTTGCCGGCACGCTTCGAACGATTCACGTATCGACCAGTGCAGAATGCCGCGGACAGGTATGACATCTGAATAATGCACTGAATGACAAGGCCATCTGCCGAGGAAGGAAGCATTATTCCAAGACTCTCGGCTAGTATGCAATATAGTATTCGAGAGTGCCCAGGTGCAGTGAGCTGATTCCAATCGATGGGCATAGAAATTGTCAGCCAGAAGGCCTCAAGTACTGAAGTATCCACAGGTACTAGGCATCGGAGCATATGATGCTTGCAAGGAAGGCTACATGAAATTTTGTTTTTGCATAATTCTTTTTACTGAAATTGAAAATATCCGATCGGTTTCTCATTTGACGAAAACTATCCGGTGTTTCAAGCCCTGGAGTACGTACAAACAGCACGATGCGATTGCGCAATTAAGATATATCTCACGCCTTATGAGAATAGTAGTTCTATCCCTGCGTGTGCAAAGACCATAAGCATCACGCCAAAGTGGAACGATTGTTCATGGAAATGGATTGGTAATCCCGATTTGCGTGATAAGACGCGATTTACTACGGGCTGGCGTCATCATCACTCGATCTATTCTCAAGGTTACTTGCTCAAGGTTATTTAATCCGCATGTTGCGACTTAGATTGGAGCTGCATGAAACATATTGAAATAAATACAATCAATTGCAACCATAATGCCGACCGAATTCATCAGCCTAACTTTCCCAAATGCATCGACGGAGCTGAAGCCGATCCCAAATGCCACCATTGACCCAGATTATCTGGTCAGATACGCTCGCTCATTAGATGACCATGAGTTTAACTACACCTTGGTGCCATATGATTCATCCTATTTTGACCCATTCACCGTTGGCGCCACAATTGCCTCTGTGACCAAAAACCTCAAGGTCATCATCGCGCTTCGCCCCAACACACTTTATCCAACAGTTGCCGCCAAGGCACTCGCGACACTTGATCAACTCAGCTCCGGCAGAGCTGTTGTTCATTTCATTGCCGGTGGAAGTGATGCCGAGCAAGCCAAGGAAGGTGACTTTCTAAACAAAGAAGAGCGATATGCCCGCTTGGAGGAGTATATTAAAATTCTCCGCCGGGCATGGGAATCCACCGATCCATTTGATTGGAACGGAAAGTATTATCAGTTCAAACAATTCAGCAACAAAGTAAAACCCGTGAATGGAACCATCCCAGTGTCAGTCGGTGGGTCCTCGGACGAAGCATACCGAATCGGCGGCTCCCTCGCGGATATTTTCGGTCTCTGGGGAGAACCACTCAAGGAGACAAAGGAGCAGATCGATCGGATTTACGCCGAGGCTGACAAGGCGGGACGCAATGAAAATGACCGACCTAGAATTTGGGTAACTTTCCGGCCTATCATAGCCGAAACAGAAGAGCTTGCTTGGGCTAAGGCTCACGCGACACTGGATGCACTGGATAAAAACCGAGCATTGGGTCAAGGAAAAGCGCCTCCTAATGCCCCACCACCACAAAATGTCGGATCCCAAAGACTGCTTGATATTGCCTCCCGAGGTGAGGTTCAAGACCGTGCCTTGTGGTATCCTACTGTGACGGCGACGAACGCGCGGGGAGCATCGACGGCCTTGGTTGGCTCTTACCAGACTATCATCGATTCAATTCTCGATTATGTTGATCTCGGAGCTGAACTAATTTCTATCCGTGGATATGACAACCTCAATGATGCCATCGATTATGGACGTTACATCCTGCCTGGCGTACGCAGCGTTCTGCAAGAGAGATCTAAAAACCCAGCGGCATAATTGAATTTTGATATTTACGCGAGAAATCTCAAGAGGAAAGACCACTTGGCTCCGGAAATTTTCATTAATATGATATCAGTTATCCCTTTTGATGATAGAATAAGAAGTGAATTTTTGGGGGTCTCCGGCCCTAGACAGGTCTCTTGTACTGAGTAAAGACATTTTAATATGCAGTAATATGGGGATCGCTATGCTGGATATTTTTTGAATCTCTTTTTTCCTGTAGCATATACCCATTACATGGTTTGCTTGCCACGCGTCTCAATGGGCAGGAAGATCATCGCGAGGAAGGCAGCCAGAATTAGAGCACCAGCAGCGTAAATCGGAGCGGAAGGAGTCGTACTAGCATAAATGCCGATAATTGGTGCCATGAGACCAGCAATGCGATTGAAGCAACTGGCAATGCCAGATCCAGTACCACGATTGGGAGCAGGGAAGACCTCGGGAGTATAAGCGTACAGAACGCCATACATCATCATCTGGAAGAAGGACTCCAAAGAAGAGCAGACAAGCTGGATGTTGGGATCCTTGGAAGCCGTGAAGCAGAAGAGCAAAACACCGGTGATCATGGTCGAGCCGGCCATCGTGCCCTTACGGCCAATGTAAGGGACGTCAACCAGATACCAAGCGCAGAGGGGACCTGGAATACCACAGACTGCAGTAATGGCGTAATTTCGGTAGGTGATGTAGTCGGAAGAGTTAGCACTCAAATATTGAGGCAGGAAGGCATTAAATAGGGTGTATCCCATTCCAATAGTGGTCCAACAAAACCAGATCAAGATAGCTAGCGAATATGTTAGTACTCTGTGATTTTGTGTAGCATATTCAAACATACTAGAGATGCCAAGTTTCTTGGTCGCGAAAAGAGGCTTGATCTGTTGAACAGAGAATCGCTCAAGCGACCTCTTGACGATTTCCACTCTGGACAAAGACTGCTTTTCAGTTTCCTCGGGGTATCCACCAATCTCATTGAGAATCTCTTCGGTGAGCCAGGTGGTAGTCCTGTTCTTGTGGGCAATGCCCTGAACTGCAGCGACAGCCTCATCCTGACGACCACGAGACACCAAGAATTTAGGTGACTCATAGAGGGTGAACAGGAAAAATCGGCACAGGAACATGCAGAAAGTGATGGCACCTAGGCTCAGAACAAGATATCTCCATCCCCAGTTGTTTTCCTTGTTGCAGTTGGCGACATCTGTGCAAGAGAAGTTGGGAATGAAGGCCCAGGCGAGCATACTAGAGATCAAAGTACCGACCGACCACCAAGTAGCAAGACCACTCAAAATGTTGGCAGAATTGGGAGGCAGGCATTCAAGGAAGACAGCAGCATCCACAGGCAAGTTGCCGCCGACGCCCAGACCCAGGCATGCGTAAAGGGCACAGACACTAGATTAGATATTAACAAAAGTCCCGTTGAGAAGAAGCCAGGATAAAAAACATACGCGACCCAACTATTACCACCGCCTGCAGCGAGACCAAATGTACCACAAATGAAAAGAGTACAATTGAAAGCCGGACGACGTCCAATGGCATCAGAGGCAATACCCCAAAATGAGGCACCAACAATCAAGCCAACAAATAGAGAGCAGGTAGCAAACCGAGAATAATTCTCAGAGACACCAAACTCATTAGACACGGGTGTCAAGGTGAGAGCAACACCCTGTGAAAAATTAGCCAACGGCGATATCGGGTGTTTCATATCATCACATCATACCTGCAACCAAAGATTGTCGGCGACCCAACCCATACCACAGAGGATGAACAAGCCCCATTGGTAACGGCCCATGCCGATGTCCTGGATAGCTCTGTTGATCACCATTGCTTTGCCTATAACGTTCCAGTCAGAGATACATATCCAGCATAACAAAAAGGTCGTGCTCCGGGTTGGTTTGTGAGTTCAGCAAGGCTGGCAATGGCGACGCCGATACTATGATCAACTCAGGGAGTAGTGAGGTTGAATTTTGAATTGAACATACGATCATAGACAGTGTTGTGACCCGAGGCGGAAATGCTGGAATCAATTTCCTCTCGGAGTGCTTCCAAAGTCAGTGTGCTACGCTTCTGAGGGCCGGCTGCGGAACCATTTTCCTGGCTGGAAGCCCGGTCGAGGCTGGTGTTGAAGCCATCGTCTTTAGTAGGCGCGGGGGCACTTTCGAGGGGCACCACGACTTCCGGGAACTCGCGACGCTCTCGGTTCTTGATGAGGTCTTTGAAGTTGAAATCTAACATTTTGGCTGGTTCGTCACTGTCGCAGTTGGAAATATGGTCAGATTGAGGCGCGTGGCAAAGTCAATATTGTTTGGCGCAATGGTGATGAGTCCGGGTCTGATGTTAAGAATTGGCGCTAGGGTAGATATGCAGGTGCAATGGCTGTCAAATTCCGAGTCGCAGGGTGAAACCGTAAATAAATAGATGCGCAATGGGTTAATCGACTAGCTCGAAGTTGTCGCAACGGGGTTTGAAAGATGGCTATTTTGGTGCTACTTTCGAAAGTTTCGGGGGATTGCCAGATTGTTGTGTATCAAGTTTCTTTGAAAGTTTGAAACTATCCAACGATAGGGGTCAAAATTTGCAGCCAGGTTGCTAGAGTCGGTGGGGTGTCGTGTACAGGGGCCAAACTCAGACTGATCTGATTTTGGAAGTGACTGATGATGATGAGATGGGAAGTGAAGGGTTAGGAGAGAAAATGTCGCCACAGCAAAAGCGGAGGTCTGCAACAATTTTGGCTTGACTCTGGGGTAAGGGGAGCACGGCAGGGGAAGAAGGCATGGGACACGAGGGATTATAAAGAAATAATGAAAATCTTTTCACTATGTCAAATTGCAAATTAGATAATGAGATGACAACCCCGGGGCCAAAGTTGCGTGTTGGCCAACCATGAGCCTCACCCGTGTGGCCCTATGGGTCAAGCCTCCTCATAAGCCCTCATAAGCCAGCATCAAGCCATGCCCGCCACGCCCGCGGCTGATCCACCTTTCCTATCCTCAATCGGCAGGCCGGTCGCATTCGCCCCATATTTCAGTTCCGCTTGTTGTTGAAAAGGCCAAGACGCGACGAGTAAGCGAGACTCGGACCAAGTAACTATGGGTCGATGAACCTGTTACATATGGCGGTGATTTCCGACCGTCCAATTCGCACACAGCCGGATTCGTTCCCGTTTTTTTTCTCGATTGCAACTCGCCGGTCTACCTTTCACCCGAGATCCACCGGTAGTTCATGTCGTACATGCCGAAAATTCTTTCAGCGGACGGCCAAAAAAAAAGAAAACAAAAAAGACCAATTAGTTATTTGTTGAAGTTGAGCGAGCTCTGCAGGGGCCACCATCAATGATGGTTAGGCACGGTCGCAGTGGTGCCTTAATATCCATTTATCTTAGAAAGGCGGCATCGGATCAATGGGCCGCGGGCTTTAAATTTCCAACTCCCGCTTCTGAGGTAAGATTGAGATATAAAATGCCCGTACCTAGGTACCTAGGTACTTTAGCTTGTCTCTAGATTCGCCTAAAAGATGGCCACGAGTCTAGTGTGGTTTCAAAGCGATATACAATTTCAAAGGTTTAAGAGTTCGGTGTATCATTGAGGTCAATTGTGGGCCAAGCTCGTATAGAAAATTTGAATATGGAGTGTGGCCGAGGAAATTGAGGATATCAGGGAAAGAGCGCACAGACAAACGGAAGCTAAGAATACTGAGTGGAATTAGTCGCAGGATCTAGTGCCAGTGCGTGCCAGTGAACGCCAAGAATTTTTTCAGAGAAAATCTTGGAATATGTTTCTGCCTCAGGCTCCAATGTCCTGCGAAGAATTCCCAGGACACGAGCTCGCAAATAATCAAATCGTGATGAGGGTTAGATTAGATATTTCTGCTTATTTTAATGAGAGCCCTGGAGAGACACGCAGTCTGTGAAGAAGTAGACTTCACCATTCGATCGCAGAGACAAAACCTAGTGCCACTACTGCCTACTACTAGGCATTACTACTAGTATTATCACGATACATGAATCGACTGCCCAGCCCGAGGCGGTCTTCTCTAAAGACCACACTACTACTCAGTACCTAGGTAGTATACTTCGTAAATTGTTTCAAAAGCGAACCCCTACTAGTAACCGAGGCCAGCCACCAGCTCTAATACACCATATTCAAAAAGTTGATAAATTGCAGCTTCACATCGCAACAACTAATTACTAGTACTTATAACTAACAAGTGGTGGTGGTAGTATACTAGTACTAGTATATTTGAAGTTGTCATTGTAGTATCCCCCAGGGCTCTTTAAAAGATATACTTAATAGCGTATACCTAAGTATTAGTACGTTAAGCTTTAAAGAAGTCATATCTTTAGGCCCCGGGGCTCGAATTAAAATAATTTATTGTGCCCTGGTGGTTGAGAAAATACAGTTACAACTTAATAGTACTACTAGTAGTATCTGATATAGTATTCTAGAGATGGCGGCTCGCTTCGAGATGTGAAAAACTTGCATGTTATAGATATAAAGTGCTACTACTAACAATGAAAGGGCAGGCCTGTCAGAATTATTGTAAGAAATTTCCACCTATCAACAGTAAAATGTTCACACTCCCCACTGCAAATGCATTCAAACAGAGATATCCGGCTTTCGAAACGCAGCATCTCTTATATTAGCTCCAGGGTTTCGGCATTCTGTTTCGCTATTCCCATAGATATCGCCAAACTTGGAAGCGCTTTCTGGGCTCTAATTGCAGCTCCATTTCCTCGTCTGCAATGATCTCAGCTAGCCCAGAAACCATGTCGACTTCTTGGAGTGGCCTCATCCAGGGATCTTTGCGACCCAATGTAAAGCGGTGCACGAAGTAGAACCCGAGTAGAATGACAACACCGATGTAGCATGTGATGAAAGTTGAGGTGTTCCAATGGCCAGGGAAGAAGACGGCCATCCCATTAAGCAATAGAAGAAACGAAAACACTCCACCCGACACATATGCCATGTAAGGCTGCAGGATAGACCGGTAGGGCAGGGAAGTGGGCTCAATCCCTTGAGCAGCAGTGACTTTGCGAAAGCGCAGATATATCAAACAGGCACAAATCCAGCTCAAATATGCGCCCGTGTTAATCAGGTTGACGAACCAATTGAAGACGACTATCCCGGTTGCGGATAGGTTCAAGTAGGACAGGACAGAAAACATAGCACTTGTTGCTAATGCATAGTAAGGGACACCTTTGCGCGTGCATCGGGCGAAGACTTTAGGTGCATTTCCTGCAATGGCCAAGGAGTATAGTACCCGGGAAGACATATATAGGTATGAAGTGCCTGATGAGATGGCAGACGTGAGAATTATCGCGTTGATGATGGAGTCTAGAACAGGGATACTGGCCTCTCTGACAGCAATAGCCCACGGCGAAGCACCCGCACCCGATCCACCGCCCAGTAGCTGATTGTTGTCACTTGAAACGATCATACTAATAGCAAAAGAGCCGAGGATGTAAAAGCCGACAAGTCGATAGAAGTATCGTTTGCCAGCTTTCGGTAGATTCTGTCGTGGTCGTTGCATTTCACCGCCAGTAACAACCAATAATTCGGGGGCGAAACCGAAAGCAAAAACTGATAGTGTGGTGATAGAGATAAAAGCCACAAAACGGCCAGTGGCCCCCTCGGCAACGTACTCTTTCACCGGGCCTGGGTCTTTCCAGTATCGGAACCCCAAACGATCATGTGTTGGGCCTCCTCCCAGTATCAAGACAAGAGCCATTATCAACAAGCCAATTATGCCAAGCACTTTCAATGATGCGAACCAAAACTCGGCCTCTCCATATACATGAACGGGAAGGAGGTTCAAGATGATAATTAAAATGATGAATATCGTGATCCAGACGGCGATATTGACAGGGGGGGCTCCAATATTCGATGATCAGGCTGGCTGCGACGACTTCGGCAGGAACGGTAATGGTGAAGATGTACCAATACATCCATCCTAAGGCAAACCCCATACTGGGCGATACAAAGCGATGAGCATAATAGGCAACGGAGCAGCCGGGAACCGGAAGGTATGAGCTTATCTCGGTGGTGGCAGTCACAATACCGAGAACAAGGAAGGTCAAGAGACAGTATGCTATGACTAGGAAAACGGGACCGCCTTGTTGTAAGGCCTGGCCGGATCCAACAAAGAGACCAGTGCCAATAGTTCCACCCAGTGCGAGCATCTGCGCATGGCGAGACTTCAGACCTCGATGGGTGGTAGTCCTATAGAGGTCAAACGTTTCACCCTCAACCTTGGAGGATGCATGGGCAAGTTCATCTCCTTTTTCTGGTATCGAGATAGGATCAGGGGCCGGGGGGCCATTTATAGAAGAGCTAGAAGATTTAGACATGTTGCTTGGTTTAATAGAACTTGAACCTTGGAATGATAGGACTAGGGAACGAAAAGGGTCTCAATTTATACATTTCCTAGATTACGGACTATCCGCTATCCCCCGGGCACACCTATGTATGGTATCTATATTTGCACCCTGCTCACTGGCATGGGCTTGTACATTCGTACCTATCGGAATCTCGTACTTATCAGCAGGTGGCAAAGCTCACCCAATAAAAGCTCTTGTTTGGAAGGTTGGCGAGAGGGGTTTTTGACTTTTTGTGTGGAGTATCTTAGCAGATGCAATAATTGGCTGGTAATACTTGTATTGGGAGACTGACAAGTATTAAACTGAGCACTAGTATATTAATCGAGGTCTACTTCAATATAAGTATGATGGTAAGATTTCCCAGGCGATCAGCAAGATCCAGTAGTCACTTCCCATAAATTCTCTCCCTGGTCCATCTATTGTATTGCAATGTCGTACCAATCACCGTTAGATGTAAAACTTGAATCATTCTCATGTGTACCATTACGTTACGCCGTATTCTGATAACCATTTTATTTGGCCGAGGCCAATCGACATATGGTTTAATAGTTATTAGCAAACAAGAAATGTGGGACCTTTATTTCACGGTATGTCTGAGAGTGACCAGAGTGATCAAATTAGGACAATGCCATGGCACGAGGTTTCAATTGACATATCCGATTTTAATATTATCGGTGATATCACCCGAACATCTACCTCTGGTTCATAGTGACTTACTAGTTATCTAATTTTATTCTCATGGCGGCAATGGATAAAGTTTCAACTGCTGTGATCCAATACTTGGCATAATGCGGGGGGGGTATAGGGTTCTGTTACCGATCTTATTTGGGAGTTTTGTGGCGAAGTTAGAAAATCTAGCTCCGATAAATCTTGAATTCCAGAGCTTTTAGCGGCTTGAATAATAGGTGCTAATAGATTAACAGAAAGGATATTTTCTGTCCCAGAAAGATAATCGGCCTTTTGGGAAACTTTTGAAATAAACTGTGGGCGATAATCACGAAAGTATAACTGGCTGGCGATGGAAGGCAACTTGTTCCGAAGGGAAACTTCTTCCGGTAGAATCGCTGGAATTGGAAAGCAACATATGAATTTAACACGCAAGTCTCACGATAAGCAAACCCATCATAAACGGCAAGCAATGTCTGAGCGGGGTATTATGGGGAGAAGTTTGCAGTCTTCATCTTCCAATCCCCGATAGTGTGATTAAGGATACTACTCGTATTTGAATACATCAGGGACGAAGGCCATTCACTTGAGTGGAGAGAATTTTGAGCCGATCCAAGTATTTCTACGGTTAATGATACAGCTTATCTTTGGTCTATCTTGAATCGAAAGTCGTCTCAATCTTTGCAAAATTACGGCGAATTCCAGTGTCGAAGAACTAGAGTCCCGATGGCTGCTACATCGACGATCTCAATTCCCGAGCCAGCGTTTAGCTGCCAGGTATGTATGTACCTGGGTAAAAAAAAAAGGCCTATCCACTTACAAATTTTCGGATAGTGGGTGTAAAGCTTTTTACCGCTCTATTGACAACATCCTTCTAGGAAAGCGGGCGCAATGACTTTCGCAATAAATCTCAACTGCCGGTTGGTATAACTTGACCACACATTCTCAGTCATAGATCAGATCACTCCGATAGTGTTTTTTACTGCGAGTCTTGTTCCCAGCGAGTGGAATTGACCTATCTGTAAAGCTTTTCAGATGCCAGCATGACTGAGAAGAAGTAACTCCATAGTTAGGAGATAATTTCAATTTTTATATCTGGCTGAAAGGTGTCAAGTAGCTGAAAAAAGGCCACGGATGTTTCTGCCCTATTCTGAGATTAATAGTGATCCGGGCAAACGACGTAGAGCTCCCTAGTAGTTAGCTATCAAAGATGGACTGAACCAGACCATTATCTATAACTATAGTGGGCGACAACTTGATGGTGTACCTGAAATTTGGGATATATTGCAAAATTGCGCACCTATCGCGAGCGGAAAGAGTTCTCGTACAATCGACAGTGGTATATCCCGGGCGGGGATCGGATATAGTATTCAAGGCAGTGACCCGTGGACACTTCAAGTGCTAGTCACTATTTCATTTGCAGAGCTACCGTATGGGGACTTGTACTTGGTAGAGCACTCATGGCCACAGAATCCCCTGAGTGGAAGCGAAAAATGATTATTGTATTGGACGGAAGGGCTTGAGCTAGGCATTGGAATCATTTATGCAGGAGCTACGCACTACAATGGCATTCAAGTTAGTTACCCTGGTGGGTAAGAAAAAACCTTGCTCTAATTACTATTTACTGCAATGAGATTCATGAAAAACACGTTTTCCGTTAGCTGGCACTCAAACTTGGAACCAAAGGCATTTTTAGGAGCTTGGTTCTGTTATTTAACCACAAACCAGACTTTTGTGCAACTAATTTTATGGAATCGTTTCCTCGGCAGTTATATCCACCGTACAAAAGAATAAAAATAGCTCAAACATCTCTACTGTCGGCAACTAAAACTCCCTAGAGATTAAATATGATCTTTGGCTTATATTATCAAATAAAGATATGCGTTTACCTTTGTATTCTCTTTAGCGTGTGCCCAGGTGCTGTGACTAGTTTATCCTAGACCAGCTTGGATAGGTTGGCCATAACAGTGTAGTGAATTCATATTATTGAATTGACTTGATTTTCCTAGTTTCTTTGGGACTAAGATTTACTAGTAGATATCTCCAAAGTGACACTTCTGAAATTAATCTAGATTGAGAACAGTATTCTAAGCTGTCATAAGCACGGAATCCGGGAATGGAAAGTATAAGGCTTTGTGGCTGATCAGTACCCAGTACCGGAACCACTTTCTTAAACTGACAGAAACGGCTATCGGGCGCCTCCTCATCATATTAATGCATACCCCGCTCAATAGGAAGATCGAAAACACCGCTTGGTGTCATAATTGATCAATTCTGGCGAGACTGTGGCAGGACCACGGTCCGTATGTACTCTCTTGTATGGCTAGCTACAAACCGTGGCAGAGTATTTGCTCTACGTATTGTAATAAGGTGTGGTCCTGCGCGGTCCAGTTGCGGTCTTGCTACAGTAAATTTCTAACCCGTATTCGGCGATAAACTTGCACAGCCAACATAGTTTCGGCACATCTGAAATTTACGAGAACTTGAGGTGATGAAACTATTAGTAAAAGTAAACATATTTTTTCCAGGAGATAAAGTGACGTGAAAAATATGAGAATAGGTTCGTGAATTTTTTTTTCCTGGCATCAAACCTTCTATTCAAAAATTAACAAAAACCTCAGAAGCTCCGAAGCAGCAAAAATTGCTAGGTGCATCGGAATCAACTTTTTAAGTTAAGCTTAAAAAGGCGGTTACCAAGCATACACCATTCAACATCAATGTCGCATGTTATTAATTACTTGATCATAGTTGGCAAAAGGGAATCCGTAGCTCAAAATTCGTATAATTAATATTAAATATAATACATTTAGAATCTTTTTCATGAGTCCTTGACTTGCAATTGCATCCCAATCCACCGTCATATTACGTTCGCCGGTCAGGCAACTGGTCGCCCCATTCCTTTGGAGGTGATGTTGAATGTGCACCACCAGCTCCTTCCCAGTTCCATGGCTCACTCTGCACGACCGTCTCTGAGACTACCGTGATATCCTTCGAAGACGGCTCGGGCTCAGTAAGGATATGCTCATCACTTCCCCATGCCGAGACCTGCATATGTGACGGTGCCGCTGCACTACCTTTACTCTTCTTCGTGTCACGATCGCCGCGATTCGTCAGAGTCCTTAAGCCTGAGAGCGGGTAAGTTTGCCCTGATGGTTTGTTCGAGGAACTGAAGAAGGAAGCAAGACCGATTTTCTTGAATCCCTTTCGAAGAAGTGGCTGGATTATGGGTAGATTCGAGACGATAATTGAAACAAATGTTTCGCGGCATGCCCATTGAGACCCAGATGCGGCACCATTCGGGCCCGACTATGCATTCTTTATCAGAAGTGTTTCTTGTTCGGCGGAACTTCTTTTCATGGGAATACTCACACTCATAATAGTAACGCCTCGAATAATGGATGCCGTAATGACAAATGCAGCCCCGGAGAACAATGCCATGAGAGGAATCTTGCGCTTGAGGCTGATATTGACCGTCCAAAGGAGAGGTAAAGGAATTGAAAGGAGATAGATATCAGTAGCGATGTTGAGTATCATGACGACCAAAACGTATACCGGGGAGTTGGTTGGTTGGCAATATTCTGCGTATATCCGGTAAGAAGTGTGATTCTTACAGGTTCCGGGGTCAATACTTACTGCCGGGATCCGGGGCTACCTGCCAAAATGCATGGAAAGGTTGGCATGATAAGAGAAGAGATAACTGGGTTACAATCCACGTCACTCCCAAGATTACATAGGCGATTCGGACACGTGTGGGTAGACTTTGAAGACCCGTTCTGCAGTATGATCAGCGCTGTTTTCTCTTCTAGCATGACCGAAGGGCCGGTGTGAATCATACGTTAATCGCGAATAGAAGATTGCCAGGCTAAATTTGACCAGCCACAGGATTGCCACATATAGCGACCAACCGATAATCTGAATTTTTGACCCAGCAACCCTATTATACCACTCCCTGGATGTAGGATCGAGGCTTTTTCGTTCCTCGTTTGTCATGTAGCTATTAGTCAAGCCTTCGTAATTGGCAACGACGAGGTACGCCGCTACCGTTTCCAAGATGAAAACTACCTGTGCAGGATCGTCTTAGCGCGAAGAGGATAAAAAAGACAGGGACGGAAACATACCCCCGCTAATGGCATGAAATAGTCATCGAGCTGGAAATTGGCAGGTCCGACGAGCTTCCATCGTACAAAAATACGAACGATGATTGTGAATAGGGCTAAAGAAAGCAATACCCATGACTCGACGTTACCCGCCATTCTCACGGTTCCTCAATGATGAATGAGTCTTGAACGTAGGGAAGTGTGAATTTCCAAGGTGCGAGTAGCCAAGATTAAAGGAACAATAAGAGAAATGAGACTGCTGAAGGATCAAACGGGATCTGCACGGATCAATTCCGTCAGTTTGGAGATCATCAGCCCGCTAGTCTAAGATCAACTTAGTTAAAGACGCTTACGGGTACGGATTACAAGGATCCGTACTCCGTACGTAAAACTCTTTTTACTGACATCCTGTCATTGGCAAACCAGATAATCCATTAAAAGCAAGATCATCATCTCTCCACACCTGTCGCGCCACCAGATCCACCTCAACAGGGGAAGCGGGGCTTTTTTTCGGCCCGCCAAGTGCCAGCACGATGTCGAAAGAGGCTTCATGGTGGGGGTGTATAGCCCGGACCATCCACTTTTTTTCCTCCGGGCAGTTGACCGACAGTTTCCATCCCAGGGGCGGCAGCTCAGGGGCTCAAACTTCGACTAAAATGCCTAACGGCCACGCGAACCTTGCAAGTCGGGTCATCTCCGTTGACAAAGTACGTTAATACAGTTCAAGGAAGGCTAGTAACGTACGTAACGGTATATATTGCTATTGGAGTCCCCCATTCAGATGGAGAGCTCTTAGCAGAAAGTTTCCCAGGTTGACCCCAACTACTACTAGCCCTACTGCTTCAAGTTCGTCATCGCCATTGTTCCAAGGTTTTAATTTACTATTCCGCTAAAAATGTCCACATACGACTTTGTTATTGTTGGAAGTGAGTACTTGAATAAGGTTTTGACTTATCCCCGAAAGCCTTTGTTCCTGAAAATGAGATAAACTCCTCCAGGGCTCTGGGTCGCAATACGAAACCTTGGAAACCCCCCCCCCCCCTCTCCTCCCCGGCAATTTGACCCCGCTATGTCAGATCTGACTTTTCTTCACTATTAGGTGGTCCAGCTGGTAGTGCACTCGCCGCCCAGCTTGCCAACTCGAATGGAAAGCCGCAAGTCCTCCTGCTGGAAGCAGGTGAAAATAAAGAAGATAAGAATCTTCGCGTGGATGGGCAGCGATGGATCACTTTCCAGAACCAATCCATGAACTGGGGCTTCAAGACTACCCCCCCAGGCGGATTGCAACAGCCGCGAGATTGACTATAGCCGTGGGCGTTGTATGGGTGGATCAAGCGCCATCAATTTTGGCGTTTATAGTGTCGGTGCCCGCGATGACTATCAGGAATGGGCGCGCATTGTTGGCGATGAGAGCTTTGGGTGGCAGAATATCCAGAGGAGATTGAAAGATCTTGAAACCTTTCACGGGGAGATCCCAGAAGGCATGGATAAGAAATATGCCAACCCAAAGGGAGACGACCATGGCAGCAAAGGTCCACTGCACGTTGGCTTCGCACGAGAATGGGAAAGAGACTTGCCAGAACTATTGGATGTCTTTGAGCAAGCTGGATTCCCCCTGAACCCCGACCATAACTCCGGTAACCCTATTGGAATGTCCGTGTTGATTAATTCGGCTCATCAAGGTTTGCGATCGACAGCGGAGGATCTAGTCGCTGGCGACAAGAATAATTTGACGATTGCGACCGATGCGCCGGTGCAGCGTGTGATTTTGGAAGGGAAAAAGGCCGTCGGCGTCGAGGCGAATGGCAAGAAATGTGAGTACAATGGATTTTGATTTCAAAGTCTGCTACTACCGAATCCTTGCCACCATATTCTAATACAACTTGAATCTAGATTTCGCTTCGAAGGAGGTAATTCTCTCCGCGGGTTCGCTCAACGACCCTCGTATCCTGATGCATTCAGGAATCGGCCCGGCTGCTCAATTACAAAAACATAACATCGAGGTCGTTCAAGACACACCAGCTGTAGGCCAAGGACTTCGCGATCACTGCTTCGTGCCAATGGTCAACACTCGCACCGATACCAGTACCGACCGGAAGGCTTTCTATGGCTCTCAATCTGCCATGGACGCCGCCAAAAAGGAATGGGAAGAGAGCGGAACTGGCCCGTGGGCAAAGTTCGCTTGTGAATTAGGTATTGGCTGGTTCAAGCTTACCGAGCAGATTACTTCGACGCCAGAGTTCCTTGCACTCCCAGCGGATGAGCAAAAGTACCTCCTTCAAGAGACCGTTCCGCACTACGAAATCATCACCCATTTCCCTATTCATTGGTTCATTCCAGACTTCCCGACCGAGGCTTTGAACTACTCTTGTCTCCTCGTCTTCTTGTTTAATGCGCAGACTCGTGGAGAAGTCACTCTACAGTCGTCAGACCCTGATGCTCCGCTCCATTTCAATCCGAAATTCCTCGCCCATCCGTTCGATCGTCGACTTGCGATAGAAGCTTTGCGCGACTCTTTCCGTGTTGCCAAACATGAATCCTATACGAAAGACAATGTTGCCGAGCTAGCCATGCCCAAGGGAGAGTCGGATGAGGATTTACTCGAATACTGGCGGGCGAACATTTCTTCAAGCTGGCATATGACAGGAACCGTCAAAATGGGAAAGATTGGCGATTCCGACGCTGTCGTTGATCCGGACTTCAAGGTTATTGGCATTGAGAACCTGCGGATAGCTGACATGAGTGTTGTGCCAGTATTGGTCAACGCCCATGTCCAAGCAGTAGCCTATGTCACCGGCGCAACATGCGCTGAGAAGCTGATCAAGGAGTATGGTCTGGCTTAGATGCGATACATTTGCTGCTCGCAAAATAATCAAAGATAAATGCAATGCCTGTGGTCTTTTAAGGTATCAGAAATGAGCATCAAGACTCTCATGAAGATTGATATTTCTTTTTACATGACATAGCATAACGTTCAAACAACTTAAAATAGACTGAATTGAGTTGAATTAGGAAGAGGAATCCGAATACTAGTAGGGTCTCCCAAGAAACCAACTTGACCAAGAAATTGAATGCAACCTTCAAGTTTTCGATGCTTTATTTCAATCAGGAGTGTATACCTAGAATTTCGCGCGACCACTTGGTTACCTGGGTTTTGAAAAATTCCGGTCATCAACTACCCAGGTAGCCGCATCTACGGATACAGGCTCAAATCGAACTCGCCTCTTTAACAGCAGCGCTGATACTAGAAGCAGTATACTCAATGTTGAAGCGATTAAGTCCCCTAAAATTATAAATTTGTTAGAGTAATTGCCATCCTCCGAGTGGCTTTGCAAACTTACGCAATAGAGATCCTTCCTGAGTCTTGGACATAAACGTGATACTTTTTCTGCAAAATATCAACCTGATCCTGAGACAGACCAAGATACCTACACAAAACGAATCAGTACTTTCCCTCTCCTGTGGCTCGTTATTGCAAAAATACACTTACGAGAACATTCCATTCTGTTCAGTAAGGTGCTGCCAATCCCCTGGAGTTTTCAATTTCTCCAGGGTCTCTCTGAGAGCCTGACGACGGCTTTTGAGTCCGATCGCCATACCGCGAACTTCCTCTCGCCATTGACGCTCGAGATTGCTGTCCGATAGAACGATTTCGACTATCTTCGACCCAAAATCGGGCGGTGCCCCGCTCTCTGCCCGTGCTATAAGCCGCAGTTGTGTTTCAATTCTTCTCCCGACTTCCTCACTTGGTACAAGAACTGAGAGTACTCCAACACGCTCGCTGTATAAGCCGAAGCATTTTCCATATGTCGAAACAAAAATCAGAGGTATTTCCAGTTCGGTAAAAAGGCGGACGCCTTCAAGATCCTCATCGATGTCTCCCGATGCAAATCCGGGGTATGCGGCATCAAAAAAGGCCAGATGACCGCGTTGAAGAAATATGGATGCTAGGCTTCGCCACTGTTCCGGAGAAGGATCACATCCAGTAGGGTTTTGTGCTCCCGACTGTAAAAGAACAACAGATTGAGATGGCAGTGACAGCACAGCGGCTGAGAATGCCTCAAAATCGAATTTGTTCGTTTTGCTAGAAAAATAAGGCAGAAAACTTGGCTTAATTCCTGCAGATTGGAAGACAAACCAATGGTTCACTGGGTTCTAGTCAGTATTATCCAGCGGGTGGCAATTTAAGGGCATCCTACACCATGTATCACTCGGAAGGAAAATCTCGGGAGCCGCTGCGGTTTTCCAGGGACCATAATGCTGCTTCAAAAGAACTCCACCAACGTGGCATCCCCCGCTTGCACCTAGAGTTTGCGTTGTGACAATTCTGCATTATCATAATTAAGCTCCGAGCCAATTCCTTAAATGTATATAGACTCAAATTACCTTTTCTCTTTCACAAGACGATTATCAGGGCCAAAAAGCAACTTGTTACTCAAGTCTCTGTAGCCGATTGATCCCAAAGCGGAAGCGCGGTACTCGTGGTGCCATTCATTGTCGTTGAACAATCTTCTCTTTGCCTACAGTAAGATTTAGATTTTGTTTCCTCTCCCATTTTTTTCGATCTTGAGTTAATCCACGCTTGAAAGTCATACCTCTTTTACACTCGGCTGTACATATGCTTTTCCTTCGTCTGTTTTATAAACCCCAACGAGAAGATCGGTCTTTCGCGGATCATTATCTTCGCGAAATAGAGTCACAAGCTTTTCCAGGCTCTCTAAAATATCCAGGTTAATATCAATCAATCAAAGACGGTCGTGAACTTTACCTACGCGCCCTGTAGGGACGTCTTGGAAGGGGTTTGTTGCTATGCTGCCCATTATTATGATAAAGGAACTCGCAGTCGAATGGTTTCGGAGTATTTTATTGAGATGGGATATTTATACTGCGGGGGTAATTCACATTGGACTCGGAGTAATATGTAGACCTTAGCACGCAATGAATATCGCGCCATAATTAGAACCATGTCGACAGTCAATTTATGTTCCGTAGCCCGAAATGTCCCAAATAGAAACATGAAAATGTACGTGAAGGATAATAGCATGTTTATAGAAGCTCTGTGCAACGCCAGCCTTAATACTACGTCCTTGGGGGAGCTAGTGATGATAGTCTGGCTAATTATTTCCCCAAGAATCTCATAACGTAATAACTAGTACTTATAGCACGAAAATCTACATCGGGAATCTTGGAATATCAGCAGAATTTTGAGAGAACTTCTTTATAGACTTGGCCTAAATAAAAATGTCTCGAGTCATGTGCGATAGTTTCAGATTGTTGCCGAGGTGGTTTGAAACAATTTCGCGATATACCTAGGTACTTTCATTTCGAATGACCCCATTCAAGTTCGGAGCCGCGCGTACTAGAGGAATCAGCCTGCGGGGAATCTGCATCCATATCATCTCTCGAAATTCCGTTCTGCGATATAACATCCTGCTGGATATTGTGTACTTTCACTCCGTCGATGATCCCAACCCGGAAAATAACAAGTGCTGATGGGATAATGCAAACGGCGAAAAACGACAGATTCACTGCAACAGCCCCAGAAAGCTTGAAGGTGTCAATTGAATTAATGCCGTATGATATAGCTTGTCCACAGCTTTCGATGCCACGTACAACGGCACTCAGTCGAATAATCTCACCGCCATCACGGTTTATCGTACCAATGAGCCAGTATAGATAGTCGTACATAAGATTAAATCCGACAAGCATCAGAATATAGACACAGGCACCACGCCCGAATCCATCGTCGGTCCAATCTAAAATTATGGGGGTCGTATGCCGCTCATACTCTTTGGTAACGATCATTGCGTAGATATAAAGGGATAGTTCGAATGCATAAATCACAATGAAAGCACCCACTGCACGCGCGTTCAGAGTAGGTTTGCGCCAGTAAAGAATCCCAGGAGAAAGTTAGCAACAATCACACATGTGCTGGCAACCAAAGATGTTAGCGCTCGTGCTCGTACAGTAAAATAAGTTGCATTATAGGTCGAAAAGAAAGCCTCTGAGAAGACACTTTGGAAGATCATGGGTAAGAGAAGTAGTATCTCTTTTTCTCCGCAAAAGTCTCCACATGGCCTGGATCTCAGTACTGAGGCCTTGTGGTAAATTGATAATGACTTTTGTCCGGTCGGATCGCTGTACTTTTTCGGGCGGCGATAGCATTGCTGCGATGAACGGTCCAATAGCTTGAATTGAAATGAATACAAGGTAAGTCTGCACACTGATATGACCTTTCTCTTTATTTTCGGCATTAACCCCCAGTGTGACAGCGCCACCTATCATCTGCCCCACGATGCGACTAGCAAGCCAATAAGCCAGGTATTTTCCCCGTCGATGCTTTTCCGGGTATGCCAGTACAATTGCGCCTTCTGTGAGCCAAAATATACCTGACAAGATGCCGTCAATCACACAAGCGAGCATGATGTACCATGTGTTGTTGTATTTGATATTGCAATACACACTAGATGCATAAATCGGAAATACGATCATGCCACATGAAAAAGCCCATTTGAGGCCGATTTTTGCTATGAGAGAACTTCCGAAGATGCAGACCACGAACTGCAGACAGAAGATAACCGCATTTGCAGCATTCACGTAATAAGGATCTGCTGAGCCTGCTCCCCCTAATCCGTTCATTGCAGCCCATAGGCCAGGTGCGATGAAAGCGCATACTGCAATAATCGAGATGTTGAAGATGGTGGTGCGGTGCCACGCTCTTTTGCCGATTTCCGGAGAACTCATGATGAACAGCTTGAAAAGATGAAAGGTAAAAGAGACGCTCGACTCCTTACACAAACACGAGAGACTCAGAATAATAAATCAGAGTTGTTTGAAAGCCGTTTCCAGACAATCCATTTCTTTTCTTCTTATAACACCTGTGCTTCAAGATCAAAGCGTGTCCTCAGTCACCCTAAAAGCGGAGGATCGGCTTAGGAATTCCCCTATGTAGACGGCCTCACGCAGGACAGTTAGCACGGGCCGTGTCCACGCCGACGAAGTACCTAACTAATGGCCTCGGGGTAAGTGCTTGAGAGGGGTAGGGTTATGTCAACTTCTGTTATATACTAACTAGTAGTTAGCATCTCAAGTCACACTGTCAGCTGTCAGCAAGACGCGGGGAGATAAATTAATCATTCTCCCATTCCCCACATCTTGCATAATTGTTCGTTTCCGAATCAATTCGTTTCATAGTCGATAATATGCTTTCGGGAAAGAATCAAGCATGTCTTCTATACGGTGCTGGCGATGCACGATTCGAAGATATTCCCACACCATCCCTCGAGGAATCTCCGCGAGATGTTTTGATTCGGATTGCGTACACTGGGGTCTGTGGTAGTGACGTAGGTATTTTCTCGCATCCCAGGTCTCCGATAGAGTAGCAAACTCACGAGGTACTACTAGGTTCACTTCTGGATGCATGGAGGGATAAATGAGATGGTCCGCCCTGGATTCCCAGTCACTCTCGGTCATGAAGCCTCGGGTGTGGTCGCGGCTATTGGGACTGCCGTCACAACGTTGAAAGTGGGAGATCGAGTAGCGATCGAGCCTGGATTTCCCTGCCGTCATTGCTCATTTTGCCTGGCAGGAAAGTATAACTTATGTCCGGAAATGGCTTTCGCAGCAAGTCCTGGGCCCGGGCCTGTTGTGCATGGAACTCTGGCAACCTTCTTCCGTCTTCCGGCTGATTTGTGTTATAAGCTACCAGATCACCTGGGCCTTGACGAAGGGGTTATCTTCGAGCCCCTCGCGGTCGCAATTCATGGCCTCCGTCTTTCAAAACTCAAGCCAGGACAAGATGTTCTTGTTCTTGGTGCAGGCCCAGTGGGTTTGCTGTCTTGTGCGGTCGCGCGCGAGTTTGGTGCTGGGCGGATTACCGTGGTCGATATCAACAACGAGCGCCTGAGATTCGCAGCTAAAGAACTAGAAGTGTCCACACATCAGTTCGATACGGCCATTTCGGTAGAGAAGAATGCTGAAGCCCTTGTCACCGAGAAGGGGCTCCGGGAAGGGCCCGACGTTGTCATCGAAGCGACGGGGGTAGCGCCATGTGTTCAACTCGGCATTGAGTCGATTAAAAAGGGTGGATCCTATGTTCAGGTCGGATTAGGGAAGAAAACAGTGGAGTTTCCACTGGTTGTAATGAGTGAGAAAGAGATCACGCTAAAGGGTTGCTTCCGGTATGGCCCTGGGGATTTCGCATTGGCATCGAGTCTGGTCGGTCGGGGCAAAATTCCTTTGAAGGCCTTCGTCAGCAAGATATTTCCATTTCACCAAGCACCTGAGGCATGGGAGGCAGCTCGAAAAGGGCAAGGGGTGAAATTTCTCATACAAGTCGATGGCAGCCAGACTTGAATCTGGACTACTAGCGTCTATTCCAAGGTTAATGGCAATTTCCTTTATGCATTCCACTTAAAGACCCCGTTCCAAATCGTGAAGGCTCTTCGATTCGTAAACATTCAAGCTTGAAGTTGAAAAACTTAGGGACTTGAAATAATGGAACTCGATTTCAATTCGGCAACCTTGAAATTCTGCGAACAATGGATGACAATATGAATATTAATACTACTAGTAATTGTCTAGTACTATGTTTAGAAAGCCTTAGCCCTCATTAATGGTGCTTACTACTATCATAGTATAAACCTGCCTCTGGGTAGGCCCAATAAATAGTTAACTAGTGACTAGGGAATGCGACTTACTCTAGTCGCTTTTCTTCATCGGTCTCTGCTTCAAGTTTTCCATACTCAACTTCGGTCTCAAAAAAAAAACATGTGTAACTTATCTTGAACAGCCTCCGTCACATTATTCGACTGCAAGGCTGATGGAAACTTTTTTAAAATGAGAAGGGTTGACAAATAGAAGGAGGCTTGTCACATTCCCCCTCCATCTTGACCCCACTCAAACCGAGATACAAAAACATCTCCCCTTCTCTTAAGGGTGTGATGGATTTTTCTGTCAGCAATAGATCATTCATGTTGATCCTTTTCTCGTGCTCTCAATGTAACTCCGATCGCGGAACCGGCCAACTGACGGACCGGGCCAAGTCGTCCCATTATCAGATCCCCGCTACTCCGCGTTCCATATCTAAGAGCGGCAAAGCCTAACGAGCGGGCCGTCTAATCGCAGTGACCATTACATCGAATTGGTGCGGGGTTTGCAGCAGCGTAGTGGGATGCACAGCCGGCCCCCAGTCTCCGGATGAGCCCCTCTCATCAAGAAGCAGGATGTAGATACTTAAATGCTCTCTTTCTTTTTGATTGTAAAGAACCCCAAGCAGTGATAAAACAGTTATTTAATATGCCCCAAACAAGCGAAGGCAATGTCCATGGCTTGCAATATCGCGAAGCAAAGCCTTCGCAAGGAAATCCATCGCAACCTGTGTCAGAACTCTTCCGTCTTGATAATCGCACCATCATAAGTAAGATTTTGATTGCAATTTTCGCGGTTTTTTTCGATTTTTATTTCACTGACAATAAGGCCACAGTAACTGGCGCATCGGGCTTTTTGGGAACGACTCTAGCAATTGCCATCTTCGAAAGCGGCGCTGACATTGTCTGTCTCGATATTTCTTCCACACCTAGCGCGGCTAACTGGGGTGAGAGCTCACGATTTTGCGTCAATTTAAATTCCCGTGGAACTGATTTTTGGAATAGCTGATGTCGAGGATGCTGCAAAGAAGCACCATTGTCAACTGACATATTTTCAGCTTGATGTTACTGACGAAAATGCTGTCTCCAAAACGTTTGCCGGATTTATCCATGCTCTACGCTACCCAGTCAAGGGTCTTGTCGCTTGTGCCGGGCTGTCACTAAATGGTCCTGCGACTGAATTTCCGGCTTCTTCATTCCGAAGGGTACTTGATACCAATGTCACAGGAACATTCCTGATCGCGCAAGCCACAGCCCGGGAGATGATCCGCACAAACACCACTGGAAGCATGGTTCTGGTTGCAAGTATGAGCGGTTACTGCTCTAATAAGGTAGATAATGTGTTGCAACTTTTTGCAATTTTTCGCTAACACAGTAATACCAGGGTGTTGATACAGCTGGCTATAATGCATCCAAGGCCGCCGTTCACCAGCTCACGCGTTCTCTGGCCGCCGAGTGGGGTTCAAGAGTCGAAGTACCACTCATTCGAGTTAACTCGCTTTCTCCTGGCTATATTCGCACAGCTGCCACTGCCGAATCTTTACAAAAACCAGGCATGGAGGCTCAATGGACTGGAGATAATATGCTGTACCGTTTGAGTACAGCAGATGAGTTTCGCGCGCCCGTGCTCTTCATGTTGGGCGACGGAAGCAGTTTTATGACTGGCGCTGATTTGCGCGTAGATGGCGGACATTGTAGTTGGTAGCAATTGCACTAGTGAGAATATATGCACCATTGATTTTTTTTTCCAATTCACCAAGAAAATATCACAGCGTGTTAAACTGCCTCGGTATTGTTGCATCTTGAATGCCTGAGGCATCAAGGATCGCCTTCGCCTCGCTCTCTCGGGTCGAAGCATATAGGCGTCTTGGAGTTACCGAGGAAGCTACAACCAGAGAAGAGATATGGGAGTCGGCTAGTAACTAATAAACGCCTCTAAATTGAAAAGAATCACTTTTGAAGCATTGTATGATATACTATTCTATCAATAGCTTAGAATGGCGGCAACCAAAGTAGCGCGGGTACCTACGGCGTCGGAAAATTCAGCACTCTCATCCAAAGCAGAAGACATCAGTTACCCAAGATGGTTTGGTGGATCAGCCTCTTGTGTAGCTGTGATTTTTTCTCATCCTTTTGACCTTAGTAAGTACGAGAAAAGAGTGTTCTGTCGTCCATAATCTAAAGCTACGAGAAAACAGTCAAGGTGCGAATGCAAACAGTATCAAACGGCGCTAAGCAGAGCACTATTACTACCGGCATGAGGATTGTTCATGGAGAAGGTGTCAAAGGACTTTATCATGGTGTAAGTCATGTGGCATATCCCAAAGTTCTTGGAATCGATTGAAGGATCTATCACTTTGAGTTTTGTTGCTAACTGGATACTTGTCAATTTTCATTAGCTTACTGCTGGATTTATGCGAGCATGTAAGTCTTGAATACCTCTCAACTCAGAACAATATATACTGATATTCTCAGTGACCTATGGTACATCGCGCATTGCTCTCTATGAAGAAATGAAAGAAAGTGCGAAGAAATCCAACCAAACGCTTTCAACGCCCATTCTAGGGATTATGGCCGCATCATCAGGGTTTATCGGAGCTATTTTTGGCACTCCTGCAGACATTGCAAATGTTAGAATGCAAAATGACGCCTCATTTCCGCCGCAGCAGCGACGCAACTATCGAAATGTACTAGATGCATGGGCCCAGATGAAGCGAACCGAAGGTTGGAGATCATTTCGGCAGGGGTTGTGGCCTAATTGCTTTCGCTCTGGAATCATGACCGCAAGTCAGTTGGCTTCATATGATTCATTCAAAAGATTAATTCAGAAAGTATGCGACACGGACGAGGAAAAGCCTTTAATCCACTTCTCTGCTTCTCTGCTGGCGAGTTTGGTCGCAACTTCAATTTCGAGTCCCATGGATGTCATCCGAACCCAGTTGATGAGTTCTTCAAAGAATACTTCAGTTCTCGAGATTATACGAACCCTGATGCACACTGAGGGTCCTAAGTGGGTTTTTCGTGGATGGACCCCAAGCTTTGTCCGCTTAGGTCCTCAAACAATTGCCACGCTGGTGCTGTTGGAGCAGCATAAGAAGATTTACCGCACGCTGAAATCATAGGAGCTTTAAAGTTTTTCACAATCAGCGATCGAGTTTCAAACCGAGTCTATATTCTCGGCAGCGCTTTCTGGCCTTGACTTTCCCGTTCCTCTGCCGATCCCATTCTTGACCGTCTAGACAACCAGGATAACATTCCGGATAATTCAGCCATTCAAGCTTAGGCAGCTGTCGTCCTTCATTGACATACTATTTCTTTGTTCGAGGATTTCTTTTATAATTGGACAGCAGAAAACTCTCCACTGGAATAAATCTCGCTGTCTTAGCTTATTGATTCAAATTTTCCTTCGCGTCAGACTTTTACATAGAATATCCAGCCCTGGGGTTCCCTGTTTATTTTAATTTATTGTCATTCTTCTTCGTACTTGACCAGTCCGGGTCTGGTAAAATCTCCCCTTTGTCAACTAATTCCCGATAACTTCTGGGCGAATCATACCTAGGTAGGTACTAGGTATTCATAGTAGATTACCCTGAAGAATTCATGATAGCCCGGTATATAATAACACGTAGTGCCTAGTTATAAACGGGCCACTTGCGGCCTCTTAAAGGCAGCTAATCGCTGCAACCACGTAAAAAAAAGTTCACAATTCTTTTGTAGACCTGCAAACTCTCAATAAGCCCCGATATTCTGATGTGCTCATTTTCCATGTGTGCTACCAGGATGGTACCCGGTCCATATAGATATTTCTTATGATCCCCCTTTACCCGCGGCGCATCCGTGCCGAAGGAGACTGAAATTGTGCCCAGCCCAGGTATATCATGGTCCAGATTTATCTCCGGATACAAAAACCTGTTAATGAGGCGCAAATATTCGTGGCGGGAGATGGTTTATTCTATCAACTTCTCGATCCTCGGCAAGTCCTTCGCTACCCGCACCGAACAGACCGCAGTGCATTTGGATGCCACAATATTGTACCCTTCTCCGCCAGTAATATCTCCGCATTGAAATGTAGATGGTCCAAGGGCATCCGATGATGGAAATTGAAGTTGCTTAAGCTCGGCCAGTACGGCAGTCATCGCAAAGATCGCACTTCGACCGTGGTCGGGATATCCGGAATGGGAGGGTATTCCCTCACTGACGAGATCGAAGACGAAATGGCCTTCAGGCCGATCGCTAGTAGATTATCAGTTGGCTCAGCAAAGACAACTGCCTCCCAGGACAACCTCAAGCCATTTGCAGTAAACTTACCGGTGCCACCTTTTTCTTCTCCAACCACAGATAGAAGTGATACATCGTCGGGCTCAATGAGACCTTGCTTGCGCAGTTCTTCGACGGCTATGATCTGAGACGCCATAGGGCCTTTATCGTTGCAAGACCCACGGCCATAAATTATATCGTGCGTCTCTCGAAGCGGGATATACGGGGAACCGTGTCCGTGTGCGCAGTGAGGCAAACACGGGTCTTGCGAGAAGAGCCGAGATAGGCGTATACATTGCAACGAGAGCTATTGGGACTTAATAAGCTCCACATTATAGCACAAACTCTTCAAGTGTCGCTCGAGAAATATACCGATAGCCTGCTCTTCGTTGCTGCATGACGGAATTTGCATGATCTCTTTCAGAAAAGAAACAACTTCCAATGCTGCCATGTTCGGACAATCGATTTAAGTATCCCAGTTAAGCAGCCAAACCAATAGGGAAAAGCGGCTATAGTTAACTTGAACCAGGCGCCTGCCTTCCGAGTCTTATATGGATGGTCAACCGATCGGGAGAGGAGCCGATTAATCTCGGGAGGCGAACTGTAGGCCCACGACTCAAAATCAGCTCCTCAGGTCCAGAAAATTTTGGGAACCATCTACTAATGACTATCTATGACTGCGATTCTACGAATGCACCATTTAACTACAGGCATTTACTGGTTACGATGATACATAATAGCAGATTGATCCAAGGATAGAGACAATTTCAATTGCAAGAAGGCACGAAAACATGGAGGGAAGCGCAATCTATAAGACCAAAAGCAAGGCGAGGCAAAATCAGACCAATAAGCAAATAATTGACATAAGTTTCGTTAAGCCTCGCAACGCATGAATTGTAGAGAACATAGGAAATATGATTTTCTGGACTCGGATAGAAGCCATCAGGTGTAAAGTGACAATACGTCATGAGAACATGGAATGCAGGGGAAATTGGAAAATACAAGTGTGCAACAAAATGTGTTTTTTGCCTTAATTTTCAGCGCGTCTGGTTTGGCTTTTTTGGGCCACGCTTTTTCTTTTTTTTTTCAAAAGGACGCCCGAGAAGGGACGAGTGAAAGTCATCAGGCCCGACTGGATACCATGTTGTTCCGCCTGGTTAGCTTTCTAGCAAGTGTCATAGCCTTCTCCCATGTCTTCTTCTTCTCAACTTGAGGCATGGATGGCTTCGGTGAGACTGCTGAGGTGGCATACTCTGGACCAAATTCCTCCTGGTGCTTGGAGTTGTGCAGAGCCAGGACGGCCATTTGACCAAGGAAGGAAGGATGCTCAAGAAGGTCCTCCAGGCGGACCTTGAGGCCTTCTTGCTCTAGAAGCCAGGTAAGTTGAGCCATGTTGAATATATCACCACCAAGATCGAAGAAAGATGAGTCGAGTTGGAAGGCTGGTTGGTGCTTGGGTTTCTCATCTTCGTTTCCTTCTGTCAGGGCGGGAGCTCGACTAGGCAGGCATTGGTGCCAGGAGCGCGACAGGATGTCGGAATGGACGAGAAGCTCGGCGATCGAACGAGACTTGAGATGGGCACTGAGGAAGTGCTCATCAGAGGCACGAGGCAGATCATCGACTACTTGCGATGGAAGAGAGCACAGCATATTGGGAGATGGCAGAGAAGTTGAAGGGTTGGCGATCAAGGACTGCGCAGTTTCGCACACCATCTCTAGCACCCTTTCAGCAAACGAGGCAAGGATCGGGCCCTTCTCAGAGAATCCGAGTGTAACATTGAGATTGCGGTCGTCAGCCGGACGAGAAACCATGGTCAGATCGGCGAAGTTGTCATTGACTCCCGCGCCTCCCATGCGGTACTTGTTGTTGTCAAGTTCCAAGGAACCCTCATAGTCGACATTCTGGTGGAACACCGAGGTAGTGAAATATGTCCAAGCTGGCCAGTCGGTGCATTGCTTGATGATCTCGCGGAAACCAAGCGACTCGAATGGCATATTAGACACCTGCTGATCCTGGAGATAGCGGAACAGCTCGACGCCTGTCCACTTCTCGGCGAAATTAACACGAACAGGAACAACGTTGACACAAGGACCAACAGTATTCTCAATTCCAGGCACGGTGGCGTTACGACCACTGATTGTGAGACCAAAAACGACATCTGATTGAGCAGACAGCTTTGCGAGAGTCAAGGCCCAAGCAGCCTGCATGACAGTAGCAACAGTGACATTGCCTAGCGCAGTGGGGGGAACCTCAATGGTCTTGCGGACCTCTGTGAAAGCGCCGACGTTCTGGAACATAGACGTACCCTTGCGACTCACAACTTGAGTCATATGTGATCCCTTAAGAAGCTTTGACCAGTGGTTGTAGTGATCTGGTGTGATTGTCCCTGGAAGCTGGCGGAGATAGCTGGCGTAAGGCGTGACGGGAGGAAGAGGGCTACCTTCGTAGCCGAATTTGATGGCGGACATGATCTTGGACAGACAGACTCCATCGTATTGCGTGTGAGAGAGACGGATCATGATACGGTGTTGGTCACTTTCCTTCTTCTTGACAACGTAGAATTGCACATATTGCTCACCCTCTCGGGGGCCATATTCACGGTCGCGCTGCTGCAGCGTGGAAGTGAATTCGTCGAGGCCACGGTCGGTCTCATAGACGAAGATACTGGGGCGAATCTTGCGGAGGACGACTTGGAAGAACTGGTCGTGGAAGCAAACAAAAACGGTACGCAGAATATCGAATGCGTCGACGACCTTGAGACAGCTCTCGCGGAGGCGGCGGAGATCCAGCGGTCCATTGCCTTCCAAGAAGAAATAATTCAACATCCATCGCGACTTGAATAATGTCGCAGTGAGGGACATGGCTTGGAAGTCAGTGACAGGCAGGACATCTGCAATGCCGCCTTTGAAGACACCGATCTTGGGGCAAATGCCGCTCTGGACCGAAGCATCATCGACAGTCCTGGACGTACGGAGGACCGAGATGCTCTCAGAGGAAGGTGTTTGTGCCAGGGTAGTTGGCTTGCCGTCGGAGAATGAATCAATTTCCTTGTTGACTGGCTTCAGGTCGGCATTCAGCATCTGCTGTGTGACATTTGCGGCGCGGACAGTGGCAAGCATGTCTTCAAAAACGGGGTTGTTGAAGACGTCGGCCACAGTTAGTACTAGCCCTTCCTCACGGGCAGCACTGACCATTTTCATGGCAGTGATACTATCGCCACCGAGCTTGAAGAAACTATCCTGGTGTCGCACCACATTGGGCGAGAGACCAAGAGCAGTGCTCCAGAGACTCCAAAGCTTTCGCTCAACATCTGCGGACATTCCGTCCTGACTGGAGCGTGAGGTTGCGGAACAGACACCAGAGTCATCTGCTTCGCCTTGAATTCCTTCTAACTGGAAGGGAGAGCCAACAGACTCCGAGTGACCGTAGCCAGAAAGACTATCAGTCGCCATTCCCGGTACCATCAACTTTCCTTCTCTCAGCATCTGGCCGATTATTTCATGAACACGATCGTCAATAATCTTCTGGATCGCGGTTCCATCAAGACTCTTTCTGTTTGTCTTGACTCTCTCGCTGATGGATGTCTGAGAGCTGCTCCATTCAGATGGCTGCTCAGTGAGAGCCTGGTTATCGAGCTTAGCGGCCGAAATTGACTGTTTTGGCGACTCGATAAAACCGGTGAAGACCTTGGCAATGGAATCGACAAGGGATTGCGCTTGGTCATCTGAGACAACATCATTCCAGTAGCGGAGCATGATACCCTCGCCTCCGCGAGAGATGTCAACATTTACGGTGACAGCGTACTGAAGGTCGTTAGTAGGCGTCCATTTTCACCTGGAAGAATTCACCGATACTTACCTCACTAGGATCGTGAGCATGCTTCAAGTCGAAAGATAGACCCTTCTCCTTGGAGCCACCGGCAACAGTGTGGTTTTGGATGGAGAGGGTTGTGTTGAAGAGAGACTGTCCCTGCCACCCCAATTCGTGCTGGATGCTAGCAAGGGAACAGCTCTGGTGGGGAATGCTGGCAATATAATCACCATTGACCCGCTTAGATATATCAGAAAGAGATTGGTGCGAAGAGAACTTCACACGGCAGCAAAGCATGTTGATGAAGATTCCGACCATATCCTGGATACCGTTGACTGGCGCATCACGACCGGCCGACAGGTATCCGAAGCAAACATCATCGGATGAAGTGAACTGTCTAAGGACAATAGCCCAGGCAGTCAATGTAAGGTTGGCCAAGGTAACCGAAGCACCCTCACAGAATTTGAGGAGTTCAGTATAGCGGTTGAAGTCCATCAGGATACCCTTCAGCTCCCGTTGGGTCTGGAAGCCAGCAGAAGAAGCAAGGTGGCATGGACGGACACCACCGAGATACTTCTTCCAATGCTCGAGGGCTTCACCTTGCCTCTGAGTTCGGATGTACTTTATGTAGTCGCTGAAACGAGGCCCAGGACCTTCTGCGAGCTTGCGATCATAAGCCATGGTGAGGTCACGGAGCAGGACATCAACACCACCACCATCGATGATAGCGTGGTTGATTTCGAGTTTGACCATAACACGTCCGCTCGTGACCTTGCAGACCGTTAACTGGTGGGAAAGTTTGACAGAACGCATGGCATTCGCATCGCTGAGGGAAATAGCTGCCAGCTTTTCCTCAACTTCCGAGTCAGTGCATTCTACCCGGAGAACATTGTCCTTGATCTTGGCAAGAACCAATTGATCGAACGAGCCGCCGCTATAATTGCTGTCAATGAAAACAGTTCGGAGGACAGGGTGACGATCAACGAGCATGTTCCAGGATCGGGCAAGTCTCTCCGCGTCGACTTTGCCAGCGCGGGCATCTTTGATCTCGAAGATGGTGTGGAACATGTAGGCACTTGGGTCACGGAGTTGGCTAAGTAGGAGACCCTCCTGCATGGGCGAGCAAGGATAGATGTCGTCAACCTCGGTCTTGCTGCGGATTCCGAGCTTGCGGAATGTGTTGTTTGTTAGGAGCTGCAAGCCTTGATAGGTGATCGGAAGAAGTGGGTAGTCGCTAAGGGTAGGCTCGGCAGAGACACTCTTCAAAGTGGAAAGGTCCTTTTCCAGGGTTTGTTTGCATTGCAAGATCCAGCGTCGGATCTGGCTCTCACGCTGAGTACGGCGGTTATAGGCGAAAGAGACGTTTAAACGGTCCTTTACCACAATAGCGGAAAGTTCGAAGAGGGCAAAGCGGGCAGTTTCAGGACCCATGTCGCCGGCAAAAGCGAAGTCGGAGCTGTCGAACACACTGCCTTGGTGTCGGAAGAGTGAGTCATTGCGTTCAAGTTGCTGGAGCTTGCCCAGGTAGTTGAACAATATTTCGAGGGGAACCTGGAAGGCACTCTCGTCGTGTTGTTGATCAGAAGCCAGCAGGCTTTTTGCGAAGAAGGGTCGTCCATTATCGGTGATCTTGCGACGAGTGTCCTTGACTCGCTTGATGGTGTCCATGAGAGTACCTGGTTCATGTGAGCGGGGGTCATCAAAATAAGAGCTAGGATCACACTCACCATCCTGGCCCTCAACAAGCAGAGGAGCCATGGTTGTAAACCAACCAACGGTGCGAGAAAGGTCAATGCTAGCATCCCAAGGCTCGCGGCCATGACCTTCATTGTATATGGTGGGAATCCTGCGGTCAGTGAATGTGCGGCTGAACGAATGCACAATAGCGGCAAGGAGAATGTCAACGGTATCTGTTCCGAAGGTTTCGTGGCAGCCCTCAAGAATAAAATTGGTAGTCTCTTCGTTGAGAGTGAACGACTCCATCTTGAGATCGCCGTAGAGATTGGGGGAGTCTTGCATGCCCCAGTAGGTAAGGTTCGGCTGCTCGGGGGTGAAAGGCAAGGTGATGGCAGCATCATGGGTCTTTGCTCGCTCGAATTGCATGGCACACCAGGCCTGGAAGGACAAAGCCTTGTCATCAGAGAGCGATCCGGACACAACAAGCTCTTCAAGATCTTGGAGAATGATGCGCCAAGAGACCATGTCAACGCATAGATGATGCGCCACAAGGAAAAGGACTTGGCCACCATTGCGGAGATTGAACAAATCAGCAGCGAAAATTGGGCCATCGAGGGGGTCAAGGCATGACTGGCTTTCAGCAATCTTGGGGACCATTGCGCGTGTGTCACTGACAGAGTGCACGCGGAACCGATAGGACTCATCAATCTCCTTAAAAACATGTTAGCAAAGAGAAAAGGTCAAGGGGATCTTTGTACTCACAGTGGACGCTTTCTGTTCCCAGTTTCCAGAACCAGTTTTGCTGAAGCGGGCTCGGAACATAGAATGCTGTGTGGTAACAGCCTTAATAGCACGACGAAAAACCTCTCCTTCGACACGACGAGAGACCCGTACAGTGATGCTTTGGTTGAAGCGAGCGACTCCTTTGTAGGAATCCGTAGACTGCATATACAGCTTCTGAACGGGAGAAAGGTCGAAGCTTTCTCCTGTTTGCTCCTCGCGGTGAGCCTTGACTGGTGCTTTAGCGCTGGCAGTCTGGGCAAGTTCTTTGACTGATCGACTTTGCAAGATGTCATTGAGCGTCACAGTCAAGCCCTGCTTTCGAGCTCTGGAGATCACCGCCATTCCAGTAATACTGTCGCCGCCTAGATGAGGTTGTTAATACAGCTGATAATTTGAAATCTGGACTTGGTTCCGTTGAGAACTTACCTAGGCTGACAAAAGAGCGGTCGACGTTGACCTTCTGCAGCGAGATGTTCAGCACCTGGGCGAATATCTCGCGAACAATCTTCAAGGATTGATCATGTTCCTTTTCTTCGGACTTCTCTGGAGCACCACGCTTCATGCGATCGTAATCCTGCATGATACGCTCATAGGAATCGTCATCAATCTCTTCCAGCCATGCAGTGATCTTCTTGCGATCAAGCTTGCCGGAAACAAGCATGGGAAGCTTCTTGATGAGAGCCCAGGTCTGTGGAACCATGTAGATGGGAAGCTGTGCCTCAAGCTTCTTCTGAACCTCCACGAGGCCGCTAAGACCTTGGTTGTTAAACTCACTCTCCTCCACAAGCTCGCATGGCTTATCGGAAATCAGCTTGTTATCCGCCGCTATCTTGTTGAGTGACATGACAGTGACGAGACGCTGCTTGAGCGGTCCGTTCTTGGGCAGGATGACAACGGCGTGGCGAACGAGTGGGTCTTCATGTAGTCGGTGCTCAATCTCCCCGAGTTCCATGCGCTGACCATGGAGCTTAACCTGGTGATCCTTTCGGCTGATGTACTCGATGGAACCATCAGGATTGTAGTAACAAAGGTCACCAGTCAAGTAGATTCTGCGTGGGGAGGGAATGGAGGACTTGAAATCTTTGGTCCAGGTAGGATCGTTGAGGAAGGCTTCGGCATTCTTCTGAGGATTCTTCAAATACTCGCGAGCAAGGGCAGGCCCCTCAAGTGCAAGTTCACCGACCGCACCGAGCGGAGCTAGTTTGTTCGGGTTTTCGGCATCAACTATCCAGGTAAGGGTGCTTGGAATACCGTAGCCGATCCTTGCAGGATCGCGATTGACTGCGACGGCAGTATCAACAACAGCGAAGACGCAAGTTTCGGTCGGACCGTATCCATTCATCAACTTGAGAACATGCGACCAACGGGTGATCACCTCTTGTGACATTTTCTCGCCACCAACAGCAAGGACTTCCAGGGATGGAACAGAAGAAGGTTCAATGATGCTTGCAATGGATGGAGTGAGGAAACTCCAGGTCACATTGAGGCGACGAATAGCACCTGCAATGTCATTTAGACGCTCATCCTCACTAGGAACACAAATGCAGCCACCAAGCATCAAAATGGCGAGGGTTTCCATGATTGCAGCGTCAAAGGTGAGAGAGGCGAACTGGAACACTCGAGCTTTGGGACCCATGTACATCATTGGACCGAATGCCATGATACTGCTGACAACATTTCGATGCTCGACGACAATACCCTTGGCACGTCCGGTGCTACCAGAGGTGAACAGAGCATACGCCATGTTGGAGGGTGTTACCTGGGCGCGGGAACGGGTTGAAGAGGAATTGAGCGAGCCATACGCTTTGATAGTCTCTTTGCTGATGGGGATGACGGTCTTGACAACGCGATTGTAGCGGCTTGTGTAATTAGGAGTACACAAGATCATGTTAGCCCCAACATCTGCGAGGATCTCCTCGTGTCGGGAAGTAGGGTGATGGGGGTCAAGCGGAACGTAAGCACCACCAGCGATGAGAATACTGATTAGAGTAACCATAGCCCAAGCAGACTTGTCGAGACAAACAGGAACAAATACTTCAGGGCCGACACCCCGGCCGATAAGGTAATTGGCAAAGGAGGAGGCCAGATCCCAGAACTCATGATAGGTGAGCTGTCCGTCCCAGGCGCACACGGCAGGGGCATTTGGAGTTTCCTTGGCTTTCTCCGAAATGAATTCCTGGACGCAACGCTCGACTGGTGAAATATCTCGCTTGTTCCACTCAGCGATTTCAATCTTGTCTTCTGGACTAACAACTTCCAAGTCAACCAGCTTGTTCGTCGTAGTTTTATGAACAGAGAGGAGTTGCTTCATGACGTGGCCCAATTGCTCCACAATATGTTTGGTCTGCCACGCATTGATGACCAGTTCGTCATGATGGACGGTGAAAGAGATCTTCGACTTCGAGAACGAGCATTCCAGAACAAGCGGGTGAGTGAAGAAATCCTCGCTTGTCTCACGCTTCTCGTCAACCCAAATAGAGCTGTCTAGTTCGCCTTCACCAGACTGGATAACCAGCAGGTTCTGGAAATTGCAGCCAGTGGATGTGTCCTTGTTGAGTTGACGAATGTGTTGCAGACCGGCGTGAAGGTGGGGAATCATCTCCGTGGTAGACTTGTTGATCTGGTCGAGGTACTGGATGATTGGCATTTCGTTGTCGACTTGCACACGTGTAGGAACGGTTGATAAAAGAGGGCCAGCAATCTCACCAACACCGGGAAGATCGATGTTGCGACCGGACAGAGTCTCGCCAAAGCACACGTCTCCAGATGCCGTGTGGTTAGCGACGACAATGGCCCAAGCGGCACGAAGCAAAACCGGTAGAGTGAAATCAACGCTGTTCGCAGGCCGGGAGATATCTAAGGTGAGGTACTGAGTGTTACCGGCACGGACGGCATTGGGAACGGAGTTCTTGTTCTGAGGGAATGGAGTACTGGAAAGATCCTTGAGATAAGATTTCCAGAAAGCATCTGACTTTTCCATGTCCTTTTTGGTGAGGTACTCGATGAATAGGCCGTAAGATGTGCCCAAAGCTTTGTGTTGAGATCCTCTGTAGTTCTCCTCAACCTTGCTCCAGACAAGGGGGATACTCCATCCATCGTAAAGTGCATGGTGAACCGACCATACAAAGTAGCGAGTAGAAGATCCACGAGGTTGGACAATTGCGTAGCCAGTGAGAGGTGCGCCATTTTGCTTTGGTAATTCGGTCGTGTCACTCGGCAGAGCCTCGAATGACTCCGCGTGAACCCACGAGATGGGCTGATCATCCAAAACTGCCTGGGCGAAGTTCATAGTCTCGGTGTGCACGACTCGGGTGCGCAGAATCTCAAGATCAGAAACCGTCTGCTGCCAAGCGGATTTGAATCTGTCAAGATCTGTGCCATCAGCGAGACGGAATACAGGCTGAGCGACATAGGCACCCGAATGCTTCAAAGACAGGGTCAAGAGACCCTCCTGCACAGCAGAGCAAGGATAAATATCACAGATTGACGATTTAGAAACACCACAGTTGTCAATAACCTCTTCCATGATGCTCTCTGGGTCGACGGATGATGGTAGGAGAGAGAATGGCTTGAGGGTGGCCTTCTGAGGAGCCGCACCCTCTTGAGACTCAGAACAGGTCTGTGCCATATCTATCAGAACGGGAGTGTTGAAAATATTGGCCACGGTCAAGGAGATTCCCAAACCCTGGGCAGCGCCAACAAGATTCATGGCGGAGAATGAATCACCACCGAGGGCGAAGAAGCTGTCGTCGTTGGTAACTGAGCCGGTTTCAAGGTCGAGGGTCTTCTCCCACAAGGAGCGAAGCTTGGCCTCAATACCATCTGCGGAAGTCTCCTCTTTCTTCGAGGTGGAGTTAAAGGTGATGTATGACTTCAGAACATCCTTGGACAATGTCTGAACCATAGCGCGAAGACGGCGACGATCAATCTTGGCAGACGAGGTAAAAGGAAGGTTGCGTAGAGGGAAGAAGAGACGCGGCATCATGCTTTGGGGCAGAAGGTCAGGTAGAGAGCTCTTCAACTTCTGGATAGCATCCATGTTGGTAACAGAGATGGGCAGAAGAAGAGGATCGACACCAGGGATCGTGGGTGCGAAATCATCGCTCGTACCACCTTCGCCGGACTCAGGGTCATGGACTGTGAAGAATGCAGCAAGACCCTTTGCAACAGTGCGTTCCTGAGGGACAACAACATCAACGGCAACCTGAGATCCATTTGGAAGAGCACGTAGGCACTGGTGTTCAATCTCTTCAAGCTCGATACGCTGGCCATTGAACTTGATTTGTGTATCCTTTCGAGAGATAAAAGCCAAGGTTCCATCGCTGTTGTACCGAACCAAATCACCAGTGCGGTACATGCGGTCTTTCCGCTTGAAGAGGCCCAGGAGGCCGGGATGGTGACTCCAAGTTGGATCATCAACAAAGGCAGCCTTGGTCTTTTCGGCATTTCCGAGGTACTCTCGGGCGATGTTGCTTCCCTCCAGAAGCATCTCTCCAACGGCACCCACAGGGAGAAGGCGGTTGTAGTTATTAGGATCGACGATCCAAACTCTGCAGTTGGCAGCATTTCCAATGGAAGTTGGGTCATTGTTCACACGATTACCCTCCCAGTCGATCTTGACACCGACGGTGGCAACAACAGTAGCCTCAGAAGGGCCATATGCGTTGATCACGAAGCGGTCGTTCCAGCGATCGATGTGGTTGGCGGGCATCTTTTCACCTCCAGTAATAATCGTCTTTAAGGTAGGAACACTCTTGGGCTCGAGGGTGTTGACAATGGCTGGTGGTGATGCCATGTAGTTGGCTTCCATACGACGAATTGCGCCTCCCAGGTTGTTCATTCGTTCTTCTTCACTGGGCACACAAACACACCCACCTGTCATGAGAGTCATCATGATCTCCAGAATGCTGACATCGAAAGTGTAGTTAGAGAATTGCAGAGAGCGTGTTCCGGAGTTCATATGAAGAGCATCCGTCATGGCAATAGCAGTTGTACTGAGTGCGACATGCTCAACAACCGTGGCCTTTGGCTTTCCAGTAGTACCCGAAGTGAAAATAGCGTAAGCTGCGCTACTTGGTGCAGGCCGAGTGCCAGGCAGAGCAAGAGGCGATTCGGGCAGTTGGGAAATTGAGGTCTGCGAAACAGTCAAGGCTTTCTTGCAGAGCTTAGCCATTTTAGACTGGAGGGTTGCGGAGCAAAGGACGACATCTGCGCCAATCTCCTCGATCAGCATCTGTAGACGTGAGTCGGGGTGAGTAGGGTCGATTGAGACAAATGCACCGCCGGCCTTGAGGATGGCCAGCTGGGCGACAACAGCCCAAGCAGACTTCTCAAAGCAGAGAACAACAAAGACTTCGGGCTTGACACCCAATCCCGTTAGGAAACGCGCAAGTCTGCTAGAAACAATCTCAAGTTGACCATAAGTAAAGTTCTTATCCCAGGAGCAGATAGCTTCTGCACGAGGGTGCAGCAGGGCTTGTTGCTGGATAAGCTCGTCGGCACATTTCTCAACGCGAGGGGGAAGCACGGCGTTCCAGTCACGAATTTGTCGGCAGGAGCGCTGAGGGAAAAGATCAAGATCCCCAATGAGTCGATGGCGAGGGTTGGAAGACATGACATCGTTAAGAAAGTGGTCGAAAGCATCGATGACATGGGTAACCTGACTTGAGGAAAGGATGTCCGAAGAATAGCTGAAATGGATTTCGGCAACAGCACTACTGACCTCCGCTGCGACAGTGAGCTTGTAGTCGTTCGCGGTAGTCATCTCCTGGACATTGCCCTGAGGAAGAGACGATGAAGTACGGAATGTGAGGATGGTGTTGAAAATGCTTGTATCTTCAAAGCCAAGATGATGCTTAACAGTAGCCAGGTCTGCGAAGTTTTGAAGACCTTTGTCGAACTGGGCCTTGGAGTGCTGCAAGGACTCCACCAATTTGCGCTCGTTGGTGAGCATAAGACGGCAAACGGAAACTGCAAGATCGTCGGAGTTGGCAGAGGAGAAACCGAAGCAAACGTCATCGCAACCAGTATAGCAACGAAGCACCAGACCCCAAGCAAACTGGAACAGAGTCTCCACGGAGACACCGGACATTTTGCTGAAGGCATGCAATTTCTGGGTTTGTTTGTTGAGGGTTCGAGTGGAGCGGCCAGGACTAGCGGTGGCAAGAGACAGGGAAGGGAAATTGCAAGGCTCGATGTCTTCCAAGTATTCTTTCCAGAAAGCAAGATTGGTTGCTGAAAGTGAAGACTGGCGGGAATGGCGGTTGGATGACTTTACTCCAGTCCATCTTTCGACACTGAAAGATCGCAGAACACTGGTGGAGATGGAGTTTATTTCGGCATTGAGGCCCTGTATATTTAGCTTTCCAAAGGAGTTGAGAGGGACTGTCGAAATAGGGATGTAGTAACTCGGAACCTTGTTAGCTGGGAATCGGCTAGTCAAATGTGCGTGAATTGCTGAAATAGTTGTCGTTAGGTCTGAAGAGGAGCTTTGGATAACTCGCTCATTGAACGATGCTGCAGTGGAGGCTGAGGAGCCGATGAAAGCCACAATGGAGCTGTTTGTATCCCCGGGCAATGTGATGGTATCTACCAGAGCTTGTCTCTTGGAACCCAAGTACCCCATGAGTGATTGTCGAACGCGGCGCAAGTCCAACGACAATGATAGTTCTTGAGGGTTATCTTTGCGACGAAGGTATGCGAGAGAACCATCGCCGTGGTAGCGAACAAGATCTCCAGTCTTGAAGAACCTTCGACTCTCGGTGAACTCGGAAGAGTCACGTCCAAAGGCAGCTAGCCAAGATGGGTTCTCAAAAAATGCATCACGGTCACGATCCTCGTTTGCCAGGTACTTGGAGGCAAGGACTGGACCTTCAATAACCAGCTCACCGACAGCACCCACGGGGACAAGAGCGTGATGGTTGGTGGGATCAACGACCCAGGAGAGGCAGGAAGTCGGGCGGCCAATGATGCCTTCCTTGCCAGATTGCGCGATCGGAGCGAGACATGCAGCAGAGGATGACTCATTATTTCCAAACAGAACATACAGATCGAGATCATCAGAGAGCCAGCTATCCAGGAGATCGTTTGTCGCAAGTTCTCCGACAAGTGCTGCGGTCTTGAGGCCGGGAGCATCTCTCGGGGTGATGTATTCCGCGACAGTTGGGGTCAAGCAGGAAACATTGGCGTGGAGAACATTGATGGAAGCGGCTAATTTCGAAGGATCAATGTCTAATGGAATGCAAACGCAACCTCCACGCATGAAAGTACCAAATGTCTCCAGAAGGAACAGATCGGACGAGTGATGGGCGAATTGGAAGGTGCGCGAGGCATCATTGAGCTTGAGCGAGGCAGCGAATGCTTCAGCTCGAGTTATAATAGTAGCATGCTCAAGAATGACTCCCTTCGGGACTCCGGAGGATCCAGGAGTAAATGAAACATAAGCAGGGTCGGAATAGCAGGCCATCGACAATAGAGGCTCATCGCCGAGATATTCAAGGAGAGACTCGCTGACGGGTACAACATAAGGAATCACCTCTTCAAGAACCTGGGCCTTCTCAGGAGATGCAAGTGCAACCTGAATCACGTTCTCCTGGACATGTTTCTCGATAAGAGTCAAACTCTTCGAATCTTCAACAGGTATGCAACCTCCACCAGCCTTCATCACTGCGAGTATGGAAACAATGTTCCAAACTGACTTGGGGAACGATGTCGGGATGAGGCTACCGGGTCCCACGCCGAACGTAACCAGATAACTCGCCAAGCGAGAAGAGAACTGGTCGAGCTTGGAGTAGGTCAGATTTCCATCCCATGCAGTAATGGCAAGAGCATCGGGCCGTTTCTTGGCCACATCCTGAACGACCTGATGAACACAAATCTCAACAGCTTGAGGGTTCTTGCTGTTCCAAGTGGCAATATCGCTCTTGTTGCTCTCACTGAGATTGTCGAGCTCACAGATCTTGCTATCTGAGTGTGTCAGAATGCTCTCGAGACAACGAACGTATGTGTTGGCGACATTTGTGGCTTGAGCATCAGAGAGGTTTGTAGTCCAGTAGTTGAGGTCAATGCTAGCTTTTGTGTCCATGGCTTCGATGTTTATGAAGATCGGGAATTCAGCTGGATCGTGAATTGAACCGACTTCGACACACTCAATATCACTGCTGACAGCATCCTTCGCGCCAGGTAGACGACGGTATGAGACACCAGAGTTGAACAAGTTGGTGTCAGAAAGCTTCAGAGCATGTTGAATGTCAATGAGGGAAGTGTGTCGATATGGCAAGCTCTCCATATAATCATCTTGGATTTTCTCCAAAACATCACGCAAGACAGAGGTACCAGAAAACTTCATACGGCAAGCCATGAGGTTGATCACAGGGCCAACAACAGACTGGACACCGTCCGCAGGGACATCTCTAAGCGAAGCCATGTAGCTGAAACTGACGTCGTCGGACCCAGTGAAGTAACGGAGGGTGAGACCCCAAGCTGCATTGAAAACATTGGCGAGTGTTATTCCCCGCTTCTCGCACACACTTTGGAGACGTGGCAGAGATCCGAAGTTAACAGGGATGGCTCGAAGAGCCTTCTCTTGGCCAGTTTTGCCATCCGTTAGGACGGGGAACAGGCATGGTTTAGCATCCGAGAGGTATGACCGCCAGTATTGAATGCTTGCATCCCTAGGCGCATCGAGCAGGTAGCTCATGTAATCCTTGAACAGCGGACGTCGAGTCTCTTCAAGTCGACCAACGTAGGCGAGCTGCAAGTCTCGAAGTATGATGGAGATCGAGTTTCCATCCATGGCGGCGTGACTCAATTCAATACGGCAGAATATACGACCGGTTGAAGTGTGACAGATGCTAAAGCGATAGGCAGGCGTACGCTGACGATAGTTCTTCGGCTCCTGCGCATCGAAGGTTGCGAAAATGTCACTATCCCCGGAAGATTGAAGGAAAACGGGGCCAGCATCATACTGCTTCAATACAACTTGGGAGAAGGCATCATGGGGAGTGAGATTCTCGACAAAAACTGTTCGTAGCATGGCGTGATGTGCAACAACTTGCTTCCAGGCTCCCACCAGACGATCAAGGTTGGGCTGTGTGGAGCCAGTTCCGCGAACCTCGAAAGTGTCGTGGACGGCGTAGTAAGAGCTGTCCCGAGTCTGGCCAAGGAGAATGCCTTGCTGCATTCGAGAGCATGGGTAGATGTCTTCGATCATGTCCGAGTTGCTTATCCCAATCGCTGGGAGCTTCTGGTTGATCATCTTTTCGAGACTATCATAGTTGAGAGACAGCATCGGGAAAGAGCTCAGCGTCAGACGCGGAGACATCGAAGTCAACTGCTCAGAGAATGACATGAGCTGCTTTTGACAGTTAGCGACCCATGTGTGGATTCGATCTTGGTGCTGCATAAACTTGTTGAAAGAGAATGTAAACCGAATCTTGCCACCGACAACCATCGCGGAAATTTCAAAAAGACCGAAGCGAGGGGTGTCACGACCGAAGTCAGCATCACCACTGCCCTGACCAGTCTCACCGGCCATCTGATCAACAAGTTGGAAGAGGCCATCCTGGCGTTGCAAGTCGCGGTGCTGACCAACATAGTTGAATGAGATCTCGAATGGATGCGGGTAGGTACCAGCTCGCTTGCCTTCGATGGGGAGCACCCCGCTGGCGAAGTCGGCGCGACCGTTGTCAGATACACGGCGACGTAGGTCCTTCACCTTGATCAGGGTATCGATCGCATTGTCCGATTGGTAGCCGTGAACGAAGATAGGGTGCAAAATCGTGAACCAGCCAACGGTGTGAGAGATGTCAATGGAAGGATCCCAAACCTCACGTCCGTGTCCTTCATTAAAGATGGTAGGGAGATATCGATCGGTGAATGATTGTCCAAATGAATGAAGCATGGATGCCAGGAAAAGGTCGATTGGCTCGGTCCCCAGAGCCTTGTGGCACTCGAGTAGGATTGCGTTGGTGTGTACCGCATCTATCTCGAAAGCAGCGCAATCAACATCGCCATAAGTGGTCTGATGGGTCTTCAAACCCCAGTAGCCAAAGTCTGGAGCGGGGAGAGGATCCTTTGATAGCTTCCCCTCAGCGAGCATGTTCTTCGAATGTTCAATTTGCAGCTTACACCATGTTTGGAATGGGAGTGATGCGTCTTCACTCGTTGTTTTTCCAGGGTTCTTGATGATATCCTCCAGATCTTCTAAGATTATTCTCCAGGAGACAATGTCAACAACCAAGTGATGAGCGGTCATGGATAGCACATGTTGCTCCTGCTTGTCCTTGAAACGGAAGGAGTCGACAGCCAGGAGGGGCCCCGAGAAACAATTAATGCAGGACTGGCTATCAGCAACATGAGGCTTGATGTCTTCCATTGTGCGCACGGTAGTACTTCGTAGCCTGAACGAGCCCTTTACGTCTCTCGTAATCTTTTGGCTCGAAGCAGTTGACCAACCTGTGTTTTCGAACTTTGCACGCAGCATGGAGTGTCGCGAAACTAGTGTTTCGATCGCCTTACGAAGAGTTCGCTCATCGAGAGGTTTGTTGAGACGTGTGAGAATACCTTGATTGAAATGACCCTGGCCTTCCTTTCGTAGACCGAAGTGAAGTATCTGGATGGGGGAGAGATCGAACGGCTCATCCACTGCCTCTTGGTAGGATGTCGTCTGATCAATTGCCTTTGCTCGTGTGGCCAAGTCTCGAATCGACTTGCTGCGGAGGACATCCTGGACAGATAGGCCAACTCCACGCTTCTTGCAGAGGCCGATGCAAGTCATAGCGGCAATAGAATCTCCACCAAGTGCCAAGAAGCTTTCAGTCAGGCTGACGTGGTTCTGTGGGATGTTCAGGACACGACTGTAAACAGCAGCGAGAGTCTCTTCAGTCTCATTCGCAGGTTGAGACATTTCAGCCTCAAGCAAAACACCGTTTTGGGCCTTTCCGGTATCAGGGTCGTTCTCCATACCGGAAACCCAGCTTGCAATACCCTTGCGATCGAGCTTTCCAGACGGAAGAAGGGGCAATGCTTCCACACAAAGCCACACTGCGGGTACCATATAAGTCGGGAGTCGGCCCGACAAGCTCTCTCGAATACCAGGGACGATCTTAGCTTTCTCCGATGCAGGAAGCAGTCGCAGAGGCTCTAGATCTGCATCTGATTGTTCCGCTAGGAGGCCCGCGGAGGAAATCACGGCTGCGAGGCGGCCCTTACAGAAACCAGTCTTCGGGAAAAGAACGGAGCAGTGCGTCACGGTATTTTCCTTGTTCAACTGGTTCTCGACTTCACCCAGCTCAACCCGCTGGCCGTGAACCTTCACCTGAGTATCCTTCCGACCGATGTAATTTAGAGAACCCGTGTCCGAGTTGTATCTCACCAGATCTCCAGTTTTGTAAAACCTGCGATTTGTCCCTCCTCCGGCGTCGAATTTGGTCCAGGATGGGTCGTAGATAAAGGATTCGTTGGTTTTTTGTGGGTTGTTGACGTAGCATCGAGCGAGAGTCGGTCCCTCAAGCAGTAATTCACCAGGGCAGCCGACAGGGACGAGTTGATCATGGTTTTCAGGATTGACCAGCCATGCGCGGACACCAACAGGGAGACCGATATCCTTGCAATCGGCGTTCGGTGCGACATTAGTGTTCAACACGGACGCGACGCTGGCTTCCGTCGGGCCATAGCCATTGACCAGTTTGATTCTGGACCATGTGGCCAGTTGTGACTGGGACATGGCCTCACCAGCCAGAACCAAAGACTTCAACCCCGGCACGCTGTCGATTTCGATAAAGCCGACAAAAGACGGGGTGAAGCAGGCCTGGTCGACCCGCTTTTCATTGATGAAACGGACGATGTCATTCAATCGGTCTTCATCGCTCGGAATACAGACACATGCACCGTGGATCAGAGGAGTAAGCGACTCTGCCAAACTGGCATCAAACGTGTGTGCAGCGAATTGCAAGGCGCGAGTCTCGCGAAAAATGCAAAGACCAGGGCCGTGAGCCATGGAGCTTGATAAGAAAGCCCTGTGTTCCAGGAGGGTGCCCTGTCCCGTGAATCGTCAGCTTCTGCATCATCTAGACCGATAAATTTATCAACATTTGGTCGACTTACCTTCGGCTCTCCAGTGGATCCAGAGGTAAACAAAACATAAGCGGCATTTTGACCGGTGACTCCCGATGCGAGATCAATACCATCGACGGGCGCAGGCAGTTGGTCCAGGGTATCGCTGCAGATGGGAATCAAAGTCTTTGCAATGGGACGAAGGGCGTCTGCACGGCCCTGCGAACACAGAACAACTTCGGCCTTGACAGAGTCGATCAACCGTTGAAGGCGCGAAGGTGGATGAGTTGGATCCAATGGGACAAACGCACCGCCCGCCTTCATCACGCCAAGCATCGCCACCAAATTCCATTTCTTGCAGATCGTCAGTCTCAATTCATCTTGCATTCCACCACTTGACACATTCTGCGAACTCCTGCGAACTTTGCATAAAATGAAAAGTGGGAGGGAAATTGGGGGAAAGTATTATCATATGGACCAACTCACCGATTTATCAAATAGCAGCGCCACGCGCACTTCTGGGCCAACGCCCTGCATACGCAGATGACAAGCCAGCTTCGAGGCAACCGCATCTAGTTCGCCAAATGTGAAGCTACCATCCCATGCGCACACTGCCTCTCTATCCGGTCCCGAGAGTGCCTGTTCACGGATGGCATCGTGGATACAGCCGTCGTATGTTTGGGGATGTCGGAAGTCCACTTGCGAATGCGCTGCCAGTCGTTCTCCGAGAATAGATTAAGCTGGCTGATAGCGGGGTTCTCGGAAGAAAGGATTTTGGCGAGCAATTGCTCGAAGATGTGGGCGACACTTTTCATTTGATCTCCAGACATATCGCCATTTCGCCATTCCAGAAACATGTTAATGTCCCGGCGCAACACCTTTACGTGCAGGCGAACATGGCACTATTGTTGGTGGTTAGCTGATCCTGTCAGACATGCAGAGTCGGAGAAGGAAAGGAAATACCTGTTCTGGTAGAGCACTAGCCAGCAATGTCTTGGAGGTTGGAGACGGATCATCCGCCTTGCGATATGTGCGCAGCATCAAAATGGTGTTGAAGGGCAATGGGGCCTCAGAAGCACCGTCGAGCTGTTCGATTCCATCACCGGTCCGCACTTTATCTACAATGGCCTGGATGGAGTCGTTCTCATCGATTGCCAGCCGGACAGCCGACAGATCGCGGTCAAGGGAGGTGGCGCTCGAACGCTGTACAGAGTGTCGAGACGAAATAGAGTCACCGTCGATGTGTTGATAACCGAAGCTGATATCCTCGGTTTGGATATAATAGTGCAGTAGCAGCGCCCAGGTGGCCTGCAGGATCGATTCCAATCGCCCTTCGTGCCATGCGGTTAATAACTGCGCACATTGCGAAGAGGTCGGTCTCGTCTTCATAGAAACCGGGCGTTTAGGCCCGTCGACCGCGGGAGCGAAACGAGGAAGATAGCATTGCGAGGATTGGGCCATGGTTTCGGAGTGAATCTCGAACGGGGCCGAAAGCTTGTGGAGATTGAGGATTATAGACGAGGGGCGAGAGAGAAATTTTGTACTTTTTGAGAAGAGTCAAAGCTGTTGGGTTCCTGCCGCAGTCGATGAAGCGAGTGGATGATGAGAGCCCTCAAATTAGTTGGATTAGTAGTATCCAAGAGGAAGGTTATCTCGGGGAGAAGTGGCCGCGCGAAATCGGATGGTCTCAGTTATTTTAAAAGAGCAGACGGTTTTATTTTTCTCAGCCTAAGTAACCAAAATAGCTACGCCATCGGTCATCGGGACTATGTAGACGCTGCATGGCCATGCTCCAGCTCGTTCGCCAACAGCTCATTATGCGCGGAAATACAGTAATACCACCCGGGCCACCAATGGCACTCCGGTAGTGGGGGGGTAATGTTTCTGGCAAATTCAGAAATTCAGGATCCCCCATGTATCTTCCTTGCATGGGGTTCGGATCTAGATGAGCAAAGGGTTGGAGACGCCACGGCCAATGCGCCGGGTGGATCGCTCGACTTGTTCTCCCCCTGTGGAACCGAGTCAGACACGACGGCACATCTCCTTTGCCCTAGAAGCAACTAACAGGTTTAGAGGTAATGGTATTAACCAATTCGAGTATAGCTGGTACATCCTGAGGCAAATTACGCGAATTTCAAGTATGAACAGTAGTACATACTTCAAGTTCTTACAAGCAAATCATGTCTACGGGATGTAAAAATATCGAGCTAGGAAAAAGAAAGAAGAATAAAAACAAAATAAAATAACGACAGTCATGCAGGGTAATGTTGGCCTAATACGTGATGGGTACTTCCTGATGAAGATTTTCCTCTTTATTTATTTGTCAATTTTTCAACAAATCAACCTGCAATTGCCCGATCCAGGGTCTATGAAATGCGGTCTCGAACGTGGTTCAGTAAGGCGGACGCCAGGCTGTCATGACGAGAGCTTTCAATCGGGCCCACGCCACCGTGAAAAGCGCGGGATTTCTTTTTTCTTACATTCTTCCTGCTGCCGCTTCGCTTGCGAGGTCTGTCACCTGAGATGTTTCCATGTACTCATGACGATATTCTTGGGGAGGGAGCTGGTTGGTCCATTGGAGTTGAGTTTTCGAGAAGCTGGGACAGAATACCATTCCATCCAGATCAGCAGGGTCTCAGTTGCATCTACATTGGTTCACCCGAGAACCGTACGATATATCTGCTGTAGGGTTCTGTTGCCAAGTTACACCGACAGATCGTAAAGATGCGCACATGGCGAGCTCCACAGCCGCTCACCTCGTCTTCGCGCATCGAAAGCTATGCCCCTGCGATTCCATCGGCAAGGTGCGATGTGAGCCGGGCTGATCGTCGGATGATTTACCGCGCAGTCCAGGAACCTCACCATCATGGTGGAATAGAGTGTCAGTGGAGGTGAAAAAGGGAGGCTTGTGCGGCTTTACACCCCACGATTCTGATTCTCTCGGTTCTGTGTCATGGTTACTTCTGGAAAAGTTATCCTTCTGCAGCATAAGAAGAGTCGGTGGACATGATGCAGTGCAGCTTCTCACCTCAGATTGAAAAGTTTCTTCTTTGCGAATAGGTCCTCTTCTCGTATTTCTTTTCGGGAAATCCATTATTCTTCTTTTTTATGCGAGATTTCTGGCAGTTGCATTGTCGGCACTATCTTCTTGTCCGTAAGTTGCCTTCTCTAGTACTTTGGACCCCATTATCCACTCCACTTCGAGCAATCGGCTCTATCAGTGTGTCTAACGGCGCTAGGGTGACCGGAGGATTAGTACATACTATCGGCTAGGCTAGCCAGCGTCGGTTGCAACGGATGAACGGCGAACCCGGTGAAGGATGCAATTCGTTGGGAAGGAGATCACACTAACTACTCTGTGTACTAGTGAGTGGTTCTCTTCTCCTGGACTATGAGTTACGTACCCGGTACCTTGACAAGACCTGTGGGAATCGTGGCGCAGAAACATACAGCCGTCCGCCCAAACGCGTTCGCTTTCGAGCCTCCCCCTGTCACACTAGCGCCGGTAACCCCCACTTAGATTTGCCCTAGGCTTTCCCAAACGAGTTCTGCAAGGGTGACAAGGGGTGATCGCGGGTCGATCCGACCGGCCCCGACCACTACGATCGACCTATGGCAGCCCCTAACAGGGATGCCCAGTCCATCGGTCAAGGTCACGAAGTTGTACCTGTTACCTGTAAGCTGCTCTGACTGTGCGTACCTTGTTAAGTACAGCCTAGTTAGTGGGTGCCACACCCAGGTACCCAGCGCCTAGGGCTCACAATGTGGTCTTCTCCCCCCAGACCCCCATGATACACGTCAGATAAAAGTGATCTCGAACCAGCTTTCCACTAATTTATTAAACCAGGGGTAAAATGAATTCTATGAACCGGTTCCCTGTCCGATTCCAATTTAAGAACGCACATACAGTATTCAGCGGAGACACAGTCCCATCCGATCGCAACCTCGCTTAGTTTTGGCAGGCCTCGTTGCTTTTCCTTGTAGGATTTGATCCCGGAATGCGGGACATCAGGGAGGACTCTCGTACGCCAGAAATTCCCCCGTCCATGTGGCCCTAATTTGTTTTTCTTTTTTTCTTTTTTTCTTTTCCTTTGGGAATCCTGTTTTTCTGTCTACCCACAGTAGGTACTTTCCCCATCTTTCGCTACATTTTTCTACTCTAGGCCGTTCTTCGTAAGATCGTCGGGCAAACATATCAAATTCTAGAAGGTCTACGGTCGATCATTCGGCGCGGCGTCGAGGCGTCAAACTTCCGCCCGCTAAATAAAATAGAGGCTTGCAAATCCTTGTCCGGCATTAGCTGCCGGCCGCTCATTCTGGGTTGACAGCCGATGAGGACCTGGGCCACGTCGGATGGGGTTCCACACAATGCGGTGCTAAGGGAACTAAGAACACTAGAGGAGACGGGAACTGGGGGCTGCCGGTGATGCCTTGATTAGTGGCGGTTTGTGGTGAATTTGGAGCTAGCAGAGCCAGTCAGCGAAAGACAGGAAAGCCTATGGGGCCTCCAGAGGAGCACTAAACCCGCACTAAAATCGTAGCGCTCGCAGTTGGGGTCCGCAACCACAACACATACATAGGTACATGAGAACACAGACCAGCGGGCTGATCCCGCTAGGCCTCCCATGGTGACAGGTCTAAATCGGATCGGTCAGATCTTCCCGCTGGCGGAGTACTAGTAGCGATATTGATGTTTATTTCAAGTTGAGCGAACTCAGACCCGTCCCAGAGTAGAAATATATCTCTCGGGGCTGTATACTACTCTAATTCCTGGAGATCCATGGATATCGGCCCAAGCTGACGGGACCGACAGGTTCCAGTTGCCCAGGTGCCCAGGTGGGTATTCTGCAACGAATATGTATGCGCATAAAAGAGAATTTGGAATTCCTACTCTGCGTATTTCTATACATAGGCAATGCATTACCAGTTTTATCCATTTCTCCCAATGCTCACCCGCCCGTAGACTGGGTCTTTTGGGGTAAAAGGTACCATGTATCCACTACTTCATGACTTGCCACCCATCAACAACGCCGTCGATTCAAAACAGGATCCATCCTAGTCAATTGACAGACGCCTCATTCCTAGGATACTTGAAAGGCTCTTAGCCTGTGAGGTACGGGTCCCTGGGTATGCAAAAAGATTCGCTGACATAGGCTCCACGCACGCCGTCTCGCATGCGTGGTGTCTCGCCATGCCGGTCTGGATTAAAATGGCTGAAGTTGAATTTGACCCGACGGTCACGTCCGAGGCAAGTATGGTTTGAGCAGTTCCTTCATGGCCGACTAGCAAGCCGGAACGATTGGACTTGATCCTTTCACTCATCAACGAAAATAGTGGCCGGGTTTTACCCGGCTTCTTGTTTTGCGGGTACGTAGAGAAAAGCAAATCCCGGCCCCATCAGGTGGAGGCGATATGTGGAGTTGAGCGGAGGCCATCCGAGAACGGTTTATTCGCAATAGAATGGGCGGAAATGAAGCTCTGTAACAGACAATGGATGGAGGGGCGTCCCGCCGAATAGCCAGCCTTGCAAATAGCGGCAAGATTGAAGGGTTTACTGGTACGGAGTCCCCGGTGTATCCATATATATACATGCACTACAATGAATGGAACGCTCATAGTACGGAGTACATAACAGTGCGCAGGTGGATATATGCTTCCAGGAACTACTAGTATCAGGAAGCCACCCGAGCTGGGGCTTTGCCGGCGTAAAGGATAGGCCTGATACATAAATTCGCATCTACACCGAGTCGCCGGTAGTACGGCGAGGCCCATGGCCTTGGGCAGCATTCTGTCTGACTTCAGCTTCGCTTCTATGCGGTCAAGGAAGGTTCACAAAGACCGCTGCAGTGTCTCAGTTGGCCAGCTCTAGAGCGAGAGCGAAAAAGAAATCGAAAACGAGCAAAATCAAAAAATAAGGGAAAATAAATACGGAAAATACCGAAACGGTTAGTGTGAGCGGGATCGCCCAAAGGATAGGCCCAGGGCACTACATCATACATCTGGAAGAGCCCTCGCATGAAGGTAAGTTTTATTGCGCTCGGCAGTGGACTTGGCCCGAAGGGGAGTCGGTAAATTTTACTTTGAAAGTTGAACACAGATCAGATATTGGTTGCAATTCTTCCTGCAAGGCAAAGCCACCGACTCTCCCTCGTGTTGCTCGGACGATCTCGCTTTCTGAGAACTGGCGCGGTGCTGATTTGACTCGAGGGGCAAAGCTCTATTGACGCCTCTGCGTCCCCCACATCCCCAAGGGGGAAATCCGGAAACAATAGTAGGGGAAATAATAACATGGGAAATTAACAAGCTCATCCTGGATATGAGTTGAGTCATTTGGTCATTGCACATACATGGTAAATAATTTTTAATTAAAAATAGAAAATAGTAAAAAAAGAAAAAAAAATGGAAGAGGCGAAAAATAAACTAACTCGTGAGTACACGCGATTAGTTACAAGGAATAGTACGCATGACAATATGAAAAAAAAACTTTGCCCGTAGAGCCATAATTCCCCGCTAATTATGAGACTACTGTATGTGATGATGTGTTCATAGGTCATTGTCAGTAATGACATTGTAAGAGGGTTGCATCAGAAGTCCACTCGGTTGCAGGGACCCAGTATAGGAGCTCAGGAGTGAAGCACTCCTGGATGCAGTGTAGTAAGCTCCTGTACCGAGGGATGCGTCCTAGAGGGGAGCAGTCTGAAAGCTGCATTTTGGATGAATCAAATCTAGACCAAAAGACCACCAATCCGCCGCTTCCTTCCCACCTTAGTCTTACTCCCATGTCGTGACTTTCTTCCACTCTCTCTGACCTGTCAAGCCACTCGACTCGTGGTGCTTCTGCTCCTCGACACTCTCTTCAATCCATCTTTCCGACATCTGTGGATGGTTCCTGAAGAGTAGTCATGGCATCTTCGAACTCATCAGGACCTTCGTGTCGCGACCTGGACAACACTTTACGTATTGATGCTGGTTCGTGCCGCGGAGGCTTCGACTTCTCCCTCCTTTTTGAAGAAACTATTCTGGGTATTCTCCCTATTGCTTTAATCTTAATTCTGGTTCCCTTCCGTCTGGCGCAACTTGCACAAAAACGTCGCAAGGTCGAAGGGTCATCGCTCTCTCTCTTTAAACTGGTGAGTGGTCTTTTCGATGTCCGGCAATTAGTTCTCTTTCAATTCCACATCCCATATCCGCATACTACTTATCTAACTACTGCTTTTGTTTGATTACAGACTACCTGGGTGTTCTTTACTGGACTTCAAATCGCACTGACTGCCCTCTGGGCTCTTCCCTCTGCCGATGGAACGAGTGCCTCAATAGCGACCAATGCCGTTTTGGCGGTAGGGGCTCTGTTCCTTATTCTGCTGTCCTACGCGGAACATACGCGCTCTGTCAAACCATCCCTCATTCTGAACGCCTACCTGCTTATCAGTATCCTTTTCGATATCGCCAAAGTCAGAACTCTCTGGCTCCGTTCTATCAACAGCTTCAATGATGGAATTGCAATTGTCACTACTGTCTCCCTCGGTGCGAAATTGATGCTCGCGTTTCTTGAGGCCATTGAGAAGCGGAACATCTTGAAACATGAATTCGCTGATTACCCGCCGGAAGCTACCGCTGGCTTTTATAACAAAGCGACATTCTGGTGGTTAAACCCTCTATTCAAGAATGGTTTCAGCAACACTCTGTCCGTCGAAGATCTCTCTGTTTTAGACAAGGAACTCAGTTCCGAACGACTATTGGCATTGTTCGAGGAGCGATGGAGCAAAGGTAATCACATTCTGTTCATATTTCAGAGTCCTGCTAACATTTCTTCAAGTGAAATCCAAGTCACCAAACACACTCCAATTCGAGTCCTTCAAGGCTACCAAGGCCCCCCTCCTGGCCGCCATACCCGCCAGGGCCTGCGTCGTGGCTTTCAATGTCTGTCAGCCTCTGCTCTTGGCACGATCGATTTCCTATTTCAGCGAGCCTGTTAACGGTGCCACCAACAATGTCGGCTATGGACTCATCGGTGCTTATATCCTCGTATACACTGGTTTGGCGGTCGCAATGGGCCAATACCAGCACAACACATACCGGGGTATAACTATGGTGCGGGGAATTCTCGTCACCATGCTTTACAAGAAAGCCAGCTGCCTGAGTCTCAACGAGGCCGGTTCGGCCAACTCTCTAACACTCATGAGCGCCGATGTGGAAAGAATTACTCAAGGATGGCAAACAATGCATGAGATTTGGGCCAATGGTATCGAGATTGCTCTGGCTGTATATCTACTCGAGATTCAACTTGGAATCTCCTGCATCGTTCCAGTCTGTGTTGCTCTAGTGGCACTCATTGGATCATTCATCATGATGTCTTTTGTCGTCCCCGGCAGGCTCAGTGGCTTGAAGCCATTGAAAGGCGGATTACTTGCACTTCTACCATGCTGGGATCCATCAAGGGAGTGAAGATGCTCGGACTTCAAAACACTCTCATGAATTTTGTTCACGGTCTTCGCATTGATGAGTTGAACATCTCCAAGAAATTTCGTACCCTGCTCGTTTGGAATATGGGTTTCGCATGGATGACTCGCATCTTCGCCCCGATTTTTACCTTCGGTGTTTATGTCGCCATCTCCGACCAGACTCTGGATGTCACCAAAGTCTTCACATCGCTTTCGCTTTTCTCACTTCTGTCTGACCCCCTCCTCACCCTCGTCATGGCTCTGATGTCTTTCTTCGGGGCAGTCGGTTCCTTCGCTCGGATTCAAGAGTTCTTGGACAAAGAGGACCACGCGGACAAGCGACTCAACACTCCCCAGATGCCTTCGCTTGAGGATCTTGGTGAGGCAAAGCTTCTCTCTAAGTCTGGCGACCTGGACTTGGCCTCTAGTAACTCCGCCTCTGTTGAGTCACTGAAACGTGGCTCCACATCCAGCACCTCGACCAATGCTGCCATGATTCAAAACGGCACTTTCGCGTGGGAGGCCGACAAGGAAGCTCTGCTAAAGGATATTACACTCACTGTGCCCCGTGGCAGCTTCACTATGCTCATCGGACCATCTGGATGCGGTAAATCGACTCTCCTCAAGGCCCTTCTCGGAGAGATCTCCCCGATTCAGGGTAAGGTTGAGCTGAATTCAGCAAGCGTGGCATTTTGTGATCAGACACCATGGCATATGAATGGTACCATCAAGGACAGTATCGTTGCCATGTCGGACTATGACCCTAAGTGGTATGCCTCTGTTATCCAGGCATGTGCCTTGGAGGAGGACCTTGGTCAATTCCCTCGCGGTGATCGCAGTGTCATCGGCAGCAAAGGTATTGCACTGAGTGGTGGCCAGAGCCAGCGCATTTCTCTCGCTCGCGCGGTATACGCTAGACGCAAGATCATCATTCTGGACGATGCTTTGAGCGGATTGGACGCGACTACCGAGAACCACATCTTCCACAGCCTTTTTGGTGACCTTGGACTCCTCCGAGAAATCGGAACCTCTATTATCGTTGCCTCATCGGCTGTGAAGCGCCTACCATACGCCGATCACATCGTTGTATTGGAATCATCTGGTCGAATCTCTGAACAAGGACCTTTTAGTGCTCTCAACAAGACCGGTGGCTACGTTGCAAGCTTTGGACTAGGTACCCCGGACTGGGACTACAAGCCCAAGCGCTTCTCTGCCTCACCAAGCTACAGCACCATCGACTCTGTTGAGAAAGAGAAGGAAGACCCGGAACCCGAACCAATTCAACGCGATATGGGTGGTGATCTTTCCATCTACACCTACTACATCCAAGCAATCGGTTGGCTTCCTGCGCTTATTTTCGGTATTTCTATGGCTGGATTTGTCTTCTGTCTTTCATTCCCCAGTATCTGGCTGAAGTGGTGGGCTCTTGCCGAGATGGCCGAGCCCAAGAAGCACATCGGTCACTATCTTGGTATCTACGTGATGCTCGGCTGTATCGCCATGCTGACCCTCATCGCTGGCTGCTGGCAAATGATTATCACCATGGTACCAAAGTCTGGAGAAAGCTTCCACCGCAGGCTTCTATCCACAGTTCTCAGTGCTCCAATGCTCTTCTTCTCCGCAACTGACAGCGGTAACATTCTTAACCGTTTCAGTCAAGATTTGCAGCTCATTGATATGGAGCTTCCCATCGCCGCCATCAACACTGTTGTCACATTTTTCCTGTGTCTGGCTCAGATGGCACTCATCGGAGTTGGCTCTAAATACGCTGCCATTTCGTTTCCATTCGTGCTTGGTGTCTTGTTCCTCGTTCAAAAGCTGTATTTGCGCACTTCGCGTCAAATTCGTTTCCTGGATCTCGAGGCCAAGGCCCCTCTCTATTCTCACTTTACTGATTGCCTTCAAGGACTGGGTACGCTCCGAGCCTTTGGCTGGCAACACGGAATGGAAAAGAAGAATCTCGAGCTTCTGGACTACTCCCAACGACCATTCTACTACATGTTCGCTATTCAGCGCTGGTTGACTCTGTCACTTGATCTGATTGTCGCTGGTATTGCAGTTCTCCTGATTGTTCTCGTTGTGGCCCTTCGTGGGACAAGCCTGGGTGCTGGCTCTGTTGGCGTTGCCCTGCTGAACGTCATCCAGTTCAGCCAGAGCATCAAGCTTATGGTTACTTTCTGGACCAACTTGGAAACCCATATTGGTTCTGTCCTACGTGTGAAGGAATTCTCGCAGGGTGTCGAATCGGAAGATCAGCCTGGTGAAGACGGCGAAATCCCTCCTAACTGGCCATCAAACGGCGCCGTGACCTTCCACTCGGTTTCCGCAGCCTACAGGTATCAATCCTTGCATTTGATTCCAACTTGAGCTACATTCTAACGGATCCATCTAGACCCTCTGAACCAGTGCTCAGCGAAGTTTCCTTGGCTGTGAAAGCAGGCGAGAAGGTCGGCATCTGCGGCCGGACTGGCAGGTAGGCAACATCATCATATTTTGGTATAGACCAGTCCGATCTAACATGGTTACAGTGGTAAAACGTCAATGATTATGAGCATCTTCCGCATGATTGAGCTGACCGGTGGAACCATCACGGTGGATGGCATCGATATCACCCGTCTACCAAGACGGGAAATTCGTTCTCGCATCAATGGAGTCTCACAAGACTCACTCCTCTTCAAGGGGAGTGTCCGGACAAATGCCGACCCAACAGGAGTCTGCACAGACAAGGACATCCTGAACGCTTTGCGAAGCGTACAGCTCCTCCCAGCCATCCAAGAAAAGGGGGATCTCAACACCGACATCGACGAGATCCACCTGTCTCATGGTCAGCGTCAGCTCTTCTGTCTTGCGCGCGCTCTTCTCCGACAGGGCAACATCCTCATCCTCGACGAAGCAACCAGCAAGTGAGTACCCGAATTATTGATTCCCAGCCCCTGACTTCGCAACCCTCGCATCTACAGCTCCACCTGTTGTTCTCGTCATTTAATTTCTTTTTTTTGTTCATCAATTTCTGTCCTGTTTGATTCCCTCTCTCCACGCGTCTGACGCACCTGTCATCCCCCCTGCATATGCGGCTTCATCCAGACGCCACATCACGCTCGGATCGGTCGGTTGGCTTCGTTCGCGCCAATTAATCCAGCCCCCAACCCCCTTGCATACTACTTTCCGCAAATCCCTCGGCAAACCATCCGAGAAAAACAAGACAGGAAAAAGGACACTTGCTAACCTCGAACCGGAACAGTATTGACACCAAGACTGACGAAATCATGCAACGCGTCATCCGCGAGAAGTTCTGCACCCACACTATTATCTCAGTGGCGCATAAGCTTGACACGATTCTCGACTATGACCGTGTAGTTGTTCTGGACGCCGGTCAAATCGTCGAAACAGGCGAGCCGTACGCCCTCCTAACAGAGCCCAAGTCTCACTTCAGTAAACTCTACTCGAACTCCATGGCGACCGAGGACACGGACTGAAGAGGCCGTTCATGACACGACACTTACCCCTTTCTTGTTAATCTTGTTATGAGTTGTTTCTCTCATGGCGCTGCACAGATTGAGCCTGAGGCTTCGTCCCAATTGGCGTGCCTACCTTTTTTCTTCGGATGATTTTCTTCCTCGCTTTTCCCTTTGGTATGCGGTACATATCGAACTTGAATGCCCTCCAGGCGCTTTTGTATTTTCCTCTTTTCTCATGGTACGATTTTTATGCCTTTCTTGACTCTCATTCAAAATCTTTGTTTTTATAGTGTCTGGTTGCAACATCACTTTCTTTAACTTTTTGGGAACTCTGAGAATGGAGTTATATGCTCGGGCAGAAATTCGGTGGATTGTTCATAGAGGCAACTTTTTTTGTCCAGTCTTACTTTTAATGATAATCAAATGATTTATCTTGAATACCAACCAGTGCATTTACATGGAATATCACTCGCCCTCTAATTATATTGCTCCTCGAGTATGGTGTAGAAAGTCCGATGTGCTACTAATTAGTAACTAACTGACGAGAAGGCTCAAGAACCACGCGCTAGACATTGACTTCAATGAATTTCCTGAGGTGACGGAAGGTACTCTGAGTCCCAGTATAAACTGCGCTGGCTATCATTTCCGTTTTTGATGTAGAATTGGCTTCAAGAATTTATTTGCTTTATTCCATAAGCTTAATTACTCGCGATCGAATTTTTGCTTCTGCGCCGAGTTACTAATTACTACTAGTACGATTAGTATAAATCAAGTTCAATCCCAGTCAAGCTTCAAGTTGGAAGTTGAACCTTCAGATCCATGGATATGTATATACCTACTTGTGGTCATCAAGGAACTCAGACAATCATATAGGTACTACTAGTATAATAACCACTCGACCTCGGGAGTCGAGAATCTTCAAATTGGAACGTCCGAGTCACGGTCTTCGAGTTCAGAGCCTTGTTAATTCTGATTAAAGAGCACTGGCACCTGGCCAGAGCCATAGAGGTTCGAAGGAGTTGTTCCAAATTCACAACTAGATACCTACCTAGCCAAAACTTTAGCTGGACTCTAATATCCAAGCTTCGGTTTGAAAGGTAAAACACCAACTTGAAAGTCAATGGACTTGAATCAACCTTGGAATTTGGAGACCTGCAAGTCCAGGTGGAAATTACATACGAGAGTGACATCAGTCTGAGCACACTTAAAATATTTAGGATATTTTTTGATCATATTTTTGTATGGGCGCCCAAACAAAAAATATCTAATTTTACTAAACACTACTTCAGGGTCTTATCATCCTACAGAATATATAGTTAGAATAAAAATATACAAAACTTATAGAGTTTAGAGTTGTGTTTTTTTTTTTGAAAAATATATATAAAAAATATATAGCTATATGATAATTTGGGGATATATAATAGGGTAAATTTTGCTCTTAATGCTGTGCATTTGGGACTGTCTTTAGACTTTTGTCACTCTATGTAGCTTGAGCCTCCCAGGAACAGACACCGAGGTACATCTGGACAGTTGGTAACCGCCTTACAAGTCCTCTACTAATAAATAGGATACCATAGGAAGTCTTGATTCAAGCTTCGGCAGGCAGAACAGTCTTCCATGGAAAATTTCAAATTACGACACGTCCATTCATCCTATTCGCAGCACCCAAAGACAAAAACTACCCTATAACCCCTATAAGAAATGAATACTCCATCAATGACAACTTTCAGTCGCACATCAAAATGAGAGGTGGAAAAAAGTGATAAAACAGACATAAGGTCCGAGCACATACATCTAACTAGTTACCAGGCCCAAACCACATGAATATGAAATCAGATCAGATCGAATCGAATCAGACTCCGACCAGAACAACGAATAATCCTACCACCCTAAGACAGAACCATCGTTTCATCATTATCGAAACTCTCCCCTTCCCCATCGCCCAAAAGCCCGAATTCCCAGTCCCCGCGCTCAATCCGACTAACACGGTCCAGCTCAGACTGGTACTCGCGTCGCAAATGCTCAAGTGTGACGATGACGCGTTCTTGAGGAGCTTCTATAACTGGCTTGGCGGATACACTGCCATGGCCTCGACCGATCGACGCGAGACTACCTCGGCGACCGGCGGATGTGAATGAGGCGTTGCTGGCGGAGGATCTGCGACGGGCGGAAAAGGCAGGTGTGCCTCCTGCGTCTGCGTCTTCCATCAAGACGTTTCCGTCATCGTCTGCGTGCGAGCCGCGGCGGTTGTGTTGGGGTTTCGCTGTCGCGGTTGAGGCGAGAGGACCGGTCTCAACTAGGATATATGCCTCGCTCTTGTCGACGGATGCGAGCAGGTTGATCAGCGATAGGAGCTCATGGCGGATTTCCTTGCTTTCGGTGTCGTCTTCTGGGACACCAGCTTCCTCGGCTTCTTTCTTGTTTCGACGGGCGAGGGCCGTGGACGGGGTATCCCGTGCTTGACGGAGGCGCTGTACGTTCCGGTAGGCGATTTCTGCTGCGCCGCGGTAGTCATTGCGGGCAATACGGTATGCCTGCAGGACGCGGTGGAAGTCTGGCGATCCGTCGGCGTCCTTGCTTTCTGTGTCCAGCCAGGAGGAGAAACTGCCCTGTTTCCGGGAGAGGGAGACAAGGATCTCGTCGATGTGCGAGGCAATGTTGGGGACGAGCGAGACGGGGAAGCGGAGGATTTGCTGGAGACCAGCAGTGCCTGGTCCGCAAACCGAGAAGATGTGAGAGACGAGGGAGCTGAGCGCGGATTTCTGTAGTGCAAGATCCTGGTAACGGGCCAAGGCGGAGTAAGCCTGGTCGAATTGGCAAGTTCGCAGAGAAGCGTGGAAGAGCCGCGAAAGTAGATCTGATCGCATGCTGCTGTATTCCGGATCCTGTTCGGACCATGCCTGGGAGTCGAGCGCTTGTAGGGCCAAGGCAGCAAAATCCGCGACGTGCGAAAAGGATCGAGCCTTCTCGAATATCGAAAGGATATGCTGGTAGTATCTCGGAATGCCATTGTAGAAGCAGTTCACGGATACGAGGTCCAGGAGAGTAGCCGACATTTCGTGCAGGTTACCCAAAGCTTTACCGTGAGCTGCAGCGGAAGTTAGTTGCTTTTTTTCATAAGTTCCTTTTCTCTGTCCAATCAAGAGGAGACTTACAAAGGAGGTACGCTGACTTCCGGAAGAAGATAGCTGCAGTGTCAAACTCAGACATCGCGACATACAGGCGACCCTTGACGTAGGTTGCCCAGGAGGTGCTAGGCTGGAAACGTAGGAAGTCCCATGCGAGATCGATATCGTTCTTAGCAATAAGGTCGCACTGGATATGAGTCAATGCATTGGGGTACGCCACTTGACCTTGCCGGGTTATCCAAGCCAGGAGATCCCGGATCCCCAAGGTCAAAGTATAGCTTTGTGGCCGGTCGACGGGTGGACGAGGTTTGATGTCTGAAACGAAAAGGTCTTCGAGAATTGTTGCTGTTCGTTGGGTCTTTTTCGATTGGTTGTCCTTGAGCGAAATCACGGATTGTTCTCCAGTGGCTGCGTTGATACGATCGGTGCATTTTCGGACATTAGAGCTGAGCCAGTACATCATTTCGTATTCATGAAGGAGATCAATGATGGTTGAGAACAACTTGGCAGCATCAAAGGTAGAACGCGCTGCCTGTTCAAGCTCGGAATCCACGAATGTAACCAAAATTAACAAGTCGTATAGAATTTGGCGGTTTTGGGTGATTGCCTCGAGGGCACCGCTGACAGCCAATCTGCCACCAAAGTATGTTGATTGGAGATTCGAATCCTCTCCCTTGAATCCAAGAGGAAGCGTATCGATGATGGCGTCGAAAACACCAGTTGGTAGATTCTCGGCATCAAAGTACTCGTTCAACGCCGCGACTAGGCCGTCGAAGGTCTTGTTGGAAATTTGTTCGCCAAACTCACAACGTTCTCTGAAACTGTCCATGCGGTCGGCGATCGATGATGACGGCTCGTTGAAGAGTTCTGTATCCAGAGCAGCGCGACAGGCTGCATCAAGCTCAGCAGAGAACCGCTTCCTGAATTCCGCAGCAATTTTCATCAATGATGATGCCTCCTCGTAAAGATTTCCAAGCTCGGACGTGACGTTTCGATGTCTAAGACGATCCACAATCTTTGGTGATTCCTCGCTAAGCCCCGATGCAGAATTGTGGAAAAGTAATTCAGTGGTGCTACATTCGCGGATCACGGCGCAGGAATCTGACAGGACCAGCCATGGCATATCAAAGTATAAGTCGAAGCCGAGGGACACCGGTTCAAATCGGCGCTTGTTGAGGTCCTCAGCGACTTGCCAGAACTGACGCCATTTAGCATCTGTGTCCATGCGGAACCGGGAGTAGTCCATTTCATCATCTGCATACTTGCGGAGAGAGACGGTTGCTGCGATGGTAGAACAGAGCCGCTCCGGTAACGCAACATCCCTCTTCAAGACACCGGATGATGAGGAGGACAAAGGTTTGAGGGCTTCTTGGTATACAGCGAGAGCAGTCTCCAGGACTTCGGGGAGGTATCGATTCGGGTGCAAGATGTATGCAAGCCACCTCTCGGTGGGGTCAACCACATCGTCAAGTGTTGGCAATGGCAACGGTTCCTGTCGGTGTGTCTCATATGCCGTAGAGACCCAGTTGGTATTCCAGTCAGAAGGCAAAGTCTGAAGGTCAAAATGAAGTGTGTATAACTGGTAGACGCCGTGGTTTCTCCACAGCACCCACAGCTCCATTCCTCGCCCTTCGTCTACCGGCTTGACTTGGAAGTCCGCAATGCTCCAGAACATGTTACCCGTGACATCTGGGTCCACGGGTCTAAACACAGAGTCCGCGTAGATATCCTCAATAACAAGCTCAGATGTCAGACCACCCTTAACAGCCCAAAACTTGAAGCGCCCATCTTCAAAAGGTGAATATGTAACCACATAAAAGCGATGCCCTCCATCCATAGCTCTCTCGGCATTAAATACTCGAATGAAGGAGGTTTCGGCGGGGTTCAGGGTATAGGGAACGGTGTCGGGGTCCATTGGGCGACCGAGAAGATCCTGGGATGCGGCAAGTTTGTTTGTGGCGAGATTCCAGATCTTGAGGGTATGGTTAAGGCAGATGGCGAAGACATATGTTTCGTCGGATGTCGTAGCGATGGCATTGGCGGCATTAGGGTCAAGGCTGCGTCCGTTGTGCTTGATCGAAGATGGTGCGTTCCACTTGACGAGGCCCCGAATCGAAGCACCCCACGTCCGTTCATCGAAGGTCAGAGGAGTCCAGTGTGAGCCTATTCGAATCCAAACTATTAGCTTCCCAACTCTAAGAGCAACATAGCGACAAATATTTCATCAAGGGCTTACCGTCATCGCCGGCTCGGCGGGTCAATCGCAGAAGCGCGCCATTGTCGAGCGAGATGAACAGCTCGAGCGGGCTGCTTGCATGGAGTCGATGGGGATGCGAGAATGAGAGCGGCGCCGGAATACAAGTCTTGCACCAATCGGCCACATTCTCATCGACTGATGCCGCTCTTCGGAAGAATTCAGGGCGAAGCGCCAATGTGTGGAGTTGTTTTGAGGTCGTGATCACGAAGACATTGAGAACTTCATGATCCTCAGAATCGGCGAGGGCAACTCCCGAAGGAAGAATCTGTTCCTGGAAGTTGAGACGCAGGGTGACATTGAATTCGAAAGGTTCAGTGCCGCTCTTCGTCAGGTCGGCGCATTGAATCTCTAACACCTTATTATCATTGACGACCCGCCACAAGAACGTCCTAGGGTATGTTCTGCGCTTGCGGAAATAAACAGCACCTTGTGTAGCAAGGTATCTCCTGGCGAATTCATCCTCATCCTTCGCGATCGGAACGTCGTTGTCGGGGGCAGCAGAGATGGCAAATCGAGGTCGGCGGAACGCGCTGTCGGAGGGGGAGACTTGGATGTTGGCGACGGTAGCCGGTGAGAATGGCCGGAGGTCGACTCGGGTATCTTTGTAAATTTTCGCCATGATCATAGATCATAGAAGCCAACACGTCGGGGCTCAGACTTCCATGACTGGAGGCAGAAAGAGTTGTGATTGCAGGGCGGAAGGGAAAGCTGGAGCTCACAGAAAACAAAGTCTTGGCGCGCCGCTTGTTGTGGACACCGCAAAGTATTACTAGTAGTTAACCTACTTGCTTGCCACTTATTTATTTTATTTTATATGGTTTGGTTTGGTTTGTTTACTTTATCTTGTTTTAATCCATTCTAATCTATTTCAATCTATCCTGATGCTTCAGTGTAGAATGTTGGTCATATGCTAAAAATCCATATTGGGCTACATAGTACTAAAGCCCAGATCTAGATAAATACAAGGGCTATTGATATCTTCAGTTCAGTTCAGGCTCATAAAGTCACTAAAATCATATCGTATCACAAAGAAAGACAATAACCAACCCAATGGTTTAGTCCTCCATATCCTTCTCGTTGGGATCTCCAATTCCATCCTCATTGATCGCGAAGAGACAATCACTCTCAGGCAAACAAGGGCTGTCATAAATCTTGCAAATTCGAGTCTCACCACGGCCCTTCTTCAGACTGAGTCGGGTCGTACTAGCATGGGCAATGATATTACCACCAATGGGCTTCTTCGGGTCCGGATTGAACATAGCACTAGGTCCACCATCGACCTGAGCAACAACCTGGTTGGAAATCACAACGGCAACGCCAAACTCGTCAGCTAGGCGCTGCAAGGTGCGCAGGAACTTGGCCAGATGGGTTTGTCGTGACGAGAGCTCACCACGGCCATTGAAATCGGTTCGGTACAGTGCGGTCGCGGAGTCGACGATGAGAAGCGAGAAGCGCGTCTCGCACATCATCTGTGAGGCTTGATTGAGCAGTTGGAGCTGGTGGTCGGAGTTGTATGCACGAGCGTATGCGACGTTGTCGAGAACTTCCTCGCCCACGAGTCCGAAGCGTTGGGCTACGGCGAGAAGACGGACCGGTCGAAAGGTTCCCTCCGTGTCGATGTAGAGGCATTTTCCTTCGCCGCCGCCCATGTCAAAGGGCAGTTGGCAAGTCACGGCCAAGGTGTGACAGATCTGACTCTTTCCTGTACGGAACTCTCCAAATACTTCTGTGATCGAGCCCGTTTCGATTCCACCGCCGAGCAGGGTGTCGAGTCGTTTGGATCCGGTGGTTATGGAGATGAGTTCACTTCTCTTTGCGTGCATTTCAGTCGCCGTTGTAAATCCCATGGGGACAAGTCTCGCGGCTATCCGGCAAGGAATCGTCAGTCTGGGATCTTGCGGTTTACAAGAACATGCTTCTCATGCAGCGATTCGCATCACTCACCCTCAACTAGAACTTTTGTCGCCTTCTGCTCTGAAATTCCCTTAATCTGCTCCAGTACTCGCTTTGGTCTAGAGTATAGTCCATTGTGTCAGCTATTTGTAATCGAGGGTAAGGACTTGGGTGCATCATGATGGACGTACGTGTAAGCAACCGATTCAACAGTGTGGTATCCCGCATCGACAAACAGCTTGATATCTCTTGCAGTCAAGCCCGCAGTTCCCTAGGAATCCATGTGAGGTCAGTCGGGAATCCCCACAGGCCAGTCGGCCTCTATCTCTGCCTCTGGCTATAACTCACCTCGAGTGCCGTTAGTGGGGTTGGCGCACCAGGACCTGGAAGTCCATCCTCGGCATAATCGCCCTGTGGCTCCGATTCAGTCGCCATTGTTGCAGGTATCCTCGTGATTCTATTGAGGTCAAGTCTCGGGAATTGGTGGCCTTTGTCCAAATAAGCTCAACACGGGGAGGAGCACGCGTCTGGGGCGAGGGATAAGTGGTCGGTTCCTTGGTTGTTCAAGATCTCTCTGGGTCAAGACAAAAGAATGTTGGTGGTCAAGGCAGAGTGAGTCACCAGGCAGCCACTCACGATGTCTGGAGATTGTGTTTGTTTGTGGCAACTTCTCTGGCAATCGCCTTTGGGCCTGGATTGACTTCCCTGTTGGACGCGTCGAGGCTGTCGCGCGGTCACGTGGACCACCAGCCAGGCAGCCACTGCTGAAGAACTGCCTAACACTGTCACTTCTAATGGAATGAAGAATGTTCTGGTCTAAGAAATATCCTGCTTGTGATTGCAATTGGATGAGAAATATGATCGATTCGTCTTTTGGATCGCTGACGATGTAAAGATGCATTTTATTTGGCATACACCGGAATATCAAAAGCCCCATCCTTTCTCACAAAGTTACGATATGATCAAGCCAATCCGAAAGACAATTAATGACCAGAGAGTATCGAAGAATCATATATGTAACTCCCGCTCATAATTCTCACTACTCCAGTGTGGTTTCAAAAGACCCCTCACTTTCCGGTATGATGCTTCCCAACAATCCGAATGGTTTTCACGAATTTGAGTCCTCGGACCCGAAGGGCCATAGAATTGATCCTCTCTTCCGCTGCTGGTCCCGTATCACTGGGCTTAGTTGAAGCTGTTCAAGTGGCACATTCATGTGAATTTGTTCGTTGAAGATCTTGCTCATTCTGCGTCTGAACTCTTCCGAGGAACGGCGACGAATGAGTCCTGATGAATGTGTTGGTATCGGGGTTGAAGCTCTTCAGAGAGGACTGGGGGCAATGGATAGAGAACAAAAGACTTACGGGCTATCCGAGAAGTCCGATGGGACTCGTCTGGCTGCGAACCAGAACCATTGCTCGTTGAACCCAGCTCTATTCTCTCATGCTCTGTGACCCCAACAGAGGGACTCTTCTCAAATATATGACTTGCTCGGCGGATACGGGTGTGGAAACTTGCGCGCTTTTCGCTGGTGGGAATAATTGGAATGACTTCGCTTCGGCGCTGGAATCGGCTGGTTTCGACGCTCGGTAGGATCTCGCTTCGTCGTTGGAACCTGCTATGTCTACTAGGCGATTCGGGCGTCTGGGATGTCATCACCGGTGAGTAGATACCACCAGGTCTCTGTGGCTCGTATGTGTATTTGGTTGCGGTGACAATGTCAATTCCTGGATGATGTGCCTGGTATACTGGCCGAAGTGACTGCGGCGGAGATGGGCGATATGTCGGGAAGCTCTGGTTCGGTACGACGCAGTCAAGGGCTATGGACGACGAAGTTGAGCTCGGGGATGGCAGCATGGATGGTCTTACAGTTGGGCTCGGTGGTAAAGCTTCAAAGGGCGTCCCTGGTAACTGCGGGGACTGGGCCGGGGTATTGGGGTTTGATACCCAGATGCCCTCGATCTGAATACCTCTCTCCAGGGCCCTCGCACCAAAGGGGATATCGTCTCTCTTCAGCATCGGGAATAGCTCAGCGTCTTCTTCTTTTTGGCGTGCCTCGATTACTGCATATCTCTGTATCTTCCATCTGGTGTACACGAGGGAACAGTAGGCGTATACGAGGACGAGTGCCTGGAATATTGGTCAGAATTGCTTCCAAGTCAATCATGTTTGCGATGTCGTACTATCAGAAAGATGAGAACCTGTGAGTAATGGTTAGTTAAAAAGCTCATGACAAGACCACTTTCTTCTCACGCACCACACTCAGTTTTTCCCATAGCTCCCAGCCAACCCAGAATTGCATTGTGGCTACACGCCAGGTCGGGGAGATGTGCTGAATCTGAAAGCAAAGACACTTTCGAGAGAGTGGATGAGGTTGGAGATGAGGTGTTCAGGGATCAAAGAGATGGTATTGCAGGTCTGTAAGGTGCTTTACATTGCAGTGTTTGTTCGGGTAGGAAGGCGTGCTGCCTATTTGGGAAGGCGAGGTGAAGGCGAGTGGTGGATGTATACATGTGACCACCAGACCACTTGATCATGGCAGTATCCAACCATCTGTATTTATTAGATTGATTGAAGGCATCTAGGTAGTTTACTCTATAATGTCATACTACAACTCTGAGAAGTGTATATCTTCCAATAGGCGGTACCAATGGGTGGTACTCCAGTCTTCAACAAACACAGCAGTATCCGCGGGTAGTTACGTCAGCCCTATCAGAACAAGCCTCCAGGCACACACATAGGCACAAAAAACCATACCTTCACGTAACGATACTACTAGTAGATCATTAAAGAGAAGATTGCATCTCCCGGTATCGATCCAGGGGCATTGAGGTTAAAAGCCCCATGCTCTACATCTGAGGTAAGATGCATGTATTCTGTCGATCTTAACCAGAATACCGAATTATACAGAGATCAAACCTTAACTTTCAGGGTCCAAGCGGGGGAAAAAAGATATTTTAAAATAAACAAAAAAGAGCAAAAAGAAACTCTCCCTCGGGGAATCGAACCCCGGTCTCCCGCGCTTATCGGTGTTAATGACAAGCGGAAATCATGACCACTAGACCAAGGAAGATGAGATAGTCGAGTTACTGCTCGACCACTTGGGGGTGGTTGATGTTAGCAGCTCATTTTATTGCTACTTATTCCACTCTCCCAATCACCACCAAGTTCATCATATCTACCACCATTCTCACCTCTCCAACCCTCAAAAATCCGGTTCGAATTTTCCAGATCACTGAGATGGATGTAAAAATTCTATATTACTGTTGAATTTATCATTGCTGGGCTTTAATTGATAATTTTCAGGTTCCTCAAAACTACTCAAAGTATACACTCTTGAACACATATATACCCAGCGTTAGCTCAGGAAAACCAACAGGGGCTCTCGGGACCACCAGGGGGGGGGGGGCCTCCAGGCCCCAATTTTGACTTTAGGTGATGCTTGTTGAAAGAATTTGACAGTAAAAATTGAAATCAACACCCCATATAAGGAGATCACAGCTCAGACTGGCTCTGTATCGTCAAAATATGACCTCTCGTAGCAGTAGTTTAGCTAGCCGTCGGCAACTTGAACTTGTATTCATCGTAACATCTTGGAACCTTATTGGATAGTCCAGCCCCGCCGTATGAACAAGAGTATATCCATTTTACTAAAAAAAATGCCACTCGGATTCACTGTTTATCGATTTACCGATTGTAGCGCAAAAATAACTGACTTGAAAGATCTACGGAGACGCACGCGCGGTGCAGCTGAATATAGAAATCAGAAACCATGTATAATATGTATATCTAGGTAAGAGAATCCTGTGTCACAAATCAAACTGGGCCCACAGAGCTAAGAAATGGAGTGATAAGAAAGAATCTTCCGGGTGGAATCTACATACCGAAAGAAAATGGGAACGACTGGAATGTCCATCGGGAAGTTGAAGCGAGTCGCTGGTTTGGGTAAGTTTGCCGGACGCGTCTCCGAAAGTCGCGACGCGCCCACAATTGATTATCCCAGGAGATGTGGGCACAGTGGCTTATAACTTAGAACCCACGGGAATGGATTGCTTTTTTTTCTTTTTTCTTTTCTTAATTCGTGTTCTGTGCAGTGTGGCGTCGATTTTATTTGGGAGATAAATACCATTGACTAAAGTTGATCAGCGTAAGTCCTCCAATACGTCCATGTGGATGTTCGGAGCAGTTCTGAGTCTGCATACTGTCTACCCATTCCATTGTTTCATTAGATGGAAGACGCAAGATTAACCATCTATTGGCCAATAGACTCTGGAATAATTCCCGATAAAAGGCACCGCAAAAGGGAGATCGACAAAATGATTTCGAGCCGGCAGATCTACCGGTGATCATTCAGCATGATATCAAGGCTGCCTTGATTGCCCCAATATGGCCTCGAAATGATGCAAGCATTTGAATCCGGTTATCAAAGTACGCATCTTATTCAAGCCTGAGTTACCTACAGCTAGGAGCGATAAAATAACAATAACCCAATAAGAAGATCAAAGAAAGCTTGATTCCCTCACGGTGCGCTCCATTTTGCCATGGAATTTGAGGCCATGATGTAAATCGAGAAGCCAAGGCGCCGAGAAAATTGACATGCGGAGGGGAAAAGTCTAAAAAATCCCGACAATAAATATCAAAAGGCTCCGGGGCAAATAATACCAGCGACTTATCAAGGCGGTCGTCATTTTCACAAGACAAAGTGCAAGTTTAAAACCACAGACATCACTATACGGAACCAAGAAGAAGCATTCTTCCATGGTTCCACATGTCGGGCTGAGTGGTGGTTATCTCTCGCATAATACTCGGAGACATTGTTTTCAAGGGATGCTTTTGGCTTCTCATATGGGTTTATCCTGTAGAGCATGCGAAGTTACCCACCCCTCGGAATGCAACGCTCACTTCCTGTTCCTCCCACACGTGTAATACTATCATAGGGAAACAGGGATCTCGACAAAAGCATTGTAAAATTCCCCGACCATTACGTGCGTGTCAAGCAGGGGATAGCTACTTTAGAAGGAGCTTCCAGTATATAGTACCTGCTAAGGCTCCCCTTCTAATACCTAGGTGGCAAGGACATATTTTCGGGAAATAAATCCAATGAAGAACTCAGTCGACGAGATAACTAGAACATAAAATTACATGATATCCCGCTTATATTGTCATTTCACAATTTCCAATGGCTCTCTCCGATTGGATCAACCGACTCCGTGGCCACCAGTCCTCTTACAGCGAGAAGGGCAGTGACCCAAGGCATCGGCCTTCCAAACCAGCCGAACCCCCCCACTCTGACTGTCCCCGAATTATCCCTATCGAAGACACCGTCAAATGAGCTGGTCTCTCCAAGCGATACTGAGAAAAGCATAGTCTTGAAAAAACTCCCTCAAGAGTTCGGTTGCCTAAGGAGTTGGCGCGGATCATTGATTCTGCTTGTCACTTCAGGCTCGCAGTTCCTTGACAATGTTTTCATGACTAGCTCAAACATGGCACTGGCGTCAATCCAGGAGGAGTTCAAAGTTTCCAATACCGATTTACAATGGATGATATCTGCGTACACCCTATCGTTTGGAGGCCTTCTATTACTGGCTGGATCCTTATCTGATCGGTATGAACTTACTCCCGTAGCTATCCTTATTCTGATACTAATTTCTACCTGGCAGATTTGGACGGAAAAAAATCCTCTGTCTGGGCCTCTTTTGGTTGAGCCTGTGGACTCTTGCGGTCGGACTCGGCCAATCTTTCATACAAATCACAATTTTCCGTGGAATCCAGGGAGTCGGAGCGGCAATGACAGTTCCATCTGCGATTGGAATTATTAGCTCCTATTTCACAGGCGTGGATCGGACTCGCGGGCTTTCAATTTACGCCGCCTCTGGGACATTGGGATTCTGCGCCGGTCTTATCCTTGGTGGGTTTCTGACCTCTTCATTGGGGTGGAGGTACATATTTTATCTCATTGTCATAATAACCGGTGCACTTGGTACTCTGGGAATGATTGTTCTGCCCAAAGATCCCGGTGCCGATGAGAAAAAGCCCAAAATGGATTATCTCGGGGCATTTCTTTCCACGACTGGTCTTATTTTACTGCAGTTTGTGCTTTCCAGTGGGGGTGTTTATGGATGGGGGTCACCATTTATCATTGTCCTCTTGGTATTATCGGTCGCCATCTTGGTTTCTTTCACCCTGCTGGAAAAGTATGTCAGCAATCCGCTCATGCCCCTCTCGCTGTGGAAGATCAGAAATTTTGCCGGTCTGTGGATTGCAGGTTTCAGTATGTTACTCGCTGTCTTAATTGAATGATTCTACGTGTCTGTTTTACTAATAATCCATCTAGCCTGCTATGGCAGCTATCAGAATGTTATCTACTACATTGTGCTTATGGCACAGAAAGTGGACGGTCTTTCTGCAGGTGATACCGCCATTCGATTTCTCCCGATGGGTGCCATTGGTTTCATTGCTTCCATGGGAACGGGGAAGATACTCGAATATACAAATGGCAAATACTGTCTCATCGCGGGTCTGATACTTACAGTATTGGCTCCCGTACCGAGTGCATTGACCGCGACCTCGTCGACCGATTTGTACGTTACGCGTTAAATAACGGCTGCAGGGAAACATGCTTATAATTAGTTATAGTTGGGTCAATACTCTTGCGACATCTCTAATCAGCATCACCGCGGTGTCGCTCATTTTCGTTACCACTAGCACGACGATTCTGACTAGTGTCCCGGTCGATGTTAAAAGTTTGTGCGGGGGAATGGTGAGTCTAATTCAGTTATTTCCGAAGCATGTCAAAAAAAGAATTACTCACGCGTTTCTTCTAGCTTAATACGGCGTTCCAAATAGGCTCTGGAGTTGCCCTGGCTATTTCTGCAGCGACAACTCAAACCGTGGATATCGAAAAGGGACATGACATCGCCCAACAGTATGCTACAGGTCTCTGGTGCTCTACTGGTATAGCTGGCCTGGGACTAGCTATTGGTATTTTGGCGGTGCGAAGGAAAGGGATCGGCCCCAATGATAGAATGGGAGAGTCTGTTGTACTTTGATCTTCTCGATTCTGGCAGATATTCATGACGGAACATAGGATTTGTTCGTTAATTATAGCAAATGTTAATTGCAACCAGATCTTCATGATTCAGATAAAAGATAGAAAAGTCGCATTTCCTTTTCGCACTCTTATTTCCCCCCAATTACTGATAAGATATCGACCTGATCGCAAAGGCTACTCCAAATGAAAGACCCGCAATAAGCACAGGACGCGCGGGGGGGCCTTAAAAACAGTTGGGGGGGGCTGAGGTGTTAGGCCGCCGGCGGAGCGACGATCCGTGGAGCTTATGGGACACAGCAAGCTATTTAGCCTGTCATAACTGACGAAGGTGTTTCTCATCATGTGAAAAATTGTGAGTCTTACACTGATGAGCGGTTCTGGCACGTTTAATAAGCTGACTTACCATAGGGCTACCCCGCTTGTTGCGGAAAGGGGCTGCTCCGGGTGATATAAGATAAAGGACTCTTGACTTGAAATTTCTTTGCTAGGTCTTTCATTTATATAATCTCAAATTTGAGACATAAACGCAAATAAAGATCAATTGCAAGACTGAAAGCCCGCAAGATGAATAGCAAGCCAAGACTGGTTGCTAATGTCATTGAGACGAAGGCAAAGACAATTCCCGACGCCCCATGGCTTCTGTATGCGAACTCATCTTCTTGGGAGCACGAAGGAGGCTACAAGCCTATTACATGGAAGCAATGTGCCAATTCAATAAACAAGATGGCCCATTTCCTGGACGAAAATATTCCTAGACAGAGCACGGGTCGACAAACGATCACTTACCAAGGCCCAAATGACGCAAGATACTATATCATGATGGTAGCGGCGGCGAAATCAAAAAGAACGGTAAGTGTTTCCTTCTCTAAAGACGCCTATTTACGAGAAAATTTGGCTTAAATATATGATTGAAGGTTTTTATCCCAGATGGTCGGATTACTCCAGATGGTATGCTCAAGATACTCGATGAGATAAAGTGCGAAATTTGGGTTTCACCAGACGATCAAGGCGTTCCCCCGAAAGGCCAAACCACCCTGAAGATTCCATCACTGGAAGATATCCTGGAGCAAACCAACAGTTGCGATATCCAGTACAATTACAATGAATCTTGGGAACAAGCAAAAAATGAGACAGTTTGCATTATTCACACATCTGGCACAACTGGTAAGCACAAGATCAAAAATAGGAAGGAAAAAAGATCAACTTGCCAACTTACCTATCTCCAAACTAGGTACCCCAAAGCCCATTTACCTTCGCAATGGCTTCATGTCGGTTTTTGACTGGAGTCTATTATACGAAAGACACTTATCTCCTAAAGTTACCTATCACCATTATGAGAACTCGTTGACCCTGACGACCTGCGCTCCTCAATGGCTGGGTGGGTTTGCTTTCACTCTGAATGCAGCAGCCTTTGTTGGTATGATTACAGTGCTTCTACCTCCTGACATGAAATCACCTCTGGATCGTGAGTCTGTCATTAGAATTTGCCAGCATACAGGAGCCAGGAGTATTGTGACACCTCCATCTCTCATTGAAGACTTTTATAACGATAAGTCTGCCTTTGATTTCTTGAAGAGCCTTGATTACGTCTGCTGGCTAGGAGCAGGGCTGGATAGTGCAATTGGCGAAGACCTAGCAAAGCATACTCACTTATTCCCGGTGATTGGATCTACCGAGCGTGGACCGCAGCCGTCTTTTGAATCCCCCGATGTGAAAATGTGGAATAGCTTCGAGTTTATTCCCGAGTCCGGGCCCAGATTCGAGCATATTTCCGATGACTTGTATGAGTTACAGGTTGACCGTACACCAGAGCATGATGTCTTCCAGGGAGGGTTCTACGTCTTTCCCGATCTCGACACTATCCCATCATCCGAGATTTATTCACCGGTTGTTGACAGTTACGGCTCTACTAGGTGGATTTTCCGTGGACGCACGGGCGATTTGGTAAAGCTATCCTGGCTTGCCAAATTCCATGCGACACACATCGAGAGTGCCATAAATATGCACAGCCAAGTCAACTCGGTGGTCATGGGTGGGGAGGGACGTGATGTGCCCTACATCATTGTGGAGCCTAAAGATCACAACGAAATTCAAGATGGCGAAAAATTTATTGATGAGATATATGACACGATGATATTATCTCTCAATGAAAAAGGTCACCAGGAGATTCATATACCACGAGATACAGTCATGTTGTCTGATCCGTCCTTGCCCTTCCAACGAACTTTGAAAATGACAATCATCAGACAAAAGGTGGAGGATTCCTACAAGCAGCACATTGATGCGATGTATCAACTATGGCAAAACAGAAAGGAATAACTCTTTTCCGGTCAATCTTGATTAAGACCTTGATTTTGTATTGGTTTTGCCAGAGATGGATTCTGAATTCCAAGGCATGTTACTGTTTTCTAGGAAATCGGAATTAAACCCGAATGACTTCTTTCGCCTCGACTTCATTGTCATTTCTTTCTCATTTTCTTATTAATGACTACACGTTAGTGTCATAATTACCCGCTTAATCAAATTTAATGTACCGGCCAGTAAGACTGGGGATGATCGCGGGTGAATCACCACCGAGGATTTATTGACCTGCAGCATAGGGTTGTATTTTTCCGATCGGCCTCCGCTCGATGCTACTTACAAAATCTCTTGCCCCCGCATCAATTTAGTTTCCATTTGCCATTAATCAAAAATGACTCTGCTCGCGGTTTTGTTCCTCTTCACGAGCCAGGCTACTGCTAAGTGGCTATGGTCGAGCTCGCCAGCCAATGCGTCCGATATTATGCGGCAGACATACCCCTTGGGCAATGGTCGCTTAGGTTTCATGCCTGCTGGGAGTCCTGGATCAGAATTTGTAACTATTAATTTAGATAGTCTTTGGGCAGGCGGGCCATTTGAAAACGCAAGCTACTCTGGTGGCAATCCTCCCGACGACCGATCTCATTTCTTGACTGGAATCCGCGAACAAATCTTTCGCAATGGAGAGGGGAACGTCGATGGACTTCTTAGCCCGATTTCTTCATACGGAACATACACACCTCTGGCAAACTTGACCATCGATATAGATGGGATCAACACATTTTCTTCCTATTTTCGAGGCCTGGACCTGGCCTCTGGAGTCCATTCCGTGAACTTTACGAGTGGCGGTCAAAAATATCACAGTTCTACCCTGTGTTCTCAGCCAGACGATGTTTGCGCCTACAGTATCTCATCTAATATGCCACTACCGCGTATTTCTTTTGGATTACACAATAATTTTCTCGACATAAAACTTCTGAACACGACTTGCGACCGTGGCCGACTAGAGATATCAGGCCATCTTGCACAACCGGGTATGCAGTTCATTGGGGTAGCCCAATCAACTCGTCCCACGGCTTTGATTTGCAATGGAAACCAATTGGTACTGCCAGCCAAGTCTAGTCATACCGAAGTTACTATTGTATTCGGGGCTGGTACAAACTACGACGCGAAGCATGGGAACAAAGCAGCGGGCTATTCTTTTATCGGAGTTGACCCAGCCCCAGCAGTGAAAAAAACAGTTTTGACTGCTGCATCAAAGTCATACGAAGAAATTCTGAAAAGACACACCAAAGACTACAAAAGTCTCTTTGAATCCTTTGAGCTTGTGTTGAAAGATTCCGCCAACTCTGACAGTGTCGAAACGGCCACATTGCTCTCTGATTATGACACTGCTGAAGGGAATCCCTTCTTGGAGTCACTTTTTGTCGACTACGGGCGTTATCTCCTGATTTCTTCATCCCGAGAGAACTCGTTACCTGCTAATCTCCAAGGGAAATGGGCAGAACTGCAGAGCCCGGCATGGAGTGCTGACTATCATGCAAATATCAATCTGCAAATGAATTACTGGGCAGCACCGCAAGTCGGTCTTGGAGCTCTACAAAAACCACTGTGGGATTTCATCGAGCAGACGTGGGTTCCGTATGGCCAAGAGACTGCGCGGCTGCTGTATGGCGCAGTTAATGGTTCATGGGCGATACATGACGAAATAAACATTTTTGGCTACACTGGAATGAAGAATGAAGCCACCTGGGCAGACTACCCTCTTGCGGGTACTTGGATGGCTCTACATATTCCAAATTGGTTGGAATATTCAGGCGACACGGAATGGTATCAAAGACAAGGGTACCCATTGCTTAAAGGTACAGCGCAGTTTTGGTTATCGCAACTTCAAGAAGATCGATATTTCAATGACAGCACGTTGGTCGTCAACCCGTGCAATTCTCCCGAACATGGACCGACAACATTCGGATGCTCTAATCATCAGCAGCAGATTTTTGAGCTGTTTGATAGAATAATTGCCACATGGTCTGTTAGCAATGATGATGATGATGAATTCAATAAAAGCGTGAAGAAAGCACTGGCGCACCTAGACAGAGGGATTCACATCGGGTCTTGGGGACAGTTGCAGGAATGGAAGCGCGATATCGATACCCAAAACGATACGCATCGTCATTTGAGTGGTCTCACAGGCTGGTATCCCGGATACAGTGTCTCGGGATTAGGTGATACCCAAGTGACGAAAGCTGTCGAGACAATGTTGTGGTCTCGCGGAACTGGAAAGAACAGCGAAGATAATCCAGGATGGGCCAAAGTGTGGCGATCGGCATGCTGGGCACACCTCAACAACACAGAGCGAGCAAATTTCGAGTTGCGATTCAGCATTTCGGAGAATATGGCTGGAAATGGGTTGTCGCAGTACTCAGGACATAATGCGCCATTCCAGATCGATGCTAATTTTGGGTTCGTCGCTGCAGTGACTGCTATCTTGATTCGCGATCTGCCTCAGTATCATGACGATGATAGCGTTCACGAAGTGCTCCTAGGCCCTGCGATTCCCTCTTCATGGAGTGGTGGCTCGGTTCGTGGACTTAAATTACGCGGCGGGGGCAGTGTGGCATTTTCTTGGGACAATGAAGGCGTTGTGGAGGAGGCCACTGTCAGCGGGAGAATGAAGCCATTGAGAATGGTCAACGTGAAAGGGATAAAAATCGACACTTGACCGGCAATCAGGAAAATAAGAGAGAGAATGTCTATATAGTCTACTCCTAGTTTATAGAACGAAGAACGTTCTATACTGATCTTGTGGCAATGGCAACAACCTTGGAACACTACTCAGCATAATTCATATTCAGGAAGCCATTGGACTATAATACTTCAGATTGATTAATAATATATCAATTGCCCGGGTGGTCTAGTGGTATGATTCGCGCTTAGGGTTCACCCAAAGCATTGACTGCGCGAGGTCCCCGGTTCGATCCCGGGCTCGGGCCAATTATCTTTTTTATATATTTTTATTTTTATAATCCTCTCTCCCACATCTCTTATCTCTGTCTGAACCATGTACATCCTTGTATATATTTTTTGTATATGATCCATTGCAAACCTTGAAAATATGACTCCGCGCCACGTGCTGCTCAATATGCGAGCCCATGCGCCGTTGGTGTCCAACGGTACAAAGATAATAGCTCTCTCCGTCGTGCTTTGTGTTCATCCCAGGAGTGGGGACCAACTTGCTGGGCATCGTATAGCATGGATCGGAATACTTTACGGAAATTTTTCTGTAAAAGCATGAGCCCTGTAACGAATGACCAGGGTGATAGGGATTTGTATTGACAGTACCTGAAAAGTTGTGTCCAGAGTGACAATGCTGACTTCGTGTGCGCGAATGATGGTCTCGCAGACTTCTTCCACAGAGCTGTTCGGGCCAAGCTCTGGCATACGGTCCACGAATAGAAGAAGAATGAAACTGCCCTGAAGAAGATAAATCCCAAAAAGATAGGGCATGAAAGTCATTTCAGGATCAAGGGTCAGTATTTGTGAGATCACCTCCGTCGCGCTCAGGGCATGGGAGGCACATGTCAAAAATCTTTCTGAGGTGATCCAGTCGTCATTGTCTTCAATCATCAATATAGGATCCCATTTTCCATGAAGAAGTATGTAAAAGACATGCAACAGATAGGTACTGTATGCCTTGACCAAAGGAAATATTGTCTCCGAAGGGGCACCCTTGCTGGGCGTTCCGTAGCCTTCTGTGCTGTGTGAAGAGGACCCGGTGGTTTGACCTGTAAATGGCGTGGCACATATTTCTTCAGAGAGCATTGCGTCAAATTGCCTCTCCAGCTCTACCAGCTCCTGCTCGCGCTTGGAAATCATAGATTCAACCCGACGAATAGCATCGTGTGGGGCTATCGAACCAAGAATGGGGTGACTGCAATAGTGATGCAAGTCGATTATGTGGCCTAAAATGGTAACCAGGGGTAGGAAGTATTCAAAGAACCCACAACCGGAAATTTGAATAGGCGGGCCGATTGGTGAGGTCTGAATATTAGATAGATCAATGGTCTCCAAAGACTGCCATATATTTTCAGGCAATGGTACTCGAACACAGAATGTGCCTTCGGGGATGCTCAATCGCATATTGAAAGAAAGCGCAATATGTCTATCGAGACAGTAGATAAACCAAAAGAGCCGCCTGCGCTCTTCTTTTGCTATCATCCATCGTCGGAAAGTATCGTCACCGTTGTATAGTCCGCAGAAGACAGGGCCTAGATCAATGTCTTGATCTTCTAGACTCAGTCCACTCGCCCTAACTAATCGAAAGAGCTTGTCTATCCATTTGAGAGAGTCTGCTTTATAATGACCACCGGATATTGTTATAGTTAAGATGACGACTGCGAGGATAGTATCTGTTGAACCAAGCTGCTTTGGTAGTATTGTTTTCCCGGATGGTTGCCGATCTATACTGGGAGGAATACTGTTCGGATGAGGATGGAACTGCCAGCCATCTAGAATAGTCAGATCAAACGCATAGGTTGCCCATTATCTTTCCAAAGAAAAACATACCGGAGGTTCTGAAATAATTATCCGGATCTTCTGATTGAAGCAAATCAAGCGAAAGGTGATAAAGGCCCATAATTGTACGTTCACGCATTCCAGGGGCATCAAACAATTTCATATCCGCAGTTTGTGCAACAGAAAACAGTATCACAGCAATGAGTGCTGGGGATGTTGGACGGGGGTCTGTAGGATGAAGCACAGATGATGGATGCAAGACATGGACAAGCATATAAGGCGACGTGGACTTGAAGGGGGAACTGCCCCCGTCATTGAAGTATATTTCAAGCATTTCGGATGCTTCATCGGGCGACAAAATACCTTCCAGGGATAGCAAGATGGGCTCAAGGCAGCGATATGGCTTTCGCATCGAAAATCCGGCAGAGAGTAAGCTTGGAACAACCTCATATAATGGCTGCCGAGTGGCGGGAATTGGGAATTCTGTGTCAATTGGCGTCTAACCGACAACAAATTACTTAAATGTGTTCTGTGAAGTGGACCGCTTGGTGAATACTGACCTGCCCGGATGCAAATGTGGCCTCATTAGCTTTGAATCTAGTGTCGCTTAATGGGGCTGAAAGGATACCATCGAATGTGCTTTTTGATGGTAAATTGACTTGAGGTATCGTTCCAAATTCTGCGTTAACTGAGCTTTCAGGTTGCGTGGCATCGTCGGCATGGGGGCTTGATTCGGAGACTGGGCGTTCTTCTGAGCCTGCGACATCTGAAACATCCTGCAACGATGTGCTACTCGCTAATAAGTCTGCACTAGTTGGACTTGTAGTCAAATCTTGAAGAGATTCTTGGTTGGAAGAGCCAACGTCCTGGTAACTGAAATTGAGAATTGAGCTCGAGCGCGGTCGTCGGCCGCGCTTGTGAACAGTTTTGAAATAGTGACACGCGTCGTGGCGCTCTACTAAAGATGTAAGAAGATGGTAGACTGAAAATTGGTGGTTTATGAAGAGCTTCTAGAGTACCTGCACAACGACGGCTTGGGGACAAGATATTAGCTTCAAGCTGTGGTGTTTTGAAATGGCACTCACCACGGTCTTTGGCCGTCACACCGTTGCTTCGAACGAGTACATGCATCGCAGGCTCGCAGGACCCGAGACTGGCTTCGACGGGGCATACTGGCGCCCGATATTTCAAATTCACGGAAACAGCCTTGGAAATAGGAGATGTGGATGGATGTGGAGGGAAATGCGGGGGATGCTGTGGGGTGTTACAACGATGAAAGACGGCGGGTCCCTGCGTTTCGGCACAGCAGCGCCTTCAAAGCATAATCTTGAAGTAGACAAGTAATGCCAAAGAATTCAGGGAAAGTAAATAATTTCAAAGTTGATCTAGTATTCTATAAAAGCGACCGTCTCTCAAATTCCATCATAGTCTCAAGGTATTAACAGTCTTCGGCTTCTTCCTCGACACATCCCATCCGTCTCCTGGACTGGGAAAACAGTAACCATACCATTCACCCAAAATACTCTTCACTGCTTGAATTAATTCTTCGTCTTTATTCGTTTTAAATGGTCCAGCCTCCACTCGAGGCTCAGAGTCTGCGTTCCATAGCCAACGTAGCTGGTCTGACACTTGAAGAACAAGTCCGGCCGTCGCAAGATTTTCCTGCAGTTCAGAAACAGTTGTGATCCCCATAATTGTCGTCACTCTAAAATCTGGGGTGGATAAAGATTGAGCGCGACGGATTGAATATCGCAGTGCCAATGCTGCCAGATCTTCCCCGTGAGATGCAACATAATCGGCCGCTTCCTTCGCCGCTAATCGTAACCCTCGAGGCGCAGGATGAAAGTCTCCCAGGTCCCCCACCGGCACGCCATTTGCTCGAAGAAGACCGATAGCCAGGGGACTAGAGCTGCAAACACAGGAGACGCCAGCTTCCTTGAATACCCCGAGGCCGACTTCGGCCAGCGTGTCATTTTGCAAGGTCAACTGCGCCCAATTCTGTATGATGTCAAGGGGTCGACAATATTCTTGTTGTACTCGCTGAGCGACGCGACCGAGGATATCAATACGGTAGCCTGATATCCCAACATATCTAATGTGTCCTTCCTCGGCCAATTTGAATAAGACACCAACAGCTTCGAGGATTTCATCTTCGGGAACAAATTCAACATCGTGACAGAATACAACATCGAGGTACTGAGTGCGCAGGCGCTCTAAAGAACGCAGTACTGACTGTCGGATCCAGACAGGAGAGTAATCAAATTTGTCGGCTGTGATGCGTCCGACTTTGGTCATCAGAAAGTATTGGTCGCGAGTGTAGTGGTTGGTAATGTCGGGATGCGAGAGTGCTTCTCCTAATAGGATTTCAGATGGGTGATAGTATGCCGAGGTATCAATGGCTCGCAACCCCAACTGAAATGCACGCTTCAAGACCTGGAGAGCTTGAACTGAATTGGGATTCCGATGGACTTGGTGGCTAAAGCCGGCACCCCCAAGAATGATGGGAGGGAGAATTTGAGAGAGGCTCATTTTGGTGTTATGTTGTTTGGAGTGTGAAATGATAGACTGTCGGATCGTCTAGAAAGTAGGCTCTGATGATTTCTGCTTTGAAATAGGCTAAATAGCCGGATGCTTGAAATATTCCATGTATCTTGGCCGTTCTTCCACCTATCCGACAGGACAGTCTCGGGCTGTAGAATACAAGTATCCTGTGCTGGCCATCGCTTTAAGTCCGACCAGTGAGAAATACCCCGCTGCAAATACCCGTCGGGAAATTAATTATTGGACGATTAATTTTGTCTCCACAACCGACCGAGCGAGTAGGGAAATACCCGATCATCATGTTTGCCATAGGTTCCCATGGCATTCGATTCTTGAATGGCGAGGAGAGTAAATGGAATTAGTTGGCTCCGATAAGTGTATCAGACTTGGGGCTCCGTTGCCCGGACATACTAGAAGTCACCCTTACCTACCTGGGTGGGTACTGATTAACTAACTATTAACTAGTTCAAGTTATATTCTCCATTCGACCCAGTTACATCTTGTGAAGAGTCAACTTCAAGTTGGAAATCACCGAGACTCTAAATTTGGTCGTCACTGGAGATGTCCCAGCGGATGTTTTATTGGGAAAAGGCCCTGAATTTCCTTCAGAGGTCGCCTTGTCGCTAGCCATGGAAGATAGTCATACACAAATGATGATCAATTTTTTTGCAGTGTTTTGTCTCATACCCCCCCACCCCCCTCTTTCCATCAACTCCCTCAGTTAAGTCACTGTAGACACCAACCGCTTAGAAGTGGATTGGTAAATATGTGAGTCATGCCTTGCTTTCTCACTCCCATTGCTTCATCAGAGTGTTAGCCTCAATCTCCTGATCAAAGTTGACAAGATGAGTCGAATGGCACCAGGGCTTGATAGCCTCCTCCTTGCGAATAACACCAGCAAAGAACTGGCACCACTGGATGCGCGGATAAGCCTCATTGATCTCCGTGCGGGTCGCTTCGTGGATCAATTCACCGAAATCCTTCACATGCGGATGGAAACCGGTATTGTCGTAGGTCGTTGCTAACTGGATGAGTTGGCCGAAATAAGTGATCGTACCGTCGACCCCCATGTCTTCGTGTCGGATGATTGCCTCGGCGGCTGCTTCGGCTTGGTCTGTAGTCGCGCCATGGCCCTTCAAGACATCGATAGCCTTGATGCCGCCGTAGATGTCGAAGGACATTCGGGTTGCCGTGAGGCTTTCTTCGGCGGTACCGAGATCGTGAAGGAGACATGTCAGAGCCCAAGTGGCTGGATTGAGGCTCGCGAATTGCTTTGGGAATTGTTGCTTGGAAATTGCCATTCCTGTTCAGGTTAAATCTAGATCTTGGATTTTGCTCAACCCGAGCAGGAATTGTGGGGTGGGATAGCTGGTCTTACCATAGAAGTAAACCCTCATTGAATGATTGAAAGTTTCGGGATGCAAGGTTTTCTTTGCGTAGAGCAGAGTCCTTGCGACCGATGGCTCATCAAATGGGAATTTGATGTCTTCAAGAGACAGATGACCAGGCTGATTGATGAAAGGCTTGCTTCCGAAGATAGCGCCTGCATTGGCGGGCATGCTGGTCCAGCCATTGGCTTCAACTTCGTTTTGGCACATGTTGATGATGGGGATCGGGGTGGACTTGAAAAATATGGTGAGAAGTGTTTGATGTTTGAGTCACTTGCTTGAGTGAGATTCTTGTGAGTCTCTTAGATTTCCAAGGTTATTTTCTGGATACTAAAATCGATGGCGGGGACTGCTTTAAATACTAAATCGAACTACTATATAGAGCGCAAGCGTCAATGCTTTTTTTTTGGCTTACATGAAAAGATAGAATTGAAATTCTCCCATCCCAACCATTCACAGTATACATGCAATCACGTACCTTCAGCGTGCCTTGTCGGAAATTTCTCGGATTTCAAAGAAATTTGACAACTGGCCAATCACGGCGAAAAACATACTTACCCGTTTAGGAAGTTATCTCATGTGGGGAAGAAGGGCATGGCGATAGCATTTCTTTTAACATTTTTGCAGGGATATTATTGGCTACAGATTTTTTTTGCAGCTGCTGCAAGGCTTGAAACTTTCATCGTCCCCTCCGCGATTGGTAAGCTTTCATCGCTGTATCAGGAAGTTAAAGTAGGTTATGCTTAATCCCGGAGTTCTCCCGGTGGTACGGATCGACGACCGGAAGGTAGATCCACTTCGGTTATGCATAGTCATACCACAAAGGCGGAATAAAATCTTCATATCGTGCGACTAATTGGTAATCCATCGTAGCTAGAATAGGAAGTTATTGTGGGTGGTCTTCGAATGATAAATTTTCTCAGCGCCACCGGTCCGGGAGACGAAATCGCCTTTTCATGGTTATATATCACCCGGCACATCTTCACTTATACTCCGCAAGCTGACCTAAAATTCTCAAAAGTATCTTGACGTTCTGACCAAAGAGACCAGGCTATTCAGCAGGGCCTGATATGAGAACACTTCATTCTTCACCATCCAAGGACTGTCACTCTCCAATGACAATCGATGCTAATCTTGCCAACCCTGTGAGTCTTCGAATAATGTTCTGGGAACTTTGCAGATTTTATCAACTTCGTACTAGTACTGTTTTCGGACTCTGACTAAACTGTCTAAGAGTCCCCTAGGATTCGGTGGCTTCGCAACAACCCTAATGACCCTTTCTCTTTCCATGATGGGCTTCCGAGGAGTCGAAAACCAGACAATATTCATTTCGAACCTTTGTTTCCTCGCCGGAGTAGGTCTTCTTATATCCGCGCAGTGGGAGATGGTTAAAGGGAACACATTTGCCTATACGGTACTCGCTGCTTTTGGTAAGCCATAAACCACGCAATAATTTAGCTACTAGTAATAACTAGTTAGTACTCCGGATTGGTGCTGATACCAGCTTACAATAAAATCAGGATTATATTACGGCGGATATGGAGTCTTGCTAGCACCCTCGTTAGGTGTTATAGATTCCTACGGTGGGAAAACAGCCGAGTACTACAACGCATTCGCGTTCTACCAGCTAAGTCAGGATGCCCCTTCCCAACGTTCAAGTTGCAGACCCGAACCTGGACTAATGAATGCGGCCAAAGTTTGGTGCTTTTTGAATTTCTTTTTCCTGCTAGCTTCTCTACCGACGTAAGTACGTGAATATATGCATCAGGTATACACGGAAGACATATCGCGAAAATGCTGAAAAATTGCATAGAAACGTCCCGAACATTATCGTTTACGCCGCCTTGGAGCTATGCTACATCTTCAACTGTACTGCCCATTTCATGAAAGCGGATCTCAGGATGGAATTAGGTGACGATATCACTAAGGTGGCTGGTGCTTTTGGTTTCATATCGGCGACAGCTGGGTTCTATCTACTAGCACACGGACTGTGCCAGGATACTTTTCCTTTTGAGATTCCTTTGTTTGAGACTAAGTGTTTCTTTCGACGACGGCGATTTGGTTGTGAAGGGATGGATGGAGCGAGCTCGGTTTAGAGAATGGATGTTTTTTTAAAAGGGCAGGTGTCAGGTTGAAAAAAATATATTATTTCAAAAGGTTCAATGAGTTAAGGGGTCGGTCAGCGTAGAAATGAAAAGGGTGCATGTGACTTTTAGAGGGTATTTGTATTATTTTCAGAAGGAAGAGACTGAAATTTAAGATGATGTGTAATAGACCAAGTAATGAACCTGTAATGCTAGACAAGACCGGTAGATATAGCGTAGAGGGTATCTATAATATGCAAATATGAATATCAAAACAATAACAGCCCATATCAACAACTCGGAAAAAAATGTATGCACAACTTTTGAGCCGAACAGGTTAAATGCAGCATAATTCAAGCAAACCTTTTTTCGAAACAGTATCGCTTAAAGAGAACCAGCAGACCACTTTCCTCTCGCCCGTATCCTCTTTCCATAAATGTAGAACAGATATGGGATCGGAATGAGAGCAACAGAAATAAAACCAAGAACACTAGCAGCCCACGGCACGCCCATATTATGAAACATGGCCGTCGTGAAAAGCGGGAACGCGCCAGCAAATACCGAGCGGAGGAAGGTATTCGCTGCGACAGCCGAAGCAGCAACATTTTGGAATGTATCAATGAGATAATTCAGCGCTGCTTGGAAGATGGTGAAGAAGCCGAAGCCCATCATGACAGCCCCGATGATCGGGCCGATCCAGTGGATGTGGGCTGGGCTTGTCCAGCCAAAGACAAACATGCCTGCGGCGAACATTACCGAGCCAAGCATCATGGGCGGAAGGCGGGCCTCGGGCACTGCGCGGTTGTTGTTTGCTTTGAAACGTTTTATGTAGAAGCGTTGGTTGAAGAGGTTGATTGCTGCGCCGAAAAAAATGCCGACTAGGTAGGCCAGGAAAGGGAGAGCACCGACGACTTGGTTCCAGCCGCGCACCTCTTGGAAGACGATTGGGAAGGCTGCAAGACTGAGGTAGAGGATTCCGTATACGAAGGAGGCGTAGAGGGCGACCAAGAAGCAAATCGGGGTTGCGAGAAGTTGAAAAGGTCGGATGAGATATTTATTGCCAAGTTCCTTAAAGGTGACGTCCCACTCTTCGTGACGGGCGTGGAGAGCCCAGTTGCCGCTTTCGAAGCGAAGGCGTCGGGCCTTGTAGACTAATAGCACTGGCGGATAGCTTTCGTCGATGAATATTAAATCTAGCACCAGGAAGAACATCATCATAATTCCAGTAAGCTGGGAATATGTTAGTTGCTTGTCCGATACCCCCCTAAAGAGTTGAATTTGAGTAAAACTTACATATTCAGTCCACCGCCAGTGCAGATAGCTTTGGGTAATGGCACCACCGACAATAGGACCCAAAACAGGCCCACCAACAACGGCCATCGCATAACCCACAATAGCAGCGCCGCGCTCCTCCGGCGACCATATATCACCTAACACTCCACCGGTATTAGTGACCGGAGCGGCGCCGAAGAAACCAGTAAAAAAACGAGTTATCATAATCGTCTGAAGATCTTTCGCGGTAGCGGTCCCAAAGGACATAATCGCCGCAATAAAATAAGGAGCAAGGACTGCGGGCTTGCGACCAAATACTTCGGATAGAGGCGCCCAGAGCAAAGGTCCAAGACCCAAGCCAAACAGCAACAACGAAGTACCAAGTGTAGACACCTCCAACGAGACCCCAAACTCCTCACTAATCTGCGATTGACCAGTCGAATAGATAGAACTTGCCCACGTCGCACCTATAAATCACACCCGTATTAGCCACCGGATCATCTTTGGCTTCCCCGCATTCACGAGGGGTAGGGTAGGTGGGGTATGGAAGCCAACTCACCCATCGTAGTCAATCCATACAGCACCGTTGTCACGGCCTTCTTGGTAAAACTCCAATTCAAAGGCCGATAGGGATCATCAGGACCCTCAAAATCAACAATGACATCCTGGCTCGTCTTGGTATGCGTGAGCGGGTGATTGAATGTAGCCGTCTGACCCGGTTCCCGACTTCGGATGCGCGATATCGTAGATTGCGCGCGCTGTTCAAAGACCGATAATCCCGAGGCAGCGGTGCTTTGCTTCGCCAGTGGAGCTATCGTGCCCGGCACGTTATCGGCACGGTGGCTGCGGGTGTCGCTGTGGCTGTCGCGCGACTCGATATCGTCGTCGGAGGTGGAGGAGTGGAGATCGTGCTCTGTTCGTTCGGCCATGGTTCCGATCCGCGCGCGCGGCGCAAGGCAATCAATCTGTAGGGCTTAGGATCGGATTATCGCTCTGTGCGAAGAGCCTAGGGGAAGGAGGGAAGGGAAATTTTCAAAAAAATGAGTCAAAGTCAAATCGAAGACCCCGAATCGTCAATGTCAATTGCTAGACGCGCATAAAAATTCGGCCTTTGGTCGTGATGCGCCGAGTGGAAAAAGTTATTGCCAGAAACCGTTATACGTCATCCGCTTCGGCTTTCTGGGAAAATCGCCGAGAGTATGCGGGCTTGTTGGTCGTTTTTTATGTTGTTATGACACTCAGGCATCTGAGGTTTCAAGAAGGTTGCAAATGGATTGATTATTCGCATTCACTTTTATTCTTCTTGACTATCGGTTAGGGCCGATAGCTCTTTTATTCAAGCTGTCGGACGTCCGACGCCGAGCAGAGCCAGAGCCGTGTTAGCCGGTGGTGGGGCATGGTGAAGCTCGGGGTTCTCGATCGGGTTTGATCCGACCCTGGCGTGGCGGACATAGGATGACAATGATTGGCATCTTTGTGGTAGCCTTGCTGTCTGATGGTTTTCAGTTGCTCAGAGGTTTGGATATTGAAAGGTGGGATGTCGGCGATGCAATCGGCTTTAGAGAATCAGCACCAGCTCGGAGATAGGGGCGAGAAGTAACGCCTCAACTCCGAGGTGCCAGAGGTGGGTGGAGCGGAGCGCAGTGGGAACTGATAGAGACCCATCTGAGAATCCAATGGATCATTGACAGCCAATGGCATAAGAAATTGGAGGGCGAAGCATTACGGGGAAATTGCAATGTTTTCTGCAAAAAGTAAAGTGTATTGCGTGATCACATGATATGCACTCTATTGTCTACGAGAATTGAACTTCCAAGATTCTAATGATACATCGGGAGAGATGGGGGGGAAAGGGCAGCTATATGGACAGAAGATGATAGATCGAGAACGAAATGAAGATCAGAACAAGGTGACTACTCCGAGACTGGGTGCATGTTCTCCCATTTATGCACTGCCTCCATAGCAGCCGTCACCTTGAGTCCGATTCGAGCATCAAGCTCGTAGCTCTCCCACTTGGCCGCCTGGTCCAAGTAGGTCTTACACTCCTTGACCAGCTGTCTCTCATTTGGCTGCTTCTTCGAATCCTCGACATCAGCCGAGTCTTTATCTGACAGTTCCTGATCTCTCGTTACTGGACCATGCAGCTCTTGGTAGGTCGGGCGCTCCATCCAAAGGTTGGCCGCCATCTCAAAGTGCGCAACAGGGTGGACCCAGTCGTCTTTCAAGTGGCCCTTAAAGAGAGACTTATCGTGGACCAGCACGCGTGTCTTGATAATGTGTTTTGCCTTCTCATGGTCGCGCAGGGACCGGAACACCGCAGCCCGTAGCAACTCTAGGATCACCTTCTCCTCCGTTCCCTCACGCGACCATGTCTTGTTTTCCTCGCTCTCGCACCATGCGAGGCGAGTGAGGGATTCTTCGAGCTGCGAGCACGTCATGCGGCTGTGTCCGTTCCAGAAAAAGATCATTTCCTCGATAGGGTCCACGCCGATCGCGTCGACTAATTGTACTTTCCACTCCTTGGCTCGCGCTTCCCACTTGGCGATCTTGCGAGTGACGAAGACGTCGAATGGTAGCTGGCGGGCCATGAAGCGCTTTTTCCCGGCGTGGGAGGGAGCCTCACGGAGATACTCGGTCGCTTGGTTTGCGTGGAACTCTGCCTTTTTCGGGTCATCGATGTTCTCACGGTAAAGTGCAACATGGCAGGATCCTGCGATGTAGTAATAAAGTGACCGCGACCAGGAGTTCAGATCAACACACTAGAGGAAGGAAGAAAGATAGACATGTTAGCTTGCTGATCGTGGTTTATACATCAATTGATTCTGCCAGAAGCAGGAAAAAGAACAGGTCTTACCTCGATAAATGCCTGAGAGCACACCTCGTAATCATGAAGGAATAAGGCATTCAAACTTTTCTCAAAGACCCGCAGAGCTTCTACCTGCTGAAGTGGACTCTTATTCTTCCCATTCAGCAGCTTCTGTGCGCCCACAAGGTCTTTATTGGCACCAATCATTCGGGACTCCTCCAGCAACCAGAGCTGACTGTTCGGGAACCGCGTGCGCATCTCGGCCAGCAGGGCCGTCAATCTCTCTTGTGGAATTCCCTCGACGTCGTCCTCACCGGGAGTTGGGTCAGGCATGATATCACAGTAGCGCACGAATCCATTATAGTATCCGAGCAATGCGAGAGCAGCCATGCCACCAATTAGGTTGTGGAACTTACTCGCCTGCCAAAGCATGCGCAAGCCACGCTGCTTGTCGCCGTGGAATCCGATGATAGACAGCAGCTTGCTGAATGCCGGGGGAACCATGGAGATGAGCAAGAGGAGGATGCCGAAACAGAAGTTGGCACCGGAGTGCACGAAGATATCGATTTCATTTTGGAAAATGTCGGAGTCCGGATCGTGATTGATAATCTTCGAGCCATTCGGGGTAGCAGAGCGAGGCGAGTTATTTGAAGCGGGTTCCGGGGTGACAGTCAAGCTAGACAGCGATTGCGACAAGTCTTTCTCATCTGATGGTGTTGCACTTGCGCTGGCGGAGGCACCCTTGATTGAGGAAGCGGAACTATTCGATACCTTGGCATGTGCACTAATTCCCTTGGTAACGTCACTGGCACTGGGGAGAAGAACACGGCTGGGATCCTTCAGGTCCATGAACTTCTCTTCCATTTTCAAAATTGCGTCTAGAGCAATGTATGCCTTTCGTAGGCGATAGAAAGCCTTGATACTTTCTGTCAGACTTTCATTGAGCACACCCACCACAGCACCCATGAGTTGGGCAATGGCTTGACACAACGCATATTCAGTGCCGGGGGTATAAATCTCCGAACGAAACGCATTTGGGGCATTGGAATTGTGTTGTGCCCGATATTGTTCACTGGCGGCTGATGTTTCCGCCTCGTATAGGCGATCAGATGCTGTTGTTTGTTAGAGGCCGTAGTGGCGAGAGACAATCGGCCGGGGATTTGAATGTGCCTACCTTGTCGCATAATCTCCTGCTCAAAGCCTAGAGTGGCCCGGACAAAGGCGACCACACCTTTACCCAACTACTCGTATATTGTCAGCCCCGTTCCAGATGTATCTTGTATCACTCTTGCAGGGCCACTACGTCATCTGCAGCAGCCCGGATCCCACGCACATTGTGAAAGGTGGAGGTGCCTTCGGCGAGGCCATTCTCAGCAGCGTCGACGTCGTCATTAAGGATGTTTGTGGCGGCTATAGATAGGCAATGCCAAACGGGAGGTTAGTCGAAGAGTACAATACTGGAATGGTGGCGGAGTGTTGTGGTGTGTACCTTTCATCGCCTCATCCACTGTTCTGGTCAGCACATGGTAAATCTGGAGTATCGGGGGGGAGACCCGGGGTGCACGGATCGCAACGAGGCTCTGAAGACCGTTAAATTACTTACAGTCCTTCAACTCGGTCAACGAGTCCAGCGACTGGGTCGAGGCATTGGCGGGCTTCTTGCCGTACAACCACGAGCCGACGCGCAGCATTGTACACCGGTGTACCTGTACCTGAAAGAATGGAAAGGCGTCGAGGGAGTGGGGAGGGGATCAATCCTGTGGAAGACACAGAGAACGGAGAAGAACACAGGCTCAAGGCCCGAGGAGCAGACGGATCGGGAAGAATGTCAACGGGCCCATGTGCAGGTACATGTGCGTGTGCGGACAGGGGATTTCCGAGAACGGGGGAGGGCAGGGACAAGCATGAAAGGGATGAAGAGGGTCAAATAGAATAATGGGCCCAAGACTCAAATATGCGAGAGAGAAAGGAATCTCACCGTGGGGTCAAAAACCGGACCTCACGGGGTCCGATGAGGCGCATAAGCCTTCCGGAGGGGCCGGAGATTCACAAATGGGGGGGGGGGGGATAAATAGTACTATGTATTACTTAGGTACAGTATATGTAGTATAGTAATAGTCTAATATACTAGCATTTATACTACCTTTGAATTTTATTCTTTTATCACAATAATTCTAGTATACCTTAAAGTACTCTGTCTACCTTATTGCCCAACTGTTGTTATCGATCAACAATACATCATTGGTCATCTGACTAAGACTTCTCTCCGCTCCGACAGCTCTCTCTCTCTCTCTCTCTCCTCCGCTACCACACCACCACACACAACTCTCCCCACCACATCCATCACAATGTCAAACACTACTACCGCCCAGAACAAGGTCGAGTCCGATCAACCCCAGCAACAAAAGCCCCAGGTCCTAGAGGAGGATGACGAGTTTGAGGACTTCCCTGTTGAAGGTATGCCAACTCCGCTCAATCTTCAGCTCTCACCGACCCCTCCTTTCCATTCGACAATAAGCAGCCCAGCAGCCCACTCGCACAGACACTCGCAAAAAGCCCCTAGCTGACAACCCCAGACTGGCCCCAGGAAGAAGCAGAGCAACCCTCCGGATCGGCAAATGGTACCAACGAGCACCTCTGGGAGGAGAGCTGGGATGACGATGATGCGGCCGAGGATTTCTCAAAGCAGCTGAAGTAGGTCCTTCAAAATCCATCTATCGGTCCCGAACCTTACTCATACCATCCGTCAACAGGGAGGAACTCAAGAAAGTCGAAGCTTCATCCTAAACCACCCCCGCACGAACAAAACAAGCTCCGACCATGAAGCCACACCACGATCCTTGATCCGGCCACCACCTTGCATCTCCATCATCTAAACCACGCCACGCCAAACAACAACTCTACCACATACCCACTCTTCTATACCCCATTTTGAATAGCCGGGATACGGTCACTCACACTTCCACTTCTACTTCCACTTCCACCGACACCTCCCGGTATGGCAGATGCCACTCTCGAGCACGTTCCAGTCCTAGTTCAATTCCAAATTTAATCGATCCGCCGCCAAGTCCAGCCAAATCTAGTTCTCTCCTACGGTCCCTACACCATCTTATATGTCGGGTTTAGCTACCTTCTATACCCCGATTTGGTTGGTTCTGGGTAGCTAGCTACACAGACCACGATCGAAACTCTTGGTTTAGGTCGCGATGGAAAGGGAATCGAACCAAGCTGGTCCTACCGAACTAGCACTAGCACTAGTGATTCTGGATTAATGAACCATTAAGGACTTCCTCGCGCCATAAATGCGAATTGTGGTCCATGATACATATCCTTTTCTTACTTCAACAGGCTTAATCGTGTAGATCCAATTTCTCTGTTAAATATCTGAGGATGGGTTACCAGGTACGTTGCCCACGTGGTACGACTACTAGTAATGATACCTACCCCGGCCTACGAGTCACACCCCTGCTGGAACCTTAAAGCTTTGGTCTCGTATCTGATCACATGGAAGCCTATAGTTAGTAAAATGACTCGGAATTCCGTATTGGCGTCGGCATAAACATAGGCATGAACGCTCGCAAAGACGGAGTAGAGTAATCAAAATGAAAGGGCTCTGAAACATTTTTAAACATTTTTGTATTCTTTTAAAGGAGAAAATTGAAGATAGGATAGGAAAAAAAGGGGGGGAAAAACAAGGATATTGGCTGTGTACATTACAGATTCGTGAAAATGTAAATCCAAAAGGTTCGGGGGAAGGGCAGCCAAAGAACATTATATTATGTGTACTTTTGACTCGCCCAGTCATTCATTCCCCTCTACCATCCATTTACTTACTCGACAGAGCAGAGACACCGGGCAGGTCCTTGCCCTCGAGGAGCTCGAGAGAAGCACCACCACCAGTGGAGACGTGAGAGAGCTTGTCCTCAGCGCCGAACTTGGCAGCCGCGGTGGCAGTGTCACCACCGCCGACGATGACGGTAGCGCCGTTCTTGACAGCATCGACGGCCGCGTTCAGAGTAGCAACGGTGCCGGCCTCGAAGGCCTTGAACTCGAAGACACCGGCGGGACCGTTCCAGAGGATGGTCTTGGAAGCGGCAATGGCCTTCTTGTAGGACTCCTGGGTCTTGGGACCAACGTCCAGACCCAGGGAGCCGTCGGGGATACCGGTCTCGTCGGTGGCGGCGCCGACCTTGGCGTCTGGGGAGAACTTGTCGGCAGTGACATAGTCGACGGGGAGGATGATCTCGACATTGTTCTTCTTGGCCTTCTCGACGATGTCACCGACGATCTTGCTGCCAGCCTCGTCGAAGAGGGAGGAGCCGATCTTGACGTTCTCAAGAGTCTTCTTGAAGGTGAAAGCCATGCCGCCGGTGATGATCAGGCTGTCGACCTTGGGGAGGAGGTTATCGATCAGCTGGATCTTGTCGGAGACCTTGGAGCCACCGAGGATGGCGAGGAAGGGGCGCTGGGGGTTCTCCAGGGCCTTGGCGAAGTACTCCAGCTCCTTCTTGACGAGGAAACCGGCGGCCTTTTGGGGCAGGTCGACGCCGACCATGGAGCTGTGGGCACGGTGGGCGGTACCGAAGGCATCGTTGACGTAGACGTCACCCAGGGCAGTCAGGCCCTTGCGGAAGTCGGCGACGGCGGCGGCGTCGGCCTTGACCTTCTTGCCCTCGGCGTCCTTGGAGCTGCCTTCCTCCTCGGCGTGGAAGCGCAGGTTCTCCAGGAGAACGATCTGGCCGTCGGTGGCGTTGTTGACGGTCTCCTCGGTCTTAGCACCGACGCAGTCCTCGGTGAAGAGGACGGTCTTGCCCAGCAGCTTCTCGAGCTCGGCGACGACGGGCTTCAGGCTGTACTTGGGGTTGACCTTGCCGTCGGGACGGCCGAGGTGGGACATCAGGACAACGGCCTTGGCGCCATTCTCAATGGCGTACTTGATGGTGGGCAGAGCACCGACAATGCGCTGGTTGTTGGTGATCTCCTTGTTGTCGTTGAGGGGGACGTTGAAGTCGACCTGTGAGAAAGCAATTAGCAATTGAATTGGAGATGGATAGGTATATGTATGGGGTACAGCTGGAGAAGAATTGAACATACTCGGATCAGGACACGCTTGCCCTTGAGGTCGACATCGGTGATGGGGAGCTTGCTAGAGAGAGACATTTTGGAGAGTCTATGATGTCAATGTTAATGCCAAATCTATGACAGCTGCAGGGGGATATTGGATGGGGAGGGGTAGGGGTAGGGTATGGATAACGAACATTGATGGACGTAAGAGGCGAAGCAAAAGAGAAGCCAGAAGGAAGAGAGCGGGGAGCGGGGGAGAAGTAAAAGAAGGAGGATCTCAAACAGGGCGACGGTGAGTCGCGTTGGAGGGGCACTTTTGGGTGTTGGTGGGGCAATCCGGTGAGTAGGTAGAGTAGAGTACCTTAAGGTAGTGATTAGTTAACAGATGGGGTAGTATCCACGGAAAAAGATACTTTGTCGGACACCAAAATCTCCGTTTAATTGCAAGTATCCCCTCATTCAAGTCTACATCTTCTCCCATTCTCTATACTTGTCCGAATTCCCCCGGGTTCACAACGGGCTGATGCGGGACTGATGTCAGAGCTCCCCATTATTGCGGAACAGGCCGGACGGGAAGGCCCATCGAGTGAATAGCCTCGGGGGAATAGGTTACCTTCAAGGTTAGTACCTAGGAACTGGACACTCTATTGGACGGGAATTGCACATAGCCGGTAGTTGTAGTTGCTATTAGTACTCGTAACTAGTACGGAGTAACTACCAGTGACATCCCACGTGAAAACAGTAGATACACTTGAAATTGAGCAGCCAGAGCAATATATCCCTAAACATAAAAGACATGCCGATTAAGCCGAATCATAAGCAAGAAGAGAGAAACAGAGAGCGTGTGATAAACCCAACAAACATAAATGTGTTCCGAATTGATCGACTGATCTTCCCAATGAACAACCCAGAAACAAAAAGAACACAGAACCCGAACCTTTTTGGAATGCAAGTCGTCTCCCCGCGAAAACAAGAATGAATGCCATGTACACAAGCCAGAAAAAGAACGGAGACCGAGACCGAGACCAAGACCGAGTATCCGAACGCCTGAACAAAGAGAGAGAGAGAGAGACCGTCAAGTGAAGTAACGTGAAGTAAAGCAAAGAAAACCAGTGCAGCAGATAAAAAGGTAAATCGTTAACGTGAGATTCGCCGAGACGAAGTGATTCAAGACTCCTCGGAGGAGTTGGTGAGCGAGAGATATGCGGTCCACGCAATACCAATGCATGAGACAAATGGCTGTCGACGATCAGTACTGGCTCTATATAAGAGAGACACAAAGAGTTCCGGAAGAGCAGAAGAGAAACTTACAATCTGGAACTGGATAGGAATAACCCGGAAGTTGAGGATCTGCACCGCCGGCCACAGCACAAAGTTGGCCTTCAAAGTCGGCAAGTAAACGTCTCGGAACTTTTGCGTCAACGCCCGCTTTCCACCTCCCTCAGCAATCGTCATGTAAGTGAAGAAGCACGCCAGACCTATACGATACCACCATGTCAGCACAGCACCAAGCTTAAAGTTGGCAAAGACTTGCAAACGCAAGAAGGACCAATCCACATACCAAATGGAGCAAAGATGAACTGATCAAACGCAACACGCTTAAACACCGGCGCCGTCGGATTCTTCTTCGTCAAAGGGAAAGCCCTGGACAAGAACCCAAACCACTGGAACTGAATCGGAGCCATGAAGAAACCATACGCCATGAAGCGGGTTAGACGCTCGAAGTCGAATGGCGAAGGCGAGCGGTGTGCATATCCCAGTTCCCCCATCGCTGGAGGCTTCTCTTTATCAAAGTCTTCGAATTCTATAGAGATCAGGCCGTCTCCCCTTCGGATCTTTGTTGCGAGCGGGATTGGAAGGCTGTTATCAGTTGGGCCACGGTATCGGCGACTCCACCCAAGACCTAAATATCAATGAAGAATATCGTCAGTCATGAGTTCGGGATAAGCGGTTTATTGAAACGGATTTATTTGAGAGAACATGGAATCCCGGGAAAAGGTATGGGTTGGCGACGTACCGCGTTGGTGACCATGGTCGTGAGCACTATCAAGGCAGACATATTAGCGGACAGCCCGCCGGGAAAGAGAACAGGGCAAAGGGCAAAGGGCCAAGTCATACCGGGCTTTTCGGCATAGTAGGTATTGAATTTGGCGGCGATCCGCGTAGCTACCGCCATCTCGATGAGGAATATGATAGTGTGCAGAAGGGGCTAGAATAGACAGGCACACCGGGTTAGAGCGGGATTATCTAGGGTGCCTACCTAGGTAGGTAGAGGGTGGCAGCAGAGCAGAGCAGAGGAGGGAACGCATACCACGCGACCGTAGATGTATCTCCTGTTGAGTCCATCAAGGACTTTGCGCTTTGTGGCGGCAATCATGGTGGAAAAGTGGGTTGGCCGTTGACCTGGGGGATTGAGGCGAAAGTTTCGGGTGGGAGCTGGTTGCTGCGCGCCAGTATGACGCAAACTGTTGGTAAGAGGGCTGGGGAGGGACAGAAGTTGGCCACTGGTTGATTCTGGCTCTCCGGTCCGAATACCCCTGGGTTGAACAAGATCAGCGAGGAGAGATGATGACTCCAGAGAAATACCCCAGATCAGATCCGAATTGCAGAGTGGATGATGCGACGCCGACTCCGCTTTGACTAAATTGGGGGCGGTCAGTCTCAGCCTTGAGGAGTGGAGTCTGTACTATTTTTATATCCCAAGGTTTACATCGGTTTACATCTGTACTACTCTCCAGGGCTGGTTTGATGTCTGTTTTACTTTTCTAAGCGCTGGCTTATTCATTATCTTCGTTGATTGATTTGTCCACTGTCACGGTAGAATACAAAGCCCACCTGGGCACCCTTCTCATCCACTATATGTACATCATGATACTCGCGGCTGATCTTCGGCCAGAATGTCCGGTAGGTCGCGGATATCGGTCGTTTCGTTCGTATTTACATCCACTAGGCGTACCGCCTCCAGGTGAAGGGGCCCAGTGGCCAGTGGTAGTAGCTTAATCTCCGTAGCATGGCAAGTTCCAGGCAAGAGGGGACTATCGATGGTCAGTTCTACTCACGACATGGTAAAAAAAGGTCACTTACCCAACACGAATGTCAGTACTCAGACTGATCAGCTCCGCCTCTTGACCAGCCACGCTCTTTTGCATGGCATGTACGATATTGTCGTCTGTCACAGCCTCTGCCACTCCATCCTCCTTCCGACTGGAGATAGATGCAGAGGACGGTCGCGCCGTATGCCCTCGTGGGTCCAGACGCTTCCGTCGCGGAATCGCAATCAATGCGAACTTCCGAGGTACATTGGAGCGGTTGACAATGAAAACATTCCAAGTAAACGGTGCCCCAACTTCGACGCTAACGGGCCCCGAGAAGGAAATCGTCACTCCAATATCGGTAACCGAGTAAGCTCGCTCGCGCAGAGAGCTACGGTTCACTGCCGCCGTCGCTGTTGATGGCTGACTCGAGCCTGGAGGCATGGATAAACTTGTCGGGCGATTGTTTCTTTGTAGCGCTGTACTAGGTCCCCCATAAGTAGGGTTCAAAGCCACGGAGAAGTCAACATTGGTCGTCCATCGCATTGAAATCCTAGGTTTGCACTCATCCGACAACTGAATCACTGCTTCGAGGGCTATATCCAGTATGCTCAGCATGACTGTGGAGGAGCCATTGGTCTCGGGGCCGTATTCGGGGGTCAGCTTATACACCAAGGTCACGTCGTCTCTAGGGCGGCAGGTGAGAGGGAGAGATAGGCCCGGGGTATCGGAAAGGGATTCGAGTGTTCCTTCTGATAGCTGAAGCTCTGCCTTGTCGAATATCACTTCACTGTTCACGTAAGGCGTGATCTCGAAATCCAGACTGGCAATAGTGGTAGGGAGGCCGGTATAGTTATTGAGACGGGAGTAGCGAATTCTAGCGCTTGCGGCGGGGACGACGCGGAAAGGTTGGCCATGCTGTTGCTGGATGTTGTATATAGGGTCCTCGATGGAGGTAGTGGGAACCACGCGCAACAGTCGCGAGGCGGGGAGAAAGGGCTCTCTGTGTGTAAGCGATTTATCACCAGCTAAAGGCTGTAGCATATTCGTCGATGCGGGTACAAGTGGAGGGAGGTAATCATCTTCCGGGTCTTCTTGTCGTACGGCGTCGGCGGGATTTAGACATGCGGAGGCCATAAACAAAAGCGATGGATTCTGGATTCGGTTGCGGGGGCGCTCTTTGAGATAGTTAGTTGCGTCTTTGTAGCTAATTGGGACAATGCGGTCAGTGCAAACTCACTGAGGACAGTTTCAGTAGTCCATATCAGATATACATGATTTCCTATCCCATCCTCGCCTTCAAATTCGTTGAACACAACTAGTGGTTCTTCTTCGGTGTTCACCAGGTCTGAGAAGATCAATTCACGGGTAGGAGTGGGATTCTCTGCGACATTCTCTGCTGGGTCCACGGCATAGACATCGATTTTGACTTCGAGGCGGGGGAGGTAATGTTTGAGGGTTGTCTCCGTGCAGTCGGAGAGTCGAAGGACGATGCGGACGGGCAGAAACTCGTCTATGGAGCTTGATGTTAGCCGAGAACTACCATAATATAGATAGGTATATGCAAAGGTACATCCATAGGTAGAGACGCTGGCATACCGAAAAATAAGAGTGGCCGCTGAGAAATCGAAGCCAGCACGGAGGGGAGGTCATCGGCTCCGTCTTCTAGAGCCGCGGTCAAGGAACCTTCAATATCGACAGTCGGCGCATAAGGCACGACGGTGTCAAGAACTGCATGCCGGAGAAACTCGCCGGGAATTTCCAAACCAGGCATTACGACAATTCTTGTGCGCCGCGAGAGATATGCGTGAGGAGAATAAGGAGTAGAGCACTAGGAGGGTAGGGCCAATCTCGAATGCGATAAGGCGGGTGCAAACAAATGCAAACATCCTAGGATGTAAACACCTGGGCATCATCGGAGTATATCAGCCCTGCTTGACCAAACTAAGGTTGTTTAGGGTACTGGATAGGATACTGAGAAATTACTGGATATGATACTGGATACGATACTCAGTACTGGTCCACTGGATATAATACTGGATAGGACAGTAGTAGCGCGGCCGTCACTCGCTTGCGAAGTTCTGGACCTGCAAGTTCCCACCGTACATCCGGATTAATTCAATGCATCCGGCTCTCAATGTTCTTTTCCTCAACTTCAAAACTGCCGACTTCTCTTGGCACTTTGATGAGTACAACTCCATGTACGGAGCCAGCATCCTTGCGGTCCCTGTTGTTAGCTTCAAGTCTTATCATAAACCAAGAGAGGATATGAAAAGACGTACCTTAACATCCTCACGAATGGGATTGTTTCTGCACAATTTCCGAACTAGACCTGACTACTTCCTCCCGATCTCTTAGAGAGAATCATGCCCAGGTGCCTTGACCACCCTGCCCTGCGCATATGTTGGTCATCGATGAGAGCCCATCGGCTCCCTTGTACAATCTCCTCCCATTGACCAGCTCCTTTACTGACATACGCTGGCACCATCGCCGGTTTCGGTTGATAGAATACCCGACACCACTTTCCATACACCCCAAAGGGTGGGATATAGAAAGTGCCGGTTGTCGCCCAAACAGGTGCCTCCTTGATGGAGAGAAACATGCCAGTGCCGATCATATTGAACAGTCCCGCAAGCGGGACATCCTCAAAATACAGAGTGTCTATCAGGAACTTCATGATGTTGGTCCGTGTTTCTTGGTACTCCAGGTTGAACTGCACTGTAGTAACTCCTTCACGGCGAATCCCATGGGAAGCACCATAAAAGGTCATGTACTCGTACGAGTCTTTCCCCATTCCGGGCTCAGTATACGTTACCAGGCTTGATGTCCTTTCTCATGGGTGACATTATCTCCGTGGATGAGACAGAACTGTATTTATATTAGCTAATACCCAAGATAGAGAATTCCTCTACTTACGTAGTATTTCGTACTCATCGTAGTTGTGTGGTTGGGATAGGTGGTGATGAGGATGAAATACGCGAAGAGAGTAGAACATACGAAGATCTAGCAGCAGGAATACTAGTAGTAGATCATAACATTGCTCTAGGGAAAGTACTATTCACCTACCTTGGTGATTAGGGAAAGAGCAGAAGAAGTTGAAGTATGGCAACAATGATTGATAATGTGCCTCAGGCCCCCGAATTCTCAACTTGAACTTGATCAAGTAGTACTACCTAGGTATATATCGAAAAGGGGAGCGCAGCAGTCATTTAATTTGGTAAAGTAGCTATTCTAAATTGACCCTAACGGGAAAGGAAGCCAACCTCCCCCAGGAGGAAGTGCTTCAGTTTTCGCAGTCCGCTATCATGTAGAGCATCGTAGATCTCACCCAGACCCTGACAGTAAAACTCGTACATGTCAGAATTCATCATTCCCCACATGTAGAACTTACCCCCCAGACTCAAAGATCTGTGTCTGGAAATCTTCATCCTGTAAATTGGTCGTCCTGGGCCAAGACCGATGGCGCGTGCGACTTCTGAGCCTCTTCCTTCAGGATACTCCCAACCCAATCCCATTTCAGGATCGTCTGTCCACCTTGGAGGAACAGGAAACTATCAAGGAGATATTTATGCTAGAAAGATGATTTGTTAAGTGGATCAGGGAGGATCTCACTTTGCGAATATCAGAACTTTGAACAGGAGATTCGGCGGGGGTGTCGATAGATTTAGCGGGGGATTTAGCGGGGGTTTTGGCGGGGGAGTCACTCATCGAACTTACTTTGTTCAGGGTGCTCGAGGACTAGGAGAAGGGAACAATCAACTGAACTATGTGATAAAACTGAACGAAATGGTTGGATGGAAACAGGTGTGGAGTAAGGTGGAAGGACATCCGTATTTCCGAATCCAAGGGCGGTGAATCAGTCATGTGTCAATATTATCTGACCACGAACTGCCGCGCTAAGTTGCGGCCTTCTTTGCTTGCTCTCTCCTGCTCTCTTTTTCTATCCTCAGCCATCAATCATGAATCCTCCAATCTGGCAGGAGGCGCGCAATGCGGAGGGTCGCGCATATTACTACAATGTGCAGACTAAAGCCACTCAATGGCAAAAGCCAGCTGAGCTGATGACTCCCGTCGAGGTTTGCGATCCCAACGTCCACCTTCTGTGAACTTTGACTAATGCCTTATTTTCTCAATAGCGTGCTCTGGCGAATCAACCATGGAAGGAGTATGCCGCGGAGGGAGGTCGCAAGTATTGGTCCAATACGGAGACCAAGCAAAGCACCTGGGAAATGCCCGATGTCTACAAGGACGCGCTGGAACAGGCCCAGGCCGCTCCAGCCCCCCCCAGCTGCGTATGTCTACTATCTCGCCGAGATCATTATGATATTTACTAATACCATTGCAGTCCAACTTCTTTTGTCGCAGGGGGAGGTAGCTCCTACCCGCAAGCTCCGCACCGGGAGCGCGAGCGCGAACGTGACCGTGACTACCGTGATCGTGACCGTGATCGAGACCACCGTGACCGCGATCGCGACGATTACGACCGAGGATATAATGACCGCCGTGGAGGATATGGGTCTTACGAGTCGAACGGGATGGTAGCTGCACCGGCATTGGTAACTCAGTCCGAGCCCGACTATGGTTCCGTCGAAGAGGCCGAGAGCGCTTTTATGAAAATGCTCAAACGACACAATGTGCAGCCCGATTGGACCTGGGAGCAGACCATGCGTGTGGTGATCAAAGATCCGCAATACCGCTCGCTCAAGGATCCCCGTGACCGCAAGGCCGCCTTTGAGAAATACGCGGTCGAGGTTCGCATGCAGGAGAAGGACAGGGCGAAAGAGAGATTCGCTAAGCTGCGCGCAGATTTCAATACCATGCTGAAGCGGCATCCTGAAATCAAGCACTACAGTCGTTGGAAGACCATTCGTCCCATTATCGAAGGAGAGACTACGTTCCGGGCCACCAATGAAGAGAACGAAAGACGCCAGCTCTTTGAGGAGTATGTTGTCGAACTCAAGAAGACTCACATGGAGCAGGAAGCCACGGCACGCAAGGAAGCCATGAGTGAGTTGGCCGGTATTCTTGGATCTTTGAACCTTGAGCCATACACTCGCTGGGCTGAAGCCCAAGCTGTCATCGAGTCCAACGAAAAGGTTCAGGCCGATGATAAGTTCAAGACCCTCAGCAAGTATGACATTTTGACTGCGTTTGAAAACCACATCAAGACCCTCGAGCGAGAATTCAATGATGCGCGTCAACAGCAGAAAGCGATCCGCGCCAGAAAGGAACGTCGGAACCGAGAGAAGTACTTGGAGCTTCTGAAGGAGGTTCGATCTCAGGGCAAGATCAAGGCTGGTAGTAAGTGGATGGATATCCGCCCTCTTTTCCAAGATGATGCTAGATACCAGGGCATTCTTGGCCAAGCTGGATCGACCCCCCTGGACCTTTTCTGGGATATGCTCGAGGAGGAGGAACGCTCGCTCCGGGGCCCCCGCAACGATGTTCTCGATGTCCTTGACGTAAGTTCACGGCCCTCCAAATATGCCACGATAACGACAACCTGCTAATCAGTCCTGTAGGACAAACGCTTTGAAGTTACTTCCAGTACCCCGTATGAGGACTTCAGTGCAATTATGACTGCTGACCGCCGCACTTCGAAGATTGATGCGGATATTCTGCAGCTCATTTTCCAGCGTATCCAGGAGAAAGCAATTCGCCGCGACGAGGATGAAAAGCACGCTGCCGATCGTCATCAGCGCCGGGCTGTCGATGCCCTGCGTTCTCGCATAAAGCGCCTCGAACCTCCTGTGCGTGTCTCCGATACCTGGGAAGAGACCAAGCCTCGCCTCGAGAAGTATGAAGAATACAAAGCTCTCGAATCAGACGAGCTTCGAGAGTCCGCATTTGAGAAGTATATCCGCCGTCTTAAGGAGAGAGACGAAGATACCGACCGAGACCGCGAAATGAGAGATAGAGATCGCTCCCGCCGTGACGGTGACCGTGGTGACCGCGATTATCGCAGCGGCCGCGGCGAGCGACGCGGGGGAAGCCGTGCTAGTCGCACCCCTGAATTGGACGTCTACGAAGCAGAACGCCGCAAGGCCCAGGCAGACCGGGAACGTTCTTACCGCAAGGTCAGTGGATTCTCTCCATCCCGAGATCGCCGTGATGATCGCGAGCGCGGTGATCGCTACCGTGACCGTGATGATGACCGTGAGCGCGATCGTGAGTTTGGCCGTCCCCCTCGACGCGATGGTGATCGTCGTGAAAGCGAGCGTGAACGTCTCTACCGCACTCGCGGTGACCCACGCGGCGGACGTGATGAGCTTGACTACGGTGGTGGTGAAAGCCGCAGCACGGGTAGTGTCCGGCGTAGACGGGAGAGTGATTCGGAGAGTGTTGCCAGTCGCTCCGTGAAGCGTTATCGTCGTGATAGTCGTGAGAGGGATCGTAGTAAGGGTCGGACGGAGCGACGTGAGCAATCTGCCATTCCTGAGGAAGATATCAAGAAGGAAAAGGCTGTTCATTCTGGCAGCGAGGAAGGGGAGATCGAGGAGGATTAGAGGATAGGAGATGAGAAATACTTCTCTATTGTCAGTACCTTCTTGTTATTAATTTTAAGGTTACAAAGATTGCCTCTAGGCACTAATCGAAATTTCCAGAGAGATCTTCTTTGTATTTGTATGCATATGGGTAGATGTCTATACCGATCGATCCCGAGCCTGAATACCTTCAAGTTCCCGGGTCAACAGGTTGAAGGCCAGACCAGAAAAAAGAAGCTAACCTTGGAATCTGGACGTGATAGTAATCATGAATGTGTTTAAACCAGCACCAACTACTAAATAATTACAACATATCTTCTAGTATAAGCACAAAAAACGACCGCTCCAATCAGACTCTTCAAGTCCGCGCTAATAGAGGGGCACAGCAGAACGTCAGGTGGGGGCTGACGATTGAAGTTGTACATAGCCACCTTTGGGATTTTTCGTCAGCCTTGACTCGAAGGCGCTTAAAACAGCCTCAGTGCTTAAAATAGAAAGCCAAAAGCTTTTGTTTTATATCTACTTCTTTCCGCCTCGTTGGAAACCCTCAGCTTCAAGTTTCAAGAACTGGGCATCTATCTTATTTCATACTGGAAGTACCTTCCACATTGAACGCTATATCGCACGCCTTCACGATGGCCGACCAAAAGTCCCTCTGCGAAGATGCCGGCTGCGAGCCTGAGAAATCTTGCTGGCAGGAAGCATCTGAGAAGCTACGTGCCGAAACCCCCGATATCCATCAACAGCTAGAAAGGGTATTGGCGACGCAGAAACAACCACTCTCTCGGTCAGACATGTCGAGCCAGATAGCCAAATCCATCCAAGCCAATCAAAGCCGACTAGAAGAGCGAGGTCTACCGGGTCGCTGGAGACATCGAGACGAAGGCGAAAAGGCGAAGGTGCGGAAGGCCATGGACGGGATTCTCAAGGCCGTGGTTGTTTTTCGGGATATGGGGAAGGCTTTGGCGGAAATTGAGCCTTCGCATGTTGGGGTTGCTTGGTCGGGTGTGAATCTGATTTTACAGGTAGGTACTACCTAGGTATCAGAAGTTGGAGTGCTGATCCAAGGGAATCATGGTCTAATTTACAACAGATCTTTTTGGGAGGATCGGAGCAAAACGCTGCTGCAATTGAGGGACTCGCTCAGATATCCCCTATTATCACACGCTATGCGAGAGTTGAGGAGATCTATATTGAACAGAGACAGATGCATCAAGCAATGACGACTTTAAGCAAAGATTTCAGGACCCAAGTTGTTAATCTTTATGCTAAAATCCTGGAGTATCAGGTTGCGATTATCGCCCATTGTCAAAGACATACTATAAGTGAGTGGACTATGAGACGGTTGAGGATTATTTCCTTCTAATAATATTCCTCATTTCCAGCGCAATACATCAGAGCTATTCCGAAACTTGATGATTGGAGTGGACTGTTGGAAGATATATCAAAGGTGGATGCGGAGTGTAGAAAGTTCACTCAGATTTTTGACTCTGAAGGTATTTATTTCCATCTAACTCACTACTGCCCGAATGAATCATGTGACTGACAATTCATAGATAAAACTGTTCAACATCGTGAACTCAAGCAGATCCTAGAGGAGCAGGATCAGCTGATGGAAACTGTATCGACTCAATTGAGCCAGGTATACGAACAAAACCAAGTTCTCATAAGTCAGGCTCAACAACATGGTATGTGAAGACCAATAGTCTACGACTGCATCGAATCTAACATGCTAGCAGAGAATATAGCCATTCTCAACTGGATCTCACCCTCATCCCCGAACGATGACCACACACGTATTCTAGAACACGGAAGACTGAACAGCGAGTATGCAAATTCGGGTAGATGGCTGTTCTCTTGCCCGGAGTTTCAGTCTTGGAGTAGTATTGAGAATGAAAATGTCTCAACGCTCTGGCTGCGCGGTCCTGGTAAGTGAGCCCTGTTTCCTCGGCTATGTCAAGTCGCTAAGTCGCATTCGTTGGGAATATTCAGTCGGTACAGGCAAGAGTTCTCTTGTGTAAGTAAAGTCACCTATTTTATGAACCCTTTTTTTGATTTATTAATGATAATTTTACAGCTGCCTCACCATCGAAAATTTACTCAAAGGCCCAATCCTGGAAACTAGCCGTATATTGTACTTCTACTGCTCGAAAAAGCAAGGAACAGGAGACGCGAACAGCCCAAAGGCCGTACTGCAAAGTCTTCTCAGACAATTAGCCTGGTCAGCAAGCAATTCTTCGATTACACCGTCTGTCAAAGCGAAATATGTAGAAGCACAGCAAAACCCGGCCGTTGGAACGAAGGGGCTATCGGCCATTGAATGTCTGCAGTCGATATATCAGTTAATAGCCGGCTACCAGCAGGTCACAATCATCATCGACGCTTTGGATGAATGTTCAGACTTTTTTGAGCTCTTGTCATATCTGGTGGAAATATCAACTGCATGCTCGGGGAGGGTCAAATTTCTTCTTTCAAGCCGGATGAATGTTCCTGTCCATCAGTTCTTTCCAGAGAGCGCTACAATCGAGGTTGGACAGGACGGCAAGGAGGATATTGAATTCTTTATAGCTACGGAGATGGAACGGAATCTGCGGCGTCTTCAACAGTGCAATGCGCTTGATCTTAAGGATAAGATGACGAGAGTACTGAGCGATCGAGCTCAAGGAATGTAAGTACTGGGGCAAGAGTATTCTTCCTCTAGAGGTATCTACTAGTAGCTGTGTCTTGGCTAACGGAAAGGGAATAGGTTCCGATGGGTAGAGCTGCAATTGAATATCTTTTTCAATACAAAGTCTCCTACCAGGCGCCGGGATGCTTTCAAAAGAAAATTGGACAAACTTGATAAGGAAGTTGGAATTCCAGTCTTGGCTGATGTCTATGATGACATCTACGACATCAACACCCCAGAGCCTGAAGATCGACAGGTTGCAGAGCGAGCATTGAAATGGGTGATGTGCTGTGAGAGACCACTGGAAATCAACATGATGGTTAAGGCGGTTTCTTACTACGACTGCGAGGGCAATGTTGATGAACAGGTTACTGCTGATTACATCCTTGACATATGCAGTAACTTCATCATCGTCGACCACAACCACATGGTTCAATTCGCGCACTTGTCGGTTAGAGAGTACCTGATGAACGACACGAAGCTGCATTACACCAAGATCAACGCGAATATACAGGTAGCGAAGACCACTCTCGTCTATCTGAATGCTCGCAGTACCACTACAAGTAGTACTCCCAACGACGCGGGAAACGGCAAACGGGACGATTTGCTCGATTATGCGCTTTTGTACTGGCCCTGGCATTGCAACTGGATGCTAGGGCAAGAAAAAAGGGATCCCCTGCTCCACAAGCTTCTCAACGGGCTCCTGGTAGCTGATCCGCCCAGCCAAAGCTTTCTGATGTGCCTGGACACCTGGCCAAAGTTACTGCTCGAAACTGAAATTTGGGAGGAGCGACGTAGATTCGAATTGATCATACAGGCCAGCCTCAGTTCTTCAAAGTCTCCGATTTTTACAGCATGCGGTTGGGGCTTTATAGAAGCAGTGCAAGGTGTCATATCTAGCGGATTTGACCTGAGCGAGCGAAATAGCCGGGGTGACACAGCACTTTCGGTGGCGACAGAAGCAAATCGGCTCGATATCATGAAACTGCTCCTAGAAAATGGCGCCGATCCTAATATGACGGGAGAAATGGACGGATATACCTCGCTGCATCATGCATACTCTAATATCAAACTGGTCAAGCTTCTGGTCGAGCACGGAGCGGACGTCACGAGGGCTGTCCAGGGCCCTATCAACAGTAAATGGGCGCTTTTGCACTTTGCGGCATGTCATGAAGTGAAAGAAGTCATCGAGTTTGCTTTGGACCACGGAGCAAATGTCAATGAGAAATGTGGCACGGGCATGACAGCTTTGCACATTCTTTCGTCCCATGTTACAGATAAGGGCATTGAAATCGTCAAATTGCTTCTGGATCGTGGTGCTGACCCTGAGATCCGGAATGAAGATGGCCACACAGTTTTAGACAGGGCGGCCATACATGGAATCGATGAGATCATTCGTCTCATAGTCGAGCACCAGGGTAAAGAGGCCGAGGCTGACAGGTGGTTTCGACAAGCGGCATTTCACAATGCTGTCCGCCAAGGAGATGAAGCTGCCGTCCAACGATTGATTAAAGAAGGCGTTGATACTCGGGTGAAAGGAAATCGTGGGGAGTATCCAATTCATTGGGCTATAAGGCATGATAGCTTACGTGTCGCATCTGTACTCCTGTGCGAAGGAGCAGATATTGAAACTGCAGACAAATTTGGGGAAACACCTCTTGCTATGGCCTGCAGCGATTCCAATGGGGAGATGGTTAATTTTTTGCTTGAGCAGGGGGCAGAGATAGATGTCATACTGGGCAGAGATGATGACGACAGGGGTACTTTGCTCTCCCGAATGGTTACTCGCGGTGACCTACCGATGGTAAACCTCTTGCTGAAGCGAGGGGCCGATCCACACAAAGTCGATATTGGGTCTTTGAGGCAATGGCGGGGATATGTCAAATTGAACGACTTTGAGGCCTGCGTGAAGATGATTCGTTCCCACTTGGTTTAATGTGGTATTTCTGAAAAGGTCCCGAAGTGGCTTAACGGGGTGATCATGGGAGAGATGGGAAAATACATGGAGACACAAGAGTTGGAAAATGGAGATATTGGAGATAAATCTAAATCAGGATACCAATAAATCGTCTCACAGTTAGAATGTACCTAAACGATGTCCATCTGATGCAAAATAAAAAACCATAGCTATTTAACAATGACCTTCCTCCAGGTCAAATCACATTTTCAGCCAGTCCTAACAAGACAAGCTTCATCTCTATGCCAATCATGAAATCATGGGAAAGCTTTTGATAGTCCAAACCATCCATACCCGATTAAAAAAAACAAAACTCCGGTACGAAATTATGCCGAGAAGAGATTCCTCGACCATATGTTCATCGAATGAAAGAAAAGGGCCTTCGGTGGAAGAAGATCAGACAACAAACTTGGAAATGTCTCGTTGTCGGAAAATTTTGCAAATTGACATTGGCCGAAGAAACCCCGGGGATTGTAGCAGGTAAGGAGGGATGATTGGGCATATAACAACGACGGGCATAGGATGAAATAATTGACGTGAGTCTCGAAAAGTGATAGTGAGTATTGGCCTGGAGGCAAGTGAATAAAGCCACAGCCTACTAGCCGAAGTCCTCATCAACACCGTAGACATCATCAACATCACTCCCCTCATCGTTGTCGCCATCGTTGTCGCCCACCTTATCATCCGAAAGGCAATCCCCTTTGCCCAAAGGCAAGCCATTGTGGAAAAGGATACCACTGCTCCGAGCCACCGAGTCCCGAGAAACTCCAGGGAACGCCATTAACCACCCAACCCCCCCGGTTGCCGCGGCGCCGCTTGCGCCGTTCAAAATCGCGGCCATCACTGTTGTGACGACGGCGGTGATGCTCATGAACAATGCCCTCTTCAGTTCTCTTCCTCCAAGAAGTAATAGTTGCCCGCCAGCTTCTGCTCCTGGTCCATCTGACTGTTGTACTTGTTGATACGAGGACGGTAGCTGTTGGGGTCACGACGGAAGGTCACGTCCAGGCTCTGCAGGAAGCGGTTGCAACCGGTGACCAGGGACTCAGGGGCCTTGGCACGAGCATCAACGGATGGCTGTCCGTCGAAGACAATGACACGGTCAGCCAGGTAGGTAGCCATGATGAAATCGTGCTCGACGATGAAAGCGGTCTTCTTGGTGTGCATGATGAAACGCTTGATGACACGGGCAGCGATAATACGCTGCTCGGAGTCAAGGTAGGCGGAAGGCTCGTCAATCAGGTACAAGTCAGCGGGCATGCCAAGAGCCAGGACAATGGCGACACGTTGCAATTCACCACCAGACAGGTTCTGGACTTCCTGGTCGATGAAATCGTCGATCTTGAGAGGCTTGTAGACATCGGTCTGGAACTGGGGAGACAAGAAAGCGGTCTTGATACGCTTGAAGAAGAGCTGACGCACGGTACCCTGGAACTTGGGAGTAATCTTCTGGGGCTTCATGCTGATGTTCATCTTGGGGACCTTGGCGGTACCGTCTGGCTGGATGGCACCGGCCAGCATCTTACAGAAGGTAGTCTTTCCGGTACCGTTCTCACCCATCATGACGAGAATCTCGGAGTCAGTGAAGTTTCCGGACTCGATGCTGAGGTGGAAGTCACCCTGGGTCTTTTCCATGGCGGGGTAGGCGAAAGCGCGGTCCTTGTCGACAATGAAATCATCACCGGCCTCGGTGAGACGGAAAGAGAGGGAATCCTCACGGAATCGCAAGTTCTCGGTGGGAATGTGACCGTCCAAGAAGATGTTGATACCCTCACGGACCGACGAGGGCAGGGTGACAACACCATAAACAGCGGGACGACCGTACAGTACGCAAATGAAGTCAGAAAGGTAATCGAGAACAGACAAATCGTGCTCAACAACGATGACGTAGTCGTCAGGGCGGAGCAGGCCACGGATAGTACGGGCCGCAGCCAGACGCTGCTTGACATCGAGATAAGAGGAAGGCTCGTCAAACATGTACCTGCAGGGTATATTAGTAACCGAGAGTTGCGACGGATGGATAAGTAGACAAGCCCAACTTACACATCAGCCTTCTGCACACAGACCAGACCAATAGCGAAACGTTGCAGTTCACCACCAGACAGTTTCTCAATCTCACGGTCCGCAACAGGTCCGAGCTCTGTAAAAAATTGTCAGCCTATTTCGAACAATAAGCAACACACACGAGGGGAAATTCCATACCGAGAACCTTCATAATCTCTTCCAGGTTGCCCAATTGGTCGCGTGCCGAGATGAGATCCCTGACCTGCTTGACAGGACCCTTGACGGCACGAGGGATCTGATCGACATACTGAGGCTTGACGACGGCCTTCAGATTATCCTCCAAAACCTTGGTGAAGTAGTCTGATTTTTATTCAATCAGTATTTGTCGCAATTCGCACCTGTGTGAGATTTGAGGAGTGCTTACTCTGCAGCTCGGAACCACGGAAGTACTTCAGAATCTCCTCCCAGTCGGGCGGGTTGTCGTAACGTCCCAGGTTGGGCTTGAGCTTTCCACTAAGAATCTTCAACGCGGTACTCTTTCCGATACCGTTTGTTCCGACGAGACCAAGAACCTGACCGGGGCGGGGCATGGGAAGTCGGTGAAGCTTGAAGCTGTTGGCCGAGTAGCGGTGGGTGACCTGACTTTCCAGGTTGGTGGGCAAGTTGATAATGTGAATGGCGCCGAAGGGGCACTTCTTGGGGCAGATACCGCAACCGATACACAGGCTCTCGGAGATAAATGCGATCTTGGAGGTGTTGTCGACTTCAATGCAGAGTTTACCGGTACGGACGACGGGGCACGATTTCTTGCACTCTTGACGACATTTCTGGACGAATTAGTTATGATACCTGTTCGCGGGTGGCAAATGGATCCCATACCTTCGGTTTGCACTGTAGATCAAGAAGACAAGGTGTCAGCCGGGCTTGAATGAACGAGAAAGCGATGCGGTTAGCGGGGTACTCGACGAACCTTGTCAGTGTTGACAATGGCAATACTAGAAAGAAAAATAAACCGTTAGCAATGCGCAACTCTTCTAATAATGGATCTCATTCAGAACATACCGGGTGAGCTTGTCAGACATGGTGGTGGGTTGGCTTCGTGAAACCGGGTGCCAGCGTTAAGAAAGTGGGTAGCCAGGAACTGGTGGACAATCTGATCGGGATCGTGTATAGCGTAGAGAGTACAGAGTGTAATGGGTGACCGAGGAGAGAGGTGATAGAGAAGCGCCGCGACTAAAAGAGGAGGGTGCAAAGTAGCACCAGTGCGCAGGCTCAAACTGGAGAAACAATGGCTTCAGAATGGAATGAGAATGGGCCGTCGAGGGGCAGAAAAGGACTTTCTTTCTTGATTGTGGGCGGGCGGCCTGAGGCGGCAACGAGCAGCGACCGCCTTGAGTGCCCGCATTATATTGGATAGCTTCTGATTCGCTGGTGAAATTGAGGTCAGGTGATATGATGACACCACACACGTGATGATATTACACACATGATTATGGAAGTCCACGTGAGTCCACATGACTGTGTGAGTAAGCGAAGCAGCTAACCATAAATGGAAAATCTGCTGCCTTACTGCCTTACTGCCCTGTTGCCTTACCGCCTGCTTCCTCAGGCCTCTGCAGAACTAGCCCGAGCCTGAGCCAAAGTACTGTGACTGCCCACTGCCACTGCCACTGCCACTACAGCCGCCCGTTCTCCCCCAAACTCACCTCCAAGTCTTCCCTCCACTCGTCTCTTTCTACGCTCCAACCCCAGCATCGCCTTTCCCCCCCGCCCATCATTCATTTCCCACATTGATACCTTAGTTTCCCCTCTTGCGGGGTCACCACGCAATGGAGTGTAAGTCTTCTTTATTCGATTTTCTTGCCTTGCCATCCCCATCGATCCCATTTTACCCGGGTACTTCTCCGCGTCGCTCGACCCACCATACCATCCTGGGATTCTCCAGTTTACCCTGAAGAATCCGGGGATTCGATCATTGGAGTATCTATATCCGATCTTGCCTTTTCCACTGGGCTGCTCATTGTTGGCGATCTTCTCCTGGACCTCTCGCGACTCGTGCCCGCGTCCATCCCACCCGTCATCAAATTCCATCATCACCCATCAATCATGATATTCAGCTTATATCTACCGTTTTCGGCCTTCATTTTGCTCCCATCTGTGTCGCGGATATCTCTTCTACCCTTCTCTGCATCGCTTGGCCCCCGAACTCGCAGAATTGAGCTACAATGCTAACTGCCCCTCGACTATAGCCTCCAGCATGGTGATCCCATCGGGCCTAGAACATCCTTCCTCCTCCTCAATGCCAAACGGCTATAGTCACTCAATGGCTGTGGATCATGATCCGGCCGAAGTCGACATGACGACCAAAAGCGAGCCTAGTTCTCCCGAACCCACCGAGTCTCATCCCGTCTCCGAGTCCTCCCCCGAGCATGATGCCGCCGATGATTCATATGACGCAGAGTCTCAAGCATCGGACCCTGAAGATGAAGACGTTGTGATGGGTCACAGTGGCGATGATCCCAATCCGTCCAGCCGTGAAAACTCTTCATCACCGCAACCCGACCAAGATGGGAAGCGTAGGTCGTCGCCGGCAGACGAAACGGAGTACATGCGACAAAATCCAGATCTTTATGGTTTACGACGCAGTGGTCGGGCGCGCCCAACCCGCCATATTGTCGATTCGTCAGACTCTGACTCTGACGCGGTTGCTTCTCGCCCGAAGCGCCGGCGCAAAGAACCCTCCCAGCAGCCCTCAAAAACCTCGCGGTCGGCGACTGCCTCATCGTTCTCAGAATCCGACAGTGACGAATATGGTGGGAAGTCAAGTAAGGCTAGGCGCCGTCGCATGAAGGAAGCTGCAGGTATGGAGCCGTCTCTCAGTGAGGTCCGCTTCTCAACGCGTAATGCTGCGAAGGTCTCCAACTACAATGAAGATGACGAGGACGAGTCAATATTTGAGGATGACCCTGAGGATATGACTGCGAACTACTGGGCTCAAAACTACATGGAGGATACTCGACCTGCCGTGGATGTGGTACTCAACCACCGGCTGAAGGACGGTGTCGACCCCAAAAATCCAGACGTCGACCGCCATGATTTTGAGTTTTACATTAAGTGGCAGGATAAGTCACATTACCACTCCACGTGGGAACCCAATGAGGCTCTCGCCAACTACCGGAGCACGCGCCGTGTAGATAATTACGTTCGTAAGGTTCTGAATGAAGACCTTCGCCTCCAGCACGACCCATATGCCGCTCCCGAAGACCGCGAAAAGTGGAACCTTGATCGCGAACGTGACGTGGAGGCGATTGAAGACTACAAGCACGTTGAGCGAGTCATTGGTGTGCGGGAAGGCGAGGAAGGCTCCGAGTACCTCGTCAAGTGGAAGCGCCTCTTCTACGATTCCTGTACCTGGGAGCCGGAAGACATCGTCAGTGATATTGCCCAGCATGAGGTGGATCGCTTCCTAGACCGTTCCTCTCGAGTCCCCGTTTCCGACAAGAACGAAACAAACCCAGCCACACGCAAATCATTCGAGCCTATCCACAGTACACCGTCCTACCTCCAGAATGGCGAACTCAAGGATTTCCAGGTCAAAGGTCTGAATTTCTTGGCGTTCAACTGGGTCAAGGATCGCAATGTCGTGTTGGCAGATGAAATGGGCTTGGGCAAGACGGTCCAAACAGTCTCATTTATCAATTGGCTACGCCATGCTCGGCGTCAACAAGGTCCCTTCATTGTCATCGTTCCTCTGTCTACCATGCCCGCCTGGGCAGACACGTTCGACAACTGGACTCCAGATCTCAATTATGTCGTCTACAACGGTAGCGAGAAGGCCCGTCAAGTCCTTCGCGATTACGAGTTGATGGTGGATGGAAACCCTAAACGACCAAAGTTCCACGTGCTGTTGACAACCTATGAATATGCCATGAACGACTCGCCTTTCCTGGGACAATTCAAATGGCAGTTCATGGGTGTTGATGAGGCCCACCGCCTGAAGAACCGTGATTCGCAACTGTACATTAAGCTGGCAGAGTGGAAATGCCAAGCCCGTCTCCTCATCACTGGTACACCGATCCAGAACAATCTTGCAGAGCTTTCCTCTCTGATGGACTTTCTCAACCCGGGCCAGATCCATATTGACGTGGATATGGACTTGAACTCTGATGCTGCCTCCCAAAAGCTTGCCGAGCTGACCGATGCTATCCAGCCGTTCATGCTGCGTCGGACTAAATCCAAGGTTGAATCCGACCTCCCTCCGAAGACGGAAAAGATCATTCGTGTAGAGCTTTCCGATGTCCAGCTCGAATACTACAAAAACATTCTGACCAAAAACTACGCTGCCCTGAACGACGGCGCCAAGGGCATGAAACAATCTCTGTTGAACATTATGATGGAGCTCAAGAAAGCAAGCAACCACCCCTTCATGTTCCCTACCGCCGAAGCGAAAATCCTGGCAGGGGCCACCCGACGTGAGGATATTCTGCGAGCTATGATTACCAGTAGTGGAAAGATGATGTTGCTCGACCAACTGCTCCGCAAACTCAGGGGGGGATGGCCACCGAGTCCTTATCTTTTGTCAAATGGTGGGCATGCTCAACATTCTCAGCGAGTACATGGAGTACCGTGGCTACAAGTATCAACGATTGGATGGAACTATTCCTTCTGCCGCTCGACGCCTCGCCATTGAGCATTACAACGCACCTGAGAGTACCGATTTTGCATTCCTGCTTTCTACGCGAGCCGGTGGTCTGGGAATCAATTTGATGACTGCCGACACTGTCGTTTTGTTCGACTCGGATTGGAATCCCCAAGCCGATTTGCAGGCCATGGCACGAGCTCATCGTATTGGACAGACGCGGCCTGTCAGTGTATATCGCCTAGTCTCAAAAGACACGATTGAAGAAGAAGTCATTGAAAGAGCCCGAAACAAGCTTCTCCTTGAATTCATTACCATTCAACGTGGTGTCACTGATAAGGAAGCCACAGAGATGCAAACCAAGATGGCTCGCGTCGTTGCCGAGCCGAACTCTACCGATGACATTTCACGTATTCTCAAACGTCGTGGCCAGAAGATGTTCGAGCAAACTGATAATCAAAAGAAGCTTGAACAAATTGATATCGACTCAGTACTGGCTAACGCCGAGTTGCACCAGACGGAGGAAACCGAGCAGATCCAAGCTGATGGTGGCGAGGAGTTCTTGAAAGCATTTGACTTTGTTGATATCAAGGTTGATGATCTTTCCTGGGATGATATCATTCCCAAGGAACAACTCGAGGAAATCAAGGAAGAAGAAAAGCGCAAGGCGGATGAAAAATACCTGGCTAATGTGATCGAGCAAAACCGGCCGCGCAAGCGCCATGCGCCAACCGAGGAAACTCGAGACTCTAGGGAAGAACGCAAGGCGAAACGCCAAGCCAGGGCACAGGTTGCTATTGATGACGCGGAAGACGAAACTTCGTTGGATCCGAAGCGTCCTCTTGGGGAAAAAGAATACCGTTCTCTCTCCCGGGCTTTCTTGCGATTCGGTGATATGGCCGACTGCGAGGAGCTCATTCTTGAAGATTCTCGCCTACAAAGTCGCGATCGAGACACCGTTCGGGCTGCCCTTCAAGAAATCACGGGCAAAGCTGCATCTCTCGTTCAAGAAAACATGCAGCAGATCGATGCGCTGAAGCAGTCGGGCAAAAACGTGACCAAGAAGGAACAAAAGGCTGTCCTGTTCGACCATCAAGGTGTCAAGCGTCTCAATGCCTGGACAATTGTCGACCGACCCCCTGACATGCGTCTTGTGCGCAGGGTGACTACGTCTATATCCGATTTCAAGAACTTCCGCCTTCCAGAAGCCACAAAACCAGCGGACTACAGCTGTCCCTGGGGTGCAAGGGAAGACGGCATGCTTTTGGTTGGCATTGGTCGTCACGGGTTTGGTGCCTGGACCCAGATCCGCGATGACACTGAGCTGGGTCTCGCTGACAAGTTCTTCCTCGAAGAGCACCGTGTCGAGAGGAAAACCCAACGAGCTGCAGGAGAAGAGAAGTCCACAAAATCTCCCGGGGCTGTCCATCTGGTTCGCCGAGCTGAGTATCTGTTGTCTGTTCTAAGGAACAAGCACACCCACGGAAGCAACGCGAATGCCCGACGGGCTGTAGACAATCATCACCGCAACAATAAGCGCAACGCGCGTCTGGGTAGCGGAAGTGTCTCTGCATCTCCTGCTCCATCTGCTCGAAAGGGCCACCGTGAGAATGAACGGTCACGACCGCGCTCACACACCCACGGGCGGGATGATCGCCGGGATGATCGCCGAGATGACCGTCGTGACGACCGCCGCAACACACCCAATCATGATCGGCCCAGGTCCGGACATGATATCAGCCGTCCTCGCCATCGTCTCTCAGATGCAAACCACGACGAACGTCGTCGGAAGAGCCATGAGAACGGCGGTTCGAGTCGGGAAGAAGATCAGGACTCAAAATTCTTCAGACCAATTCGAGATAATTTGAAGCAAGTCGCGACCATCACCTCGAAGAACTACCCCAACAAGGCAGATCGAGCTGTTAAGCTGCGGAGTACTATCGAGAAAATTGGCGAGTTCATTCACAATACATTGGGCGGTGGTGATCCTATGCCGTCTTTAGAGCGAAGATTGTGGGATTATGTTGCCGTTCACTATTGGCCGAACAAGGAAGTGGGTGGTGCGAAGCTTCAGTTGATGTTTGAGAAGGTCAAGGCTGCTAGTAAGCCTTCGCAGCCATCCAATGGAACTTAGATTCAATCTTGGAACTATTTTTTCGCTACTTTGATGCTAAACCGAACAACCCACGATCCTTTCGTGAAGTTATGATATCAATATTGGATTCTCAATTCGCTTCTTGATCGTCTCCTCGGTTCCTCTTCTTTTTTTTGTCTCTCTTTCTCTCTTCCTCTCTTCGACTGCCCCAAGTTATCTCTATTTCTTGATCCCACTCAGCCTTCCCTCAATCCTCCGGCCAATCCAACTCATCAAAACCTCACAACCCGACCTCCCCCTATCGCAAGGCCTTCGAGATGGAAAAAGAAACACTCATGAATCGTCTCTGTTTGGAAACAGAGGAAATAAAGAAGCAAAGTACATATTGGTGCAATGTGGTTGAAAGCATGGCATTACGAAAGGCGTCGAAATGGACATTTTTTGCTCAACGCATCCCGTGAAAAGAAAACCACTGACGCAAGAAAAAGGAGAATCCGATTTTTGAGTTACAACATGATTTTCGAATGTCAAATGATATTTGCATGGCGTGCTTGGGGCCCTTTGGAGTTTTTATCTTTATTTTTTTTATGTCTTGGTGACGACGTTTCTTGGAAAAAGAAATCGGCATATAAAGCAAGCTTGAATCCCCCCCCCCCTACACGCATATTGCATCTGCAATCCACCCTGTGTCTGCGGGGATCTAAAGCTCCATCTGATTTGCCTACCCTTTGTCTAATTGCACTACTTTTTGGCTATCGCTTCGTTTTTTCCGGCATCTTACACTGGTTAGGTCTCCCTTTTACAGCGCCAGTTGAGGGCTACGGCCTCTCTACTTCATTTCTTGTTCCTTTTTTTCACGTTTATTTTCAACCAGCACATGTACCCTATGGAGTGGCTACCACGGCGTCGATTGATTTTTCTGTATCTGCACAAGATCATTCAGCTGGTCGGGAGTGACTATTCGTGATGCCCCTGTTCTTTTTTTTACTCTGCTCTTCTAGAACGAAATGGAATTGATCTGGCTTGAGACCTGGCTGACCCCTTGAGGTCTCTGTCTAAGCTTGGATTATCAAATATTTCAATTATCTCCTGCTACTTCTAGCTTTTCTCATAGAACTCGTAAAGTCGGTTTAATTAATGATATTGACAATTTCATTGTCTGGATTTGATAAACGATATGAACTCATAGAGCCGAACTTATTAGGAACAGAACCCCGGTATAAGAAGAGAAACAAGTCAGACAGAAAAAAAAAGCTATTCGTACAATTGTTCATTCCTCCCATCTCCTGTTCATTTCAAGCCAATGAACAAACACAATCCCATCCCTCGAAACGCCAAATACACCAAAAAGAGCACAAGAAAAGAAGATGAGAAATGCCCGTCAACACAGACATGAGTAAGAATCAGACACAGATGACGCAATCAATCGTTCAAGCAGTGGCAACAGCCTCAGAGGCCTCGGCCGTCTCGACTTCAGCCGCATCATCAGCCTTCGCTTGCAATTGATCTTGCTGATGCTTAAATTCCCGCTGCTGATGCTGTAATTTCTCTAAACTAGACGCCAAACTACCAGGAGCTGGCTCACCGACAAAGGTACTGAAAAGCCGAAGCTCACCATGAATGAGGTCTTCGAAGATACCTTCTTTCTCAAGCCAGGCCTGTTCACGCTGCGGGCGTAACCCGTCCCACTCGGCGCGCAATTGCGCGGATTCCTTCTCGGCCCAGTGGATTTGTCGCCGGAGGACGCGGTATAGATCGTGAGGGGGCATGGCAAGTTCGTGGTCGTCGAAGTCGAGCTCTGGTCCGAATTCTGGCATTGTGGTGTCCTCTGGGTCGATTTCTGATCCTATCGCGGCGGAGATGGTGGGTGCGGGAAGATGATCTGAGTCACCATTTCCTGGCTCGCCCTTTGGCTGTGAGAGCTTCAGGCGGATGCGTTGAATCTTTGAGACTGGGGTTCCGGCTACGCTGGCGGTGCCGCCGGAGGTGGATTTGGGGTCCGAGGGGCGGGCGGTATCAGCTTCGTGGACGGAGCGCATATGTTTTGTTAAGGCGTCGGAGCGAGTGAAGTTGCGATCACATTCTGAAGGGGTGAGGTGTTAGTGTGTTGATACCAAGGGAGGTGGCAGAAGTCAAGGCAAGGCAAGAGAAGTAAACATACCGGGCAGGGTACAGTAAAAAGGCTTCTCTCGAGTATGGCTCCTCATGTGAGCGCGGAGTGCATATGCGCTGGCGTGCGTTTGTCCTTTGCGGCTGCAGTCTGTCCACTCGCACGAGTACCGCTTCTGTCGGCTCCCGATATGCTCAAAGTGCAGGTGCTGCACCAACCCATCCATGTTCTTCAGGTCACCGACGGGACAGCCGTCCCACCGACATACAGTGACTTGATCTGTGCTTTGGCCGGTGTAATCGTCATCTTGGCTATTGCCCAGCGCACCGATCATGCTAGGGGAATTGGGGACATCGCCGTCGGTATCAGAGGAGATGGAGGCGGTTGGCGAGGGAGGGGGGATAGGCTCATCGTGTACTGAGGACAACGGTGTGTGTCTGTCCCATGATGCTACACCTGTGCGACGGCGCTTTGAGGGAGGTAGGTTGGAAGCTGATGGGGACTGGGCGCGGCTTTCATGCTTGATAGACTCGTGATCTGATTCCTCGGCGGTGCCGACGGAGGACAAGGGGGAGCCTTCACGCGAGACCATGATGGAGGATGAAAAGGGAAGTTCCAGGCCGAGTCAATGGAAAAAGTCCCAGGGGTGTTGTGTTTTGACTTGGGGAGCCGGGGATGGTCATGAAGGTCGGAGTTGGAGAGCTGAGCTGTCACGTGGACGCCCACTTTTCCTCTTATATCTTCAACTGCTTCTTTCTCCTCTTCTTCTTCTTCTTCTTCTCCTCGCTTCTCCCCTCTCCCTCTCTACTCTCATCACGAACTAATGACCCCTACTGTTCATGACTAACTCACTTATGGTATGTTCACTCTCTGCTTATTTGATTTCTACCCCCCTCCCCTCCAACCCACCCACAAGATGAACAAAACGAAGAGTTCTGCAATTCCGACAATCTCCATGCCTGTACTTTCGGGTACGCCGGTGTCGTGAGATTGCATGTCGATTTTTCTACACTTGATCTGACTATCATTAATCTCTTGCATTGTAATCATTGTTATCTATCTTGCTCCGTATCAATTGCTAACGAGCACCAGTATCTCCTTCTAGTTTCTCCCCTTTAGTAGCGGGGTCCGGCCACCGTGTGCTCCTTCAGGATCGCCTCAATCTCAGCCAATTCCTCATCGGAGAGTAGCTTCACCCCGACCATGTTTTGAACAACCTTGTCGGTGGTCGTACCGCCGGGAATTGGGATGATTGTGGGCATGCCAGGCTTGTCGCTCAGACTGCGAATCCAGCCCAGGGCGATTTGAGATGGGGCAACACCCTTACACTTGGCCAAGCTGTTCACAGCATTGATCAACTTCAGGTTTTGCTCAAAGTTCTCTTCATTGAAGCGGGACATGTGCCGGCGGATATCTCCCTCGGGAATGTCGGCCAGTGAAGTCACCGCACCGGTCAGAACGCCACGACCCAATGGGGAGTACGCGATGACCGGGATGTTCAGCTCGGCGCAGGTCTGAGCAATGCCGTTTTCCAAGATGTCGGTGGACCACAGGGACATCTCAACCTCGACTGCGGCAATTGGGTGCACCTTGTGTCTGAAAAGATAGTTAGCTTTGATAGTTTCCAATTGAATCTTCATCCCAATCACTTACGCTCGTCGGATGGTCTCAGCATCCACCTCACTCAGTCCAATGCCTCCAATCTTGCCCTCTTTCACGTACTGGGCCAGTACTTCCACAGTATGCTCCACCGGGAAGTTAGGATCTTGCCGCGCACATTCGAAGATATCAATCTTCTTCTTTCCATCCAGTAGACGAAGGGAGTTATCCACACTGCGACGGATATTCTCTTCGGATCCATCCGGGACCAATTGGCCAACCTTGAGGCCACCCTTAATGCTCAAGACGACCTTGTCCGCATTCTCGGGGTATTGACTGAAATATTTGTTCAGTAGGTGTAGAGAGTTGTAGTCTGGAGCACCATAAAGCTCGCCGCCGTTCCAGAAATTGGCACCTAGCTCCAGGGTCTTGTTCAGAGTTTCGAAGCAGACCTCTTGAGCTGGAGGGTGCTCGACCCAAGTCATTCCTAAAGGGATCCGGTTAGTCGACTTGTTCGAGCATCTCTAAGCGAGGAGATTCGTACTCATAGTGCCATAGCCGGTCGGGCCGATTTTTCGTCCAACGAGACTGGGCATTGTGCAATGGGATGGTAGAACAGATTTATCTGATAAAAAGATTCAAGTTTTTTGGTGTCAATTGATGGGGTTAGAAGATAATAGTAGCTTCGGCTATGCTGAACTTGAACCCTTTATATTATTCCCTAGTCCACTAATATTGATAAACCCCACCGTGAACACTCGGGCTTCTGCCAAAATCCGGCACTGCGGATCAAGGGGACGCGTGCAGTTCTTCACACCTGGACACTCCAGGGCTTTGAGTTGTTCAGAGTTGGCCTATGACATTCAATCCTCAGACCCCCAGTGAAAAAGACAAGCAAATCGAAACCCGTTCTACGTTCGGTCTCCGGCCCCAAAGACCGGGATAAGTGAAGAAAGTGACGAAATTGTGCGTGGCGCAGATCCGGAGTTAAAAGTGGGCATCAACCGGAGTTACATCCATTAAACCGCACTGCCATCGCGAGGGTTTAGTTCTACTACCTAGGTATGATTAATACTTTTTCGAAACCATTGAAAAGACAAGAGCTGCATCACGCTGGAAACTGGTAATATCGTACACATCGTACAAGGACAGAATAAGAACAGGATTACTGATATCAAGCAAGCACATCAAAACCGCCATTATCTCCCATCACCCATCCCATCGTCCTCCTTTTGTTTGGAATCCAACTATACTTCCATAGCTCCTCACAGCCCCAGCTCGTCAGAGCTGTCAATCATATTACGGAAGCGATGCTCCATCTCCTCATAGACAGCGTCAAAGATCATAGGCAGATCTGACGCCCGCAATTCCTTCCTGCCGTCCCAGCCGGATCCAATTTGAATATTCTCAATCGGCTTGTTGTTTCCGTTGTGGATGACGGTGGTGAAACTAGTTCCCTGTCCCGTGGAAGAAGGCGTAGCGATGCTGTTCACTGGTTGGTCTTGCTCGGCTTTTAGGGTAGGGGTAGGGGTGTAGGCGGCTTGGGTAGAGCTGTCTGTCTGAGGAGCGCCGACACCAAGGCTGTCGAGGATATTGACCAGATAGTTCTCAGTGTCGGGGATAAGCCTCTGGAAATGAGCGGTGGTTAGAATATGCGTTGTTTTTGAGCTATGGCTGTGATGGAGAACGTACCGGGTCGCGAGGCTCTAAAACGCGAGTACTGTCTGCTTCGCGAATGGGTTGGGCGTAAACAGATGCAGCGGTAGAAAGACCTAAGATGACAATCGCCATGCTGGCTATCCTGGGCAAAAAGAAGGGCATTTTGCTGGTTTCTGAGGTTTCGTTGACTTCGGGACGCGTGGATTTGAAATTGGTGTTGTACAGGTTTGCGAAGAGGGGAATTGCACTAGGGGAGTCTTAGATAGATCTTCCGCACGCGAGGGTCCTCGGGATCCACTGGCGGCTCATATAGTGTGACGTTCAGAGTCCTGTATTTTCAAACGATTGGAGATTGTTGTGGTCCTGTGGAATGCTACTTGTCGGGCATCAAATGCCGACTTTCGCATGCTAGACTCCAATATCGTTCATTCTCGGTACTAGCCATACATTTAACTTTGACTTAGATTTAAATTAGATCTTATTAATCTGCTTATTGTATTCTCTGCGGTTCTTCGGGTGGCCTGCCATTGTTTTGACCTCAAGGGAACACATCCTAGATCTAGGGATGTCTGTGCACAACAAGGTGGCCCAGGAATGACAACCCTAACATTCCAAAAACCTTACAGCAAATAGGGTGAATCCCAAGAAGGTCATAATGACACTTTCTCAGGAACACAAATCGTCAATGTTTTGCCAGAGTTATGGCGTAGGGTAGCCTCAGAATAATAGCGCGTTGCTCTCCTGGATCTTGGCAGCGGAAAATGGTAACTAGTATCCTCCAGATCGAGATGCTCAACTTCGGACATTAGGTTTACCAAAATACGACAAATAAGAAAATACTCAGAAAAACTCTGATCAATCTTAGAATGGTCATGTACAAAGTTATCTAGAAGCCCCCGTAATTTAATATTGCACTATTCACTAAACACCATCGTTGAAAGTGTAGTGATTCATCCACCTCTGCCGATTCCATTAGTGTTGTGTTCACATCGAAGGATAAATCGCTTGAAAAATAGGTCAAATTTACCTTGTCAAATGGCTTGGATGAATCGCAGAAACGCAAATCCGTCGCGAGACGAATTACATTCTCGGGGTCATGGTTGATACCAGAGGCATGAACCTATCGCTTAATATCAGCATTGCAAAATAAGCCACCTTGAAGTAAAACATACCATGTGCGGTTTATGCAAAACAACATCGCCTGCCTCATAGGCAGACACCAACCAACGGCGCCCATGCTCGCGGGCGAATTCAGCGGGTGTTTCAGACAGCAATCCAGTAGCCATCATGTTGGAGTTGAAAGCCGACTTGGCCTCTTCATCGCTCAGGCCCGCCTCCTTCGCTTTTTTGAAAAATGCTTGCTCCTGTTCCAGTCCGACCTTGTCACCATCTTCCAGATAAATCAAACCACCGCCATTAATTTTGATATCGCCCATCGGCACCCAGGCAGTTACACTAGTCGGGTCGCCATATCGCAGAAAGATCTGATCATAGTGAACACCGATCGGTTTTGAGCCGGGGAGGTTGTTTCTCAGTAGAGTACGACGCAAGCTCAGCGTATGTTTGCCCCAATCTGAGAACTTGGCAATAAAATCGTACAATGCTGGGTGGTTGCAGAATTTCTCCGCATACCACTCTTGGTAATGGGCATCTAGAGCCAGATCGACGAACTGCGCTGCTTTGTCTCCGCCAGGCCGCCCATTTCCATCGACGTGTCCGGCTCCAATACCGGGGTATTCTAGGTGGCTCTTGGCTGGGTCAAAGATGCCTTCCACGGGCTTGGTGCCGGGCTTGAGAATACCCGTTTTCTCAAGGGGAGAAAAATAGGCTTCACGTGCCTCGAGTACGTCCTCGCGGGGGATGATTCCCTTGAGAAATAGATATCCGTCCTCTTCGTATCGCTTGCGAAGTTCTTCAAGTGGGAGGGAGGGGTCGGATGGGCGGAGTAGAGCAGCATTCTCTGCGGTCAGAGGACCATCGTTCACGGCAAGGTTGTCTGCAAGAATGGCGACCATATTGAAGGGAAATAGTACAATATTCAGCGAAAAAGCGACCGGGAAAAGAAAAAGATGGAAGTTGGCCTGCGAAGAGCTTCTTCCCGCTTTATATTTGACAATGCCATCATTCATTCCCTATATCGGCGGGGTAAGGGGGGTCAGCCAGATGGAGAATCATCCAACCAAAGCTGCTTGAATTTAAATACTGCCCCGCAAATGAGAACCACCGGAATTATTCATGGGTCTGATGAGTTTTGCGTAACGATTCATGGCTGTTTGGTGTTCGGTCGATGGAGACTGGTGGCCAAAGGGGTAAGAAATTCCGCAAAAAAGCCGGGGAGTTTCGACGGATTGGGGGAGGGTGGGGTATGCTAGGAACTCTCCACTGCGGGGAATATTACTCGTTTCACTGTTGGTGGATATTTTGGTAGAATACTAGTAGCTGAATCATTAGTGTGGCACTGGATATTTAGAATCCCACGTGGATTTGAATGGGAACTGCTCAGTCGTCTCCTCATATGCCAGAAATATGGGAGAAGTGTGGGAGATAGTCAGTGACTGAAAATCGGGGCAAGGCGACGATGCTGTTCAGTGCTACTAGTAGATGAACTGAACATGAGCTCTTCGAAAACATGAACAGTATAAGGTGTATAGAACTGCTACTAGTAGTTGCCAAGTGAGATAATATTTAAACCTGTGGCAGCTAGGAATGAGGCTCGCTTTATACTCTGCGCCTCACGGGCCATTTTACCCTGTACGGGCGTTCAGAGCTTGCCGGTTCTTGTTTGCGGTGAGCCTATATGTTTAAATACACTTTGATCATGGTGGTAATTTGGATGAAGTGATTCTCAGCTTACTAATACTAAGTATTAGTACCAATCTACTACCAAATAGGCGAGATGTACATCTCGCTATTTCAAATAAATACTATCGAGGGGTTTTAGTATGCACCGATGCCCAGCTGGCGAGGCCCCTCCTAGTACTAGTACTACTTCTCATCCAAAATGCAATGTACTCGTAGTACTAGTAGCACGACCAAGACATATATCTAGTAGCGAATATGCAGTATTTTGATTTAAGTGCATAAGAATGAAAATTCTGATTATCCGACTTTAGTACTCGGTCATTGTTTCTTAGTAGCAGCCAATAAGCTTGGAACCAATTCTTCTCCGATCTGCCTGAAGATGCCACACATCCGATGACGTCACTAGGTATAGGCATGCCACGCCTGCGAACATATAACTAGGACCTCTAACTAATTGATAAATATCTGCCTACGATGAGGCCGAATATAGCGCGAAAAGAAGGCGAAAGACGGGGAATTGTACAAAGCCGACGCCGACCAGGGTTCCTCCGGTCGGACAAGCTCGCGCCCGAGTTACCCCATCTAGTAACTAAGCTTCGGGCTTACTATTTTCGGTCAGTATACGGACTTCCAATGCTGCTACCTAGAATACAGGTAGAATAATGAGTATGTAGAAATAATAGCTAGATTTCTTTTTATCGCATAAATATCTTCAAAACCTCCCGGTTAATCTCTATAATCAACACATCTCTCTACTTCACTAGCAAAGCCAATCTCAATCTAGAAGTTTTAATTCACACAAACGATCATCAAACTTTGAATTCCAACTATCGCCAAAGTCGCCAATATGACTCGCTTCGATATCGATCCGTCCAAGACCGACTCCTTTGTCTCTGTTGAAAGTGTCGACCACGAGAAGGTCCAAGAACAAAGCCACGAGCAGTAAGTATCAAATATCTGCCCGGCCGCATCCAACATCTAATGCTCCAGCTAATCACTTTTGAACGAGAAGTATAACCTCAAAGACACCCTGCGAATCTCACGGATCTGGCACCCCATTCATTGACCGTGAGCTGCGAACAGCTCGGGGACAGGAGACCATACGCATTCTATCAGCCGCATTGAATGATTTGGTCGACGAGAACAAGTGCACCAAATGCACGGTGGAAAATCTTATGCCTTTACTCGAAGGTCATCTCAAGGAGCTGAAACTTGCAAAGCAGAATGGGGAGTGGTCTAAAGAGGACAGAAAGACTCTTAAGGCTGAGTTCAAGTCTCTTTTCAAGCCTGCTAAGAAGAGTCTGAAGAATATTCTCAAGGGAAACTAGTCGCGACAGGGTGCTTTTTGCTTTTTGATCTTTTTCTGATACAATTTTATTTTTGATTTGAACAATGAGCAGTTATATGATAGCTGGAAGGAGCTCTAATAGGTATTAATAGGGAGGAGAATCAGATCGGATTATTTTATGTTTGAATACAATTGCTAGTTAATTAAAGCTTATTACCAAGCCAGCACCTTTTCTTCCAGTTCCCCATAATTCTCAAGAACATTTGGGCATTCCCGCGGAAGGAAATCCCGTCATATTTAGATACCAAGACCTCCGAGTCGGGAGTCTTTGTTAATCTCAAGACACACACGATCTAGAACAGGACCTGCGAGAGGGACTTCTTGTCCTGGAGCTTCACGTTTCTCATCATGCCTACCCAAATAAGGGAAAGTACCATAATACACGTGCCGGCAATCATCATGTTGCGTTGAGTAGACGCATACGCATTCTGAATGGCAGTGCGAGTTGGCGACCCAATAGGGTAGCTCAACTGCACACTCAAATCTTCATAAATACTCTCCCATTGGTCTTGCGTCTCAGCCGGCAGAAGCTCCCGCAACTTCTTAGGGAGAGTGTTAGTCCAGACGGCTCCAGAAACACTGCTACCAACGGCTCCACCGATGTTACCAAAGGTGCTAAGCAAGGCCAACATGGCTGCATAGTCCTCGTGCTTAGAGACAGACAAGACAGACACCTGTTCAATGAGAATCATGGTTCCACCGCCGACGGCGAGGAAAATTTGGCACATGCACATGTAACCAACGCTGAATCCAGGTCTGCGGAAGTAGATCATCAACCCGCTAGCCAGAAGGTAGAGCGGGACTGCACACCACAGAAGCCACTTGAACCGACCGGTCTTTCGCATGAGAAAACCACAGCCGATGAGCCAGATTGGGTCCATTAGGTCAAAGATGGCACTGATATAACCGGCTTGTGTGACGCTTGTGCCGTAGACAACTTGCAGGAATGAAGTATAATAAGTAGCCCAACAATAGTAGGATATCTGATAGGTAATGTCCAGCAGACCCGCACCAATAATTGTCCGATCCTGGATGAGGTGGTATGGGATAAAGGGCTTTGGAGCACCCCAACGCTCATAGGCCACAAATGAAAGAAGTGTGCAGAAGCCGACAACGATCATGGCAATGATCTTAGGCGACTTCCATTGGTCCTCGGTATTTCCGGCGATGTTGAAGGCAGTAAGGAAGAGGATTAAACCGCCGATCATGAGGCAGATTCCAACGACTATTTTGGAAAGACTTGATTTTAGAAAGAGCGAAGGCAGGAAAAGAGCAAACGAAGAGACCTACCATCAAATTCAACAACATAGAACCAGACACTTTCGTACCAAGTGCGAGTGCTTCGAGGCTTGTAGTGGAGTCTTCCATCCTTATCAGATTTCTTTTTTGCGAGTTGCCAAGTGACGATCAAGGGCATCGCTGCAATCGGGAGGATAATGCAGACAGTTCCATAAGCCCATCGCCAGTTCGTCTCATGGAATTGGTTGGACAAGGCCGCTCCAGAGAATGCAGTGATGATATAAGGGGAAGAGGTGAAACCGAATGCAATTCCTCGGTTTCGAAGTTTCGAGGTATCGGAAGTCATCACGTCAACGCAAAAGATAACGCCAGTGAGACCCACAGTGTAGAACGACTTTGGAGTAGAGTGATAATGTCAAAAAAAGTCCGTATAGCGCACAGGGATACGAGGAGTACTCACTTGTGCGGCACAATACGTTGCGATATTATTGCAGGAAGCCATCATGATCAGACCCATCATGGCGATGGCAATCATAATAGACATTCCCAAGGTGCGGTCCCAGAGGTTAAGCACTTTGGCGATCGGTAGCAAGCACGAAGCGCCCATGACACTCGTCACGACACTTATCACAGAGAGTAGTGAGTGGCCTGAGAAACTACTCGTGACATAGGGGCTGAGATTTGTAGTGAAGTTGTTGTTTAATCCGTTGACGAAATAGATGAACCACATCCTTCGTCATATTAGCAAATATCCGCGACAAGATAACCGACTTGATGACTTACGAAGCATAGCCAATGTACAACGACTTCTTCGACCAAGTGGAAGTCACAGCCTCAGCAACTCGAACACCATCTTGCTGGTCTTCATGGTCGGATTCAGTCTCGACAGCTGGACCAGGGGACTCGAGGTCTGTCGAAGCCGGAGGATCACTGGCAGTGACCTCGGAGGGAGGTGCGCCCTTGGTTAAAGACATGCTGAGTGGCGAAAAAGAAGAGTATTCCTATTAAAGTGCCAAGTGCAAGATACTTTCAGGGCAGGACCGCAGTCTTTTAAATCCCGACATGGGGCCACAGGTCGCCTCGCAAACCAACTGCAGCCGCGAAAGCTTTTTCCATCGCCCTGCTCCACCGAGATTGCCATCTAAAAGCCGAACCATCTGATTAGATGATGGAAACCGACCGGGGAAAAACGGCTGTGGAACTCGAGGCTCGTTCTGTTAGACCTTGAATCAGAAACCAGGATTTAACAACGCGCCATGCCATGCAAAGTTGAAATGCATACTCTAGAAGTAATCGATTTGAATGCATCTATCTGTATCAGTCAACAATTATCAGATCCAACAGTGAAATTCGCCAGGAGTCCTCACGGCTCGGCTCTGCCCAAACCTGTCTCACAATTGCACGCTTCTAGTTCAATCTCATTTGCGCTCTAGGCTGGCACAATTGGTGAACTCCACTCATCCGCCACAAAGGAGCCAGATCCACTCTCAAAGAACCCAAATTAAGCCAATAGACCTGCGAGGTCACATAAAGCGAGGGTGGATGGTGGCAATTGGTTGTACAAGGACGGCTCAGGCCGATTTCGGTCTTGGCGACAATGGCGAATGCTCGTGAGAGGTTATACAAGACAGACCACCAAAGGCCAAGCTCGGGCCGAGATAAGATCTAAACCATGAATCGAAGCTTGTAAGATCAGAACAATAGATTGATCTCGGAATTTTAAGGCCCAGAGTTGGAAGAACCGTGGTTGCATGTATTTGTCCATCGGGGCTAACTGTCGTAAGTACTCATCCCAACCCATCCTTGCCAAATATTTGCTCAGTAGCTTCATTCATCATGAGAATTGAATCACATTACGAAACAGAAATGCAAATGTTGCATCCCTGAATCTCAATCATGCTTTTCGACAAGAATAAGTCGGTTGCGGCGGTTGTCTGCTCAAAAGGGTTTCGGTGGCTTCGGTGGTAAGCACAGCAGATGGCGGACGAAGGTTCCTATTGGGGCAAATATCAGCCCCCACCCTGGGGCAGGCATTTTAATTAACTCCGCTAGACCCTGGAGTGTATCTGATCCGATGTAGCAAAGTCCGCCGAAACCCATATTTCGTGGAATCGAAAAATGATGTCGCCCCTCACAGCGTATTGTTGATACCAATGAAACTGCTCTGAAGTCAAAATTCTAGAGTTCAGACATCTCATGATATTGTCTGACGCAATATTGCCCATTGCGCCTAGGAAATTTGACCTCGGAGAGTTCTCATGAGATGGTTGCCTAATGGAATGGAACGTTCCCTGTCTAGCCCCATCCGATCCCCACTGTAGATTGATAAAGCTCGGTGAGCCCCACCAGCTGGCAGGACTTAGGCGAGAGGTGGATTCACTTGTGGCACCCTAAGTGGGAAAATCTCGTGCTACTAACCCAGTGAGGTCCTTCGAAAGGATCCCGCGGATTCCGTCTGGAAGTCAAGTTTCGGCCATAAACGATGGCCCGAATTCAGAAATCCGAATGTTTCATCAGGTTCGTCCACGATCTCTATGTAATGGAAACCGATCATTTTCTTTTCATCCCCCGGATGGGATTTACTTATATTGTTTCTCTATACTTCATTTTCCCTTATTCTCCCACATGTATCACTCCAATATATACCTGGGTATAGTATAGGAGATAGGAAGAAAATGCATAGCATCTGTGGTATCAGTCGCGGTGAAGAATACTGAAGAAAGAGAGGACGTGAGAAGAGTAGTATACCTGATCCATGATGAATAACAACTTGAACCACAACTGCTAACGGCGAGGGGTCATCTTTACTTCCAATGTTCCGGGAGAATCTTGTCCAACAACCCTTCATTGTACTAATCACACTTTCTGTCTTCCATGTGCAACTGGAGCATTGCCATCTGTCAAGAGCGAGCACAACAATTCGATCTCTGCTAGGAAATCCAGGACCAAGGCTTAACTATGGGTCGGGTTTAAAGCCCGCATGCCGCACCTCAAAAGAGGCCTCTGGATAGACCGCAGTGTATGCCTCGAGACTGTCGTAAGTTGACGCGACGATACCTGTAAATGCTTTGCATATTTTGGGCGATAACCAGGTCAATAATAGTTATGGATTTTAAGCAAAGCTTTTTTGGCCTTGGGTACTACTGCCTCAATACACATACTATTGTAGTATCTATTCGGGTTTCATTTATTCCCTGGTACACAATCGAGTATACTCACTTACTGGTAGTAATGTCACGCTGGCGTTACCGTACACTGGGCAATTAGTAGCAGCTAATTTCCAAGCTGACAATGCAATGAATTTGTAGATAATGCAATACTAACATAACGCCAACCAGGACCAAAAACTTGGCCACTGGATGATTTATCCTTCCATGCCCGCAAAATAAAGATGAACGCCAGAAATGTATAACTCATGCATTCTGCTCCCAATCTCCGATAGACCAAGAAGCCACATCATTTTCAATAACCAGCTTCATCGTCGTAAACGTGATGTTTTCATACAATTCCCTCGCCGCTGCCCTAGCCTTCGCATGCCAAGGTCCACGACCGCCAAGGCGGGCATCTTCTCGACTGCGCCATATGCCTATGCAAAGCCATTAGTCCATGGTTCGATTCCATATATAGAGCCACTGCGCTGTTGGGGTATTGATAATAGTACTCACAAGTAGCAAGATTCCTCCTCTCCCCATCCTTCGTCCCGAACCAATACTTCAACAAACCCCCACTCGAGACAGCCTCCTGATGCGAATATGCGTCCAGGGCATGGAGATGATCATTATCCACACCGGGAAGAAGAATAGACCGAAAGGCAACGACGTAGAAAGTCTGCGCCGTCCACTTGTGACCCTCGGCCTTGGCAAAGGTCTTCACTAGGCCGAATACTTCGTCCCAATTGAAATTCTCAATATAGGGCGCTGTCGCATAATCCGGACGAATGGTTTTAAACGAGGCCAAGGCCAGTGCGAGAAGTCTGCTCTGCGTGTCGAGCGTTTCCAGGTCTAGGAGGTGTGGAATGTCGTTGTATGGTGAGGCGATTAGACGGGTATCTATTTCTGTTTCTGTTTCTTTGCTTGATATCGTAGTCTCAGGAGAAGAGATATCTTCATTCTGCTGCTGCTGCCATTTTATTTGGCGGGACGCCGCGGCGTGGAACTTCAGCTCGTCGAAATCGGATGTCACTTCATGGTGTGGTCGGAGGTCCTTGATGACTAGTCCGGTGGCGGTTCCTTGTACCGGGTCGTCGAGTGGTCCGAATTTGCCGGCTGTGCCTGGCGTCGGGGTGGATATACCCGGTGCCATACTTTGAATTGGGTTGAAAAAAGGTGAAGCCCTAAGTTGGGAATTTGCCACGGCGCAGATTCTTTTCCTGCGGGTGTTCAAGATATTGCGGCGGGACAGTTGTGTTCAAGTTCGCCTTGGATATTCAGTTGAATTATTTGTCGAGTGGGATTGAATTGAATTTAGTATCTGAATTCACAAATATAGTATTTGTATATTGGAAAGAGGTGGTATCAAAGTAGACTTGAAGAAAGGGGGATGTTGAAGAATAGTACCAATGTAGAATGTATAAACAGGAACCCTGGAAAAAAAAAGAGAAGTAGCCAACTATTAATACCTGACCCAAAGGCCCCAAGCACAAAAATTTCTTGACCGCTACCAAAGGATTCGGAGTTGGTACCACATTCTCAGAGATTGCGAAAGACCTGAGCAAAAGACGCGGCTCAAGCACGCCATTCCGAGAGCCCACGCCCCGAAGTAGTATGTATGGGTCAAAGATTCAAAGCTGGTACACAATGAGTCTCGTAATCTCTTACTCTTACTTTCATTAAGAATCAATGAGATGAAATATCCCGGAAAGCAACTACAACCCGATGGTGAATACATATGTCAAAGGTCTCAGAAAAGAAGTTCACGGGGCGGTACTGACGTGGTTCTCCACGTGTTGCGTGCAAACCCTATTTTGATTAGCAAAATGGAATGGTGGGGAAGGTTGGCTGCAGGGCGTCGATGCTACATCGGGGTAAGTTGAAGTTGGGGGTTCTGATTGACAGCGCAGTGGCAGTTATACTTACCAGTACTAGTATGCACTCGATACAATCTGAATTTGGCTTTGCGTGATTGGCCACTCAGCCACACCGAAAGAGTCTAGTGTGAGAAAATACCGTACCTTCAACGTCGTTCTTTCTCTAGTGATGGATGATGGCTTTCATGTTAATTATTTGAGCAGGGCGGATTTTTAATTCCGTATTTTAAAGCTGCTAGTAGGCTGCATGGCTATGCACTGTAATACCTAGTCAGGTACCCACGGCTTTTAACGGGCATCAAGGGTTAGGGAGATGGAGGTTCCCCAGTAGATCCACTTGGTAAGGCGTCAATGCTACATCGGGGTAAGTACGGAGTAGAGGATTGCGATTGACAGTGCAGCTCAGCTAACATAAGTCGAAATTCAAATTTTAAGACGAATTTTAAACTTTCGTGCGATTGGCCACCCGGTCACACCGAGGGCAGTAATAGTTAATGTACATTGAAAAAATAAAAATAAGAATGGTATCACGTATAGCGCAAAATGGTCCCGACCTTTCCCCCCCTGATCGTCGCCCAGAACGCCTGGAATGAGAGTTGTATGCGAATCTTCGAGTATAAACGGCAACCGCACGCGACATCCTAAGATGCGCAGTACCTTAGGGTAAGCCTAAGGCCTAGGCGGGGGGCCCATCTTGCCCGCACCGGTATCGACCTTCTTACGGGCAGGGATCGCTGGTACCTTGAAGCCATCGCTATCTTTGCCTTGCGGTTTAGTGCTGCTTTGTGCACCGCCAACCTGCGTAAATGTTCCACTGTTGAACCAGCGATCCTCCTCCGCCTTGCGTTTGCGGTTCAACTCGGCTTGAACCTTGGGATCCACCAGCTCCAAGCCCTGCACGGGCGTAAAGGCAATCGTACTAGCCGTACCGGCAGTCGCGGACATGGATCCCACTCCAGAAGTGCGTAGACCCTTGGACTGGAGCACGCTTGCCGTTCCACTCGCGCCCTGGCCGAATGTGCGCAGCGACGAGGCCGTGCCGCTGGCCGGGGTCGATCCGCCCCAGCCCTTGTTGTTCTTGCTGAGTTTGGCGCGCGTGCGCTGGTCGATCTGCGTGGCTCGGATTCGGCCGTCGTTCTGTTGGCCCAACATGCCGAGACCAACGGTTCCTTCGCCTGTCCCGTATCCGGACTCTTTTTCTTCTTGGCCGAAGGCCATGCGGTTCTGGGCTTTGCGTAGTTCGGTCATGGCGACGGCTTCCTTGGCCTGGCGGGCTCGGCGACCACCTCGTTTGCGGGCTGGCTTGTCGTCTGGGGCGGGGAGGGCTTTGACGCCGGAGTTGGGCGCGGGCTCGGTCAGTTTCTCTAGGCGCTTGAAGCACTGCTCCTTCAGGTCTTCGCCTAGTGAGCCGTCCTTGGCATAATTTGCGACGTCGGAGCGAACGGCGAGGATCATCTTTGCGGAGACAATGCGGATTGCTTGCTTCTGTAGGTCGTAAGGGACCTCTTGGATAAGAGGTGAATCGTACAGGAAACCCTTTGCACGCACGCCGTGATTCGTGGCGAATCCCAATCCATCCTGGCGCCGAGACCCTTGGGCTCCTAGGTTGCATGCTGGGATTTTGGCCAACTCGAGTAAACCACCGGATTGGTTGAGGAATTGCGCAGCAGTGTGTGATCCGATCAAGGTCGCGAGGTTCGGAGCAATCTGGTTCACGCGGGATCGAATGCTTTCGGTAAGAGCTGTACGTTCGCGATCAAGTTTGATAATGCGATCGCAGGTATCCAGAACAATCTTCAATTCTGCGTCGCTCATTTGACGACCGCGGGTTGTGGTTCCTTCCAGTGCTACCGTCATGAGAGAGGGCCCGTCAAGAACAGACTTGAGGGACTCGCCCACCATATTATCTGCTGAGTTGGAGAGGGCCTTGATGTCGTCAAAGGGGCCATTTCCAAGTATAGCGACGGTTTTGGCGTACTTGATGGAGCTGGTGACGAGGGTTTCGAGTTCGGGGAAACGGACGGAATAGTGATCGCGTAGGTCTTTGTGTAGTCGTGTAAGTTGATCGGCAGTCTCGATCGAGAGATCAAAGTCGTTGGTAGCCTTAGCACCGCCATCCTGGGGCTGTTCATCCTCGATTTCTTGTTCGAGGCCTTCGGCTTCCTGGTCCTGGAAGTCTTCGTCGTCTTCAAAGTCGCGCAGGAGATCCTCCGCGGCGGACATACTGGGCAGATATGCTGTGTGAAGCTGGGATATGTCTCTGCAGAGGAGTGTAAAAGACGCAAAATCGACTCCGAGAGCAGAAAATGCAACGCTGTTGACTGATAAATTCGAATGAATAAGACCGCGACTGCTCGAAGTGGCGGGCAACGAGGATGAGTCAGCAACAGCTTTTTTACGGCGGGCGAAAACAACCAAAAATGCAGGTTGAATTCATCGGGCGAGGGCAACCCAGAAACATCAACTCCAATCAACAGGTGGTTCTGACCACGAAAAGATTCACCAATCCCTCCGAAATCGACTCATCTAAAACACCTCTCCCACCCCCGTCAAAACCCGCCATCATGGAGGCGTCTCGTGGACCCCCCTCGGGTCAAGAACAAGGCCGCCGCGCCCATCCAGATCTCCGCAGAGCAGCTACTGCGTGAGGCAGTTGACCGGCAGGAAGAGGGGCTACAAGCTCCAACACAACGATTTGCCGATCTGGAAGAGCTACACGAATATCAGGGACGCAAGCGCAAGGATTTCGAAGACTATGTGCGGCGCAACCGTATTAACATGAACAACTGGATGCGCTATGCGGCCTGGGAACTGGAACAGAAAGAATTCCGCCGCGCGCGATCGATCTTCGAGCGTGCGCTGGACGTGGACTCGACCTCTGTTATCCTGTGGATTCGGTACATCGAAGCGGAGATGAAGACCCGGAATATCAATCACGCTCGGAACTTGCTCGATCGCGCTGTCACCATCCTCCCTCGAGTCGATAAGCTCTGGTTCAAGTACGTCTATATGGAAGAGACGCTCGGCAACATCCCCGGCACGCGCCAGGTATTTGAGCGCTGGATGTCGTGGGAGCCGGAGGAGGGTGCGTGGGCGGCATACATCAAGCTGGAGAAGCGGTACAATGAGTTTGATCGGGCTCGACAGATATTCCAGCGGTTTACAATTGTGCACCCGGAGCCGCGGAATTGGATTAAATGGGCCCGCTTTGAGGAGGAATGTGGAACCAGCGATCTCGTTCGCGACGTCTATGGTGTCGCCATCGAGACATTGGGAGATGATTTCATGGATGAGAAGCTGTTCGTCGCATACGCCAAGTTCGAGGCTAAGCTGAAGGAGTACGAGCGCGCCCGCGCCATCTACAAGTTCGCCCTCGATCGACTGCCGCGATCCAAGTCGATGGTCTTGCACAAGGCTTATACCACATTTGAGAAACAATTCGGTGATCGCGAGGGTGTGGAGGATGTCATTTTATCCAAGCGCCGCGTACAATATGAAGAGCAATTGAAGGAGAACCAAAGAAATTACGATATCTGGTTCGACTTTGCCCGGTTGGAAGAAACTGCCGGAGACCCCGAGCGAGTTCGAGATATCTACGAGCGAGCGATTGCGCAGATTCCCCCTTCGCAAGAAAAGCGACACTGGCGTCGGTACATCTATCTCTGGATCTTCTACGCAGTGTGGGAAGAGATGGAGGCGAAGGATGCGGAACGGGCCCGACAGATTTACCAGGAATGCATCAAGCTTATTCCTCACAAGAAGTTCACCTTTGCCAAGGTGTGGTTGATGAAGGCGCAATTTGAGATCCGACAGATGGAGCTGGGCGCGGCTCGGAAGACGCTGGGCCAGGCGATCGGAATGTGTCCCAAGGACAAGCTCTTCCGCGGATACATCAATCTTGAGCGACAGCTATTTGAATTCGTGCGGTGCCGGACATTGTACGAGAAGCAGATCGAATGGAACCCGTCGAACAGCCAGTCATGGATTCAATACGCTGAGCTGGAGCGTGGTCTGGATGATCTGGAGCGCGCTCGGGCGCTATACGAGCTGGGTATTGAGCAGGCGACGCTTGACATGCCAGAGCTAGTATGGAAGTCCTACATTGACTGTGAAGAGGAGGAGGGTGAATACGACCGAGTACGTGCTCTGTATGAGCGTCTACTCTCGAAAACGGACCACGTCAAGGTTTGGATCAACTACGCGCGATTCGAGATCAACATCCCCGACGACGGAGAGGAAGATGAAGAAGAGGAGGAGGAGCGACCAGTCAGCGAGGAGGCGAAGGTCCGCGCACGAGCAGTGTTCGACCGGGCGCACAAGGTGTTCAAGGACAAGGAGCTCAAGGAAGAGGTATGTTCAAGTTCCGGCCTTGGGGACAATAATTGCAGAATTGACGCTAACTCTCTCCAGCGCGTGGAACTACTCAATGCCTGGCGGTCGTTCGAGAACACGCACGGATCGCCGGAAGACATCGACAAGATCGAGAAGCAGATGCCGCGGCGGGTCAAGAAGCGTCGCAAGTTGGAGGACGACCGGTACGAGGAGTACATGGATTACGTGTTCCCGGCGGACGACAAGTCAGCGGCGAATCTGTCGAAGCTGCTCCAGCGGGCGCACGCGTGGAAGCAACAGTCGTCAGCATGAGGTGGGATTGGAAATGGAAATGGAACTGGAACTGTATGATTTGGAGTGGAGGAGTGTCTTGGGTACTCGGTACAAACCGAGCTATTATTATGAAGATGAAGTCCCAGTGGGGCCTTGGCGTGCAAAATGGGACGGACCCAATGAACGAATCGAAACGGGTCGAATCAAGTGTTATAATAAATCAATTTACATATGGAGTTCATCGTCTCCACATCTGGCGCGGGCGAGAGCGAGAGCGAGTCATGTATCTGTACGCAGTAGTTATGGAGTAACACCTATCATGATGTAATATGGAGATGAATACGAAAATATCCTCCGAAGGACCCGTGCACTTCAAGTTCCTTCTACTGCGTACGCAAACCTTGGAACTTTCCGATTGCAGGGGTGTCCAATTACACGATCATACGAGAGTAGCGAAACATTCAACCTCGGTGACTCGCTCGAAGCCATCAGGGATCACCCGTCCCGCCAAGAGTGAGTGGCCCGGATAGGACTAGACTAGGGTGGAATGAAGGCGAATGGAACCTATGGCGAGGGAGAAGAGGGTCCGATCTTTGGGGGGGTTTGTGCGACTGGAGGGATCGTGCAATAGATGGTTCCTGTCCTGATTCTAAACCGGATTGACTGTACCTGCATGGTGATAGTCAGGTACTCCGGACAGTGCCAGTGCCAGCGTCAGCGCCAGCACCAAGACCTGGACCAGCCACCAGGATTTCCAAGATTGAAGTGTTAATTTGAAGCACTGGAGGCTGGACTGCCCAAGGTTAACTAGTGCTCGGTTAGCTATTCTGGGTATGGATGATGTTCGAGAAGGCGGGTGTTTCGCCTGTGGCCCACTTTAGAGTGGTAGATGCCCTGAGTTTCCAAGATTTGGATACTGTACTCACAGTACGGAGTACAGAGTACAGAGTAGGAGTATCATTATTCTGTTCAGTATATGAAGATGAAGATGAATGAATACCTACCAGGACTAAATATGAGTTATACACTGTTAATGACGCAGGTGCACGAGCCATGTGATTCCATGGTTTTAAGACGACCAACCGTGGTTCACTCAGGAGTAAAAGGGGGTTAAGTTGAAGTTGTTTATTTGGATACACCACAGCAGGGGTGTGTGATACAGTGCTGTATGAACCCCTTGTTAAAGCATTATTATATAATTATATTATCATCAGCAGGGAGAGTCTCCTTGGTAGGAGTGCAGAAGCACTGCAGGTAAGTACATAGGTGCTACCGGTACTCCGTAGTCTCTCCTGGTTCCTACCGAACAGTGGTACCCGGATGTGATAAGTGTGCCATCATATCGACTCCCTAGATATGATCAATGAGAATAATTTCAATAAACTAGAATATAGTATAAGACTACTCTATAAGCGCCCAGTTAAATTACCATGACCGAATCGGCCCAAAGGGGGATGGCGGAGGAAAGTGTGGATGTCTCACCTGGCCGCATGGACCAGCATGACCGACCAGCACTGACGACTCTCCTTTCTCTCTCCTTTCCCGTTTGCCCCCTCTCCCCCCTCGGTCCTTGCCCTTGCCCTCGTCCTTGTCGTTGTTGTGTCTTGTCTTGCTTCTGTGCTGTGCACTTGTCCTTCGGTATGTCGCGTCTCGGATTTCTGATTTCTGATTCCTGCCACCCTCACCTGTCCGACGACTCCGACACTGACTCCTATCCAGCTTTCTTTCGCGACTTCTCGCCCCCATTCTCTACCCCCAAATTCTCACCATCTTTCGATCTTCAATTTTCGACTTCTGACTTCTGACCTTCGACTCTTCACTCATTCTACTCAGCCAACCGTCTTCGCAAACAACCTGAACACAACCCCTGACTATCCCGAGCTGGACTTCTCATATCAATCTCATCCTATTTGACTCAACTCGACTTGGCCTGACTCGACCGCCCCCAATAGCCTCGATTCGCTAGACATAACCCATTCGAGTGCACAATTGAACCCCTCCTGCTCAACCTTCATACCCCGAATGCGTGCGCGCCGCTGCTAAATCCCGGCCGAGATGAGATAGTGCTCTGGCAGTCACCATTCCTCTTCAATCATTGACCTGATTTCTCCGCCGGCTGGCCATCCGCAAATTCCCCCCATTTGGTCTGGTATCATCTTATTTTGTTCTTTGCAATTTTCGCCTTCTCCCAATCGACATGAAGGTTCCCGCCCCCATATACGAATTGAAGGGCCATTGCTCTGCCATTTATAACAACACCCTCTACGTCTTTTCCAAGAATGGTTTCCAAAAAATCGACCTCGAAGAGGATGGCAAGTGGAAGAAGGTTCCTGGGAGCCCCACTCTGGTCGACGACGCAGCTTGTGTGCTAGGTGGCGACGAGGGTAATGAAGACGCCAAAGCTTTCTACGTCGTCGGCGGGACCGGCGGCGACGCCTCCTACTCCGGCTTGCAGCGATATTCCTTCAAGGATACAACCTGGTCCACTCTTGGTGCGACTAGCATCGGAATGGCAGGACGCACTGGCCATGGTGCTGGGTATATCAGCTCAAGCCACAAAATTGTCGTGTACGGTGGCAACCAGCCTGGCACTACTGGCACCAGTTCCCAATCTTACACCATCGACGCCGTGTCTCCATATGACAGTCAATCCCAACTCACGCAAGGTGCACCACCTGCCAGTAGCCCCTACCTTATGACATGGGATTCTTCCAATGTTGCCATGATGGGCGGCCAGACGTCGAGCGCTGATGTTTGGATCTTTGGCGACTCGACAGGATGGACACAGTCAGGTGCAAGCTTGGAGTCACCAACTAGCGTGTCGGACACGACAAAACCTATTGTGATGGACGACTCTGGTGGCAAGGTTTTGATGACTTTCAACATGGACGGGTCCGCCGACTCTGTCAAGAGCTATGCCTTGGTGAATGATGATGGCAAGGCGCAGGTTGCTACATCCCTCAAGAAGCGCAGTTTGAGCGACTATCCAGCATACAATAGTTCAAATGCGCCAACGAAGAAATGGTCGGACTTTTCCCTCGCCCAACAGCAGGGAATGGTTGTTGTCGCTGGCGGTAGTGGCGATGAAACACTGGCCATCTTCAACCAAACATCCAACAGTTGGGCCAATGCGACCGAGCTATTCTACGGCAAGCCTCAGCATACCTTGAAACACAACACCACGACAACTTCGTTCACTTCTTCGACACCGACCTCGACATCCATTTCTTCCAGTTCCGCCTCGGTGACCCCTACGCCTACTTCCTCCTCCACCCCTGCCGCGGCTGCTGGAGCAAGCACTTCGCACGCTGATTTGAAAACAATCCTCGGTGCGACGTTGGGTAGCGTATGTGGCGTCGCTATTATTCTTCTACTCCTGCTCTTCCTCCTACGTCGCAAGAAGCAGCAGCAAATACAAAGTGGCCAGCGTCCGAATGACAGCAAGGACCGCCTGAGCTTCCAAGACCAGGGTTTAGCACCCTTGACTGCAGGTGCTTATCCCATGGCAAAGAGCCCGGTCCCCTTCGCTTCCATGTCCAATGACTCGTTGGCCATCATGTCAGGCCATGCAACCGGAGAGAAATCTCTAAAACCCCCTTCCAATAATGGCTACGGGCTGTCATCAAAACCCCGCGATAGCAGCCCATTATCGCCGATTCCATCTAGTGGTCTTGCGCCCTCGAGCATGTACTCCCAGAGTTCCGAGGCCGCTGCCATTATCGCTGGTGGAATGGCGGGAGCTGGAGCCGGAGCAGCAGTGGGATCCAACAAGGCTGGTGATCGGACAACAGACGAAGGATGGGGCAAATACTTCGAAGATAACAAGGATACATCCAATCTCGGCATGCCCGCTGATCGCTCAACCGTCAGCTCAGTCTACACAAAGTCTGATTACCGCGGGAGTGCTTGGCCAATGACGAACCTCACTCCGATCAACTTTGGTTTCCTCGACCAACCCAAACCATTAGGCCAGGTATACAGCGGCAGCCCTACAACCGAGAGTTCCACTTCACTTGGTCACAACCTCGCTATCCCCGAAGCACAATCAGCCCGGATATCTACAGCCTCCTCGATTAGCCTGATGTCGGAGGATGATCCCCACGACACAGCCTGGACCGGCGCGCATAAGCAGAGTTGGTTGGGACGACCACCGAGCAGCAATTACAGCACCAGTTTCTATAACTCCAGCACCCGAGATCTGCAGAATACCGGCTCGGGGTATTTCCCCGATATGGATAACCGTCAATCCATGGGACACGGTCGAAGATCTAGCGTCATCATACCGGATGACATCGATGAGCTTCGTGCTACGGGCCGCAATGCGAATGTCAATTCTGACATGAGCTGGTTGAATATCCACGCTGACCGCTAAGCTGAACATTTATACCCACCCGCTCACGATGGCGCCCTCGTGTTGATACCGCGGAACCATATTACCCTCCCACCCTCTCTCATACCATTTTTCCTACCTCATCAACTTCGTTCCCTAACACAGTCTATCAAGCATAGACTCCATGTCCAATTTCCTCCTTCCTGCATGGCGTCCGGCATGGCGTCCTTGTAAAAGTTCGTGGTGCATCCCTCGCATTGCTTTTCGCATTCGGTCCAGTTCTCTTCATTCTATCCATTACCCGTGTGCGCGAGCGATTCTTTAGCGTTGCCTCACTCTCTGTCTCGTTTGATCCTCTTCCCGATCTGATCTACTTTGAACATTCATATCCTTATACCATATCTATTCCCCATACAAATCCTCTCTGCGTGTTTTATTCCGCCTGTCTATACGCGATGTGGCCTGGTCCTGGTCCTGGTCCGGGCTCCTTCCTTTCATATGCTCACTCGTTGTGCTGGTTCGGGTTTCGGCCCCTGGTCTTGTACATATTCAATTTATGGGTACCTGGGTACCTTTGATCTTGTCATTCGTCCGTGTCGTATTCTTAGTATGAAGCTATTACTGCTCTATGCGATGATCAAAAGAGGTCAATGCGAACAAGCATATGTCCATCGTACTAAGGCTGTTGTAATAACCACCTCAAGATGGGGCCTTTATTCCCTTCCATCTCACCAATCACACATCTTGACGGGCCTGTAAGCCCCCGCAACGTGACAATTCCGAGCCTCGTCAATCCGGCTCAACTGCAACAACACCCCACCCCACCCGAGAAAATAGAGGACTTCCCTCCAGGGCTCTTAAGACAGTATACAAGAGCAATATCATACATGGAGCTTTCAATATCAACACCAAGATCCGCCCTGATCCAACAACCCCCAAAACAAATCACTAGCACCGACAACAATACCATGAACGCCAACTCCCATCTAACCACCCTCCCAACCGAACTCCTCCTCTCCATAGCCCAAAACCTCGAAAAAGAAACCGACCTCAACGCCCTTATCCAAACATCCCCCTTCTTCCACACCACCTTCCAAGAAACCCTCTACAAAACATGCTCGGACCCGCAATCCAAATTCATCTGGGCATGCAACAACAACCACACCCTCCTCGCAGAGAAAATGTTAGCCAGAGGCGCAACGACGCGCATCCCACTAGTACCTGCTAAACGCCCAGCATGGGTGCTCCCCCGATTAACTCGAGATCGAGAGCGAGAGCGAGCTTCGGGGCCGCGGCCAGAGGCAATTCCGCTCATGGCGGCGGCGAGGAATGGGGGTGTGGAGATGGTGCGGTTTTTGATTGCCCGGGATCGGGGGTTAGTTCGTTTGTTGGATGGGCGGGGGTTTTCGGCGCTTTGTTATGCGGTTCAGTTTGGGCATGAGGATATTGTGGTGGTTTTGTTGGGGGTTGATGAGCTTGAGGGGGAGGGAGAGGGGGGGTTAAATGGTGATGGGAGGTCTGAGAACGGTGATAGCATGAGAAGAGGGGCTAAGAAGGAACGGGCTTGGAAGGCGGTTAATCCGATTAATGTAGCGTTGGAATGGGGGAGGAGTGAGATTTTGAAGATCTTGTTGGAGGATGGGCGCTTTGGATTCGATGAGGGGAGTCTTTTGGCGGCGGTTTTGGGGGCCGAGGTTGAGTGTGTGCGGGTTTGTTTGGAGATTGATACGGTTGGAGAAGGGGTTGATGATGAATATCATGTTTTCAGGGAGGCGGAGTTGGCGGAGGCCTGTGACCGGGGTCTTGAAGATATTGTTCTTCTGATGCTGGACCGGGCGAGGGGGATTGACCCGAATCGGGCTACGGGACGGGGGATGAGGACTCCGTTGATTAATGCGGCCAGGAGTGGCCATGAGGGCGTTGTGAAGATCTTGCTTGCTAGGGACGATGTTGATCCTGCGAAGCCGTCCAGGTCAGGATGTACGCCGTTCTGCTGGGCTGCGGTGAAAGGCCATGTCGGAGTTATGAAGCTTTTATTGGAGACGGGCAAGGTCGATGTTAATTCGCAGATGGATGATCTGAGAACGCCGCTGTCTTGTGCTGCTGCTGCTGGGAGACAAGATTCCGTTCGCTTTTTGCTCTCGCTTGACGAGGTCAGAGTCGAGTCTAGGGACGTCTATGGCCGCACGGCGATTTCTTTGGCTGCGGCAAAAGGTGCTGCGGGCACGGTGAGGGTGTTGTTGGAGTCTGGGAGGGTCGACCCTGAGGCAAAAGATCAGATTTATGGATTTACTCCTCTGATTACTGCGATTGAGCAGGGGGAATTTCACGAAAAGCCACGCTATGATCATTTCGATGGGTTTCTTGCTGCCCTTCCCTCTGCCAGTCAGGACATTCTCAATCTATTGCGTGGTGAGGATGTTCCTGTTTCTTCGGGCTGGACTCGGACAGAAATAAGCAGCAATGATGGTAGGGAGAGCAAATCAAAGGGTCGCGATGCCCTGGAAGTGATGAGAGTCTTTCTTGCATGCCCGGACTTGGTGAACCCGAACACATCGAGGAACGATGGCAAAACACCTTTGATGCATGCAATAGACAGACGTCAGGTTGATGCCGTGCAGTTACTGCTGTCGACAAGCAGGATAGATGTCAATATTACGGATAATAACGGGCAAACCGCGTTGGAATACGCGGAAGAGATATTTAGGCGCGGCCAGATGGAGGCCAGCTGGGAACTTGATGGCACGCCCTGTGATCTGGAACCAGTTGGCTTGTGAGAATAATAGTGTCTACCTATTAGGTAGGTACTACCAAAGCTACAGTTTCGAGTCCTGGGCATAGAGCATAGTACTAGCGAACTGCTCGGAGACCATAAAAGGCAATTGACATTGTGCAATGTGCTAGTATGATAGAAGAAAGAAGAAAATAAAAATAAAGTAAATGATAAATCGTGGATATTATTTGATACACATTACTCCTCAGTGATTAATAAAACTTCGCGAGGAACGATCCTCGCTTCGAGACGCGCCGGAATTCATTGACGGCAGGGCTCACAGGCTTCAAAGAGCCATCGTCCAGTTCCATCTGTTCAACGGCCCGGTATGCGGTAGATTGTCCACTGCCATATGCACTTTTACCATCCGCCTTGGCGCGGATATAGTAGTGTGCATCATCTTCCTCCATGCCAATAAACCAACGTTCTTTCAGCTGTCGACCTACGGGTCCACCGCCACAGGCGCCTTGAAGCCTCGCACTATGTGGACTGTTCATAGCCAGAGCGAACAGGTTCTGCGGCTCGGTGAAGTCTGTGATTTGATGGCCACGTGCTTCGAGGATCATAAAGCCAAAACAGATGAGGCTTGTGATGAAGCAGAAAACTAGAATGACGTAAAACACGCCTTGCCAGCGCTCTGTACCACCGGAAGCGTAGCCGATGACTTGGACCGAGGCCTTGAAGTATTGGTAGACAGGATCAGGAAGGATGTTTTCGTACACGGTGTAGTTCCAATTCTGAACAAAGGGGGTCTCCTGTGTGCTGAGAATAAGAGTACTACCAGCCATTACAGCAAGGGCTTCTCCGATAGAAGGGAAGTGCTGACTAAGGGAGTATGTGTTTGAAGACTCGTCGTAAGATGGCATCATTTGCATCAAAAGGCGTGCGTTACTGGCTGCACCGTTTGTGATCCCCGCCCCGAGACTGAGGGAACTGGCCCATGTCGATGCGATGTTTTTCCAGTCACCCTCCCATTTACCTTCAATAAACTCTGGGTGATCAACACTGTATTGGTATTTATTGTTGGGGTCCTCGCAGTGAGAGGTTAGACGAGCGCTGGTGGTTGTAGTGTTATAGCGCGTGGAGCATAAGCCAGTCAGTTTAGCGCGGATTGAACACATCACATAGGGCGGATGAGAGACGCTTGGCTTTCCCAGCAAGAAAATTGACTCCTCGGGCCAGGTGCTAGTTATGTTAAGGATAGTGTTGTTGACTTCTGGTAATTTGCCGAAAATAGGAGGGCGCCGATTATACTTCTCGCCAAAGCTGAAGATGTCATCAACCACTGTACTATTTCGCCATGAAGGCGTGCGGAGAATTATCTCAGATGGACTGTTCATCCAGCTTGTTGCGTTAAAGTCATCAGAGTCAGGCCATTCGCTGTAGACTATAGGTGATAGCTCTGACTTATTCATTCCCACACACAGTACGTTGACTGCTGGTGACGGGACCATGGCTTCGAGGTTGAATTTTCCTTCGCCCGACGTGCCTTTCGGTTGCTGGATATTATTTTTGGCATCGATAACAGCACCTGGAATACCACCATGAGGCATTGCCATAGTAATATTGTTAATCATGCGGCCGTGCTTGCTGGAAAGCTTTTCGGTGTTTTTGACTTCAATCCAGCTTCCAATAATTGTTGTGTTATCCCAAATCGAGCCACTGGGTTTCCGGCGCTGGTAAAGATTTTCGGATGTCCTGTTGTCGCCCTGTACCAAATCACTCCATTCTGTAATCCATTGCTGGTAGTTATGATATGCTGAACCAGCATGTTCAATCTGGAGACATGTGGTGTTGCGATCTACGGGATCCATTTCCAGCGGGATTGGAGTTTGACAGACCGAGGCGATGTAGAAGGTGTTGGCAAAACTAGAACGGACTGTCCCCGTCAGGACTCGGTCTTCATGTGGACCCATCAAGAGCGTTGGTGATACTAACATAGGAATTAGTCTTGATCCAAGGAATTGTTTATAAGAACATAGACAGACAATCAACTCACCCAAAGCTTCTGCAGCAGTTGTGTAGAGCATGGCAACAAATGTAGCAACCAACGCGATAGTACCAAGTATTGTTAATCCCGAGTATCGCAACGTCTCCCAGTGCACAATCATCGATCCGGGCTGCATAATCCACGCGCGCATACTCATGTCGGCGATGCTGATCCCTCGCGAATCCCTTGTCAACGCTCGGCGGCTCAAGACCTGGCCCAAAAAAGCGACGCAAATGGTGACATAGGCCAATTCGATGGTTTTAGCAAAGAAGGCACACAACAGGTTTGCGGTGGATGGGGCCAGCGCCTGCTTGTTATTGATGATATCCCACCGAGGTTTCCAGAACGCGATAATGAGATAGATTCCAGAAAATACGGTTGCATAGAAAGCGAGAATGAGAACTGTGATCGGGACCCATGACAAACGACGCTGGAGAATCGTTTTGTGACTAGGGCAGTTGGGCGAGTGAGGGATGGCTGGTGTTTCGGGCGTTTTCAAGAAACCTGGGGTGTCCGCCTGGCTATCTGCACTCGAGACGGAATCTCGCCTCGATCTACCAGCAGGTAGGGTCTCCCCCGATGGATTGGTGATTCCCAGACCGACATCGCGGAAGACTTCATTAGAGAAAGTGCGCGAAGGAGAAGGGATGTGGTGATAGTCGAGACTTGGCGATTCGGAGCGGCCAAGTGGATTCCAGGAGCGAGCAGGGCGAGCATTAACAAGATCTTCTTCTGGCAGCAGGGAGTGCTGAGATTCTCGCGATTCAGCCATTCTGGCGCTCGCGCAATGGAGATGGAAATTGTTAACGAAGCATGAAGAGAGTCGCCGGCCTTAAATCGGAGCTCTAGGCCATCATGCTGTTTAAAAATAGGAGCGGCCTTGCAGAGTGGAGGAAGAGGGAGGCCCCTCGTGCTTATTTTCTGCGGCTGATTCTCTGCGGGAACGGAGCTGGAGTCCCAATTCTAGGGTACTAAGGTGGAGCTAGTTCTTAGGCTCGGAGTTGAGGTGGTCCTCATTTGTTCGACCAAATTGAACTGTGGAGCCTCAGGGACGCGAATGGATCTTTGAGATGATCAGGTCTCCACTGTAGCGCTGCCATTGGGTCGTAAGCAACGGTTTGGCCAGGGTCTGGTCTTGTCTCTTCCACGCGATTGCAGGTGGGCGTCGTGGGCGTGCATGGCGGTGCAGAGGGTGCGAACCTTTACTTCCTTTTCTGGCGAGAATAGGGCCGATCGGACCGGCAATTGGTGGGATTGGTAAGATTGGTGGGGGGGGGACAAGATGAGATGAGGTCAAGGATGAGTTGGGGTGGGGGCGGAAAGAGTGGGCAGATGACCAGATGACCGTGACAGCCCTAGTCGGCATGCTCTGTGCTCTGCATGCTCTGTGCTCTGCATACTCTGTACTCTCTACATCGAGGGTATATACATCATTACGGGGACTCTGGTCAGAGGCTTGTACTATGTACGGATAAGTACACAAACTATTGTAAATGACTTGGCCTATGCGGTCTGGTTCCAAATTTGTGAGCAATTATCTTTGGCGATCTTTCAGTCAGACACTGATCGGCATATTGAACTTGACATATCCAAGTCTCCACTGGCTCCAGAACTGGCTGTGTTCTCCGTAATAGTGTACGGATTCTTCACACTGGCATAGTACTTTCAAGTTCACGATTAGCCTTTGTCGGGCTCGATGTCGGAATTGAATTTTTAGCTCGCGACGTCACCGATCTTGCCCAAGGTGACTCCTGGTTACTCACTCATGCAATGAGGAGCGTGCCTTTCATCATCGCTCGAAATCGTATTGGTTCTTCATATGTATAGACACGTCATACATTCCGGTGGGCCTGACTCCTCCAGCGAATGGCCCCATCGCGCTATTGTTGGAGGCTCTGCTCAGTCTTGTATAGCGCTCGAAAATGCGTTCCATATGGCCTAGACGCACGGAACTTTCCAGATAAGTACAATTGCGGCGGGCAATTTTTCCATTGCTTTCCATTATCCTTGTTATGGCGTCTATTCAGCTCAAGTTTACTTTGCAGGCCCCACCTAATGTCAAGACAATCCATCTCGTCGGGTCTTGGGACAATTACTCTCGACAGCACCGACTTCATAGCGAAGGCCAAGAAGGTTTATGGTCCGGAGAACTCCGTTCTCCTCTCTCGGTATTGCAACCTGGTCATCGCTACGGGTACTACTATATCATGGATGGTTACCAAATCAGTCATGATGAAGCCCCAATCAACAGAAAGCTAGAGTTCTTCGATATCCCGAGCGACCTGCTGAAACCTGACCCGTACAATCTTTCCCAGAGAAGCGGGAAATTTGCCATTCCCCCTTGTGTTTCGTCAACTGAGATTAAGCATCCCCAGCCATCCAAGCCGTTCGACCCAAACTTAATCTACAAAGATGACTTCGCACCTAACACGAATCGTCTTAGCTGCGGAACTGCGGGCTCGTCTTTGTCCGATGGAGGTGCGAGCAGCTACTCTGAGAACTCCCATAGATCTTCCGGTACATCAAACTACTCGGATTCCTCAAATTCGACCTTGCCCCCTTTGCAATCGCCTACCCAGCATAATCTGCGCCAATGCCACTGTGACCGTTACGGAATTACACGAACGGGCGACCGTGTCAAATTGAATTGTGGCGGTAGTCGCTGCGAATACCTCGCCGTGGCCGATGATTCCGACTGTTCCGAGTCTGCGGCAAATGGAGGTAGGGACAACATTTCAAGCAAGGATATGCATCGCTGGGGAGTCATCTTTCAATGAAGGAAGCCCAAAGCCCGTGAAAGCAATTTTTGAGAGATCCTCCCCCTAGAAGCTATGCCCCCTCGGACATTTGGCGTACCATATTCATTGGCCATTCTGTATATTGACTCCATTCAGGACCAAGATATTCGTGGATGGCGTTTATCTCCCGAACAGGAGTCCGCTCGATAATCCAACAATTTTTGACGCTCGAAGAAATAGCGATCAGATGGGCCAAGATTGCGAGAGACCGTGGTCGCAGCATGGTCAACAACTGCACGAACCGGGGCTTGATATAAGCAGGGAAAAACACGACTCTACTGGCCAAAACATTTGGATGCTCCCCAGATTCTCTGGCAATATCGGCTGCGGCAATGAAACATACCGCGTCAGTATAAACTTGCCAGTCTTCGTCGGAAACTGTGTCATGAAACAGGCGCAAGAGATATGGAAAGTACTGCATGTTTGCTTCAGAACGCAGTCCTGACATGTCGAAATTGCCCGAAGTACAGTTGCTTTTCGAATAGGAATTGAAACAAATTTCAAACTTTCCAAGCTGGATAGCCGATAAGAGAACTGTATGAGCCCCTTGGTTCATCTTCATCCAAGAGAGTGGAGGTCCGTAAGGATCCAAAGATCGATTTCTCAGATCTGATATTGCATCGGTAGAGAGGAGTATTGCGGTGTATGCAGTTTGAGCAGCGGATTCAGATTTCATGTCGCGTATAGATTGGCGGTGCTGTTTCAAAGCCGACCCGAGATAATGAGCCCTGTGTATTAATAACTCCTGTTTCGATAGCGGGAAGTCTTGGTTGGTTGTTGTGATGTATGAGATTGTTAGAGAGAACATCGCGTGGAGAAGGGGCTCGTGGTCGATGGCCAGTTGTGGGATATCATTGATCCATTTTTGCCGATTCTCCAAGAGAAATGAACCGGGCAGGGTATGCGAAACCTTGGTCACAAATAGTTGTAGGAGGCGAAGCTCCAATAGACGGCGGGCTTGGGTTTCTGCAAGTGGCAGAGCAGCTCGCGCGGAACGGTGGCCTGCGGAGCCGCTCTGACCGCCAAGCTCAGTAGATGAGGGAGATTCGAAACGCAATATTTCATCAGATGAAGCATCATATTCACACTCTACCTGATGGCGCGAACACGCCCCCTGTGATTACTATTAGCTTTCGCCCTTCCGGAATCAATCAATAGATGACAGACGCAAGTAGGCCTAGTCTCATCGCACTGCAATCTTGATTAGTGACGCATTTCAGCCTTGTCAAGTTGTAAATCACCTTGACGCGTCGAGCTTTGCAACGAGTACATCCAGCCTTTGACTTTTTGTGATATAGCCGTGGCATAGAGGATGGCCAGTGAGAATAATTGGCACGGGGGTAATCATCTGGGTATGTAGATTCCACGTTTAGGCTGCGCTTCTTTTTTCTCTTAAGTACGATCGGGAATAAAGGGGTGAATGAAACCGTGATTCGTTGTCGAGTCTGCCTTCGCTATTTGTCATCTCATATATGCCCTCATTTTCATCCAATCGACTAATCGCCCACTCCGCCTTGGCGCAGCTGGATGGCGCACTAGCTCGGCACGGACATTTACTGACAGAAATCAAACTTACGTCTGCTGAATTTGAGCTGGATATCTATGCATATACTAATTGATACGCAAACCTACTCGCGGTAAGGCATTATGGTACGACTAGTATCTGGTCTCGACGATCGATATCTAAATAAAGCTACTAGTAGTACTAGTACATGAATTGTCATCGGCTTGATTGTTAGAAAAATGATTGTTAGAAAAAGCCCACAAACTCGAATAAGATCGTGGAAGAAATTGCGAAGGATATAGCATAACTGTAAAAATATTGTATGGCTGCTAAATTATCTATGTGAAATACATCTCAGAATTCGAACGAGGCAAATTCAAATTCATTCTACGCTTCAAACAAGTAAATAATTCCAGAGTGACTAGGATAATTTATAATGTCTTAAACTGACCTGGGGAAATTCAAGTTAGGTTGAGATTCTGATTCTAACATCAGTGACCCCGTGATATCATCAAAGAATAGTCAAGATAGCCGCCGAAGAGTCCGGGATATCGATTGAGACTGTGCCGCCACGAACCTCTGCCGTCTCTTTCTTCGAGTGAACAGTCACCGGTTTTCCACGCTTAAGATTATAGTCATAAGAGATACCCGCAAAGGTCACGCCACTGGTTGAATCGCTTCCAGGAGCGATCATTCGTTCGACTTTCACATGATGATTTCTTCCAGGGACTTGGAACTGGTATTTCCGGCTCGGTCGACCGCTTGAAGTGGTCTCGTTGAAAGCCTTCATGTTCACGACAACAATCTTCGACAGCTTCTCTCCATCATAAATTCCATATGCAGCCTCAGTATCCTTCTTCAAAGGAATATTGACCACTCGGGAATTTTCAGCATGCCCCAAAGCTGCAGCGACCATGATCTGACCATAATAAGGAGGCCTTGTGGCTGGGGCTTCTCCTTTGCTAAGAATGGGCTGCCATGAAGCATATCGGTAGTTTAGACCTTGGTGCAGATGTAAACGCTTAATATTCTGTGCCATCTGTCAGTGCTATTCAGATTAGAATCTAGGTGCCGTCGAAATCATCTTACATTTGCTGCGGCCCAAAGGGAAAAATCGACCATCCATAGGGCATCGCCAAAAACGTTAGTTTCTCCGTTTCGTCCCTGACCCGCAATTGAATTCATTTCGCCTAGGGTGTAGAGATGACCCAGATATGCAAGATCTTTAGATCGAGTAATCTGAGGCGCTAAATTTTCGATGATGCTGGTGTGGTTCATGAGAGTTTCTGAATCTATTAGCATACTATTAATTAAGTTTTCCGAGGTTTAAAGGGTCATACTCTGAAGATCATCAGCTCCGTTACTACTGGGATCGAGATTGGCACCCATATAACTATACAACGCCATTGGTGAGTCGATGCATTGCTGTGACAAGAAGTAAGAGGACTCACTTGTGAAAAGAAATTTCCTTGGTCAAGTTCTTGTCATCGTATCCAAGGTTATAAAGCTCTTGCACAGTCCAACCATTTGTTTGGACGGAATCCATCAAGACGAAGCTGGGTGCCATGAAACCCGGGAAAGGACCTGGGCAAGCTTTTTGAACAACGGATTTGACCACTGAAGCCTTGTGATTCCATTCGTGGACATAGTCCAGCAGTGAGTAGCTGGCCGATCTGTAACTACCTGGAGCGAAATTCCATTCGTTTCCCAATTCGAAAAGATGTAGCTGCGGTCCAATTGCAGTACAGGCTTCTATGGCGGCATCCTGAAGCTGATTGATCGAATGATTCTGGTTAAGATTTAAGCCGTGCAAAAACTTGACTGGACCAAGTGTATGGTAAGATTCAAAGAATGTTGGACCATAATTGATTTGGATAGGTTGATCATCATCTGGATGCTCGTATATAAGCTGGATGTTATCCTCCTGTTCGGGAAAGTAGTCCGAATGATCTCTGTCATGATTATTATCAGTCGCGATGTGAGGAATCCATGCAACTGGCTTGGAAACTCACTGAGAAGTTCCCCCAACTCTGACAAGTGGATATACCCCAGTGAAGTCCTTAAAGTTCTCTAACAAGTTCTTGGAGAAATTGTTAGGGTGAGATTTGTTCCCAGCATAGTCTGGAAAGAAAGCAAATTCAATTGAAAAGGACTGCAGATCTCTGGGGACGTATTCGGCGCCGCTGTGTGGTCTCGGTATGACTATCGACTCGCGGTTGATTCCATGACAACGACCGAGGAATACGGTCATGCCGATCAACGGAAAGAAAGACAGCATCTTTGCCAAATAATATTTGATTTACTGTGAATGAAAATCAAATGTGAGATTCTAGTTATGTCGAAATTTGTTTATTTATGTTATTCTTCGTCGGCTATTCACCATCACCGGCCTTTGAAAAAGCTCCTAGGATGAGTATAGGCTCTCTTGGTTTGGGGTAACTGGTCACTCATAATTACCCTTGGGATACAGGGAAAACGATTCTAGAAGATTTCTCCACCTTCCAGGAGTTATTTCGTTCATTGAGTTATTCTAGTACTAGAATAGATTCACTAATCAAAATGCTGCTATGGATACTAGTACCTATACTACCACGTAAAGCTGAGAAGAAACCTACAATGACATAGCCGATATTCATAAGCCGATTTCCCCGCCTGGGTAAGTCTTTTCAAACTTGTGAGCATGGGAGCGGATGGGCCCTGTTGATCCCCGGAATTGACCTCCACATCCCATGAAATCCCCCCACTTCCCCGACATACCCCACAAATTACCAACTCGGAATATCCCGCTGTGTATCTAGCGGGGTGATGTTCATTTATATACAGCATATTAATTTATGAGCCACGTATAATTAAAGTTTACTCGCGGAAACACTCCGTCCACCAACCGGAATTTCCGCTCCCACTTGCCATGCAGACAATGTTGTTTCGGCAAATGCCGAAATCAGCTGCCTTGATGAACTGACTTTCCTCGGAGTAGAGATTGGCTTGTTTGCGTGCTTGGGGAATTTTGGGACGAAATATTTACATATTGAGTCCCCTGTGTCGTATCGCTGTCAATTATAATTTATTCGAGAAGCTACATATGTCATTGAATTTCCTAATGTGCCCCGGAACTTGATGAGGTTGCTGATTTGATTATCATTTCTTCATTAATTTTACCCATGCGAGGAACTCAGGGCAAGATCCTCTCTATTATATACATAGGCCTGACCCCCTTGAATAATCTCATCGAAGCGTTTGCTGATGCGGGTATAATTCTGACCATATCGACCCAATTCACGCAATCGAATAGCCACCCAGTCCTGATAAATTTGGTCTGGAGTTGCAATGCCAGCAAGGAATAATGGCCAGGCAATTCGGACCATGAGACGAGGTCGACTGCGATGGAGTTTCAGGCTTAGCTCAAGAACCTGGGATACAGCCGTTTGGAGGGAAATGAGATTGTTGCGAGCTTGCGTCGCTGGGTACTTGTTAAGGATATCTTGGAAGCAGAGATGAAAGAAGACAACAGTGCTGTAGAAAGTGATGGCAGACCAATACACGGTCTCCATTACTCGACGGTTATCACCAATAGATTCACATGAGGGTGCTGCCCTAGCGGTGGTCAAAACTGTGTCATATTCCTGTGTGGCCCAGTTAGCTCAATTTCCGTATGAGGCAGGATCAGTTGCATGTATATTTCCTTCTCCCACTCACCATAGATATCGTGTTTATCTCATCGACGATCTTTTGATAGGCCGTTTCAACTCCGGACTCGACTTCGTTGGGCACACCCTGTTTGAATAGCTCGGTGACTTTAAACTGTGCAACATGGCTTCGATGGTATAGGGTGAGACCGGGAAGGTTCTCCATATCATCCAATTGCGCAGACAGGGGGTATTTGTCGCCCCAGAATCTGGCAGGAGACTGCCTACTTATTCGGTAAAGCTCTGGAAGAGAAATCTGCGTTGCACTCTCACTCTGGGCTTCCAAGAAAAATTGAAAGATATCAGTATCCAGTCTTGTCGTGGCAGGTCCGAAGAAAAGAGCCGCAGGAGTAAAAAAGTATAGTGTCCAAAGCAGAAAAAGAGGCACTGATGTGCAGCGAAGTCCTTGCAAAGAATCCGGAATTGATGTGGCAGCATCAGAAGTCTTTTCGGTGCTTACTTCGTCTGAAGGCATCGGCTGGATATCAACATGTCTCTTTCGCACAGTGTTTTCACCATTCGATATTATTGCTGCTGTAGCCGAGCCCCCGGTCCCTTGACCCTGAGAATCGTCCTCGGGGGCTTGAAGCAAAGGTACAACATGGTTGTGCAGCAGACTTTCAATACCACGGATGTGGATGTTAATTGCAGTCGCTCCGTTACCAAATCGATTTTCGTAGTCAATCATGAGCCACAGTGTAATGAATATAGCTTCTATCTTCTGTGGTGATATGACATCTTGTTTAAGTGCATGGCGCAGACTTGAAAGGGCGCGACCGTAATGCATACGTCCATCCAATTCATGATTTTCAGTGATCAGGGTTGGTATAGACGAAGCCTCTTGGTCATGAAGCCGGGAACGATGAATTTCGCGTGCAGTGCTAGCCAGAATCATACTCATTACCATTGGCTCTTTCACGCCAATCTTATGATAGGCGTAAGACACTGTGGACCATGGCCAATGTTTTCCCAACATCACAACAAGTGTCGAGTTTTGAAGATAACCGAGACAGTCCCGGTCAAATGCAGACAGAGTGAGTGAATTAGCAGCTTGTACAGTTTTGTTATTTCCCACAACGCTGAGATCACGCGCGGGCATCAAAGGCGCATTGCGCGAGGTAAATGCCGATTGAACATGTGGCATGGACGGCGTTCGAACCATCTGACTAGCATTTTTGGAACCCTGGGTAGTCTCATTTGCAAGGCCATTGTCTAATGCAGTCGCGGAGGCAGATGAGGCGGGCTTTGACTTGCGTGGAATGGGCCCACCCCTCCACTCGCATCGGATACCGGCGACAACGCAACGTTTACAATGTGGTTCTTCCTGGCCTTGGATCGACTGCTTTTCCTCATCACATTTCACCTTGCGGATGCGGCACGTTCGACAACCTGTGTAGTACATATGTCAGTCCCGTAATTGACGCAATGGTCTAAATTGCCAGGGTGGTAGATCCCTACCCGTCTTGGAACGCGTTTTTCCAGGCCTGTGCATATTGAGAGATGTTGAGAACTGCCCCAAAGACCCATTCAGGATCCATCTGGTCCTACTCAGGGTCTTAGCCGCGCCACTAAAGACCTCAAATCTGGGGGTCACACAGATTGTAGGGGGCCTATGGCGAGCAGAGAATAGTTACTCGGCAAGAAGAAATATGTTGAGGGGAAAAGTGGAGGCCGGGGAAGCGTGAGGGCCTTATCTGCCGAGCGGAGAGATCTCCTTGGCTGGCTCGATTCTCTGGTTCCTAAGGGTTAGCCACCGCCAAAACGATAAGAGTCGTCCCGACTGGTGAATGCCGATTGGCTGCATCGGCAAGCATCGCTTTAACCTAATCTAGCAGTGCCATGCGTCGCCCAAAGAGCATAAGCTTCTTTTTTGTCATGGATGGAACCTTGGGATTTGCCGGATTACCGTGAATGCCGATATAAATGTCCTATTTAATCATCAAAACTCCATGATGAAATACATCAAACGCCTCGCAATCCTGTGGCTCCACTTAACGCCAAATTACACAATATGCATGTCCCTGAATCTCAGAGAGAATTTCTCGATAAGGTGCAGGAAGTTCTTGGTCGATATGATGCTCAGTTGAAGGATATCAATCACAAGGTGGGTTGTCAAATAGAATTATCCAGCATTTTTCCCCCTAACTAATATTGAACAGATCTGGTCTAATCCCGAACTGGCATATGAGGAGTACAAGGCTCATGATCATATCTGCGAGCTGTTTGACAGTCTCAAGGACAATGGTTATCAGGTGCGCCGTAAAGCATTTGGCTTGGAGACTGCACTCGAAGTGGATTATATCCACGGAGACGGAGGTCGTGTTGTTGCATTCAACGCGGAATACGATGCTCTCCCTGGTATCGGCCATGCTTGTGGCCACAATCTGATCGCGACTAGCTCCATCGCAGCCTTTATTGCAACCTGCGAATCCATGAAAGCTCAAGCATCTTCCATTTCTGGATTCACGGTCCGTCTGCTTGGGACCCCAGCTGAGGAGTCTGGCGGCGGTAAAGTTAAGCTCATCGAGGCCGGCGCCTATAAGGGCGTGGATGCGTGTCTAATGGTTCATCCTGTTCCGATGATACCAGGAAAGCCGGATCTTCATTGCATGGCTACAGTCCAGGAAGGGGGTTTTCTCGCCAATGATAAGGTCAAGGTGACGTTTACTGGAAAGCCAGCCCACGCCGCGGCTGCTCCCTGGGAGGGTATCAATGCTTTGGATGCAGTAGTCTCGGCATACGTGAACATATCAATGCTTCGACAACAGATTTTGCCGAGCCAGAAGGTGCACGGTGTCATTGTCAATGGAGGCGATCGACCAAACGTGATTCCCATGACTGCTACTGTGGACTACTATATTCGGTCGCCCACAATCAAGACCCTCAAACCACTCACCGAGAAGGTCATTAAGTGTTTTGAGGCTGCTGCCACCGCTACCGGATGCAAGGTTGATTACAGCTGGTATGTGAAAAATCACCCCATTAGACGATTGAATGGTGACTCATGGTGCATATTTAGGGGTATTTCATATGCTGATCTCAAAACCAACGTTCCAATTTGTGAGAGCTATGTCTCAGCAATGAGGTCAATGGGGTATCATACTATCTTTGATAACTCCGACCAAAAGGGAGCGCTTGCAGGTGGATCTACTGATATGGGTGCGTTTCTATGTTTCCACGTGCAGAATATGGAGTAAATCACTGACTTTAGGCTTAGGAAACGTTTCCTACGAGGTTCCTGGATTCCATGGAATGTTCTGCATCCCAAGCGATGGCGTAAATCATACCCCCGAGTTTACTAATGGGGCTGGATCACCAGAAGGTCATCAGAGAGCAATTGCCTGCGCGGCAGGAATGGCTGTAGTGGCTTGTCAGGTTCTGGTAGACGATAAATTTGCCGAGCAAGTGAAGGAAAACTTCCAGCGCCAGTAATATTAGAGACGTTTGTCAAATACAAATCATTAGGTAGAAAGGATATAGAAGTCTTGGTCTGAAAAATAATGGCTCGTTTGCTCAGGATAGTCACTGAAAATGTCGACAGTAGTCCATTCGTGCCCCCACTCTTGTTATCTGGGGAAATATAACCTAGATTGATCAAAAAACCAATCAGGGAAGACGAAAACAATGCGCGGACCATTCTATTTCACCCTCAGAGTAATACTAACCCTTTTCTCGGGGATCTAGGTTGCCAAGCCTCGTCTAGCTTGCCGATCCAACCAATTGTCCGCAATGCAGTGATACTTCGCTCTGATTTCCTTTATCTAGGCCTGAGATATTGCGGGGTTGAATCTCCCATGTCTTTACAGAAACCTAGCTTGTATTTGATAACCTTGGAACTCGGCAGTCATGCGACAATTGAGATATTATAAAAGCAACAGGAGACCTATCTATATTTTTTCTGTCACAGCTTGAATTCGACAACAACTTGACCTTGACCTTGATCACGGTGCTTCAAACTTGGAAAGTGTTCTCAGGACTTTTACAAGTACCATTTTCTTCTTTTTTGGCCGATCATGGATGACCAAATTGAAAAGAAACCCATCGGACATAATGATGCAGATGTGGACAGCCGAAGTTCTGACAATGGGGCTGTTGAACAGTTTCAGTCGTCATTCGAGTTTTCACCTATTGCAGAGAAAAAACTCGTTCGAAAAATCGATCGAACGTAAGTGAATCCTTGAACTATCTTTGGAATTTCTGAATTGGCTAATTGATATTTCCATAGAATTTTGCCTATCATGGTCGTGGCCTACATGATGGCATTTCTAGATAAACAAACTCTCAACTATTCTGCCTTGATGGGTCTACTTCAAGATCTCCATCTAACAGGACATCAATACAGTTGGGCGTCTGGAATCTTCTATTTTGGATATCTGTTTTTCTCGTAGGATTATCCCGCTGCGAGGAATCGCGTGAAAAAGTTTCGATGTTCACACTAATGCCAAATAGTTACCCCGCGTCACTGCTAATGGTTAAATTCCCACTGGGAAAATACCTCGCGGTCAATTTGTGAGTTCTTTTCTTCGATTCTAGAACCTCAATCTAACATGCCTCAAGTATTCTGTGGGCGATTGTATTGGCATGCCATGCAGCTACCACCAACTTTACCACATTGATGATAGTTCGGTTCTTCCTGGGATGCACAGAGGCTAGTTTGTCTCCAGGGTTTACTTTGATGACATCTCTTTGGTATCGCACGTCTGAACAGCCACTCCGCGCAGGTATTTGGTTCTGTGGAAATTCTTTGTCTCTCCTCATTGGAAACTCGATTGCCGTGGGTATTCTCGAGATCAAGAGTAAACTTGGTGCATGGCAGGTGAGAGTCGAAAGAAAAAACAAAACCTTACCGTACAAAGATAACTTACGATGATATAGTGGCTTTTTATCATATTTGCGGTTCTCACTTTTATTTGGGGGGGTTCTCATGCTCTTCCGCTTGCCAAACTCCCCGACCGATGCCCCGTTCCTTACGGAGGAAGAGAGAATGATTGCGACCGAGAGACTAAAGGCCAATAATACTGGCTTCAAAAACACACATATCGACAAAAGTCAAATTGTGGAGGTTTTTCAGGATCCAAAAACCTTGCTCCTGGCGATCATGGTCCTGACGGCTAACATCCCGAATGGGGGATATACCACCGTAAGCTTACCGCCCCATTTTCAGAATCAAGCTAATTTGAAAAGTTCAATGGACTTGTTCTAAAGGGATTTGGCTTCGATACTCGCCATACCTTGCTACTGGGCTTGCCAGGCGGTTTCATCGTCTTCCTTTTTGTGTTGAGCGGGTAAGTGAAATTAAAAATTTCCTCGGGTCGAGTGTTCTGACCAGATAAGTGGTATTGTTTCTTCCAAATTGAAGAACAGCAGATGCCTTGTAATGATTGGAATGAACATAATTAGGTGAGGCAAAATTTCCAGTATTGTGTTCGGGTGTTGGCTAACTATGCTGTAGTATTATTGGAAGCGTACTTGTCTATGTTTGCAAATCTGTCGGGGCTCGTTATGCTGGCCTGATCCTTATGGGGATTTACTCGACCGCCATGCCAATTTCGATGACAATCATAAGCTCCAATGTTGGTGGCTTTACCAAGAAGGCTACTGTCGGTGCGGTCTTCTTCATTCTGTACTGCGTCGGCAACATAATTGGCCCACAGCTATTTTTTGAGAATGAGGCCCCCAGGTATCAGGTAAGCTATAAAAAAGGAAGAGATTATTAAATTTCAAGCTTATCTAACGAGTTTACAGAGTGGATTCTTAGCTATAATTATCTGTCTTTCGATCAATGTCGTCGACAGTGGAGCCCTCATGTATTACCTTCGTTGGGAAAACACGCAGAGGGATAGAAGGGACTCGGCCTCTGCGTCAGACAGCTCTCCTGGAAAGCAGTTTGGCACCACGCCAGAACAATTGTCGGACATTACTGATTTGAAGAACGATAAATTTCGATATGTCTACTAGCATTCTAGTATCAATAACAGCTACGCAAGCTAGCTTGAAGAGAAATATTATTTCGTTGTCGGCCTAGCCGAACAAGTACAAATGATCTATAATCGTTTCATAATATCTCACATGGAGATCTCCACCACGGGTCCAGTATAGACGTGCCTGGCTCTGATGACATAGTACAGTGTGGCAAGGAATATGACACCTCCCCAACCAACGACACTGTAGTTCATATCCGTCACACTAGGGTTCATGGCGGTAGGCCAAAAACTCCAAAATATCACAATAATGATATAAATAACGGCGAATCCGTTTATCAAGATACCCCAGATACCCGGTACGTGGAATGGGCCCCAGACCAGCTTTTTTCCGGGGAGATTCACAACATCATCGTCATTGTCATTGTACCGAGAAATGTCGCCTTTGATGCGGCGGAATAGCAGTAGCACTGACACGATCAGGTAGGAAGAGTATAGACCGGAAACCGCCATTGATAGAACATCATTCAAAGCGACCGATGAACCGATATTGATAAGAGCGAGCAGTAAACTGATGAGTGTTGTAAGAAGAACTGACCACATGGGTAATCTATTGGTAGGCGAGACCTGGGGATATAATTGTCAGATATCTGCAGACAAAAACAAAACTTGGATTATTTACCTGACTCCAAAAGCGCCAGCCTGGTACTCCTCTGTCTCTCGCGAACGACCAAAATTGACGAGAGGTGGCTGCCAGGAGACCTACAACCGAACAGACGGCAATGATGAGGATAATTGAGCACATCGTCAAAGAGCCGGCCATGGACCCTGTACCCTGGTAGAAGACTTCGATAAATGGGTATCCAGTAGTGGTATTCAGAGCATCATCCATATCTCCCAGACAGAAGAGCATCGCAAGCAACATGCCGAACCCCAAACAGCCATTGATACCGACACTCATCATCAGAGCACGAGGAATCACACGGGAGGCATTATTAACTTCTTCGGCCATCTGTTCACAACAATTAACTCTGCCGACACCAGTATTGAGAAGGGAAAAACATACGTGAACGGCAGCATCGCCTCCTGCGAATGCAAATGCACAGCTAGTCATGCCAACGAACCAAGATATTCCTTGCGTTGGAAATTCTCCGCTGTTGAGAAATTGTAGAAATACCTCATCGTTGCTCTTATGCTCAGACATGTAGACCAGAGGAATGAGAATGCCAAAAAATCCGATAATATGGACTACCAGGATAATAGCTTCGAGTCGGGGCAGGAATTTTCCGCCGACTAAGTTGGCAAGAAGTGCAGCGACGAGTGCCGCCCAGACAATAAGGGTTCCGTGCCACGCCTCAGGTTCGTAAAGCTTGTGGGCCAGAATTGCTGTTCCCTGGATCTCGGTTCCACATAAATATGAAGCTGATGCGAAGGCAGTCTGCCAACCCATCACAGCCATCCAACCTGTCGATAGCAAAATTTCAGCTTGACTAGCCTATCCAGATATCGAAGGCGGCCATTACATACCGGTTATATAGCTGAGAAATTTTTGTTGCTTTATCGGAGCAAGCATAGAGCACCAGTGGTACTGGCCTCCCGATGTAGGTGCCCTGCTTGTATGTTAGTCCAAGCCCGACATCCATAACTATCCATCGGTTCCGCAACCTACATAGATCCCATTTCACCCAAGACAACAAAGGTGCAGGCAGTGCCGACCCAAGCAAAGATATATGCATAAACAGCACCTCCGGATCCACCACTTTCATCTATTAGACATGTCGAAAAAAACGGGAGATGGAACTAACTTTTGCAAAGGATTGACGAATGTACTAGCGATGCGTTAGATGTATACCCATAAGACTGCTGAAACGGACATACCCTAGAAGACCTTCCCAAGTACCTAAAATGGTACAACTAAAGCCAAGAATTGAGAGAATCCCGAAGTTTCGCTGCGAAGAATGTTTAATTATCAGGTCAGCTGCGGCGTCTCGACGCGATCGCGTACCTTGAGAACAGGTTTCTTCCCCAACCGTTGTAGTTGAAGATTATCTCTGTCCTGGATAGAATACTCCTGTTCCCCGCCACGGGCTGTGATTGAGGCCTGGTTTTTCAGCTCGTATGTCACCATTTTTGTTGATGAGGAGGTGACGTGGGGTGAGCCAAGGGAGGAAAGGAGCGACGCCGGGAGGGATGGCGGGTTAAAAAGAGAAACACCTGCGAGGCAAACTGGAATGGAATGCCCGAAAAAAGCGGAGCAATTCTCAGTATTCTTGTTTCATTGCGAGGATTGTAAACAGCCGACAAATGACACTAATGCATTTGGCCCTGCGTGAGTTGAACACTTGTAATCTGTAACGATGGCTGGCCCGACGCCTCAAGGATTTAGGGGCCCACAACGCGCGATTACAGTGTCGATCCCACGCAGAAGATTGCGAAGAAATCCCACCAGGGCCAATTACATACTTGATTCACATCGATTGTGGAACCGATAAGATGCGCATGTATATTACAGCCCATTGCTTATAGGTCATTGAGGGGCCCCGAGGGCGATTGAACTAAGCTCTAAGCCGATGTTGCACCGACCCGAACTGGGGCGAATCCTTCGGTCTGATTTCTACTCCACAATAAATGAAGCCAGGTGAGGTCTGCTAGGCCAAAGTTGCGTAATACCTCGAAGGATTCGTGCATGGGGGTTACAAGGTTCTGAAAAAACCATAGTCTCATCAAGCAGTGCTTCAAGTTCTTGGCTCGAGGATGAGCGGGAACAGTGGAACTTGCCAGGTTGTTATAGGGGTCGCAACAGCCGACGATACTCAGCTTGAAACGGCATCGGAATCCTTGAGGGGTAGATGTATATTTTTTCGGCCAAACCCCGACTGGGAGCCTTTAGAATACTAGTAGTTTAGGTAATGAGTACGATTCCGCCCCTCGAGCCTAAGATATGGATCCCGGGTATACCTGGGCACCCTGTGAAATAGAATTCAAACCATTTGGCCCCTGCAGCAGCAGCCACAGAAAATCAACAGTGATATAAGGTGGCTTAACGCTAGTGGTACTTTTTATCACAGCTATCTATCTTTCCTGCTCATTTCTTATGTTTTCCTTATACTTTCACACATCTAGCATCGATGGGTACACGCTTCAAAACCGAATCCAAAGACCCCGCTGTCAATGTCACGACATGGGTTCTTCTAGTTGTTGTCATCTTGAGCGTCAGTGCTCGGTTGGGAACGAAGTTTAACTTGTTCCACAAACTGACGATAGATGACTTGTTGATTGTGGCTTCTTTGGTATGAATCCAATCCTTACTAGTGTGCTGCCAGTGATCTTGAACGTTCAATGGGTTTCTAACTAGCAGTTCGCAACTAGATATTCTGCATCGTGCAAAGTGTGATTATATCTATGGCTGTGGACTCTGGGTATGGAAAGCATTTTAAAGATGTCTCTTCACAAGAATTTGATCAAACCATGAAAGTGAGCAGTTGATATTTTGAGTGCAGTCTCCGCAAACTCTACTAACATCATATTTACAGTATCTCTACGCCGGATCGCTTCTGTACCTCATTAGTCTTACTCTGTCGAAGTTATCTCTCGCTGTTTTCATCCGGAGCTTGACGCCAACATCAAAAGATAGGAAGTATGCTCGTCTTGTGGAGGGCATGGTTTGCACCTGGGCGGTCGTCACGATATTTGGCACTGCCTTCCAATGTTCCTTACCACGAGCGTGGGATTTCTGGGACGGCAAATGCCTCAATGAGGTAAACCCTTTGTCCTTTGATCATTGATGAATAATAGTACTGAACCTTTTATGTTTTCCAGATGGCATGGCGTTTCTTCGTTACTGGCTCCAATATCGTCACCGATCTCATAATATTTTCTCAGGCTATGATTCTCATTTCTAGCATTCAGACTTCATTGAAAAGACGGATGATATTTGCGGGAATATTCATGCCAAGACTCTTGTGAGTTCTGTCCGGTTCTTATTCTGTTCTTTTGCATCTTCCACCTAACGAAAAACCTATAGAGTCTCTGCGGCTGGAATTGGCCAGCTTGCGCTAATCAAGAAAGGTTCCCAGTCAAGTGATCCCACTTACGGCCTGTGTGATATTACGATTGTGGAAGTCACTTTGCAATGTTTGAGTATTGTGACAGCATGCTGGGGTCAACTCAAGCCATTCCTCTCATGGATGAGAACAAATGGACTCAAAATTGAAGGTGTGGATGATCCAAACAGCTCGAATTACAAGTACAATCGGTCGCAAACAAATGCCAGGTCGAGCCACAGGGGCCATGGCACGTTGCAGTTTTCTATGAGAGATCAAATTCTGGTCACACAGGATTGGGAGGTAGACAGTCAGTCTAGTCGGGCGCAAATAATTTCGGAAAATCAGCCTTGGTCTGCAGGTGGCAAGCGATCTACCGATCGACTCAGCGAATGAACTCTGGCCAGTGCCCGCTTTGGGGGCCGAATCCTTTCACGTTGTACATCGTAGCACAGGGGCAAAAAAAAAGCTAGGCAATCAGGCATACGTGTGCACGCAAGTGCTTAATATGTACATTGTCATCATAATAGAATGGTTGTTGCCCTATGGGGAGGGATGATGCTTCAATGTGTGGTGGTATCTGAACCACACCCAGTTCCCAGAAGGTCTAGAATGATAGAATACCCACCATTTTTCATGATCATACGATTTGTCCCACGAGCCTAATTAATATGAGATGATAATATCAAATCACTTATTTGTTCGGTCGGGGTGTCCAGCCAATGGCAATAAGGTAATCGCCGTGCGGCATTTTTGCATTGTTTCGCAAGACATTCTGTGACTCTTGGCATGTAGAGCGATGGGGCTATGAAGCAAACAAGCTGCCCCACAAAAATAACTCGTCTACCACCTGCCTTACTTCCCCTAGTCACTTGGAAGATAATTTTGGACTTCAATTTTCACTGCACGTCGTCCTAATGGCCCCCGATGTGTTGTGGGCCGCTTTCTCGCACGATTATGTATCCGTCTTGAGAATCCTCCACGATCGTTCCCTTTACCGCCTATTCAGAAGCTTGAGGCCAACACAAGCCAAATATTGATGTCTAATAACTGAGGGATAATTCTTATGCAAGCATGCCCCATATGTAGTTCGTATTTCCCCGTGGTGGATGGCATCACGCTACCCCAAAGCCCCAGCATACCTGGTCAATTAAATTTGGCAAACGGAAACGATCGGAAGTATGCAAACCTACATGTGACTCTCGAGATGAAATTTTATTTCTTGCACATTCGAGCAGATCTCACCATGCGAATGAGTTGAAAGGTGATCAGAATTTTGGAAAGTGTCGAGGAGTTAGACTTATCCAGGACCGTGGAAGTACTCGTTTGAACCACAAGGCTCTGAGCCCCTGCTTTGCTATGGACGGCGATGGATTGATGTGCCGGGTGACATCGCATATTCAATACCATTTTGATTTTCTGCTGCCAAATTCCTAAGGCACGATTTTAGCGCAATGTGAAGAACGACTATGAATCCCCAATTTCTGGAAGATTGAAGACTATGCTGATCACAAGCCCGGGGGTCACTAGTGCCGGTGTTCGTTTGTAGAAAGTATGCGGCCGGTTATCTTGCTAGTAGTACAGGCTGTCTAACCTACAGTTTGCCCTCCCCAGGTCTCCTCGAATGATCTATATACAGTGGTTTTGGAAAGTAGTCGCTATTATAGTGGGGATCACTTTGAACTAGATACGTCTACTTTTTTATGCTATGAAATGGTAGTGATTTGCGATATGCCTACTCCCATATGTCTAACCATTCAAGGAGGGTCACCACCTTCAAGTTAAAGATACCTCAGGTACTTGCCTAGTAACCCTGTGGCATCAGTATCGTTCGCCGTGCCAGAAGACCCATAGAATTAAGCTACCATGGCTCCTCTGAGATTGATTTTCACCTCTTGATAGTGAGCGAATGACTCGACGCGCCCACTTTCAAAGCGACGAAGTTCTTGGCGCTCATTGTCAATTATTATACAGTTGTAAAGAAATGGCAATTGACACTTAGGTGGTGATTATGGGGTGATTGCTTCCCAATACCCATCTTATAGGGATACACGTACCGGAAAATCGGCAAACCCTTCTCCCGGGAAACACCAGAATGGTGAGATTAAGTGCATTCATGATTCTCCGTAACTATCCGAAAGTGCAACTGCAGGGTCCACATCGAGATAGCACTTAGGAAATCAATTTGGCAGCGTCAGGGGACCAAACGGATCTAACTTTAGATTAGCAGGTTTCATACCGAGCTTGAAGCTGCCAAGGGATTATCTTTGCTACTTGATTGGTAGCATAACCGCCCTGGCTTTACTGTGTATCTATCATTTCCTCGGTAGCTAAGACGCGACGATCCTCCCACTAGACATGCAAAATCCGGTGTTACATTCGCCTACAACGCGCGTATTTGGACCAATTACTCTATTCCAGCATTTACATAGAGAGCCGAATATTTGTTTCGGCTTAATCGAGCGCTGCATACTGTAATAATATTGGCCAAGCTTCTTCGTTGATGGAACGACCTTTCCATTTACGGTAAATTCGGCCGAGCACGAAGTCAATGCCAAAATATTTCGAGTCGGTCGGATTGATACTATGCTGACCAATTCGATTTTATCTAATAGCCCACATACATAGCTTGTGGGAAGAACAGGTCTGGGACTCGCAATAACAGTTAAAAATATTACCCTCCTTGAGGCGTATATCATGCTGCTCATCATGCATCGATTCAATGAAACTTTAAGGTATTGGTAGAGCGTTATGGGTCCCAATAACAGCTCCACGCCCGACAGATTCGTCGGAACTTTCTCCACCAACTTGAACGTCTCCCTCCAACAAGTTCTAGATCGGTAGCTACTTACTTCCAAGTAATCTTTGCTATCCACACCTCATCTGGGAGCTTTTGACACCAGATCTACCAGGTAAATAATCACAACTTCCAATATCTACGAAATCCAATATACTGGCGGGCCTTTTTATGACTGCAATTTATGAAAATAAAAAGGTCTTACATTTCGATTGAAAATTCGTAATTATTCTGCTTTTTTGACATCGTTGTTTTGGCATTTTGAGCATGCACGGCAATTTTAATACTTGCTGAGGTCCCAATTTATAGCCAAGAACATACTACTAGTAATACAAACGTGTTCTTGAATCTCAACGAAGTTTTTGTCTACTCAATACTAGCTAGTAGTAGCCATTTCCTTCATGATATCACGCCTATTTTCTTTGAAGCCAAAAGAAACTGACGCATACTAGAGATCCTGGTTAGTTTTCCTTTTTTTTATCACCGATTCCACGCATCCAGGCCTACAGGGAGTACACCTGGCACACAAGGATAGCTATATTGTCCAACTTTCGAAAATGAGCAGTGAGATGTCTCAGCCAGAAAGAACCGTAGTACTCCGCACCTAGGTAGTTATCTGGCCAGTTTATATGTGGATATTTGTTTGTGCAATTTGTTTATCACTACCTAGGTACTCTAGCTGAAGCAGCGTTAAAAGCACGGGGCAATACTAGTCACTAGAAATCATGATGTAACTCCACCTGTGTTTGAACCTTGCAATGTATTTTAGTAATTCACCGCCATTTACTCCAAGTCGTTCTAGAAGCACAACGGTTTATTCAAGAAGTTGTTACTTCGGCTTCTGGGGATCTGGACTCATAAAGAAGCTTGAGACAAAAATGCAATTTATTTTGCATTAGCCGAGCGAGCTTCAGCTCTAAGGCCATATCGACTTCGGATCGAGACAAGTTTTGGGACCTGCGAGATAAATTAATTCGCAGAGCTGAATTGGCTGCCACGCAGGGTCCAGCATAAACGTCGATCACTTTCCTTTCAAAGAAGAGGGTACCGGGGTAGTTCGTCGAGGTATCTGGATCCTAGTATTCTGCCCACTTGGTTTATTAAAACTTTGATCCTGATCCATGGATGTTACTCGCAGGGTTCGAAATAAATAGCTCTAGAGGCTTTTTACCTAAGTGAAGGCATCAATAGTACTTTGTAGTAAAGTGACAACACTTACGTTGTGCATCGGATGGATGTATTCTCCAAATTCAAAATAGACATTTGCCACATTGGATCGCGCTAGTTGAATAACCCCTCGTCTTTCATGCCCACCCCGCATATAATATCCAATCCCGAATACGAAGCTTACAGCCATCATATTCATCGAAATCCCAATTTTGAGCACATAATCATGCTGATGGTTCTTCGATGGGTAGGCATCGCCCCTACTGTGTTTCTTCCAGTCATCCCGGTAATTAGGCATATCCATATCTGCTCTTTCAACTGCGTCAAAAATCGTTTACACATTCCCACGCAAACCGAGCCGAAAACAGGATTGACTGATATTCTGTGGGTCCCGGTTGCAGCCGCGAAGCCTCGGATCGCCAACCGCAATTTTGTACGATCCGTTCGCGCCACCCGGGGCTGGTGAGATTCGATCTAGTGAGAAATATTGTAGAATAGAAAATTTTAAGATGATTATAAAAATATCTCATCGGTTCTTTTGGCCCTGTATTCGGCTCTATAAACTGAGTATATTGAGTAACTCACTTGTGTTCAAGTTCTTGATCCGTCGGTAGCTTTGTTTACTGGTATTCAAATGCGGAGAGTCGCACAACGGCACATAGAGTAGGGAAATATTCTGATGGAATCGAGTCGAATTGCCCGAAAAAGACCCGCCAGGCTCGAATAATGCAGGATCATGTGGCTTCTGCAGGATCCTGGCACGAGATGCGGGGTGCCAATCCGCAGCACAATAGCCCTGATTGGGTGGGTCTCGAAGATGTCTTACATTGTGCAAAGACCCTGAATCACCCCAGTGACCTTGAGCTCTCGTAAAAGACTACTACTCCATAGTTACCTCAGTATGATGTCTCACCGGTTCGCTTCTAAGACATCACTAGCACATGGCGGGTTATTTCCGACCTCTTCATCGGTGCTGTTACATGCACTAATGGCTAGTCCATTCTATTTCGAGGAAGTATGATGGAAGATCAGCAGAGGCAGTAGCTATGGTCGATCGGAGAACCCATCTCGTATATACTTGGCTGTCTTTGAAGAAACTCGAATGTTATAAATACCTCCCTCCAGCCCTGCGACTTTTAATAAAATCCATCCTCATCAATCTTTATCTTCACCTTCGTTACCAACCAACAAAACCACAAGACAACCGCCATCATGCAGATCACTCAAGTCCTCCTCTCCACCCTCGCCGCCGCCTCCGCGGTCATGGCCGCCCCTGCAGAAACCAGCAAGAACATGATGGCCTCCAGCCCCCAGTGGACCATCCGCAACCTCAAGCGCCAATGCAACGGCGCCGACACCACCTGCACCTGGAGCTTCGGTGTCCAGGTTGGCGGCGGTGCCACCAAATGGTGCAATTACGTCGTTAATGGCAACGATGCTTCTGAGGCTAACGGCGGACCCTCTGGCTGCGGTGTCTACACAATCACCTCCGGCTGGAGCGGCCAGTTTGGCCCGGGCAACGGCTTCACCACTCTCTCCGTTGTCAACAACGACTCTCGCCAAATTGTCTGGCCCGCTTACACCGACAGCCAGCTGGCTGGTGGCCACGTTGTCAAGCCCGACCAGTCTTATTCTCCCGCTGCTCTGCCTTAGATATCGCAATGTGATGGCAGAAGAGTCGTGTATAAATTGGGCTGCAGGAAGGTCCAGATTCTATAATGATGGCTTATCCATAACATAGATGGTTAGCCTTGATGTATTTAGCTCGATTTTATTTTTTGAAAGCGCACACTCCTTGAATACATTCAATGACATCGATTGCTATCTTTTTCTCCGTGATACACAAAGTACCTGAATTTAAACCACGAAATCATGTCTCTACTATCAGAGTCAGTGTCTCTTTCAAGTCTCGCAAAAAAACCATCATTTTTGTATGAAGATGGTGCTGCGATTAAGGTGTAGCCCTTATTGTTCTAAATTTTAACCTCGAGTATTGCCTAATTGTTGTGTTTACGCCTTTTGAGTATTTTGTAGAGACCCACGAATCTGGAAATCTGCTGCACTCAGAGGCTCAGTCGCCTGGGCAGTGGCTACTAGTACCAATACTTCCATTGAGATCTCCATATTGCCCCTTCCACAAAGCTCAAAGGAATATATAGCTCCAAGGTTTCTGCTATGAGTATGGATACTAGTATGTTTGGCTTTTTTCCATAATACCCAATTAGGTATGTACACGCCCGGGCGTCGTTAGTACTAGTAACTTGGAACTACTACTACCTAGGTCGTTACTACTCACCCAATCGTGCAACTGTTAAATACTAGTAGTACTACTACTACCTAGGTACCTAAATTACCTATGTGGTAGTATATCACATCGACCCATCCAGTTCGACGATGAATTCTTGAGGTTGCATCTTATTCACCTTAAGTGGGCAGTTATATGAAATTAAGTAATTGATCATGAATTTAATTTTTTTTATTATTGTGAATGAGGTTGACCGATGTTTAAACACCCATCCTCATACCACCATTGGCGCACACAACACTACCAGTGCTCCAAACGCCATCAGGAGTGCACAGCATGCAGACGACACCAGCAATCTCACTAGTGAATGCCGGTCGACGACCGCCCATCTTCTCCTTGATCAAACGGATCTGCTCCTCGGTCAACCGGCTCATAGTCGACTCATCATTCACATCCAACTTGGTCATGGGAGTATTATCCATATAACCCTGGATATCATTCCAGAAAGCCTCACCGGCCTTGAAGTACATATCACCAATGACAGGGCCAGGGTTCACCGCGTTGACGGTGGCCCGGTCGGCTAATTCCCGCGCCCAGGTCCGGGTCATAGACTCGAGAGCCGCCTTGGTACCGCCATACATGGACTGGCCAACAAAACCCATTGAGGCAGACACACTGGAAATATTGACAATGCGACCCGAGCGGTCAGTGGGGAGGAAAGGAGCGACTGCTTGCGTGAGCAGCAAGGGGGCTAGCACGTTGATGGTGTAGTGCCAGTTGAAGTGGTCGGCAGTGATAGGGCCGCGCTGGGCATCATTCAAATCGCGATCCGCCGAGACACCAGCATTGTTGATGAGGATGTCGATTTGAAGTTTTCCCGAGGAACCGAAACGCTGTTGCGCAGCGTTGAGAATGGCGGCTGTGGCTTCTTCGGGCTTGCCTAAGTCGGCTTGAACGAATTCGCAGCGGACCTTGTGCTCAGCGGCTAATTCGGCGCAGATCTTCTCTGTGGGTGCGCGTGATGAGTCGGAGGTGTAGTTTAGAAGAAGGGAGGCACCCTTCGAGGCCAGGTTCCGGGCAATAGCCTCGCCGATTCCTGGGGAAATTCATGGGTTAGCGGAGCTGATTGGGGTTTGCGGGGGAGAAAGATGGAGGAAGTGAAGTACCCCGCGATCCGCCAGTGACGATGGCCAGCTTTCCTTCCAACACACGCGACATTTTGGAGAGAGGAGTGAAGAGATTGAATAGACTGAGAGTAGAGAAAAGAAAATGAGTCGTAAATGAGAATAAAAAAGGACAGCAATGCTTTGCTTTGTATTCGCCTCGCAATTTAGCCGACTGGTGGCTTCTCCACGGCGGGAGTGAATTGCCCGAAGGGGGCAAGTTGGGGAAGGTGGGTCAATAAGATCATCGGGGTTCAATGGATATGCAGTGATGAGATGACTATAGGTAAAAATATAGAAGAGGGACCTGATGCGAGTGTATGTTGAGACGGTAGTTGAGTTCATGATAAGATGAGGTTGAGATTGTGGTCATGTGGTCTGTTGAACTACACTCCCTTCTCCATCTTCATCTTCCTTCTCTTTCTCTTTACCATCTCCCGTTACTCTCACTACTCTCCCACTCGGCTAATTAACCTTCAACCGCTTAAATTCCTCCGCATTCTCCTGGATCGCAACCTCCACCGGCAACCGCTCCATACTGCTTGCCCCAAAGAACCCATGCACCCCCTGAGTCCTTGACAGTACATACTGCGCGTCTGCTGGGCGTGCGATTGGCCCTCCATGGCAAAGCACCAGTACCTCCGGGTTGATTTCCACCGCTGCATCACGAATCGCCTGCACAAATCCCACACACTCCTCCAGTGAACGCCCGCTACGAGCCCCGATCGAACCCGCCGTCGTCAAGCCCGCGTGAGCGACCACAACATCCGCGCCCGCTCGTGTCATCTGCACAGCATCCTCCGGGCTGAAGACATAGGGCGTTGTCACGAGTCCTTGTCGGTGCGCTATTGCAATCATCTCCACCTCACGATCATACCCCATCCCGGTCTCCTCTAGATTGGCGCGGAACTGCCCATCGATCAACCCGACCGTTGGAAAATTCTGTACCCCGACAAAGCCGAGACGTTGCAATTCGGTTAAGAAGGTTGGCATCGAGCGAAAGGGATCTGTACCGCATACTCCGGCCAGAACGGGGGTATTTTCCACGATTGGAAGGACTTCGCTGGCCTATATTGAAAAAAAGACAACCATTCTCGTTAGCTGGCTGGGGGGGCTGGGGGGACTCCAAGGTCTAGCTGGAACTATACCATCTCCACGACGACCTGGTTCGCATCCGAGTATGGCATCAATCCGGCCAGCGAGCCGCGACCAGCCATGCGGAATCGACCGGAATTGTAGACCAGGATCAGATCACAGCCGCCTTTCTCGACCGCCTTGGCTGATAGGCCGATACCTTGTAGACTCAGCTTTCTCTGTGGAAGTCATGGATTGCTGCAACACCGTAATCCCAGCACTCACCAGCTCCGGCGCCCACAATAATGGAACCGTCCGCGACCGTCTTACGCAGACGAGCGAGGACTTCCTCTCGATTCGCCGGTCGGGGCATTGTAGTATCGAATGCTAAAATTGATAAACCGAATAGGCCTCGATGTAAATTATTGTTTCCGCTAAGTATAGGGGAGAAGGTAGTTGGATGTTGCACTGAGGGGATGGAGTCGTGGTATGCCCCTCCCCCGCCCCGCGAATGACCTCAGGCGCGCACACTGAAGTACTAGAAGCAACACAGCCTGCCTGGATTATCCCTGCTTAGCGACACCTTCGGAAGATTAAGGCTCGCGTCTCACACGATGCATCTCACTCCAAAAATGACGACTGGGCATCCAAAGTTGTGCCTTATTGGCGAGTTTGGTTTCTAGCTCGGCTGGGCTTGGGTCTATGTATTGCTTCAACCCTGCCTCATGCTACATAGGATATATAATCCGAAATATGAAATTTTCTCGGGGCGGACAGCCGTTCTTCTAGCCTTGGGTTGTTGCTCTGGTTGGTCGTTTAGCTGGGCTTTCTGCTGCAGGTGGCGGCTACTGTGTACTAGTACTGTAATGAGCTCCTTCAAGTTGTTGCACGAAAGCAAACAATTATTATCCTGCCTGGCTACTACTACTGGTACTCTAGCGGGCCTATCGGTGGGTTCAAGATGAAAAGCGATTTTTCAGTTGTTTTCCAGTTGGGCCGAAAGAGCTGGTGTGGTGAGCTGGGTCGTTTCAGTGAGTTATACCAAGTGTCACCTGGGTTGCCTAGTAGTACTCGTGGGTTATTCATTCGATTTATTTCGACGAGGCCATTGAATTGATAGTCAATCCACCGAAACCAGCAGAATACAAAGAAAAAGAACCTTGTAAGTAAGATATCTAACATGTGTGACCAGTGGTAATTGACATAGAACGACCGGTGGACACGTATGCCTGCTCCAGGGCTTCATATTCAACTTCCCAGATTTGAAAACTGTCAGTAACTTCCAAATCGGTTTGCAGAGATCCAGTAGTTATATTAATTATTGAGATTGGAGCGATAGTTGCTAGTAGTAGCTACTAGGTCATTGTGGCAGACTTGGGATTTGAACTCCTCCAAGCCAATGACTTTCTTTTGATTTTCCGCTGGCCAAATGACCGAAAGCGTGGATTGGTACATGAGATGGAGGAGTCATTATGAAGTTGCAAGTTGTTATCAACAGTAAAGTTGCCTCGGAGAGGGGTGGCCCATCAGCTATCACAAAGCTTCAAGTACACGACTCTCGGCTCACCCTGGCAGGGGCTATGAGGCGAATTGTGTTATTTCCAGGATGGGAATCGTCCCGTTTTAAGTTTTTCGGTGTGGAAATAAAGGAAATTTGGTACGTTCATTCGAAGGCGAAGGTCGTGGTTTAAGTCTGATGATCAGACTTGGCCGCTCTAATAATTGGAACGGTGGATGCGAGCGCGGAGATTTGTCGATATTGTTGACTAGGATTGAGTCAAGTTGTATCTAATGAGAATAAGGTATCACCTTACTAGTAGTCAGTCATGAATTGAAAATGCAAAGGTAATCGAAACAATGGAAGTTGAATTGGGCCATGAATCTCTCTCCCCTCTTCTTATCAAAAGGGTGAGATGATCTTGAAACTAGCGATGAGTCTTGAATTGACAATCACGGCCACAGCAACTCCAACTTTCAGGATCAGGAAAAGAAGGAAAAGAGTATTTTGCTTCAGTATTATGACACGAGGAAAGCCACGCAATTGAATTGATCAAAAAATCATATATCGAAATCGATCCCCGCCTCAATGCCCGGGCGCTTGTCGATTCCACAATCAACCCAATCATGTTCCAAAACCGGTCCAATAACCGAAGAACTGATACATGCAGGGGCAGGAGTACGCCAAACCAGTACTATCTAGCAAAATAAGCACCGAAAGCCGAAATTAGCCCTGACTACTGCGTACACTCGCACCTAAACAAACAAACGAGATCCGGTGGAAATAGCTTCACGTAACTGATTCGCACGGTGCCATCCCCTCAAATCCACTAATCATGCAGGGGCCACGCTATAAGCTCTCGAGTAATTTCCCTCAGCTTGGCGTACGCCTCTCCACGGTGAGGATTCGACGTCGCGTGGAGTCTACCACAACCCACCTTCTGGCATGACGTTTCCGGCTGACGCAGCTCTTCACCCGGTTTAATCTTCCCAATTAGATACTCGAGCTGGGTAATAGGTGTTCATCGTGAGATTTTTTGAATAGAAGGGAATTCATTTTCTTGTATATGTTTATGACTTCTTCAAGTTGGCCTGATGCCTTGGGCTGCAGGCATCTTATACGGAACCTGTATGTAGATAAAACACGTATTAGTTCAAGAATTGCATTAGGCAAATACGCCAGACCATGTGGGTACCAGTACGCTTGTAAATATGGGAAATCTTTCAAATTGGAAATGGTTTCGTAAAACACGTATGTTTTCGTCCTTACACACCTCCACGTACGAGGGAAAACACAAATACAAATCCAGGGCGTACGATAACTACTCAGCCACAGAGAATCATCTTTGATTCGACATGATGCCAGCTGTACAAGCGGGAGTGCGAATGCAAGTGCGAGTGCTGCCTCGTCACCCTGCCACAACAACACTGACCGAGTGGATATTCCTTCCCCACTGAAATTACCCTCCCCACTTGCACCTCAATTCGGCCGGACCCTATGCGGGCCGGTTGTGTGAAAGAAACCATATTGGGTTTGGTACGGGGTGATAGCAATAGCGTGTGGGTTTCCTTGCCCCTGGGAGCCAGTGGTGTTTGAAGATAGGCTAGACGTTGCGCGTGCTGGCGTGTGCATCTAATCTCCATACCAAGACTGGACTCCGCTCGATATTTGTTGCGGATGCGTTTGTCTTAATTTTCATTCGACTACAAAGTACGGAGTAGAAATACATAGCTCAAAGTGTCTCGGTACATGAGCTGCCGAATGTTCGATGGGGCGGTGCAGTGCGGAGCATTTCATGCTCTGTGTGGTTGGATCCCGCATGGTACATTTGTCTGGTGACTTCATTGTGGCTGCGCCCTGCAGGCCTGGGGAAGCTTTCGATATTGGAATATTGCTACGGAGGACATACGTGTACATACACACCCTAGTAACTAGCTAGCTAGTTACCCCATGGCACTACGAGTGTGTCGATCAACTGCCTAAGCGAATGAACACCCGGCGCGTATTGTGCCATAACTAGTTCCCACATAGTACGGAGTACAGATACGAAATCCACAACCATAAAACCAATGGTGGAATGAATTCGGTGGTCGGCGGTCGGGGGTCCGGTTACATGAACAACAATGGAATAATCCACTTGTATGATGTGCTAATAGTACTGCACTAATGTAAATGATCCCCCCTTAAAATGGAGAACAGTCAATATCAAGACGAGACTCCGTTATCTTTTCGATAGCGCCATCGATAGCGGCGCTATTTACAGATTAATGGGCCCATTCACTAAATCAGGTACATACGCGGACCAACGAAGAAGCATGGACCTGGTGCCAGAAATAGGACTATCACGATCGCAAGACACCGCGCCACAGATCGGAGCTTATTTTGCCCTGGGGATAGATACCAGGAGTTACAAAGTAGAGTGGTTCTTTCGGATAAAGCGGAAAGAAAGAGAGATGGAAATCACTAATAGGGAAAGCGTATCGCGAGAACTCTAGGCAGTAGCATTTTCTTGTCATCCATATGCATTAAATCGACAAAGTATGCAGATTCAATCGTTCGTACTTGAGACATCTCTGCTCGTTTTCGGATGCACTGATGTGTGCTCCGCATGGTTATGTGTGCTGCGCCTCTTTAGACTTTCATCGGCGAGTCGGCAGGTTGAGACCGACCCGGATCGTCTCTAAAAAACTGGCAAATGGTAATTGCCGAGGCGGGCTAACGCGGATTGGCTTCGATAGTGCGACTGTCTCCCCGCAGAGCGTTCTACCATGGAGCGTTCTGGAAGCGCGAACGGCAGGCAGCACTGAAGAATGTGGATGGGGCTGTGGCTGGGTGCATCCACTTGGGCGAAGCGAACAAGGAAGAAAAAGCGTGGCAGCCTGGAGTCAGCAAGATCTGAATGGACTAGAGTTATCGCGCCATGTACATAATCTACGGGTCGGGGTTATGAACAGATTGCGGAGAATGGCTGTGCACAGGACAATTACAGTCGTGACGTCTGTCATCAAAGGGGCGGATGTAGTAAGGGTAAGTTCATGTTATCTCCGAGCGTAAATTAGATTTTTGAGTTCGGTCGAGTAAAATGATTTGACAGATTAACTCTCTTCCTGCAGTGGCTCTAACCCTTCGGCTTAAATTATGTTTTATCCAATTCCCACTCACTAAGAAACAAAGATTGGGGTCCGAATTCACGAACGGCTATGGCCCTGTTAAGAAATAGAAAGGGCCCTGAAACTAGTATCTTATTAAGCGGAGTGAGGGGCCAGTTCAAGCTCTCGTTCCACGGAACCCAACCGAGTTAAGAAATTTCCAGCCACGATGAGGATAAGGCCGCGTGGGCGTGGCGGGTGTGCATGAATGATCAATCCAATCTGGCCTAATAATTCCCAGGATCCATCGCACTAGATGTGAATCGGGCATAGCGGATCCCAAAAAATGCAGCTGGAAGGCCGCACCTAATCTGCTCAGAGTAAGCCGATGGGGATGGGCCACGAGTCCCTGCATGGGAGGTAACAGGAAAGGGTTAGGAGGATAGACGGAGAGTGACTCTAGCGGATGACGCTAAGGCATCATTAGGGGTCTCGAACGCGACACCACGGTATTTGAAGCTGGGTAATTGTATACTCCTGGTGGTATTCATCACAGACGCTAAGGAAACCCAGGACCCTGACGGGGGCGTTTGGCGTCAGCTACTAGGGACTAGGGCGGGCTCTTTGAGCGAGCGGCGTACGAATCATGGAGAAGCTATCCGCCAGCTAGAGTACTAGTCAGGTCGTCGTGACCACGCGATGGCTGGATCGGGGACTAGCCCTGTCATGGTGCCGGTGAATATACGTAGGCTGCATACGTATGCCCCGTCCTGCTGGCTGGCGTAGAGCAAATCGTCGCTCGGCATCAAACGCCCAACTAATCTCTGAGCCTAGGATGAACCTCGCGATCGTGGGCTAGAAGCTTAAGTGATCGGCACACGCCATGTGTGGCGGTGAATTACGTGAGAAACGGCATTGGGGGGAGAAGAGTGGGAGAAGAGTGGGAGGAGAGTGGGAAGAGAGTGGGAAGAGAGTGGGAGGGGGGATGGACGTGGATTAGTTAGATACCATGTGGTTGAACAAGGATGCGTCTCCGAGAATCTGACACTAAAGAGCTTTCCCCGCCATCAAGATCAAAGAAATCGTACCAGAGATACATAAATGATTCAATAGTCAAAATCCACTCCGACGAGGGAAGAATATTAACTACGTTTAACTACGTCTGTGTCTTACGTATGCTGGCGGAGAGCCCCCGCGATGGTAGGGGCGGGGCGGCAATGGACGCGTACGAGTACGAGGGTTGCACGGGCCAATTCAAGCCCTGAAAGCATAGGGCTGTTGGCTTGGTAATTTATCTTCCATTCATACCGGTCAATCACCATTTGAGTGACAAAGGTCATATGCGTACGTGGGCGCCCATATCAAGTCGGAATGAGAATTCCCGTATCACTCGTCACTCGGTGTGGAATGCTCTTTGAAGAACCGGTGACCGGGTAAAGGTCGGAGTGTGATGGGAGTGCGGGTTTATAAACAGCCCTACAGATTATGTACCGTAGATGGTGGGCAGATAGTCACTGACATCGGAAAATTAGACAAAGGGTATTTAAAGTTCCTAGGCTAGGGGGGTGGGGATGAAAAGCAAAAATAAAAAGCGAGAGCTTCCGAATAAGGTGGGTCCTTTTCTGCTGTTTGCTTCTTCCTTTTCTTCTCGACGCCCAACAACAGGACCCTACAGTAACACAGTCGGAATTAGCCAGCTAGCGAGTGCACCACCCAAGGGAACGTACTGATTCTTATCATGATGCGGTACTGATTTACAGGTAACGTGTACTGTGTACCGTGTACCAGATTTCAGGCTAGCTGCCACTGATTCGCAAGCATGGATACACGCTGTGGCACTCGCTCCACCGACCCTCGGAGCCGGTCATGATCTCCCGAAGCGGCGTAGTGATGAGCGTAACATCTTACGTATGTCCCCAGACTCCAGTGGCTTTTCCCTTGTTCGCGATCTACTGTAATGAGCCACACGGCTCAGTTGAAAGTGTATACTGTTTAAAGATATTTCATACCGAATAGAATACTGATACTAATACTGATACATGATCCGGATTTCCCGGCCCATGCCAATGAGGGTCTAGGGGCCCCCCCCTTTCCAGGGTAAACTCTAGTCCGAACCCAGGCGGGTTTTCTTGGAGGCAAAAATTCTGGTTCCCAGGGTCCATGGACTGGAAATGAGCCTTATCCCGATTATCAAACACACTCGTAGTTCTACCGATATGTCCTGCACCACTCTCAGTGGATCATCGCTTGGGCCAACCGAAGCCCTAGTTGGGTTGGCAATAATCTAGGGCGGAGTCGGAGTTGAATGGGTCGAATTGTAAGAGACGGTTTGGATAAGTACATACACTGTACCAGCACGAGAGGAAATTCGCGAAACAAAACATAATTAAACTTGAAAATTAAAACCAACGCACAAATCAGAAGGCTAGCAAGGAACCGATCTTTTTTGGCTGACGACTGGTCCCCGCCAGGGTCGATGGGGCGGGCCGGAAGAAACGGAGCCTGGAAAACGGGTCTTCACAGAAACCGCCGTAGTTCCAGGGGTGGGTTTCGTGGTGGATTAGGGGTCCCTTACTGTATCATTTCTAGTTCTCTGTACGGTATTGAACTCGTACCTGAACCGGAGAGAGGAGCCTCGTAGAGACCCTTGAAGCTTGGCCTTGTCCTATTTAGTATGATGAGTTCCTGAGATACGCAAGCCGTGGGTTTTTTTTATTTTTATTTTTTGGATTTCTTTTATTTTTACTTCTCCATCTTCTTGTCGACGAGTTATCTCTACTTCTTGACATTGTATTCTTCATTCCTTTTGATCTCCCATCCTCGATTTTCACTTTTCGTTCCTTTGCCTGCTTTCACCATTCTGTTGGCTTGTTACGAATCTCTTTCCACACCCCCTCCTCCTGCCCAGGTGTTACTCTGTTACTGTTACTGTTACTGGACCTGGACCAACCCACCTTGGGCTTATCTCTCGTATCGGCACATCCACCACAATCACGAGCTACCCTACTTCACTCCCTCATTCAAGTAGCTTTTCACTCCAAGGCTACTTAACTGAATTTCCAGCTTGATCTAAAGATCTTCCCTGGAAGAACGAGACCTTTGGTTCGACAACCTTCAAGTTAGATCCTGGCCACCCCTGCAATATCGCCAGGCCGGTTCGCAACTGCCGTTGAGAATTGTGTTCCCTACATCGAATCGGGTAGACGCAAGAAAAGAACAAAAAGAGAACCAAAGTCTCTCACGACTACTTTGTCCCTTCAGCAAGATCGGAACGCCGAGGGTTCAAAACCCTGCTTGCGCTAGCCCAAACATCGCCCACGTGAACGAGTTGATCGGGGAAGAGATCTCATAGCGTGTTTCCTGTTGATCCTCTTGATCACTAGTCGACTTCTTGGCTAGTTTGTCCTGACCAAAAAGTCAACGGTCTGAGATACAACTCTAAAACCTGAAATTGTGCGTCTTGCCAGCAAGCGAACTGCCGACGGCGGACCTAATGTTGTCGATGTGTTATAACACGCAGAGGCCAAACATCTTTGGAGAACCATCTGTACGTTATCTCAAGTCTATGCACAGGAGAAAGAGGAGGAGGAGGATGAGGCACGACAGCAGCAAACCCCCGGGGGACGGAAGTTTCTCTCTCGACTCTTGTCCCTGTGCTCTCTGTCTTTCCCCTCCCCCTCATCCCTCTTTCCCCTGTTCATTTTCATTTCCCTCCTATTCCCATCGTCCCTCATCCGTGTGGTGTTCCCGGGTCTCTTTCAAGTTTGCGAGTGTCCAAGTCCCGCGGGCGAGGAGTCCCCGTAAGACCATATAAAGACTAACCATCGGTGGTTAATTTAGTACACATATCCAGCCTCGGTGAACTCACATCGGGACGTCGAAGAGAATTCCAGTTGCAGAACGAACATAGTATCAATTCTGAATAATGACGACCACCCGTCGTTTGCCGTCCGGTCGAACCCCAGACACACATCCAGCCAGCCATCGCCATCATTGAATTCTCAGCCAGAACAACTTCCTCCGCTCGCCAGCGACGCTCAATACAACCGCCCGCATGCCTCATCAGAATCACCAGCAGCATCACCGCGGAGTACTCGCCACACATTCATGGAAGCCGTACAACCGACCTCGCCCGGCTCATCAGAGGGATCCGCCTATGACTATCTGACAAGCCACGCCCCTTCATCCGCCTACCACCCATATGCCCGACAAGAATCGCGACGCGACGCCTATCGATTTCCATCCCGAGGCCCCGCAGCGCCCCGCACACCACCAGAGATCCAGTCGACATCAGGAACAGAGGCGAAGTCCTCATCATCCGGAGGCACACGAGGCACAGGACAGAAGAACAAATACCCATGCCCTTACGCAGCCAGTCACGGGTGCTCTGCTACATTCACAACATCCGGGCATGCAGCGCGTCATGGAAAGAAACACACCGGCGAGAAGAGTGTGCATTGTCCGATCTGCAACAAGGCCTTTACCCGCAAAGACAACATGAAGCAACACATCCGCACGCACCGCACGCACTCGGACGAAATGCGCTCGACGTCCGAGCCGGAAGCAGACCCGCGCTGGACCGCCGCGAGACCCGAGTCTGGCTATACCTCTGCGCATAATCGGACCGTCAGTCAGTCCACGGATGCGAGCAATGCCAGTGTGATGCCTCCGCCGGGCGCTCGACTTAATCAGCATCAATCCTGATTCAAAGGCTAAAAGCAGAATATCTCTCTGAGCGGAGATTCTCTCTCTGTGTGTGTGTCTTGTTCAGTTTTCCTTTGTTCTTTTTTTTTCTCTTCTGGATGCCGGTAGATTCGCTGGTTACCGTCGATGTATTCTTTCTATCTCATCTCTCTCTCTCTCTCTCTCTCATCTCATGGCCCGCATACGGATACCCCAAGTTGTTGTTTTTACTTGCCATTGTTTTTCTTTTCTGCATTGCATTTGTTTTTGTTTATCCTGGTTGATTTATTCTCCTGTTCTCTTCTTTCTACTCTTGTTCCTTTTTGCTCTGCGTTGACTTCGCCAGGTCACGTGTCTTGAAACACCGACTGCTGCGCAGTGTGGTTACTTTCTCTCTCTCTGCTTCAGCGCTTTCTCCGATCATCTCATCGATTTCCATTTCCATTTCCATTTCCATTTCCTTTCCTCCCATGTCTCATCTTGCTTTGAATGGCTCTTTGATGTACCAAAAGCTCACCCAGTTGACACGGCCATGACGCTTTGCTCTGCTTTGCTCTTACCAGCTGGACTATTGGGTATCCGATGGAGAGGGGACCAGACAATTCGGCTAGCATATTCAGGAAACGAAAAAGCTCCTCTGATTATGTGATCTGTATGCTGTACACTATTGTTCTACCTTGGTGCACCGTGGTAGTTTGTATGCCTGTGTCATGTCGGAAAGGCGTCATGCGCTCCTGCGGGGATGATTTGTGTCGGTTGGGTGACGTATATATATACATTTTCTTATTTCTGTATAGGAGTTACTAGTAGCAAGGATGTCCATGAATTGAATGACCGTGTGCGACCAGGTCTCGCTGCACCAAGCAACAATGTTTTTGCCCGAAATTGTAGAGAGGAGTGGGGAAGTGAGGGTTGTGGGGAAGATGGGCATAATGTCAGGGTAAAAGGCGAAAGAGAGGATATGATAACATTTGAAGCATTCAAAGAAAGAAGAGTAGAAAGTACAAAAGAAGAAAGTCGAAAGTGAGGGTAATAGTGATGGTAAAGGGTAGGTGGTAGAAGGGAACTTGAAGGGAAAGGAAGGCGGGACCAGCCGAGTGAGCCATGGAAATGAGAAGGCAACCCCAGAAATGACCCTTGGAAGCACTCAACAACAACAACATCAGTTTCAGTCACAGGTACAACAACATACTAGTATGTGGTTATTGCACCACACGGTCGGAGTGGCGGTCTAATCTTGTCATCATGGCGTTAATGTATTGAACCAATTTAGATATGTTGAGTAGGGCTGTCACTGCCTTGATCGTCGCCCTGCAGCATGACGTCGGGCATGAGCGATTAAGCAAATTGACAGGGCGATGCCAGCTTCCGAGAACCGAGCACGGATTCCAGAACATTGTACCTAGTAGGCAGATTGGAATGGGGAAAATCACCCTTAAGCTAGAGTGGCTGGCACGACGTCATGGAGGGGAGAGGGGGATCAGACTACTGGTATATCAACAGATGATGGCGCATACTCTGGTACTTCTACTAATATTCTACTTCTTCCCTTAGCTATAATAGATATGCCTCTCGTGATCCTCGCACTCACCAGCCTCAGCCCCCAGCACCGCCACTCGCACTCGCTTTGATTCTCTTTTGCCCAGGTGTTCAGCCCTTCAGCCCTCCCGAGTCCACCTCGTCCTCGTCCAACGACGTCACGCCACCTGCCCCGCCTCCCCTAGGCGCTTCTGTTTCTGATTTCTGATTTCTCTCGACCTTTTCTCCCCTTTCTCTCACCATCTCATCTTTATTTGTGATTCAAAGATTCACCACAAAATCGCCTTTTTTTCCCCTGATTGTTCTTGTCTCGTCTCATTCCATCCCAAACGATGTCGTACTACGACGATCGTCGCTACAGCGCACCCCGCGACCGCGGCCGCGGCGGCGGTTCTGCTGCAGAGTATTTTGACAGCCATCCACGGGGCCGAGATGCAAGGATCGAAAGAGACGCATATCCCTCATACCGGGATAACGGCTCCATCGAAGAAATTCCTCGCGATTTCCCCCCTGGACGGGACTATGTCTATGAGCGCAGTTATGAAGCCCGCCGTCCGCGCCGACCGGCTTACGAAAATGTACGCCGTGCGTCTTCTGTTAGCGGTGATCCATACTACGATAGCGGATATGGACACTCTCGTCGCTCACGCACTCAAAAATCTCGGCGTTATGATGATCGTGGTACGTTGCTCTCCTTCCGTCCCTACCTACTGCTTGAGATAGACGCCCCCGATTTTCTGCTTTTTTTGGGCTTGGTACTGACATTTTCCTTTCATTAGCTCCTCCTCGTCGCTCCAAATATGATTCTGACTCCTCCAGTCGCTCGCCCCCTCGTCACAGTCGCCGCAAATCTATCGGCGACGCTGCCTGCAGGCCCTCGGTCTGGGCGCTGCTTCAAAAGCCAGTTCCCGCAGTGACCGTGACCGTGATCGTGATCATTACCACGGTCGTGGCCGAGGCCGGTCTCACTCCCGCCATGGCCGATATTCATCATCTTCCCGCAGTCGCAGCCGCAGCCGTGATCGACGCGGCGGAAAACGTGATAAAAGCGAACAACGCATGATGCAGGCCGCCCGCGCAGCTCTGACTGCCGGTGCGGCAGAGGCCTTCCGATCTCGCAAGGATCCTGGTGAATGGGCCGGGGCCAAGGGCAAGCGCGTCTTGACTGCGGCCGTTACTGCGGCCGGTACCGACGGCCTTGTCGATAAAGATCCGAACAAGCACGGCACGCGCCATGTCATCGAGTCAACTCTTGCCGGTTTGGCTACCAGTCACTTCATCAATGGCGGCTCGTCCAAGTCTCGTGATCGACATGGACGGGGTCGTTCGTCAACGGGTAGTGGTCTCAAGGACCTCGCTGCAACGGGTGCACTAGCCGCGGCTGGGAAGGAGATCTTCAATCGAGTTTCTCGATCGAAATCGAAATCCCGTGGTCGAGACGATAGTCGTGATCGCGATAGCGACGATGATCGTCGTGGGACGAAGAAGCGCAGCAAGAGTGTCTCAGACTACATCAACAAGGGTATTGCAGCTCTTGGCCTTGACGAGGGCAAAGATCGCGGCAGCAGAGACAGGAGCAGAGACAGAGACGATCGATCAGATCGCCGGGACCGCCGTCACCATGACCGCGATCACCGAGACAGAGACAGAGAAAGAGACTCCCGCTACAGCGGCTATTCAGATTCAGATTCAGACACAGAATATGGCAGGGGGTATTCGCGACGAGGCAGAGGCTCGAGAGATGTAGGTCGAACGCGTTCCCTGAACGGCGGCAGAACCCCCCAACCCCCGCGCAGCGGTGGAACAACCGGAAAAACAAAATCAGCAATCACCGCGCGCGGTGGATCCCCCAGCTCCGATAGTGATTCTGACCTAGGCGACAGTAGCGATGAGAAAAAGACGCAGAAGAAGATGAAGCGGGACATGCTGCTGACATCCGGGCTGGCGACCGTGGCCACGATCCATGCCGGACACAGTGTCTACGGGTCCGTGAACAAGCGCAAGAAGCGCATGGCCCAGCTGAAGAGTGGTGAAATTTCCGCCGAGGAAGCGCGCAAGCAGCGCATGAAGGCGAATGCGCTGGATGTCGCGAGTATTGGGCTTGCGGCGCTGGGTATTAAGGGTGCCTATGGCGAGTGGAAGGAGGTTAATGAGAAGCGCAAGGAGACCAGCCATTTCCAGGAAGAGTGTATGCGCAGGGCGATGAAGAGGGAACTTAGGCGCAATCGGAGTAACTCATTGCCTTCGTATCATCGATGGCCGGATGAGATTGAGGATGCGAGGGATCATGCTGGGTATGGTGGACAGGGACATGGGAGTTTCTCATATCATGATGGGAATCCGTATGGAGCTACGATAGAGGCACCGGCGATCTCTTATTAGGGTTGTTACTGGGTGATGAAGTTATGATTTATGATGAATGGGAGGATGGGATACTCTAAGGACTGTTTGAAGTATTCTTTTATTTTATTTGACAATGCTTTTCTTGATAGTGTTTTCGTTAGATAGTTTGTGATGTTACAATCTAAGGTGTCTATCAAAGTATCTGCGGGGTAGCTCAAGATGACTGCAAAGGTAGCCACCAAGGTAGCTAGCAAGGTATCTATCTACAGGGTACCCTATAGAGGACCCTGTAGATAGTCAGTGATCTATACTATTCTATACTATATTCTGTACTATTCTATACTATTCTATACTACATAAAATAGTATACCTGGGTATGTTGTAAACGCCCCACTCGGCAGCCACGCTTGCCGAAAATCACGTGGGGCTCACGTGGGGCAGCGCGGGGCCGTGACTCGCTGACTAAGATACTAAACTTTTCGGTGTGCCTTCTTTGCCCCTCTTCTCTGCTCGACTCCTCCTTTTCTTTTCCCCTCTCCATCCCCTACTTTTTGGTTGGTTTTCCTCCTTTCTCTTCCATATTCAATCCTAACATCTTCCAGTTTTATTCAATTCATCATGTCTGCCCCCGCTCAGAAGTTCAAGGTCGCTGACATCGTATGTGCCCCTCATCCTCCCCACCTCAAGCCTTGCTACCTCCAGCTTCAAGCCAGCTTTCAGTCAGCTTCAAGCTTAATCCCCTGCTCAATGGCTTACCTTTCCTTTCCTTAGTCCCTGGCCGCTTTCGGTCGCCGGGAGATCGAGCTCTCCGAGGTCGAGATGCCCGGTCTCATGGCCATCCGTGAGAAGTACGGTGCTGACCAGCCCCTCGCTGGTGCCCGTATCGCCGGTTGCCTGCACATGAGTATGTCTGTCCCGAATCCGACCCCGTCCGATCCCATCCTGACCCACTCCTAGCCATCCAGACCGCTGTCCTCATCGAGACCCTCACTGCTCTCGGTGCTGAGGTCACCTGGACTTCCTGCAACATCTTCTCCACTCAGGACCACGCCGCCGCTGCCATTGCTGCCGCCGGTGTCCCTGTCTTCGCCTGGAAGGGTGAGACCGAGGAGGAGTACCAGTGGTGTCTCGAGCAGCAGCTCCTTGCCTTCAAGGATGACAAGAAGCTCAACCTCATCCTTGACGACGGTGGTGACCTGACCTCCCTTGTCCACACCAAGCACCCCGAGATGCTCAAGGACTGCTTCGGTGTCTCCGAGGAGACCACCACCGGTGTCCACCACCTGTACCGCATGCTCAAGGAGGGCAAGCTCAAGGTCCCCGCCATCAACGTTAACGACTGTGTCACCAAGTCCAAGTTCGACAACCTGTACGGTTGCCGTGAGTCCCTCATCGACGGTATCAAGCGTGCCACCGATGTCATGATTGCCGGTAAGATCGGTGTCGTCGCCGGTTACGGTGATGTCGGTAAGGGTTGCGCCCAGGCTCTGCACTCCATGGGTGCCCGCGTCCTCGTCACTGAGGTCGACCCCATCAACGCCCTCCAGGCCGCCGTCCAGGGTTACGAGGTCGTCACCATGGAGGAGGCTGCCAAGATCGGTCAGATCTTCGTCACCACCACTGGCTGCCGTGACATCCTGGTTGGCCGCCACTTCGAGGCCATGCGCAACGACGCCATTGTCTGCAACATTGGTCACTTCGACATTGAGATCGACGTTGCCTGGCTCAAGGCCAACGCTCAGTCCGTCCAGAACATCAAGCCCCAGGTTGACCGCTACCTCCTGAACGGCAAGCACATCATCCTCCTGGCTGAGGGTCGCCTGGTCAACCTGGGCTGTGCCACCGGTCACTCTTCCTTCGTCATGTCCTGCTCCTTCTCCAACCAGGTCCTTGCCCAGATCGCTCTGTACAAGGCCGAGGACGCCGCTTTCGGCAAGAAGTACGTCGAGTTCGGTGCTGGTGGCAAGAAGGACGTCGGTGTCTACGTTCTGCCCAAGCAGCTCGACGAGGAGGTCGCTCGCTCCCACTTGGCCCACGTCAACGTCAAGCTCACCGAGCTCACCCCCGTCCAGGCTGAGTACCTCGGCCTCGAGGTTGCCGGTCCTTACAAGCCCGACCTCTACCGCTACTAAGCGGAAGTCGTTCATGACAATAACTCATAATCTTTCTCCTTTTTCCCTAATTGCGTCCGACATATGAGTTCATATCTTTCTCTTCTTCTTGAATAGACTTTCAACATGAATTTTCGACGATGTTACGATTGGCATTCGGGTTCTCTATCAACTTAGAACTCAAAAGTGGTTGTCCTTCAACGGCATAAAAAGTTGTCTCCACATGGGGGTGCGATGTTCTTCTTTACTGGCGTGGGTCGACCTGGGTTTAGGTCTTGCATTCAACACTGCGCGTACGGATGGGAAATTTTCTTATTGATACCTTAGTCCTGCTGGCCCTATCGTCGGTCAGATCGTGGCTGCACAGTTAAATATAATCTGAGCACCATATTTGAGATTCCTCCAGCTGTAGACCTAGACGTAGAATGGCTGAACGGGTGTTCCTCAGGAAACCGTCCTGTTGAATAGCAGCCCCGTACAGTATTAGATATACGGATGCCCCATTTTATGGATGTGATGCTTCCAGGTTTTCTGTGACTAGACTACTGCCCCGCTGCACTCAATCATCCCCAGACTCCCTAATCATATCCCTCAACATCTCCGCTGCGAGTTTCGCAAACTCTGGGTGATTGATATCACGCCCATCCTTTACGACCGCTATCCCACTGTCGCGTAGTTCCTCCTCAAGGGCAGAAAAGAGATCCCCATCAACTTCCGGATTCCAAAACGGCTGTCCAGGCACATCAACCATACTCACACCCCCCAGTCGGCAGCAAGACTCTCGTTCGCGACGCACCCCGAATGTTCCTCGCGATAACCCTCGCAATCTCTCTGCATTCTTCCCCAGTAGTCCGCATAATCGTAACAGTCGGATTATGCCGGTGAAAAACACGCCGCACCCCCAGCTTTTCACTCGCAAATTTCTCCGGAATCGAACTAAATGTCCCAAAATTGACCATGTCACAAGCTCCAACACTGACAACCCGCGGTATATCCTTCTTCGTCGCAGCAACCAGTCTATCCGGGCCAGCACTCAACACTCCCCCAACAACCTCATCCGCAATCTCAGTAGTCGTCAAATCCAAAACAGCATCCAGCTGCCCTTCACCTATAAGTCTCTCCATAGCCCGACCCCCAGAACCCGTCGCATGGAAAACATAAACCTCACAGCCAGGCAGTATAAGCTCGAGATACTTTCGCGCAGCAGTAACACCCGGCGTCGTAACGCCGAACATGGAAATCCCAATCCTGACACTGCTAGCACCACCCTGATCTCCCTCAGCCTCGATTCCATCCTCCTCCTGCTGCTGCTGACAGTAACCAAGCCCCATCCCCGCAATAGCCCCAGCCGCATTCCTCAAAACCATGTCCAAAACCCGATTCCGACCTGCGATATCAACGACACTATACATCATTGCGATATCACTTTCCCCAACATAAGCCCCAACATCGCCCGAAGCCATAGTAGAAACCATCAATTTCGGAAATCCAACCGGTAACCCGTCGCGCAGGGCAGACGTTGCAAGCGCTGTCCCGCACGACCCGCCTATAGCGAGAACGGCGTGGATTTGGCCGTTTTCATTCATGTGACTGATATAGCCTGCTACATAGGGTGCGAGTGTTTTGATATAGCTGTCACGGTCGAGGGTGGTTATGTCGTGTTCAAGTTGCTTTTCTGGTGTTTGCGGGGTAGTAGGTGGGGGTGTTTTTGCGTTAGGGGCGTGGAGGAGGTCGGATTGTTTGATATCTACTTCCGGGGAGGAAGAGGGGACTCGGCCGATGTCTAGTATTTGGACTTTGGCTGGGCCTTGTTTCTGGATGGCGGATTTCGTGTAGAGGAGCTCGGGGAGTTTGGTGTCGCATGTTCCTAGGAGGAGGATGGTTGGGGTTGCGGTCATTTTCAAGGTTGATTGGGTGCCCAGGTGCTGTGAGATAATCTTTTGTTTTGTTGTCGTCACGGATTGGTTATGCTTGGGCTTGTGGTGCCTGCTTTGAGATTCAAGGGGTGTTGGAAGTGTTCAACTTGAAGTTGAGTGGTAAGGGGCTGGAAAATACGTAGTTTTATGGTGTCTTGCTTGCTGCAGGTCTGTGGTTGCAGATGGTGGGGCAATTGTAAAGTGTTCAAGCCCTTTCTTTCATGCTTTAACTTGTAACAATCTGATATGGATCCAATGGTATGGTAAAGAGATACCTAGGTGATGATCTGGGATTTGAGAGTGTCATCCAGATGGTTTTTGAACTTGTCCGATTAGAACTTGGAACTTCCAAAGGTTCAAGTTGGGAAGGGAGACCTCCAGCCCTGGAGGGCTGGAGTGGTCCTTTTCAAGTTTACGTTGGAACCTTGGAATTTACCTTAGGTACCAATGTAGTGTTGAATACTCCAGGGCTCTGAATATATTTCTTCAAACCTTGGAACCTCCAGGTGATTGAATAGTACTACCGCGATCTAGTAGTTACCCTACGCTCCTATTACCTAGTGTAATGGGGATTTCCGCTCTCAAACATCGGTATCCTGGAGTCATGTGACTGAGGTCTTAGCAACAACAAGGCCACCGTTTTGTTTCGTGAGGTTAAGTAGCATTCGTTCTATAGTATCAATAACAACTATGCAAGGTTCCCCTTATGTGATGTTCTACTGACGCTGCTGAGGTTGCAGTATCGATATACTGCTTATGAAACGTGCTATTATTTGTTCTGTTAGTTCTCTATAGTGTTACGCTTTGCGTATTTCTCTCCTATACTCTGTGAGTGTAGTGGTTTTGTCTCTTCGTAATCGATCTTTCTGCTTAAGAGACTGCCAGCGAGTATATCTATATTTTATATAGTGTCCCTAGAAAGGCTTAATTAACAAAAAGGTAGCTAAAAACAAGAATAATACTATTGTAAGAAGTAGGTACTATATTCAACCCTAAGAGAATATAACGATATTCAAATCTATTATAAAGGGTAAAGATTAGCTTAATTCTAGGTGGGATTAATCTATTAAAATATTGAAAATGTTAGCTAAGAAGGATACTAGGATATCTCTTTCTACTGAATATGTATAGTTTTTATAATTAATACTTACTAATTAGTATATTGGAGATACTATAATACTAGAAAAAGTTTTATAAATAATACTGGGCTAACTACTAGGCACTGCACCAGTCCAAGTGTCTAAATTTCATCGTTATCAGCGATATCAGATATTACCTGCATATGCTCAGGATGGTGTCGTTTTCTCTCAGGTATTCCGAGGACCGACTGATGCGTCTGTCTTTGAGGATTTTATTGAGCAGCTTCTTCAGCACTGCGGAAGGTGGCCTGGGCCGAAGTCTGTGCTAGTCATGGACAACGCATCCTTCTATCATTTTGACCAGATAGAGAAGATGCGCTTCGAAGCTGGAGTAAAGCTAGTGTATTTACTTCCATATTCGCCAGACTTGAATCCTATCGAGAAGTTCTTTGCTGAGCTAAAAGCATTCATTCAGCGTAATTGGCAGTACTACGAAGAAAGTCCCGAGCAAGGATTCGATAACTTTCTCAAATGGTGTATTGACGTGGTTGATGCGAGGGAGAAAAGCGCAGAGGGACACTTTCGGCATGCAGGTCTGACTATAGACGAAATGTATGGCAGCTAGTACAGTGTAGAGAATCCTATGTGCGGCCCTCAACTATTTATCTATAAAAAGCGGAAGCGTAGTAGACGACTGTATAAGTACAGTACTGTCAATAAATATAATACCACCACACTACGGAACTAATGCATATCTCAGGTTATGATCTATTTTATTTGTCTCGAACTGGGAATGCAGGAAATCGCGTTTAATATTACTTTCGAGCCTTTAATTTCGACAACATATGTAGAATTGAGAGGAACCCCCAAGAATGGAGATCCTAAGACCTATCCTCGATTAGGATAATAGTCAATCATTCAGTAGAATAAGAAACTAGGCTCGATGCAGAGAGATTGATCATGTTGTAGCGCCTACGGTATGGTGCGATGCGGCTCATTGACGAACCCACATGGTTCCCACTGCTGGGTGAATCCGAAGAGCAAAAAGCATTATCCACTTAGATCGCACGACAAAATTTGTCCTACGACCCATGTTGGAAAGGGTGGAGTTCCGAAAGGTCATAAAATGTGCCAGAAACTTTACACAACAAACCATACATAGAGGGTTGGGGGAAAAACACAAATCCGTCATCAGCCCTCAACCAGCTCTAAGGAACGCTTGTTTCATTGCTACCAGTCTAGTCTTTGAACAAAATGGGGGAATATGGGGTTTACAATCTCTGAGCTGAGGTTACTATCATATCAAATGGAAACTTACAATGACCAGGCTGTAAATTAGGAAATTTTAGATACAGTCAAAAATAGGGTGAATGGCTCAATCTTAGACCGCAGGGTCTTCTTCAAGAATGGTGTTGAAGCTGAACGGTGAGAATAGTGTACCCTCACCAATGAAATGCTTGCTCATTGCCTCAATCCAATGCAGCCGCATCGAGTGCAACATAGCACTGGTTCCTTCCATAACACACAAGATGCTAACAGAAAGGGTAAACCAGAGGTAAAAGTTGATAACGATCATTATCACTCGACTTCTGGGGCTCTCTTCTTCAAAAGCAGAGCCCAGAGTCATGGCCCAGAGTACAATTGAAAGTTGCTGGTGGGCTAAGGAAAGGGCCCAAAGACGCAGGTAGGAGGCAGTGTGTGAGATACAGTTAAGGCAGAACTCGATAGTGTGAATGGCCTGGTGAATCATGATATCGAAGAAGTCAAACTCTTCAGGGTCATCGTCATCGGAGGTATCCCGGGCCATTAGGGCCATGGCACCACTATCACCAGCCATGCAGCTACGACTTCCGCTAATCCCTTCGCCTATGTCGCTGTCATATCCCAGAGTATCGGCGGCAGTCTGGTGACTAAGGCTACGATACCCTAGGGCACCGGCATGGTTGTGCTCCCAACGAAGGTATAGTGGCTTGAACAAAAGCATGACAGGTACTTGCATGGCAGCAATGACGAGCAACAACACTTGCACTGTACCCTGATATGGATAGAGTTGTTCCTGGACCGTTCCGGGGCTCAGAAACATGAAGATTAACATGTTAAGAAGACTAGGGGGGGCTCTCTCCACGGCCCTGCCAATCCACAGACCATTTGTAGATCACAGTAATAACGAGGTACCCAAAGATGGACTGGTAGAACAGCATAGCTGGTATAAAGTTACCCCAAATGTCAACCTGGGACTTGAAATGTCGCCCATTAATGTATTGGAGACACAGAGCGTAGGTCATCTTCAACATTGTCAGCTGGCGTTTATATTGAATAACTTGTTGGTCAAAACTCACATGGGCCCAACCGAGGAGAATACCCATCTTCATTTTCATACTGTTTGAAAATAGCAAGGAGTTCTCTGCCTCGTGCCAGTTCCAGTCTAGACCTATGGGGTATCGGTAGCCCTCTTTCAATGATGCATCAACAGTTTGGCCAGGTTCAATATCTTTGGGCCATTCCCATTGGCTGGAGAATATAGTGAAAGACCTGGAGAATATGTCGTTGTATATGAGGCCGGTATACATTGAAAATAGACCCATCATTAACATAATGTATCGTCCGTAGAATGCCATATAGGAAAGCTCGTCAAGTTTAGTTCGCTGCAGCTTCTTCTCCCAGAAGATCATTGCAGCTGCAACCATGGTTACCAAGGCACCATGTCCAAAATCACCAAACATAACCGCGAAAAGGAATGGAAAAGTCACGACCATGTAAATCCCTGGATTGACCTCCGAATAATTTGGCGTACGATAGGCATTGACGATGGTCTGGAACGCTTCGGTAAATTTATTGGTCCGAACGTAGGTTGGTGGAGTCCGATTAGTTTGGACTTCGTTGAGAACGGTAGGCATAGAGGTTCCAGCACCATTGTCGACATCCTGAAGGGTTGACTTGATCAGAGCGAGGGAATCTGTCGGGCACCATGCTTCGGCAATCAGCATTTTTCGTGCCCGATCATATGAGAACTTGTTTAATGTATGATAAACCGCCTTTTCTTTCTTCACGATGAAAATCCAAGCTGCGAGTGACTGCGCGATTCGTGACAACTCGTCTGCGAGAGTGCGTTCGGTGTTACGCAACACTTCAACAAATTCATCTAGACGTTTGTTCACCTCATCTATCTGGTCTTTCCTTAGTTCAGTATTCTCATCGACTCCGTATAAAGAAGCTCCTAGCGATTCGGAAATTTTGCGAATCTTGACGAGAACATTTTTGCCATGGGCAAAAATCAGAAACACATTCTTATGGGTTTGCACATTCCTTATAGGATCAAGGATAGCTTCCGGTATCTCGGACTGGTTCATGTAAAGATTACCGCGTAGTGTCCGCCAGAGGATGCGTTCCAAGGTTCCGAGGCGCTCCCGTGGGATAACGCCAGCAATAAAGCCGATGTTCAACTCCGAAAACCTTTGTTGGCCTTGGGTATCGCCGTCCACGGTGCGGGAAGTGCGTTGCTCGACATCACGAAGAAGAGGTGCTTCGTCATTGTCGAACGAGTGGCGTATGTCTTCTGCATGAGTGTGCGCCTGATTGAGAGTTAGCCACCACACCTATCAATTAAGTGGTACTCCAAAATACCTGATCAAAAAAGCCGCCAGCATCACGAAGGACCCAACGCCATTCAATAAGCTCGACCTCACGTTGCTTCAGGGCGTTGTAGCTGTCGTTCAAAGACACAATCCGCTGTTCGAGATCATCGCTACTCCCAGCCAATTCATCGATTTCTGAAGCCAAAGGGGATGCCAACTCTTCCCCAAAATCGGATAATGGCCGTATTGGAATAGATGCCTTCTCCACCTGGGAGTGGAAGTAGTCTACGATAAAATTGACATAGAATCAGCCATTGTTCATCAGCTAAACATAACGGCCTTCGAAGGGGATCTTATCAACATACGTAGCTGTCTCTCAACGTTATCCAAGCGACGTATGTCTTTTGTAAATGTCCGTTGGAAGGGGTTGGTTTCTGGATTTAGCTAAAAATACCGACGTAAAGGTCAGCATATAAATTATTACCTAGGGGAAATAAGTTGAGCATCCTCTCATCACTCACATCTCTAAATTGTAACAGCCCAATCTCTCCTAGAGCACTCACGACCTCCCTTCCAACCTCGTTGACAATATAAAGCTGGGTCAAGCTCATGTCCGAAGACCGGAAAAAGGTGTCCTGTGAATCCATGTTAGTAATTGCGCTTTCGGTTCCAAAACAACACAATATCTAGCTTTGATAAGACAAAAGAATTAGTCAAGAAGATGAGCCGCGCAGTGGTCGCAATTTCGCAAGAATATCCTGGTAGTAGCCTACATTTCACGTGATGTAGATTAAATGAACAGAGCAGCACACAAATGATTCAATATATGACCAGAAGAGGAATGTGGGGAAAAGTAATTATCCAATCAGAGCATGGATAGGAGTGCTCCATGTCCTCAAAGGATATCAATCCCCCGCTGACTCATCGGGGGGGTTGACCCATTCGAGTATAGCGGTGATGCGTGATTGAAATTCGGCGCAGCCTCTTCACCATGTGGGATAGCACCCCTGGATATTATCTTATAGCACCAAGCGATCTCTCTTTATCAGACTACATCACCAAGTAAGGCCCATTTTTTCTGATAGATACTCTTGTTTTGGCTGTCTCGTTGCTAGATCCTTGCTAGATGCCATGGTTTTGATCCTTATTATTCATAGCTGTTAGTCCATGCTTGACATCAGCTGCACGCGCCCATTTTCAATTGGATTGGTTGTCAACATACTTAGTATGGACTCGAGGAGGCTATCTTCCCTCTTTCAATCTACTTCAAAATTAATTGTAAGAGCTTTTCGGCTGATATTTTCTCGTTAAACAAGTGTATGCCCATGCGTTGATTTGTCGGGAAACTTATTCTATCGCACATTCTCGGACACGCGTACCTGATCGTACTTATCAAGTATGGCCATCAATAATTGGGATGGATCAACTAACCAAGTGTGTTAGGGCTTGTTTAAATGATTCAGGTGCTATCAAATGCGTGTTACATCTACAGCTATTCGAGAATGGTCTGAATTGCCAATTAAATATTATAGCAATGTGGGCGCCAATTGTTGTCGAGAATCTACGGTATTTGACCTCGATTATGGAGTTAAAAGCTTCATCGGCGAATCTGAGTAGTCCTTCGATCAAAATATAGTCAAATCTGGGCGAACATCGGATTGAACATCGCATTGTACGGAGCTTTTTATGTATGGTTGGTTTCGCACTGTTCTACTACATTTCCTGTGGTCTCTCGGCCTACACTTAAGTGCTTGGAGCGTAGCAACGTAGTAGACCAATGCCAATATATTGGTATCAGCCGGCTATAAAATTTATGATCCAAAGGGTTGGAATGAAGACCACATTTCAGGGCTCGTTCTGATAACAGCAGCAGTGGCTACCTGTCCAAGCTTCTGTATAAACGGCCTAATCATATCGATACTTGCAGCGTTCTGATATGACTCACACCATTCTGCATGCCCTTCAATATAATTGGCAGTTCGCTGAATCAGCATAATATCATCGACACTCTCGGACCTGATAGGAAATATAACTATGTTACTGAATAAGGTGACAACGGCCGAGCAGACGTAGAAGATAGCAAATCTTGGTATTATCAGCCTGTGGATTGAAACAATCTTGAAAATCACTCACCGAAAGCCGCTCTTTTGTACATAAAGCTGCGCATCAGAAAATTTCTGCAACAAAGAACGGGCGAATTGCACAGTTATTCTCAAGCTCGAATTGAGCCCATTGGCGTGTGAACTTTTCCACGTGACACAGCGGCTGCTGGCCTGATGAATCATTATCATCCAGTAATGCCACTGTATCTGAAAAAGCATCAAGTACTCATTTGATTTGACGTCATTGGCGGTAGTTATGGTAGATGTTGTTGGGCGAATCGTTACAGGAAGCGATAGTCGCCACTTCTCTAATTGCTCGTCTAAGGCGCGAATATTGCGCAGAACATCTGCTTCCACCAGCTGGTGGGCCGATGGAGTGTAAAGCTGGTCGTAGATGCGACCCTGTATGACACTGAGTTGCACCATAGCCGAGAAACAGATTTCCGGGTAGCCTAGGCTTGTACTTTGACTGAACAGAAGATTGTCGGGGATTGCTAGGTCACAATGATTATATGCTAGCAGTGGAGGGGATCCAGTGCGAAGGCACAGCTCTTTGTCCATGAGATAGCAAAACCAGAAGAGGTTCCGTATGTGAATATCAACAGGCGAGGGTGGTTGGCGTCTTGAAAAAGGATCTATATTACCTTCAAGTTGGAACAAGAATCGACTGGCAGCGGAGAGCAATGTTTCAATAATGTGAGTGTCGCCGGACGACAGTTGATAATAGGCAGCCTATTGAGTATTAACATTGCAGCTAATACGCTTGCGGGTAATCAAATAAATCGCAAACATACGAGCATAAGGATCACTTGGAGTCCGTCGACTGTGGCAGGCGAAGAGAGAATATTTGGTAAGAAACAGACGGCTTGGCTTGCATATTCGGAACTCTTCAATTTGTATCCACGCTGGTTGGCGTCTTGGTCGATTTCTTTTGCAAGAGCAAAGAAGGAGAATATAGACGCCTGAGCATTCGCTTGGTTTGGGGATAAATAAGACAGCTCTCTGTCATATGCTGCGGCAACTGTTGTTTCGAACAAAGCGGGATGTACGACAAAAGGAAAAACAAGTACGTATACAGAACGGTACCACTGAAGAAGTTTGTAAACCAAAGCCTTCTCTGGTAGATCCAGATTTTGAGGGTCAGCGTTAAATAGATTGACGCCTGACGAACTTGATGAAGGTAGCACCTGCCACGGGGGACCATGGATAAAGTACTGGTCAATATCGATCTTTTCTCCCGTTTGCCGCTCAATCCAATTCTGGCCACTAATTGAAAAAAAAGGTAGACCATTGAATAGGCTTATGTGGCTGATTTGGTATCGTGTGGCTCGTGGCATATGCCGGGGTTCCTTGCCCGCTAGATGTTTCGTCGGATTTCTTGACTTGGCGCTTTTTAAAGTCCCAGGATCACTAGAATCGTACACCTCGGCTAGATTGGAATTTACAAGAGCAGGAACAGGGAACACCGACGTGTATGCTACCTCGGCTGATGCGGCGCTATTATTTGCTGATCTCGTTGTCGATGATGGTAATGTCGCCGGCCTATAACGGTCAGACTTATAACCTTTTCAATAATTATGGGGGGTAAACTAGGACTGGTGGAGGTAAATGGGGAAGCTAGAAAACATTATTGACAGGTAGTGACGAACCCACTGGTCCCCTTCATGTTCCCTCGGTACTTTGGGCGGGAAAAGGTACAGAGCATATCATGATGAAAGCACCAGTCGCACCGTGGCTTTGCAATATCGCATTTTATCTTCGAAGATAAGGTATAAGTGAGCGGAAATACTGGCAGGACGGCATAGCATCTATCCCGAGTTGCATGATCATGACAAAAGGGGGTTACCTTTCGGCTGTAACAAGCATCGCATGCGGTGTAGATGTGGGGCTTCCGCCTATGTCGTAGGAGCTTCGACTGGGCGGAAGGCATTGGGAAAGCTTGAGTTATCACGAGTTGTTGATAAGTCCTGTCGTAAATCCAGGTAAGAAGCGCAATGTCGGGCGTAATGGTAGTCGTGAGAACGCGCAAACCACAAATGTGCTGAGTCAGAGTAAGAACAATTCTGAAATATCATTGGTGGTGAAGGGCATACAGCCAAGCGTGGGTAGAAAAGTAACGTGACTTTGCTCCATCATGGGTAGAAGATGTCTACCCATGCCTTCCTTAATAAGCAATAAAATTAGCGTAACTAGTTTGATTTTATTTGGCCACACCCCTATCTTTTCCAATCAAACTACATTCTGCTCTTTCCTTGAAGAAATAACCAGAACTATGTCATCTCTCCACTATCGACCATTCTGATCGCCCAGCCCATCCGAGGCTCTTCCTTCACAACCCCCTATCCGTCATATGTTATAGAAGTAAAAAAAAAATGGGTCTATCAGGTTATTTAACCTAGATAGGCTCCATGGCATAGGTAGATCCCGTCGCCTCTAGAGAACTTAGCCTCATCATCCCTCTCTTCTCTCCTTCATCCTCTAGATACATATATCGAAGGCTCATACCAAGCTTACCACCCCCCCGTCCAGTGACAGCTCCCACTCGGGGGTTATCTTAGTCTTTGATATCTTCATTATTACTCAATCGCTGGCATATGCTATCGCTCCTCATCTCAACATACCAGTCACTACAGCTAGGAAGCTTTGAGAGTGCAATATGGTCTTAATTACCTAATGAAATTATTACAACATTATAAGCTTGGAAGCTTGGCGCAAGTGCGCAATTATATGATCTAGGATTTGAATCTTCCTTTGTGCAGCTTCAGTACCACAACTGAAGCTAACATGTACGCGCTCAACTTCGCACTCAACTTCGCACTCCGTCCTTATTCTTCGAGTAGGATATCTCGGCAATATTTCACTCTTCAACAAACACCATTCGTCTACGTAGATGCCCTCTTCGTCGCCTTAGTTCGCAGCTTCATCATCAAGAACACCAGGGCGTAGAACACTCCAGCCCACAATACAACCAGCCCGGCATTCCTCCAGCCGTAGTACTCTTCGTTCAAGTTGAGTGTCTTCAAGTAGTCGTGTCCAGTAGTGTATCGGCACACCTCGCAGTTCTCCGTAGCGCCTGGGTTCAAAAGGTTCGTGCCACGTCCCATGCCTTGCTGATAGGCGGAGAGATAGTCGCCACATGTCTCGTTCGCAGGAGGATTGAAGACCGCGAGCTCACCCCGTTCACAAGTGATATCGACGGAGAAGGTGGTGAAGGTGAGGAAGGCACCGAAGAGGTAGTTGAAAGGATCGAGGTAGTAGAGCCTAAAAGGTGATGTTAGCATTGATCTCGTGGATGTTGATAGTCGTACGAGGCTTACCAGTATCTCCAGAAAGGTGTGATCTGGGAGTAAGGAACGAAGACACCGCAGAATGATACGAGGGTGGTGATGACCAGCGGGTTGACGAGAGATGCAAATGTTGCGTTGGGAGCGTACGCGGCGATCGATTGTCCAATACCGGTGTACAACATCTCGTAAAACATCTAGACGGTTTGTTAGTCTGGAGCGAGGAGTTAACCAAAGAAGAGAGAACTCACTGCGACGAAGAATGTGCTTCCTGCCCACTTGGTATCATTTGGCAATCCAGCAGTCCAGTACCAACACACAAAGTACAACGCACCACAGACGACCAGGTAGGGCAACTCAGAAACGATCAAGCCAGTGACGAATGGCACCCAGTGGTAGGTCTTACTCTTCTTCTCGCGCGTCTCATACACGTTGCGGCGATCGATGAAGATAGGCTGAAGCTGGGAGATGAGACCAGGGGCGACAAAAAGGAAACTGAAGACCGTGAAGAGGCGTTGCTGGAGATCGCTGACGCTGTTACCAATCGACCAGAACGAAAAGCCGTTGTAAAGAGACAGGAGTATATGCAAGATGAGCTTGTTGTTGATGTACTCGGTGTTACGGAACAAGGATATGTTCATGCGGTGCGTGACAAGCTTTACCTGCTCCCACATGGGCGCGGCGAATTGATGGCCATCGTCGACAGTTCCAGGCGGTTGGGCGGCGGCATCGGCGACAAGAGTGTCAAGCTCTTGAGTTATCTTCTCGTGCTCTGGCGAGTTGAGCCAGACTTGGTTCCAGTCTTTGCCCTTAGAAAGACTTCCTGATACGACTTCAATCATGTGCTCGGCAGGGTTGGCCTCTCGGGGGCATTGTGCGCCATGATCAGCGAAGTATTTATTGACGGTCCTTGCATGATGGCCGATATCGCCAAAGTATACAGTCTTGCCACCCTTCGCCAGTAGGAGGAGGGTGTCGAATTGGGCAAAGAGCTCGGCCGATGGCTGATGAATCGTGACGAGGACAGCTTGTCCGACTCCCGCGAGTTTGCGCAAGAAGCGTACTGTGTTGTTTGCAGCTTGACCATCGAGACCAGAAGTAGGTTCGTCGAGGAAGATCAGAATACTGGGCTTAGCTACGAGCTCAACACCAATTGTGAGACCTGATAAGTCGTTAGTGTCTGTTTCGACTCTGCTCGATGTTTTCAAACTTACGCTTGCGCTGTTCGACAGAAAGACCGGCACCAGGGCGACCGATTAGAGTGTGCTCGAGATCTTCCAACTGTAGAAGTTTGACGATCATGTCCACATAGCGGAGCTTCTCCTTGCGGGGAATTTCACGATTCTGACGAAGAAGAGCAGAGAATTCCAAAGCCTCGCGCACCGTGGACAATGGCTCGTGGACATCCATCTGTTCGACGTAGCCGGCAGATCGCTGGAAGGACACAGGGAGCGGGCGACCATCGACTAGAACGGAGCCATGAATGGTACCGTCAGTCTTACGTTGAGCTAGAACGTCGAGCAATGTAGTCTTTCCGGCCTGAGTGAAAATTTTAGCAGATATCCATCTGTCAATCGCATTGCTAGTGCACTTACACCTGAAGATCCCATAAGAGCGCCGAGTGTACCGGGCTTGACAAATCCTTGAACGTTGTCGAGAAGAACACGATCGCCATGCGGCGTCTTGACGGTATAAGTCAGATTCTTCCAGGTAAAGACCGATGTATTGTTGACGAGCTGGTAGTCGATGGTTGCGTCAGAATTCTCGGAATCGGAGCCGGAGTTCTCAGATGGCTTCTTGACGGCCTGGGATTCCTCATCCGCAGCCAGGGCCTTAGATACATTCTTCTGCTTCTCACGGGGGATGAGGAGGCCGCGACCACCTTCGCCCCTCTGCTTCCACCTGGAAGTGAAGAAGACGGTCATTGCCACGAAGAAAACGTACCAGGCACAGAGAATGCCAAAGTTGCGCCAAAGGTTGCTGTGGCTGAAGGACATGGAAGCCAGGTATTGGTCACCAGTAACGCTAATTGCTCCAGGAGGCGCACCACGGACGCCGGTACATGCTTGTCCGCCTCCTGTTTCGGGGCTGTATCCTTCGCCATTTGGAACTAGGAATGGGCCCACACAAGGAATCACCTGGTCGTGGAACTCGTTCGCGAGCAATGCTTCAAACGCGTAGGCCATGGGGTTGATCCAGAAGAACCAAACGAACCAAGGGTGCATGTCGGGCTTGGGAATCATGTATCCTGCATATGTGAAGGCAGCGACGATGGTGAATCCAGAAGCTTTAGTTGCTGCGTCGAAATTCGGGAAAGCGGCACCAATGAGCTTGAACAGCTGTGTCATAGCCAGGGCCGAGATCAAGTTGATGAGCCAAAAGATAAAGAAAGCCTGGGCGGTGTACTGGAATCCAGTCATGAAGTACAGCACAATTCCAAAGTGCGAGATTTGGAAGAGCATGATCGGCATGTCGGTAATAACCTGAGCGAAGACAAAGGCAGATGGATGGTGAAGAGCGAAGTCTCGGTGTTTGGCTAGGATGGGTCGGCCGACGAACGAATCCGTAACCTCGGCGAGAGCGATGAAGGTAGGATATAATAGAGAGAAGAAGAGTGAGCCTCCCTTAATGAACAAGCCCGCCGTGTTGTCCGGGGCATTGTAGAAGAGCGAGCCACCGATCAACGCCTGAACGATAGTTGAGGCTTGCTTGATGAACAGAGTTTTCTTGTCGCCCCAGAGGATCTGAAATTGGCGTATGGTAGCCGTGTGCACTTGATGGAAATATCCTGCGGATTCCGCAGCTTTCTTTGGGAGGTTCTTGTGCTTGTCTTGGGCCTCCTATTCCTTGAAGTTCCCCGTATACTGCTGAGCTTCGGGGCTATTGGGGTAATCGAGCTCGGCCATCATCCTTGGCTTGATGGGCGAGTTGTTATAAGCAGCGAGCAGCTCCTCTGTTGATCGAGGAAATCGGTTCTCAAAGTCTGGAGCAATTGAGCGTACAGCAGGCACCGATACGCTCGTGAGGAAGTCAGACTTGTTGGCTGCAGGGTCGCATAGGAAGCCAAGATCCTCCATGTATGGCACAGCTTCATCTCGAGGTCCGTAAAAGATCTGCTTGCCGCTGTCGAGAATCAGGATCTTGTCGAACTGCTCATAGATTCTATTACCAGCTTGGTACAGACTGGCAATTGTAGTGAGACCAAGAATGTCTGTCATGGCGCGCATGGCTTTCGTCCAATCTAGCGCAGTGCTCGCGTCGAGACCACGAGTGGAGTTATCCCAGGAGAAGACGCTGCCTCTAGTCGCAAGGCATTCGAGAATGGACACTCGCTTGCGCTCGCCACCCGAAACGCCACGAATGAATTCGTCTCCGACCTTGGTATCTTTTGTGTGAGTGATACCGAGAGATTTCAAGAGGAATTCTTTGTATATTTGGGCGTACTCCTCCTCGTTCTTGATGTCCGGTGGCAGGTGGAAGGGCACCTTCAAACGTGTGGCGAAGTTGATGGTGTCACCAACTGAAAGAGCTGGAAAGAAGATCTCCTCCTCTGTGTTCATGATGATCTGACCACGATATTGCTTGGCTTCTTGACTGGTCATGGAACCGAACGAGACGTCGCCAGTAATTTCTGCGAAGCCATTTCTGTGGTTTGATAGAACACTAAGCAGTGTTGTGCATCCAGCTCCTGGATTTCCAAGAACAAGCAACATCTCACCGGGTTTGACACACCCAGAAGAGTTGTCGATAATAGTCTTCAGTGGTGGGCTCTTTCTGCCCTTCCCGAATGGGTTGATTTGAGAGAGAACATTTTCGTTGTAAAGCGCATCACTGCTGATGCCCTTCACTGTAAGGTTCTGCCATGTCACACCCAGCTTCTTCGATTTCCCACCGTTAGACTCGTTACGTTGTCGTATTTGTAGTACATCTGGAGTGATGGGCCATTGTGCGATGTCTCGGGGGCCGGTCTTTTGGCCGGATTCGTCGTTTGACTGCTCCGCGCTGGAGCTAACAATAGGGTCCGCCATTGGGGAGGAAGATCGCCCGGAGGGCTTTCCGAGCGAACTCGCCCGGTACATCGCTTTCTCGGGGTCGCGATTGACCTCCATGTTGTTGTTCTTTGGATTCGCTAATTTGCCAGACTTTGATAGCAGAAGAACTTCGATGGAAAGAAATGCTGGAGATCAGACGACAAGGGTTGCCGGTGGGAGAGTAGCAACATTACGCACAAGATATAAGATCAATAAAGTAATGAGATATATGATCATAGTAAACTTAGCTTCTGATGAATAATCCGATTCAAGGCCCGGAGCCCAAAGAAGCCCTCTGTCTCATCCCTTATTGATGTGCTGAACGAAGAGCATGGGACATCTTTTCGACAGATTGAGGTGATTAGTGAACATATCGTACGTTAAGATTTCCTTAACAGTCAGTTCAACCGTCTTTGTGGAATCATCAGGCGTAATCTATCCGCTCGGATTGATTACTATACATTCCCGGCCCTGATTAACTTAATTAACTCACTAACTCATTACGGAGTAGATACGATGACTAGAGGGGCTCGATTCCCCTGCCCTATTTGGGCGGGTCTAACCTTATAAGCTCTAGCCCCGTAGATCGGTAGTTAGACCGACTAATCAATCACATTCATTGCGAGCTACGATGATCGAACGACTAGAATCAATACAGTGCGTCAATGAAGACCAACTGAGCCCACTTGTCCCCAATGATCATACTCATCTTTCTTCTATAGAAATTTCTTTGCCTGATCACGAGTTGTTATTAACTGACCTATTCGTTTGATTATTACTTTGCCACCGCCAATAACTACTTAACTACTACTCCCTTTGGATCAGACACATGAGACCTTTGCTCGAAATGTTTATTCCTATTTCCAGGTGGCGCACCATTAACTGGGGTTGATGTCCTTAGTCAAACCCTTATTTTTTGGGTCCCCGGCTGCGTCGCCACTAATCATAACGTCCTGACTTTGCATAGTAGATTTGAGCTAGTCTAGGCTGTAGTCGGTCCGAAAGACAGTTGAGCCCTCGGGGAATGTCGGGAAAGAATTTTGATTAGAAGTGGAGAGCGGTGTAAGTCTTGGAGGACTGCGGGCTCGAGATTTCCGCCTGGGCTAATCCCATGTCACTGCAATAGAAATCTCCACTTTTCTCGACGGATCTCTCTCGGTATGATGAATAAACAGGCAAAGATTGGTCAATTAACTTTCGACCCAGCACCTAACTGACTATTGGTTCGCGGTCAAAGCTTAAGGTGACCGATCGACGAGGATTTCCAAAAACAGCGTCAAGATGCTCAATTACGAGTGTGGAGAGGCATACATAAGTAGAATAGACGCCGTGCATCCAATATCATTTACTTCCCTATGTAGTCAATGCTTTCTGACAACTCCGTACATTCTTATTTTCTACCCTGTTTATCACTGTCACGCCAGAGCGACCACCTCCAACTTCCCCGGCACTCCATCACCACCCCACAGCCATGACGACTCCTGCCAGCATTGATCCCAAGGATATTCGAGCACACTGGGCCAAATATCAGGGCGACAGGTATGTTGATGGCTGGGCCTCCCTCTGGGACAGCGATAATCTGCCCTGGGATCGTGGCTTCCCCAACCCCGCGCTAGAAGACACCCTGATCCAGCGAGCTGGTACCATTGGCGAGCCAATCGCCCAGGACGGCCAGAGGCGAAAGGCCCTGGTGCCGGGCTGTGGACGTGGAGTCGATGTACTCTTACTGGCGAGCTTTGGGTATGATGCCTATGGCCTGGAAGTCAGCGCCACGGCTGTCGATGCATGCAAGAAGGAAGAGAAGGAGAACCATAGCTGGTACCGCGTGCGAGACGAGAAAGCCGGGAAAGGGAAGGTCACTTTCGTCCAGGGAGATTTCTTTGATGATGCCTGGTTGAAGGAAATTGGAGTACCTCGAAATGGATTTGATATTATTTATGATTACACGGTATGTATACTCGCTGCCACTGTTGGGCTCCATTCCGTCATTACTATCATTTTCTCTCCACTTGTCTCTGCGTTCTATTGGGGGGACTACAAGATGCCCTTCTCTCTGTCTTTGGATTGTCGAGGTGCCATTCCCGACCTAGCCTGGATCTCTCTGGTCTTTCTGGTCACTCCTTTTAACAGCCATATAGTTTTTCTGTGCTCTGGACCTAGAGCTCCGGCCTAAATGGGCTTTCCGACACACCGAGCTCCTTGCTCCCTCACCTGTAGGCAATCTGATCTGTCTGGAATCTCCTCGTCATAAGCCCCCCCCTTGGCCCCCGGCCCTCCATTTGCCTCCCCCTCAGAGGCGTACATGGAGCACCTGAGCCACCCCGGCGAGAAGATTTCCTACAACGATAAGGGTCTCGTCAATGCGGACCCGTTGCGAGAGCCCAGCAAGGCGGGCCTGGAGAGAGTGGGGTACTGGCAGCCAGAGCGCACGCACGCTGTGGGCAAGGGTGAGAATGGGGTGATCCATGACAGAGTCTCTATTTGGCGTCGACGTGACTAGAAAATGTGCCTGCGCATTTGTGTGACCCAAAAAGAGAGAAAACATAAATAGAAAATATAGGTGATTTTGGGGTCCGGCCCTGGATTTCAAAGGCCAGCCCCTAGAAGCTAAAGTGACAGTCGAAATGAAGGGCCCGGATGCAAAGGGCGCTTTTTTAAAGAAATTTCGCGGACATACGGAACGTATGCACTGGAAGGATTTCCTCAACTCCACAGCGGGACCCTGCTTGTAATCGTCGCATCATGCAAAGTAAGCGGAGATTATATCTATTGAAGACAATTCTTGTTATTATACATAATTCATGGTATCTTGCACACAAGTGTTAAATGCCCAAACATCATCCATCAAGAGTTGCAAGGCGAATGGCTTTCTCAACATCGCGCTTTCGGAACGCTGGTCCGCGACCGAGACAGATAGCACTGAGGGAAAGATCTACGACAAGGTCAGTAGATGCAAGGAAAAGAAGACACAAAGAACCATTGATCTCGGCACTACTCACATTTAGTGAAGCTCGCGGCGTTGAGTTGCGGAGCCAAATTGAACCGCGGACTGGAGAGGGGCGAGCTCGGGTCCTGAATACGAATCTCTCGCTGCTGTAGCAGCCTTTGCACACCACTCGCATCCATCCACTCATCAGCGTCCGATTCATTGACAATTTGCCACGTTCGAGAGGAAACGGTGAGTTGTTCAGGAGAGTAGCTGCTCCTCCTTGAACTGAGAACTTTTGTACTCAACTCGACCGTGTCTCCCATTTCGTCGTGCATGTTGGCGAAGAATCCGAAGATGAAGCGGTCGCGCTCGTTGATGGTCAATCGTTTGCCGAAGATTGCTTTGACCCTTGGATCGTCTACAGATGATCTTGTTAATAGATAGTAACCGGCCTCGCAGCATTGTCGGACCAGACGGTGTGAGAGCGTCCAGCGCCCTTGCTTTAAGAGGCTATCGGGCGATACTATAGTCGGGAAATTCAAGGTGGAACTAGAGATGGATGAGAAGGGGATAGTCGGAGACGGCAAGTCTATTCCGAACGGTAGAATTGCTTGTTCTTGGAAGGGTGGCGTGGGGGGTAGTTGTGACAGTCCAGGCCATTGAGCCGCGAGGTCCGACGAGGACTGGAAAGCGTCACCGATCATTGGCCATGAATCAACTTGCGTTAAAAGTGTATTGTGATTTGAGATTATATCTTGTGTATCGCTGAGAGTGGGAGACGTCGATCGCGATCCGTCCGCTGGGGCTGCAGGTGCATGTTCGGCCTCGTCGCAGCCACTTTTGGCAAGCGACACGCATTGCTGTGTAATTTTTTGCAGAGCAGCTGTGACACGAGGCTGATTTTGGAGAATCCCAGCTTCTAACAGAAGATCACTAAAGGAAAGGAACGACTTGCTGAGCTCTTCGATGCCCGACTCGAGGTCCTGTACGCGAGATTGCAGATTGACGATCGTGATATCTTTTTTCTTGCGATATACTTGCTGCGCAACGCGAAGCTGCTTTCGACGTCTCTGGACTCCGTGAGTTAGTTCCGACTTGCTCTGTAGTTGTTCGGGATGAACCCACCTCGGGACCTTGCTGATTGTTCGTCTCAGCTCGTGGCCGGCCTCTCTTGCGAGGAGCGGGCGCGTCAGTCATCGCTTCGACCATCGTGTATCGCTTTTGAGGCCTTTTCTTTATCTTGAAGATATGCAGTGATGTAATGGATAATCTGAGAACGCGAAAAGGACGTGACGGGGTTGCTTTACTCATCGGGGTCGGGGCGTGGGGACTGTTGAATAATCGAAAATCGGTGGGTCGCCGCCCAAAGTTTATGGCATTGAAATTGGCTGGAGTTGGAGATAACGGCTCTGCTTGCAGGTCGCGACCCTCGGTTTCGGAGCCCCAATGAGATCGAAACCCACGATTACAGCCGGCCTCCTCACGCGGTAATCTTCGGTCGCGGCTATGGGCCTCAGCAGGTTGAAGAGCTTAAGAAGAAATTCGCCGGTGTTGCTAAAGAACCTGTTGCTTGGGTGAGGGAAAATCCAGCGGATTTACCTGCCGGGGCCGCTGGGCCTGACTATGCCCAGAATATCGCGGCGGATATGAAGAAGGTGCTTAAAAAATAGAGGGACGGGGGAGCCAGCCTTGATCTCGACATTCTCGGCTCTTGTCTTCCATTCTGCACTTATATTCTTTTGTCATATTTTTGCAAGTATCTGTTCATATAGAAGCGGGCGTCGCATCTCATCTCATGTAACAAGACGTGTGATGTTAATATTAACATATTGGAACTCGAATCTTTCACTAGTACTAGTGTGGGCAGCCGTAGAGCCCTAGAGGGACACTGCCCAAAACATACCATATTGTTCGCTGGGATGAACGCAAGGTATTGAGCAATGCACTCGGGCTTCAGGCTGTACTTATACGCTCGGACAATGGAAATACCTTGATAGTTATTATACTGCTAGTACTAGAGCCTTCCTGCCCAGCCGGCAAAGTTTGAATACAGCTCAAATACTAGTATGGTCGGGACGATTACATTCAAGTTGTAGACGATACAGCATTGAGCGAAAACATGGCCTTCCTTCCTCGTTGTAACCTAATGCCGTATTCAAGTTTTCTATTACTAGCATTTGCTCCGACTCGTTCGTACTATATACAGGCGCCTCTGTACACGGTTATCAGTCAATCTAATGTCATATTACAGGTCCGCTCGAAATTAGTTTCACGATGTTTTTTCTCTTTGGTTCTCTTTAAGTCTTGGCCAGACTCATCTCGTCATATTTACATTAGTTATATCGAATCTCTCTCCCCCAACGCACACCATCTGTCCGAACGACCGTGAATACATCCTCCCACTTTCGCCCACCATCCAGCAGGACCTCATCCTCCCCTTCTATCTTCACCCCAATCTGCTCGAGATATAATCGTACCTCCTGCATAATCTGTCGGGCATTTTTATATCCCCCGTTCCAGGCCTTCACCAGAATCGGCCCTAATCGTTCCTCCTCTAATAGCTGCAGCTTGCCCTCCTTTAGTCGTTCCTTATGATACTCCCATGTATCCTCATCCTCCCCAGGCCCCTCTGTCTCATCCAATGGATCAGTCGGCAGTGACCACTTCTTCCCCTCACTGCTGGCATCCGTCCGCATCAACTGCCAGACAAAAGTTGCCCAATCGGAAAGATCGATTTTCGGCGTCAGTTGTGGAAACCCATTTTCCGGCACGGTGGGATAATAGATCTCTGTTTCGTATCTGGTCCCATCTGGAGAGTACGGCCATTCATCGGTCGGGATTGTTGCGTTCAGAAACCCTGACAGGGCAATCGAGAGATCCTCGCGAATCCATATCGTGCTCGAGCTGAAATCCATGAGGTAGACCCCGTGTCCATGCAGGAAGGCTAGCATGTTGAGCGACTGCAGTGCCCAGCGATAGTAGAGCAGGAGGAGAGGTTCTCTGTCTGCCTTATCGGTTGAGGAGTCCTGGTCATTGGAAAACGTGCGCCACGCAGGAAAGGTGGTTAAGAGTGGCAGTGTTGTAGAGGCCAGTGGCCCTGGATCCAGCTTCTCCAGCAGATATCCCACGGGAAGAGGACCGAGATATCTACACCCATCACGCAGAAATGCGGTGTTCTAGCAGGGATCGCAAGGGTGACACAGATAGGGAGGGTGAACTCACTTGACGATGCGGGGGTGAAGATCAATCCGTCGATCGAGATCCACATCTGGGGTATTGGTGCTACTATGGGCCAGATATCTATAGACCCGGGGGATGCGCTGGGCGAGGATATACCATTCCTCAGGGTCGACGCGTGGATTGTCTTTCTCGCAACTCTGAAATGCCACAATGGAGTCTTGGTTTTTGTGCTGTACGAAATATATCTTGTCGTACAGCGCGTAGTAGAAGTCCTCGGAGCGGTCGCCGCAAACAGAGGGCACCTCGTCCCCGTAACAGTGAAGATATTTGGACTGGCTGGGTAGATTGGGGGGGCTGTTCTAAATCCGCACCCGAATCTAAGGGTTGTTCAGGGTGATTTGATGACCAGCTGGCTCCCATGGTGGTGGAATTTTTATTTTTTTTTGGAAGAAAGGAGAGTAGAAAATAAGGAAGGCGGAGAGACCTGGGATAAGACTTTGTATGAGTTAGGCTATATAAATTGGGCGGGGTGACGTCGTTAGCTTCAAGTTCAAGTTCGTATAGGCTTGGCCGCTTGGCAACTTGAGTCCACCAATTGTTAGCATCTCTCCAACTCTCCTCATCATTTACGACTTCAAGTTCAGCCCTTGATCAGTCCTGCAGGTTGCAACTGTGGAAGTCAAGAAATCCTCGTGTAATTACATATTCCAAGGTTGCATGTACTAGTAGAGAATAGTCAGCATCCTGACCGACTATTCTCCAAATACATGCAGAATTTCTAGTCCAACTCTGGAAAACAGAAGATCTTGTCAGCTCCTGCCGTCGCACATCCATCTTCGACCCGGAAACAGCGTCAAATTTCATCCGACAGCGTGTTCTGCAGCAGTATTTGGTCAACCGATATGGCATGTTTCTGTTATCAATCAAGAAAAGAGAAAACGTCCCTTCGTCACCCATAGGAACCGTGTCATTCATGAAAGGTGCACCGCCAGACCCGCATTACTTGGCCCCAGACATTGGATTCGCCATTCTGCCTGAGCACAGTGGCAAGGGATACGTTGCGGAAGCAGCAAAGGGGCTTCTCGAATGGGCGCGTAATGAGCGTGGGATCGAGGCTGTATTTGGATTCTGCGACCCGTCGAATCAACGCAGTCGTAAGGTCCTTCAAAATATTGGGATGTAATTGAAGGGGACTGCAGAGCTACAAGTATTTGGAGGGAAGAAGAGTGCTGCATATGCTCTGCCTGAGGTGGGTGATGACCTCGCGGTTTATGGGCTTGTGGAGCCGATCTTTCCAGAGTGAGCGCCATTTTATCTAATACCTAGGTATTTATGGGCTCACACAGAATACCGATGAATCTTGTCTCCAAGTCGCCATTGACAGATTACCTCTACACTATATCTGTGTTTTATAAACCTTGGGATTGAATAATATTCCTCGAGTTTACAAAGATTCAGTTTGTAAAGGGATAATAAGGATAATAGGGACCGGGCGTGATAAATAAATAGAAAACATTATCTCATATCCCATAATCATAGCGGAATATTCCTTCGTCAAGGGTCGTTCACGGCATCTCTTTGTAGATTCGATCACCTGGGCCAGGGTGCACCAAGAAATCCCAAGGAGGCTTCTCAGGTAATTGACTCTTTTCCACCCACTGACGGATATCTTCGAAGTTTTTGCATTTTTGATGTGTTTCGAAATCTACATAGGGCTCTGGGTTTTCCGGGTAGATCCAGATCTGGCCGACCACGCCGGTGTCGACAGTGCACATGAGCTGTTGCCGAATAATATCGAGACAGTATGCTGGAGGGAGAGAAATAAATTAGCTACTGTGATCTGAGTCGTATTTGTGAAACGGAACTTCGAACTCACAAACTTGGCGTCGTACGATGTAGCTGTTGTTACCGAATACACCCTCTCCTCTGCTATGATAATAACTATAGTTGTAGTAGAGCGATTGTCGAAGGACGTTCTAAAAATTTTTTTCCAGGTTAACGATGAAATTAGGACATAAGGTATACGCACCAAGCAACGTAAGCGGCGGAAGCCTTCTACTTCTGCTGGAAAGCCCCCTCCATATTTATCCTTAATTCGAACCTGATCAACTGCAAGGCCAGACTCTTCTGCATCTTCAGCCGGAACGCGAATACCACGATCTATGAAGGGATTAGTACAAGATATACAAAGGCTAGTCGTTGTTGCTAGAGAGAAATGACACACAATTAACGCCTAGGGAGTCCCAGGCTGCATCGACTTCCGGACTTGCATCTTGTCGAAATATAGATTCTCTTAATAGCGATCCAGTGGATGATACAATATTGTATTTTACATCCATATCGTTCACAATGGGGGCTAAATATCGTAAGTTATTTGCTGTATTCGATCAAATTGGACTGGTGGACTTCTCTCACAATATTGAGAAACATGCCTCCCACATAATCCATCTAAATCAGCTCTCCAGAAGAACCCCAAGAGAGCCCCGACCACGAAAACTATAGCCAAAGCCGATATTTGAAGGAAAATTGTCGTGGCTGAGATCCAAACATCGGAATCATCGTCTTCTGTCCACAAAATCCCCTCTTCGTCGGCGAGCAGGCGCTCACTTGACTCGTTTTCTGGTGGACGGAGATCTGGGGATTTGACCACAAACATCTCGCAGGTTGGGTATGAATAGAAATGGAGAAGTAGACGAAAGAGATAACTTGGAAAGAGGCCTATTGTTGAATCGAATCGGGAAAAAATACCGCAGCACCCCTAACCTGCCGCTTAGGCCCGAGCAGACCGCAAGTCCAGGTGCAGATTAGTTATTTGGGCAGCTCAGGTTTACCAATCTGCCCAGGTGAACTGTTCGGACTACCAAGCCATCTAGATTATTCTGACGCAATGGCCTCTGCATGTCTTACACGTTTTTCCGGTCCCATGAGCACTTCAAAGGCGTGGTGCATGGGCGTAAGCCTACGCAGGGAGGGAGGTTGGCGTCACGTCAATCGCCCCATCAACTTCAAGCGAGACAAACGCGGAGTTCTGAACAACTCCTGTCAGGATACACTGCTGATGCGATTGCCTGCGGCTCCCGGACCCCAGATCGTCACTGGAATGCAATTAAGCCCCTTTGGGGACGATCGACGCTCCCGGCACGCTATTTTGTGTAGCTTCATGCGAGGTTCATCATGTAAAAGCCGAAAATTATATCCGGTAAGACACTCAACGCAGGGAATTATCTTATTCGCTCATACTGATCTGACTGCCATGGATTTTTGAGGTCATTGCGCAGACCGTCAATTGCCCGATTCTCATCCCCGCAAGGTGGAACGATCATTCACTGCACGTTCATCTTCGGGTCCCTTGCAGCGAAGACCGAACCCCAGCCAAACTCAATAAAGCGATGTACACGACAAGCTCAGACATTGCCATCAATTGCAATTGGAACTTAGCTCGAGCTACGTTCTAATACGTAATTCCGAGGCTTGGAGCTCTGCTAGATCGAGTATAAATACGAGGAAGTTCGACGGCCAAATCAGTTCTTCATCTCAAATCAAATCATCTCTCTAGCTCACAAAGTCAAGAGAGAATTCTTCAGACAAGGAAATACTCGAATCTTCAAATATATCCAGAGACCAGCTTCAAAATGCGCTACACTCTGATCAACGGCCTCCTTCTCCTGGCCGTCTCGCCTTTCACTGCTCTCGCCCTCCCGGTCGACCCCAACCCCAATGACCAGGGTGGTGTTTGGGACCCCAGTGGTCAATATCGCAAGGGCCACTACGATGGCCAAGGAAACTTTATTGCAAACAATGGCGGTCAGACTGGCTACGAGAACGGTTACCAGAACGAGCAGTGGCGCAATGGCCAATACAACCAGAACGGCCAATACAACCAGAACAACCAGTACAACCAGAACGGTCAATACAATCGGGATGGTCGCAATAACGAGGCCGGCCGCTGGCAGCGACGCTGGATTCCTGGTCAGGATATTTCTGACGCTGCTGGTCTTCGCAACCACGGCACCCACTTCGGCACCCCTGGTGTTGGTATTCCTGGCACTGGCATTCACGCCCGCACCTGGCCCAATGATAACAATAACAACGATGGCGGTTGGACAGATGCAAATGGTCAATGGCACGCCAACAACCAGCAAGGTGGTTGGACTGACGCCAATGGTGTTTGGCATGCTACCAACCAGCAAGGTGGCTGGACCGATGCCAACGGACAGTGGCACGCAACCAACAACAACAACAACAACCAGGATGGTTGGACTGATGCGAATGGACAGTGGCACTCCAACAACCAACAGGGTGGTTGGACTGATGCCAATGGTGTTTGGCACAACAACCAGAAGCGTGGTTTCGAGCCAACTGCCACCACCAACCTGGCTGCCAATCCCAACCTTCTGAACCAGGCCCAGGCCTCCAACCCTCTGAATGCTGCCGCTGGTCACGGAAACCTCGCTGGTGTCGGTGCGGGTGCCAATAATGCTGCTGGACTTCCCCATGTCCCTCGTCACTATAACCCTGACTCCTACGACAATGACCGCGACAATGATCGTTACGAGGACGGCTATGAGGATGGTCGCTACAACAATGCCGAAGATCGCCGTGTTGCTGAGAATGTCGCTTCAAACATCCTGTCTCGTCGTATCTGGCCCTTCACCAGCTGGAACAACAACAACGACAACAACAACAACTGGGACCGTGACTGCGACCGTAACGACTGGAACTGCCGCAACCGCAACGACAACAACAACAATGACGACGGTAGCTACAACTACAATACTGGATCCGGTTATGATAAGTGCGAAAGCAACGACCGCTCTGACCGATCTGGCTGGAGCTGCCGCAGTGATTGGGACCGCAACAGCGCCACACCCACTCCCCGTGTCTGGTCTCGCAACTCTCCCATCGACAACACCAACTACGACAACAAGAAGGTCAACCTCAACGCCAAAGAAAACACCGTCACCCCTACCACTGCTCCGCCAGTAAACACCGACTACAAGAATGTTGAGAACAAGGGACATGAGAACAACGACCACCACCAGGACAAGGACCTTACTACTTCCATCAACAAGGAGTAAGCGACTAAAACTGACTTTCATTTCCAGTGGATGATGATGGTAAGTGAAAAGCCCATCTTCCATTCCCAGTACCTAGGTGGACATAACTAACTTGAGTTCAGACTAGAGATTTGAACCAGATTGCGACGACTTTGATATTGATGCATTTGATGATTTGAATGAGCACACGAACTATATACACTCCTTGATGCTGATGAAGTTTGAAGGCGACGCAAGTTGATGTCGCAGGTGGCGAGTTTTAGTTAGGATTAGCTAAAAAATGAAGAATAGCGTTTCACTTGAGCCTAAGCCAAACGTTCTCGATTTCCACTCAATTCTTCTTGTGAGCATAAGTAGATCCAATATCACCCCAACGGATGTTGGAAAATGTCACCGAGGTCTCAGGATGTTGTGCTTGAATCAGAGCAGGATTTCCCTCGGTACTATTGCAAGGACCAGCGTCACCACTATCCAACCAACTCATAAACTGACCGGAGTCATTCCAGATACTGAAGATCAGAACCATTCCCCGACGGAGAGCGTTGCCCATCTGCTTCAGACCGCCCATCTTCTGGAAGTAGCTGGCGGAGTTCTCACAAAGGCCCTCGGTAATTGAATTCACTTCGCTGCCCGAGACTTCGGCGACTGCATTGTGGATGACCTTTCCACTCTGCACATAGAGACGTCGAATTTCCGACAAATTCCCCCGCGGTGTGTGGTCGTCGGTTATGAACTGGGTGACAACGGTGAAACGTTTCTTGGTGTCTACCGTCATGTTGTAACCATAATAGTCTTTGTCGCCCAGTGCATAGGGGTTGAATCCGCATCCAGACTTGTCGCAAACTCCATTACTGCCGCAGTCATCGCCATCACACGCATATAACTGGGTCACATTGCAAGCATGGGGAGTAAAAGCGGTGGAACGAGCATTTGCCTCCCACAGATCCATCTCATTGCAACACGCTCCCAGAGAGTCAACATTGGCGACACCGTTGATCCATGGGCTTGATCCGCACTGTGCGTCGCAGTAGCCAGTACCATATTGCGCACCCGCAGGGTTAAGCTTATTCCGACCACCAGACCGCAACATCTCCGAAAGATAAAGTGCGCCATTCATACCGCAAACAAGTGATGAAAGCTCAACGTCGAAGCTGATTTCTTGGTTGAGCAATTGCAGCATGTCGTAGTTTTTGCCAGACTCATCTAGCAGATACACGCGTGGTGACACGGCGGAAACAACCCCATTCGACTTCTGGTATTGATGGAGAATCAAACTGTCGCCTTTGGTCTGGACTCCATGGGAGGCATAATCGACGCCATCCAAAACACAATTCTTGGCGCATGACTCTTTAGTTGCGCAGAGCTCTTTGCTTAAACCACTGTCCCAGGTTCCGCATGAGATGCTGGCGTTGCCTACGGCGTGAAGTGGATGGGAAAGTGCATCAAGGACGACAGAAGTGGTGTATTTGACGCATCCACTTTGTGTAGAGCATTTCCACGTCTGAAGCTGGGGGTGGATTTCAGGAATTGAGCCTATGCGCTGTGCCGTCGCAAGTGGAATCAAGGCCGCGACTGCAGCCAAAAGCATTCGCGTCATCGCAGGCAACAATGTTGCTTTTCGCTGGGTATTATTTCTCGTGAGTGACTGCCAATTTTAAAGGAATTCCTTTAAACAAATATTGTATTGATAGTCCTTGTCACTGAAATTGCGTCGCGTATTTCTTCAATCGTGACGGTGGTGGTTTCAGGTAAACTGGGAAGGTGCATCAGACCTGAACGGGGTTTTAAAGGCCACATATCAGAGGAAAGATTGTTGCTCCTTTCTTTTTTCGGCCCGATGGTCCGAAAAGAAGTGTCTCAGGGTGCTGAATGGTGGAATGTCAGTTTCAAGGGTCTGTTTACTTCCCCGCCTTTCCCGCGACCCCTGAAGAATTTAGCCGCCAGGGACGCGATTTCTGTTATCATGCTAATTCCGGTAGAAATATTTTAATGTTGAGCCTGGATAAATCTTGAATTATCTATTATCTTCTTCTTCTAGTTGATTTATTCCGTTCCTGTTTCTTCCCCTTCAAATTCAACTGGTCTTGGGGCCTGTATGGTTGCGTCATAGGAACATAGATCGATCAGTACCATAATATCCCCCAAACCACCCATTGTGTGTTCTCAAAATATTTAGAATACCTTTCTTTCTGGCGGCTCATATCAAGGTCCGATAAAGTGTAGAGGAACTGCCTGAATTGCCACTGGTTCAACTTAGCCTTGATCGATTGTCTGCAAAGGGATCGTCAAAGGGATGGCCCCTAAATGCTATTATCCTTTCTTCCCTAAAGCTCTTTCAGAATTTGTGTAGCAAACAACCGTATTTCTTAATAAATTATAATTGTATATTTCTATCATAATTATTTAAAGCCCCTTTGCTGCCCACACAATTTCGTCACATTGACATTACTATAAAAACCGTCATCTCAAAACATCAGGCTAAAATCAGATATAGTTAACAAAATCACAGGCACTTCTAAAATGGCTGAACTACCGGCTTGGGTAAAGGCAGTTGCAATGCCACTAGCCGGTGATGCCTTGTGTTTCTTATTGCTGCTGCTATTGCTGATCAGGGGAATGCCACTGCTTTTCAGATTACTCAAGTTTCTTGTATTACCCATCTGATCCCCAGCTTTACAGACTTGAAATCCAATATAGCTGAGCTAAGTTGAGTTATCGAATTTCATTCCGACATTTTAGATGCAGTTTTGGTGAGTTCGAATTCGGTTAGAGGCCTTCAGTTACCGATTTGGAATTTTCTGCCATTGCACCCCCCACAGCCACCATCTTCTCGCTAAGATCCCATTGGAGCCGGGCACTGTCTAACCATGCGCAGTTTGGGAGTGGTTAAATCCGTCTGGCCATACCAGCAGATTCTTTTGAGCGGAAATCTTGGCACTTTGATATCCTGCGTGCTTGGATTGAGACTCGGTCAAAACTGTGGGTATAGCCTCAAGTATCCTCAATTCGGTTGAGTCCCCAGCGGCATTGGATGCAGACTGTTGATGGTATTTCTCGATTATGTAAGAGCTAAGTCCGAAGCTTCCTTGGGGGAATGTCTTTTAACTAGTCGCAGGAATCATCTTAACAGACGCGGCAGAGCTGTTCTTGGTTACCACATCCTTAATCCCTGCTGCTGGTCTTAATTCAAACAACAATAGCTGCTCTGTAGTAGTATTTCCAAGCTTAATTATGCTACCTGACAGGCCCGCTGCCTACTATATAGACTATATTGAAGCATAATGAACCCCGGGGCCGCTGGTTCTCTCAGTATGCTCTTATCGTGTCAAATTCTCTCTCATTGTACCGGTAGTTCAGCCTCGAAGGTTACTAGAATGAAAATATTGATTGTTTCTTGATGGATAAAAGTCCACTAGAGGGGTTCGCAAAGGAAAGAAAGAAAGACACTCTGGCCATAAAATGTCGAGAATGAAGGAGCAATGGATGCATGAAAAGACGGAATTGATGGTAGGTGTAGGTGGAGGACGACAAAGAAGAAACCACCATGTGTCAACAAAAGGAACCTTGGAACAAAATCAATGGCACCATACTATTCCCGATGCATAAAGGCCTAAAAAAAAGACTCTCCGCGTTCTGAAAGAACTTGTTTCTCAACACCCAACAGAAGATGCCTCGTATCTCCTACCACTTCTTCGACATGGACGTGGGAGTAGACTTAGTACGCGCTTTCTCACTTTGCGCCGCGACACAAGAATTGCGATCCACCCACTCGCACACCACAGAGCCCCACGGGTCAATGCCCCATTCAGCGATACCAAGGTCTGACGGCCGGCTGAAGAAGGCAATTCCCTCACCAGTGCAATCTGCTGAGCTGAAGACAGTACATCGCTGAGTCCCGCAGTTCCATCTATCAACTTCGATCCTTGTTGCCTGGTATGATGAGATATCGGTGCAGTAGTTGTTCTGCCAGGCGTCTGTTAGAGAGACTATGCCGATTGTATTGCGGGTGTTGTATTCCGAGAGGAAAACCCGGGTATAGGGGTCTTCACGCTCGGATATGCCTTCATCCCAGGCTAGGATACTTGGGGTCAGGAGGGCGAGAAATGTAGTTGTTTTCAGGGTGACGAGCTTCATGGTTGGGTGCCAGTGGTGGTAGAGGCTAACTTCAGGTCCTGGAGTTGAGTGTCAGTAGGCAGGGTGAATTCAAGCAAAGAATATGAAGAGAATGAAACTCACAGCCTTGTAATAAGATTATAGATCTGTAGTATTATTCCTGTAAAGGGGATGATACCAACCCTGAGCACGTGGGTTTTCCATTTCTTTTGAGTCGTATATAAGTTTTCATACGGCCGTAGCCATGTAGGATTCCATAACAATCACCATGAGGGCACAGCTACGGCCGTGAATCTGACAGTGTGGAGCAATACGGCAAAAATTTAATTTTACTACGGATGCTCAAAGAACTTATTTCTTCTTCAGAAATCTTGGAGAAGAACAGGAATCCGAATATCTTGCTATTTCTTGGAGGTTGGACTTATTCCAAGGTTCAGCGACCTTTGCGAAGTGCCTTGGCACAGCTAAACTTCGTGTAAACTTTTCTTTCTCTGCTAACGACGTGATGATGAATCTTGGCTTTGATGGTATTGAAATTGACTGGGTGATAATAACGACATTAAATACGCCTTACGTGAAACATAACTAGTCGTATCTAATACTATTATTCTCGTATTGTAATCAGATTTGACGTAGGCTTTGGGGCGTTGAAAATTTAGGACCGCCCGTATCATATTTCTGATCGGGCGGTGGTTGGGAGAAAAGGTGGAACGCCCTTTAAGTTATAAAAGAATGTATCTGTTCTCTCGTCGCACTTCACACTCGCACCGTGGAGAGTGCCCAGGTGGCAGTCTGGATTTTAACCGAATCTGAATTTTCACCGAAAATGAGGGTAAGAACGAAATGATAGAACTATGTAGAATCACAGGAAAGACAAGGAGCAGCTTCTTTTTAAACAAATCAGAAAACCACCGGTTGCTACTGAGAAAAAAGAGAGCATATCCGCATTGCGATCAACACAAACCTTGGAACCTTTATGTAGAAACTTTTCATCTTACTGTTTCATGCGAATGCATCAACATTTACCCTACCTATTTTTCCCATTCCCTCGTTATCCCACGCCAGAAGGGGAAGGGGATGAGGCTGCGTGTTCTTAGCCCACCCCAACTTGCATTATCGTGCATATGAGCTTCATATTTTGGTTTAATCTCAGTGGTTGACCGGGGCCATCCTGTACTCTGATTTTTTTCTCTTTGGTGAGATTCGTGGCTGAGATTCTGTTGAAAGATATCCTCGACTTTTGATCCACCCCTTTGAAGCCCTGGGGATCAAAGAGATGCTGTTGCGACATGAAGTTGAATGCAATCATCCCGGACAAGTCTTTGGGAACACCTAGGTATAACCGAGTCGTACCTAAATTAATATTTAATGGGATAATGAAGCCCGGACAAAGCAGAAATTGAAAGTCAAAAATAGAATGGCAAATAATCAAAGAGATTTTACGCCCTGCCACTGAGTGGTAGCGGTATGGATTCAATATTTTCATTATTTCCAGTACCTGAATAGACGGGGACTTGGAGGACAAGATTATTCCCATTCTATAGGTCAAATACTAGTAGAGTACCAGAGGATAGGAGTACCTTGACTATATCTTTACTCCAGGATAAAACTTAAGACTGGAAAACAAAATATGAAGACCTTCACGATAGTACTAATCAGCTGATGCGTATTGATATATTTGGTCAAGAGCTACTAGCAAAGTTCAGATCATATAATTGTAATGTTCTCCTGCAGTTCGCTTGCAAACCGAAGCAATAACTCTAGTACGGTACGGTACGCTTGGCCAAGCAGATAAAGAAATCACTGCCAATGCCGTCTGAATCAACTTCTCGAGGACCGTGGCCTGTACCATCAGCTGTGTCTGCGAAGGCGTTAGGGATAAATTGAAAGGGTTCTTTCATTTATTGACCAGTTATGGTTCAGGACGATCCCCCTCGTGTACCCCAAGTTTCTTTGATAGCCCCTCAGGCTTTTAATGAGGGACGGTCCTCCCTGAATTTTTATTCCTGAGTTTTTGATTCTTTCGTACTAGATACTCCTGAATATACTTGTACTGTTGTACCGTTAACCGCGACAGGGTTAGATTTCAAGTTCCAAAACTCGGAAGGCTCTTCAAGTTCCAGTGAAGAAACCCCGCACAGAGATATACGCTTGCAAGGTTGTTTTCTTATTTAAAAATACCGTGACCATGTCTCATCTCTTTCAGAGAGGACGAGAGAAGTTGGACAAGACCAGAGAAAGCTTGAAGAGACGCGGAGAATCACTCCGCCGAGGACCCGAGGACACCGAGGAAGTGCGACAACCAAAGATTCGGAAGACCGGTGATCCAATACCGCCGTTGAGACTTCGAAATCCTACAGGGACGTTAATAAGTAAACCCGAAGATATACCCGATGATTGGGATCCAAATGATGATGATATAGATGAAAAGTAAATGTCTTCTCCACATTCCGAATTGAGTCTATATCGCTAACGAGAACAGTGATTTGGACGCAACGATTACACGATGCCAGGATCGTATTAGAGACAATATTTTGCCTACAATATGGGAAAACAGGCTAGTGGTCGCCAAGAAGATGAAAACTGATCTAGAAGCTCTGGTTGCCAGCGAGCCTGGAGGACTTAGTATGGAGATTGTTGTACGTCTGAAACGACTGGAGGCGGTTAAGGCGAGTATACTCGGGAAGGACAAATACGGATCAATTCCTAATATTGATGTAATCATGAGTTTATATCGCTCAGGTGATTATAGATGGGACTATGGAACAGCTTCATATTGGTCAAAGGGAGTTCTTATTGTGGGGCCAAAAAGATTTGATGAGGATGAGTTCTTGATGTTAAGTTCAACAAATGATGGCCAAAATGGATTTTGGATGGAATTGGTAAGACATTGGAGTTCTTTCTCTTTGGTATTTGAGGCTACATAGCTCTAACGCGCTCTTATGAACTCTATTAGCATGATGAACCAGGGCTATCTCACGCATTTGCTGCCAATATAAGACATGTATTACCCAAGGGAACCAATCCAACCTGGCCTACCATGCACGCTGTATGTTCCACCTGGGTGCTTGAAAATCCTATTAGAGGCAGAGATTCTAATAAATCATCCTTTAAATATAGCTCACTCTCCAATTTCGAACCCCCGGATCACAGATTGCGGTTGGACTGAATCTAGAATTTTTCGATGACACCGGCGCGGACCGTCTTTTAATGTTTGAAAATGATGTAAACGCTATAGTTACACGTTGCGGAGCGCTAGCCCCATTCTGTTATTCTAGCGGTATGAGAACAGTAGGCGGCAGCATTCAAATGCTAACTATCGTGTTAGAGGTTGCGCTTGTTTTGGGGGGGAGAGTAGTAACACAGTGGTCTCGATGGCCCGTTGCTGTTCAAGCAGGAGCGGTAGCGGGAAGGACAAGGCTTTGCGGTCCATACTTACGACAAATGGTCTACACTGGAACAGCACCTGAAAGACCTGCACGATTATGTCTCAGTAGTAGCGTTGATGGCCTAAAGAAATCGTTACCAAGCAGAGCGCATGTTGATACAACACCAAGTTACTGGGGGTTGTTACCGAGGATGGGATCTACTTCAACGATAGCTACAGGGACAGCGGGTGGAACTTTTCAGCCACAGAGTTGCCAAAATTACTATACAGTTACGACACCTACATGGCCGAACCTTTTGCCGGCGCAGTTACCAGGACCGGGAGTGCCCGTTGCAGGTACACCGGCCGGGATTGCCCACCAGGCACCATTGCTTGCACCATTACATGGCACTATACCGCCAGCAATCTACTTAGGACCAACAGCCGTCGCACCAGGACCAGGAGGGCTCGTTGCGCCTCCAGCTATTCCTGCTTACGCTAATGCTGCTGCTGCGGCGGCGGCGAAGGCTTTGGATCCTGCTGTAACTGGTGCGCCTGCTGCACCTGCTGGGCCTCCTGAGCATGCAGTACCTTGATTATATCCCGTGGTTTTTGGTTAGAGTGGAAGTTGCATGCGTGTTCTTCAACATCTGTGATAAATTAAATTGTTTCTTTCGGCCTTACTATTTTTGTTAATCTAAGCTCTGTAAATCTCGATTATGCGTGCGCAAGAATATTCTTTGAATCACATTTACTTTTTCGTACCTGGGTAGCTACCACAGGCAGCAACTAGTGCATTTTCCCGAGGTCAGTATAGGTACTTTGATCAAAGAATGGAGCGTGCTACCCGAGTGAGTCCTGTATTTTTTCTCTGCGAAACAAGCCAAGAACCTACTTGATGAGTGCGCCGTTGAATCGGAGCATCAAGATCACTCAATAACAGATAGAACTCAACATCTGTCAACACTCGTACCGGATGGGGTTAGTAGTATTGATAGGCCGTAGCATTAAGCGCACCTTCAAATTTGTACTAGTAAGACTTGGTCTATACGTAAGCTTTCTACTACCAGAAAGACTAAAAGGAAGACAGCGTTTCGAAAACGATACGGGCACTTTGAATACACGGTCCTGCCTTTCGGCCTCACAAACGCCCCAGCAACATTCCAAAGCTATATTCATTCAGCACTCTATGGATTAATAGATATCACCTGTATCGTCTATCTTGACGATATCTTCATCTTTTCCAAGACCCGTGAAGAGCACACGGAACATATCAGAACGAATCTCGCACTACTTAGAAAAGCTCAATTATACGCCAAACTCTCAAAATGCACGTTCTATCGTATGGTCTTCTAAACAATGGAGACAATATCTTGACGGAGCTCAATTCCGTGTCGAGGCTCTGTCGGATCATGTTAACCTTAAAACTTTCATGAAGCAACAGAAAATCAACGGGGGACAAGCCCGATCTATTTGATCCCGTTTGACTTCATTATTCGTCATCGACCTGGTAAAACAAATCCAGCGGATGGTCTTTCAAGAGCTCCAGGAGTTGGAAAGACCCCAGAATTGTAAAGGGTGCTGAGATATCAGCTAGCACTGATCGGTCAGGTAAGAACTGAGAGAATAAGCCTAAGATTCGATTGCAAACCAGAGACTGATTCTTGAAGAACCTTCAAAGAAGCAAGGGCGTCACGCCTATTTATAATACATCAAAGGTCCCAGATTTATGAGGGAATTGTATACGAATCGGACATGATTCCGACGCGATACTACCCCGTCACATCCTCAGCTGTCCGGAATATTGTTCCGTATCGTTGGCTGTTCATGTTGTTATCTCATCCTGACAGAGGGGGGGTTCGGCATTGAATCGGTTCCCGGCCTGATACCACGTGATTAATATCAATTTCCCGTATAGGTAGTGGAAGCGTATTATCATACTAGTAATTTTAGCTAAAATATGGAATGAAATGTAACCACTGAATCTTCCAATGTGAAGGGCGACATAGTAATAATTTGAACACTCCTCCTACTCGATTTCGTAAATCAATCGATTACTAGTCGAGGATTTTGGCACGCTGCTGGGTCTCAGGGCTAGATCAAAATCGAGATTTACATGGGATTTGAAGCTAACAAAGCAACTTAGCGAAGCTGCCATCGAATGGACCTAGAAAGTTTCGCGGATAATACGTACTAGTCGCAGCTCACTATCGGGAGTTCATGAGATGGAATGGGGCTGAAGCGCCAGAGAAGGATTTGCGGTCGGACCAACCAAAGCAGTCGTATGATCAATGATTTTCGGCGGTAGGATCATGCAATGTAAACTTAAATTTGTACTCATTTAAGAAAACTCCGAGTCCAGAGTACTAGTACTTCATGATAACCGTGCCAAATCTCAGATTGTCCTTCAACCTTTCAACACTCGAATTCGCTAAGAAAACTCCACATTTTAGAAACCTCATCAAACATACCCAGCTCGCCAAAAATATCAATTGATCCAACGAAGCTTTCTTCCCACCACCAACATCATTCTCATCCCCTTAGGGTAAGAAGGGTCAGCCCACCTGGAAGCCAACGGCCTCTTATCATCACGTGCCACTACGTCATCTACGATAAGGTGCGTCGCCGGCCCATCTCCAGGTGTGAACTAAGCAACCACAACTTACACTTACTCTCACATAGTATCAAAAGCATCAATCAAACCCAGGGAGCTATTCTCTCTACTCGCAAATACCCACGATTGCAAATACCCAACCACAAAACAAAAATGTCAACACCCAGCCTCCGAACCGGAACACGCTCGCTCCGCCTTCGCAGCATCCGAACGAACCCGCGCAGCACAAATACATTAGCATTAGGAAGCACAGTCGCAGCGCCACGCATTTCAATCCACGCTCAATCAAGAAACCTCACCAGAAACACTTCACCTGGGACTCAGGCTCAGCAGGCTAGGAGCGCTGCCGCGTCACTGAGCGCGAACACTCTCCGCGCACGCGTGTCCCAAATCCGCACATACGCCTCTTCCAGTAACGCAACTGCAGACAATCTGATCGAAGAACTCCAAGACCTCTACGAAATTGCCAAAGACGAGTTTGAAATCGCAACTGATTCGACGGACGGGTCGACCATCTATGCAGCCTCGGATCGGGAGTCTGCGCGCGACGCGCTGAATCAACTCGTTACTGTTTATGAAGCTTATACCGGGGCCAAGGTTGGGAGGACACATGCTGATGGGGAGGGTGATGCGGGGGAGAAAGGGACTGAGGCGCCTGTTGTCGAGACGAATTTTGATCCGGCGGGGGTTAGTGAGGAGGTGAGGGGGGGAAGTTAAGAGGAGGGTTGGGCAACGGGTTAGGGAGTTGAAGAATGCTGTTGAGATTTTGGAGGAGAGGGCTCATGATGAGTGATTCGTGGTGTGATGCCTGTCTCTGGAGTATCGGGTCGGAGTGTACGCTACGGTTGGTATTTGTGGTGCTGTGATGGATGTGTTATGTTATTTTATGGTATGGGACTATGTTGAGCCTCGGAGGGCTATGTTTATTAGTATCAGTAAGGAGTGCAAATATTACTATGGTCTGGTACTAGTAAACTAGTATCAGGAGGCGTGGATAGATGATAGGTATCTTTATTGCATGTCAAAGATGTATCTTGTGGTCGTTCAAGTTACGCCAAACAAGATGCAGTCTTCGACAGCGGTATGAGAATCATTAGTAACATTTCATCATTGCCAATATCATCACTGCAGTTAAATCCAGTACATAACACGCAGTAGTAAGGGCAGGTCCACAGTAAAGGAAGAAATAGCCAGAATAGATGATCCTCCTATACATAAAATCCAGATGAAGCGGAGTCTGGATGGAGTGAAGCTTTCCCAGAATGTCAAATAACGCCGGATCACCCGCGGAGTTGCGATGAGAGGGAACACAGTGCTATTCCAGAGTGCTTTGTTCCCACGAGTCGGCTCCGTCTTCCCAGAAAGCCATGATATACGCCTTTTCACGCGCAGCGCGATTGCTGTAGTCGTAAGAGCATGCCGGTCATACATGCTATTCTCCGATGGGTATCATTGTGAAGGTTTCAGGTTTTTGTATTCGTTAGACAACACCGAAAGGTGTAAGAGCGAAGTGTTCGGGACTCGGCGAAAGAAGTGATGGGGTCTCGGTTTTGTGTGTTGTTCTTTGGTGGCGCTTTAGTTGATCTATTCATGGACAAAAAGGTTAGAATTTCTCTTCCAAGTTGGGTGAGATAATATATACCTGGCCGAGTAAAGCTCTTGGTGCACCCTGGGTAGAGGCACTTGTGTTTTCGTTCCCCATGAGTCAACCTATGACTTGACATGTTTGATGACTATTGGGGGTTAGTGATATTCGAGACAAGTAGAGTAATTTTAAAATACTCACATCGCCAGTCGTGAAGTTACACCCTGGAAACGTGCATTGAAATGGCTTTTCACCACTATGGGTTCGGGAGTGTGTTTCTTGAAGAGGTCAGCTCAGTCCATGAGAGGCGAGGAGAATACAGCACATACTTAGTTCACTGCTATCCGTGAATGTTTTGCCACAGTCCTTGCACCTATAAGGTTTGTCACCGCGGTGGCTACGCTCATGTCGATCGAGAGTTGCTTGGCGAGCGAACGACTTGCCGCAAACAGAGCATCTGAAATTTTTATCTATAGAAGTTGGTTGATTAGTGGGGATGTGAGAGGGCATGATGATTAAGGGGGCCTCACAATTACTATGCGTCAAGAAATGGCCTTGGAGCTTTGACTTTTGAGAGAAGGGCTCGTCGGGCCGGTGGCATCCTTCCCAGCAGCAGTAGTACCCATTGCCTTTGGCACCATCAACAGTATTCATATGTGTCGACACAAGATGATCTTGTAGAGCACCCGAATCTGTAAATGTGATCCCACATGGTGCCTTGATCCCATTGATGTTCACAACCCACTTGCAAATATGGAAATCGCTGTCCTCGGCGGAGAAGTCGGGTGTCGTCAAAACAGATGAAATGCCTCCGTCCAGCGGCGGTGGTGTTTCCCCAGGGCTTGACATGAAGTGAGAGCTAATACTCGACCGGGAGTGGCGTGAGTATGGCGAGTAGGGATGGGAGTGGTGATGATGAACTCTGCACCTATGGTGGTTCCGAAGAGGCCCTCGTGGGATATGGAGATTCAAATCATTCGGGTTTTTGAAGGAACCGTGGGACGAACCGTGAACATGGTGGTGTTCTGGGTGGAAGCAATTGAGACCGACAGGCATCACGTCCTGCGCCACTTTCTCAATTTCACTGACGCTCGGCTGGGGAGGAGCAACATGATCGTGGCAGACTGTGTAATCTGGGCACATTCCAAGCATCTGGAAGACATCCTGGGGGTTGACTTCAGTCTGCTGAGGGAATGGTTGGTGTGTGAACATCCCCTGCAGGTCTCTCTGGAATTCATCGCATTCAAAATGGCTAGCAACATTCTGTTCGCAATGGCTTGCATGACTCTGATAGGAATGGAGAAAGTCTTGGTGATAGCAGGGATCGATGGCACCTGGGAGGGCAGGATCAAGAGACTTGCCCTGATCATCGACGAGATTAGGGGCCATGGCAGGAACAGTTGACGGTAAGAGACCCGATGTTTCCAGGGATAAGGGGGTATTCAGCCCAAAGAACGAGTCAAAGGCACAATCCTGATCGTTCGTATCGTCGCAGCAGTGATCCTCGAAACAGGCAGCGTCTGTGTTGTCACAATGGGTCTCGTCGCACTGAGCGACGGAGCAGACGGTCGAAGCGTCGCAGTCTACGAGGCCTTCACATACTGACCCACAGTCTAGCGCGCAATCCTCGGCCTCACAACAATCATTCTTAGGCGGATTGGTGTCGGCAAGCGCGGTGTGAATATCCGGCTGCGAGCACTCCCACTGGGACTGTGAATGGGAGCCCGAGCTGTCACCGGAGGGTTTCCCATCGATATGGAAGCCATCCCAGTGACACTCGAGGCAGAAATCTCCGCCTTGGGGTTGATTCGACATGGTGCGCGCGGACCACGTCTGGAGGGGCAGATGGGATGAGGGAAAGGATGGTGAGACGGGTAAGGCCAAAAACCGGTGTCACGGGAGGATCAGGTACCACCAGCAGGGGAAAGTCAAGGGGTAAAAAGAAAGGAAAGCAGCAGACAAGGCAGGAAGAGAGTCTGGAAGGTGTGCGACCGTCTAGTGGAATTATCGTGGAACCAGGTACTCCGTACTCTCGGTGGTTAGGGTACGATATCCGGTCGATAGCCGTTGAATCACGTAACCGGGAGATCGCAACAACGCCAGAGTAGCATGCAGCGTCAATGTATGTAGACAGATCCAGAAATCAGATCACAGTATGCGTTCGTATGTGGGCGTCTCCGGTTGTGTCATGCGCCGCGGGCAGCGAATAGACTCGGCTGGTCGAGGATCAGCAAGGCAATCGGAGAAATTGGCGAGCGATCGTCGTGCAGCACAAGATTCCCGGGTCAAAAAACGAGGACCTTGTAGGAGCGCAAAAAGAATAGACGAGATTGCAACCGGTAGGAGAAGTCGAAATGTAAATTCAGGGGAGGCGGGGGGGAGGGGATCAGCCTCTGCGATTCTCTGAATTGTGAATATGAGGACCTTGGGACAATGGTGAGTGAGGACCTTGGGGGTTAGGCGTCATAGTGTTGTCTGGCGAATGATAGTGCGCGGGTTGGCAAAGTCAACCAGGTCCGATCGCATTCATGGTGGAGGTGTATGTAGGTGGATGTATATAGTGTTGCGCAAGATATTTGATGAGGAATAGAAAGGACGAACCAACATTCCAATGGCCCTCGTGGAAGTGAGGAGGAAGAGGGAAAAAAGACCCCCCGGCAAAAGGGCCGGATGACTCAGCATTTCTCCCCGCGATCTCGCAATCTCCCCGGCAGTGGATACAATAAAAGTGGGAGAATTGGAGAGGTGTTGGTATGATTCGATTCAAATGGGTGAGGCGACTCATTCATATGATATTTTACCATAGGCATTGCTGGTGATGGAGAGAAGTTCTATCTTTCACTACCTGAGGCATGTTAAGTGCGATACATGCCTGAGGCATCAATCTCTTATCGATAACCTTAGTTTTTGCTGAGTCACCCCACGTGCCCCGCTTTACCGCGGATCTCCCTTTCCGCCTTCCTCCACTCTGCCCCTTCCCAGCGTTGTAACTTGTATGTATGCCATGCGACTTCTGCTTCTTCCCCTTCAATCAGATCACTCTACTTCAAAGGGGAACACACGTTGCATTCTCGCCCTCAACAATCTCCTGCGCGTTTCCCTCCAATCAATTACCATTACACTCATCCTCACCTGACCGCACACCAGAGATCCCTTCCCCGCAACTTCATTCAACTCCGCACCCCCGGGCGTCCACCCCGACAATGGGAAACATCTGCTCGCGCGCTTCCAACGACCCCGAAGCCTTCTCCAGTCCCGGTCGTGTCGTCGGAACAAATCCCTCCAACCAATCCGCCGCCCCACGAGCCTCCGTTCCCGCAAAGGCCAATTGGAAGAATAGCCCAGGTCGGACATTAGGCGACAGCGCCGGAGCGCAAGGTGATAGTGATGAAGCCAGGTCCAATGCGGCAATCGCTGCGCAAGTGAGTCAATCCGAATCTGCACCCACGTCCATCTCGCGAAATGTCTAGCTCCAGGCCACCATGGTTTGCGTGGTGATCTACAACGCGGGGACGAGATCGCGCTAATGCTAATCGCTGTGGGGTTACAGAAACGGGCCGACACCGCATCCTCCGGCAACAAGGGCAAACTAGGCTCCAAACTGGCTGCGCAAAAGGCGAAGACTCAGACGCAGACGCTCAACGAAGCTAGTGAGACTGAGCGCGCGACCCGAGCTCAAGACGACCAGAGAGAAGTGGCGGCTTATCAATAGAGTGACCATTTGTAGCAGACGGGGGTTTCTCTGAATTTTCGCCGGTGCTTCTTTTTACTGCCGGCATTTTCTACATACAGTGCATTCGTTGCATAGTTCTTTCGTCCTTTTTCCCCCTTTTCCCTTCTTGAACAGTTCTTCAAGCGTCGACCTCGTCGGTATTTTCGGTAGTTCAGCGGTAGTATGGAGTATATATTTTGATCCCAATTGGAAGCCTTGCAGTCTTTTTTCAACATGCACTGATGATTGTTAACAATTACACTCGTTATTATATGCACATTACCAGTATTATTCCAGTCATTAAACATTTTTACTATCCAAAGACCAGAAACTACTGGACATAAATGGCTGTCGGGATATCGGCACCGGTGGGCCGATCGGGATCGCACCGCACTGGCCCCGGCTTCCCCGCATCTTGTTCCAGGGCTGCTGGACCATCTTCGAACCGTCAATAAATCACGCTGAAATGGTGGCCGCAGCATCCTTGAAGTTGCAGCCTTTGACACTAGAGGATAACCTCGCCATTACAGAACTATGGTTTGCAGCCTTCACAGACCCAGAACTCCGCCGGGTCTTTCCCCAACACTCCCGGCGTCCGCCAATGGCTAACAGACGCAAACTACCACGACCTAACCCACAAACCGTTCCAAAAATACATCAAAGTAGTCGATCCCACATTGATAGATCGAAATGGTCGTCCCCGTATTGTCGCCTACGCAAAATGGGATACTTCTATGCCTGAAGAGCGCGGCCGTCGCTATCCACCCTGGCACGAAGAAATGCCCGCGTCTCTGTGCGAAGGCTTTTTTCAGATGGAAGAGGATAATAGAAGGCGTGTTATGGGCGAGATAAGGCATTACTGTAAGTTTCCTTTGCTTGGTTTTTCGGATGGGTTATTCATTGATTGGTGATGATGATCTGTCAGATCTGGATACTGTTGCAACACATCCGGATTATCAGCGCTGTGGTGCAGGGTCTATGCTTGTCAAGTGGGGTTGTGACCTTGCTGACTCTCAGGGTGTTTCGGCTTATGTTGATGCAAGCAAGGACGGTGCGCCACTTTATTCTAAGTTTGGGTTTGTGGATTATAGCATGCCGGGTGAAGGCATTGCTTCAATGGCGCGGATAGCGAGCAAACAGGCATAAGACTGAAGTCAAGGCGTTTATTTCGAATATCATTGTGATTTAAATACACACGGGAACGTCTAGAGTGAACGACCGAGCTTCATTGCCCACTTTGCGCATTTGATGAAAATTACTAGTAGCCTTCAAGGTTCTGGTTGAGCAATAGTATACTTCGCGAGGCTTTCAGACTACTCTTTAAGGTAAAGACCTTTTTCGGGTGGTGGAACTCCATACCAGTCCAATCCCATTTTATCTTCAGGATCTGGATCAGGCATCTGATAGTATCTATCATATCGCCACCAGGTCCGGTCTTCCCAGACATCTTCAACAGGCAACACGCCTTCGATCTTCATTTGATCACGAGTCTCCTCAACGCCCTTCCACACCCTCAAAATTTTCTCTCCGGCAACTTTAGCCAACTGTTCCTCCGACTCACCCCGATCAAGGATAGACTGAAGTAACCGTGGGTAGCATTTTACATCTTCTAACCCTGGTATCACAGATGCAATTCCGTCAAAATCTGATCCTAGACCAACATGGTCCCAGCCAATCTGGCCCGCGATATAGAATAAATGATCGAGGACCATATCCATCGTTGCCTCTGATCGTCTAGTTGTCACATGCTCAGGTACAAATGTCACCATGATAATGCCGTTGTTTTCACGCACTAAGTCGATTACTTCATCCGGGAGGTTCCGTGCGCAGTCAAAGACTGATTGAATAAATATTTCCAGCTAGGGAAAACATAGATCTCCTTCCAATATTGTTTTGGGAGTATGTTTACTAACATTCCAAGGTTTCTCAAGGGACACCATGGGAGAACACTATTTATTGGTCCGATTTAATCTTTATTGCGAGCTACAATGTATTGTGAATGGGTCTATGTATTGGAAGGGCCATCAGGCCTTTGAGACGGCATCTATACGATGAAAGGGAACTAAATCAAGCAATCCTTACAGTTTCAATCCGTTGAAAGGTGTACGCTGATGTGATCGCAGCTCTCTAGCATATTTCAATTGCTATTTCTAGCGAGATAGCAGTTTTTCCGAACTACTCCTATGTACTATAAGTTTGTCATCATCATGATGCTGGCTGTCGTATATCCCAAATTTGACGGATGACTACACATTCTTTACAGCCAGAGATCTTGTAGCATATCCAAGGTTATACCTAGTTACGGATAAGGCAAAAATAAATATTTGCCGAGCAATACAATAGCTCCGCTTGAAATAATATATCACGCTTGAATCAATATATCACGTTGTGCAAATCATTTACAGTAAATACTCCTCCCAAACGCATGGCGATCGAACGAATTAGTGATGACGATATCCAGCAGGCCATGTAGCACACTGGCAGGTCTTCCAAGGCATCTCGCATTCGTAGCAGAATTCATGGCTACAACTGCAGGACGTTAGTTAACTAGTTCCTTTGCACGCCATACCAAGAACCCATTCCACGAATCAGAGCCACTTACCGGCACCAAATATGAGCACATCCACTAGTGAGGCTAACCATGGCATGACATTTCGGGCACCGCTTCCACTTATTGTCCTTCGCAAGTTTCAACAAGCTTTGCAGCGCCTGGTCCATTGGGCAATCGATACCGGGGTGAACAGGAGAGCGGCAAAGCTCATGAGTCTGCTTCTTGCAAGCGGGACAAGTCGCAATCTCGTGCTTGATCGCCGTCTTGGGAATGAATTTCGAACAAGTCGGTTCGGAGCAGTAGAGTCTATCCTTGGCGGAATATTCGATGGCTTTCTCGTCAAAAGCGTAGATTTGGTCAAAGTCTAGGATCTGGAGTAAGCTCTTTGGCTTGACCGGTTCGCTGCAGCAGCGCGGTGGGTAGAGCTGTTCGTCCTGCGTCGCCATTAGGAACATTGTTCTGAGACAGGCGTTGCAGAACGCATGTCCGCATTTTCCGGAGAAGGTCTCAGATTTTTTAAATGACTCCAGACAGGCTGTGCACGTTGTCGTGGTGGTTTCACGCTCTTTCCTCATCTTGGACCGCGTATTGGCTGATGGCCCGGTGCGTTCTTTGATAAAGTACACATCTTCATCGTCGCTTCCAGTAAGGTCGATTATCACGGGATCAGCTCGGGGTTTATGTCCAGGTTTAAGCTCAGAGTCATCGAGGGCGTCGATGTCTAGAAGGGATACTACTTCTGGGTTGCGGTGGGAGGCGCCAGTACGTTTACTTCGCTTCCCAGATCCGAGTCCGGATCCGAGTCCTAGTCCTGGTTCATCATCGCTGATTTCGATGGCAAAGTTGACTTTCAGTGCCAGGGTAATATTTTCAGCGATTCTCTCCTGTCTCTCGATCTCGGTGTCAAGGGAAATGAGAGCAACCTCACGGTCATTTAATACGTCGTCCACTCGCTTTCTCTTCACGAGTGACTTTTCGCCCTCTGTGAGTTCGAGTTTGTCACGGTCATTGCGGAGCAGCTGTAAGCTTCCCTGGATGTTGGTATATTGGAGCTGTAACGCCAGCTTCTCGTTGTCGTAGTCATCCATGGTGGGAATGGTTGCTCGGGGAGGGTATATTTCGTGGGACCCGTGTCTCTAGGTGGACCGAAGTACTGGTAAGTAGAGTGAAGTACTACTATGTCCGCGCTGGGCACATATGGTTTCATTGGTCATGTCTGACCTGGAATGCATGGATGTGCAACGTACCTGCATGGGATATAGTTGCAGGGCGAAATACTGAAGGATCAGGAACAGCAGACAGGATCGAGGGGGCGTAGACTGAGAGTAGCAGAATGAATATTGTCAAGAGATGGTGGAGCTCAATGAGTAAATATTGATGCTTGGCCCCCGGGGTGGTGAATCTGAAGAGGCTATGGCTTGACTGATGATTCACTGGAGCAGCAGAAAGAGGTATCAACTTGATAAAAGACACCATTTGTCAAGAAAGAAAGAATATTCCAGTTTTGCTCTTTTTCTCCAAAGTTGAGACTGAGGCAAAGGTAATCATACCAGGATCTCTGGGAAAAACCGTATCTATATGAGTGACAAATTGTGACAGCACTCCACGGCTGGTACTAGTAGTCACTTCAGGCCCCAACCAGTGCCACTTTTATACTAGTACTTCAAAGTTCAGACTCAACCAAGGATACGCAGACTTTTATTTGTGAATTTAAGTCGTTAAGAGATGGGCAGAACCGCAGAATAATAATTTCAATCTTGCGGATTCTTGATTTCGAACCATCGATCTCCACGTAACAGGGAATAAGTGGGGGGATGTACCTTTGTTTCCAGGAAATTCGTGAAGTACAAAAGTTGGATTTCATGGTCTATTCACATCACAACACAACAAAGTGATATTCAACAAAACACCACTCAGACATGCTTTAAAAGAGAAACGAAAGAGATAATATAATCAATTGATTTATTTAAAAGAAGATGAGAGCGCAAAAAAAAAAAAAATTCCCCGCCCACCCCTCTGTCGCCTCAAGGGCACAGCTGAGACAGAGATGGCCACACATAGCCGTCACTAACCCCAGAGGGCCTTCCAGGTTTGGATCACGGATGGCAGTGGGATCTACCCACTACGTTATCGGCGAGGTCTTTGCACAACTTTCCAACTTTACGCCTATGATCTCACTCCTGCCCTATTACTCCCCTTCTACACCCATAATGCATTGGTCGTGGAACGGCATTCGCTGCGCTTCATTTCAATCAGTTCTAAAGAATGGTATAATACAGCATGTCGTCAATATATTACATCTCCGTAGAGAAGTTACCTACTCATCCTAAAAAACCCCTCAGACAACATTATATCGGCCACTAGCCGGAGCGCGCGCATCACTGTCCGCAGCAGCGACAGTGCCCTCTTTCAACAGACGCATGAGCTCACGCATAGCATTCGTGACAGATATCTCGGTTTCGCCCTCCACAAGGATGTAAAGTTTCGCGAGGTCGTTGGGACCAGGTTCCTTGCCAGCAGCGTAGAAGTTACCCTTCGTCGTGATAGAGGTACCACTAGCTTCAAGGATCTTGGCGACGTTTGTGCGATTCGTGACGGCCCATCGTGCTTTTTCTGTAATTGGATTGAACATGGTTAGTCACGGTTCAAGGGATGAGACGAAATAACAGAGGGGAAAGAGGGAAAGGGGAAGAGGGGAAAGAGGGGAAAGAAAAGGGAGCCAAAAGTAAAACTTACGGGGAAAGTCGTTGATCTCTAGGGTAGCGTGGAATGCGCCAGCATCGGGGCCACGGTTGTCGATGGGGACACCAGATCTCATGACGCCGGCCTTGCTCAGACGGGCATGGATATCGGCGACGGCAGACCCGACTCGGTCCAAGGCATTCTTGGAGCCTGCGCTGGTATCCTTTTCGGTCCTGTGGACGGTAATCTTGCCATCCAGATCGATACCCTTGGGCACGCCGGGTAGAGGAGCCGGAGTCGGAGCCGGAGCAGCGGCAGATTGTACAGAGGAAAGGGCCTTGATAAAGCGGTCTTCGTTCTTGTCGGATTTCTCTTCTTTGGCTTCTTCCTCCTCGCCTTCGTCACCGGTCTTGTAGGTGCGGCGCTCACGCATGCGGGCAGTTTCACGTTCCTGGTCGAGTCGTTCCAGACCCTTACCACCGAAGCCGGACGCGCTCGCCTTTTCTTTACCAGCCTTGACCTTCTCCAGGAAGCCGTCGACCATTTTCTGAACGGGTTCGGGGACTTCTTGTCCACTCTGCTTTAGAGCCTTGGCGATGTCCACGGAATACCGTTCCTGAGTTTCCGTGAGGAATGTGACGGCGGTTCCGGTGTTACCAGCACGTCCGGTACGGCCAGCACGGTGCACATAATCCTCTAGATGGTTAGGGGCATCATAATTGACGACGAGCTTGAGTTGCTTGACATCCAGGCCACGAGCCGCGACAGACGTGGCAGTCATGACGGGGAAGATGCCAGCCTTGAAATCCTCGATAGTGGAATCTCGATCAATTTGATCTTTGCCACCATGGATAGACCCACAAGGGTAGCCCTTCCGCATGAGTTCGTGGAGTAGGTTATCTGCGGCTTCTTGTCGTTCAACAAAAATTAACGTCCGGGCGTCTTCATTCTGATCATCCGCATAAAGGTTACCCAGATACTCCAGGAGGCGAACGAACTTCTGGTCGTCGTTGCGCACTTCCACAATCTGGGTAATTTCAGGAGCAACCACACTCCTCCCACCAACAATGATCTCAACCGGCTTTTTCAAGGCTTTACGGGCCAGTGCCTCCATGTTTCGGGGGAAAGTGGCTGAGAAAAGGACGGTCTGACGATCAGGTCGAACGTTTGACATGATTTTCATCACTTGGGGTTCAAATCCCATATCAAACATGCGGTCGGCCTCATCGAGTACACAGTACGTCACACGGCGGAGGTTGGTAACTCGGCCAGCATTGGCTGCGAGTAGATCGATCATTCGTCCTGGAGTGCAAACAACGATCTCCGCACCTCGCTTCAACTCGGCGATCTGGTCTTTGATCGGGGCACCGCCGTACGCACAGACAGCACGCAGACCAAGCGCCTTCAGGAAAGGCTTGCAATCCTTGTGAATCTGAGTAGCAAGTTCACGGGTGGGCGTCATAATCAATCCAATCGGACCCTCCATACTATCAAGCGGTCGCTGATCCTTGATGTGTCGGAACATGGGAATAAGGAAAGCCATGGTTTTTCCCGAGCCGGTCTTGGCAACACCGATCACATCACGGCCTGACATTATGGCAGGAATGGCTTGGGCCTGAATGGAGGTCAACCCTTCGTAGCCAAGACGGTCAACGACATCGAGAGTTTGGACACCCATTCCGCATTGTGACCATTTCTGGACAGGCTTCGGGATGTCAAGGCCGCGGACCTTGATGCCTTCTAACTCGTGCCGTAGATTGGCTACCTCCTCTTCACTCATATCGGCAAGATGACTGGGTTCGTGGTAGAATTGCTTTCGGAATGGCTCGTATTCAACCTTCTTGTGGTCCACTGTTGGGATTTCCTTCTTCTTCTTTTTGTTGGCCATGGCGAGAACATCATCAGCGTCCTCGTCTCCCACGGCTGTGATAGCGGCATCCTCGTCGTCTCCGAACATTGCTTGCGGTTGTTGTGCTTTCTTTTTGGCAAAAGAGACTCCAACCTTCTTCTTAGGGGGCGCCGTCGTCGCGAGGCCGGACATGAACGCATCGAGAGGATCAACTTCCTCTTCCTCCTCCTTTGTGTCGACCTCCATTTCAGTAGCTTCCGGCGCCTCATTTGAGGCATCCTCCATTGCGACATCTCCATTCGGTTGAGATTCGGAGGATTCAGGAACATCTCCTTGTGTCTGGTAGGCGATGTGCTGGTTTTGAAGGCGTTCTTCCCGGCGCTCTGCTGCAGCTCGAGCAGCTGCCGCAGCTTCTTCTTCAGTTCCACCATCCTGCATGTCGACATCGTCATCTTCAGCAGCATCATCGGCGGCACCGAATGAATCCTTGCTATCATCAAGTGGAGGAGTTGGAAGACGTTCAAGCTTTTTGCGTGTAGATTCCTCCTCGCCAAAGCCCAAGGTTCGAGACGCAGAAGGTTTATCAGTACCGGAAGATTGCTTTGAGCTCAATCCAAACCCGCTCACATTGCCCTTGGCCTTGAGAGGGGCTGAAACGGGAGCTGGGGCGGCTGTTGGCTTTGGCGGCACCTTGGGTGCTTGCGGGACCGCGACATCGGTTCCTAGGACGGCAGTTGGTGCGGAGCTGGTAGTTGTAGCGCTCTTGGCAACGGCCTTGGGGTCGAACTTCCCGGGTAAGAGGCAGGTGTCGGAGTATCAGTTGGTGTAGCGGGGGTCTGCGGGGAACCAACGGCGGGAGATAGACCGGACTTGCGATCAATAGCATCGAGAATGTTTCTGGCACCTCCAGCTGCAGCTTCTTGTTGTTTCTTCTCGCGCTGTTCCGCTTGCTTCTTCTTCCAGGCCTCCAACTTCGCAAGTCGTTCGGCCTTTTTCTGTTCGTCGGTCTGGGCGGCGGGGGCGGGGGTCGACTGTTTGGATGGCTGTTCAATGTTATCAGTATCGAAGTTCCACATAAATATGAGAGATGCGCAAGACATACCTCCTGTGTGCGAGACCGAGAACGTCGATTGGCACCACGGTCACGGCTATCATCCCGTCTAAACTTGTGCTTCAAATCAGCAGTATCATCTGGGCGCCTGCGCTCACGATCGCGCGAATCATCTCGCCTGGGTCGGTACTCTCTATCGCGGCTTCGGCGGCGATAATCGCGATCATCATCGCGACGGCGGTCTCGGGACCGATCTCTGCGATTGGGCCGATAGGTGTCTTCGTCGCGTCTGTCTAAGGAACGATCGCGTCGGCGAAAGCCATCTCGATCGCGGCCATTATCACGTTCACGGTATCGGCGCTTTATTTCGGAATCAGAAGGGTTAGACCATCGCACTTGTTGAGCCTCACGTCCCAAGTCGGCGGGGCGCCTTTTATGACATACCTCTGGGCTGCGAGACCTGCGGTATCCGCGACCATCGTCCCGGCGATTTCTGTCATATCGATCATCCTCCCTGCGAGGGCGTCGCGATGAGGAGTATGTGCTGCCTACAGGAGATGGTGAGCGAGTATCCCCGTGGCGAGCCATTGTTGCAAGGCAACGATGAGTGAGTATTACTGCAAACTCAAAAGCACCGGGATGTCGAGCAAATAGGCCTGCAAGGATCACCGCGCTTCCATGTAATTTGCTGAATTGTCAAGGCCTTCGATGCCGTCGGAAAATCTGGGTGTTGTTTGACGTCAGTCTACCTCTGGTAGAAGTAGAAGATTGATCCAAAGTCAACTTGATATGGAGAAGACCTCCAAATGCTGCTGGGCCGTCATTTCCTTGGGGGATCGCCGTTACAGGTCATGTGATATCTCCCACTAGTCCCAAAGCGGAGGCTTGTTATGCTTATGTCATCGACTTTGAGACGCCCAGCCTCCTGCGACTCCGCTTGCGTCAGGGAGAGCCTCTTCTATTAGCGTTGCGCCGTGCCGATTGTTTAATTGGTGATTTGATTGATCGGACTCTCTAACTACATACTACAAATTTTCTCACCATGGCTTCACAGTGGGCCTCCCGACTGGGTGCCCTCCGACACCTGCAGGTCGCCAATGGCTTGTCTCGCCCTACTCGTGTGATCGAGCTGCAGAACCAGATGCGCCAACTTTCTCTCGCCTCGAGCCCCCGTTTCACAGCTCCGCTGGCCGGTCCAGTGTCTACCATCAGCTCCCAGCGTACCCAATCCTTCGCCACGACAACTGAAAGCGCGAAGCCCAAGCGTGCGACTAAGTCCAAGACCACCACCACCAAGCGCAAGAGCAGCACCTCGACCAAGAAGCCGAAGAAGGAGCTTAGCGAGGCCCAAAAGGAGAAGAAGGCGAAGCGCGCCGAGATCGACCGTCGCAAGGAGCTTGTGGAGAAGTCACTCAAGGAGCCTGCGAAGCTACCTCAGTCCGTCCGTGGACTTGCTATCAAGGATGCATTTGCCGAGCACCGCGGACAGCACGAGGGTACCGTCGCGATCTTCAAGGCTGCCGCCGAAAGCATCAAGGAGAAAGGCGCCGATGCTATCAACGAGGTATGTTTATGGGAAACTGCCTTTCCTCGGATATTACTTCATGCGAAGTCGTACTGACCTCTAGCAGCAATATCAACCCATCGCGGATAAGAACCGCGCTACTAACGAAGCCGCCTACGAAGCTTGGGTCCGATCCCACACCCCGCTTCAAATCAAGGAAGCAAACAGTGCTCGTCGGGCCCTGGCCCGTGATCCTACCCGCAAGACCAGGTTGTTCCTAATCAAGGACGACCGACAGGTCAAGCGACCCACCTCGGCCTTCTTGCTGTTCACTAAGGAGCGCAGCTTTGGTGGTACGGATTTCAAGGATATGGCGTCGACTCAAGTCGAGGCTGCCAAGCAATGGCACTCCCTGAGCGAGTCTGAGAAGGAGGTAAGTCAATCATTTCAACGTGCTTGCATCGTATCAAGATCCGGGTCTAGTTACTGACATGTACTCTCTTACAGCCTTATGTCAAGCGGGCTGCTGAGGATCGCGAACGTTACTATCGCGAGCACCTGGAGGTCTATGGGGTTGAGGCCCGCCGGTCATCGAAGGAGGCATGAATCTAGATCGACCTCAAGACTGACGAATGTGTATTTTCTGCCGTGATACGGATTGGGTTGGAAAATGGTTGGGTATGGGATGGGATGGGATGGGATGGGATGGTGTCCGAGTCGCCCCTTGTTGATAATTCTTTTCTTCTCTTTTTCTTGCTGTCTGTTTTGCCCTGCTATACTTCCTGCCCTGCCCCCTCTTTTCGTTTCTTTTCTGTATTCCTCACGTGACATTTGCATGTCGCTCGATTCCATTCTCCTATGTTATATTGTATTGTAGCTGTTCCATGGATTGGTGGATTGAATGTCACTATCTCCAATATCTCCGCTCTTAATGGTGGAACCATTTTGTCTCGTCTGCCTCGGCGGTCCTAGTGTCTATCTGCGACTACCGTATGAGTCAAGTCCAGCGCCACTGTCCCTCCACTATGGAGATCATGTTCTAAATGCACACCGGGGATAGTATGCAGGCACCTCTTTTCCGGTACGGATAGGATTGAATCAGGGCGCAGTGTGTCTCCATCATCAAATAGATGTTTCTTTAGTGGTGAGCAGGTGCTTCCATAGCGGAGACCTTACCCCCCCGCACTTGGGTCCGTCGAAGTGGCGGTGAGAAAAAGGATGTGTTGCGCGTGCGCAGAGCAGCCCAAGGCAGATGAAACCTGCAGTGATCGGGGAAATAATTGGGCTAATGTGGAGGGGTGGTCGTATGAGGGTTCAAGTTCACCTGGATGCAGCAATTCATATTGTTGCTAGATAGTACTATTGTTGTCGAGGTATACTTGGCCAACTTGAAATATGCTCAGGTACGGAAACATAGTAGAGTGTAGTACTTACATGCTTCTGCTATTGGGGCTGCTCCACAGTGCAGAAGTACAACATAAGTACAGTACTTCTACTTCTACTAGTACATAAAGTAATATCGTAGACTACTACTACTACAGTAGGCAGGAGTACAGTACCCTGTTCCATGCAGACGGGCCTTCCCGCGGACTTGAATCGGGCACCCAAATCCATGGGCCGCTGCTCGGGGTTCCATGGGTCTGAACATCCAGCTCGAGTTTAATTGTTGACATTCAATTTTGTTGTTTTTATTATGCTAGTTACTACGGAGTACTGTGTGGTATAACCCGGACATGCGGTGTCGATATGCAGAGTATCATGGTGAGTTCTAGTAAATACCAGCGAATCGCCAGGGTGCAAGGGCCCAAGAAAAAGTGGATGATGGAGGGGCGCTCTGGTGATCGATAGGTCCGGGGATCCATTTGCTCTCTGTCTCTCTGCATCTGCGTCTGCAGGTGATGGCTTGCTTCAATTTGCTCTCAAGTTCTCAGATGCCACCCCATCACATCCAAGATACTGTGCAGGATCTTTTTTCTCACTCGGCACTAGCATGGTGTTGGGGACTATTGAGTCGCGATTACGACTCTGGGATATTTTGGCGGCGATCGGGTTCGTCCCAGCCTTCCTTTTTTCAATTTTTTTTTCTGCTTCTCCGGAGTTCGTAGCTTATTTTATGGATTGTCTCGGGAACAGGCTTTAAAACAGGGGTTGAATCAGATAGAATGTATCGAGAGTAATTCTTAGTGATTAGTAGACTACGAATCCTACTCACTGACAAGAAGTAGATAGTTAATTAGTCAACTACTCAGTACCTAAGTAGTTGTTGTCGACTGTACAATTTACTCCGCTACGACGATCATCCTCCACCGTGACCGCCCCAACTCTCCAGAGCAGAGGTACTTGTACTTTTCATCCCTGCCTCTCCCTCTTCACCTGATCCCTACTTTCTCCCTAACTTTTCTCCCCTTGGTGGCAAATTCAGATCTGATTCATTTGATTCCTGCCCTCGAACTTGCTCCGAATTACTTACGAACTACGCTCCTCCGCCCACCACCCATCCGCTCTACAAAAACATACCGGTAGAACTACCGACACTCTCCAATCGAACAGCCTCAAAATCGCGCTGGTCGTGCTGGGCGGTATTCTCATTTAATCCACGTCTTCCCACCTCGATTCCCTCGAACGCCAGCGAAATCGACCCCGCCGCATTTCCTTGACTCATACATAACCCAGCGATCCTCCGCGGGGTCATTCGAGTCCAATCACCCCATGTGTTCTCCCCCAACAACCAGCGAAACAGGTCTCTGATCTGGCCAGCGCAAAACCCGGAACCTCCCACGCTCGCGATTTCGACTTTAACCCTCCGCCATGGAAGTATACGCCCCGGCTCTCGTCCCCGGCGCAGGACCCCCGAGCCCCGTCGCAAAGGAACAACAGCGCCGAGAAGATGCGGTCAATCAGTGCATGCAGGATATCTGGGACGCTCTCATAGAGATAGAGCCATCGCAACATGGACATGGATATATACCCACTGCCGAGCTCTGGGACTTCGAATTCCGCTCGCCTGTCCTCCCGTCCTACACTCAGCCCCCTCCACCATCCTACGAAGATGCGCTCGCCGACGTCCCGCCGGAATACTACGATACACTTCCTCCTCTCGCCGAGCGACGGGTTGCGAAATGCGACTCGTCGGCTCCACCTATGCCAGTGTCTAAATCACGCACTGGGAAGGCGCGGTCGTTTTGGAATGATGCGCTCGGGGATTTCGATATCGATTTTGCGGAGCCCGTTGGTGTGCGCGAGCATAAGAAGAAAAAACCCGCGGCGAAGAAGGTTGTCCTGGCTGCTGCGCCCGCTGATACGGGTGGTGGCTCGGATAATGCTGGAGGTGACGCGCCCAGTGGCGATGGAGGTGGTGATGGAGGTGGTGATGCAGGAGGTGGCGGTGATGCAGGTGGTGGTGGTGGTGGTGGAGATGATGGCGGCGGTGGTGGTGGTGATGACGATTGGAATGCCTGGGGTACCGCCGGAAGTAAAAAGAAGACCAAGAAGCAGGAAGAGGAGGAGGAGGAGGAGGCGCGCAAGGCAGCTGAAGCTGCCGCTGCGAATAATCTCAGCTGGGCTGACGACGCAGATGGGGGCGGTGGAGATGACTGGGCTGGATTCGCAGAAGTCGGAGGGAAAAAGAAGAAGGGCAAGGTAGGCTTATGACTCACAGTTTCTGGCTCTCACTGCGTATCGTATTCGCTGACTTCCAATTCCAGGACGAGGCGCCGGGTGGCTTCCAAGATGTCGGCCTGAATGACGATGCGCCCCAGCTTGACTTGAACTTTGATACTGGGCCCAAAACCGGAGGGACTGGTTTCAGCTTCGGTGGATGGGGCAAGGATTGGAGTACTGGTGGTAAAGGCGATCCAGGCCTCGGGTCCATTGGTGATGCTAAAGGTACAAATCCCTGGGGAGATAATTCTAAGAAATCAAAGACCCCTGGCGGGTTTGACTTTGGGGATCTTGGTCCTCCGGGCCCGGCTCCAGTCGCTGAGGCAAAGGAAGACGATTGGGGTGCCTGGGGTACTGCCACCTCCAAAGACAAGAAGAAAAAGAAAGGACTTCTCGACCCCGAACCAGAACCTGAACCTATACCTGAACCGGTGGCTGAACCCGAGCCTGAGCCTGAGTCTGAACCTGAAGAGGAACTTCCCCCAGATCCAACAATCGAGACTTCGTACCTGGGCCTCTCGAAAAAGGAACAACGGAAGATCAAAAAGGAGTGGGAAAAGAAGGTGAAGGATATCGAAGAAAGGAATAAGCCGATCAGGGAAGCAAAGGAAGCCAGGAAAGCAGCCAAAGAGGAAGCAGCCCGGATGGCCCAGGAAGAAGAGGAAGCTAAGGCTCAAGAAGCCGCCGCTGTTCCCGAGGATGACTTCTCCTGGGACGTGCCCACGAAATCCAAGGACAAGAAGAAAAAGATAGACCTTCTTGCTGACCCCTTGCCAGCGCCAGACCCACCCCCAGCGGACGACGACTGGATGGGTAGCTGGGGTACTGCTGGTAAGAAGAAGGACAAGAAGTCAAAGGCTGAACCCGAGCCACTAATTGAGGACCCTCCGCCGGAGCCCGTTCAAAAGGAGGACGACTGGGGGGCCAGCTGGAATGGCACAACCAAGGAAAAGAAGAAGAAAAAGGGCAAGGAGCCTGAGCCCGAGCCTGAGCCAGAACCCGAGCCTGAACCTGAACCGGAGCCTGAACCAGAGCCGGAACCTGAACCTGAACCGGAGCCTGCACCTGTAGTATTGGATGAACCATTATATGAAGGCTGGGCGACCTTGTCCTCGAAGGAACGAAAGAAGCGTGAGAAGAAGCTAACACAGAAGGGACTTGGTATTCCGGGCAAGGATGGTTTCCAGCTTCCTAGCGACAAGCCCGCCGAACCAGAACCCGAGCCAGAGCCTATACCAGAACCCGAGCCTGAGCCTGAACCCGAGCCTGAACCTGAACCGGAGCCCGAACCGGAGCCAGAGCCTGAGAAGCCGGCCGACGACTGGGGTAGCTGGGGTGTGACAGTGAAGAAGGATAAAAAGAAGAAGAAAGGCAAAGAAATCGAAGAACCGCCACCACCTGCACCTACCCCTCCTGCACAAGGCCTTACTCCGGAACCCGATGCCGATCTCCAAAATGGCGACGACATCTGGGCTGAACTTGCTCCGAAGAGTAAAAGCACGAAGAAGAAAGCTCTCGAGCCTCCCAAGGAAGAAAAGCCTGCCGCTAAGGGTTTCTGGGGAAGTTTGATGGGCAGCTCCGCGAAACCCAAGACACTCAAGAAGGAAGCCACTCCGAAGGAAGAAATACCAGAGGAAGACCTTCTTATCGATGTCGGGGACGATCCTCAAGAACCTGAGCCGGAACCTGTACCTGAACAAGAACCAGATCCGGAGCCGGAGCCAGAACCTGCACCACCTGCAGCGCCAGAGCCACCACCCATGGAGAAGTCGAAATCCAAGACGAAGACATCAAGCGCCAAACTTTCCGTGGCCGAGCGTATAAAAGCCCTCGAACAAGCCAAGAAAGACAAGGCGAAGGAGCTGGGTTCTAAAAGCAAGAAAAAGCCTGAACCCGAACCCGAACCCGAGCCTGAGCCTGAAGTTGTCCCTGAGCTAGAGCCTCCTGTAGAAGAAGAGAAGGAACGCTCTAGTGATTATCTTCCTGGCAGCTTCCCCGATGAACCCGAAGCGCCTCCTGTCGAGCCGGAGCCCGAACCAGCACCTGAGCCTGAGCCTGAGCCGGCTGCTGAGCCGGAACCAGACTTGTCAAAGATGACCAAAAAGGAGCTGAAGAAGTATAAGAAGGCCCAGGCTGATAAAGAGGCTGCTGCTGCTGCCGCCGCTGCCGCCAAACCACCAACTCCGCCCCCTGCTCCGGAGGAACCGCCTGCTCCAGAACCCGAACCTGAACCAGAGGCAGTGCCAGAACCCGAGCCAGAGCCAGCAGATGAAGGTGCCCCTCCGACACCTCCACCAGAGCCCGTTGAGGAGGTTCCAAAGCCATCCAAGAAGGACCGCGCGAAGGTTGAGAAAGCGAGTAGTTCAGGCTGGGGCTTCTTTGCAGGTGCTCCGCCACCAAAGAAATCCAGCAAGAAAGAGAAGAAGGTTCTAGAGGAGGTAGAGCCACCCAAGAAGAAAAAGGAGAAGCCGGTCGAGCCAGAGCCAGAACCTGAGCCGGAACCAGAACCTGAGCCAGAGCCAGAGCCAGAACCTGAACCTGAACCTGAACCAATTCCAGAGGTTGAAGATTCTCCTCCCACCAAACCGAAGAAATCCTCCAAATCGAAACCTAAGGAAGCCGATCAAGAGCCGGAGAAGTCATCTTCTGACCGCGAAAGGCGCAAGGAGCGTGAAGAAAGACGGGCGGAGCGGGAATCCGCAGATCGCGATGCTCGTTCCTCGAAGCAGCAGCGTGCAGCAAAGATGTCCAGCTTCATGTTCGGTGGACCTCCGCCGCCGCGAACAAAGTCATCTCGTAGACCAGACGGTGCTGCTGTGAAGAAACCTTCATCCAAGTCAGCTTCTAGGCGGGCATCTGAAGATGTGGACGAGGGTGCCATGCCTTCCCTTCCACCTGAAAACAAGCCTGAGGTATCGGATAAGGCCGCTAAGCTGATGGGCATCAACGCGTCGAAATCAAAACGGGACCGGCCACGTGCAGAGAGACGGAAGTCAAGTAAGACCACATTTTCACCTAAATTTTTTTGCAGAAATAACTAATACTCGTGTGTCCCACAGCCCGAGATCCTTACGCCATTGAAGATGACGACTTGGTCATGGTTGATAAAGAAGATGTGGAAGATCAGTCGCCAAAGGAAGGTTCCAGAGGATCTGCACCTTCGAAGCGAAAATCGAAGCGAGAGGTGAGACTTGAATTCCAAAGGACTGATCGAAAAAGGGGACGATCAATAACTAACAAGGAGTTTGGTGTAGTCTCGCCCCCGAGGTGACGATGAAGATGCCGTCATGGTCGATGCCGAACAAGCCCGCGCGGGTCCAGATGTTCTATCAGGTCCTGAAGACATTGCTTTCGTCGATGCGCCTCCCAAAGAACGTCGCCTTAAACGATCCAACACGCTTCCTCCCAAGAAACAAGAATCCGGAGGAATCATGGGTCTTTTCGGTTCCTTGAGGAAGAACACCCGCCCCGAAATGCCCGATCGTCGCAAATCCCGCTCATACCGCGACGAAGAATCGAAGGGCCTGACTGAGACAGAGCGCGAAGACCGCCGACCACGCAGAGAGGATCGTCGTCGTCGCCCTGCGAAAGCCGATACCGATGCTGAAGGATTCACAACAGATGCCGCAGGCGCAGCAGGCGGCGAAACTGAACCCGAAGACGCCGAGGCACACCGAGCAGCACGTCGCGCAAATCGCACTTCTCGACAAGCGCCCTCCGAAGCAAAACGCTCTTCCCGCCAAGCACCCTCCGAAGCACGCGAAATGGAAGCACGTGAAGCGGAAGAACGACGCGCCAGACGCAAAGAAAAGGAGCGAGCCCGCGAAGTTCGCGAACAGCAAGCCCGAGAAGAAGAAGAACAGCGCCGCCAAGCTGAAAAGGAAGCACGCCGCGCTGCACGCGAGGAGCGGCGTGCAAAGGAAGAAGAAGCAGCCCGTGAAGCAGAAGCAGCCGCTGCAGCCAAAGCCGCTGAAAGACGCGAGCGTCGTCGCCAGCGTGAAGAGGAGGCCAAGGCCAAGACCCAGAGCCGCCGCCGCTCCCGTGTTGAAGAACCCATGGACCCATACGCAGCTGAAGAGCAGGAGAATGATCGCCGTCGCGGATCGCGAACAGAAGATCCTAAGGCTCGGCGTCGCAAGTCAAAGGCACCGCCTCCGCAAGAACAACACCGTAATTCCCCATATGACAGGTCAGGCGGCATCAACCACGGCGACACAGGCGGGCCTAAGAAAGACAAAATCTCATCCTGGGTCTACTCGCAAGCAGATGAACCCCCAGAGCCACCGCCAATCATGCCCACAGTCCTCGACATGCCTCCGAACGAAGGCAACGCTGCCTCTCTATCCTCGGATGAAGAGGCCCGCCGCGCCGTGCGCCGCCGTGCGAAACGTCGTGCCAGATACGGCGATATCCCCGATGAAGAGATTGACGAGATCCGCTCGCGAAAGAGAGAAGCTCAGGGTCGTGTGAAGAGTTCTTCCGGTAGTGGGGACTACGAGCGTGATCGTGGAGCACGATCTCATGGTAGTCGGCATGGAGATCGAGAGCGGGAGCGTGCTGCACCGCCGAATTCCGGTGGGAAGAAGAGCTGGTTTAAGAAGCTTACTACGTTTTGATCTGCGGTTGGTTGTCTGAAAATACCAAGTACTCTGTGGATTATGTATATGTGGCGTTGAACTTTTATTTTGTTGAAAGTTGGTTTTTTTGTTTGGAGGCTTTTGTTTCGTCCAAAGGTTGTTTATGATGCTGTTTATGATGTTGATATGGTGGCATGTGTGGCTAGGTCCACTACTTTATTCCCTTTACGACAGATATGATACGATTACTATGATTTCAATATACTACGATTTATGCTACCTCGATACCTGATTTCTATCCTCCTGGGTTAAACAATACTAGCAGCGCTAGTGGGTTTGAGGCGTATCTGCCTTAAATCAAATTTAACCTATACAAGGCGACGATAGCGTCTAACCGACCACGTCAGTTTTGGATCTCTTCAAGTTGAATAAAACCTTCCAATGGAGTACTAGCAGGGTCTAGCACTAGAAGAGTCAGCGACTTTCGCTTCTAATTCAAGTACTACTAGTGCTAGTAGAGCTGCGGGTTGAAGCTTTTATAGTGACGCGCTCATTATCCATGCTAACCCCAAAAGCAGACTCAGAGTCTGTCTCGCTGCTGATGACCATCCTGGCTAAAATCTTTATTTGCACTCGCTCTGGATCCTCTCGGCATACTATTTCTGAAACTTCTTTGCACTGACTCATCATTTAGGTAGTACCATTGCTCCGGTTTTTCTATCCCGCGTCAAGAATTTGCAATTTCGTGAATACTCAGGATGTCTACTAGTAAACGTGTCGACTGATATAAATTAACTAGTTTAAACAGCTTACTAGATTTGACTCAAGATCGGAATGATGTTTTTAAAAGCTTGCAACTATAATTGAGGGGCTCGAACTAAATGACCAAGCGTCGGACAAGAGTCCTGAACCAGATATAGCCTCAAAGGTCAAGTTCGTAGATACAGGAGCTACCGTCGTCGAATTTCTCGAAAGCATTCCCGATTTTCCTGTCACTACGTCATCTCGGCCGACATAGAGGGTATAAATCTCTCGCGTCATGGTAGCATATCTATATTACAGATCTACGTCCACCCTACCGACAAAACCTTTTTCATAGACATCCACACCCTGCAAGAAGTTTGTCAACGGCCTTGGCAAATGCATCGAATGGGACGCTCCAACTACACCCATTAAAAGGGCAGATTGGATCCGTGCCAAAAAACCACGGTAGGCTACTTTTTGCGCCAGAGTGTGACGGAGCGTACGAAATCTTCAATCGTCGCCCGTTATCGGAGGATATTCTGCAATATTTCTGCCAGGATGTCGAATTCCTGCCTAGACTTTGGAAGACCTACCATATGAAGATGACGTTGATGAAACAAAACTGGGTTTTGAGAGAGAGTATCTAGCGCGTTAATTTATCTCACATGCCGCGTTATAATGGACAGTGAAGAGCAAAGGCCCTTGCCCCGTTCTGTCCGCTATGAAATCTATTGATGATAGAGTATCTTAGCAAGTTGCTTTCGTGGCTTTTAGATTTATGGACTGTATAACTGCAAGACTAATAGCCGTTGTGGGAATATATTTAAGTTCCCGGAGGTCAGACTGGGGTGATGGAAAGGAATGATACTGCTTTTCTTGGGGAAGATCAATGGCACACTCCAGGCTTGATTTTTCGGATTTGATATACTAGTAGCTATTGTGTATATAGTAAAACTTCAAACTATCTTATTTTTCAACAATGCTTTGGTCCGAGTCATCATCGAAATTAGTTAAACCAACATCTAGAGTACTGCGCGAAATGTGAATTTTGAAAAATTATCTAGGTATGCATATCCTCCCTAGTTCTCCTACATACTCCCTCAATCAACACCTTCCAACGCTTTCCTCCGATTTTCCAAATAGAACCGCCCACCCTCATAAAGACTCAGATACAAACTCATAGAGATAGCCGTCCACCCAGCACGAATCGCACCACCTTTAAACAACCCCCTCATGCCCTCTTTCTGTACGATCTCTCTCCAAACTTCAATCGTCCCTTTCTTCGCACCTGCAGAAACACTCTTTCCCACTGCGTGCTTCCCATCTTTAGACCTATCCTCACTGGCAGACAACATAACCCGCGTCTTAACAACATCAATCGGCGTCGTAACTGTCGAAGCAACAAGTCCAGCCAGCGAAGCCGATAGACCCGTCAGCCCAGCCCGCTCGATAAGTTGCTCCTTCATTCCATCCGGCGGTCTACTAATACCACTCGCAGCTCCTTGATCTTCGCCAAGTCCCATTCTCACATCTACCCTTCGTTTCCGCCGCCAATCAATTGCGTTAGCACGTAAATACTCAAAGAGCGGAAATTGCAGGCCTGTGAATGGGAGGTTTCGTCCGACTAGCGCGGTATATCCACTCCAAAGGCGCCAGGGTCGAGACTTGAAGCGGGAAAGCACTTGGCGCATGGCTGTGACTTTATTTTGATTCAAGTGGTGACTTTGCTTTTGGGAAGTCTGTACCATTTGCGCATTCTGTTTTAGGACTTCTGCGGGTGTGAGGATGAGACAGGAGACCATCTCGGCGGTTGATGAGGCGATGGCGTGGATTATTGGTGTTGGGAGGGAATGGGTGAAGGGTAGTTTGAGAGTTGTGTTTGAGTAGTACTGCGTATAAAACTGGCTTGCCTGTTTCGTCGAAGCTGATGAATTGTGTAGAGTACTCTTTACTGCTTCGTAGGTTGTGAAGAATGCTCCAGCTATTTTGCAGAATTTGACGTTAGAAAATCGTTTGTAAGGTTTCTGCACTCCCTTTTATTTCTTCGTAAATTGAAACAATCCGGGCAAGAGGAACCTTGAAGACATACATGAGGGAATTGTGGAGAACACCACGCTCCATACGCCTTGGTATAAACCGCGGAAAAGTACATCGCGTCTTATGGCGCCGCTGCGTGCATCTTTGAAGACTCGCTCGTAATTTGGTGATTGGATGCGGGTTTTTAATGTGTCAAAAGGGTAGACGATGAAGTCAACAACCACTGCGGCGAAAGCTCCAGCCTGTAGCATCGAAATTTAGCCAAGATCCATGGATGAAATTACTAGTAGTATGTTCATTTTAAAGCTCTTCATAGTTTCCGACGCTGCATTTAATTGTCGATCGACGCTGCATAGTGTAGGTGGATCTCTAGGTGGATATGTAGATGGGTCGACTTACGACCCAAATGTCTGAGTGCGTGTTGTACATGGAAGATGGCTTGTAGGATAGGAAGGAAGTATGGATGATGAGAATGAAAGATCTGAGACGTTATTTAAATATATATAACCTCCTCTAACCTGTATGACAGCACCTGGAGGATGAAGTCATGTCAATCACGTGGGATCGACTGCCCTATGCGGCTTAGGGCTAAATGATCTACGAGGTACAAAGCGGAGTACGATCGAGCAAGTTCAAGTTACTACAAAGTAGCTGTACCTACAGGTAGATATTTTGGATACTAGTAACCAAATATAAATAAAACGCTGCAATCATGTCTAACATAATTGTTTCTATGGGCGGATGCGAGTCCATACATGTCGCGTCGCACACATCAGACAGGAAAAAGAAAAGGGGACTCGACATCGACACGGGTCATACAAAAAAAGAAGAAGAGGAAGTCGTATTAACATCCAGAGAAACATTTTCCCTCCCTACGCCGTAAAAAGGTTTCATGCAATCCCAAAATAGCCGTTCATCACCTCACCGCGCACTTGCACTTGCACTTTGCATTTATTTAGCAACCTCACCGGGAAGCAGGTTGCCCTTGGCGGCGAACATCTTGCCGGTAGTGGCCGAGACGAAAGCATCAACCTGGCGAGAGAATTGCTCCACTTGGCGGGTGTTGAGCATGCTCTCCAGGCGGCTGGGCTCAGCGGGGAGCTTGAAGAGGCGCTGCCACTCGTCCTCGGGGAGGAGGGGCTGCTTGAGGGCGGAGCGGGTGGCGTTCTCTTGGGTGCGCTTCTGCTTCCAGTTGTTGATCTTCTGCTGCTCACGGCCAAGCACACGCTGGTAGTACTGGTAGTTGTTGGTCTCGGTGTTGTGGGCCTCGATGCTGTCCAAGAGGAGGTCGCAGTTCTTCTCCAGGTAAGGGTCGATGTTGAGCGCCAGGTTATCGAAGTTGGGGGTGAGGATGGAAGATTTGGAGTAGGGGCTGGCCTCGAGGGCGGCGAGCGAGGGGGGAAGGTCGGTCGGGGCAGCGGAGGGGGTCTGCAGCTGGTGGATGAAGGAGGTGATCAGGTGCGAGTTGTGGATCTCGACGGGGAGCTCGTCAAAGATGTCTTGGTAGCGAAGGGTGGACTTTTGGAGACTAGAATAATTTGTTAGCTATTTTGATCCATTTTCACCCGCTGTATGTTTGGTCTAGTCGGCCGTTTTGCGAGTCTTTCGTGAGTCTGTGGTACGTACTCCTCGGAGTTGAACTTGTTCTCCTTGAAAGCCTCGACGAACTTGGCGGAAAGGCGGAAAGCGCGCAGGCTGAGGCTGCCCTGGGCACTGCGGCTAACATCGTGGACAAGGGCGACTGTCCGCTCGTTCAATTCCTTCTGGTAGAAAAACTGGTTCTCGATCACGTTCATGTTGACGAAGTTGCCCATGTTGGCGCTGGTGTACCAGCCGACGCTGTTAGCGTCGACGTTGACCTCGCGCACCATGCGGATCATCTCTGCCTGGTAGGCGGCGTTGGCCTTGACGCGGGGAGCAGAGGCAGCGGGGTTCGGGGTGGCATTGTCGAAGTGCGACTCGGTGGGCAGCTCGACAACGGGGAAAGGGAAAGAGTTGGTGATCTCGAGGGTGCCCTCAATGTCCATACCGACGAGGGCGCCAGTCGCGGTAGTCGGGAAGGTCTGGTTGCAGTGCTTGATGATTTTCATCACCACCTAGAGCGTCGGGTATAAGTATTTCTCGCTGGCGAGGGAAGGGAAGATTTTCCAGATTCGAGGGGATCGTACCAGGGCCTCGACCTTGACGGCCGCGATGGGAGATTGTACTCTAAAAAGCGATATTAGCAAAGAAACATGACTGTAGGACAGATCTGGAGACGTACTCGGCCATATTGACGTGGGGAATGTGTTGGGATGTGAAAGACGAAGGTGGATGGCAGCCCGCGAAGGTTTGTGTGCCAGCCCGACTTTGACAATCGTGAAAAGGGTTTAGCGTGGGACGAAGAGTGGTAATACCGTACACATTTCTTCCATGCGGATGGAGGGGCAATACGGTATGTAAACACCGCCCGGCAAAATTACCAACTATGAATGGAACAAGGAATTTCTACCATAATAGTTACTCAGGGATGGTGATATCAGTTGGATAAAATGAAGATGGTAATATGAATGAATTCCAGTGTTTCTAAAATTGCAATCCTGAGCAAAACCCGAGTTACGCCGAAGCATATCCATACAAGTACTAGCTAGTTGTCCTAGTAATAGACTTACTAGTAACTAACTAATATTTACTGAGTAAATGTACTAGAGCAAATTCTATATGAAAACTATGCGTAACCGCAGAAAGGAAGTTAAGTTATAACTAGTCACATCGTAGATAGTTATAAAAGGATTGAATTCCCATGTCCTGCCCAGTGTGTTGTCATAGAGAAGGTATTCAAATTCGGACCCATTTATCTGACCACACTCTTCATTAAACAGCTGGGATCTTGATAGATAGTACCGGTATATACGGCAACTCTTGGGGTCTTACAATAACTACAATAGCATCAATATAATTGTTCTTGGGCTAGTGATTCCACTGACGGACATGCCGCACCTATAGATCCACCACATGAAGAACGTAACAACAATCCCCAACTAGTAGTAAACATGGAACAAAGTAAATTCATTCGAATAATTAGAGAGGTAGATTCATTTGGTACAAAATAGTCATTCCACACCGCTATGTCTACTACTAGTAGTACTAGTACTATTCCTTTGAGCTCTTAGCTGGTCTTTTGTCTATGCATGCGACTACTTGTAGTATTTCCGAGTCACCGTGGCTGTATATCTCGCTAACCTGTACAACATTTTCACAAATAGATTTCCCCAGTCATCTCTGTAACGTATAGTCTATAATATACTCAATATAATTCCATATAAATTATTTTACCCCGCAATGGAAGCCATTGGAATGTCCCACTGTTATCGATAATCGGCCCCAAGCCTTATCGAATTGACGTAGGATCCTTGGGGCTTGAGTATTCCAACCTCCCATCTCGAAACCTCAAAACACCCCCAACCACCAAGACCATGGCCACCGAACCAGGCAAACGAACCGTCTCATATGGACGATTTCACAATCTCCAAACAATCTCCGTAGCCACCCTCCCACCGCGCCCCAATGGCTTCTGGGTTATGTACGTTTCTCCGACAAACAAACACCCCACCTCTATTGCAATCTAGTCCAACAAAGCGCAAGGAAACCATAAACTAACAGGATCAAAACCAGCTACATCCACGGCGGCGCCTGGCGCGACCCAACAATAACAGCAGACAGTTTCGAAAAAACCGAAAACATCCTCCGCGCAAGCCCGCACCTCCCCATCGCAGGCTACGCCTCGATCTCCTACAGGCTAAGCGCACACCCAAACCACCCCCAAGACACCGAAGAAACACCAGCCCAGTCCCTACGCACGGCAAAACACCCAGACCATATCCGCGACGTCGAGGCCGCACTAGCCTTCCTGCAAAACACATACGCCTTCGGCGATCGGTACATCCTAGTCGGACACAGCTGCGGCGCAACACTAGCCTTCCAAGCCGTCATGGGCGCAGTCGCAGGACACAGGGAAGTGCGATTCAACGGTGGCGTGAATGACTGCGGTGCTGGCGCCGAGACTATCTCGACTTCACCGGGGCCCCTGCCTCCTGCGCTGACGTCGCAACCTACCGCCATAGTCGGCGTGTCTGGGATATACGACCTGCGCAAGCTGCGCGACGATCATTCCAGTATCGACGCCTATCGCGAATTTATTGACGGTGCCTTTGGGGCGGATGAGTTACTTTGGGACACGGTTTCGCCGGCGCAGATGATTGGGTCGCGGGGGGTGGAGGGTGGGTGGAAGGGTGGAAGATTAGCGATTCTCGCGCATTCGAAGGATGACCAGCTTGTTGATCGGGGTCAGTTGGATGTCATGCAGGAGGCATTGAAGGGGTGGGAACGGGGGAAGGCGACGAGGCGGCGTTCTTCGGCGCGTTCTTCTACAACGGTCGAAGAATCGGGGAATGATGATGGGAGTCGGGCGGTTAGGACGATGATCATCGAGGGGGAGCATGATGAGATTTGGAGTGAGGGGGAGCAATTGGCGCGGACGATTAAGTATGCGTTTGTAGAATTGTTGAAAATGGGAATTGCGCCGGAGCCGGAGCCATTTGGGGGCGAGAAGGTTCCTTCTCGATGAGATGGATATATTAGTAGTTGATGAGAGTGACTTACCACTGTTTGTCTTAAGGCATGCATTCTGGCACCTTTAGATATCTATAGACTAGACCTCAACCATTTCTACAGGATGTAGCGATCCAAATGTAACTTTATATTCTTCATTTCGTGTTTTTCGGACGGAGGAGTAAGAAGGGGGAATGTAGATACAATTGTCGGGGAAACACGATTGGCCAGTGGGAGAAGGGCCATGAAAACGCCATTAGTCGTAAACGCATATCACGCAAGATCAGGTCATAGGAAAGTCCCTCATTACGCCGAATATTTGCTCATGAATGAGATCCAGGTGTGTATCAGTTGCCAAGATCCATGCGGCCCGATGCCGCATCTCCAGCCACCTTCTCCGTCTTAGCGGGAGCGGGCTCCTCGCCATAGTCGTAAGCGTCTTCATCACTCTCGCTCTCTTCGACGAATCGGTGGCTGATGTCGAATTCTGAAAGACGGTAGCCGAGATCTTCACGCTGGCCGTCTTGCCAACGGGCGAGCGCGGCGGCGGCGTGGACCTTGAAGCCATAGATGCGAGGCTCAAACCTGCGCATGCTCTTCTCTGGGTTCAAAGCGGGGTAGACCTGGAATCAGGATAGAGTGGAATGATGTGCCGAAGTAGGCACCGTCGATGGAGGCGTGGCGAGAAGATTTGGGGTTGTAGATGTCCTCGCACTTAGGGCAGTACAGCTTCACGGTGCTCATGTTGGGAAGATCGGCCTGGCCCATAGGGAGGAGAGGGTGACCGTCACACATAACACGAGGGCATTTGCCAAAGTCACACTTCTTATACTTGTCAAGCTAAAGGTATTTATTAGCTCAAGCCGTGAGAGGGGATCAGGAATACCAAAGCAGGAGTAGCTTAGGACTTACCATCTTGGCGAGGCCGCGCGTAGTCACAATGTATCTAGCATGCACCAACCCGTAGAGATGGCGGGCAGATTTTTCAATCTGCTCACGCAAATCATCATCGGCATCGAGGTCAAACACGTCTGTCACGAGGTCGAGAGCATATTGGTAATAGGGAACTTCCGTGTTCAGACCAGTGAGGTTGAACCGATCCGTCAGGTAATCCTCGTCGATTTCACAAAAGTACTCATTTCCGCGCGAAGAGACGAACTAAAAAAAAAAGGCCGAAGCATGGTTAGCTAACATGCACATCAGATAAGGTATACCCGGCATCTCCAGGCCCAGTCATCGTGTTGTCGCGGGGCATATCAGTGGGGCGCGCGGGTGGGCTGGAAAATGCCGGAAGGAAATCGCGGACTCACCCAGTCTCTCCAATAGCTGGTGTAGTCACTATCTGTTTCACTGTTGAAGTCTTCCATCATGGTGAAGGCCAGCTGGTTGACCGGATCCGTTCAAGGCGGCTTCCGCGCAATCGCAGATCAGGGCAGGGCGAAAGGCAGATATTGGGTGGATCAACCCCGGGGTGCTGGAAACCCCGACTGCAGCACCACTTGGCAATGCCGTAGGACTAGTCGTATCGAGTTGTCAAAAATCACGGTCGAACCGCAAGAGGGAGGGTGGTGAGTGGGATGAGCTGGAGATTGGGAGACTCGAGACTGGGTTTGTGCCCGCCAATTCAGGTGGGTGTGGGCGGTGAGAGGAACATTCTGCCGGATATTTACATGAAAGGGCGGTGTGGGATCTACATGCTACAACCACAGGAACTGTGAAACTGTCTTTCCTTTACAAAGAATGGGAAATATTCAAATCGAAAGTCACTTCATCAAGACTGGTAGCTGAGAAATACTGTATCCATCCTTCAAAATGACCGGTTTCTTCGCCGAATCTTCACTTCGCTATCTTAGAAAGAGGGGTTCGCGTTCGCAACCAGCTGAGCAAAGTATGCCTGGACAATTCAATTAGCCAATACGTTCAAATATTGCCACCAGAATGTCAAAACTTACCTGGAACCAAGTACCGGCCTCGGGGGCTGGCTGAAGAGCATCACTGTATCCACAGTGGGCGTCATATCGTGCTGAACTGCTGTCCGAGGTGCCATCGCTCTCACCACCTGGCTTGACCCAGACAAAAGCATCTGCTAGGGTATCTCCAGTATCAGTGGTCGGTCGGACACCGAATCCAGTGCCTTTAACATTGCACCAATCACCCCAAGCATTCTGTTGTGTGGGCTGGACACCATTGCGGCCTGTGAAGGTCAGTCGATCATTCCGTATTTGAAAGTCTCCAAGAAAGTCTTTCTCGCTCACCAGTGTCTGTAATGAAATGAGCATCCCATCCTGCGGTCTTTAGGAGTGGCGCCATGGCATTGATATATTTCTTCTCGTCACAATTGCTGTCGCCCGAGGTATAGGAGGGGCAGCTGGACAGAGACCAGCCGTTGTAGTTAGCGACGTTTGTTGCGAGGCCACGGAGTGAAGCAGGCTGGGAGGCATTGTTGTAAACCTGGGCGTAGAGCTGAGCTGCTGGGCTCAGATTCGCGGGCCAGCCAAGCCACCCAGCATGTCCTATTATCATAGAATCAGCCGCTGCTCTAATTTGAACCCGATTCATAGTACTCACCAGCATCAAGGTACATCGCCACGTTGTCCAAATTTAACTGGGTCACGGCGTAATTGGTGCATTCAAGATACGCATCATGAGCATTCGCGCATTTTGATACTCCCATGTTGGTGACCAAGTTGGCAAGGCTGTCGGGTTCTGTTCTGAAGTTAGCTTCGGATTGTTTATTTTCTAGAGCTTTCTGACCCACCAATGACCAGAATTGTGTGTACATCCGAGTATTTCAGAAGAGTCGTACGAATATTGTCGATGTATGTCTTATACTTCGCAACTCCGCCATCGGCGATTGAGTATTCGCCATTACTGGCAAGCGCAGCACAGTCACGGTCTGGCAAGTCGTAAACAACGAAAATACCTGCATTGGGTGGGCTAGCACCCGCTGCGTTCTTTGTCTTGATATCAGACAAGAAATCTCCCATTGTAGAAACCTTGGCAGCCGTGTCCCTGTGACTCTCGTCAGAATACTATTCGCCTATAGTTGCCCCCCATGATGAACAAATTGAGATGAAACTTACAACCAGTAAAAAGATGGAACTTTGGCTGCCGAGCTCGCTGCAGAAGCCGCAGTGCCCGTCATGGAGGGTAGCGCAGATGCTGAAACTTCAGATGCATAGTATGTATTGACATACTGCTGATACCCCGAAAATGGATTGACACTTGCAGCGGCTCTTGCAGTGATGGCTGGAGCAGCAACCGCAGCTGCAGTGACAGAGGTAGCCAGCAGTGGAATAAGGCTGATAATAGACCGCATCATGATAGTGTCACTCTAAGGGAGGACTGTTCAGGTACAGCTTTTTGTCTTGGTAATTTGTGGACGGGTTGAACTTGGAGTCTCCAGAGAAAGCTGAAGGGGTTTATACTGAGCTATTTAAACTATTTTTCTTCAAGGTATTCAAGCGCCATGGCGGCATTCGTACCGTGTTTCCGAAATGAGGCCCTTGCAAATAAGGGTCCAGGTACAGACACACTGCCATGGATTTCCTGCAGGGCTACCCGTGAACAATGCACGTCAGAAGTATAGCCCTGGAAATTGGCTAAATTGAACTGATGCGGAGCAAGGGAGGCTTGCATTTCCCTGAAACTAACTAGAATAAAAGCGCAAGCCAAGCATGTTTCGTGCGGGCTGGCCTCCCCGTCCCCAAAATGGATGCACATCGCCGATCTTCAGCGTACATTGCTCATTTACTTTCTTCAGAAAGTTGCTTGGTTATATCTAACACGGGTTGAGGGCCGCGTTTCTAAGACCCTTTTGGCACGGAATCATCAGGGGGGTTTCGATTAAAGTTATGGTCGCACATCTCGTGGTGTAACTCTGCAGACATCTCTGTGCTACGTGGTGGCAGGTGGCTATGATTTTTGCGGGGAAACCTGGGGTTACCGTCTGGGAGATTCTTCAGCAACATCCATAACCGGAATGCACAGTGATGAAGGTGGCGAGGGGGCTTGACAAGGGCAAGTATAGAACACACTCAGTATTGTTTTTGGATAATTCCACAAGCATAGTGTGGGTACGAGGAGGGGCGATGAAGTAAAAAAAAAAGATTGATAGATTGATAGAAAGAAAATGCTAAGTGAGTGGAATGGTATCGCGCTATGGAGTGGATCAGGCTGGCGCCTGTATCATCCAGAAACAAATAATATGAAAATGAAAAAGCCATGAAAGAAAACTCCAAGCCCCGGTGAATTTACTCAGCGACGTGCGTTATCACATTCGGCCAAGAATTTGTAGATTCCGTCGGCGCCGTCATATCCGGAGACAGAGTTACAATTGCTGGGACTGTCTGGGAAAAAAGCACGATCTCCGAGCTCGCTTATGTTGATACTCGAGTAGCCAGATGGCGATGATGTCCAAGGGTTGTTGCCGAAAATTTCACCGTCATCGAAGCTAATTGCACCGCCAGACTCCACGCCAGAGTCTCGGCTGATCGGACTGCATCTTTCTGGGGTGAGCATACCGTGCCAATCGAGGTCATTCGAGTACTGGGATTGCTTCTTGGAGGCTTTCTCAAAGAAGTATTCAGTATCTGATGACGGGGCAACACTAGGGGCGAACGGGAACAGTAGCGCAATATCGGTGCCGTTGCGAGTGCCAAAGTTCTCATCTTGTGTGATACGGCCTCTTTGTACTCCAATTTCATCACATAGGCGATCAACAGTTTCCGCGTCACATCCTGGAAATCGGACGCGGATGGTAGATCGGTCGTGGAGCATGATCGGAAGATCACCCAGCGCAGAAAGGCGCTCAAGGTCGTTGAGTACGATGGAGAACTCCTTCAAGCAGCGAGCAAAGTCTCCTGACAGGAGATCGGCGAGGCCATCTGAGTTCAAGGTGGCCTCCGCGGGAGTTCCGGATTCCTTGTTAAGGGCGGACACAACACCAAGGGCAGTGATAGTGGGCGAGAGTTGAAAGTCAATGTACGATCCGGGAGCATTCTGGGGGATGGCAGTCATTTTGCGGCCGGCCTGGTCCTGAAGCACAGTGACAGCCTTGTAACGCTTCTCGCCCGTGCGAGGATCAATTCCATCGAAACGAACTTTCTGTCCAGACAGGAAGAATGCCCGTACACCCTGAGACACATTCTGGATGACCTGAGCAGGGGCCGCAGGGCCGTGGGAGAAGTACCGGGCTCCTCCGAAACGACCGGCTCCAACAGCATATCCGCCAGCGGTACGCCCAAGGGTGCCACCCGTCAAGTTAGGGCGAAGGGTTGACGCAAATGGGGTGCGACTTGTGATCCGTGAAATGTTCGATACAACGCGGGAGGTCTTGTAGGCGCTGGCTTCTGCTTGAGCTCCAGATCGAAGAGCGGAGAAGAAGGCGCCGGCAGCGCGGGTCGAGAAATGACGGCTACGCGCCTGGCGGATTGCAGCGACTCGATTGATGGGTTGGCTGGGATTGATCCGAGCGTATGCCGGTTTATAACGAAGCGCAGCTTGTTGGGGTTCTGGTAATTTGGCCCTTATGGCCTTAGAGGCCTTCTCATAGGCAAACCTGGGGTAGCGTCAGCGGGGAACTTCATTGCTGGTGATGATCATGGCCACACATACCTTGCTGCTCTCCATATTTTGGGGAGCAGCAGGTGCCCATTCGCAGGCGCCATGCTGATGGATTGAATATGAGTTTACTCACTAGATAGTGAGAGTTGTTGATGGAAGAAGTCTGGGAGTGCCTGATGACGCGGGAGGAGAAGGAGATGGCCTTATCAGTTGGTGGCCTCAGGCAGAAACGTGGCGGTGCTTTGCCACGCATGTGACTGACCAACCCTCATTGGAGGAAGAGCAGTGTGTACTGCTGGCTGCATTGTAGAACTCATCATTATGTTGAAAACTTCTACTTTTTATTTGATTTTATTTTTTTTTCAATTTGAAGCTTCCGAATTTTGGAGATGCCCAGGCGATACCTAGGAAGTCGGATCTGAATGCATGTGCTTCATAAAGTTGAATGGCGAGGTAGTACTTCGATCAGACAATGAACGATAGTGGCTTTTATGAGGGAAGGTAGCGTATTTCGGCAATGCGGACACTTTGAAAGCGCTCTGCGATCTAAATAATGCGGGGTAGATACATCACGTATAACTATCAGTACGCAAACAATAAATCCAGGAATGGAAGGCTTCTCCAAGACCCAAAGTGGATTAGTAGTAATTCAGAAAATATCTTATACAGCGGGGCTAAATAGGATGCTTCCAAGTGGTTTACTTTTCCGGTCCTGCATTGGACCTCGGAATCATTCGACACGCCACTGACATCCATTTCCAGAATTCCTTATGCGAGTAAACCCCCCGTGCAGGGATGAATACGAGTGGTACCCTGCCGATCACCTCGTATTCCCTGGACTATGCGGTGGACCCTGCGGCATCACAAACCTCCTGGCAGCACTCCAACCCTTGATGCCAAGAAATTAGCCCAGTGTGAGGGAGTGACAATTGGACAGCGAACAAACCCTTTGCCGCATTTGACCTTGGCGTATGCGACCAATTCCGTAAGAACCAAATTTCATCCCGCGAACACGAGGTGCCATTAAGGGGGAAAGCGCCTGAGGCTGAATTAAACATAAGATGGAAAAGCCCCGCAAAAGTCTGCTCAACTCAAATTTGAATTCTGAGTTTACATCGTCAACCATATCCATTTCACACCTTTGTGGCACATTCTACCTAGGTAACCCAAAGCCATGAGGGCCACTTCGATTCTTTCGTTGCTATCATGCCTCGCCTACTTACCCTTCGCCTCGGCATGGATATACACCTGGCACTCTCCAAATGATACGCTACTTTCCTTCCAAGGAGAGGAGCCTCTGAGTTGCAAGTCAATGGACAACCCCAAGGACAATGTTTTCAACTGGGAGCCCCAAGATGGACACTGGTGTATTTTTATGTACTCGAATTCAAATTGCGATAACGAAAACGTTGGTCATACATGCAAAGACTACGAATGGTCAAATCATGTCTCAAAACAACACATTCTATCATTCAAAGTGACAAATAATACTGCTGCATTCTTCACGACAACGACATCGTCGGAACCAGCGACCAAGACTGCCTCGGAATCATCTACAGCAACCAATGCCACCTCCACCACACCATCTGCCCCCACCACACCATCTGCCTCCACAGCCACTACTACCAGCGAGCCAACAGACTCGGATAGCAAGGCTAGTCTATCGAGTGGTGCGATTGCAGGAATAGTGGTGGGAGCTCTAGCTGCATTGGCTATTGCCGGCATTCTCATTTTCTTCTTATGCTGGCGACGACGAAAGAACGATGCCCAGAAACACGACAATACCAGAACAGAATCAGCATCTGGCATGGTAGAGCTTTCTAGTTCTCATCACGATGAAAAAAATTCATCCATTTCGGAAAAGCCTCGGTCTCGACAGGAAACCCTACGGGAACTCAACGGCTCGACAGTTGCGTCGGAGATTGGGACTGAGACAGAGAGACATGAGCTGTATACGGAGAGATATGAGCTAGACTCGACACTTGTCGAGCAAGAGAAGAAGCCTTGAATACACGGAACCGTATCTTAATACCAAATGACGACCCTGAAAATGAGACGCGAAGACACGTCTGATATCTACATGTTAATACTTGATCGGAATTGTTCGAATACGCATTGCTTGAGTTTTGAACGAGTTGTTTATGACCGACCCATTTTTTAGCAAGCTTCTTGGTAATCATCTAGAAACAAAACTGGTGGTATATAGTACTAGTAGAAGGGAGTCCACGGGTTCGGATCGAACCGAGAAACCTAGACTACTAGTTATGGAGCCTCAATAGCCTTCAACGATATTATATTATGCTTACATAAATTTAACAAGTCTTCTGCCGAAGATTTGCCGATAGCTAACTCGAACCTTGGAAGTGAAACTCGAACATCTTGCACGGACTCATAGTTATTAGGGGTCCAATACCTAGGTCAGTCACTCCAAAGACGTTTTAGAAGCAAGAAACCTACATTTGTACGAATAGTTTGTTTGAATCTGGTTTTCAAATAAATGACTAGTACTACTAGCAGCAGCGAATCTGGTTTTTAAATAAATAACTACTACTAGTAGTAGTAGTTAGTAGATGAAGAGTGGAGAGATCACGATGCGGACGGTGACTAGGTAACTGGAAATGAAGCCTTTTATATTTCTGGAAATTTTAGCTGTCATATTATTCTTCTCGTCGGAACCGGCCGTAAACCTTCTCTTTCCTGTAAAACGATGTTGCCTGCGAAGTTAGTGTGGCTTGGATTTTATTTCGAAGGCGCCAAGCAGATGCCAAGATTGACCGCGGCGCAGCTACTGTTTTTTGGTGCTGTCAGCCTGTCGGAGATCATACCACTTAACTCCGGTGCTAACAATACTGGCCATTCGAGATCCCAAGATACATTCTTATTTGCTCACCGAACTGCGATTGATCACTTACTCCACAATTGGTCTCGATCTCTCGGCAAAGACGTAATCTGGGCGTTTTGGTGATCGACAGTAGTAGTTCTTTAAACCAAGGTACCATAGAGACCGAGCATGCTATCTATATAAGGATATCCTGTTTTCTGATCAATTTGAGGAGTTATACAAACCATTCTCTCATATCATCAAATCCAAACGGCCAGCCAAAATGTCCCTCCATTTGTCGTTTCCTTTCCTGCTCGCCTGCGCGTTCCCCATCATTTTGGCGGCGCCATCATCATCAGCCTATCTACAAAACAATATCCCAACTCAATTGCCAACAGGCAATACCAATCCCGAACATTTAATTGTTATTCCCGATTCGGAGGGAAATACCGATGGCAATCCAGAGACAGGCCGACTATTCTCTCGCAACCATGAGCCACAAGAACCCGTGATATATGGAAAAGACGACAGCGAACGACAAATAGCAATGTGCGAAGCCGGATTTGTGCGTTCTTGTTATGCTGCAGTGGAAGCAGGAAACTCAGATACCAGTCCGTTCACGACTGATAATCTCGACACAGACTCGCCCTCTCCTCTACCTTCCGCTGGCTTCGTTGTTGCTACTTTCGCTGCCTTTTGTATTCTGGCTATGATCCGCAAATCTTTAGGGCGGAGAAGTGCTACTTCTCAGCAGGATGAAAAGAAGTAGAAGGGATCAAAAAGTTTCACTGCCGTATGCCTGACTTGTACTAGTTGAGAGCAACCTTGGCGTGCTTAGAAGGCCCTGGTCACACTCGTTCAACAGCTGGAAGGTCGATGGCACGACTTACGATTAATGCATTTCATGATTCTGAGTTCATTTCTGTATTGTATTTCTGATTGAATCTGGTGGCTGTGCAGAATCCACAAATAGCACATTTTACTTTGATGTTCATTAGAAATCAAGTTGACCCATTCGGAATAATTCCGCCCCGTGAAATTGGAGAATCGAGCATCGTCAATCTTTCAATGGCTCAAGATTTGGAAACATAGTAGAGTTGCGATTTTCATCGACAAATCGTTTATGGTGGTACTATTAGAGAATGATAAATATGAGCATCGATTTCTTCCCTCATCGAGTTCTGAATACCCCAGGGCACTACGGACTAGTAGGGTAAAATGTCAGCATGTCGCATGAGCTCCACTACAAAGACCCGCTATTCCATGATCCCTGTCGGCACCGTTGATAAGCCCTAACCATGAACGCTGATACGCGATTTCTGCAACGTACTAGCTATTTTTCACGCCAATAGTGTGTATTTTGCTTGAATTATCATCGCAGCCCTGGAGTCTTGGGCAAATATGGTTCAATGAGATGTGATTACTCATCTAGTAAGTAGGCTGGACTATTGGTATCACAGTTATGCGTTAGTAGATAACTAGTACTAATTTGAGCACGGTTGTACCAGGGACGACCACCAAGAACACGACAGGCCTTTTGCTAGAAATCTAGGATTTACATCTATAAAGGACAAAGACCCTATCTTTGCATTGTGAGTAATGAAAAAGCAATGATGAGCAATTTGAAATGACGTGACTAAGGTCCCCAGATGTGCTGCGAGCAGGCACGACTACTATTCCAAGACAGCAAATATTCAAGAAAGAAATCAATTTTGGTATCTAAAACCTATGTACTCATAAAACCATCATCAAGTGCCAGAGAAAAGTTCAGCACTATTTTACTCGTCATCGCCGAAGAAAACCTTAATGGGCAACCAGGCATCGCCGCAGACCTTGAAGCGGTCCTTCAGGCCATCCAGCTGGGCAACCTCGTCATCGGACAGAGTCAGACCGTCAATCTCGTAGTTGCCGTCAATGCGAGACTTGCTGACGGACTTGGGAATGACACTCCAGCCCTTTTGGATACCCCAGACCAGAAGAACCTGCTGGGGGGGTCTTGCCCTTCTTCTCGGCGAGCTCGAGGAGGGTGGCGTCCTTGTACAGAGGAGAGTTGGTAGAGCCCAGGCAGGAGTAACCGGTGGAGTGGATGCCCTTGGAGGTGTTGTAGGCAACCAGCTTGGGGGAGGGGTTGTTGGGGTGCAGCTCGATCTGGTTAACAGCGGGGACGATCTTGGTGGAAGGGTCGTTGAGGAGGATCTCGAGGTTCTTGATGCCGAAGTTGGAGACACCGATGTTGCGGACCTTGCCAGTGGCAGGGAGCTTCTGCATCTCTTGCCTATCAAATTAAAAATGGGTTAGAAGGAGGTTCGTGTGGATTTTCATCGCTGAAGTGAGAGTGCGCCTTACCAGGTCTTGATGAAGTTCCAGTCGGGGAGGTGCTTGGACTTGTCCTCGGGGTCGGTGGAGCTGGGCCAGTGAACCAGGTAGAGATCAATGTAGTCGACACCGAGATCCTTCAGCGAGGAGGCAATTCCATCCTCGACACGGTGGTGCCAGGTGTTGTCCAGCTTGGTGGTAAGCCAGATCTGCTCGCGGGGGACACCGGAGTCACGGATACCAGCACCAACCTCGGCCTCGTTGCCGTAGGCCAGGGCGGTATCAATGTGACGGTAACCCTTCAGAAGGGCGTCCTTAACAGCCACGCGGACCTCATTGGGCTTGGATTGCCAAGTTCCCAGACCGATGGCGGGGATCTTGTCGCCGGTGTTGAGAGTGTAGGTCTTCTGAGTGTGGTTGGCCATTGTGACGGTTCTTTTAGGGGAAGAGGAGATTGGAGAGATGTAGAATAAAAGATTTTAATCACAAAAAAGCAGGGGCTCGAGTCTTTTATAGGAGGGGAAGTGCAACATAAAGCGGGCAGGTCCAAGCAGCCACGATGTCGCAACCAGTGACGATGCCCCGCTTTGAATGTGGGGGGGTCTATCTTTCCTTCTACTCTGCCACGTTGCTGATCCGGCACTATGCGCCCTTTTTTCCAATCGGTGAACCGAATACAATTCAGCCGAGCGGATGGACTACGGTAATCCGATCTCCGTAGTGGCGGGCATCCTTGAGTATCGCGGGGCTCCGGAACACAGCATGATGCCATGGGGAATGTATTCCGGCTAAATACAGAGGATATCTGCCAATCAGAGGCTTGAATTGGCCCCAGGTTCCACTATCAGTGAACCCTGCTAAATTGCAGCGCAGTCTCGATTCTAGAAACTTCGTTTGCGAGCGAAACATGGAAAGAGCTATCAAATTGAGGAAATATAGAAGTTTCGAAAGATTAGAAAAAGAGAGACAGCCATTCAACTATTCTACACTGAAATACTAATAACTTAAACTAGAAACGAACCTTGGAATTTAGCTAGAATAACATGCCCCTAGCAACTGCACTTTATAGTACTTTGTGCGGCGATCGGCCTCGATACAAATATGCATCATCCTTGTCGGATGCGCCTTGAATTTTCCTTTTCGCAGATCTTCTTTGTATCCACAGCGCTTAATTTTCATCAAAGATATTAGCAGAATAAGTACTACTAGTAGTAATATTCCCGCGTGACGCTCCGAATTATCCACGACTCCACGCCGGGTAAATTGAACCCCATTCTCCATTCTACCGAAGCACTTCTCCAACTTCAACTTTCTCCACTTCCAACCAATCGGCGAATTAGCCTAATGACTGACCATATCCATCCTGCCGCTTCAATTTATCAGCCACCTTCTCCCCCAAGTTCCAAGTTTGCTGTTTGACAGATACGCATTCCATCATCTCCCAAGTACTAACATAGAGAGCAACGCTTTCTGAAAACAGCGCCTCAGTCTAATCGCTGTCAGCTCGATCACGAAATCAATATCCATATTTGCCGACCCCAACAGGAAGTCTTGGATTCCACGTCTGGTCTCCATGGTCAGCAGCTCACTGGACGCCAGCGCCGCCAACTCCGCCGGACACTCCTCCGCTGCCTCCCGTGTCCATTCCTGCCAGCTTCCCGTGGATCTATTCCAGCTGACTGTTCTCGGAGCCTGTCACTTAATTCCTCCTCGCCGGCAAACAGGGAGATACACTCTCAATGGAGGGTCACAAGACCAGCTGTGTTATCGAAGCTTAAGAATGAAGCCCAATTTCGATATTGATATGAACTGATCTGCTCTCGTGGCTGTAGTATTTCCACCTCGGTTATGCCTTTCGCCAATGCAGGTTCCTGGACACTCACCCCCGTTTGACGGCAAATTAAGGAGCGCGTGTACCTACGCCCGACAACTCTTTTTCTTCGAACGGGTACAATCCTCACATATTCGGTTCCACAAAGCCCAGGAGAATCATCGCGATAATCAAGGGCGAATTACATAATTGGAATAATTCATGCGCCCATATACCACGTACGGCCCCGATTATGGTCGATAATTTATTTCGAACTTACTGCACAGGTGTCTTCGTCAAAATAAGCTTGAAGCTACAAATATTTAGTTCAACTTGCCGCGAAATCAACACCTAGATAGACATCCACTGGCATGGAGGACAACTACCAACTTGGCTTGGGATTATTTGAGCAGTGCTATACGTGGTACTAACTTGAACGCTCTGTGTCAATATTCTCTATAGACAACGAAGTATACCCAATATTATATTTATTTTCCAAGTTCAAACTCATTTATCTACAAATTTCAAGTTATCCTAGGATATGGGTCAGTTGGGGCCGGATAAATTCACCGCCCTCGGAGCCTCAGCTCTCCCCACTTTGAAACCAACCCCATATTTCACTTCTATTCCCATTGTCCCCGGTTCACCAAAACAATGTCTTCCGGATTCGTGTCATCTGGCACAAATGAGCAGCCAGTCGAGCGGGATGATGTCTGGCTGCGCGCCGAACAGGAGCTGGAGGAAGAGCGTCGGCGCAAGGCGGAGATCGGCAAGCAGAATGACGGCAAGAGCCTGTTCGAGGTGCTGGAGCAGAACAAAAGTGAGTAAGATCGGTGACAAAGACACACTACAACAACACACTCAGTGTACCAATGGTGTCTTGCCGAATGGATCAGGTCACCGCAGAGCGAACGTGGCTAACATGTTAGGATGATCGTTCCACAACACAGTGGCCAAGCAAGAAGCCTTTGAAGAGAAAACCAAACTGAAGAACCAATTCCGCTCCCTCGACGAAGACGAAGTCGACTTCCTTGATTCCGTCCTCGAGTCCACTCGGGCCCAGGAGGCCGCCGTCAAAAAGGATACCGCCGACCAGCTGGAGGTTTTTCGCAAGCAACGCGAGGAGGCTGAGAAGGCGCTTCTAGGTCCTACAACTTCAGATGTCACTCCTGCGGAGGAGGAGGAATGGGCAATCCCGGCGCGTAAGAGGCGTCGGGATAAGAAGGACTTGCTTCTACCCGGGAAGAAAAGGAAGGCTTCGTTGGAAGGAGGAAAGGATACAGCTGGTTCTCCAGACGTAAAAAAAACAAATCAAACTGGTCAAAAGGATGGGGAGAGTGCTACCAGCGCGGTGCCGAAGGCATTACCTATACAACGGCCTGACGGCGTCAACGTGGCTTCTAATGCCAAAAGGTCATCAGCCGCGCAAGGGACATCAGATGCGACCAGCAAGGGCCAATCACAAACGAATCAGCCGAAGAAAGAAGGGCCGGCGCCCGCTCCAGCTCCGGCGGGGCTCGGTTTAGTCGGTTACGGCTCAGATTCGGATTCGGAATAAAAGCTATCGCATATTACTTCGCGGCTATGATTGGACTGGCTTGCGCCGGCGTATGTCGAGCTCCTGTGTGACACTAACTTTTCTTTAATGTACATATACCCCGGATAATTCCTGGCAACCTTCATGTTGGAACTCTTATTGCAGTAACCTCATCATCCTCATACTCCCACTGTTCCGGCGATCACCATTTGGGCCCAAAAATATAGCGCATAGCCGATAAAGATCCTGAGCCACCCATGGCTTTTCCGCACGGAGGATTTCCCGAAAGCATTCTTCGCAACAAAGAGGTCGCTTGCAACAAACATAGCAGCCCCCAGGGCCCGCGATGCCAACCAGTTGGTTGGAACGATCAACGGAGAGGTGGAAGTAGCGGCAGAAAACATTATAGCAATGATGACAGCATAGACCGAAACCAATGGCTTCATATCCGAGGCAATACCGAGATCCAGTACATTGGACTGAAGTGATGAATCTGGCTGGGGATATATGACACCCAACCACTTTGCAGCGCCCAGAGTCACAACGAACGTGACACCAAAAGCCGTCCAGGAGGTCTCGTAGGAATCTTGCAGGAATGCTACAGTGTAGGCGATATGGGCCGCTGCAAAGGCAATGATACCAAGTTGGAAAGATATCGATACCCTCCCTTGCTCTTCCGATTTGCCAGAGGTTGGATTACTGCTGTCCAGGGCAAAAAATTCACGCCGCGAAGGAATAAGCAAAAAGTCGCCCAGCATGGAAAATGCAAGACCGATGGTAATGAGACGGTGATAGTCTGACCAGTCTGTAGACGGTAAGAGCAATGGGCCGCTTAGGAACGCCACTGAAGAAAGCATTTTAAACACTGCTGTGCCCGTGTGTGATCTGGATTTCCATTCTGAGAGAACCAGCAAGGGCAGCGAGCCCAGCAGCAAGCACGCCGAAGTCGAAATTGACATATCGAAGGATCTGTGGAGACCTAACACACTGGCAGAATCCATGGATGGAATGAGGTGGATGTTCAGATTAGGTTCAAAAGGTCAGCTTCAAGTTGGAACTTAACCGCGGCCAACTCCACCCGGCTAGAATGATCGTATTCATGTTCTGTCACAAGGAAATATGCTCCAGCCTGGGCGTGCGCACTCTTAGGCCGAGGCGCGCATTTTGGTCGTTTCGCCCCGATCGTTTCGATCGGAGTATTATTATATTCCGCTTTTTGACCCACGCTTATTGCAATGACAGTGTAGATCAAATTTTCTCACCGTTTGCCTGTAAAAATAGATTTAAAAAGTTAGATTAATTTACAGCTGTCACGCTTACGGCGCTCCATAGCGGCAACCGGCTCAGTACTAGGTCTGCTAAGGCAATTTACGCCAACCGTCCCAGCGGCCGCACCTGTGGACCTGCGAGGTTTGTATGGAATGAACGTTTCTACTACAGTAATACAACCAACGTGCTAGTATTAATCATATTGAAGTCAGGGCCTATCAGTAGCCAGTAGTACTATGCCGCGAAACATCTGCTTGGAATTAGCCAGTATTAACACTACTGAGCCGGTTACCGTCATGGAGCGTGGTAAATTGACTAAGCGTGTACGACATGAGGCTCTGCCCGGATAAACTTTGAATATGACTCGTGCGAATGATTTAAATTTGATCACCGAGTCTGAGCCCTCGCTGACATCAAACTACTCAATAATCCTGAGCCTGCATATTTCCCAGAATTATAGTAAATTCTCTGGCTTCAATGACGCAAATATTTGCTTACAAACTCATTACTATTCCTCTCCCCTTGAACTACTCATAATGTTGAGTTTGCAGCTTCACCTCTTGCTCTTCAACCTTGCGCTCCAGATCATGGGTGACGTAGTCCTCCTTGCGAGAACCTGGGACAAACCAAGGAGCGTGGGAGAACATGTAGTTCATCTCTTCAAGCGGCACCTTCTTCGTCTCCGGCAGCAGAGCGTAGAAGAAGAGTGCGTTGGTGAAATTGCAGACCACGAAAACGAAATAGTACTTGTACTTGATGTGCTCCATGGCGATGGGGGTCACCTGGCCGATCATCGTGTTGAAAGCAAACGAGATACCCGTCGCGATGGACACACCCTTGGCTCGGGTGCGAGTGTCAAAGACTTCAGCAGGGATAATCCAGGAAAGCGGACCACAAGTGCAGGAGAAGGAGAAGTTGTACAGCCAGGTCATGATGATGAAGCCCCAATGAGCTCCGGTGTTTGAGCTCGTGGTAGGGAACTTCGCCATTAGGATTGTGGCAATGATGAAGGTGAGGCAGTTTCCTAGGTTGCCGCCGATAAGAGTCCATCGTCGACCAAAGCGATCGATGAATAGAATGCAGAGGAATTGGGCGATGAGGGCGATGACCGAGTTGATGGCTTGGTATCGGAGAGTATCAGCGCCGGAGATACCGATTTGCGCATAGATGTCAACAGAATAGTATCTAGAGGATGTGAAATTAGAGACAATCATGGCTGGATATCTAGGTAATAGATTGTATACTCACTGGATTGCGGAAACACCGGTCATCTGGACAGATGCCTGAAGGGCACAGCAGAGGAACAGGCGACGGAAGGAAGATCGGTTTGTAAACAACTCAACGTAGGATTTGGCCTCGTGTTCGTGCTCAAAGGTGATGCTCTCTTGAATCTGGGCATATTCAGCTTGCACCCAAGCATCATTTTCATCTCCGTGAGCGTGCAGCTTCGCCAAGGTCTTGAGACCTTCTTCGGAGCGATTGTGATCGATGAGCCAACGAGGTGACTGAATGCGTGTTAGCGCGCTGAAAGATTCTAGGTGAGTCGCAGAATATCATACCTCGGGGAAAAATGTGATCAACAAGCCCAGCACGACAGCAGGTAGGATTTGCAGACCCAGGGGAAGTTGCCATTGCGCACTGTTAGTGGGATCAAATCCGACATAAGTGCCGTATGAGATCCATGAGGCACAGAGAGCACCGACTCCCAGCATGAATTGTTGCAACGCAGTAACTCGGCCACGAATCTTAGGGTGGCAGATCTCGGCCTGGTATAGGGGAATGATCATAGTCAGGAAACCGACACTAGAGTTAAGAAGTCGTTAGTCTTTCCGCTGTCTTTTTATCAGGAAAAAAAAAAAGGTCACATACCCGAATCCAGCAAGGAATCGACCGCTGTAAAGATACGCAAGGGTCTTCGCAGCCGTCTGGAGAGCACCACCGAGACAGAATATCAGACATCCCAGCGAGATGGTGCGGCGACGACCAAGATAATCACCAGCAGGACCAGCTAGACAAGCTCCGAAGAAAGCACCAGTAGTAAACATAGACACAACTAGACCACTTTTCATTTTCCTTGTTAGAATCCAGACCAGCTGACAAAGCTGAATCAAAGCTCACCTTTGCGTCGAGTCCGCTTCAAACTTCTTCACAAACGACTGGCAGACAATAACTTCTGCAATCACACCAAGATCATCTGGGAATAACTTATTAGATGTGATAAACTGCGAAAATTAGGAAGAACGAGAACTTACATCCATAAAGGAAAGATCCAACGGAGGCGAACACGCCGACCAGGAACTATTCAAGATTTTTTTAGTATTTGACATTCGTTTGAAATGCAAATTAGAAGCTGTGTTTCATACCTGGTACCACGCCGGTGACATACGCATGGTGTCGGATTCTGCTCTTTGGCAACGAAATTAAAAAATTCAATCAGGGTCGACCCACGATCAGCAAAGGACGGGGAACGAAATCTGGGGATCTCCACAGAAAACAAACATCAACTCCACCGGGGGGGGAGCTGTCATCTACATATACCATTTCAAGTTCAAACGGCGGGAAATCCACGAGGCGAGCTGCATCGCTTAGAGTTCGGAGAAAACTCCTTAACTCAAGCCACACAGCTGATCGCATCGTGTGGCATCGAGGAAAATTGACCTTCGTCAAAAATACCCGGGATGGAGCTATACTCCAAGTGGCTGGTCACCAAGTCCATTCGTTAACCCGCCAAACCCGCAAATCCACCTCCGCAAATTACAACCTCCGAGGTCGTGCCGAATTCCCCACGGGTCCTATTAACCGGACATATTTACGGAACGAAAAAAGTAGACATTTTAGATCTTACTATCTACCGAGCTTGGCTGTTAGGGAATGGTTAACAAGCTCTAACATCAAATGATCTTTGGTCGTTCGTACTTTGTGGCGGCTGCGTCCCCCTTGCTGCGCCGTGATTGACGGAATATTTTCAGGGCTCGGCGGCACTTCAATCTATCAGTCCACAATACCGAGTCATTGGGCGATATCGGTCCCTTTGAACTGTTAGTCTCTCCATTTTCTACCCACACGCCCACTTGAGCGCTTCAGATGGCCGGCCCCTAGCCTCAAACGGGCATCGTCGTTTGCGCCAGCTCTTTTTGTCCACCCCGCTTGGCCATGGTCCCGACTCTGCCCCGCAGGAGATTTTCCGCTTCAAGGCGATAACTTGCGTCGTCTTCGAAGGAATGGTTGAGGCACGAGATGTACGCCCTATCATTATGGAGTGAGTGTGGATTCGATGGACTCTAGCGATTGGACTGGAGAAGGATGTACTTCTCGTGCGACATTTCTTCCCCGCTCGCTTGATCCTGGTCAAACATCATCCTGGCTCGAATTTCCTGGTCTATAATTTCCAGCCACCGGACGGACGTGAATTTGCTTGTAGACAAAGCTTCTTCCTGCCGAGTTTCTACGTTTGCGTTGCCAGTATGACTACTTTCACCAAGTTGGGGGACCAGGACACCCCTGTCATCTCCGTTCATCCTTCGCGTCGGATTTCGAAAATTAATCCCAATATCTATGCTGGCTTCACTGAGTAAGTACCGCTGATTCTACACCACCAGACTGCCTATGACATGATATCGGAGTCCTGATATGCTGACGCTGCCTTAGGCATATGGGCCGATGCATCTATGGTGGCATCTACGAGCCGGGAAGTCCGCTTTCTGATGAGAATGGTTTCCGAAAGGATGTATTAGAGGCGCTGAAGGACCTCAACATTCCTGTTGTTCGGTATCCCGGAGGTAACTTCTGTGCTACCTACCACTGGCTCGACGGAGTTGGCCCGAAGGACCAACGGCCTGCGCGGTAAGTCTATCCCAATTTTATAATATAATGTTCCCCAGTCGTATGGCCCCGACATAAAATTCTGTACTAATATATCATTAGACCGGAGCTTGCATGGTTGGGAACTGAGACTAACCAATTCGGAACGGATGAGTTCATGAAATGGTGCGAGGTGATCGGCACGGAACCATATCTGTGCTTCAATTTCGGAACCGGTACCCTGGACGAAGGTAATTCATTTGCTCCATTTCTTTATACTATTAAAATTAATGACCAGTTCTTTAGCTCTTGGCTGGGTTGAGTACTGCAACGGTACTGGAAATACATACTACGCAAACCTTCGCCGGAAAAACGGTCGCGAGGAGCCATACAACGTAAGTAGCAGACCCAACTTATCATTTATTTGCAGAAGCTTACAGTTTTAGGTCAAATACTGGGCCCTTGGAAATGAGACATGGGGACCCTGGCAAGTCGAGCAAATGACCAAGGAAGCATATGCCCACAAGGCATTGCAATGGGCCAAGGGTAAAATGACCCCAAAGACCCAGAAATCACGATTCTAACCTTCGCACTTAGCTCTCAAACTCTTGGATCCCAGTCTGATTCTCATTCTCTGCGGTCAAGATGGTACCGCAACCTGGGACTACTACACTCTCAAGCACTGTTTGCTACCGGCCCACTCGGCACTTTCAACCAGCGCAGTGCCATTAATCGACATGCACAGCATCCACCTTTACACCTGCTCAAATGACCATCTCCCTAACGCAACTGCGCCCCTAGCCGCAGAGCGAGCCATTGAGATCACGTCAGGCCTGATCGACCTGGCCCGTATCGAAAACGGCGTTCCGCCAGAGCAGCTGCGTCCGACAATCTGCTTTGACGAATGGAACGTCTGGGACCCTATTCGCGCAGAGGGTAGCCAAGGTGCCGAGGAAAGTTACACTCTCTCTGATGCGTTAGCTGTGGCCGTTTGGCTGAACGTGTTTGTGCGGAAGAGTCGCGATGTCGGCATGGCTTGCATTGCCCAGACCGTCAATGTGATTTCGCCGCTTATGACGACAAAGGAAGGTATCATCAAGCAGACTACTTGGTGGCCGCTGTATTTGTTCTCGAAGTTCATGCGCGGCTGGACCGTCGCGTCGCATGTTTCTTGCGGTACCTATGAGGGTGAGACCGCGCCGAAGTGGCTGAGGAGTGCGATGGAGACTCCCTGGTTGGATGTGAGTGCTACGATTGGTGAGGACGGATTTGCCAATCTGGTTGTTGTCAATATCCATGAGCAGAAGGATTTCGAAAGTCAGGTTGATGGAGTGGCTGGTGATGTTGTTGTCTATACTGTGACTGGTGAAGGTGTTGCAGCTACTAATATGAAGGGCCGGGAGGAGGTTGCTGTTAAAGAATCCACTTGGGATGGAAAGGGGACTTATGTTTTCCCCAAGCTTTCGGTTACCCTGCTGAGATGGAAGGCAGAGTAAAAATGTGCTGCAAGTCAAACTACCCTAGAAGTTCGTGCTTTCTTTTCTATATCAATACATACAAACCCGCGAAATAAACTCTGCTATCCATGGATCTTTCAAGCGGTCCCCTGGTACGACTTCCAAGTTTAGTAGTACTAGTACTTTTAGTAAGCTTCCGAGATTCTATGACTCAAGTTGATCATGAGCCTTGTAGGCCTATTTTTCAAGTCCACGGCTGCACCAAGTCGTCCACCTCAAAGATACAATTCGGCGGACACCAGCTAACCGGCGGAGGGAAAAGATCGACACCACGAATGACAGCGTCCGGAAACTTATCGGCGACATCGACGGCCCATGAGCCTTGTCCGGTGCCGATTTTGAGCACATGTTTTTGGTTTAAAAACTGGAGCGCAATATAGCATGTTTACCTCATCGGAGTCCATGAGTAGAGCGGCGAGGTGTCCCACTTCATAGGTCTCGAATTGCTGTTCATCGGAGGGGCTAAAATACTCACCCCTCCTCAGGGCCTGGTATCACCTCCCGTTCTCCATTACCCCCTTATATAGAATGGACGCAATGGAGATTGTTTCCGATGTCCAGTCATCGGGCTTGCATATCTCCGCTTCGGAGGCATCGATATTTGGGTCCGGGGCGATCTCGGCGTTCTCGAAGTCACTGACCATCACAGACAATGATTTCGTGGCGTTATACTTCTGAGATGGAAACAAAAAAGACAGCAAGGACCCGAGTTTGGAGGAAAGATTCGACGCTAGTGATACGAGTCTACACCCCACTAAGCGGATACCTCGATATCTTACAGAGTTGAATGTATCTCTTAGGGGATGCGCAGCCTTGCAGTTTCAAATTCTTTATCTTATCTTACATTGATATCGGAGGTTATAATAAATATTCATTTAATCTCTAGATTTCTCTAGGCGTGAAGGTTCTGCGTGGCATCGTTACAGATAATCATACGGTCTGGTCTGGTCTGGTAGATCATGTCGCTCAGCCGTAGGTCACATTCCGAACAGTTCCGTCCTCGTCAACATGAACATTCAGTCTAGATAAAGACTTAATAAGTACTGGTTTGAAATATTAAATTGTAATAAAAGGATCTGATGGCTTGCATACCTCTCCGGGCGGTGGTCCATGGTCTGCATGTCACCAGGCTTCACGACGCGGTGGGTTTCGGGCAGGTCCTTCTTCGCGAAAGACTAATTGGGCAGACGGTGTCAGATTACGGGCAGACGGTGTCAGATTACGGGCAGACACTGCAGCAGAGTATCTCTCAAGGACAAACATACCACCTCATCACTTGTCTCGCTAATCTTCTTCCCCATCAGCTTGTTGACCCATTCGGACTTATCGCCCATGTCAGAGTTGATGCCAGGAACAACGAGAGGCATGATGGAGGGGGCTGGAGGTTGAATAGAATTAGGATTTATATTCTGGTATTCTGATGGATGTTTGATGATGAATCCGATGTTATTAGTACCTTGGTAGTTGTAGATGAAGAGTGCTACATCGAGGTGGGCAGGCATCTATATAGACCCCAATGACGATGACGTAGGTGTCGATAGTGCTTAGTCACTTCAAATGATTCGTGAGCTTTTCTGGGAAATCCGAGTTTCCAGAAGAGTTTCATTCGCTTAGGATGGTCGGAGATAAATGAAGTGATGTCTTGTCTCTTGTTGATGTCATCTTATCTGGACTGGCTTAATTCAGGTAGAAGGTATAGGGTCACAGGCCATCACAGGTGGATATCAACCCAATATAGCCCTAGTGATTCCAGAATAATAGAAGGAGTACATAACAATAGAACACTAGTAGAATATACTATATAACTAATTACTAGTACCTAGGTAGTTGTACTGTATGTAATTTGTATACTTCGCGATGCCAAAGGGAAGCTGCGAAGGTGGCAGCTACGATGGACATTGTTGACTGTTGATTTCGACTTCGACTTCGACTTCCTATTCTTCCTTACTTCCTTTCTTCATACTTCACATTTTCTTTAAATTGCACAGGCTCACTTGCAATCACTTCTCTGGAAATATCTGCCATGACTTCCTCTTCTCATGGTGTCGTGGCATTACCGATTTGGTCAGAGCCAACCACCACGCCTGGCCCGAATCCTCTGAACAGACACACCAATGATAGATTTATCACCGTCATTCGTTACCCTCGCCAGATCGCCACGTCTGCGATCTTCTCCCATCCTGAAGATGGCTCCGATTCGGACCATCGGACCAGTCCTTGGATAGCGGACGAAGTTGGCTCAAAGAATCAACAAGACGGCAAGGAGCAAAGCGAAGAACCCGCTCCTCACCGGAACGATGCTGCTTCGAATCAACCAGAAGACATGATGGATTCAGTTCCGGATGAAATAAAATCACAGCCTCGGTTTTGGAGTGAAGACCCTGCTACTTCCAAAGCTGCAGCCACCACCGGCCCACCCGCAAAGACCAAAAACACTGCCGTTACAAAGTCCACCAAATCCGAATGGGGCCTCGACAAGGGTTCCATCGCGGCGGTCGTTATTATTTCAGTCTTGACCTTTGGCTGTCTCGCTTTCCTGGGATATTGGTACGTTGCGAGAGAGTGTAAAGTACGCCGTCGCCGTCGACTCCGTGCAAATGACAACCCATTCGACCAATCGTCCCTCACACTGGGTGAAGAGACGAGCAAGGCACTGGACGAGTTCCTCATGAAGGATGTCGAGCCAGAGCGTACTTCCGTTATGTTCAGTCGCAGTCGCTCGCCATCAATTGTCTACGCCGTGGACGAAGCCGATCGTCGAAGTTCCAAGGTCTCGCGAAACAGCTACGAAGCGAGTCTCAACAGTATACTCCGAATGGACCCACTGTCTCGAGAATCAGCAGACGGAGCAAGACCCAGCTTTATAATCTCAGAACTGACCGATTCTTCGGGCTCGAAGACAGCCTCCAGTGGTTCCAAGACTGGTTCGAGCGGTTCGAAAACTGTCTCGAAGAGCAGTAGCTTGAGTGGTTCGAAGAGTGGTTCAACTGATCCAACGAACAGTGACTCGACACCAGCCACAATAATACCATCAACATCAACCACATCGCCCCGCGCATCTCTACAGCTCTCACCGCGTGCATCGGTGGGGTCAAGTATACTACCTCCGACCACAAGATCCTCGCAACTTTGGGCAACAACATCAGCCGAGACGACGGAAAAGAGTTCTCTTCTCAGCGACGACCAGAGAAGCCCGCGCTCATCGCTCTCAAGTTCCTACAGCTCAAATCTCATGCTACCCAGCTCGGTGAGCTCACTGGCTCCTTCTTATTCCCGCTCCCAGCGGACGTCAAATGGATCCCAGTCTTCAGGTCGATACTTTGTTCAGAATCCCGTTCGCTCTATGCCTCGCATGATCAACGATTCCGGCCACTCTCGTCGCAATCATCAAAGGTCTTATAGCAGTCGTTCTATGACTATCTCGCCCATTGAGGAGTCTCCTGACTCTTTGGGTACTGCGCCACAAACGTCGATATTTCGGTTTTCTGATACCTAATATTAGTGGCGGTGGTATACTGTTTTTTTACAAATAGTACTTGGAGTTGGTGTTTTTGGTGGGTTTTGAATCCTATATTTCCTTGGAGTCTTGTCGGGTCGGTGGGGATATGACCGTGCTTCACTTCGACCGTCTCTTTGCATTACTAAAAGCTTGATGAATGTATTTGTTAGGTAGTAGTTCCGTGCTTATGCGGTTGGGAACGAGATGTGTATCTTCACATTGCAAAGTCTATAATTCAAACAGAAAATCGACCTCGCATGCCCACCTGGGCAGGATTTTAATCGTTACGCTACTGGTCTTGTACCACTAGTATGATAAACTTGAAAGAATGGAAATAATTATAACCAAAACTGGCGACGCCTCATCCAAACTTGAACCTTGGAAGTTCTGGTAAGAGAATAAACCTTGGAACATCCATGGGTGAGTAAGTACCTGGGTACCTAAGTAGCTGGAGCGAGTCGAGAGAAACTTAGCGAAAGGCCCAGAGCTGAGTCCTCGGCCAGGGATGAGCGATATAGTGAAAAGAATTTCCGCTTGTAGAAAACGTGTTTAAAGCCCTGGATACATGTCCGTCATGAAAATATACAAAATTGAAACATCTCGCTAAAAATAAATAAACAGAAACACAAGAGATATCCATCACAAAGAAGCTGGAGATGGCAGTGATTCGGGAGAGTTACTAGGTATCCCCCGATTGAAAATCTATCCAATGCACCAAACAGAAAAAGAAGTAGTGTATAGGCCTTTTTCAACTGTTTACAACTTCTTAATTTCCCGCACACTGCGCAAGCAGCGCTCCATGCGCTTCCCACGTTCCTTCTCTCGCACAAGGGTATCCTTTACAAAAGCGCGAATAGCGTCACGGCCGACCTTTTCACGCCATGTCGTCCACCCGGCTAATTCGCCCACGACGACATCCTTGTTCCATGAGATCTCCTTTGCAAGACGGCTTGACTCGGCCTCACCGTCGCGGATCTTCTTTTCCAGATCGCGGACGGACTTTTGACGTGATTCTTCGAAGCCAGGGAGGTTGAGGTTGAATTTGCGGGGTAGAGAGGAGGATAGTAGGGATGAGCGGGACCGGGCAATTGTGCGGTTTGTTGAGGTTAGGTTGGACATTATGGAAAGAGGGCGGGAGAGGGATTTTAGAATTGCCGCGGTTGTGTTGTCAATTGAGGTTAGAGCGGCGATGTATTGGAGGAGTGGGGAGGAGTCGGTGCTCGAAGTTGATAGGCAGCTGCCGTAGCGGGCGAAGGCGGTTATGTGAGATGTAGGGAGGGCATTGGTGGGTTCACGGAGGGTTGATAGTACGGTTGCGCAGAGTGAGACGGCGTCGGCGATGTCTGCGGCGCTATTCTGGAGGGCGTGGCCGCGGCGGATGAGGCTCTTTGTGTTGACGTGGGCGGCGCGGACTATGTCCTGGGCGTGTGTAACGAATGATTCGGTATCACGCATGCCTTCAAGAGTGACGGGTGAGAACTCGTCGCTGATTGTCTCGGTGAGTACAGCTGCCTTGCTGCGAGACCGATCGGCCATCATTTCGGGCTGTAGTTCCGGTACGAGAAAGAATTCCCAGAGCATTTCGTGCGTAGCGAAGGTTGGATGGGCCAGAAGCGTGTTTAGAAATCGGTCAAGTTTGTCTTGAAGGTCATGTAGGATAGATCGGGAAGGCTTCGAGTGGACTTGGAACGGGTTTCGGAAATCAGCCAAGGAGGGCACGTAAGACGCGGGATGCTCCACTGCAAGCCACTTGGCAAGGTTCTCGAAGTCGGCGAAGCTGCGACGACAGGTCGTCACAGTATACGTTGTTGAACCTGGCCGAGAAGAAGCTACTGTCTGTGAGGGACCGTATGGTGCACCTGATTTCAGGATGAAACGAACTGTGGCATCCTCCACGAAGAACGACCGTACGACGGTAGTCACTCGACCGGAGGGATCACCGCAGGTCGACGGTGGATGAGACAACAAAATCAAGTCGTCGATACGGTTGCGGACTTCGTCGTCTTTGGCAAGCTCAACAGCCGTCAATCCACGAGCCTCTTTGATATGAACGTCGACCCTAGGGTCCATGAAAAGAATCCGGACCTGCTCAACTCGGCCATACTTGCTAGCCATCATCAATGGCGTGAACCTCTTATCGTTTGTGGCGTTTGGGTCACAGTCGCTCTCTGTAAGGATACGTGTTGTGATTTCGGGATCTCCAACAATATGCAGGAGGGTATTGCCCTTTGCATCAATATGTGCATCGACTTGGAGAGGTTTACCATTGCGTTGAGCTCTTTGAGCAGCCGTCAGCGCAGCCCGTACCATGGTTTTGTATTCAGGGTGATCGTAGGACCGACACAGGGCAAAAAGTGGCGTTTGTCCATGTTTATCGCGTTGCTGCCAAGGGAGGATATGGCTGATCCTATCGAGGAGAGAGGGCGTGTTGAAGAGGTAGTGTGCAACAGTGCGGCCGTGCACATCTGACTTGGTCAAGTACATGGAAACCACATTCTCGTCTGCTTTGCTGAACAGAAAGTCTAGCAGGATACCAACAACTTCGATGTGCGCGAGCTGGACGGCTGCATTTAACAGGGTCGTGCCGTCGGCGTTTGTATCCTCAAGGACATCCTCTAGAGGATAGAATTCTTCTAAGCTCAAAAGGTATTTCAGGGCTTCAGTCTGTCGGCTCTGCACTGCCATCATCGGGATTGAGTCTCCTGCTGGATCTTGCGTTTTGGTCAAAGTTTCAATAGAGCTATCACCCTCGATGTTACTCGCCATAGACCCGATAGTGTTTGTTCTTGACAAAAAAGATACTGCAGATGACTCTGAAAGGCTGCGAACATCCATTGAAACTCTTTTTGTTGGGCGAATGGAGTCTTTTCGAGGCTCAGCTCCACCCCAGGTCTGGAAAGGGAACACATGAGATAAGGGCGGCGCTTCAGGGTCAGTCTCCTCTGGAGCGAAGTCGCCGTTTGTAATTACCGAGTTGCTGTACACAGAGGATGTCTCGAATGGAGACTCTTCTAGCTCATCCGAACTGTCCGTTTGGAAAAATACAGACTTTCGTTCAGGTTCAGGAGTGATATCTTCATCAATAGAGTCATGGTCGCCATTGGGCTCCAATATGCTCTTCATGTCTGAGAGCCTCCCGCCCTTGGTAGCCTGCCATAGGCGTCGATTCCGAGTACTGGCTCGCCGAAGGCCGGCTGAATCGGTCACGAGGTACATCAAGACGGCCTCAAATGTACTCAGGGCATAGCCCATTTCGCCGCTGTCTACATCGTCAATGTAGATAAAATGCTGCATATACAACAAGCGAGCTTGAAGATGCCGGATCTGCGATCTAATTACCACGACCAACAACAGCGAAACCAATACATCCGCGTTGATCGTCAGAGGTGATCTTCCCTTCTCAGAAGCCGGGCCATCCACCCCATCATAGCTTCCAGGGTATGAGATGACTTTGACGGTTTGAAGTAGGATATTTAGCATATCGTGAGGACCTTGAGCATCCCCAATTTTGCGGAATTCTTCAACTCCACGAGTAAGGCGACGAATCACTTCTCTTTTGCCTTGGCGCCCACCATCTACTGATATTCCGACTTGGGTCACATCGATGCTTTCCATGCGTCGTATCCTAGAGTCCAGCTCTGAATCTTCAGATTGTCGAAAAGCGCAGAGGCGGGGGAAAAGAAGAGGTTCGTGAACTTGCTCGGCAACATAACGCTCGATGAGACTTTCAACAAGCGGACCAGTCAGATCGGTAGTCGCTCCGAGAAGTGATAGTTGTTGTTTGTCGACCAGCCGGAATAGATCAATCGCAGCGGTCACTGCAGTCTCTAGGCTCCGTCGCATCAGGTCCTCGTCGTCCTCGAAATATTCATCGGAGTTGAATGGCAATCGTCCCCGACGCGACGACCAACTGCGAATAGACGAGCTTTCATCTGCAAGAGACTCTGCGCGTGTAAACCGTCTGCCGCTCTCACTGCCCGATGCGGACGGTGAACGCGAAGGAGGGGGCGGCAACGGCTTTCCAAGCTCTTTTCCGAATTCCTTGAACAATCTCTCCAGTCCCGGCTGCATTTGTCTTGCGATCATCGGAAAGTTGGCCAGCAGCTCCCCGAAAGATTTGATCTCCTGTTTCGGCGGAGATACAGTAGACTCGCCATTGCTGCCTCTTTTATCCGATGGGGTCGGTTCAATCTTTCTGGGTATTGATCCGGGGACGACGGCGGAAATGATCTTGAATGGATCGAATGTTCCGATCAATGGGCGTGAAATATAGTAGACGAGCCATGGCCGAGAATCGGTAGAAGGGGCATAGTATAGCGCGTCGGATAAGAGTTGAGCCTGAGTGAGGGATTTGAAGCCTAGAGGGGTAATCTGGTCAATGCGACGGCCTTTTCGAGCAACTGCTGGATTTTGTTTGTACCTTTGTTGCTGTAGACCGAGCTCTCCTTAATTATGACGGTTCTTCCGTTGAAGGTGGTCAACTGCTTCGCCTTCCCTCGATTATCTCGCACATTGGACTCGTCTTTTCCATTCGTGGAGCCTGAGTTGATCGGAATCCGTAGCACATGGCTGCCCAGAAACTCCTCGGACGCGACGAGGTCGGCGTAGAGAATATTGGATTCGCGGTCCCGCGAACCGGTCAGGGACTCCGTAGTAGGAACAAGGAGGACCTATACAGGAAGAAAAAAGAGAGAATCAGCGATCAGCGAGTCCGATAGATCCGAGGGGGGTTTAGAGGAGCTTGACTTACATGGTTCTCCACGGGTATACACTGCCCGGGAACAGTGCTTCGAAAGAAGGCACGGAGGAAGGGATTTAGAGGGTGCATCCAAACGGTATTGGACGGCCCAGCAAATAAAGACCAGCAATCATCAAGTCAAACCGTAAATGATTCTATGACAAACGCGGGGATTGTGCGCGGTGGACGGGTTTCGCGGGGAAGAGCTTCCGGCGCATTCAACTGCAGGCAACAGTCCGGGGTGGAATCAAAGAGAAGAGAAGCGACAAGAGGAGAGGAAAAGGTCGACTGGGATACTTGACTCTATAGGGAGAGAAGTCGAAATGGCGCGAATACGCAAATGAAAAGAGCGGCAATGCAGGACGACAATCGTGAAGTGGTCTCGATGGGAGATTCCAAGGTGATCGCTCCGCTGCGGGAGAGCTGCTGCTGCGCTAACCGCCTTGGGCTATCAGAGTACCTACGGAATAGGTATTCAATACTCAGAGTCTACGTGATACGCACGCTCACTCGGGCTCTTTTGGGATAGATTAAGATGGTTATCACAGAATACATTCTCCTTGAATAATATGTACACGACTTCAATGCAACTCTAACGATGGCCTTGCAGATCTCCGTTATCAGCAAAGACCCGCAAGCCACAACACAGCACAGCACAGCACAAGCAAAAATTCAAATGACCGCAGATAGACGGCCCACATGCAGATCAGACGGTGTCGAGGGGAGAGTGAAAATGCAAGAAACATATAGGACGCCGCGAAACACCTTAGGACCGAATGCCATCACCAGGCCAACTCAACCCAAACGCGCAGTCCAAGTCTATGGAGAGGGATTTTTCGTTTCCAGGTAGCCCTGGAAAAGGGACTGGCAGTAAGGAGAACAAGATAGGAAAAAGAGACAAAGAACATTAATACATGAAGAAAGAACACCGACCGCACGAAGTCGGGAGGTCGGGTAAATAACCGTGAAAAAAAAGATGCCAGATCCACGTGGCTAGATATCAGACAGTCATATTGTACAATTGAGAGGATGAAGAAAAGTAGGGGAACGGAAAGAGCAAGATGTTAAGAGGCTGAGAGGAGGAAGGGTTGCACACTAAGAGGCAGAACGGCCTGCCACCTTAGATATAGTCACGAGCAGCCTTCTGCAGCTCGATCAGTCTCCAGCCGCGAGTCTCGGGGTTGTTGACCTCCTCAGGGATACGGGTCATGCCGATAGCATAGGTGACCAGTTGGACCTTATCCTCCATACCGGCAGCGAGCTTTCCAGTCTTGATCTTCTTGTAGACGTGGATCTCCTGGGCACGGCAGGTGACAACGAAAACGGGGATGTCACCGGGATCCAGGATACGGGCGTGAGAGATATCAACACCACGAACATCCAGGATGCGGCCGTCAGACTTGAGACCAGCGGTGGTGTATTGCTTAGCGAGCGCAGCGTAGACGGAGAATTGAGCATCAGAAAGCCAGAGCTTCAGAGTCTCAATATCGCCCTTGACGTAGGCGTCAAGAACCTCAGGGAGGATGTATTCACGCAGCTCGCGTTGGAATTCCTCCATCTTGAAGTTGGGATCAATCTCACGGAATCGCTTGATAACTTGAGCAGTCTCGTTCTCGGCAAAGAAGCCTCCAATCTTATCGGTGATGCTGCGGGCTGTGCTGATGAGGGGGTTCTCGGATTCGTCGTAAACGTCGCGGAAGCTGAACAGCTTCTGCATCATCGGATTGGAATCCTTGAAGTCGCGCCATGACTCCTTCCAGGCGGCGTCCTTGTGTAGAGTAACGTTGGTGCCGGCACTAGTGACAAATTAGTTGACATCCTTGGGAGGGTTTTGCTTTCGAGATGCAGAGTTCAGAGTTGAAACGTACTTGGGGTCCTCAACAGCCTGCTCCAGCTTACGCTTGCCAGACTTCAACTCCTGCTCCTCACGGCGTTGGCGCTGCATACGACGCTCCTCCTTCTCAGTCCATCCACCATAGCGGGAGCTACTGCCATCATCAATGGCATCCTTGACGCTCTTGTATGCCTCAGTCTCACGAACAGGTCGCGTGGCCTTCTCGAGACCCTCTCCAGTGGCGCTGACACCCTTGCGAATACCCTTGACGGCAGTGGTGTTCCAAGTCCACGAAGCACTCTTTCCAATGACCTGGCCAGTCGACTTGAGAGCGGCGGAAGTGCGGGTACCAGCGGCGCCGGACGCAGCCTCGTAGGCGGCACGGGCACGCTTGATTTTCTCGTTCTCGCTGAACTCATGAGCGGAAGAAGCCAGAGCCTTGGTAGACTCCTCCCACTCCTTAGACGCCTTGAACTCGGTCTGCAGAGTCTCGCGGAACACTTGCCAGGGGGACTTGTCGCCGTGAGGTGGCGGTGGAGGAGCATCCTCCTTCTTTTCCTTGTTCTCATCCTTGGATTCCTCGCCCTCTTGCTCAGACTTGGTTTCTTCTCCTTGCTTCTTCTCGTCCTTCTGCTGCTTCTGCTGCTGTTGCTGGAAGAGAGGGGTGGCGACATGGAAAGATCGGGTCAAGGGAAGAGCGGCGAATGGAGAGACCAGTTGGGAAACAGGAGAACGGGTCTGCTGAAGGGACCTTTGACCTTGTACGGAAGTCTTCAATGTCTGTGCAGGCAAAGCTGAATATGACATTGCCCGAGATCCTGACTTGAGGACCGCGACTTGGGACCGCAAGGTCGCCGCACGCGCGGCAGTGGACATCTTAGCGGAAATCATGCTCTGGGGGTAGAAGGAAGATAGAGGGAAGGAAGAGTGAGATGAGAAGAAAAAGAAAAGGAAAAGGATAAAGTATAGAATCCAGCCCAGCCCGGACGGCAAATGAGGAGAAACGGAGGTTGGACCGGGGAAAGTAGGTTGAGTAAGGGAAAAAGTCGAGATGCCAAGACCTTCGAAAAACTTCCAGTTCTCCTTCCGCCCTCTCGGTCCGTCGGCCTACGAATCAACCCCCGAGTCGCGTCACCCTCGATCAATTGATCCTTTGATCTGCTCACCAATTGAATGCCAGTATATTCCCCTTTATCTTGATTTAAGGGTAATCAATCTTCCTGGAAACCCTTCTCGTGCTCCCAACGTCACCGCCGACACTTCGGCACAACACTTCTACGCCATGAGTTCTTTCTCTATGAACGCTTTGGCGAAGACGCTCCCGTCAGTATGCCGACAAAATATCTCTCGCTCGGCTGGTCTTAGCAATGCCCGTTTCATCACTTCGTCCTCCTCCCAGCAAGCAGATGGTAGCTCGAGGTCGGAACGTTCACGATCCCTGGAGAACCAGATCCTTGACCGAGCCCCCGGCAGCACCGATAAGGCTTCTCCTCTGTCTGCCATTACCAAGATGATGCAGGGAGGCCAATCTTCCTCCAACTCGCGTTTTACATCCGACTACAGCCGACTGGCCGAGAGCTTGGAAGCCGATATGATGCGAAACCCTTACGCCGACCGCGCTCCTCCCCACCACCTCCACGTCTACTGCCATAAACACAACACAATCCTCACTCTGACACGGCCGAACGGCAACCCAATGTTGTCTATGGGTACCGGTCAGATTGGTTTCCGCAAGGGTGGTCGTGCTGGATTTGATCCCGCCTACCAGCTGTCTTCCCACGTTCTGTCGCAGATCCAAGAACGTGGTTATCTGCTGGAGATTAAGCGACTCGAGGTTGTTTTCCGTGGATTTGGCAAGGGTCGGGAGGCTTTCACCAAGGTGTTGCTCGGAAACGAAGGTCGCAATGTGCGTGGACTGGTGAACCGAGTGACTGACTCTACCCGGGTCAAGTTTGGTGGTACCCGCAGTCGCAAGGTCCGCCGACTGGGTTAGTTTGGAGATTCTTGATCAGTGTGGAATGCGCTCCTATGAGAGAAGAAGCAGAAGCAGATCTAGAACTGGGGGCATATGTGAAAGCTGTACGAAGTTGAGGAGTATATTGGGACTTTTGGGCCTAGGGCCATCATTTATTATTTGTACCATAGTAAAATTTCAGCATAGCACATGCGCTTTACAATATTTATCTCTCTACTAGATAGTATCTACTCATACTGAAAATAGCCAACTAGTACCTACCTAGGTAGGTATATTCTACTGCGTAATGGAACATTGATTCCTCTACCAAGGTAGGTCGGAAAGTCCTTAGTATGCGCGAAAGGAAGCTGAATTGGGGCTGAACTTTTTTCCCCTGTGACGATTTCCCCATCATCCACGTCGTAATGATATTAGTTAGGTATTTAAGGAACAGGAAGGTAGAGGTTGAAGAATCAGTAACGAAATGTGTTCGTGTCTAAGAAACGCTGCTGCAAATCGAATTCGCCACAAAAGCATCATCATCGTGTCTTTTTCCAAGGTCATACATGTCATCCAAAAACGTCTATTGCTGGTTACCGGCACCGCGACCAGCGCCACCACCACCCATCATGTTGCGAGCCCTGTGCGAAATCGTCAGTTTATTATCAGGTGGGAGGCCGGGTGCGATGGGTAAACTTACATGTCGGCAAGGTTAGGGTCGCTCATGATGCTGGACATATCAGGCATGCCACCACCCTGACCAAAGTTCTCGGCCATCTCGCGCAGACGGGGGTTGCTCATCAGGTTGTTCAGCATGTCGGGGTTACCCATCAGGTTCTGGGCCATCTGGGAGAACATGGGGTTGCTCATCATGGAGCTCAGGTCAGGCATGCCACCACCACCACCGGCACCACCGCCGCCGAACATACCGGCGAGCGAAGCAAGATCGGGCATACCACCGGCACCACCGCGGGAAGCGCCAGATGCGGTGTCGAGCTCCTCGGAGGGGGGGCTCGGTGGCACGGCTAGCCTCCTCAATCTTGCGGTTGGAGGTCTCCAGACCGCGCTTCATCGCATCACTACCACCGTTGCCCTCAGCGGCAATTCCACTCTCGTAAGCCTCCTTGGCGGCGTGATAGTCGCCCATGTCGAAGCGGGCAAGACCCAGACGGCTCCAGGCCTTGGAGTACTTGGGGTCGACGGTGGTGGCCAACAGGGCGTCCTCGGCGGCCTTCTCGTGGTTGCGGGAAGCGGAGTAGGCAGCCGCACGGTTGGAGAGGTAGATAGGGTTGGCGGGGGCGA